TTGTACATGCGACAGCCTCCTGGGTTTATCAGTACTGACCATCCCCAACGAGTCTGCCGTCTTCACAAGAGTCTGTATGGTCTCAAGCAGGCACCTTTGTGCTGGAACCACACCATTGATCAGGTCCTTGTTCAAGCGAATTTCACCCGCGTTAAAAGTGATTATGGCATTTACGTGTCTCACTCCTCTCCTCCTACCTATGTTGCTCTATATGTCGATGACCTTCTTATCTTGTCGAAGTCGCTTACTCAGATTAAGTCTGTCCAATCCCTTTTGTCCTCCAAATTCCAGATGAAAGATCTTGGTCCTGTCACCACGTTCCTGGGTCTCAATATTCGCCAGACTCCTCAGTCGGTTACTCTGTCTTTTTCTTCATATCTGACCTCTATCCTCCAGGACTTTGGTCTTGATACCTGCAATTCGGTAACTACGGTGTCTACTACAACTGAGTGGATATCTGACCATGATGTTCCTCTGGCTGATCCTACCCTCTTTCGCAGCATGGTGGGGAAGTTGTTATTTGCTGCAAACACGGATCGACCAGACATCACTTTTACTGTTGTAAAACTTAGCAGATATTTTAAACAGCCGAGTCAAAATCATCTCAATATCGCAAAGCCTGTGTTGAGATACTTGAAAGGAACTATAAATGATGGCATTACCTACACTCATACATCAGGTGTTGAGCTAAAAGGTTTCTGTGATGCTGACTGGGGAGGGATTTTAGAAGACAGAACATCTACAACTGGATACATCTTCATGCTAGCAAATGGTCCTATTTCATGGAAATCCAAGAAACAAAACTCAATAGCAACATCCACCACTGAAGCTGAATATATGGCAATGAGTGATGCTGTAAAAGAGTTATTGTGGCTTAAACAATTGATGAAGGAATTATCTGTTTTGGGATCATATGTTCCTATATTGTTTGGTGACAATACTAGTTCAATATCCTTAGCAAAACACCCCACTCAACATCAACGCACTAAACATATAGATATACGCTATCATTTTATCAGAGATCATATCCTAAAGGGAGACCTACAAATTGAACACGTTGACAGTCAGTCAAATATTGCCGACCTACTTACTAAGCAGTTAGTCAGAGAAAAACTTAACTCCCTAAAGAAGAAAATGCATTTTGCAAAGATCTGATCCAATCCACGACTATGGTAGGGTGTTGAGATAAGATAGTCATAGATTATATCATGGCTGTGCGGTTTATCCTGATATGAAGGTTTGTTGGTCTTGTTGAGATATGCATATGAGACTAACCAAATAATATATAAGGGTGTGTTATATCCCTTATGAGTGAGGGACTAAGGTATACCAAAGATACTTACTATCTGATACATAGTCACACTATTGAAGGAAGAATGACTGTAGACATTACACTTATCAAAACAAAGTTTCAACAGTTCTCAATCGATATATTTATGATAAGGATGGGGCCAACACATTCTCTTCCAAGAAGCCCAACTGTGCGTCTCTTTGGAAATCAATATGGGGAACCATGTTCTGCAGACTGGAACGCGTAGCACAATCTCAATCCATTTGAACAAACTCATATAATGAAATAAGTATCAAATCTGATAAGAAAGTAGCCAAGATGAATGGTCGTGGCAGACTTATCTGGCTACAAAATTTCCGAGGTAAGCCTATCGCTATGTTGAACATACTCGTACACATACCTAAGATACAATTTCTTTTTTGGCTAAGTTCAACCTTTGAAGATATTCAAAACTGTATCTCAATCCATATCAGGTGTAGAACAAGTGGTCACGCACCATACCGCAGTTCGTTATGTTAGTGAAGGGTGTTTGAATAGTCAAGGCTTTCCTCTCTTATTTCTCAAGGAAGCAAACTATACATTCTTTAAGCTTTTGTGAATATAATTCGCTATAATCTTGATTTTCTGCTTCCAATTCAAAGATGTACCATATGGATGAATTTCAGCAGGCTGCTTTCATTTCTATCGCTGTAAAAAATCTAGCCTCTGGTCTGATAACTTACACTCAGAACTCTCAGTTCAGATATTGGTGAAATCAAAGCTGTTTCTTGTTTGTTTTAGAATGTCATATCTGGAGCGCGTATCTTCCAAATCAAAATAGATGGATGAGCTGAATAGCATATCTTGACAAAGAGCATTAACTCAGTGATCAGCTTGCGTTTCCCATTTAGTGATTTGCGATTGTACATTTTAGCATCTGTTATTTTTAAAGTACATATATGATCTTATGTATCATAAGTGTGCTTACAGCTTGGATGGTGGAAGATCCTGATCTTGTTTTCATTTGTCAAGGCGAGTGCTTTGAGGCTGCTATCATGAATAGCCTTCATCTCACCCATAGGACTGGCCTTGTCTTTAGCAGTATGAAATGGCAAAAGTAGCTACCTCTTTATTCGAGGGTGTTCAACCAAATCAAAAGTATTTTTCTCTTCAAAGGTAGGTTTACCCACAAAGGGCTAGAGAAGCAGTTTTTTTTGTATTTACTGTTACGATTAAGCAACAACTCAAGTTTAAATAAATACATATTCTAAGTTTTGTTGCTCTTGTTGAGATAAGATAGTCATAGATTATATCATGGCTCTGCGGCTTATCCTGATATGAAGGTCTCTGGGTCTTAGCACATGCATAGTATGTGCATCAGATCCAGATGATACGAATCTGGATCACATATGAGACTAACCAAATAATATATAAGGGTGTGTCATATCCCACTTATAAGTGAGAGACTAAGGTATACCAAAGATATTAACTATCTGATACATAGTCACACTATTGAAGGAAGAGCAATGACTGTAGATATTACAATTATCAAAAGAAAATTTCAACAAGAATTGCCATAATGCAACAACACGCGCTCTAAAAATCCAATGGAAAATAGCTTAGGGATAGTGTTCATCCGGAGCAATGTTTGAAAAAGCCGATTCAAGACGATTCTTGTTGAAATTTTCTTTTGATAATTGTAATGTCTACAGTCATGTTTCCTTCAATAGTGTGACTATGTATCAGATAGTTAATATCCTTGGTATACCTTAGTCCCTCACTTATAAGTGGGATATGACACACCTTTATATATTGTTCAGTTAGTCTCATATGCATTCTCAGATTCGTATCATCTGAGAGTGTGCTCACACATTACATGCGCTAAGTCCGACAAACCTTCATATCAGGATAAGCCGCACAGCCATGATATAATCTATGACTATCTTATCTCAACAATTCTTAGTAAAGAGAAATATTTCTTTTTCCCTATATATCTTTGCCTTGATCCATATATATTGAGTATAGGCATATGATCGATCTAAAGGCTCAAGACTATGTAATCGCACCTGCAAACGCAAGCGATGATGACACCTCATAAGACTGCTTGCAAATGATTTGAGTTTTCCATTAGCGTCGCTAATTAATCATCGTCTAACAATTGGACATCCACACAGGTGAGGGTGAATATGAATCTACTTGCTTAATCCACATCAACACTCTTTAATGGGTAATTTTGTTAGAATACTCTGAAACTGATTATGGATACATTTTGCAATAGGAACTACCTATTCGCAATTCAAAAAAAACAACCCGAGCGATGATAGTCACAACTGCTTTTCTCGCTCCTAATCCGAATGAGTCTTCACATGAAGCAGAAAAAAAGATCATGATCCAAGCTTATCGAACTTATTTGGCAGCACCAATACAGTGATGTAAGAAGCATCGAAGAAATCAGATATAATATCCAAATCAAACGGTTGAGGCTTGATATTTTATTACTGATTCGCATATTTCACAGAATCAGCAGTTGACTTTGATAGATGTATACCCAATATAATCAAACCCGCAATCGAAGAGCGAAAAGATAGCAATAACTCCCTACACCAAGATATCAAATCGTACATCCTTCGAAAAGTACCCTCCAAAAATGGCGTATCAGTGCTGTGATAATGCAATGATACATTTCGTCCTGGATTGAAAAGGTGTGCGGCTTCTACATAACAGAGGTTGACACGCATAAGCCGTTGTAAGACATCCATTGCCACCTTAAACTCTACAGAAGGAAATAATCTGGTATAATCTTAATGGGTAATCATTTACATTGATACTCCCTAACAAAATACCAAATTTTATTACCAAACCGGTAGGTCAATCAGTCAACCAGTCAATTGGTCAAATACGCAAAATCTGACTGTTGATCTCGGCTGTATCACGCGAGAACTTCAATACTGAAGACTCCCCAAGATATAAACATTGAATTAGTGTTTACTAATTATGAATGTAACATTGTTAAGGTTAGTCAGCTTCCAAATCATATCATATTCTACAAACAAGAATTTTAAGGCGAGTTCTATAAGTCGAAAAAAAATAAGGAGAATGGCTCTTTTGTTAATATTATGGTTCCTCTGGAAACACCCATAATTGTTGACGGGCTACAAACTGAAAATTAAAGGTTTGGAGCACATAACTCCGCAGTGAATCTACTCCAGTGATTGCCAGTAAGAAGCGAATATCTACAGTTGTACCTCCAATACTGACATAGCCACTTTGTAAATTCCTATCGTTCAATTTATTACTCTAATCAGTCTGCTATCTGCAGCACCCATCAATGTAACAATTATTTGGATTGAAAGCAGAAATTCTGGCAAGCAGAGTGCAGGCTGGTATAGTAGGATCCGTTAAAGCCTTCTTATCTATTGAATGGATATATGGGTTCGGGAGAGATGCTTCATGCTCTGTGACAAAGCTGAATTTGATTTGTGACCTTCGTACTATATGAGATTAATCCCTTATGAGATCGCTGTAATTTGTTTACTTAGTTAACTCCTGACATGAAATCAGAAGAATATTATCATAGCTAAAAGAGTGACCAATTAATCATGAGCGCTCCAACTGTTCATTTTTGAATAACATGACCTAATCATTATACAGATGCCGGATGTCCTACGTATTTGTCATCTCACATACCACATATTTCAGAAGCACAGAATACGCAGCATAGTGCACAGTTTGAATCAATGTAAAAAGATTACTTAGGAGTAAAGAGTTCCTATTTATGGAAGCCAAGGCAAAAAAAATCAATGATTGACCAGTTAATTGCTCAGAAAATATCGCAAGACGTGTCTGCTTTAGTTGAATAATCCTAAATTGAGTGATGGAATCCAACAGGTCATATAGATCACAATTAGCTGACCCTGAGGGAAAGCTTGAAGACTTTTGGTTTTGTTTGATTTCCAATGTTGGATAGTACAGCGCATGACCTTCAAGAGTGGAATGGTAGCTTAGATGTTTGAAGCTTGTCGTTGAAGGTTAGATGATGAGCTAGATACTTTTCAAGTTAGAGTAAACTGATTGACGCCTTGTCTCAAAAGATGAAATACACAGCTTTAATTACTTTCGTAAATCTAGGATACTAATAAGTTGTGCTTGTAGAGCCTTCAATACCCTAACATACGACGTTTACAACACGTTGGGGCCGAGGAATTTTTTCTTATGTGGTTTCGAGAACTAATTCATATGTATATTTGTATCTCGCAATAAGATTAGTGTTTTAGTAAGGTGCATATGACACATGACATGAGTTTTGAGACTTTTGAAAAAGGACACGAATTGAGAGACAATTAAATTACAATGGCCTAGAAAGGTTTTTGAACTGACCACTCAAGATAGCTGTCCGGTGAGAATGCGTTAGAGTAATTTCTGGGAAATGAGAAAGAGGAGACCAATAGTTGTAATTTGAACTTCGAACAAGCTTACTTAGAAGAGTATGCCTGGAGACTTCCATCATCTCAGATAATGCTAAAAGGAGAGGCCCTTCAAGCTTTGTATGGAATAATTAACGCCATAGATTTATTTCATGATTTCCAGACTCTTTCGGCAATTTTTGTCCGTATCCATAGCTACTCAAACAAGAAGTAAGTACCGGTTCATTAAAAGAACAGAGCATGTAACAGCATGTGGAAATTTACTAACCGTTTTTGAAGGGAGTTTATTGTCAGGAATAAAAAGAAATTGCTTCAGAGAAAAAACTCCGAGACCGGGAATTGAACCCGGGTCTCCCGCGTGACAAGCGAGAATTCTAACCACTAAACTATCTCGGACACAACATTTTCTCTTTGAGATCCATGATTTAGGTATCAGAAAGATTAGTATCAAAAAATCCAATATCAGTTGCAACCAGTCATAAATAGCATTTTACGGAATGCACTTTATATCATCGTCAATACATAAACGACCAAGTTGCTGATCTTTTTTTTTTTTATCAGGGCTTTCAATTTTAAAATTTAAAACCCTACAAAATTATTTTTGGTATTGTAATTTGTATTTATTGAATGTTTTCAATAACTTGTATTATACGATTTACGTGGCTCGCATGAAGTACCTTCGTAGCATATGAATTAGCACATGACCACTTTGTGTCTCTCAAGTCTTCAGGTTTCCCATGTATATATAGCTATAGCTGATTATCGAACTCAGTCATGCAAAGGACTCGCAACGATATCAGCCAAACTCACGTTTTTGCGATATCACTTGAATCCTTACTGCTCGTTGGTTTACAAAAGACCGACGTTCTTCATTCGATTTCGGAGCAAGAGTTAATTCAGTCGCTTTGTCCTTTGAATTGGCTGCAGCTCAGAGGATCTATCACATAGCATATATGAAATTTGCACTGTGACAAAGTAAGAGTGAGTTTTTTACTGAGGAAGTCACAAATGTTATAACGTGTCACTAACACCTGAGGATGGAGGTGAAAATAAACTGAATGTTGTATTCGTATGCATTTTCAGCCCTTGGCAGTTTTTGTTCAGGCAGATGATATATACTTACAACTGCCGATGACTTCACGCCAACATAGAAGAGCAAGGATGAACGGCAAGTAGTGAAACAATGTTAATATAATTCACGTTAGCAGGCCACGAAGATTACAGATATACAGACAAGCTAAAAATGTCGGGTGAGGGCTGCTTTGGTTGATTTTTGATTAAACCTAGTTAGTATTTTGTCAGGCGCTAACAGGCAACAGATTCCGAGATAGTTTAGTGGTTAGAATTCTCGCTTGTCACGCGGGAGACCCGGGTTCAATTCCCGGTCTCGGAGATTTCTTAATAATTCTTTTTGCTGACAATTTAACTAACAATCGGCACGTTGAATTATCAATGATTGTGTATATCGTATAATTTTTTTCGTAAGTCAAAGTGAACACGACAATTCCTCAAAAATATTCATAGAGGAAACCTGCAGGTCCAAATTACGTTTACTCGTTACTGACCAAGATGTGCAGTACACCGAAAGAGTGCCATGATTTTGTGAGAAAAAAAGAGACTTCCTTCGAACTCGAATTTCAGATTGTAAAGCAGAAGTTTCGTGACGTCAAATTGTTAGGAGCTTCAACTGGTACTAAACAATGTCATATTATCGAACAGCGCAGTTGCCACAACTTAAAGGCCTTTTTAGGTACTCCAATCAAATGTGTGATATACTTGTGCCTGCTCTTACTATTTATAGGCCCCGTGAGCGCGCTTCGATTCGGAGTCTGTATTCAACCCAGCGCAGGAAACGCCATAGATATATTCAAAACCGTCAACGATTACCAATCGCGCATTAATACAATGAACAAGCTGAACAAAAAAGAAAGGCAGATTTTAATGGAGCAATTCGAAACTGCCGTTACCACCTACATATCCTGCAATACCTGCCTGCGGTATCATTTGAGAGATCATCTTGAGGTAGATACGGAAAACATCAAACCATTCGAAATGAACAACATCCTGATCTCATTAGACATACATATCAATGAACCCATTGATGCTAAACTCCAGCAGCTCAACCTAAATGTCATTGATCGACACGGAAACACATTAAGACGCAAGAATAACCTGCAAGAGCAAAACGTACAGATGGTGGTTGACTTCCCTCTTTATGATCACGGGAATGATTACACACTAGAATATCTGGATCTTTGTTTTGAGAATATCAAAATTGATCAATCATGGAAATCGGCCCCCAAAGTCATTGAAGCTTATATCACAGTCAAGTTTGGAGTACCGGAAATATTAAAAACATATGAAGAGAACTCAAAAGAGCTGCTGACTGTCAAGTCAAAGCTCTTCAAAGTAGAAAACGAAGTGGATCAGATACTCACACAAATCAGACAAATGCTGTCAGATGAAAGTAAGTTAAGAAACGTGAATGAAGCAATTTTGAGCAACTTCTCATTGTTTGGTATTCTCATAGTATTCATTCTCATACTCTCCGGAGCAATGCAGCTATGGTGGCTCATCAACTGTATGAAGCAGAATAATCTTTTGTGAAGTAATTCCACTCACCATTAAGGAACTGGGACAGTTTATGTATATCCAAGATGAGAAGAAGCCTCAAACTAAAGATGCGGAGTGTCCGCCTGTACATTATTGCACTTCTATATTAAAAAACTTTCATCCTAATCCGCAAATCGTCTTTTACGTACAGATCATCTACTGAATGAAGGCAACAAATCTCTTGATTGTGATATCAAACGGACTCGGTCACGAATTTACAGAAAAACAGGGTGTTTATTGATAGCCACCAATCAGGATATCATTTGAGCTCAGGTTAAGCATATTACCCCTGGAGAGCATGATTTTTTTTTTTTTTTTTTTGACGTCTTAACCTTTAGCTTACGATGAAAAGGCTCTATAACGATTTTCGTGGGATGATTATATCGCGTTGCAGGCTAAAATATAGATTCATGCATAGAAATGTATTAACGACAAGTATGCAAGAGCAGACTATGATACATCCGTTATTGTTGAAGCGGGCAGATATGTTCAAAAGTGAACTCAAACAAATTGGAGATAAAATGTCTTCAAGCGCAGCCTTCAGTATTAGCGAATCAAAGAAGCTCACGAGGATTACACAAATTGTCGAATTGTACGATCAATTCGTAAAGCAGTCAGATAATATTTCTGGACTGAAGGAAATTTTAAGTGAACCAGACCTGGATGAAACTTTGAAAGAGGAGGCTGAACTTGAACTTAATATGACCCACGAGCAATTGGTACATACGTCCAAAATGTTGAAAGCAAAATTGTTACCACCAGTCCTACATGCTGATCGTCCGTGTTTGATGGAGCTCCGTCCAGGAGCAGGTGGGCATGAAGCAAATATATTCACGAACGATCTTTTGGAAATGTACATCAGATTTTGCCAGATTAACCATTGGCCTTTTGAGATTTTGTCCAAAAGTGAGCATATTTCAGGGAAAGGGATTGTGGAGGCAACTTTAATGATAAATGAGCAAGGGTCCTACGATAGGATGAGGCACGAGGCTGGTGTCCATAGAGTACAGCGCATACCAGAGACGGAGAACAAGGGGAGAGTTCATACATCGGCAGCCGCTGTGATTGTGTTGCCCAAGATAGAAGTTGACAAAAGTGATCCTGAGTATAAAAAGTTCAAAAATGACGAGTTACGGATCGACGTAATGAGAGCCAGTGGCTCAGGAGGCCAACACGTTAACACAACAGAATCTGCAGTTCGCATTACCCACTTGCCAACTGGTATATCTGTCCATATACAGGACGAAAGATCACAACTGAGAAACAAAGAAAAAGCATTGCAAATCTTGAGGGCCAGGCTTGCAGACCTTGAAATGAGACATCGAATGGCTAAAGAAAGAGAGCAAAGGAATGAACAAGTTTCTTCTGTGGATAGAAGCGATAAAATAAGAACATATAATTTTCCTCAAAGCCGTGTCACCGACCATCGTTGCAATTTTACACTTTATGATCTTGAGGGTTGTTTGTCAGGAGAACGTCTGGGTGAAGTCATAGACAATGTAGCCGGAAAGGAAACGAATGACCGGATAGCTGAGCTCATCTCCACAGTAGAGGCCAGCGCCTTGCATTAGTGTATATAGATTCCATGATTATTGAAAGCGTAAGGTTAGACATTGCTGATATTTATGTGGCTGTGCACATGTGATTATGGGTGGCAAAAAATTTCGAATAAATCAGTTAAAAATTTAGGTTGTCGAATACAACATAATAGAATTCACGAGTACAATGACACTTCCAAGACTTGAGGATGCTCGCACAGCAGCAAGAAATGGAAACATTCTTAAAGCTGAGCAAATATATAGCGAAATACTAGAGTTGAAGTCTGCAGATACTTACCACAGGAATGAAAATCTCATTGATATGCAAGAGACTGGCATCCAAGAACTCGGTGAGCTCTATCGTGATAACAACAATGAAGAGAAGCTGGTGGAGCTGGTTTCAAAAGCTCGCCATACCATGGGTGCCTTTGCGAAATCGAAAACAGCGAAAATCATCAAAAATTTGATTGATCTAATAGAGCATTCTAATTTCAGTGACGCACTTTCTGTGACAATCAAAACTACCATGGAATGTATTGATTGGGCAATTGATGAAAAGCGTACTTTTCTAAGACAGGCATTACAAATTCGCCTTGCTTCTCTCTTCTACAAAAACAAACAATACATGAAATCTCTTTCGGAGATAGCACCTTTGTTGAGGGAGTTCAAAAAGTTGGATGACAAATCTTCGTTGGTTGAAGTTCAACTTTTGGAGTCAAAGAATTATTTTCAGCTGAAAAATCATGCAAAGTCGAAAGCTGCAATAACGTCGGCCAGAACATCAGCCAATGCGATATACTGCCCATCACAATTACAAGCAGAGCTGGATTTGATGAGCGGAGTTTTGCATGCAGAAGACAAAGACTTCAGTACAGCATTTTCATACTTCTACGAAGCATTTGAAAATTATCAGATTCATTCAAATGAAGAAAAGACGATTAAGGTGTTGAAGTATATGCTCTTATGCAAAATCATGTTGAACTCAATTGACGACGTTAATTCTCTTCTGAATAATAAAAATGTGTCAAAATATGCGCAAGGAAAAGACATAGAAGCCATGAAGTCTGTCTCAATGGCACATTCAAATAGATCTTTGAAAGAACTGGAGGATTGCTTGAAATCATATGTGACTGAACTAACGCAGGATCCAATCATAAGGTCACATCTAGCAGACCTTTATGACTCTCTCTTCCAAAAAAACCTGCTGAAGCTTATAGAACCTTATTCTTGCATCGAAATATCTCACATAAGCTCGATGATAGGGCTCCCCAAGAACATTATTGAAAGCAAGCTGAGTAACATGATATTGGACAAAGTGTTTTATGGGGTCCTTGATCAAGGAAATGGGTGGCTGATCATTTATGAGGAGCCTTTCAAGGACGAAATGTATGATCTGAACTTGAACGTAATCAGAACAATGTCCAACGTTGTTGACCTCCTTTATGAGAAGGCTTCTTTACTAGAGTAAGACTAAATGTCAGTGCTATTTTCACGATCATCAAAATATGTAATTCTCACTGCTCACAGCACCAAACTTTCTCAAAAATGATTTGAGCTTACCAGCTGCTTTGAATACCTCATATAGTCTAAACTCGCTCGAGCTCAATAGATGGATTAGCTCCATTGCCCTTCTAATTAGCAAATCACTTGAATGTTCTTTGAAGGAAATCAGCAAGTTGAACGTCATGTCGAATAAAGCAGGTATGTATAGTTGTCTCAACTCCTGATAGATTTTACGGTCCTCAAGGGCAATGAACTGGTCGTTTGAGAGATCAAACAAAAAAGATTTGATAAGATGCTCAATGGAAGTCGATCTTATCAGTAAACTTTCAATAAGAGCCTCGGTCTTTATGCTCTCGGTGTCCATTTGAAACTCATTCAAACTTTTGAAATTCTCCGCAAATATCTGATACTGCATCAACTCATCAAGTTTGAAGGCTGGTATCACGAATAGTCCCTGCGGGAGTTCATTAATCCCGTCCAATGATTCGACCTTGTATTTGTATTCACGAATAACGTCAGGGATATTTATTGACTCAATCATCTCGATAGTTGCTTGGACCTTTCCACATAATAATAGCCTCCTAAGAAGGGAGACCATAGATTCAACACAGTCGCATAGCATCCCAGCATCATAGAACCAGTAAACTGTACTGAACAATTTACGATCAGAGTCCGTGACTTGTGAGCTGAGACAAATCTCTTGATCATGAATATACATATGCTGGGTGCATTTGAATAGCCTCGTTGCACTTTTTCTCAATATTGATTCTAATGGCAAATTGAGCTGTCTGATAGCTTTTAGCTGCTTGATTCTCTCACTTTTCTCAAATTGATAATGGGATAATAAATGTGAATATGTGTCCACTAAATCTTCATCGTTGGGGATGAAGGAAATATAAATTGGTAATAAGTCATAATGCTCGTAAAGGATCAGCCTTGAAATATAGGATCTCAGCAATTGGGTGTATTCGGTATTTGATATCAATTGATCACCAAATTTCAGCTCCAGAACTATCGCAAAATGGACAAGGACCCTCAATAAATAAGCATCACTAGTTAGTTCGAACGACTCGAAGCCTTCTGCCGACTGTAGCATTAAATTCTGAAGTGAGTCCAGGCAATTTCTCATCAGGGTCTCAACTTTGTTGGTCATTACAGACCCCATCAGAACACGAAGAGGATGCTGGCTTTGCTCTTTGATTGTTTGGTCTGAAGAAGATGCTAAAACATTCAATGCATCAGTAACGGTTTCCACAATTTTTGGTGGCCTGGGTAATCCAGAAGCGCGAAAATCCGACGATAAACTAAGAGGGAACTCTGATGCAACCATTGCTTGTTCTAGATCATGAATAAAAATATTGTTGAGGAAAATCAGCAATTTAGATTCCCAAGAGCGGGCCTGCTGTTCACACGAGGCAACGTCTCCGCAAAGAAATCCGTAGCATGCTCTCTCATATTTAGAAAAAGTACTCACTTGGGATAACTTGTACAGAGAGCGCCTCCACAAAATTGTATTCTTTACGCCTACTGGCTTTGCAGCATTGTCATCCAGTTCAATTTTGGGGTCGATATAGTCTTGCAAAGCTGTCAATATGAGCGACATACCCCAGTTATTTGTATTCTCACACAGTTGAAACAGCTGTGCTGTGTCTCCTGACAAAAGTAAGTTGAAACAGGCTTTATAAAAGGAATCATCATCACGTTTATCATCATCATGTAAATCAGCGCCAGAATTGGAGCGCAGATAAAAATCATCGTCAAGAAACATATGAGCAAATTTGGGATTGTTAGACTGAGTTTCAATTTTTGTGTTAAGCCATTTGGTTGCGGGCAGAGAATTCATATCAACTTTGTAATCATCCCTGATTATATCAAGTTTGAAACTCTTCGAGAGCCACTTCATCAGGACGTAAATTCTGGCCAGCTCAGAATCTTGTATTAAAGCGTTGTCTGACACAATTGATCTGGAAGTGAATTTGTTGATGTTTTTCGTCCTTAATACCTCTTCATTGCCATTAGATGAATCTTTGGCAAGTCTGTCTTGAAAAATTGTCTCTACCAAATCCCAAAATTGACTCTCTAAGATCCAATTCTCAATTATGTTTTGATCTGCATTCTGCTCGTAGGAATATAAAAGTTCCTGCGCTGAGAACTTACGGAAGTCTTTGATCAGTTCATTCACAAAACGGTGACCGAAATTCATTCTAAAATCTTTCAAAACTTTAGCAAAATGAATATGAACATTTGTATCTTCTACTTGAGGATCTAATCGAGGAATTTCGTCAGATGCATGGCTTGCAACAAGACTCTCATTAAACGTCGAATAACTGAGAGACATTTTGGTTGAAGGCATTGAATATTTCTTTATTTACCAGGATTATACGCTTACTTGCCCATAACAACATTTGACAGTTTTGAAGTGTTCGAATTAGAGTTAATATAGACATTTAGAAACATTCATTTTTATAACGCTACTGAACAATGGTCGAGGTCTCCCTTACCGTAGGAAAACTTGATGCATCACTTGCATTACTACTCACACAAGATCATCACCTGATTGAATTCCCCACCATTCTTCTGCCAGATGGGATATCGGCTGGATCTATTGTTAAAATTCATTGCGAAAGAGATCTCAAGCAGGAGGAAGCTGAGGATGCGACGTTTGATAGGCTGCAGGAAGAGATTTTTAACACTTTTGGCAAAAATGAACCCAAATGTCCTCAGCTTAAAATCGTGAACGTTACCCAAACTTCCTGCGTTCTTGAATGGGAACCATTGGAGCTGGGCACAGCTGAATTGAAATCTCTGACACTGTACAAGAATGGAACAAAGATTGGTCAAATAAGGAACCCTTTAACAAAAAAACACATTAAATTAAGTGGGTTGCCGGTTGACACCCAGTACAAATTCCATTTGAAGCTCGAGACCAGTGCTGGCAGCTATCTATCGAACTCTATTGAATTGAGAACTCACAAGATGACAGATTTAAGCGGTATAACTGTTTGTATTGGGGAGATTGATTTCAACGGTGAATCATTTTCTCTGCAAGACATAGAACAGTCGGTCAACAAGATTGGAGCAAGGCCGATATCAACGGAGGTGAAAATTGATACGACGCAATTTATATGTACTCGCAAGACGGGTTTTGAGTATGAAAAAGCGAAATCACTCAACATTCCAATCGTACGTCCTGAATGGCTGAAGGCCTGTGAACTCGAACGTCGAATCGTTGGTGTCAGTAAGTTCTACCTAGACTCTGAAAATCCAATTTGGAAGGAAAAAGAGTTCTGGGACTCAACTAGTTCCGAGATAGACCAAAGCCTAAATAAGCTGAAGACTGATAGCGCTAGTGAAGCTAATGAGAATTCAAGAGATAGGAGTGGAAATGACACAATTGATCCTAGGGAGATGTTTGAGGAACGGTCCAACGAAGAAATGGAGCCAAGTAATTCGAGAATTAGAGTCGAGGGGACTTCAGTCGACGCAAAGACTCTTGTAGAAGCGAAGGAGAAAGCACTTTCATCAGAAATTACCGAATCAAATTCTCTCACCAACACTGATAATGTCTCAAATCAAAAGGAAACTAAAAATGTTGAGGCAGAAGACAATGCTCATGATGCCATCGAAACTTCTGGAGAAATTAGGAAGCGGCATGATCACTCTTTAGGAGAGGTACAAGATCCAGACCCTAATCAATGTTTAGAAGAGGGCAAAATAGAAGCAAACTCTAGAGATTTGAGTCAGCCGTTCTTGAATGACAAAACAGACGTGCAAGGACCCGGCGTCTCCAATGACCAGCATGGAGAGTCTGATAATAATGAGGGAGAAGACGATGAGCATGCTGAATCCAAATTTGAACAGGTAGCCATTCGAAATTCGGAGGTGCCGACCGATGCAGAAATTATCAGTCCACAGTGTAATGCTCTAGAGTCTCCAAAAAAGCTTGACCAGAATCCATTAGGAGCAGAGGATCCACAAGAAGCATCCAGTCTCTCATCAGATAAGAAGAACATTGGCGGAAAAAAGAAGAAGAACAGAAAGAAAAAGTGAATAGGTCATGATCTACAATACAGTTTTGAGCTCTTATGAGTGAGTTCCAGCTGTTAGGGTTCTAAGTATATCTTATACAAATAAAATCGGCTTATTCACCAAATAACCTTCTCACTCTTCTCAAGACTGAGTCTTTTTCGGGGTCATATGGGTGATCCTTGGAAGGTATTTCCAATATGGCTGGAAAAGGATTCGTAAACGTGTCTATCAGTAACCTGATCTTCTCTGCAATATGCTGATTAATCAGAAGGATCGCAATATCATCTCTTTGAACAAATTGATTGAAGTATGATTCAAGTTCTTCTTCTTTTGTGTTATCAGTGCAAACCAGGAAGTTCTTTTCTTTATTTGGTTCATTTGACACCTGTCCTATTCCCGCTAGCAACATGCCTGTGATAGTATCCTCATCCCCCATGACTGCAATCAGTGTTCTGTTCTTATTTGCCTCCATAGTGAATGCTGTGCCCTTTACGTTATGAACAACACTATCTTGGAAATTTGGCAGTCATATTTTTTTTTTGTTTGTCTCTCGAAATTAACAAAGCTTGTAAGTTCAATGCTTCAGTTTTCATCCATATTCTGCAAGAGGCTAGTTGAGACTAGCAAGGCCAGGGGACTTCATTCATCAAGTCATTCATTGGCTGGGCATAGTAAATGGGCAAACATAAAGCATCGGAAAGCAGCAAATGATGCTGCTAAAGCTGCTATTTCCTTCAAGATGTCGTCGAAATTGACAATGCTTGCCAAAATAGGTGGAGCAGATTTGTCCAAAAACATCCAACTCAGTAATGCTATCGATCAAGCAAAATCTATGAACATACCGAAAAGGGTGATTGAGACCGCCATAAAAAGAGGAACGGGAGAGCTCAAGTCTCAGGATAAAATGGAGACAGTTGTATATGAAGGTATGGCACCTGGTGGGGTCGCAATAGTTGTTGAGGCAATAACGGATAATAAAAACAGAACATTGGGGTTTCTCAGGCCCTGTTTCAACAAATACGGTTTGAGCATGACTCCTACAAGCTATATGTTTGATAGAAAGGGAATGATTTTGATTGATATAGGACAGGCAGATTTCGATTCCGTTTTCGAGAAGACTTTAGAGCTGGGTGCTGAGGATATACTAGAAGTTGATGAAGAAGGTAATCTCGTGGAAGTGATTACTGATCCCGCAGAATTCGGAAAGATTGCAAATGAGCTGAAAAATCACTACAAGATTAAGGAGATGCAAATCGGTTTTATGCCAAAAGCTGAAATGGCAGCTCGCATTACCGATGAGGAGACAAGAACCGTTTACGAGAAGTTTATCGCAAGTATAGAAGATCTTGATGACGTTACACAAATTTATACCAATTTGAAAGATGACAAAAGTCAGTGATGTTTGCTAGCTACTAAAACTTGATTGGCACAAACCTAGAACACCTTAATGTAGCATTGATGTAGTGTATAAGAAAATTTGTTCATAGTGCTTCACTCTTGTTTGCTGATAACTTCCTCCAGCTTGTCGTCAAATTTGGGGACCTCTCTCCCCAGCTTCAACGTTTTGTCTGTTCTCAGCTTCTTGGAAGAGAAGTAGATAGCGGAAACGCATGCCATTCCACAGGCTGCGAACAGAGGGTATAGTTCAACTGGAATGCTTTTAAGGAAGGAGCTAGATTTCTCAATATGTTAGTCAAATGACAACTTGACAAGGTGTACTTACAGCAGCGTTGAATGTTGGATTGGTTGGTCTCATTATTGTGTGGGTTCAATGCTACTTGAAGTCGAAGAATTCCTGATGCCGACGAAAAAACAAATCAGTTTATTAATTGCACGATTTCAATTTATTGAAGGACCAATCAGCAAATTTTAGTTAGTCTTATTTTTCCGGGTTATGAGCTCCGTTGAATTAATCCAAGGTCAAACGATAATAGACACGTCGGTCACAGTGCACATAACCCCATTACGTACCAAAGTTCATCAATTCGAAATTTGAGGATAGGGAGTCCGTGGTAGTCCTGTCAAAGTTTCACATTAGATACCAGTATAGTTCTAGTGAGCTAAAATCTGGCTCATTTCAAACTTAGATGACTTCAAGAGGAAACCAGTTGAACAACTCATCAGGTTCCAAACTTACTGGGGGTAGTCAGCACCGTCGTACAGGCTCCAAAACTTGGTCACACATCAATGTATCTTCGGCACCTAATTACAATGCGTCCACATTCGTCCCCAATGGAAGAAAGAATAATAGCACTGCTCAGGCGGGCACAGCTCAAGAACATCAGGCCGCCTATCATTTAGCAAATGCAGCCCACGGCCAAGAAGCATCATTAAAGCATATGAATGATCGATTATTGTTCGGGCTTATCAGGAGTATTGGCTGCAAGAGTAGAATCACTACCAACTCTGGAGCTACTTATGATGGAATTTTATATACTAGTGGTGACATCACGGACTCAGGAGTTGCTATAGTGCTGAGATACCCGCAACTAAAAAAGAGTTCTTTTGCTTCGTCAGAAGAAGAGCTTAAAATCAAATTTGAGCTCCCGGAGACGCTGATTATTTCGGAGAAAGATATTTCAAAGATGGAATTTGAAGACGTGGATTTCGAGGCTCTTGAGGAAGCTGAAAGACCGAGATTGCATACGTCAGGCAGAAGTTTCAGGACAGACAATGATATATCGGCTGACTTTGCCTGTCATGAAAGAGAATTACAAAAATGGGTACCAGATGAAGATATTGATGTAAGATTGACTGAAAGTTTGGAAGACGCTGACTCGAACGTCCATTGGGATCAATTTGAGGTGAACGAGCGTAAATTTGGTATCCAATCTACTTACGACGAGGATTTGTACACCACCAAGATTCCTAAAAATGCTCCAGACTATGAACAAAGGTTGAAGGAAGCCGAGAAGATAGCTAGGGAAATTGAGTCTCAAGGCCACAATGGTAATATACACCTTGCTGAAGAGAGAGGGATTATAGTAGATGATAGCGGAGTTGACGAAGAAGACAAATATTCAGGTGTTTCCAGAGAACCTGCCTCTCAGAGTGAGGGCGATGCATTGCTACTCGGAATGTTAAGAGCTAACACCAAAGATCACAGAATTGAGGCAAGACTGACTGCCCCAGGGAAGTACGTACCTCCTAGACAGCGTGCTGCCAACTTTCATGGTGACCCTGCCATAGTTGCCAGCTCTGGCACTGAACAAAAAAGTGATGGTACTTTCGAGTCACCTGTGGGCTTGGATGCACTTGACCAAGGCCGCAGTGACCACCAAGCACAAGCCTCTCACTCTGAACGTCTGAAAAAAACAGTGAATGAAAGCAGCAAGCTTATTCATCAAAATGAAATCAATTCTTTGCGCGAGTTCTCGGCAACCTTTAAAGTGCCATCAAGAATACCTCCAGATTTACTTCCTATACTTTCGAGGGATAAGGTCAAACAGAATGAGATAGTGAAAAAGTTGGAAACCAAAGACAATGGAAAAGATCAAAAGAATGAAGAAGGTGATGGTCACCCAAAAATTGCAGATACTACCACTACTTCTAAAACCCCCACTCCTATATTGAGTAAGAAAAAGATGGACCCCAGAACTGCTCCCACATTCAAGATGAACCCAAATTCGGTCCCTTTTTCTCCAAGTTTTGCATCTTCAAGAAGCTCCCCAGCTGTAAACTCAGGTGAGATAACGCAATCTCCGCAGCAACGCAACAGGAAGGAGGTGGCATCTTTCTTCCCTACTGGTAAATCGCCAAAGGAATTGGGAATTTATCATAAGTCTGGAAACTTCTTCAACGTCAAATTCAACGTTCTTATCAAAGCTCGGATCGAGTATGAGGAGAAAAACGAGACAAAAAACGTTTTCATTATCAATATCGAAAAGCCTTTTGCGACTCCTCCAACTTGGCCATCGACCGTTGAGGAATCATACAAAATGGCGTTTTCAAAACAACCTGAATGGACTGGCTCTCCAGCTACAATACCGCCTATGCAAAAAAGGTTGTATCAAGTCTCAGCTCAGCCATTCCCGATGATGGCTCCGCCACCTCAACAGCATCCACCAGTGCCTCAACCTGTAATGATGCCACAGCCTATGCAAATGGATCCTCACAATATGCACATGCCACAACCCACTTTTGTCGTTCCTCAATTTCAGCAGCCTCAGTTCATTCCCTTTTACCAGCCGCCACCAAGCGTTCCACAGATAGCCTATGGAATCCCTCAAAATCAAAATGTTGCGAGTGGTGCTATACCCGTATCAATGAGGCAGCAAGGGCATAGAAATTCTAGGAACCATCACTATAATACACAGCAGCAGCTAAATGCTAGGGGCGGAAATGGCTATAAATTCTAGAAAGATACAGGGATCGTTTGGTCTCATACAGAATGTTGGGTTGGGAAATTAAAGAAAAGTATATGGTGTTCATCAGAACGTTGTAAAGCAGTAAGTCTGCAACATAACACCTTTGCCCTTTAAAAAAAATAATTTTTTTGATTTCTAAGTTTTGATTACACAATGTCACTCTACAGGGTATTAGGGGGTATCTACATAAGCTCTGCAGAGCCCCTTTACGAAGGTTTGGATATAAGCATGGAGCACGGAATAGAGCATGTTATTTCGGTACAGAAACAAAGTGTACCTGAGTCTTATACCAAAACTCCTTATCGTCATCTTCAAATTCCAGTGGATGATGATGAAACGACTAATATAATAGCATTTTTTGAGCAAACTAATCGTTTCATATGTTTTGCACTTTATGGGAATCCCGACCAGATACCAAAGACCGCAAAACTAGCCAAGCATAAATCTAAGATTTTAATACATTGCAATGCTGGGTGTTCTAGATCTCCAGCAATTCTGGCAGCTTTTCTGATGAAATACTATCAAATGAGCTTGAAAGTTGCACTTTATGCAATGAGACGAGTTAAGCCAAATGTTCGCCCGAACGATAACTTTTTACGTCAGCTGAAACTATACGAAGAGCTACGTTGTCAGGATAACCCGAAAATTCTGAGTAGTATTCCAATATACAAGCAATTGGTATTGGAACTTGGCTGCAATAATTATGAGGATATTCTTGAATCTGACGACTTATACGGGGATGAAGCGACAAATGTTGACGTATCGAGTGTTTTGAGGTGCAAGAGATGTAGGCGTATGCTTGCAAATTCAACGTCATTCATACCTCATGAACCGCCATCAGGTGACAAAGATAAGCAAGGGTTTTTCGTTAAAAATGCTTTCAAATCACAGAGAATCACCAACCTCCAAAGGGGCGCTAGCGAGTGTACACATTACTTCGTCGAACCGCTCAAGTGGATGCAACCAGAATTATCGTTGAGCGAGCTGGAGGGGAAATTTCTTTGTCCCAAATGCAATGCCAAAGTTGGAGCGTATTCATGGAGGGGCTCTCGTTGTAGCTGTGGGAAATGGATGGTACCAGCAATTCACTTACAAAAAGCTAAGGTCGATGAAATAAGCCTGGGCAAAACTAGCTCGCTCATACGAGATCCCATAGCTTCCCTGACGGATGAGGATGGGTAATTATTCTATAGTCATGTCATAATCAGAAGACCTAGAGGTATTTGCGCGAACATCCATTCTCATCCCTGGTGACCTAAGACAAGGACTGTCCTGTAAGTCAGCATGGTAATGGGAAAACATATATGGAGTTTGTGGAGATGTGTCACCTGTTGCAGTTTCATTACCTTCCCGACCAGCATGACTAGTTCTTATCTGGTTTGATGCTGACGTTTCAGTCGTCGTCGTTGCTGACGTAAGAGGCCCAGAATGGAGCAGTACGTTATCAGTCGCAACATAATCTGTCGGATGGTTTGGATCACTTTCAACTGGGCAGCCAATTGAAATGCTATGATCATCTTGATATTCCTCAGAGGCCATAAATGCTTCGGGATCATTTATGACAGCGTTGTCATCCTCATGCGTAACGCCGTCGTTGCCCTCGCTGCCATCAGCACCATCTTCATCATCACCATCGGTGTCGAAATCCAGAGAGTAGGCATCATTGTTTGGGATATCAGCATCAAGATCAGCTTCTGTATTATTGTTCAGATGAAGGGAGTGAGTGAGTTCCTCAACACTATTACCAGCGATGTGGTCCACCTCTTCGTCTTCACCTACAGCTGTGAACGCATCCCCACCTTCGAAGTTAATTGGATCATCGTCGTGATCTTGTTCTTCAGATAATTGCTTCATGCTTTTTCCAAGCCCCATTGGTTTCAGATAACTATAGCCAACTTTGCTGAGGTCGCTGAGATATCTAAGATCTCGAGATATGGAAGTTGCCAAATACTCCAACGTGGTATTGCTGGCTTGTTCAGAAGGCAATATTGACAACCCGCTAGACTTATCTGACATTCTAATCGGGGTTGGAAATGCAGGTGAATACGAAGACAGTGGAGGAAATCGGCTTGTACTGATTTCAGATTCTATGTCCTGTGATTTTGTGGATTGCCTTGTGTTAGACTCTAGCATCCATAAATGATGTGCATCACGAGGAATCAAATCTGGTAAATACATTAGTCAAAAAGCTTGAATGATAAATAAACATTTGAGCAGACGCTCAAACCCGATCAAATAATGAGACATTTAATTTTTTTAAGGGTCTATTTACAAGAGCTAAACTAAACACCTTTGCACAAGTCAGGCTGTTAAATGTCTTTCTTCGCCTTGAAAAAATCTATCCCACTGTCCTTTTTTGTGAAGCATCGCGAGGACTAACACCACAGGCAATTGCCATATAGAACTCCAAAAAGTCTTCTTAGCATAATAGTTGGCTAGATCGACAGCTTTCTGAGACGGACCACCAGTCTCCTGAACTTTACGCGAGTAGTTCAAACGTTGTTGCCACCAGAATTTGAAAGACATGTATGCCATCCATCCATTCAAAACACTAGAGTCGAGCATAAACAGTGGATCGGTGACGTTGTAGTAGCATAGTCCAAAACAAATAAAAAACATCAGTATTGAGTACCTCAAAGCAACTCTAGCGTTCAGCTTTGGATTCTCGTAAGCTGCCATGACGTATCCTGCACGCTTATATTCATCACGAATGTTATGACTTAGGGAATTAAAGTGCGGAAATTGCCACGCGTACAATAGTAAAGCCAAACACCATGCACCTGGATCACTCAAACTTGAACATGCGGCCCATCCCATTAAGGGCGGAATGGCCCCCACAACTGCACCAACCCAGGTGTTCAAAATTGACACCCTTTTCAAAGAAGTGTATATCCATGAATAAAGGAGAATGTTGGTGAGTCCCAGTGCAGCAACCACTGGATTCACTCCATAGAATAATATTGTGCAACCAAGCAAACCAGTTATCGATGCAAAGGTAAAGGCCTCATTAGGTGTGATAGATCCATTGACGACAGGGCGCGCTTGCGTTCTTATCATCAGCCTATCGAATGCGGGTTCTCTTGCCATGTTGATAGCATTAGCGCTTCCAGAAGTCATCAATGTCCCTAGTGTTAAACAAACAAATTCTGATAAATTCGTAGAATTAGGAGCTAGAGCATACGAACAAATGGATGATAACATGATAAGAAATGTCAGTTGAGGTTTTGTAAGTGCCAAATACGGAGCGCATAGCTGTTTCAACTTGGGGCTTTCGTCGTGTAACGCGCGTTGTAGAACCGACGACTTCTTTGCAGTTTCAGCTTTTGGTTTGACCTCAAACGGAATATGCGATATGTTAGGTCGAGGATGGCAGGCCAAAGCGGATTTAGCGACTGATTTGATGACATTTGTAGAATCCTCAGAAGCCAAAGCGGGAATTGACTTTGATGTATGCCGTAAATTTAATAGTTTACAGTTTGGATCAAACTGTAAATTTAGCTTCTTAGTTTTGCGCTGGACGTCTTTGTGGTCAAAGTTTATGGCAACGTTATTCAGCTGTTCATTTGAGTAATAATACAGTCTTCGTGAAATTTTGGTAAATGGGGTTTTCATAGTTGACTGGAACACAGTGATTGGACTCCAACATACATTGGTATTTGATAATAAAGGTATCCCCGAGACTTGTAATTTCCACATCATTCTTAATTACAGAGGCTTAAGAGAGCCGAAGTATAGTCAAAGTTGGGCCTGTTTTTTGAGTTTTGCAAGACATGCATTTTTTTCAGGTTTCTCTGACGGGTAACGAACAAGATTACGATAACACAGGAAAACGGAGTGATATTTTATTTCTATCTAGTTTCAAGATCTATCAGACTCAACACCTTCCATCGCATTGTCATCAGTGTTATTAGCCTTAGATAGCCCTGAATCGTTTAAGTTTGCTTCATTCGATTTCTTGTTTTGTATCTTGTTTTCGATCAGATCATTAAACGCTATGATTGATCTGACTAGGCTGCTTACGTACAAAATCATAAGCTCGTCATTCGTTTTCACGTTGAAAGCAGTGGTTAGATGCTTATTCTCCGATTCACCTGATTCCTGATCCAAAAGGTCTGCAGAGAATGCGCTAATGTTTGGCAGTAAGTTGAATATGTCTTGCAACTTACCCAAAATAACATGGTTCACGGGTAACCTTCCTGTCCTTATTTTTGTCAGATAGCCAACAATAGTGAGGAGCCTTTCCTTGAGTGAAGAGAGTGATTTAAAATTATTTGTGAGCCTAATTGATAAATTCCCGCAAGCCTGATCTCTAATATCTCTCAATAGATGCTCAACACCTATCTCCTCAGCTTCTTCAGCCAAAATAGTTGAGGGCAAATGTATAAAAGTTTTTTCACTTGATGATCCATCCTCCTTGATCTCTTCAATTGAGGTGTAACAGTCAGTTGGGATGTCAATCTTGTCAGTTGAATTAACATCTACAATCAATAAGAGGGGAGAAGGCGTGAATTTTTTGAAAATCTCGTTTATTTTGAGGTCGCTGCTTTTGAGTTTGGGACCTGAATGATACCATCCTATCAACTTCTCTTTAGCATTGATTTTTTTGAACATCTCAAGCATGTTTTCGATGAAATTATGATCCAGAAACCAAATATCAGGGTTCTTCTCATCCTCCTCAAATGGTATGGCAAATGAATTTGTGACTTTCAAAGAATTCCTCTGTGTATTATCACCAAGAATGACACCCACAACTCTTTTTGTTGACCCCGATATTGACGATGTAGTGGATTTCATGACTCTTTCGTAATGATCCACCACGGACAAGAGTACTAAGGGCGCCACAGACACTGTGGTCGAAAGCATATTAGCCGAACTCGAAGACGAAACAGGGGACATCGTTTATGGGATGGTACAATATTTTGTTTAGCGAAAATTGGTGGCAAACTTCAGTCTTATATGAACATCTTTACACCACTCAAATAACTAAGACTGACGTAGCTTGGCGGAACGGCGGCGTTACAAAGTATATAAGGACAGTCCTGATATGAATCCAATTGGCTCAGACTCTCATATAACCAGGTCTTGCAATCGGGTGTCTTCTAAATTACACGATGAAAAATACCTGGAATAGTCAGGTACTATCGGATTCCAATGCACATGCAATTTATTCAACAGAAAAGTCCTATGAAATTTTGTTAACTTCTGATATCTACGACTGTTGAAATGTTTATGAGATCTAGAGCATTGACAGAGAATCACAAGATTTTGAACAAGCCACTGACACGTGCATCATTGAATGCACTTAATCAGCAGCAGAAGGGCTTCAATCGCAATATTTCTAAGATTCCTCGTCCTCACCGAAACATACATTACGCGAAAACGTCACTATATGCAGTCGCCACTTTTAAGGTGTCGCTGCAGCGGTCAATTGGTACCTACTATGGAACCACAAATGCAAACTTTATAAATGGCACTAAAGAACGACTCAAAAAACGTCAGTTCTCGACCAAAGCTAGATTTTCATCACGACTAAAACGCGTCAAGTTTCGCTCCTGGTTCACATTGACTTCAGTTTCTCTCATCTTTTTTGGTGTTGTGGCCAGAAATCTCATTGAGGATGATGATACCCGAGAATCAAAGGAATCAAAGGAAAAGAGATCTCACAACATAGGATCGTGGCCTCTATATATGTACTCCAGACTTCCCTTGAATTCACTTTCTAGGCTTTGGGGACAACTGAATAGCATCAGCCTTCCCGTATGGTTGAGGGGCCCCAGTTTCAAGCTCTATTCGGTGATTTTTGGCGTTAACTTAGACGAAATGGCAGATCCTGATCTTACACACTACAAAAATCTGGCCGAGTTTTTTTGTCGGCCGATTAAATCAGAAAGAAGACCCATCGACACTTCTGCGACACTTTGTTCTCCATGTGATGGCAAGGTTTTAAAGTTTGGCATCGTTGAGGAAGATGGTGGGATAGAGCAGGTGAAAGGAATAACGTACAAAGTTGATGCCTTACTGGGCACGCACGATGCGCCAAAAGTTGAAGCTCCTCCTCAACAATTTGATCCAAAAGAAGCCGAAAAAGAAGCCCACTTTATTGACTTACATGGAGATATCAAGACTCTGACCTACAAGAAGGAAGGCGACCAGTCTTTCATCCATCCTTCGACTTCGCGTATTTTGTCTGTTTCAAGAACTATGGTTGGTGCTGAAGGACACAAAGAAACCAACAAGTTGTTTTATGCAGTCATATACTTAGCACCAGGAGACTACCATAGATTTCACTCGCCCGTTGAATGGGTAGCAACATTAAGGAGACATTTTGTTGGCCAGTTATACTCAGTTGCACCGTACTTTCAACGGACTTTACAAAACCTATTCATATTAAACGAGAGAGTTGCAATTCTTGGGTACTGGAGATATGGCCTCTTCAGTATGACTCCTGTCGGAGCGACTAATGTTGGCTCCATCAAACTGAATTTCGACACCCATCTCGCAACGAATGAAGTTTACGAGCATGAAATATATTCTAAAGACAAATTAAATGAAGCATTGACTGAGAAGTACAAGGTTCGGGAGCGCAAGAAGTTGAAAAGGGATACCTGCTATGAAGCGACTTATGCGAATGCGTCAAAGCTACTTCATGGAATTCCTTTATTTAGAGGAGAGGAAATGGGCGGCTTCAAACTTGGATCTACAATTGTATTGGTTTTTGAAGCTCCCCCAAATTTCCAGTTCGACCTCCAAGAAAATCAGCAGGTGCTGATGGGGCAAGGCATTGGTAGATTAGGAAGTTAAGTATGGCTGATCATAAAACTTTCAATACTACTCACTTCTATTAGAAAGCTTCAGCATATATTTACAAATGGGCGGTGCAACTTGGGTTTTCTTGCACCCGAAAGAATGAATCCCGAAAAAATCAAGCGAGAATATTTTCAGCTTACAAGTAGATACCATTCAGCTGTGCACTATCTACAATAACCATGCTGCCATCGCTAGCACCATGGAATGCAGCATTCACCAGTGCAGTGGCCTCCGAATTAGAGACTGAGCCATTTATTCCATTTTCATTTTCCAATGTTGGTGAACATGGAATCCCTCACACCAGAACTTGTGTATTCAGGGGTTTTCTTTTTAACGATACCAAAACTAATGTCCTTCTTTTCACATGCGACAAAAGATCAGCGAAGTTCAAAGACCTCATCAAAAATTCCAATTTTGAGGCATGTTTCTATTTCCACAAGTCTCGCAAGCAATTTAGATTTAGTGGAGCGGTTAGGGTGATAACGAATGAGAGACATCCCATCATAGACTTGAGCAATTTATCTACAATATCGAGCTCAAAAGAGAAATCAGGCGAGTCAGAGATTAAATTAAACGATACCGATCTTGTTGTGGAACAAGAACACGATTTTTACTCCATTGGGCTCGACAAAGTCGGAATTGATGAGCCTTTGATGTACAAAATTGTATCCCCTTCGCAGACACAAAACATGAACGTGAGCACCTTATCGCTATGTGAACTGAACACAACGATTCATGCTCCGACCGAGGAGGAATGGAAAGCCGAAAGACAAAGATGCTGGAATGATCTCTCCAGAAGTTTGAAGAGATCCTTCAAAAGGCCTCTACCAGGATCATTGCTAACAAGCGAAAAGTACAGACTGCTGGATTCGATCAATAGGGGCGTTGATGGAACATCATCAGGCCAGGAAAACTTTGTCGTGGTTTGCATGTTTGTCAAGGCTGTGGATTTGGTGGAACTCACGGGTGGCGTTGATAAGCGCTACCTGTATAAAAAAAGTTACGATATCGATGTTTGGAAGGAATATGAGGTGTGTCCTTGATCAACTGTTTGGACCTCTTTTCTGCAACGAGAAGCACTCATCTCAATACTCCAGAATTACCCTGATTTGTAAAAAAAAATTGGCGGCTCATTTGCTGCAGGTCCTTCCTATTTTATCATGCCGCTTGGACTAAGTTGGACCATAGCCGCAATCTAAGTAATGCCGCTATTTTAGATCTGGCTATATATATATACTCTGAATTCTCAGAAACTAGAAACGCAATTGAAAGTCAATCATGTCCTATACAGAGAAGTTCTTCAAAGAAGAACCGTCTGCCCCAAAGATTGTTACAGATTCCATTCCCGGTCCAAACGGTCAAAAGGCAATCAAATCACTCAACGAAGTATTCGATGCTAGATGTGTGTACTTTTTAGCTGATTACAAGAAGTCCATAGGAAACTACATCGTGGATGCAGATGGCAACACATTGCTGGACTGTTACGCCCAAATCGCTTCCATTCCACTTGGATATAATAACCCTGAACTCATCAAGGTTGCTAGATCCGACGAAATGGTTTCTGCTATTGTCAACAGAGCTGCATTGGGAAACTTCGCGGGAGTTGAGTTTGAGGAAGTCCAGAGAAGGCTCTTAAAATATGCACCTAAGGGTCAAAAGTATGTGTGGAATGCTCTCTCGGGGGCAGATGCCAACGAATTGGCATTCAAGGCTGTCTTCTTCAATTACCAGTCCACGAGGAGAGGGTTTGATAAGCCTTTTTCGGCCGAAGAGGAGAAGTCTTGTATGGAAAACAAAGCTCCAGGTAACCCCGAGCTTGCAATCCTGTCCTTTGGAAGAGCTTTTCATGGAAGACTATTTGCTTCCGGATCAGTGACCAGATCCAAGCCAGTTCACAAGATGGATATGCCATCTTTCAAATGGCCAAAAGCAGAATTTCCCTCCTACAAGTATCCATTGGAAGCTAATGAGGCATTCAATCAAAAGGAAGATGAGAGATGCTTATCAATTGTAGAGGAGTTTTTCAAAACATGGCATTGTCCTATAGCTGGTGTTATTGTCGAACCTATCCAATCTGAAGGTGGCGATAATCATGCGTCTGCTGTATTTTTCCAGGGTCTACGAGACATCACGTTGAAGTATGGCGCCAAGCTGATTATTGACGAAGTTCAAACAGGATGTGGTGCTACTGGTCTCATGTGGGAACACGAAAGATACAATATCACTCCTCCTCCAGACCTTGTCACCTTCTCCAAGAAGATGCAATCTGCAGGTTACTTCTTCAACGACCAAAAGCTCATTCCAAATATGCCTTATAGACAGTTCAACACTTGGTGCGGTGACGAGAAGCTGATCATGTTGGCTGCAGCCATCTGCAAAGAAGTACACGAAAAGAATTTACTGACCTCAATCAAGGAAACTGGCGACTTTTTGTACCAAAATCTCGAGGATCTTCAGAAGAAATATCCTCGTTACTTACAAAATTTAAGAGGGAAAGGGAAGGCTTGTTTCATCGCTTTTGATATGCCATCCCCAGAAAAAAGAACAGAGTTTTTGAACAAAATGCGCATCTCTGGTGTTAATATTGGCGGCTGTGCGGAGGTTGGTGTGAGACTCAGACCAACCTTGGTGTTCGAGAAAAAGCATGCACAAATTCTAGTGGGTATCCTTGAAAAAGTTCTTGCAACCCTGTGACCACATAAAAATCGAGAACGGAAAATGGTAGTGCTTTTATTCGGTAACATCAAAAAAAAAAAGGGGAAGTATCCCTCAAGCGCCATCCTCACAAGTTTTATACTAGCATTATTTCAGTTTCAAAAGATGAGGGAATACACGTTATCAGATATACTTGTCTTCTTAATCCTAGCTTTCATATACATGTCATCAAATTATACCTTTGGCAATACAGTAAGGTTTTTTGTTAATCACTACAACTTCTGTAAGTAAATCAAACCTTCAGACACTAATTCTTAGTTCTCAACTTAGTTTCTGAGATAATTGTCTACGGATTCATAGAGCCACTAAATCAGAAGAACAAAGTCCACAGACAAGGGACCTTGAATCAGTATGTGTTACTGAGAGTTGTCAAGCATTTTTTACCAGAGATCACGGATGAGAAGAATCCAAGCTATTCTTTGGTGGCGAACCCTGTCTGGAAACGTTTCTATGATTATCGTTCAATTATCCAGGCTTGGAATGGAATTGAGCTTAGTTTTTACGAGGAGGTCAAGGAGAATAATTTGAAAGGTAATTGGATCAAGAAAGTTCAGTGTCAAAACGAGACTCCGTTGGAACCTGATTTAGTGATATATTATATTCCAAACATCTTAATCATGTCAAGCACTCCACATTTTTACACTGAATATTTAACTACATTGCACTCGCTACTGTTATTGCAGGGATTCAAAAATCCCCTTATTTTTGTTCCCCAACTAAAAAATGTGCATAAATGTGAGCTCTCGGATCACTTAGTCACAGTTGTACAGAATTGGCAAGAGATTACAACCACGTATGAAAATGCCAAGTGGATAATTGCAGGGGATTCTGCTGGTGCAAGCCTTGCCCTCAGCTTTTTACTTTTCAGAACTGATCCCGATTATAGCATTTTCAAAAAGGAGGGAGAGAGAATTGAGGAGACTGAGGACATTGAACAAAAGTCCCAAACAGTCAACAAGCCAATACCCCAACCCTTCGGAGCCCTATTGATTTCCCCTTTACTAAAATACAAAGGAATATCCATGAGGATATCTGAAGATACTTGTCCCGACTTTCTGACGACAGATTTCATTAACCGGATCTCGCAACGTTACATACCGTCCCACCTTCCAGAATTAGGTGCCATTCATAGTCCCGGATTTTGCAATAATCCGAACACTTGGGAAAAAAGCTTTCCCGAAAAAGGGATCATCTTGACTTGGGGGGCAGAAGAGCTTTTGCGTGATGAGATCGAAGAATTTGGCAATACCTTGGCGATGGCCGGCAGCACCAAGTTGTGGAGAATGAAAGGCGGAGTCCATTCATGGCCTTTCGCTTTCTTCCTAACGGAGGAGGCCCAAGACGAGAAAGAAGATAGCTGTTTCGTTCTTGCAGGAATCATTTCTCGAATGACATTATGGCACACGAGATATTATCTTGATCCCGAAAAGTCCAAAGAGCCTATGAATTTGCTTACAATTGATGATGATCATCTATGATTTTCTTCGCCCTGTTCCTTCACTGCTGAGCACTAGTTTGAGATCTACCCGTGGTAATAGAAATTACATATAAATCGCAGAGATAACTAAAGAATTATCTTTGACTTTGTTTTTTTGGAATGTGCGGCTCAACGAAAATTTTTATCCCTTGAATTTTTTTTTTTTTAATACTAAAAAAACTGAAAATTGTAAAAGAAAGTTCTTGACTCCATTCTTCCCCGAGCATTCACACTGCAATAGATAGTCATTATGAATTTCATAACTGCTCGCCAGCAAGCCAAGCGACTATCAGTATATGCTTCAAAGGGTAGAAGATTTGTGGGTGCTACAAAATCACGGAAGGCGACGTCATATGCCAATCAGACCTTTGGGAAGGGCCCACATCAGACAACTGCTATCCTAAATTCTAACAAGGTTTTTCGCAATCAGAAATCGGACCTTGAGGAGATTCTGCTCTCGTCTTCCGTTGATAATGTGCTTACGCCTAGCTCTAGCGAATTTTTCAAATCATGGAGTCTTTTTGAAGCTTGTTTGTTCTCAAAAGACTACGAGAGAGCTGATTTAATATTGCAGAGCCTGGCATCCTTGAATAACGCTTCAGATCCGAAAAACCCGCACAAATATTTTCACGATGGAATATGTGAGTTTCTCGCTACATGGGGCCGCAGCGAAGATGTGTCAATGGCGGATGTGGAGTGTTGGTTGAACACGTTCACTGCTTTTGATTCATCAGTCAAGAACGAGCCCAGAATTATCGCTTGGATCATTAAGCTAAAGTTTGAAAAAAACGCTTCTCTTGCTGACATTTTTGAAGAATTTGATCAGTACAACTTGAGGAAGTTTCGCAACAAAAGGGCTGATATATTAAGGTATGTTGACGTGATAGGTGTCAACAACGTCAGGACATTGCTTTCTGCAGACCCGACATTGGTTACCGAGCTTCCCTCAGAATATGAAAAGTTTTTCAGTTTATTGATGGGGAAGGAAAGTGAAGATGGCAGTACTGTCTCGGACATTCATCCGACTGGTATGGATCTGGAAACAATGGCAAATGCAAGTCACGAAAATATAGAGAACCATCCACACGAAAATCCTGCTCAAAAGGATGCGGCAGAAAGCAGAGCACCAGCAATAGTGGACAATCAGATGGATGAACTCATTCCTGTTTCTTCATTCAATTTGAGGGCAATCAGACATACACTTTTAGGGTTAGTGGATTCCTACAATGGAGATGGACAATTCCTAGATAAGTTCTTTGCTCTCGCCAAGCAGGAGAAGCTGGACATCGATTATGAGAAGTATGAAAACTTAGAAACAAAACTTGATTTTTTTGAAATGAAATGCGCATTACCCTTGGAGCAACACGAGAAATTTGATATCATTTTAGACATTGTTTCTGAAGAGCGCCAGAAGAAAGTGGAGTCAAACAGCGTTGAAGCTGCAAGACTCAAGTGGGAACATGAATTTGAAAATATAAAGGACAAAAGCATGCCAGCCTCCATAGGATCATATCTGCATGACTGGCTCACGAACATGCAACCCTTGATTGAGCAAGAGATCGAAGAATATTGGGTTGCACGGAAGCTCGAGAAGGATAATCTGCTCGAGGATACTTCAAGTTTTGATAGAGAGAGGTATTCGGAAAAGTTGAAGCATGGTCCTTATTTGACGCTATTGAAACCCTCCAAGTCTGCAATCACGACTATCTTAGAAGTTATCAAAACTTGCGTGTCCTCAGATCTTGCTCACGGGGCCCCAGTTTCCAAGGTGGTAATGGCAATCGGCCGTGCCATGGAGTTGGAATTTAAAGCTCAAAGATTGCTTGCTGCTGACATTGATGTTAACAAGAACTTCAAGGCCATAAGGAAGACCCCTGAATTCAAGAAGTTTGTCAGAGGAGCAAAAGCCTCTCAATTGATTCACGAAGCTGAGAAACGAGCTGAATCTTCTGTTGGTCAATCAATGGCGTTTGTTAGTTGGGATACAGATAGCCGGTGCCGCGTCGGATCTGTTATGCTTTCTCTACTTCTACAGGTCGCGAAAGTTGATGTGGAAGGAACCGATCCAGTTACTGGCGATACTAAAACTGCTTTGGCCCCTGCATTCTATCATACTTATGATTATCAAAATGGAAGCAAGGTGGGTGTCATTAAATTAAATAGCAAATTTGCTTCCAAGCTAGGCACTGAAAGAGTGGACAACACTCTCCAACCTCATTTCATGCCAATGATTGCAAAGCCGCGTCCATGGACTACCTACAATGACGGAGGCTACTATTTGAAGAAATCTGCGGTGCTGAAGGCTAAAAATTCGCCAGAACAGGCTGCATACGCCCGTACTGCTGCTATCAAAGGTAAGATGGATACTGTTCTTCAAGCTCTCAATAACTTAGGATCTACTGCATGGACCGTCAATAAGGACGTGCTTAAGGTCATGATACAGGTGTGGAATACAGGAGAGGAATTCTTGGACATCCCAAAATTTCGCGAAACACTCAACCTGCCTCCTCCGCCTTCAACAGATGCCAGTCTTGAAGAATTTTTCAAACACAAGAAGAAATGCCAGCTCATCTGTCGCGAGTTTTCGAAGGATCGGTCGATGAGATGTGATACCAACTACAAACTAGAGATTGCAAGGGCTTATGTTGGTGAACGAATTTTCTTCCCTCATTCTCTTGATTTTAGAGGAAGGGCTTATCCAATGCCTCCATACTTTAACCATCTGGGAAATGATTTGTCAAGAGGTTTACTAAAGTTTTGGAATGGAAAACAACTGGGCGAGGAAGGTCTGAAATGGCTCAAAATCCACGTTTGCAATCTCATGGGATTTGATAAGCTCTCGCTGGATGACAGAGTGAAGTACGTTGATGATCACTTAGACGAGATATTTGAGTCAGCCAGAGACCCTTTGGGAGGCTCTAGAATGTGGGTGAATGCGGACAAGCCTTGGCAATTTTTGGCTTCTGCAATGGAGCTGGAGCAGGCTTACAGATTACCGGATCCTACCAAGTTTATATCTCATCAGCCTGTGCATCAGGATGGAACTTGTAATGGTCTTCAACACTACGCTGCGCTTGGTGGTGATATTGAGGGTGCCAGACAAGTCAATTTGGTGCCTGCTGACAAGCCTTCTGATGTTTACACCCATGTTGCTCATTTGGTGGAGAAGTCTGTTCAGGAGGATCTTAAAGCTGGATTGGGGGAGGCTGAATTGGTGAAGGACATCATTAGCAGAAAACTTGTCAAACAAACGGTGATGACTAGTGTTTATGGTGTTACCTACGTTGGAGCGCGTGCTCAAATTACAAAGAGACTAAAGGACATCGAGTTTGATGAAAAGTACATCTCCGTGTCTTCGAAATATCTGACACAAAAGGTTTTCAAGGCTATTAGAGAACTCTTCGATAACGCGCATGCAATCCAAGACTGGCTCATAATTGCTGCAAAGAGAATCAGCAAATCTGTCAGAACAGACATTGACATTCCTCAGGATACTGATTACATGTGCTCGGTCATTTGGACGACACCTATGGGATTGCCTGTTGTCCAACCATACAGAGAGTACAAGGGAAGGCCAGTGCAGACCACGATGCAAACAATTACAATTGTCGATCCTTATCAACTGAAACGTGTCGATGGACGTAAGCAGGCAAGTGGATTTCCTCCAAACTTCATTCACTCCTTGGATGCCACTCATATGGTCTTGTCTGCCAACAAATGTTCAGAAGCAGGACTGGTATTTGCTTCAGTTCACGACTCATATTGGACTCATGCTTCAGATGTCTCAATTATGAGCAAAATTCTTAGAGAGCAATTTATCCATTTGCACACAAACAATCTAATCGAAAAACTGGACAAAGAACTTAAAATGAGATATGGTAAAAACCTGATGGTCATTGAGGTTAACAGTGCCAGCGATCTGGCAATTGAATACAAGAAATTCCGCCATGACTTGCTATCAGAGTTGAAGAGAAGCCCAACGTTGATTGACGAGGCGATGACCGAAAGAAAAAGACAGTTATTACTGCAATCCGGCAATAAGGATGATATCGAAAGAGCGCATAAAATGGTCACGCCGGTGACCATCGCTGAGAAATGCAATTATAAAAACGCACTTGGATTTGAGGGTAAGAATGGGACCTCGATTCTAGTCCCATTTGACTTGCCACCTATCCCTTTGAAGGGTGAGTTCGACGTGAATGTGGTTAGAGATAGTCCATATTTCTTTTCTTGATACATGTACGCCTTGTATATAACGAAAAATATATATTAATTTATAGTCTAGTATTTGTGGATTCTATCATGGTGTGTGGAACACCTATTGAGCGTCCTTACTAAACGGTATGATTTTCCCTTGTGCTTCCAAATTGTCAATCAGCATTCTCAGAGGTTCAAGTTCATGCGTATCGATCAGGTCAAATTCAATGACAAACGAGATGAAATGAGCAAAATACGAGTTCCAGTGTGCTTCCAGAGACAGGTGGACCAGCTTGTCAAAGTGATTGTGAAAGATGTGCGCAATGATTCTGAACATTTGAATGTATATCCCCTTTATTTCCTTCAAAAAGGAGGGAGGAAATGCCATTCCTGATTTCGTTGGAAATATTGTCTGGTCATTGATCTTGTTGTTAATCCATGTCAAGGCATGATCGATATATTGATTTGCAGGGAGAGAAACGGTTTTGCCGTTTGGCATCATCCAGACGTACTCAGTCTTCGGATCTGCGGTCATAATCGGATAGCGGTCAGGAGTCACGTATTCAGATATCACTCCGTAGAATTTGTTCAGATGATTGAATAGTTCAAAGGTGTTGAGAGCTAACCACTCATGATAATCCACATATTTCGGTAGTTGAACGATGGTCTTATATGAACCTTTGACAAGTGCGATTTTCACAAAGGGCTCACAAATGAAAAGCGGTTTTGGTGCATGTTTGCTGGGTTGCTGGCGAGTCTGGTTCGTGGATTTCAGCGATCTGATAGATTGCTTGGATGGCGAGTGCGTTCTTCTTAAGGAAAGCGAAGAGCCGTTGTTGTTAGAATATATCGACGCTTGCGTGTTCTGGTTATAGTTCAGCGAGGTGGATGAGTCGTTGTTCAAGTACAGTTCGTTATAATTGTTGCCCAGCTTATTTTGGTTTTTCTTCTTCGAGCTTCTGGTAAAGCCCCTTATTGTTAGAAGATTTGTACGACTCATATACTTACTTGATGGTGTTGAAGAACGACATGTTTGTCTGGAACTAGATTGTTTTTGATCAGTGTAGACATGTTTTTGATTCGACTCCGGGTAATTTTTCGAACGCGCATCTACCGCGAATCGATCAAAAGGTTAAATTCACAATAACAAATGGTAAACCTATTGAAGTCGGACTTGGATCTTGACTTAAGGCGAGTCCCTACGTTTAATCTTCACACAGATTTCTGCGATGCGTGTTTGGTACGCGAATTCGGGAACTATAGAGTTTATTTGACAGGCGACAATGAAAGTCTTCTTGCTGGCGAGAAGGCTATTCTTTGGCTGAAGGGAGGAATCGTGACACGGAATCTGAAGTTTGACTCTCAGATTATTAGCTGCTTCTTCACCAAGCTAAATGGAGACCGTGCTAACACTCGATCAGAAAGAGTTTTGGTTGTGGTCCTGAAAGAACAAATATGTGTCTATGAGAAAGGAGGGCGCTCCCAAATCGTGAGTTTTCCATTTCATATTCGCAAAGCGTTCAACTTTGAAAACGGCTTGGTCATCAGTAAAGAGTTCGAAAGCTCCGCACTAGTTTCTAACGATCCAAATCAAGCTTCTTCATCTCCTCTTTTGTATGCAGGTGGCATTCCTCCAATATCAGCAACATCTAGTACAGCTGGTTCAAACGAGAGCAATTTTCTTACCCTTCTTGACACTTTGGGTGAGCTTGGATCCATTGTGTCGTCGTCTACCACATCCTTTTCCTCGAAAGAAGAAATCATTTCATTTCCCTCAACATCGGCATATACCATAGCTACCACATATAATCCTGTCGAGAAGGCCATCACGGTTTATCATACAAGGTTTTTGCACAGAAATAGAAGCTCAAAATTGAGTTCATTATCATACCAGAGTCTCAACAGGAGATCAAGCAAAAAAATATACGTCAGCAAAACTCAAACCAACCCCCCAACTGTTAATGCTTCTGGATCCGTTACCGGTGGTAGTTCTGGACCGAACACAGGATCGAATGGCCCCAGAATCCTTGATGATCAGACCTTTGACACCAAACAAACACGATCGACCTCTGACGCAATGTCCTACGATAGAATGGCATCTGGGAGCGAGTTCAATATCGACACAGGCAGCTTTTTCATGTCAGCAAATCACCAGCAGATAGAAACAGCTCGTTTGCGAAAGGATATAATATTTACGAAGCTGACTTCCATAGAATTTACGGATGATACCGAGTATCTAAAGATATTTAACATCTCTTACACTGACCACGAAGCCATTGTGGTGTGCAACCGGAAATCCCACACAATAGAGTTTTTCATCTTTAGCAATCCAGGGACCTCGGTCAGCTTGCCTTCGCTGAAATCAACATATTCCGTCAAAGGATTGGATGCTGTATCTTTGTCAACGGTCTCAAAACATTCGGGATACATCATTTTGCTGTACGATCTTTCGCACATTATCCTCGTAAACCCATTTCTGGGACTTTTGTCATCAACAATCGACATTTCTTCGCATCTACCACCTATTAGGTTTCTCGACGATTGTTTCGGTTCGAACCTTTCTGTACATTGCGTGAACGACAAACACTATACCATACAGTTGAACTTACAACCACAAGACAAGCTCGTTCTAACTTTAATTGATCTGCTCAAATACCTTGCCAATTCTTACACCTATGAATACTTTTGGCTTCAATGGTGCGCCAATTGCTCTCTTGATATACCTCAAAACAATGACTGGCGAACATTTATCGTGACTTTACTTTCACTTACTCTGCCAGATGATTTTGAAGTTGGCACTGAGCTTAATGATAAAAACCTGGTGTGTTCCCTATTACCGTACGCACAGCTGGCAAAACAAAGCATCGAAAATCTGTCCACAGCATCCCATTCTGGAGGAGCGTATATGCTCACAGATTTATTACCCTCCATATTCTTATCCCTTCATCTCGTTAGAGAGGAGCTCAAACTCAATGTGCTGGCAACAGAGAAAATTGAGCAGCTTTCAGTTCTCTTAGCTCAGCTCTGCAGCTGGATGGGATGGACCGACAACTGGTTTAAATACTACATGCAGGACTCCAAAACCATTGATCGCACAACCAGATTTTTGACGGCGCAGCCACTGGTATCACCACCGAACCTTTATCAATCGTTGGCTAGCTTGTTTTCCAGCTCCATTGTTCCGTACGTGACATTCTCTCAGATTGCTGAAGAAGATGAGACAATTGACGAGCAAGTAACTCCACGCACTTTTTACATTTTGCGATTATTCGAGGCACTCATCTCCCCTGAATTTCAACCGGCAGACGTTGTCAATATGATGGTAGACTATAATATTGATGCTGCTATGCTAGAATCATTTCCTCCGGGCGTGTATCTGCCATTGAAAAATGCTATAATCAATTGCAGCGAGTCCGCTTTCCATTGGAACACGGGAGTTGACGAGCTTGAGTTGATAGGGCGAAAAGACCTTCTGGCATTCACCCAGAATGTAGCCAAAGAAACATCAAGTACAAGGCATGATTACACAGATGCACCACAAAAGGATATGGTGCAGATACTCAAATTTGTCAATGATCACGAAGCAATAAGTGCATGGGATGGTCAAGCTGAGGCTGATAGGTTCCAGGTGACTAAACTCATATATCATGAGGACCGCAGATTCTACGAGCTGACCAAACTTTTGCAGACATCTCGCGTACAAACTGCAACACTGAGAACTGACGACAAAATGGATGAACATGAAAAACTTGTCAGACAGCGTGCACTTGGAGCAAAGGTGGCTTTGCGAACATTGACCATGCCTCTGGGTAGGGGAGCTGTCTTCATTTCGAGTAGAAAACCCTTGATGACGGAAAGGTTCCCTATCCCCAAGATGAATTTCAATGCTCTGATTTTACCGGACATGATTAATGTCAGCTTAGAGAAAGATTCAATTGACCAAGAAATGTACAATTGGGGTTACTTCCACAACGGTGCATCATCAGGACTGACCATTTCCAGGGAATCTACGCAGATAAATGGTAGTTGGATTGTGTTCAACCGTCCACCGACACTGAATGCACAACATGCAGGGTTCCTTCTCGGACTTGGACTCAACGGCCACCTGAAAAAACTAGAAGAATGGCACATCTATAACTATTTGGGCCCAAAACACAACTTTACAAGTGTCGGCTTACTTCTTGGAATGGCTGCTAGTCTGAAGGGGACTATGGATATCAAACTTACCAAAGTGCTCTCAGTTCACGTTGTTGCGTTATTGCCTCAAGGATCAACGAATTTGAACGTTCAGTTACCTGTGCAGACAGCAGGCCTGATTGGAATAGGCTTGCTTTATTTGGAGACACAGCACAGAAGGATGACAGAGGTTTTGCTTTCTCAGATCAATGCAACCCTTACTTATAATGAAAAAGAATTTGTCAGCGAAGGATATCGACTTGCGGCCGGTATAGCACTAGGCTATGTCAATTTAGGAAAAGGTGAAAGTCTCAAAGCTACGAATGACACGCATGTCATTGACAAGTTATTCGCAATGGCTGTGTCAGTAAGGGATATACAGACCACCGAAGAATATGACAAATCGTGCGGAGGTGCCATCTTGGCACTTACGTTCATGTTTTTGAAAACAGGCAATCGTGAAGTTGCCTCAAAGCTTGCTATACCGCAAACAATGCAATTACTGGACTACATAAGACCAGATTTCCTGATGCTAAGGTGTCTCGGGGCAAACTTGATTATGTGGGATCAAATTCGAGATCATAGAGAATGGGTCGAGATGCAGATTCCTTCTTGTTTGTCCGAAACATACAATGTTGAAACGATAGGCGAGCTGGATAGTGATTTCCTTCCTTATCTAAACATCTTAGGAGGCATATTGCTTTCGATCTCGCTGAAGCACGCATCATCTGGAAATACCGAGGCTAAAGATACGCTTCTGTACTACTTTGACAGACTGATGAGTATATGTGCTTTGGAGCCAAGGAATTACGATGAACGTGTGGCGTTGATTGGTGCACGGAACATTATGGATGTTATGATTCTGGGGCTGTCAATCATATGTGCTGGAAGCGGCGACTTGTGCATATTCAGACGTTTGAGATTTTTGCAAGGCGTGGTTGACGAGTCGATGAATTACGGGAATTACATGGCAATCAATTCTGCACTTGGAATTTTGTTTTTGGGCGGCGGTCAGAAGGCTTTCCGGAAGGACAATTTTGGAATTGCTGCTCTTGTAACCGCTACCTACCCTGTCTACGGAACCAACAATTATAACACTGGCAGTGAATGCTCAGAAATTCATTTGCAAGCATTGAGACACTTTTGGGCGCTGGCAGTGGAAAACAGGTGCCTTAACGTACGAGATGTGAACACGAAGCAGCCTATCAAAGTTGACGTGCAAATTGAAACAAACCTCGGGTTGCTGATCAACCTCCAGACACCTTGTTTGATTCCAGAACTCGATAGCATCTCGAGAATATCTGTTGTCAATTCGGAAAAGATCTATTTCCCAGTGACACTCGATTTTAGGGAGCCAGGTACATTGGATTCATTCAAGCAGGCTCATTTAAATATATTTGTTTATCGCAAAAGGGAATACCAAAATCTGAGGCTCTCGTTTGACGATATGGTCAAGCAAGTCGAGACAGATCAGCAGATAAGCGATGATGCTGATTGCATGAAGGAGCTGGAGAATCTGAACATATTCAAGAAATTGACCCGTTTTGAGAAATCAACCATGGTCGAAAACAAAAACAAAGATCACAGGAAGAGCTCTACGGTTCTGGACTTCAAGCTTGAAGTTGAGAGATTGGTCAAACGTCCGCAAAATATGGAAGATTTGTGGAACCTTAAACTGCTTTTCAATTTCGTTGACAAGCTACAGGGAGCCGAACATTACGAAGCCTTTAGAGAGCCAAGTGAAATGTCAATGTCTGAGAAGTCAGATAACTATGCAGAAAGAACACAAACTGAGCTGAGCTTCCTGAATGTAAAATTCATTGAAAAGCTGAAAAACGATTTGTGGTCGTGCATACAAAAGTCGAGCAGCTGGTCTGGTTGAAAAATACGACAGCCCACTTTAGTTTTTTGTGGGGTAAATATGTGCCCGCATCGTCGCTGCCCCATTTTTCAAGTACCGGTGGGTGACATTCACAAATTTGTTGCTCCGTGGGGAGATTTTAATTTCACGCCGCAAAATTTCGGCCCCTCCATGAAATTTACCGATATACTCCAATTTTTACTGCTTTGCTTGCTGCAAGTAGGATAATCAAAAAGGGATAAATTTGCACTATTCTAGAAATAATATTATATTTTTGATTCCCTATGGTCCAGCTCTTCGTTGTTCACCCTGATCTTCAAGTCTCAAACTGTGATGACTGCCCGTCCGAGGAATCTTTAGGAAAGAAGAAGGACGCTTATCTGAACAGTTACAAACTCTATAACAAACTAATTAGACAGCTTTCTTCTAACCCCGAGATCACGGAACTACCAAATTGGTGTTTGACTAAAAATGCCGAACAAAACGTACGGAGGATACTTGAGCACGCTCGCGATGAGGATGTCTCGGTGGATCCGGAGACGATAAACGAGCTCGATGCGATTGACAATATGGATGATCTCAAATTATCGTCCTTCAAAGTGAGCGATGCCGACTTTTCCAAACAAGCCTCCTTGAAGGAAAGGGCTATGTCGCTGATACAGCGTTTGGATCTTCCGGACAATCTAGACAAGGACCTAACGGATCGAAAGACTAATAACTTTCTGGCTTTCAAATACCTCCAGATCGTGATGGATCTTTCTCTTATCGAGTACAAATACTTGCAAGTCTACTCGAAAATCAATACTGCAATCAAGAAGTATTTCTCATCTCCAGAACTGACGCTTGATATGGAAGAAGAGGGATGCAGAATAGTGAGCACTCAAATGGACTTTTTCAGAAAACTGGAGGTGCTTCTGAAAAACCTCAGCTCCGTAAAAGCAGAATTCGAGAAGAAGGTTCTTCTCTCAAGAAAGGACGTTATGCAACTGGTCCAAGGCTACAGCTCTTCTCAGAAGCAAGAGGTTGTTGGGTAGCCAGTGAATAGTTTATATGGGTATATTTTTTATGCTTGGATTATCTAAGCGCGACTATTTATGTTTTTAATCTCAAACACGGTAACACGGTGCGGTGCATATTCAAGAAAATATTCATATTCCAAGAGAATTTGTGGGAATGGAAGGAGCAAGAAATTAAATTTCATAATTGTCCTTTGTATTCGCATATTATCATACTAGAGTACGACGTTCCAGACTTAGAACAGGTCCACTCAACATAGACGTGAGACCTCTCCTTTTTCGCATCATTTAGACACTTTTAGGCATTGTTTTGATTCACTCATTTGATGACATCCGTGGCACCACAGAGAGTTTCTTCGTTTGCATCTAAGGCTGCCGTCGCAGCCACGGGCCATAATAACACTAACAGAGCTTTGACTGGCTCTCAAAGACAGATAGATCGTGTGGTGGAAAGTGTGGCCAACGCTAATAAAAGGCTCTCCCAGACATCTACTACATCCAACAGCAAACGAAAAGCTGAAAATAGAATCGGCCCCTGGAAACTGGGCCGGACGTTAGGAAGAGGCTCTACCGGGAGAGTCAGGTTGGCTAAGCACTGTGTTACCGGTCAACTATCTGCTGTCAAGATTGTCCCCAAGGCCGCTCCGGGTACAGTCACGCACTACAAAAATGGAAAGGGTCCCAAGATTGACGCAAACGGTTTACCGTACGGCATAGAAAGGGAGATAATTATCATGAAGCTTATTTCGCACCCGAATATCATGGCCCTCTATGACGTTTGGGAGAATGACAACGAGCTTTATTTGGTTTTGGAGTATGTGGAGGGAGGTGAATTGTTCGATTTCTTGATTAATCACGGCCGCCTCACGGAACAAGAGGCTGTGGGGTATTTCAAGCAAATCATTAAAGCAGTTGAGTACTGTCACAAGTTTGATATTTGTCATCGTGATTTGAAGCCAGAAAATATACTACTGGACAAGAATCATAACATCAAGATTGCTGATTTCGGTATGGCTGCTCTAGAGACCAAACATAAGCTGCTTGAGACATCGTGCGGATCTCCACATTATGCTTCTCCGGAAATTGTTGCCGGAAGAACATATCATGGATCTCCAAGTGACGTGTGGTCATGTGGAATCATCTTCTTTGCATTGCTGACTGGTCATCTACCTTTCGACGACTCTAACATTCGCAAGTTACTGCTGAAAGTTCAGACTGGGAAGTTTCATATGCCAGTCAATTTGAGCAGCGAAGCCAAGGATCTGATTTGGTCCATGTTAAGGGTCGACCCGCGCGATAGGATATCAATCCATGACATTTTGAATCATCCTTTGCTCAAAAAGTATCCAGAGACAGACGACGAGATCCACATAGCCCAGGAGGCTGATCTCAAAATGACAAAACCTATACATAATATTGACCCCGACATATTGCATAACCTCCAAACCTTGTGGCATGGTATTCCAATCAATGAGCTTGTCAGAAATCTACAAAGCGAGGATCAGAATTCCGAAAAGATGTTTTACTACTTGCTGGAAAAGTATAAGGAATGTCATGCTCAAGATTCTGAGGAAGAGCAAACACACTCAAGAACGCGAAAGCGTCCACCATCCCCTGCAAAGTCTGCAAAGCTAGGAATCCCTAAATCGACCAGTGTTCGTACCATCATCCAAGACGAGCATGGTGAGGTACTGAAGATGTCCACGAGGGAACTTCCTTCAACGGCCAACAAAGCACTCCCTAGAAGACCAACAAAGTCCAGTAGTGCCAACAAGACTAAAGCTCCCGCGATGATAGTCTCTTCTTCATCTCGAAAATCCGTTTCTTTCCGCAGATATAACAGTCAGAAGTCGCTCAAAGATCAATCTAAGCCATCTCGCTCGAACTCGCTTGCCAAATCAAAGAAACTGACAGTCAATCCGAAAGATCTGCCCAAATTACCAGAGGTCGACCTCAGTGACTTTACATATTTGGTTGACGCCGTTTTCACAGAGGATAAGTTTGACGTCGACCTAAAATTTGAGATATTCGAAGATAAAACAGACCTTATTTCAGAGGCCAAAGATTCCCTGAATGGTTCTCCTCGGAAATCAGACGTTAGGGAGAGCTTCAGTGAAAAGAATACAGTGAGGGAGAGGAACATGCATTCTCTCGACCCCAAGAGAAGAAATACTCCATTAAAAGATTCAAACTCGGCTTCTATTCGCAAGACAAGCGATGTCTTGCAGAAATTTGGGGTGCGTATGAGCAGACTTGATGATCTCGATTTCAAAGAGAACAAGGGGGATACGAGCTTCCCAAAGGCCCCATTGAGAAAATCATCGATTGGTAACTCGCACTCGTCAATTAGGAATCTTTCTTCTTATTTGGATCCACAAAATGATATTAGTCTGAATGACTACAACAAGCGCAGTAAACAAGAGAAACCGCCATCAAGAAAACTGCCACCGCAACTCGCAACAGCGAAGACATTAACTCATAAAGCCGATGTGTCTGTTGACGAATCGTTAATTTCATACGATAATTCGTACAGTCTACATTCAGCGATACAGATTCCCATTCTAACTCCCCAAGAAGAACAATTCAAGATACCGCCCCTGGATCAGGATAAATTCGCTGACGCAGACTCTGAGCAGAATGCAAAGTTTGTTTCCTCGCAGTCGAATCGTTCCATCATCAAAACCCATCGCAAGGTCGAATCAGCTACTTCTCAGGACTCTCAGCTGAACAAGTTTGTCCAACAGCCGTTCCCAACGATCCGATGCTCTTTGCTGGCTAATTCTAACTATGACATGCCTCCTGAGGAGGCTCATCAAAGAAAGCGGATGACTCTCACTCCCGAAAAGACGAAGAAGATTGAGACTGTGGTTGAAGAGCCTACGAGGGTTTCCGTTTTTGCCGATCCTGAGGTGGAGCAGCCACTCGTTGTGAGGGACGAGACAACCATTTTCGACGACGAAATCACAGAAAAACGAAGGTCTTCACGCCCACATCCTATCGATTTGGCTAGAACCAGAGAAAGAAGAGCTGCGGGATCACAGGTTAAAGCTAGAATTTCTTCTCTTATATCAAAAAGAGACTCCGCGCCCATTTTCCAGATTGAGAATTCCCCTATGGACCCTGATTTCAAAGAAAGGGAGCTAAGGGAACGCCAGGCCCAGACAGTTTCTACGAGTCCTCAGAAACGGCCAAATTGGTTCAAACGACTACTAGGTACGATCGAGAAGCAGGTCGATAGCCCGCATGTGAGAAGACGGGCTACGAAATTCAAGAGCACCCAATTCTGGAAAAAACAGCACATCATTGAGACAGACGTTCTTTCTTGTGAGCAGGTTATTGAGGGTTTGTGCTTGAAGCTGGATCACCAAAACTCGATAAAGCTTCGGCCGGGTCGAACATCAACCACGTTGAACGTGGAGTACGTGGGAGATTCTCGTAAAAATAGCCTCAATGTGACTGTGGAGACAGAAAGACAAGATGGCTACGAATACGGTTTCTCAGGGTGTGTTGTCAGACTGATGAAGAACTCGGGATCCACGAAAATGTTTAAGCTTTCGGCTTCGATGGTGGAGCAGATTATACGCGACCTGGAGTTGACTATATAAGAGGACTTCATATTCAAAATTATATTCGCAGCCTGTCAGCTAAAAAATGACCAAAAAAGAAATTGTCATGAAACGGTTTTTCTGCAAGATAGGTAGGTTGACAGGAGATCGACAAAAAACCGTTTTCAAAAACTAAAATTTAGCGTATAACTAAAATATGTTTATGGTACGTGCATCCAATATACATAAGTCTTCTAATCGTTAGGAAAGCAAACCTGTCAGAATCAGCGTGATGGGGCAGCTGGGAAGCGGCAAAAGCACCTTGGTGTTGCAGTATGTGCAATCGCAATTTGTTGAGGATATTGATGCAAACGTTCAGGATATGTACAAGAAGGAGGTGGCAATAGATGGCCAGCACTACCAACTGAACATCTTGGATATTGTCGACACTGACTACGGACTGGATCCAAAGACAGAAAACATGCTACGGGAGTCACAGGCTATCCTAATCGTGTACTCTGTTGTGAGCGAGACCTCTTTTGATTCGGTTCTTATGCGAGTCGTGCATGTACGTTCCCTCCTTGAAGGTAGGAACGTACCCATCATCTTGGTGGGAGCCAAGGCTGATCTCGAGAATTGCCGCCAAGTCTCCTCGTCCTCAGGGTTGCAGCTTGCCCGCGAACTTGGCTTAGCAGCGTTTCTGGAATGCAGCGCCAAAACAAAATACCAGATCGACGAAGTTTTCGAGACGGCCGTCCGACAAGCGCTCACCGAGGAAGTGGAGCCGACCAGATCTACAGAAGCCGATTCTCAGCGCGATACAGAACAGCCTACGGAAAGTGGCGTTCCCGAGGATATCGAAGGACAAAGGGAATCTGGAACTCAAACAGAACCACTAAACGCCGTGCAAGGAGCCAATCGTGCTCCCAGGCCTGCTGCTCGTGCCAGCAGCTCGAATAGATGTTGTATAATAATATAAGTGAAGCTCGATCGTGGATACTTTTCGGCAACACCCGTACACCATACACCGATTAGCCGACAGATAGCGCAAGGAATTTTTTTCAGAGCCCGCTCGGGTATTCAAGGCTAACAGCCAAGGCTGTAGTTGTGAAGGTTTAGCATATATATAAGATAAGCCCCGGAATTTTACTTAAATTGTAGGATCAACACATATACACTGAAAAATGAGCTGAGCCGCCTCAAGGATGGTGTTTGATACGTGTTCAGAGGTCCGGCGACCTCTGCCTCACCCCCGGCGCGCTGGAGGGAAAAATTTTACCGATTTAGTCATTCATCCGGAAAAAGAGGGTGAAAACGGCCCTGTATCGGTCATACTACCGAGTTCCAACAAGGCCTGTTTTTGGCTCACAGCGGAGCATTGATTGACGAGGGGCTTAGCATAGACGGTCTCAAAAAGCAGTTGATTGTTCTGCAGGCTGCTTCTGTTGATTTCTTTGTCAGTCATAAACTAGTGGGCTCTATTTCTTGTGTCGACTAAATCCTGTTAGCGAAGACCTATGACAAATATTGGCCTTTTTTCGCAGATAAAATAAGATCGGCCATCCCCACTTCCTGTTGAAATTCTTGTCTTTAATCATGTCTTCTATACCCAGCTTAGAGAAGAAGTACGAGCTCGACGAGAATATAGCCTCGGACGAAAAGCAGTCCCACGACACCGTGCTTTCTGAGTCCGAGATGGACCAGAGGGTGAGGCTTCTTGCTGAGGAGCACAACATCAACCATAAGAAACTGATGTGGAAAATCGATCTGTGTGTTGTTCCTCCTTTCTGCCTGCTTTACTTCCTGGCATTCTTGGACAGAGTGAACATTTCGAACGCCAAGATTTACGGAATGCAAGCTGCCCTGGATTTGCAGAAACAGCAGTTCAACACGGCTCTAACAGTGTTCTTTGTTCCCTATGTTGTCTTTGAGGTGATATCAAACTACTGTCTGAAGATCATCAAGCCGCATGCCTGGATGAGTACCATGATCGTGTTGTTCGGTGTGGTGACCATTGGAACCGCATTTGTCAAGACTTTTGGTGGTTTGGTGGCTACCAGAGTTCTCCTTGGTATTTTCGAGGCCGGAAGTTTCCCTGGTATTTTCTACATTCTTGCAAACTTCTACACCAAGCGCGAAGCCCAGAGAAGATTCAGTATCTTCTTCAGCTGCACGTCGGTCGCTGGTGGCTGCGGTGGAGCGATCGCTTACAGACTGTACGATTTGAACGGTGTTCACGGCCTTTCGGCATGGCAATGGATCTACGTTGTCGAGGGCACCATCAGTGCGGGTCTTGGAATTATCCTGTACTTTTTGATCACAGACTTCCCTGAGGACGCTAGATATTTGAGCAAAAACGAAACGACTTTCCTCAAGAAAAAGCTCGAGGTCTACTCGGGTAACTCGGGCTTCGAAATCAAACAAACCGTCAAGGACGTTCTTGAGGTCTTCAAAGACCCAATGCTCTATCTTGGTGCTTTGATCTATTTCTGTCTCATTGTTCCGTCCTACTCTTACGCTTACTTCGCTCCATCCATCATCAAATTGCTTGGATACACTGCGATGAACGCCCAGGCCCACTCCATCTACCCGTGGCTCGCCTCTCTCGGCTTCTCGATCATCTTGGCTTTCGTTTCCGACTTCCACGGAATCAGATTGCCATATGCGCTTCTCGCAGCATGCGTGGCCATCGCCGGCCTGGCTATGATTCTGGGCGGTGGAGATCATCTTAACGTCAAATACGGCGGCTGTTTCCTGGTTGCTTCAGGTCTCTACACCTGTATGCCTATTGTTGTGTGCTGGATCAGTCTTAATTACTCTGGACACATACGAAAGTCCGTGGGAACCGCCTTTGTGATTGGATTCGGCAACATTGGAGGAATTATTGCGTCGTTCATTTTCCCTGACAGTGAGGCCCCCGACTACAAAAAAGGACTGGGCATCTGTATCGGATTTGCTGGTCTTGCTATCTTCTTTATCCTCGCCTACTTCGCACTTGTGGTTCACCGTAACCGCAAGAAGATGACAGCAGCTTCGCTTGCAAAGTGGGAATCTTACGACGAAAGAACCCGGATAATGAAGGGAGACCTGAGTCCCTACATTAAATATTTGTACTAAGCTAATGAACGACCTGACGAATAAAGGCTGTGGCTATATAATAATACCTGTTATCTAAATTTTTTTTTTTCCCTGTAACTAAAATATATATTTAACCTTATGTTCACGCCCGATGACCTTCCCTACTTTGATCCCCATATACAGCGACGCGTTTGTTTTATCTCGGGAGGCAACAGCGGGATAGGCTACTACACTGTTTTACACCTGTACCTGCACGGCTACGTGGTGTATCTGGGCGGCCGTAACAAGAACCGCGTGGAAGCCGCCATACAATCGCTCAAGCAGGAGGCATTGACACGCAGAAAAGATCCGCGCCAGGCTCTTGGCGAGCTGTACTTTCTGGAAATCGATCTGCTGAACCTCAGCTCCGTTGAAAAAGCAATGGCAGAGTTTAAAACAAGGGAAAAGACCCTGCATCTGCTCATCAACAATGCCGGCATCATGGCTGTACCATTCTCGCTTACCAAGGATAACTTTGAGATCCAACTACAAACAAACTACATCTCGCATTTTGTCATCACCAACAGGCTGCTTCCATTGATGCTCAACTCAGCTCTTGTCCAAGATCCCCGAATCATCTACATAAGCTCTGTCGGCCACTGGTTTACCTTCTTCCCTTTCAAGATGGATTACCAGTTCAATTATCGCCCCAATATCATTTTCACTTGGTTCAGGTACGGTCTGGCCAAGACCGCTGGGATGCAGTTCATAAACAGGGTTGCAAAGATCCACCCGCAAATTCTTTGCGTCTCTGTGCATCCTGGCTTTGTCATGAACACAAATCTCTTTAGCCACTTCACGCGACTCCCTTTTATTGGATTGGTATTCTGGGTCCTCTTCCAAGTCTTTGGCTACTTTTTCGGTATCTCGAATGAGGAAGGATCTTATGCAACGCTTAAATGTGCGCTGAGTGACGAGTTAACACCACAGAAAGATAACGAGAAATTTTATGTCTCCTACGGAAAAGAGCATCAACCAAGCTATCTCGCAAAAAACTCATACTACGCCGCTAATAACTGGGCCTGGACTGTGGCAGAGCTAGAAAAAAGAGGCATCAAGATCTGATATTCGCAATTCCAATTGACTCGCTTATAATGTATTTATTCACCGCTGTACTAATTAAATATTCTTAATGGAAATAGCTGGCTGTCCTGGGACAGAGCTCTCCAGAATCTTTCCTGTAGGAATCTCAACAGTCTTGCCGGTGAAGATGTCTTGACCAGATGTGCTCTTGCTGTCAATTGGTACGGCCGCGACTTCTATAACGTTGCAAATGGCAGCGGCTTTCTTGATGACATCCTTGGCCACTTTCACAGTTTCAAGCTCGCTGAAAGACAGCTCTCTATTGAAAACAGACTCAGGAGGCTCAGTAGCAAGCCTTTTCTTCAGAGACGAAACAAACGGCATGGCTTTCTTCATATCCTTTCCGTCGATGTTGGCTTTGATCTCGTTGTTGTCGTCGAGTTTGTGCTCCTCAAAGAGTCGTCTAACAAGCTCAACGTAGTTCTTCTGCCACTCAGGGAAGCTAGCTGAAATGTACAAGGTCAAGACACAAGGCTTGTCCTTGTCCAGATCGGCGGACTTGCCCTTCTTTTTCTTCAGCAGCTGTCCTTCGGTCTCTCTGATGGACCTGGCCAGAGTTCTGATATATGTCAATGCATCGGTCAACGGGGTGGAGATTGGCTCCTTTGGAGTTGGCCATCTGGCGTTCAGAATAGACTCTTTGTGACCCAAGATGTCTCTATATATATACTCGGCAAAGTGAGGTGCGATTGGTGACACCAAGAGGGCCTGGGTCTCTAGATATTTGAGGACCAGGTCTTTGTGCATACCCGGGCCGATGTTGCTGACTTCTCTGTAGTAGTCTCTGGCGGTCTGGTAGTCGAAAAGACCGCTCTTCAAACCACCCTTGAAACGAGTCGCGTCGAACTCCCTGTATGTCTCGTTGATTAAAACGTTCATCTCATTATCAAAGGCCTTGTCAAAGAAATTGTACTCGCCGGTTCTGAACGAGTCAATGGACTTGATCGTTTCCTCAGCCCATTCTCTCAATGTGTACATCCTCAAAATGGCTGCGTTAGCGTTGCTTTCCTCGAAGTTGGCATCCTCAACACTGTCACCAGCGTCGGCAAGAGCAATTCTCGAAGCATCTGCTCCGAATTTCTCCACCATTTGCTCCAGAGTCATAAAATTACCGGTGGACTTCGACATCTTGGCGTTGTTCAGCATCAAGTGTCCGTTACATCTGATTCCCTTAGGCCAGAACTGCTTCTTGAATAGGGCAGTGTGACAGTAGATGAAGAAAGTCAGGTGGTTTGGAATCAAATCTTTACCAGACACAGACATGTCTGTTGGGTAGAAGAACTCAAACTCTCTTCTCATCAGGTCCAAATGCTCCTGAGGAATGCTGCTGTCGACCTTCTCAACGTTGCAGAAAATGTAGTCCCAGACATCGTCGGTCATCTGCTCTGGCTTGATACCGAGAGGACCGGTAACCTTACCATAGAAATCCTTGTGCAACAAATGAGCCACCGTGTAGTAGGCATGGTAGATGGTGGAGTCGGACAGAGATTCCACAAGGTACTTTGGGTCCCATGGAATCCTGGTACCCAAACCGTAGCTTCTGGAAACAGCCCAGTTTTTCAGCCAGTTCAGAACACCCTCAAAAGCGTTCTTGACCTCTGGACTGTAAGCGTTCAGTTGAGAAAGACACTCCAAAGCCTGTTCTTTCCATTTCTCTTCACCGTAATCCAAATACCATTGGTCTTCCAGAGAAACAATACACTCGTCTCCCGATCTGGAGATGACCAGCGACTCAGGCTCGCTGTAGGCAAAGGCGTCGCCAGAAGCAATCAGGTCCTTCTTGACCTTCTCCTTGGCATCTTGGACCTTTTGACCAGCATATTTGCCAACCATCATAGTACCGTTGTAGAAGCCCTCCTTGTAAGCCAGTTCCTTAGCGGTAGCCAGAGGAACGGTGTCTTTGGACGAATTGATCTTCAGCTCCTTAACAAGATACTCTGCACATTTGTCACCGTACTTTTCAGTTTTGATGACCGGAAGGATCTCGGTGATGACCCAGTCCTTATCAATTCCGTAGAAATCGGCCTTGTTGTGCAGGTCTCTAGTCGTGGCATAATCGTCTGGAGAGTCCGACGGAACACACGTGACCACACCCGTACCCTTCGACTCCAAGACGGTCTCCATAGGAAGCACTCTCAGGTTCTTGAACACTGTGAGCGGCGCGTCGATCTTGGAGCCTATCAGAGAAGCGCCGTTGATCTTCAGAATAGGCTTGAAGTCTCCTCTTCTAGGAGTCAGTTTCTGGTAGCTCATGTTCTTGAACGATCTTTCGGTGCAGATGTAGTAGTTGCCGTTTCCGGCGTCGAACAGACCATAGTTGATTTTTGGAGAAACGAAACAGCACGTTTGGCCGTACATCGTTTCTGGTCTCAAGGTGGCTGCGACCAAAAACACCTTCTTGCCAGCGAGATTGAAATTATCGTTTTCAAAGACTTCTAGTGCTTTTGCTGCAAACTCCGTAATCTCAATCTTCAACCCAGTGTACTCTTGGGGCAGAACAGCCTCTCCTGACTGTCTGTCGTGGTCCATGCATGGCTGGCCGTCCTTGACGGAGTAGATGGTGTATCTTTCACCAAACTTAATCTTGTTCTGCTGTCTCAGTCTGTTCATCTGCCATCTAACGAACGAGTCGTAGTAGCTGTTGAAATCAGTCGTAACAGTCGATCTTCTCCAGTCAACCTTACCTCCAAAAGCAGTGACATCTTTCTCAACAAGAGGAGGGAAGTAGGTCACCCAGTAGTAAGGGTCGGCGAACTTCGAGATCTCGGATCTTGGGATCCCGAGCTGCTCCATGATCTCAAATTGGTATTTTCCACGGCCCTGCTTGGCTTGGACCTTGGACTTCTTGGCGTTGAACTTGGTCACATCCTCCTTCTTGGCAGCTGTCTTTGCCTCCTCCTCCGGTTGCTCGTCTTCTTCGGGAACCTTCGAGAAGTCCTCGCCAAACATCTCGATCTCTCTTTTGAGCTTGTCGGCAGCAGCACAGATAGGCATACCTGTGCAGTGGAACCCAAGAGGGAAGATCACCTTGACGCCCTTCAGTCTCTCGAACGAGGCTGTGAACTCGCTCTTGGACAACGTGAAACTGTGTCCGGCATGAAGAACACCGTTCATGTATGGGTATGCCATCGTGGTGAGGAATTTAGGGTGCTTTGCGTGGAGTTCCTCCCAAGAGGTGCCATACGGCACTTCCTCGTTGGTTGGAGCGTTCACCTCAAAGACCTTCTCCTCTTTCCACACCTGCTTGTACTTCTTCTCAACAGCGATCAGGGCATCACGCCGGCTCGTGTTCTCGAGAACTATCGGTTTAGCCTCCATGATGAGAATATTAAAAGAATATTTTTCGACGAAAAATAGTCATTATTTTGTACACGACTATTATCATGAGACTACCAGACACGCTCGGGTAGAACACTGCCGTCTACACGGGCTCTTTTTCAGCTCAACAGTCAGTTCGTGTCGCAGCAGCTCAGTCTCTACAGCTCCCCATTAGTTCAGCTCTATTCGTCTTGCCGATTACATTCGTCAGTGCTCTTTGTACTGTCAAGGCAGTGCAGATTTGAAATCAGATCAGAGCCACGCGGCCTCCTTTCTTCGCCTGCCGAAGAACGTCTCTGCGTCGTCTTCTGAAGTACCTGTTCAGGTCTCCACGGTTCTCCCAAAACCACTTGTCGTATTCTTCACCGATCTCGACAGTCTTCAAAGTGGCCAGCTGCGTCTGGGCACTCATGAAAGGTGACTTTGAGTGCGAGAAAAAGAGTCCGTATTTTTTGGAACCAGTCACAGGGGCTGCCACCTCGGACTCCACGTATTCAGGCTGTTTGACCGGCTCCGTCGGATTCAGCAGCGTTCTCAGAACCTCAGTGGTTTTGCTGGAGACAGCTGGCTCTTCCTTCTGTTCGACAGGCTTTGCTTTTTGCAGGAAAGATGGCAAAAACTCGGTATCCACATCCTCATCCTCATCTTTCTGCTCATCTGAGGCTGCTCCGACTGTGTTCTCATCGTCGAAAACGACCACTGCCGGCTCTTTGTTTGCAACCTCAGTAGTCGCTTGGGTTTCGCGACCTCTGGAATCGGGTTTCTGTGCGAGCCCTTCGTCGTCACTAAGATCAACCGGCTTATTAAAATCAAACGAGTCCATCCAGGACTCCAACATCTTGGTTGTGCGCTCTTTCTCGTCCTTGATTTCATTTTCTGTCTCTCCCAAAGTAAAGTCTGTTTTCACTTTCTCCACGGTATGATCGTTACCATCTCTCCATTCGCCATCAATGTATCTCCAAACAAGATCCACGGGGTGCTTGTTCTTGTTGTAGCCCCAGACTTTGGTTTTGCGGGGCCTCACAATTTTAAGCGTGCCCTTAATGTATGTTCTCATCGTCAACTTGGCTAGACTTGTCTTTCTAGGAGTCCGTCTCAATCTTCCTTTCTCTATATTCGAGAGCTCAAATGGATTCAAACCCCTTTGTGCAATTCTCTCTAATCGACATTGTGCTATGCGCTCCCTGATCTGTCTATCTTTGATCTTAGTATCTTGTCTGCGATAGTCTTTCATCCATCTTTCTTTGTAAGCCGGTTTAGCTTCCTGTATGGCAAGCTTTGAGCCCTTGTAGGTGACGCCATTAAAGGAGCGCATGAGATTTTTGAACTGATCGTCGGGTATTTGCATTGTAATGTATCCATAATAGTAGTCTAGCACTTCTTTATGGTGTACCTCAAAACCCCGGACTACTTTCCCAAACTTCTCAAATCGCTGCTCCAAATCCCGTGGATTTTCTGCAAGCAGCTTAGACATCGATCCGACGTATATTCGCCGCTGGTCGTGAGCCATTGTGACTGTATATCTTGCGTACTAAGATTTATTAGCTATTTTTTATTTTTTTATTTTGTCGCCCGGGTAATTGACACCGTCTTGGCTCCTGGAAAAACTTCAAAAGATATACGCTTTTTTGTTCTCAAAATGCCAGTCCAGGAAGATTTGAACTCGGCAAGTGAGGAGTCGGTTCCTCTGAATGCCGACTACTATTTGAGTTACCTGGATGAAAAGCAGAGGGAGGCATACGTGTCGAAGAATATCACCATTCCATTGAAGGAAGAAGGCGAAGAGGTTGTCATTGACACTATCAGCGATCTTCCAGAGGACTCTAGCGAATTGTGTGCTCTTTTGACCAACGAGGAGTCTAGCACGAAACATTGGCTAGTTGTGGCCAAAGCGTACGCCAGTCGGGGAAAAATTGACGAGTCTCTCAATGTCATCAAAAATGCGCTCGACTCACCTACAATTATGGACGCCACGGGAGACGTCCAGTCCACATTGCATGGATTTTTGGCCTGGTTGTATCTCACCAGAGAGGGCAAGAATAGCGGACTGATTTCGTACGACTTGGCCACGAAGGAGACGGAAACCGCCTTGTCGCTAGATCCGACCAACGAACTCACACTCATGTCCCAGGCCTTGCTGCTTCTTTCTTCTGACAAGCAGAAAACCAAACAAACGAATTTCGAAAAGGAATCCAGATTGCTGGACAACTTACTGAAGAAGAACCCAAAGAACTGTTTTGCCTTGATGGCCAAAGCCAAGATCTTCTTTTACAAGGAAAAGTATGTCGCTGCGCTAAAAGTTTTCCAAAGATGTCTTTTGCTCAACCCTCTTCTCAGACCTGATCCCAGAATTGGTATTGGCATATGTTACTGGATGCTGGGCAGAAAGAAGCTTGCCAACCAGGCCTGGCAAAACTCTATTCAAGTGAATCCTGAAAAGAATTTGGAGGCTAAGATTCTTATTTCGATCGCCAAATTTGATGACTGTTTCACCAACTCTGTCTCTGATTCCGACTTCAAAGAGAAGTACGTTTTGGCGTTGGAGTTCGCCAAGGCTTCGCTGATTGACGACCCGACAAACGGTGTGATTTTGTTGATCCTAGCCTCATTCTACTTCTCCAAAGAGGACTATGCATTGGTTCAGAAGATATGCGACAAAGTGTCCAAAGACACGAGGTTCTCCAATCAAATCAAAAGTGACGCTCTTCTTTGGCTCGCCAGATGCAAGTATGCACAAAATGACGTCCTAGAGGCTCAGAAGCTGTTCAGCAGTTCCATCAAATATAACGAGAATAATTTGCTCTCTAGGTACGGTTATGGTCAGTGCTTGATTGTGAGAAATGAAATCAACGACGCCATCAGAGCGTTCGAGAAACTGCAGGAGTCTCATCCTCGTGTTTTGGAGGTCACTTTCGCGCTTGGCATGCTTTACAGCAGGAACCCAAAACAAGCCGATAAGGCAACAACGTTCTTGGAGAGATACGTTTCTCTTGCAAAAGAATACAATGAGCCATTGAACTCCGCAGCCCTAATCACTTTGGCAAGAATATACGAGGATAGAGATATTTCCCAGTCTTTGAAGTACCTCATGCTGTTGAAAGATCAGGAAATCAGCTTGGGGAAAACAGAGGCGGACTTGTCTTATGCACTACTCAATAACATTGGAGTGCTAGGACTGTTGAAGAATGACGGTGACTCCCTGTCGTACTTCGAAAATGCTCTCAAAGCCTTGGAGTCTCAAAAAGAGGAAGGAATTTCGAGAGATGCCATCAGGCTCATCCTCGAGTATAACGTTGCTCGTTGCAAGGAGTCCCAAAACGACGTCGAGACTGCCAAGAGCATGTACCAGAGGATTTTGCAGGAGTGTCCTGGTTACAACAGTGCCAAACTCAGATGGCTCCTTCTGACGTGCTTGTCTGACAAGGAGGACATTCATGAAGAGCTTGCTGAACTGTTAGCAGACTCTCCTGACGATCTTGAAGTTAGATCTTTCTACGGATGGTACGTCAAGAAGTTCGGTAAGAAGTACATGGCTACAAAAGGTAAGGACATTGAGAGTGAACATCACAGAGAAACTCTAGTTAACCACACCTCCCACGACTGTTATGCTCTGACATCGCTGGGTAATGTCTATTGCACTCTTGCCAGAGAGTCCAAGGACGCGCAAAAAAAGGATCAATACTACATTCGTGCAGCCCAGCTCTACCAAAAGGTCTTGTCCATTGATCCAAAGGATGCATATGCTGCGCAAGGCATTGCGATCATTTTTGCCGACAAGAAGCAGGTCGGAATCGCTCTAGAGATATTCAGAAAGGTGAGAGAGTCTTTGCAGGACATCTCTGTCTACATAAATCTGGGCCACTGTTTCTTGGAAGCCAAGCAGTTTGCGAAGAGCATAGAAAGCTACCAGCTGGCTCTTACTCGGTACACGAATGGACAGGACGCCAATATTTACAATTTTATCAGCAGGGCTTGGCTGTACAGGGCAATGGCTGAGAAAGTGTTGGAGTACTTCAAGACGGCACTTCAGTTCGCGGAGAAGGCGTACAAGATCAACGGATTGCCCTCAATCAAGTTCAATATTGCGTTTGTTCACTTCCAGCTTGCAGAGTTTATGAGAAAGCAGCCTCCTACGAAGAGAACGGTTGCCGACTTGGAGGAATCGATGGTTGGGCTGGTCCAGGCTATCAAGTCCTTGAATGAGCTGGCCACCGATGAAAAGCATCCTCCATTCCCTGCTGAAGAGTTGAAATTGAGAGCGAATATGGGTAATACTCTTATCAAGCAACTGGAGAAAGCTATTGCGGAGCAGAAGGACTATGAAGGTGAGGTCGAAAACAAAATTCGTACCGCGAAGAAACAGAAGATACTTGAGGAGCAGAGGAAGCAGGAGCAAAGGGAGAAAGAACTGGAGGAGCAACGCAAGCTGGAAGAAAAACGTGCTGAGGAGAGGAAGCGGCTTGAAGAGACCGCCAAGGAGTGGAATCAGCAGCGTCTTGAGGAGGACAAGGACAACAGAGACGAGCTGGATGTGACTTCCGAGGAAAAACCGAAGAAGAAACGCGGAGGACGTAAGAAGAAGAAGGAGTTTGTTGTTGAAAGTGAGGATGAGGAGGAAGAAGAGCCTAACAAGGAGGAAAGCGAAGACGACAAGAGCGATGCCGACCTTTTCGACGAGGAAAGCGAGGACGAAGACAAGAAGCGCAAGGCTGAAGACGGAGACGAAAACGAAGGGGAGAGAAAGAAGTCGAAGACTGAGGAGACTAAGCTAGACGACTTGTTCGAGTAGTGTAATATAGAGATCTAAGAATTAACATACAAACATCACTATTTCTCATACTTCTTGGTACGTTTTTCACGGATCGTTTCCTTCACCTTACGCACGTCGTCGGTTTTCGCGTTGTAGCTGATGTTGGTTTCTTTGTTCATTGGGTTTTCATCACTCTTTTGGAACTCCTTGTAGATGAGCTGTTCTAGTTGCTGTTTTCTTAGCCCTGGGTTCTCTTTTTTCAATTCAGGGAGTCTGCGGTCTGTGTATGCGGCCAGGGCGGCCTTGAAACGTCTTTCAGGGTGTCTGTCAATTTCCTTTGCTGGAACGACGTCGTTTTTAAGAAGAGACAGGGCGGCGAGGGAATCTTCGACTCCGTGGGCATCGATGGTGCCTTTAGGGCTAAATGAGTTCAAGGCGTCGTCCAGGTCAGAAATGCCGCCTTTCTTGCCCTTCTTGCCCTTGCCACCCTTGGACTTGGTCAGGGTCTCTTCCTCCATGGCGAGCAAGGCCTCGCGCTCTTTCTTCTTGTCTGCATCGGCCTGCTTCTTAGCCTGCTTTTCTAGCTGTTTCTTGCTTGGCTTCTTGCCCGTGTCCTCCCAATCGCTGTCGCTTCCTGGAGCTTCTTCGACCTCTTGCTTCTTACCTTTCTTTGCCATGGAGATATCGAAAAATTATTAAGCTTTATTTTTCGCCATTATTTATTTTATTTTCTATGTACACTTTAGTAGCTGTCGCTTTTAAGTACAAGCAGACCTTCTAGAAGGTCCATGTCCACGATCACGGCGTCCTTGATGACATCGCCCACTTCAATGTCGCTCAAGAGCTCTCTACTTCTATCCGACTGGCTGGTTTCCAGCACACCGTACACGCCGTAGTCAGGTAGAACAACATCTAGAATGCCGTCGTCGGAAGCCGGCCTGCAAACAACACATTCGACGCGGAGCGGCTCGTTCGAGGATTTTTGCAGATATTTGAGGTGCTTGAACATGTAGAATGTCATGATTTTCGAGGAAACACGTTTATCGATGTCGGTGCGCATCTCGAGATGGTAAGCCATTGCGTTGACATGTTCCTGTCTGAAGGCGGGCGTGCCTTCGGCGAGATAGCGGTGCAGCTGCCAATGATTAACGAGATCGGCGAATCTCCGCAGTGGCGACGTGACAGTGGCATAAGCCTCGACGGCAAGAGAATCGTGTCTTGCAGGGAACGGAGCAACGTGCGACTTATTCAGGAACTCGCTGAGCAAAAAGAACTCGTTAGTGGTCACAGTCCCCTTGTTCTGCTGCAACTCCCGCAACTGCTGCGCCACCTCTGGAGTCGTTGGCTGTTTGTTCTGGATCTTGAACAGGCCTGGTATTTTATTCTCTTTGAAAAATTCTCCCATCAGTCTGTTGGAGTTGACCATAAGCTCGGAAACAAGCACTTCGGACTTGAGCTGCTGGTTTCTGCGGTTATCCTTGAAACTGATGAGAATGTCCTCTGCGTCCTCCTTGATGGTGTCCACCTTGCGGCCCATCGAGAAATTATTAAACACGGTGACTCTTCCATTTTCCTCCGCTCTCTTGCGGAGCACGTCTGCCACAGTGTACAGCGCTTTCAGATCGGCCGATATCTTAGGTACTGGGATTTTTGTTCGTGCGGACATCTCGTTCAGGATCTTGTCTGCATCGCTTGCGTCCTCCAGAATTTTATGCACCGAGTCGTAATCGGTACTCAGGAACTGGTCAGCAACACCGAACTGCACACCGTCTGGCGCCAGCTCTGCTGTTCTGTTGGCAATGTCCACCACATAGCTCACCTTGAGCACTCTCTGGGGAGTCCCGTGCACACCCAGCTGGATACATTTTGTCAGAGCCTCGGGCATCATCGATAGTCCGTTGTTGGCAGCTCCGACGTCGGGTAAATAAAGCGTGGACGCACGCTCGAACGCAATGTCTGCAACCGTGCTTTCTGGATGGATGTAGGAGGCAGGATCGGCAACGAACACGCCAACAAGGAACTTATTCTCGTCCAACTGGTGCACACTGACACCGTCGTCGATTTCTTTGGCGTCGACCGAGTCAATACAGTAGACAACGTCAGAAAAACGAGGACGTGGATGGTTGAACATTTCCTCGTCAACGAAAAAGAAACTGTTGAGCGTGTCTTTGGTGATTTTTGCATGGAACTCCTGCTCCAGGTCTGCTTTGAGAGAAAGTCCGCTTCCCGGAGTAGGAAAGTTTATCCACCATTTAATCGGGTTCTCATTCGGTGCAATCTCCTTTAGTTTCAGAAGCAGCTCGTAAATGACGTCTCTGGTGATCTCAAGATGGTTGTGGCTAGGAAGTCTTCGCACAATCTTCACCAAGAAAGACTCGCAGCTAGGACTGCTCACAGAGCCGGCAATGTACAGTCGATACATGTCCATAATCCGCTCGTAATGCTGCGGCTGTGTCTTCGGAGACCCTCCCTTGAGTCTGTGCATGATATACTCGGTGAGCTGGCCGTGCAGTTCCTCGTTTGCCTCGTAATCCTCCACAACTTTATTGTGCTCGACAATCGTCTCCAGAGGAACAACGGTCACGTGTTTCGGTACCATGTTTTTTGTATCATGAGCATACGTTTGGTTATTTTTGCGCAACCCCAGAATGAGAGCGTAAACTGCTTCCGGACTCATCTTGTCTGTGTTGCCAACCTTTCCAAAAGGGCTCTTGCCCAGACTCACCCAGTCATACTGGTTTCCAATTGTCAGCATCCGGGTCAGCAGATTATGTAGTTTTTTATTGCTCTTCTGTATTGTCTGCGGGTCTTTCGAACGGAGCACCTTTGCTACCTCCTCCAAATTCACCAAGCTGCAAGCGCGGAATATCTCACAAAAGTTAAACTGAACGGGCCCGTTTGAGCTCTGCAGAACGTTGTGAAGAGTCTCCAGCTTCAGATTCACGTCAGGAAGCAAACTCCAGGCCCTGTTGTTCAGTTTGGATAGTTCCTCACTCAATATTCCAGAAAGAAGAGAGGGAACAATGTACGTGGTCAGTTCCTCTGTATCATTGATGTCCTGTGAGATTATCTCGTCAAACATTCGAGCGCGATCTGGGTTTTCTTCGAGCTTATATTTCACTTTACCTATGGGCTGGGCATAGCTCCCAAGGTCTGCCAGGATTGTTTGCTCGCTCATCACCGAACCGTTGAACCAGTCCGGTGGAAAAATAGAAGGCAGTCGGAAACGGAAACGTTTTTTGCTCACAAACTCCAGATCTCCGTACTTGTTGATCAAAGTGTAACGGGGGTCTTTGATATCCTGCGGAAGTTCAGCAACAACGGCAAGATTATTGCTGTCCAGCGAAAGCGATAAATCGACCACGTCTCCGACGTTTATGTCAGTGAAATACAGGTCTTTAAACGATATCGAAGTAGACATCCTGCCATACCTCTTTTTCAAAAGGCTGCGGACTCTGCCCCGGGATTCTGGCGTATCCAGAAAATCGAAATCTGCTGGAACACTATCCAGGCCAAACATAGCGGAGATCCACTGCCTGTTGGGCTCACAGAACCTGACATTATTTAGGTTTTCGTACTGTTCGCGTAAATTGTCAATGTCCACATTTCTATATTCTTGAAGCAGCTCCTCGGGGGTTTTCACTACCTGCAAACTGGGACTTTTATCCTTTGTTCTCCTGGATCCCGCTCTTCGCCATCGTACCTGCCCTATCCCGGAAAACAACAGCCGGGACGGCAACCTTGATGAATATCTTAACATGAAAATACTAAAAAATTATAGAAAAATATTTCTAATTTATTAACTACACTGATGTATATCAGAAAATATTTTCAAGCACCTTCTTCAGCTTACCGCTCTCTGTATTCTTGGTATCCTTCTGCGACGCATCGGCTCCCGCTCTATTCGTAGTAACAGACCGCTGGGCATACACGCGTTGAACAGCGGGCTCAGGGTTCTTCTTCCGTTTCTTGATGTTTTCAATCATCTTCGAAGTTTCCACATTCTTAATGAAGTTTTTGTTTATTCTGTGCGCTTGAGAAAGTTCGGATTGCATCTTACTCTCTCTGATCTCAATCTCTCTATTCAAAGCTTCCGTCAGATCATGCCACTTGAAGCCCTTGAGATATTTGATGTTCATAATGTCATCATAGTAGAAATTACCTTTCTTTCCTCCTAGCTTGTTCCCGTTCAAGGTTTCTGCCGCGAGTTTAGCGTCGTTCTTATTCTCAAACTCACACCAGCCCTCCACAAACTTCTTTTTCTTGTTTCCCCCAGTCTTCACCCTCGTCTTGTAAACCTTGGGGTCCTCAGGCTTGAGATACAGCCTCCCCACTTTTCCGAACCGTTGCAAAACATGTCTGAGTTTTGCGGGCTTCATGTATGGAGGAATAGTCGAAAGATACACCACCCCGCTACGCTTGATCTTCTTCTGTTCTTTGGCTAGTTGTTCCGGAGTCAGTTGCTTGAGCTTCTTGGCGCTCTGTTCCATTTCTTTGCGTGCCTCCTGCACGTGCTTCTCGAACTCGACGTCATAGTCGTCTTCTTCCTCGCTGTCGCTGGCCTGGAACCGATCTTTTATCACCTTTTTCTGATTTCCGGGATAATCGTTGGAATCGCTAGCATTTTCCTCGTCGTTGTCCTCGTTTTCATCAGAGAAGTCACTGTTCTCTTGTTCTGTATCTCTGTTTCTCCACTCATCATTGCTTTCACTTTCGTCATCAGAAAGCCCTCGCTTAACCATGGCTACGAATTATTTTCCTATTGATAAAAAAAATTTAGTTTATATTTACTTACGATATTTTAAGGCTTGAAAGCCCACCGAATTTGACGACCATCTCAACAGCACAAGCACCCCAATCTTCGCCGTGGTTGTGCATCACGCCAGGGATCAGGCCAGCACGAGCCTCTGCTTGCTCCTCCGTGAGACATGTCAAAACGCCGAAGATCACCGGCTTTCCAATCTTGAATTGGAGGTCCATAAGAGCATGCGACACAGAATCGCAAATATACTCAAAATGCATGGTGGAACCCTTGATCAAACATCCAATTGGAATAACAACGTCGACATTGTGCTTTTCGAACATTGCCACGGTGGCCAATGGAAGCTCGTAAGAGCCGGGGACAGACTCGATGATGATGTCTGTCTCCCCGACACCGCACTCGAGAAGCTTGTTCTTGGCACCAAGAACGAGATTGTCGATGATTTTTCTATTCCACCGGGCATGAACAATACCCACGCGGATGCCTTTACCGTTGTACTTTTGATCGACTTCGCCCAATCCTCCAACGGCCATTTTTGACAGTGTTCCTAAAATGAGATGTTAAATTGACGGTCGAGCATTTTTACTATATGCGATATATTATGTTTTGGTAGCACAGCCGTATATTTTGTAAATTGGTACGCGAAAACCAAGATTTCTCTCCGATTTTGTCTTGCCGTCATGCTTTCGAGTGTCTCATTGAGCCGCAAGAGAAAGCTTTCGGACCCTCCGCACTCTTCCTCCGAGCCCAAGAAACAGCTGCTTCCAACTGTTGCCTCGCTGTACAATCTGGATCCCGCTGCTACTGGCCCCCAGCAAATCGAGCTTCGGAGAAAAGTCTGCCTTCGAGTGGGTCGGTCCAAGAAAAACGATATTGTTCTCGCTCCGGCGGACTGTTCAACGCATCACTGTGAAATCGGTGTGAGCCACCTCAATGGAAAAGACATAATCTATCTCAAGGACCTCAGCTCGAACGGCACCTTTGTGAACGGACTTCTCGTTGGTAAGGACAATACCTGTCTGATTCGATCTGGGGACAAGATTTCTTTTGCTGCTGAATGCCACTATATTTTGAAGTACCAGGCAAGTTTTACCGTCAAGAGCGCACGAAGGCCTGGAACTGGCTCCTTCTACGATAGCTACGTGATTGGTGAGCTGCTGGGGTGCGGGCATTATGCGCAGGTCAAAGAGTGCGTTCGGAGAAGCACGGGAGAATCCTGTGCGGTCAAGATCTTCAATCCAACTCGCAAAGACGCCAGTTGGGCCACCTCGCTAAATAGGGAGCTGGACATCCTCATGAAGATCGACCATCCGAACATCGTTCGATCGTACGAAACGTTTGTGGAACCGTATGACGCCAATACCATGACCACATACTTGGTGTTGGAGAAAGTGAATGGCGGCGAGCTCTTCAACAGAATCGTGTCCAAGGGCAAGCTTCGCCAGAACGAGACAAAAGCACTCATGAGCCAGTTGGTGAAAGGCCTTGAGTACCTCCACTCGCTGGACATTGCACACAGGGACCTGAAGCCGGAGAATATTCTTTTGGACATAACACTCAAAAAGCACGACTCCGACAAGCAGACAGGGCCTTGGGACTCTCACGAGCTTGATGTCAAGGTGAAAATTGCAGATTTCGGCCTCGCCAAGTTCATTGGAGCAACAAAGTTTACCAACACGCTCTGCGGGACGCCCGCATACGTTGCGCCTGAGGTGCTCGTGAACTCGACGGAGCGCAAATACACCAAAGCCGTCGATATGTGGTCCATTGGGGTGCTGATATACGTGTGTCTTTGCGGTTTTCCTCCCTTCAGCGAGGAGCTGGGCCCACCGTCGATGCGGCAGCAGATCATCGAGGGTAGGTACGCTTTTTACTCGCCGTACTGGGACGATATCGAGGACTCTGCCCTCGACTTGATCTCGCGACTTCTGGTTGTGGATGCCACCAAGAGACTCGAAGTCTCCAAAGCGTCCAAGCATGTTTGGTTCAATGAGGTGCGACCGAAGACGGATGTGATGCAAACAGCATTCAAGGGCAGCAGAGCACCGGTCACACGAGGCTACTCCAACCCAATAATGCTGGCAGAACGCGTCAAAAGCTCGCTCGGCGACGACACCCTTGCACGCGCCTACAGTGCAGATGTCGACATGGCTTAATATGAAGATAAAAACTAAGCATGATGCGAAATGGGTTGATTCCAAAGGCTGAACACCCGGATACTCGCTAAACTTTTCACTTCAATACGCAAGGTGCCGTCGTGAGGATAAGTTGGTGCTACTTCAAAGGTGCTGCTTCCATTTTATATGATAATATAAACCTACAGAGACTACCATAATCTATTACCTAAGCCAGCCTAAGATTCGCTAATCACCCCGGGGTATTTCGTAACGAAAAAAAGTTGTAGAGATAGAGATCTCTAGATGATTAGATTAAATACGTCTATGAAGGGCATTAGGCATTTTCATCGGTCGGCTGCCGTCCTGTCCGATTTCACCCATGTGGTGATCGGCGCCGGTGTTGTTGGTTTGGCTGTGGGTGCCGAATTGGCCAAAAGAGAGTCGAACAATGTGCTAGTGGTAGAAAAGCATGCGCATCACGGACAAGAGACCTCTTCCCGAAACTCTGAAGTGATCCATGCAGGTCTGTACTATCCCGACGAGTCTCTCAAGACCAAATTGTGTATCGAGGGCAAAGATATGATATACGACGCTGCAAAGTTCGGAGTCGAGTCTTCAAACTGTGGCAAATGGGTTGTGGCTCAGGACGACGCTCAATTGGAGTATCTTCATCAGTTGCACGAGAAGTCCAAGAAAATTGGTGTTCCAACGGAGTTTGTGTCGCTGGAAAAAGCCAGACAACAGGAACCATTGATTCGTGCGAATGCGGGCATTCTGTACTCTCCAACCACGGGAATTGTTTCTGCACATTCTCTGATGGACTATCTTCTTGCCGAGCTGGAAAACCGCGGAGGCATGCTGATGACGTCGACGGAGGTGACGGGCATAGACGTAGATGGCGGGTACAAGCTGACCACAATTTCTGGGGACGAGGAGTTTCCGATCAGAGCAGACGTGGTGATTAATAGTGCAGGCCTATATTCTCCCGGAATCGCCAACCTTCTGCTTCCTAAAGAAAGACACTATACTCCATACTATGCAAAGGGAAACTACTTTGCGTATTCCCACAACCCTGGCATTCAGAGACTTGTGTATCCGTGTCCAACTCCAAATATTGCAACCTTGGGCACTCATTTGACTTTGGATCTGGGAGGACAGCTCAGATTTGGCCCAGACCTGGAATGGGTCGACAGGCCAGACGATTTCAAGCCAAACGAGGCAAACCTCGACTCGGTCCACGAGGAAGTGTCTAAATATTTCCCTGGAGTGAAGCGTGAAAATTTGAGTGCTAGCTACAGCGGCATCCGTCCGAAACTGATCCCTCCAGGAACCAAGAATCTTCATGATTTTGTGATTGAAGAGACGTTCCCCGGTTTCGTTAATCTCGTTGGAATAGAGAGTCCCGGACTCACCGCCAGCATGGCAATTGGCAAACATGTGTACAACATGATTGGATAGATTCAAGATTTTTTCGGTAAATGTTCTGGCTCTGTCGGCTCTGGAGACTCTGTGAAGTAGCCATGCAAAAGACAGGCCTCTGTATTGAGTCTGTTGTTTGGGTTCAATGCTAACATGCCGCACATCAGGTCCAGCGCGGACTCTGTAGCGGCTGGAAACCTGTTTCTCAGTTCCTGTCGCGAAGGCTCTGGATAGACTGTGAGATTGTTGTAGTTCGGAAGGTGGGACACACCTGGCCAGTTTTCTTCGGTTGGGGTTCCCAAGGCCTGGAAAGTAACAACCAGCTGGTCTGCGTCGTCCTTACCGGGTAGATATGGCGTTCTCAACATCAGTTCGGCAAATATAATCCCAACAGCCCAGATATCCACTGCCGGGGAATAATGTTGAGCTCCAAAGAGAAGCTCTGGCCCTCGGTACCATCTGGTGACCACGTTGGAGGTGAGTTTCTCATTGGGCATCCCAAGAGACCTGGCAAGACCAAAATCTGCTATTTTCACGTAACCTTCGGGCGAGATTAGTAAATTGTTCGGCTTCAGATCGCGATGGAGTATTCCGTTTCTGTGGCAATGGTGCAACCCTCGCAAGGTCATCAGCATCCAGGATTTTATGTCTGCCGGGACAATCATCAGCTTCTTATCGTTGATGATCATCTCAAGATCCGAGGGAAGAAACTCCAAAATCAAGTTGAGGTTTTTCTCCTTGTCTGCAAAAACGTCAACCAGTTCAATGATATTTTGGTGCTTCAATTCCTGGAGATACTTCATCTCTCTGATGGCTGACATATCAAGCCCATCTTTGAATGTACCCGTTTTGATCTCTTTGATGGCTATATCTCGACCTGTTGCAATTTGTTTCCCTAGGTAAACAACGGCATAGGTACCTTCGCCTACCTTTTTTTCCTTGGTGTACGCGGTAGACATCGAAGGCAGAATTAATGAAAATTACATATATTCTATATAAAGAAAAAAATAAAAAAAGATCTAGATAATAATCATCATTTGTTCTCACCCGTCGTCGTCAAAGATATTAACCATACAAAAATATTGCCACAGACACCAGGATTTGCATTATCCTGAATAGAACTGTTTTTTCGACCAAGTGAACAGTACACCATGTCATTTTCGAACGACAGGCAGTGCTTTCTGGTTCTACTTAGCTTGCTTAGCTACGGGGCTCAGGGCGTTCCGATAACTCTCGAGGACCAGCCCGACAATATACCGTCAGACCTCGTTGTTCTGTTGGGAATGGCGATCGGGTTTTTTGGTGTATTCGTCATATCACTAATCGTCTATTGTCTACAGAGGTTGCTGCGAAGAGGCATACGACTGACACACGAGTTCCCAGGGTCCTTGGACGACGCTGCTCAGGAGGCGGAGGAAGATAGACGCGCGCTAGACGAGCTTCCTCCTAACGAACAGGAACTATATTTCCAGGCCAAGGATTTCCTGAAACTGAATCCAGTGAACAACCAGGAGCTGACACTATCGCAAAACTTAATTATACAGGAGAAAGGAGTGTCAGCATGGGAGTTTCGACCTCATATTGAATGCCAAGAATTCATTCGCGTGGTGGACAAGACCGAGATCGAATTCTTGAATACAGGGCAAGAGCTGTCCATTCAGACGAACTTTCCCATACCAAAAGAAAACGAAGTGTACTATTTTGAGACCAAGATTTATGAACTACCTAGTCCAGAAGATACATTAATATCGATTGGAGTCGCCACTTCTCCATACCCATACTTCCGCCTTCCAGGTCGCAACCGAATTTCGGCGTCATACGATTCAACAGGCCACAGACGCTATAATGACCCTTTCCCGCTGAAAGACACCGTCTTCCCTACTCTCGAACACGGAGATGTAATTGGATGTGGCATCAAAATAGCGTCGCGGACTGTTTTCTGGACGCGAAACGGCAAGAAATTGTCGGAGTCGAAGATAGGAGGCCATATCAAGCTCCCGAAAAATCTACAACTATATCCTACAGCTGGCTCGAACAACAAGTGCGCGCTTCATGTGAACGTTGGACAGGCAGGATATGTTTTCATAGAGGCAAACGTCAAAAAATGGGGATTCGGCCCGCTCGAAGGCAACGAGATTCCTCCGCCGCTATACACAAAATTCAATAAGGACGTTTTATTGGAAAGCAGTGACTTTGACCTCAACGATCTCAGTTTGCGAAACGGCGATTTTCCACCAGATTTCTGGGACGCTGTGGACGGCTCTTCTGAGTTCAACGACGTTGAAGAGAACATTACACTACACACTATGGGAGAAGACGAACGTTCGGAATATGCGCTATCGGAGCAGGAGGAGGCCCCTAATAGTCCTCCTCTATACGATGAAGTGTCTCGGTAAGTGATGTATGCATTTATACAGTCTATATTAATGATACCTATCAAGAGCATGACCATTCAGCGTAAACGTGCCAGGAATCGTTGTTGAGAACTACAAGTCTCCATAATCCGGGCTCATTCAGACGCTTGGTGAGCTCAAAAGCGCCATTTTGATATTGCAAGAGATGGAAAGTGCCAGAGGGAGATATTAGGTTGCACTTGATTGTGCTATTAGTGGAAAGCACCTGGAATTTATATGGTGAATTATGGGTCAGGTTAAATGTCTGTGGCTGCTTGATGTACAGATCAAAGTCTAGATGAGCGTTGTTGTCGTTTTTCTTCACCCATTCTATTGGCTTGTATTTTCCCTTGTGAGAGCAGGGCAAAGAAAGAACCATGGAGAAGTCTGCTCCTGGACGCGAAGTTGAGCGAGCATAGACGCAGATGAAGCCCAACGAGCACCTAGGAGGCATTGCAGCCTTGATCTTCGCCAGTCTCTTGTCTCTTTTCATGTATATCTGTACCAGGGCTTCCCCTTGGACATCATTATCGTACGACCTGACAATGGCGCGAACGTCAATCTTCTTTGGGACTTCAAGGTCGAACTCAATCAGTTCCAAGTCCGTCAGACGGAACAGTGAGTGGTTGAACTTGTAAAGACTAAGTTTGTGATGCAAAAAGCCAGAATATAATGGAGGCAGCGCCATCTGGACTAGGGGATCCAGCGGAGGCACGATATGCTGTTGGTCTGCGTGCATTGGAACGTGGGTGTAGAGCAGATCCAAAGGCTTGGTGAGGAAGTAAAACTCGGAGTTCTGCTGGAGCGACAGTGGCTCAATCAGATTGAGCTCGTCGTTTATTGGATTGGTGTGGTTTCCGAGAGCAACGTCGATAAAGCGGTATTCACCTTCCACCAGCACCGAGATCCAAGTGTGGTTGAGCACAAGGTTGCTGTCGAGTAGTTGCAACGGTTTTTTGAATTTTCCCAGTATTATCTCCATCTCGAGATCCAGATGCGATGCCATGATATAGAACATCCATGTGAGCTGGTGGCCGGTGCATCTTTTTCTGTGGATTATGTCTGAAAACAGGGCTTCTGACGGCGACACTTTGGCACTGAGCTTTTCTTGTGTTTCTATTATCTCGAACCTGGTGGTGAGGTAGACGTAGATGGCTTTGAGTTGCTCGAGGGCAGTTGGCAATTTGGGAACTATGCGGTTTTTCACAATCTCTCTTGGCCCTATGAATCGATCGTCCGGCAGCTCTGCCACGAGCTCGTCGACGTGGTCCAAGTCGGTCTCGTCAATTATGGATGGAGAGGAGTAGGACAGCTTCTCGTTGACGTTCAAGCTCGAAATCGCCTTTTGAGGCTGCAAAATCAGGTCGGGCTCTTCCTGAACAACACGGGATTTTCTGCTGGCTCTGTCGCGGCCAGTCAGAGTTTGCGTCCTCGCCAGGCCGTCGTCGGTGTTTGTCTCTTTTATCGTGAGCTCCTCGAGCTTATCGAGACTCGTGCTGAAAATCTGGTCGTCTAACGAAGGCTCGACGGACTTTTTACCCAGAAATCTCCTGAAAAATTTCGGGTGCTTGGCATTGGGGCCCTTTTCCAGCATCGAGCTCACCAGGTCCTGTCTGTCGCTGTCCGACATGCTGGCGTGCATTTTTGCTTCCTTATGGCGCATAAATGAGCCCGCCGAGGTGGCAGAAAAATCCGAATGTCCAAAATATGACGACCGTTCCGTGTCCGTAGATAAGGTGGACGAGTCGAGGATCCGCTGCGTATACGACGACGTGAACAGTTTGTTGTACGTGGAGTACTGGTGTTTTGGCGGCGGCGGTGGGCTCTCGTCGTAGTTCGTGACGTCCGTGGGAACAGATACGGAAGAGCCTAGTTTCAGGCTGCTGGACGAGGCGGACGGGGTGAGTCTGAGAGACTTGGAGGAGCTCGACTCCTTCAGCTCCAGCAGGCTCTTTCGCGACCCAGACTCCTTGATCTGCAGCACCTGGATGAACTTGGTCGGGAATCTTCCAGCAAGTTTGCTTCTAAGTGAGACCCCGTAGCACCATTGGCCGTCTGAGGACGTTTTGGACACCTCGATGATATCTCCTTCGATGAACCCGAGATCTTTCTCCTTGTTGTTGCCGCCCCAACTCCAAATGGCTTTGGCTTTGAACGGTGGAGAAGGAAGGGTCATGCTAAGCGCTGCGCAGGAACAAAAATTGGATAGAAGAATAATTTAGACAACCAGCCTCCAGATCATTAGTTATCCATTTTGGGAAAGAGAAAAATACTCAACGATAAAAAGAGAGCAGCCGTAAGGACGGACACGAAACTCGCAATTGTGATGAGAGTGGGATAAGTTTAAAGCGATTGAAGGGTTTATGGATTGAATTAGTGTAGGTTATGCCGGTGGATTCATTGCCTACCACTTGACGGTCCTGAAATTAATAACTGGGTGTATTAAATATTTGTGAGTGATCCATAAAATGTACAGCAAACGCTGGAGCTGCTGTTGAGCACCACACCACGGTGCGTTATCCCACGGCAAATATAGCCCGCTGTTGTCTGGCCCTACCTGCAAATATAATTGTTGCCTGAATTCTGTACCAATACGAACATGTCGCGGAAAGTCTGCCTTTTCTGCCACTTTTGTATTTTTTTTCTCACGAGACATGTCAAGCAAACAGCTAGACATAATGATCGATTCGATGTAAGTTGACGCGTCTGCGTGCTAACCCACAGCCTGCTGTCTAGAGAATACCACTCCCTAGCCCCAGAGGAGATTATCAACCACAAGACCACAGGGATGAAGAGCCGACTGAAATTCTCTGACGATTCCCATCGGGAGAAGGTGTGGTCACCGGAAATGATGTTCTACTACATGAACCTGCTTTTGGACGAGTACAACACAGGAACGCGATTTGTGCTTTTTAAATCACGCGACAGCTATGGCCCAAAAACCAGACATCCGGAGCTCACGTTCCACCCCTTTCTGTGGGCAGGAGACTGGCACCTGGCGGTTGGGTTCCACGAAATCCGGAAAATTGTTTTAATTGACTGTTCTGAGCTGCAGACAGAGTCTGACGCCGGATTTCCCCTGCGATCTGTGCTGAAAATTGAGGATTTCGTGATCTATTTTGGCCACAAGGTCAACAAGTCCACTCTCAAAACACCGTACAGAATCACAAACTTTATTGAGCCTCTGTGTCCAATCAACGCAATCAACCTGCTCTCGCTTGTTTTCACGTTTTGTGTTTCGCCTACACACCTGAAAGAAATGTTTATTTCCCCAAATCCTGAGCTGCGGACCTTCGATGTGTCTGAGTTTTACGAGGAAATCAAAAACTTTGATCGCTTTGGCAATGCCCGACAAATCCTGGGCAACTCGTTGATGAACAAGCTGGTGGAGAAGAGCCAGACGATTCCGGAGCCGGACCCCGTGATTGTCGCGAAATTTGATCCGCAAACTGCCGATTTCAGCAAGTACTTCCCTATAAAGACGGCCAAACATTTTTTGGAGAGCATCAACGCCCGTGCCGACCAGCTGCCAGAGGACGCCGACGTCTTCGACGAGGTGGTGGAGATGATCGAGAGCTGGTGTCACGTGGAAAACCATACTGGTTTCGACAACTGGAGCATGCTTTTCAGAGAAATTACTGTCGGCTACTATAATTCAAGGAGCAAAATTCATTTCGACGAAGAAGAGTTCCAGGAGGTGCTTTTGAGCGCAGACCACCGGAGCCAGGTGTTTCCGCTTGTGCTGGAAAACGGCTCCAGCTACTTGATCAACACAGACCGGACAGAAGACCAATTGGTCGTCAACGTGCTAGAAATATCATTCAGGTCACGGGGAGCAAAAGATGTGTGCAAACCCTTTGCAGTGCGGCGTCTGATAGAAATGTATGGCTGGCACAACCGCAGATTGGTGAACAAGATCAACATGGATAAGTATTCCGTCCAGGGTTCGAAGCTGTACCATGTTTTATCCGGCTTCATCTATTTTATTCACTATTTTATCTACCACGGCAAATTTGACGTGCATTTCAAACCAGATCAAATGGATATTGACAGCCACAGCATTGTATTTCAGTCCTTGATGCATAAGATTGTCGCGAACGACAAGGCAGGAGTTATTGAAGATTACGCAAGGCTGATCAAATATATAGAAGTGTAATAATATAAGGAAGAAAAGAATACCAGAGCTCGTGATATACGGCCAGCTAGCAAAACAGAGCGTACCGACAGTATGGCCGAGTGGTTAAGGCGTTTGACTCGAATTCCTGTTCGTGCCATCAAATGGACTTTGTCCGCACAGGTTCAAATCCTGTTGCTGTCGAAATTTTTTTCTTTGGGTGATCAAATATTTTTTTATTATGACGCGTGGTGTTCTAATTGCCATAGAAGGGTTGGATCGTACCGGCAAGACCACGCAAACGTCGCGTCTGCTAGAGAGACTTGACAAGCATGGTGTGGACGCAACGCTTATCAAATTTCCTGAACGGACCACCCCAATTGGGAAGATAATTAACTCATATCTTACAGACAAAGCGTTCGAGCTCAGCGACCAGTCTGCGCATCTCTTGTTCAGCGCCAATAGATGGGAGCTCGCCGAGAAAATTAGAAACCTTCTGCAGAGCGGAAGAACAGTGGTATTGGATAGATACGTCTACTCGGGAGTGGCATATTCTTCTGCCAAAGGACTCCCGTTTGACTGGTGTTTAAGTCCAGACATTGGGCTTCCCAAACCAGATATTGTGCTTTTTATGAAATTCGAGCACGAAGAGAATGTCACTAGAGAAGGTTTTGGAGAGGAACGTTATGAGGTGGCAGAGTTCCAGCAGAAAGTAAGGACCCAGTTTGAGAAATTCCAGAACGAGGATAATTGGAAGACGATTTACGTGGACAACAAGAGCATAGAAGAGGTGGGGGAGATTATATGGGCGGAATACGAAGCGATAGCCAGCAGAGAGCGCAAAGCATTGCAGAAGTTCACCAAGCTAGAATAAAAATTGTAATCAATATAAACGCAAAAGTCTGTCAAATAATACACAATAAAAAAAACACCAGGAGCAGAACTGATGGAGCCGCTTTATATGAAGGACAAGTTGGCGTAAAGAGCAACAAAGGTGGTAAAGAAGTCACCGATGAGAACCCAGTTGCCAAAGTAGTTTCTCAGAAGAAGAGTGCTCGTAAGCAGGTAGTGCTTGAAGAGCTTAGCAGCGTATTCAACAGAGTAGTTCCTGAAGGAGAACTGGAACACAAGCTCGTCCTTGATGTCGTGTCCGCTGACCTCGGTCTTGAACAGTATCAGACCAAACAGCAATTTGGCAAGCGCGAAAATGAATGGGTCGTACTCAAAGTTGTACGTGAAGTTAACGTAGTAGGAGGTGAGTTTCGGAGCTCCGTAGGAAACAAGAAGCCATAAAAGGACAGTGGACCAGAAGTTTGCATCAAGGAAGTGCGTGAGGTCGGTGACTGGAGTCTTGAGAACTGCTGCTGGGAGGTTGCTCTTCACAATTTGCGGCACAAAGCGAATATCGCCGAGAGCAACTGACTTGGCAAAGTGCAGATACAAGTAGATGAACTCTCCAACGACGGTGAAGTCGTTGATGGTGAACGGGTCGCTGAGGTAGTCTCTAAGCTCGTAGTTCTTCTCGGCAATGTAGTCTGCTATTTCGTACAGAGTATCGTTGTCGATGTAGTCGAGAATCTTGTCGAGGGTGGATGGCTCCAGGTCGAAGTCGTCATCAGAGTCGTATTCATCGGAGTCGTCGATATCTATAATTTCAGCATCGTCAGATTCGTCGTCATTGTCTTCGTCGTCGTCGTTCTCATTTTCGGCCTCCTGCTTGACACTGACAACGTAGTCGTAGTATTCGTGGTCCTTGTCGTACTTGTCGGCATTCTCCAGGAAATGGTCCGTCAGCCTGTCAACAAGCGCCTGTTTCACCTTGCACGACTTGATGTTGACATCTAGGTCTCTGGCAATTTCCTCAAGCTGGGCCTTTGTTTTCTTGCTCAATAAACTCATGGCTGCAATCTTAGACAAATTAGGGATGTAGAACTCTCAGAGAATACGGTTTTAGTAGTCGATGTCCAATTGAATACTCTTCAGCTAGCAGGTGTTTTCAAAAATCTTTATAGACTAGAAAATAAACACTTTTGGCCTTGTTTACTAATTTATTATCCTTTCTTGTTTTTAAGTTCGACGTTACATTTTTTGAAACCGCAGACGACGACCTGTGTTTATCTATTACCGGATTTGGAGAAATTTCGAGTTCCTGGCAGGTGTAGAGATTTTACTAGCGTTTCCTCAGCTTCACTTTGCAATCGTCGCAGTACCACTCGCCACGCGGCAGCTCTTTCAGGCCCGTGCACGGCAGATGGAACCACTCGCGCTCGCAGCTCTCGCCGTCGCATCCCACCATCTCTCCGTACGAGACCTGCTGACAGTAGCAATACACAGGTTCTGCGTCGTACGGAGACGTGGCTGCTGACTCGGACTTGGCAGCAGAAACAGGCGTAGGCACGGGTGTCGGCGTCGAGCCGCCGGTGGTGTTTGTGTACTCGTCCTTGACCCGCTTCTCCTTTTTCGGCTTTGACGTTTTCACCCGTCTGGACTCGTCGACCGAGGCGGGCAAAGGTTTCCGTTTCTTGGAGCTGAGCGCGTGTGTGACTGCCGCGTCGAGATGGTCGCCGTCCTTTCTGTCCCTCTTCACCTTTTTCGACGGGTTCGCGTACGACGGCGTCCCGTTCGACGGGATAGGCGTGTTCCTTGCGCTCTCGTCCTCCACCTCTGTTTCTGTGCGGGACGCCTTCTTGGCAGCAAGTGCCTCTCTGCGGCTCTCGCTGCGCTGCGATTGTGCGCTCTTGTGTTCTGTCACCTTCATGCACGGATGTATCAACGGCCCGATTCTGACTCTCTCGGGGATCTCGTTCTCCAGCACAATCTCGTAGTTCTGGTTTATTCTGTTCACATGTTTTGCGACAGTGTCGCACGCTATGGTGGCGACATGCATTTTCTCCTCGAGACACGGCATGAGGTCCTTGATCAGGTCCTTGATTTTCTCCAGCAGAAGCTCTCTTTTCGGGTGCGTCCGTTTCATCTGGAGAAACCGTGTGATGTAGGCCTTCAAATACGGGATCGTGTGCACGCACTTGGCGTCGATCTCCCGCAGAAGCGTGAAATATCGTATCAGGTCGCACGGGAACGCTTCTAGGGCGTCCGTTATCTCGTTCAGCCCAGGACAGATGTCCGCGACCTGGGGCTTGCTGATGGGCTTCTGCTGTTGCAGTCGCACGAACCCGGCCTCGTGTCTGTCCCGGCTGGCGCGGTCGACGAGTCGCTGAGACTTCGTTCGCGGGGCGTACTCGTAGGACGTCATCAACAAGAGAAATTAAATAAAATAAAAAAATGTTACCCTCTTAATATTTATCCTCAAGGCAATGGCGACGACACCGTCCAATTGGAACGAATTCAGAAGCGACACCTTCACCACGCCGTCGCCAGAAATGCTCGCGACGGTCCTCCACGCATCCACGGGGGACTCCGTGTACAACGAAGACGAGGACACGCTTGCTTTGCAGAGACAGGTGTGTGAGCTCACAGGCCACGAAGCGGGGCTCTACTGTGTTTCTGGAACCCTCTCGAACCAGATAGCCATCCGGAGTCATCTCAACCGGCCTCCGCACTCGGTTCTGTGCGATTACCGGTCGCACATATTCGTCCACGAGGCCGCGGGACTCGCCACACTGTCGCAGGCGATGGTGACGACGGTTATCCCTGCCAATGGGCTGTATTTGACACTGGAGGACGTTCAGCGCCACTACATCCCGGACGATGGCGACATCCACAGTGCGCCGACCCGCGTCGTGTCGCTCGAGAACACACTGCACGGCCTGGTGTTCCCTATAGACGAGATCCGTCGCATCAGCAAATGGTGTCGTGCGAACAGCATTGCGATCCACTGCGACGGGGCGCGGATCTGGGACGCGGCGGTCGCAAGCGGCGTGTCGCTCGCAGAGAACGGAGAGCTGTTTGACTCGATCTCGCTGTGTCTGTCGAAGACGCTCGGTGCGCCGATCGGCAGCGTTCTGGTCGGCTCTGAGAGTCTGATTCGGGTTGCAAACCACTTCAAAAAACAGAACGGCGGCGGAATTCGCCAGGCAGGACCGCTGGCACGCATGGGCTCGTACGCACTGACACACAACTTGGGCAAGCTGAAGACCGCGCACGAATACGCTGCCGAGGTGGGCAGGTACGCCGAGGAGCTGGGGCTCGTGCTGCAGATCCCCGTGCAGACCAATTTCGTGTTCCTGGACCCTGAGAAGAGCAAGATCGACCCGCAGTGGATCCGTGAGGTCGGCCAGAAACACAACGTCAAGCTTGCGTCGTTCCGCTTCGCGTTCAGTTTCCAGAACACGCGAGAGGCCGTGGACGCGGTGAAGGCCGTGCTGAGGGACCTGCACACGCTGGCGCAGCAGCAGCCGTACACCAGCACGACCGGCCACAGATTTTACTGAAAAGTGCACTGCTGCTCGCTTATCTCTACACTCTTGCCCTTTTGGGCACACCGAGTACAGGGCCGGAAAATTTTTTAAATGAAATAAATAATTGACAATTAATTATTTTATTTCATGGCTCCCACAGTTGAACAGGTCAGCGAGGTGTTCAACACGATTCTCGTGTTGGACTTTGGCTCGCAGTACTCGCACTTGATCATCAGACGTCTAAGAGAGTTCAACGTTTACGCCGAGATGCTGCCGTGCACCCAGAAGATCAGCGAGCTGCCTTTCAAGCCTGTTGGTGTGATTTTGTCTGGCGGTCCGTTTTCCGTGTACGAGGACGGCGCGCCGCACGTCGACCACGATGTGTTTAAGCTGAACGTGCCTATTTTGGGCATTTGCTACGGAATGCAGGAGCTGGCCTGGATCAACGGCAAGGGCGTGGGTCGCGGCGAGAAGAGAGAGTACGGCCCAGCCACCTTGACCGTGGTGGACCCCACATGTCCGCTGTTTGAGGGAGTGGACCACTCGCAGGTGTGGATGTCGCACCACGACAAGTTGCAGTCGCTTCCGACCGGGTTCAAGACGGTGGCTACGTCCGGCAACTCTCCGTTTGCGGGCGTCGCGCACGAGGAAAAGCCGATTTTCGGTATCCAGTTCCATCCTGAGGTGACACACTCTCTGCAGGGCAAGACGCTGCTCAAGAACTTTGCCGTCAAGATCTGCAAGGCGTCGCAGAACTGGACGATGGCCAACTTCATCGAGACGGAGATCAAGCGCATCCGGACGCTGGTTGGCCCTTCGGCCGAGGTCATTGGCGCTGTTTCCGGCGGTGTGGACTCGACTGTCGGCGCCAAGATCATGAAGGAGGCCATTGGCGACAGATTCCACGCCATTTACGTCGACAACGGGCTTATGAGAAAAAACGAGACGGTCCAGGTGAAAAAGACGCTGGACGAGGGGCTGGGCATCAACCTGACCGTCGTCGACGCGTCGGAGCAGTTCCTCGACAACCTCAAGGGCGTCACCGACCCGGAGAAGAAGAGAAAGATCATCGGAAACACCTTCATCCACGTCTTTGAGAAAGTGGCCTCCGAAATCAAGCCTAAAGACGGCTCCCAGATCGAGTATCTGCTACAGGGAACGCTCTATCCCGACGTGATCGAGTCGATCTCGTTCAAAGGCCCTTCGCAGACCATCAAGACCCACCACAACGTGGGCGGCCTGCTGGAAGACATGAAACTCAAGCTGATCGAGCCGCTCAGAGAGTTGTTCAAAGATGAGGTCAGAGACCTGGGCAAGCTCATGGGCATCCCAGAAGACCTCGTCTGGAGACACCCGTTCCCGGGCCCGGGTCTCGGCATTAGAGTGCTGGGCGAGGTGACGCCGGAGCAGGTGAAAATCGCTAGAGAGGCCGACTACATCTTCATTGAGGAGATCAGAAAGGCCGGGCTATACAGAAACATCTCGCAGGCGTTTGCGGCGCTGCTGCCGGTGAAGTCGGTCGGCGTGATGGGCGACCAGAGAACGTACGAGCAGGTGATTGCGCTGCGGGCCATCGAGACGACCGACTTCATGACGGCCGACTGGTACGTGTTCGACGCCAAGTTCCTGAAAAACGTCGCGTCGAGAATCGTGAACGAGGTCGACGGCGTCGCCAGAGTCACGTACGACATCACCTCCAAGCCGCCCGCCACGGTCGAGTGGGAGTAAGAGAAACTAGGTATCCATTAATTCACTCCTGGTTCGTACAACGACGCTGCTGACGTAATCCCCGTCGTGGGACAGCGAGACGAGAAAGCGTTCGCGTCTAGTGTAGGAATCGCAGGCCACGTGCGGCCGTCCGTTCGCGAGGTTGTACTTGTACCAGTGGCGCATGGCAAAGGCGGCCTGGTCGGGCGCGTCGAGCGTCTTGTAGAGCGCCTCCTTAACACACCACGAGTGCGCGAGCGCGCGCGTGCACGTGTCGAGCTGGCTCTGTTTGCACGCGCGCACAAACTCGGGCAGCTCGCGGTCCGGGTGGAGCACGCGCGCGGCGAGCCGGAGCACGTGTGGCGACGCGAGGCCGTGGCGGGCCAGGATGGCCGCAAACCGCCCGATGCGGTGCAGGTCTGTGCCCACGGAAATGACACTCATAAAAAAAAATAAAAAAAAAAAAATATTATTTTTTCATGCGCCAGGAAACTGCCGTTCTTGTTTCCAAACTCTGCACGGTGGTCATTGCCCATTACCTTTTGAGCACGCTCCTGCCCCACACGCGTGTGCCTACTATTGTGAGCGCTGTCCTTGCCAGCTCTGCGATCTCGCAATCCCCCATGTTCCTGCGTCTGAGACAGCGTCTTGCCTCTCTGGCCGCTGGTCCGGCCGCCGTGTCCCAGGACCGGTCTCGCTCGCAGCTGTTGCGCGCCGTCAACGAGATGCGCCAGTACCTTGCGCGCGGCAAGGCCTGGAACGAGAAGAAGCGCCAATTGTACAAAACCATGTCCTGGAGACAGCAGAAGATCGTTGCGCAGACGGGCTACCAGGCCAAGATGAACAAGGTCGACGCGACGCTGGCCGAAAACTACAAGCTGCTGCAGGACTGCGTGGCCCGCACAGTGCGCAATCACAACATCTCGACGCTCGAGCTCAAGCTGGCCGCCGACCAGGCCAGACTCAGCCCGCAAACAGACCACCACAAAGTGATCGAGGGCCTGTGCCACTTTGCACGTGACTGGTCGCCCGCGTTCGACCGCGAGGTCGTGCCGATCCTCGACTACGTCAGGACGCAGCTCGCGCGGCTGGACCTCGCCAAAACCACCGTGGTGGTGCCCGGCTCGGGACTCGGCCGCGTCGCGCACGAAATCGCCCAGCTGGGCGCCAGGGAGGTCGTCTCCGTGGAGTACTCGTGGTACATGCTGCTGCTGAACGAGTTTGTGTACGCAGACAGCCCCAGACGCTACCAGGTGTACCCGTACATGCACAACTACTCGAACCACGTGGCGACACAGAACCAGTTCCGCGCGGTCGAGCTGCGGCAGCGCGCCAAACCGGCCAACCTCAGCGTGCAGCAGGGCGACTTCACCAGCTTCACGGCCGCACGGCTTCGCAGCGAGCCGCATCACGTGGCCATAGTCACGTGCTTCTTCCTTGACACGGCGGAGAACCTGATGGACTATTTCGACGCTGTGGCGCGCGTGGCGGACGCGGCGCGCGGCGACGTGCTGTGGGTCAACGTGGGGCCGCTCAAGTACGGCACGGCGGCGAAAGCAGAGCTGTCGCACGAGGAGATCCGCAAGCTGCGCAGCGTCTGCGGGTGGCAGCTCGTGGACGAGCGCCCCAGGCCGGAGCTCCTGGGCTATCTGACCGACACGGAGGGTCTGTGGCAGGGCTACTACGGCGTGACCATGTGGACGTGCAAGCGGGCCCCCGAAAATATGTAAATAATCAACAGCATCTATGTATCTAGTTACGCAGCTTGTCGGACTTGAGCTCGTTGATCTGCAGCTTCTTGTCGGTTCCGCCCGAAAGCAGGCCGATTTCCGCGTTCCAGTCGACGGCCAGCACCTTGGCATGCTCGCCGCTCTCTCTGTCGATGGTGTAGATGCTCTTGTTGGCGCGGATGTCCCAGATCTTGGCGGTGCCGTCGTGCGACCCGGACACCAGAGTGTACTCGTTGTCTGTGGTGGCCAGCGACACAACAAAGTTCTTGTGGCCCACCAGCTGGGTGCTGGTGACCTTCTCTGCGCGCGGGTCGTGGAGGTTGATGTGTCTGGCGGCGGAGCCCGTGGCCAGCAGCCCGACACGGGGCAGAGCCACCAGGCTGAGCAGCGCAAAGTTGGTGTGTCTGGTGTCGACGCAGCGCGCCGTGACGAGGTCCCATGTTCTCACTGTGTGGTCCTGCGACGCCGAGTACGCGACGGAGTCGTCCTTGTCGAAACAGACGGCCTCGACGGGGCCCTGGTGTGCGTCCAAGATCGCGAGTGGAGCCTTGCGTCGGATCGACGCGTCGCCGACCGCGAGCTTGAGACGTTTGCGCGACGCCGACGACAGGCTGTTCTGTGCGCCCTGCTCCATCGGCTGGGTCGTTTGCATCTCCTTGGCGTTCGTCGACCACAGAGCCAGGCTGCGGTCGTACGACGCCGACAGAATGCGCGTGTTGCGCACGGCCAGCGCTGCTACCACGTCGTTGTGGTACTCCAGAATGGCGCTGGTGCGCCCGTTCTGGGTGTCCTTGTCGAGGTCCTCGTCGCCGACGACGCCGGCCTTCCACAGCCGCAGCGAGCGGTCCATGCCGGCGGAAACGAACCGCGACGGACTGATGAACTTGACGGCCTTGACGGCGGCCTGGTGGCCCACCAGCTGGGTCTCGACCTTGCCGGAGGCGTTGTAGATCCGCACAACGCCGTCGTACGAGCCCGTGAGGATTTTTGGCGCGGTGCGCACCTCCCCTTCGGGGCCAGCAAGACTCATGGACCCGACAGAGTCGATCGCAGAGACCCAGTCGTCGTTGTTGAAGCTGGCGAGAAATTGCGGCGGCAGCACGGCGCGCGTATACTCAATGTCCAGGAAATGCTCGCTCGACAGCCCATTGGCCACCAGGTAGTCCTCGACGCTACCTTTGAGCAGAGTGCCGTCGATCAGGAAGTCAAACGGCACCGGCTGCTCCAGCCCGACCAGGTGGTTCACGATCTCCGACAGACCGTACCGTTTGAGCGAGATCGGCACAAACACCGGGTTGCCCGGACAGTGGAGCGACTCGTCCTCGTCTCTCGTGAAGAAGCGGACCTTTATCTGCGAAGCCATTAAATAAGTTTTTTTTTTTTTTCAGATTTTTTTAAAATTAATTTTGTAAAGCCGCAGGTCGTGCACAAAACTCCAACGGCAGTGGGAAACTGAACCAAACAATCTGAAGAATATAAGAGAATTCTTTTCCTACCTTCTCTTTCTTCTTGAGCAGACATGGTTTCCGTCCCGTTTCTCACGTCTGCGCCCGGAAAGGTTATCATTTTCGGCGAACACTCCGCCGTGTACCACAAGGTAGGTTGCAGGGCGGATCGAGGCTTGTCTTCGGCCTTCACTCAGATCATACTAACTCCAGCCCGCCATTGCCGCAGCCCTGTCCCTTAGAACGTATCTTCTGGCATCCAGAGACAACGACAACACCGACACGCTGTTTCTGGAATTTCCGGATATCCAGTTCAGCTACAAATGGGCGACCAGCGACCTGCCGTGGCACCTCTTTGACGAACACTCGCGCGAAAGACAGCCGCCGGCCGACGAGGAGCTGAACCCGGAGCTCGTGGACGCGCTGAACTCGCTGCTGTCCAAGATCGACTCGCGCATCCAGTACAGCGCCGCGTTCATGTTCCTGTACCTGCTGGTGTCGCTGTGCGAGGAGAAAGACGTGGCAGGACTTACGTTTACGGTTCGGTCCACGCTGCCCGTGGGCGCCGGGCTTGGATCGTCCGCGTCGGTGTCTGTGTGCTTTGCGAGCGCGTTCTGCTACCTGGGAGGCCACATCCAGGAGCCTACGCTGAAGGCAGACGACGTCACCGTCAAGGACTCGGAGCAGTGTCTGTTGATCGACGCGTGGGCTCTCATGGGAGAAAAATGCAGCCACGGCAACCCGAGTGGCATCGACAACGCAGTGGCCACGCACGGAGGAGCCGTGATGTTCCAGCGAATGGAGTCCTCGGTGCCGAGTATCCGCACCTCGATGCGCAACCTGCCGCCGCTGAACTTGCTTCTCACCAACACCAAAACCCCGCGCAGCACCGCTGCTTTGGTGGCCAACGTCTCAAAGATAGTGACCGAGTTCCCCAAACCGTCTGGACTGATTCTGGAAACGATGGAGGCCATCGCAAGAGAGGCATACACACTGATGCTCCGGCCGTTCCTGGACAAACAGTCCAAAGACAGACTCATGGAGCTCATCCGACTGAATCACGGGCTGCTTGTGTCGCTTGGCGTGTCGCACCCGAATCTAGAAAGGGTCAAATTATGGAGTGACGAGCTACAGATCGGACAAACAAAACTCACGGGTGCTGGTGGGGGCGGCTGCGCAATCACGCTCATTGACGATGATGCCGCAACGCCCGAAAAATTGCAGCAGCTGGAAGAGAAGTATAATCAGGCCGGGTTCGAGACCTTCAAGACCACGCTGGGAGGCAAAGGTGTGGGGCTGCTGACGGAGATTACCACAATCACGTCGGAGAAACTTTGCCGCCTGCATAATAGAAACGAAATAGAGGCCGCTGTCGGCTGTTCAGCCCTCCCACAATGGCGATACTGGTAAACAAACAAGGTTTTGGTCACGTGCACTAATTCTTTTATCAGTAGCGATGTCGCCTTATCCAGACGCCACAGTTGGCAGATACTGCATCAAAACTCCGCTATGCATTGCATGTGGCTAATCAGGCCAAGAAAAAAAAAAGAATCAAAAAAAAGGAATATCTCATAAATTGAAAAGGTTCCCAACAATCTCTTCCCATCCAAACATGTCTTCAGTTACAACAAAACCCACCAGATGGTACCACTGGTTTGAGCCAGGCACAGACCCCAGAGAGAAGATTCTGATCTGGAAACTGGATTTCTTCATCCTGTCTTACTCCATGATGGCCTATTTCCTGAAGTACCTTGATCAGACCAACATTTCCAACACCTACATCTCTGGAATGCAAAAGGATCTGGGCTTCACAAGTAACGAGCTCTCGTGGTTTAACACCTATTACAACATCGGAGTCTGCATCGGGTCCATCCCAGCTGTCTTGCTTGCTGGTTACTTCCGCCCCAGAATTTATCTCCCCACTCTCGACCTACTGTGGTCTCTCTGTGTTTTATTTATTTACCTGGCCAAAAACGCAGAAACCATCTACGCTCTGAGATTCTTGATCGGTCTGTTTGAGTCGTCCTGTAACCCAGGAACGCACTACATGATTGGATGCTGGTATAAGAAGCGTGAGATTATGAGACGGTCGAACTTTTTCGTTCTGGCTGGTATCATTGGCCAGGCCACCTCTTCCTACATTCAGTCGGGTCTGCAGTCCACGATGGACGGCAAGCGTGGTCTAGCCGCCTGGCAATGGATGTTTATCATCGACGCTCTTATCGGAGCCCCAGTCATCATCTACGGATACCTGTTTTTGCCTGACTATCCTCACAACACCACCGCCTTCTATCTCAACGATTGGGAAAGAAACCGTGCCAAGGAAAGACTGGTCGAAGACGGAAGAGTGTCCAAGAAGATCATTTTCTCTTTGAAAGAAATCAAGCCTGTGCTCCTTTCTTGGCAACTCTGGGCTTTCTGCATCGGCTACTGTTTCTGGACGCTTACTGCGGGATCGTACATGTTGCAATTTTTCGAGTTGTACCTCAAGTGGCTCAAGATCTATTCCATCAGCTATATCAACAACTTCCCAACCATCATCTCCGGTGTCAATCTGGTGACAATGCTGTCGACCGGTGTTATTTGCGATTTGACCGGAAACAGAAATTGGGTGTGTGTGGGAGTCGGTTTGATTCTTTTGGCCTCATTTTTGATCACCGCTAAGGGTCCTCTGGACAACATCCCGCTTCGTAAGGCCGGATACATTTTGAGCGGAGTGTACGGTTGTTACACGCCAATCCTCACTGGTTGGTGTAATGTTGCGTGCGGGAAAAACCCGATCTTGCGTGCAGTCACGATTCCTGCCATGATTGTGGTCGGCCAGGCCGTGGTGACTCCTTTCCAGCAGCACCTGTTCCCGTCGAGTGAGGCCCCAGTGTACGGATCCACGCACGGGTTCTACTACTGCATAGGGTTCACGTGTGCCCTGCTTTTGTGGACCGGATTTGTCATTCCTGCTTTGGAGATATGGAGCGCTAGAAAAGAGGATAAGGAGTCGAAGGTCGAGGAGGAGCCAATTCCAGAGAAAGAGTTCGAGATGCTCTAATTAATATACACTTTTATTTACTCGATATGAAACTTAATATTTCAGCGATAACTTGTTGCGGTTTCTCCCGGTGCACGCTGTGGTTCGCGTTGGGGACCACAACCAGCTTGGAGTTTGGAATGAGGCTGCAAATGATCTTGCTTTGCGAGGGCGGGCAAATCCAGTCCTTTTCTCCGACAATCACGAGTGTCGGAGTTTGCAACAATAGAAGCTTGTCTCTGTAGTCAAAATATTTCTCCGACTCTGCATATAAATCGTTGTGGCTCTGAGCCCGATAAACGGTGTTTAGGCATGCCGTTAGTCCCACATCTGGATTATACGACTCTGAGTACAATGGGCCCAATGCAAACATAACCAGTTGCATCTCGAGGTCGCTCTCAAATCGGCCGAACACTTTTTTCAGCATATCAAGCGAAACACACGGGTGCTGAGGCAACCGCTCGCGGAGCACCTCGAAAGCCTCAGACTCGTGGTGGTGAGAAGCTGCCGTCCCGCGGAGAACAAGATAACTGAGCGTGGAGGGATACGTAATTGCGTACTGCTGGGCTAGGAACCCGCCAAAGCTCCCGCCTATGACTATAACCTTGCCCTCTTTGCCCACGAAATGCTCTCTCACGGCCTCGATGTCGTCCACAATCTGTGCAAACGTAAAGGGAGGAGTGAACGAGGAGTGCCCGTGGCCTCGGAAGTCGAAGCTGACCACTTTGTAACCGTAATCTGCTAGTTTGGAGTACACCTCGAAATCACCTGATTTACTCCCAAATCCACGGCCTCCGTGCAAAGTAATCACCAGAGGACCTTCCCCTTTGGTGAAGTAAGCGAGCCTTGCCCCGTTCACCTTGACAAACTGTTCAGTCATCATTGATGCGAATTAAACTTTGTTCTCAAAAACTTCATCCGCCACAAAAAAAAGTTCCACGACCTGCATGAGAAATGTCCGCCGTGGCGGTGCATATATAAGATCAAATCAATATCTCTGATAATTGTGCTGAGAAATGGTGAGCAAAGTTCAGATTGCCATAGGTAAGTTTTAGATCTCGGCCCCGCACACTAACAATCAGACCGAGGCGGAACGTTCTGTGACGTTTGGGCCAATATTCCCGGTCAAGGAGAGACTGTTTTCAAAATTCTCTCTGAAGACCCGCAAAATTATCCAGACGCTCCTGCAGAAGGTATAAGAATTGTGCTGGAGAAGTTCACTGGCCAGAAAATTGCCCGTGGCGAAAAACTGGACGGAAGTCTCATAGAGTATGTCCGCATGGGCACCACTGTGGCCACCAACGCGCTGCTGGAACGCAAAGGCGAGAAGTTCGTCTACCTCACCACAGAGGGGTTCCGGGACGTGCTTGAGATCGGCACTCAGGCCAGACCGGAACTGTTCAACCTCAAGATCAAAAAGCCAGACATCCTATACGACACTGTGATTGAGGCCGAGGAGCGGATCACCGTCGAGACGTCGTCTGACGATCCGAACGAGTTTGTCATTGACGAGGCAGACCCGCAGGTAAAACTGACGCCGTCGGGCACTTACGTGCGTGTGCTAAAGCCGTTGAATGTGCCGGACCTGGAGGCCAAGCTGGTGCGTGCTTATGAGCAGGGATACCGCACCATTGCTATCTGTTTTGCGCATTCGTACCTGTACGACGAGCACGAGCTGATTGCAGCCGAAATAGCGCGCCAAATCGGGTTCCACTTTGTGAGCATATCGTCTGAGGTTTCGCGGACGGTCAACTATCTCCAGCGCGGCAATTCGACCTGTATTGATGCGTACTTGACCCCCCATGTCCAGAATTATATCCGCAAATTCGTGAGTGCTTTTAGCACGGTGCCGAAGGTGGAGTTTATGCAGAGTGACGGCGGCCTGACGGACGCAAAGCTATTCAGAGGAATCAACGCCATTTTGTCGGGGCCAGCGGGCGGAGTGGTCGGTGTTGCCGAAACCTGCTACCAAAACACGCCCTTGGTCGGCTTCGACATGGGAGGAACGTCGACCGACGTGTCGCGGATCGACGGGGCGTCGTTTGACGTTTCGTTTGATAACAACACTGCCGGCCTCGAAATCTCTGTTGGCCAGCTGCAGATCCACACAGTGGCTGCAGGCGGAGGCTCGATTTTAAAATGGGAAAACGGCCTATTCCACGTTGGTCCCGAGAGTGCCGGCTCCGACCCGGGCGCCGCGTGCTACCGCAAAGGCGGTCCTCTCACCGTCACGGATGCGAACCTGTTCTTGGGAAGACTCGTGATCTCGCAGTTCCCGCACATCTTCGGTCCGTCTGGAGACCAGCCGCTGGATTTGGAAGTCACGACGCGCAAATTCGAGGAACTAACAGAGCAGATTGCGAGGGACACGGGCAAGAGCCTCACGCCGCACGAGGTGGCGCTGGGATTCCTGCAAATTGCCAATGTCAAGATGGCCAACTCGATCAGAGAAATCACCGAGTCTCGCGGCTTTGTGGCCAAGAACCACAACCTCGTTTCCTTTGGCGGAGCCGGCTCGCAGAACTGCTCGGCGGTGGCACGCAACCTGGGGATCTCAAGAGTGCTCATCCACAAGTACTCGTCGATATTGTCTGCGTACGGAATAGCACGTGCCCGCGTGTCACGTGAGCTCAAGTCGCCGTTTGTGAGGCAGTATGTTCCTGGACTGAAGCGAGATGCTGAGGCGTTGGTGGCGGAGATGAAGCAGCGGATTGTGGCGGAGCTGGCCGAGAGCCAGGGGGTGGCGAAGGACCAGATCGAGTTCAGGGTCGCCTTCGGCATGAAGTACAAGTCGTCCAACACTATTTTCGAGGTCGATTACGACAGCGACGACATTCGCGAGAGGTTCCTCGAGACTCACAGAAGGGAGTTCGGCTTTGTGCTTCCAGACAGCTCGCCGATCTTCACCTCCACCGTTTCTGTAAAGGGAACCAGCGTGGAGAAAAAACAGACTAGGGTCAACATCGAGGAGCAGCTTGAAAAGTATGCGAGCGTCGACAGCTGGCCAGAGTCCTTCGACAGCACGCAGACCGTGCACTTTGAGGACGGCCCGGTGGAAACCAAGGTGTTCCAGCTGCCGCATCTGCGTGCGGGCGACAAGATCAACGGCCCTGCGCTGCTGATCGACTCCACGCAGACTATTCTCGTGGAAAAGTTTTCGGTGGCCACCATTTTGGATTCCCACGTGGTGATCGACATCAAGAAGGCCCAGGACGGCGAGTTTGCCGAGATCGGCGGCGTCGACGAGAACACGCCGCTCAGCAAGGCCGACCCGATCCTGCTGACTGTGTTTGGCCACAGATTCATGGGCATAGCAGAGACTATGGGCCGCACGCTGCAGCGCACGTCTGTGTCGTCCTCGATCAAGGAGCGGCTGGACTTCTCGTGTGCCATCTTCGGCCCAGACGGCCGTTTGGTGGCCAACGCGCCTCACATCCCGGTGCATCTGGGCTCCATGCAGTACGCCATCCAGTACCAGCACGAGCTCTGGAAGGGAAAACTCAAGAAAGGCGACGTGCTTGTTTCCAACCACCCGGAGGCAGGAGGCACGCATCTTCCGGACATCACGGTGATCACGCCTGTTTTCCACCAGGGCGAGATTGTTTTCTACGTGGCTTCCAGAGGCCACCACGCAGACATTGGCGGAGCAGGCATCACGGCGATGTCTCCAAATTCGAAGGAGCTGTGGCAGGAGGGGGTCTCGATCAAGTCGTTCAAGCTTGTCAGCGAGGGCAGATTCGACGAGGACGGGATAGTGGAGCTGTTCAACAAGGCCGGCGAGTTTCCCGGCTGCTCTGCCACGAGGAAAATCAAGGACAACCTGAGCGACCTGCGTGCGCAAGTGAGTGCCAACCAGAACGGGATTATGCTGATGGAGGCTCTTTTCGAGGAGTACGGCAAGGAGTTTGTGCAGTTTTATATGCGTGCCATTTGCTTCAACGCAGAGCAGGCGGTGCGACAGTTCTTCCGCAAAATCCACCGCCTGCACGGCGGCAAACCACTGGAAGCCGTCGACTATTTCGACGACGGAACCCCCGTCAAGTGCAAAATCACCATCGACGGCGAAAAGGGCGAGGGACACTTCGACTTCAGCGGAACAGGCCCGGAAACGTACGGGCCTATGAACACCCCGGCCTCCATCACACACTCGTGCGTGATCTACGTTCTGCGGTGCCTGATCGACCTCAACATCCCTCTCAACCAGGGCTGTCTGGCGCCGTGCCACATCGACATCCCGAAAAACACGATTCTCAACCCGAGCGACTTTGTGGCCATCTGCGGATCCACCATCTCGGGCCAGCGCATCACCGACGTGATCCTCAAGTGCTTCGGCGTGTGTGCGGCTTCCCAGGGCTGTGCAAACTCGTTTGGCTGGGGCCGTGGGGGCAAGGACGTGTACACGGGCAAGGTCTCGCCCGGCTTTGCTACCGGCGAGGCTCTCGGAGGCGGTGTCGGGGCCATGGAGGGATACCACGGGGCGTCGGCCTGCAATGTCCATTGCACCAACACCAAGACCACCGACATCGAGATCGTGGAGGCCCGGACGCCTGTCGTAGTCACCAAATGGTGTATCCGGCGTGGATCAGGGGGAGCAGGCAAGTGGCGTGGTGGAGACGGAGCCACGCGCGAGATCGAGGCGCGTGTGCCGCTGCGCGTCTCGATTCTGTCCGAGCGCAGAATCTACCACCCGTACGGTGTGGCTGGCGGTGAACCTGGGTCACGTGGCGAGAATTTCTGGTTCAGGAAACAGGCCGACGGCGGGTATGTGGTGACCAAGATGGGCGGGAAGGAGATCATCCAGGTCCGGCCGGGCGACAGGGTCCAGATCAACACTCCTGGTGGGGGCGGGTTTGGCAAGAGCCCGTAATTATGTAGACCACTAATAATTTCTGATAAGAAATACGGCATAAAAAGCCTCTGTTTTTCGGGGTTTCCACCTTTTTTCGTCATGTCCACCACCACCGTGAGAGCAATTCCAGCTGGGGAGCCGCCGTCCGTGACGATTGAGCCGGCTGTGTTTGTGTCCAAGCGCGAATTCAACAACGACAAGATCAAGACTGTGATCGACCGTATCTCTAGGAAAGACTATGGCGACTGGCGAGACGATCTTTTCCGCAACGGGTACGCCGTCGTGAAGAACGCTGTACCGCGCGAGCGGGCTCAGCAGTATCAGCAGGAGGCGTTCAGGTGGCTGGGTCGGTTCAGCGACAAGTTCGACATAAAGAACCCCGAAACATGGACTAGAGAACACCTGCCTCCAATGACCAACACCAACCTGTTCAAGTCGCACTGTGTGAGCCACGAGAAGTTCATGTGGGATGCCAGGCTGGAGCCGGGTGTGATCAAGGCGTTTGAGAGCCTGTGGCAGACCGACAAGCTGCTTGTGTCGTTCGACGCTTTGAACGTGACTCTTCCGAATCGCAAGGACAAGGCGCTCGTTGCTCCGTGGCCGCACGTGGACCAGACGCCGTACCGGAGCGGAATGCATTGTGCGCAAGGTATCATTTCTCTGAGCGACCACGGGCCGGAGGACGGCGGGCTGGTTGTGTACAAGGGCACGCACGAGTTAATAGAACAGTTTTTCAGCAGCGTTGTTCCCAAACAAGACTGGACGGAACGCGACTTTTTCATGGTTTCCCAAGACCAGCTGCAGTGGTTTCTGGACCGCGGGTGTGAGGAAATCAAGATCGAGTGCGACGCCGGCGACCTGATCATCTGGGACTCTAGAACCGTCCATTGGGGAAAAGAGCCGTCTCCGTCGAGCAACACCATCAGAACCGTGATCTATGCGTGCTACACTCCGGCAGAATTTGCCACGGAGAAAACCCTTGCAGAGAAAAAGGCCTTGTTCGAGTCGTGGTCTGGCACCACCCACTGGCCCCACGACAATCTTGTCCGCACGGGCAGCAAGGCGTACTACGCCGACGGCCGCGAGTACGAAAACAACCGGGACGAGCCGTTTGAGAAGCCTGTGATTACAGACACGCTGCTGAGGCTTGCTGGGGTCAAGCCGTACGAAAATAAGTAAATAAAATAAAATATTTATTTTATCCCTTTTTTTTTCCCACTTGTACCCTCTTATGAGAAAAAGAGCCTGCGACAAGTGCCACAAGGCAAAACGGTCCTGCTCGGGCGTACCATGCGCGTTCTGCCAGCGCAGACGGCTAGAGTGTACGCTGGAGCGGCCGCTGAAGAAATTTGGCCGTCCGTCCAAACACATCCCTGCCCCCGTGGTGAAGGAGACGGATCCAATGGGCGAAAGGAGCGTGGTACTGTCTGACAGCTCAAATACAAGCGTTGAGGACACAAACGACAGCTGGAAACACGGCACGGTGGTTCTGAGACAGCAGCTGAGCTACAATTTCAACTTTGACCATAGGGAAAAGGCGGTTCTGGAGCAGTTCATCGACACAGGCGCCGCTGTTTTGTTTGGAGACAGGGCCAGCACGTTTTTGCAAGCGGTGATCCCACTGGCCTTCTCGTTCAATTGCGTCAAGTACCCGATCCTTGCCATTGCAGCTGCCTCCGGATCCCACATAGCGGCCTTCAGAGAGACACAGAAGTATCGGTCGCTGGCGAAGCTCGTCCGCAGAGACACCGTGCTGCAGGAAACAGGAACCCTGGCCACGCTGCTCGTAGTGCTCATGGAGATCCTCATGGGCGACGGAATGGACTCCACAACGTATCTGGACGAGATCCAGAAAACAGTAAGTCCTGTGAGTTCGTGGCTCGCCAGACAAGAGACGTACCTGCACCAGGTCATGTCTGACTTGTTTTTCTACTACGAATCGTTGCTCGGTTACAACTTTGGGGTCAGGAACGCCGAATTCAGGCCAAGCTCGTTCAAACTAGCGTTTGGCCTCGACCAGGGCACGCTGCAAACTCTCTCGCAGATCCGCACGCTCCAAAAACTCAAAGAACAGACGTCGCTGTCTTTGAACGAGTTCTCGCAATTTGCAACGCTGATTGAGACAAAACTACAGACCACTCCAAGCACAACTCATCTGGGTGCTGCCATTCAATGTGCGTGCTATCTAGAGCTATGCCGGCTCAGACCAGGCTCAGATCTGTCAACAGCAAACTGTCTCAATGCTCTCTTGGACAGTATCAAGGCAATACAGAACCCATCTGAATGCCAGCTACTCTTCCCTCTGCTCATTGCAGGAACTGCAGCCACCACTGCAGAAGACCAAAACTACGTCCTAGATCGTCTGAGTCTGATCCATAATCGCCTAAGGTTCCCATTTATTAGTCGCTATCAAGATCTTCTGCGCCAGCTGTGGCGATCTAACGAGTCGCTCAGCACCATCATTAAGTATCAATTCCCGGGATTATTCATATTATAGTTATTATCAAGCTTTGGTCGACTCCTTCTCCTTGTCGATGATCACGATACCATTGAGCTCACTTTGCTGTCTCTCCTGTCTCTTATAGAACCACAGAACCACAAACGTCCATAGCACAAGACAGAATGCGCTGCAGGCAGTGAACGTGAAGCCTTTCAGGTAACGCGGCGCTTCCACGGTTTTCCAAACCAGAACCGAGATCCAGGCGGTCGAAGTCTGGGCCAGCATGTTCATTGTGACCAGAATAACAGCCCTGTATTGCGGATCGTGACGACATATATCGTTCATCCAACCATACAACACAGGAGCCATGGCCCAACCGGTATACTGCAACATGAAAGCAAACCATTTAGCGCCTTCGGGCACATTCCAGGCCGCCAGAATGACGTTTCCAGTGATGTTGAGGATTTGTGAGAGCAAGATGGCCTGCCAACGCGAGTGGAAGAAGTCTGCGTAGCAGCCAGTGAGGATGAGCCACAGAATTCCAATCGCAGGACTAATAGCACCCAACTGGTTGACTTTTCCGACGCTGTACCTGTTCAGAGACTTGATCCAGAGCAAATAAGCACCGGACGTTCCGTTGTTGTTGTTCCAGCAGAAGATGTTCCACAGAGTAAGGACGTAGATGTGCCACGAGGTGAGGATTTTCTTCCACAGCTTGCGGTCGAAGAATGCTCGGTCAACAGGAACCGTGTACGAAGTGTTGTTGTCCTTGAGTCTTTTTCTTGCGAGCAGAATCTCCTCGTCGGTGAGGAAAATCGAGTAACACTTCTGAGGCGTTCCTGGGATGGCATAGAACCCGATGATGCCCACCACGATCGAGATGACTGCGTCAATGATGAACATCCATCTCCAGCCTTCCAAGCCGTCCTTCATGTTCATGCCATCGAAAATGGCTCCTTGCAAAAGACCAGAGGTCAGCACACCCAGGTACTGGCCGATATAGTACACCATGGAACGGCGCACAATCTCGTCAACTTTATACCAACTGCCAAACAGATACATGTATGCGAGATACGCTGGGGCCTCGAAACATCCGATGAAAAATCTCATGGCCTCCAAATGGCCCACGTTATTTGCACGGTAGGCTCCCAAAGTGAACAGACTCCAGCACAGGTCCAGCGTAGGCAGCACGTAGTTCAGTGGGGCCTTGTACAGGATGTACATGAAGGGAATCTGGAACACAATGGTTCCGACAGTGAAGACGGCCTGGGTGTGCACGAGATCGTTACCCTTCATGCCGATGGACTCCTTCATGCCACTCACATAGGCGTTGTTGAGGTTGGTCTGGTCGAGATATTTGACCCAGTACGCCATGAGCGAATAGAAGCAGAGCAGGATGTCGAGCTTGATCACGAGTTTTCTCTCGGCAGGGGTGTCGTCCTTGTTGAACCAATGATACCACTTGTGGTTTCCACGGCGGTTCTTGTTCTGGCGGTACTCGTACTCGTCGAAGAACTTGTACCATTTCCTGTTGGACTCGTCTCTGTACTCGACTTCCTGGACTTCGTGCGACTCCTCGGCCTCTGCTAGCTTGGCGAGCGATTCCTGCTCCGAGTCGCTCGCGTCGAGTTTGTCCACGACGTGTCGTTCGACGGGAAATATCCCCCACTTGAGACGTTTGAGCGGGTCCAGCACCAAGGATCCGACAGGCATTTGTGTTTGGCTCACACCGGGCCGGGCTGCATATTTATAGGGTGCAGGTCGAGCAACGGCTTTAGCGAAAAAAAAACTGTGGCTCTAACTTTTTTTTCAACGGGTCCTGCAGGCTACATGTGAGATTGCGAATCGGGTCAGATTACTATGTACGAGCCCTGAAGAGCTACACCTTCTCCTCGCAAGTGTCGTCCGACTTGTCCTCGGAATCCTCCGCCACAGCTTCATCTTGCGATGCTGCAGGCGGCCTCGAATTTTTGGAAAACACCATCATCACCAGCTCGAGCGCGAAACATGCCACAGTGAACCACAATGCGTTGACACACTTGGTCTGCACGTAGTCCTTGGTGTACGTTTTTGTGGAGTCGAGCGCGCCGATGATGGACGAGGCAATGGCTGTGCCAAGACAGATGCCTATCTGGCCAATGGTCTGGAAGATGCCCGTCACGTTTCCCTGGAGGTGCAAGGGTGACTCGGAGAGCAGAGCAAGCAGGTACACCTGGTAGAACAGGTTGGTTCCGTAGCCGTACAGCAGCTGCGGCACGAACTCGTAGATCCAGAACGAGTTCTTGTTGGTGTGGTCGATTCTGGTGATCCAGATGGACATACCGAGACACACGGCGGCAGACCAGATGAGCAGGGGCTTGCTGCCGAGTTTCTGCTGCATCCAGGGTCTGTAGATCACTGCGCCGATGATGATGCCCGCGGAGGTGCAGAACACCTTGCCCGCCGCGAGCACAGCAGAGTTGCCGTCGACAAACTCGTGGTAGAGCAGCAGCGACGTCATGAGCGCGGTGAACCCGGCGTAATTGGCCGTGAGGCCGACCAGGAAGGGCACGAAATTGGCGATTTTCGCCACCTCTGCCGGGAACAGCACCACCAGTTTGGCTCTGTAGGTGTCGAGCGACGGGTGTTTCTTCTGGTACGGTCTGACGTAGACGTTTTCGAAGAGCAGCACGCCCAGCACCATGACAAAGCCGACGGGGATGGTGACGTACACCTTTGGCGAGTGCCAGCGGGTGCCGGCCTCTGTGAGGCCGCAGATGACGAGCAGCAGGCCGCCGACCAGGAAGATGGCGCCGCCGTAGTTGAGGTATTTGGAGCTGAGGAGGTCGTGCTCTTTGGTTCTTTCAACGGGCACCACAATGAAGAAGAGCACGATGGAGGTGAGGAAGCTGACGGCAAACGAGAAATAGAAAAACGCGCGGTAGCCGATGCTGGTGAGCGAGAACGCGCCGCCAAGCACGACTCCAAGCCCGAGCGACGCGCACAGAGCAACCATCATGTAGTTGATGGCGGCGCCGAGCTTCGGGCCCTGGAAGTAGTTGCCGCAGATCCCCACGGCGCTCGGGATGAGCGAGGCGCCCGCAATGCCCTGGAACGCGCGGAACACAATCAGCGGGATGATGTCGCTGGTGATGACGGCGCAGATGAGGTTCATGATGGACATCACAAACAGCCCGAACGTGAACACCTTGTGGAGGCCGTGGATGTCGCCCAGCTTGCCAAACAGCAGGATGAACGCGCCGAGCGTGAGCGCGTACGCAGAAACCACCCAGGTGGCCTCCGCGGTGGTGGCCCCCATCTCTTTCTGCAGACTCTCGGTCATGCTGAACGCGGCGGCCACGTTGAGGTTGTCCATGGCGGCGCCCACCAGGATGAAGGCGTACGCGAGCTTCTTGGACCGGTACTTGTCGTCGACGAGGTTGCGCACTCGGAGAAGCGAGGCGGTAGCAGAACTAAGAAACTTCATTGCTGGCTCTCACAGGAAACCAGCGGGCCTTATATAGCTGTCTGGGCTGAGCGCCGCAGACAGCGTCTGACAAATCCGATTGCCACATCGCTGCGTCACACGAGCCAAAATGTGCCTGGCAATTTCTTGTCTCCGAGAAGAATTCGGAAATAATGAGGTTAAAGCCCAGCAACGATGCAGATAAAGCGTCTACAGCCTTCCGTGGAAAAGTTCCACCATGCACCTGCCGACTGCAATGCCGTCGTTCGACAGGCTCGCGTTCCTGCTCTTTGCGTCGTTGTACAGCGCAGCGTCCACCTGGCCTGCTCTGCGCCGCGACTCGACGAGCACCTCGCCGCACGCGGTGGTGAACTCGGGATGGCCCTGGAAAGTGAGCACCCGGTGCTTCTTGTACAGGCCCTGGCACGCGCACGCGGCCGACGAGCCCACGTTCACGTAGCCCGCGGGCAGATCTGCCAGGTTAGTCAGCACCTCGTCCCGGTGCATCTCCATCACGGCGAAATTGGTTTTCCCACGATTACTAATCAGGGGACGGAGATTTATCGCCGAGTTGATTTCCACCTGTGTGAGCCCCATCTCCCAGCCGCGCGGACTGCGTCCCACTGCGAGCCCCAGGGCCGTCGCCACGAGCTGGTGTCCGAAACACGACGCCGTGATCGGGAACTCGTGCTCGCGCAGACACATGCTCACAAACTCGCGCAGCCGGTCGATCCACGGCGTGCTCGCAAACGCGTCCGAACGAGAGCCCGTCAGGTACAGGCCGCGACAGCGGTGCAGCTCCTCGGCCGTCGGATACTCCATTTTGCTGATCACGTCGTACTTGCGGAAAGACGTGTCTGCCATGCCTGCGGCGCGGAACAGCGCTATGGCCTGGTCGCCAAAATCGCCGAACTCGCTGAGCGCGTCGATCGGCGTGTCGCACACCAGTATCGCCACAAACCCGTCGTCCATTGACTTCCCCAGGGCCAGGATCTTATCTTTATATTCCATTTGTTTCGGACCCATATCGCGCTTGCCTGTTTGGGAAGATTTTTTTTTTTCCCCTGTCCAGCAAGTCACGTGACAAGCAGAGCAGAGAGCATCTCGTCGACCGACACGTTGGCTGCAAAGCCCTGGGGCTTTGTTGCCGGACTGTCTGTGCGGTACCGTGCCAGCAGCGGGTGCGCGCTGCCGTCCAGAGCCTCCATCAACGCAAGGGTCTGCGCGAGAAACAGCCGGCCGAGTCGCGCGCCGTCGCACTGCGCCAGGCCGTGCATCACGGCGAGCGCGTGGTCGATGTGGAACCGCGTGGTCTCGTGCACGCCGAACGTCACGTTGAACAGCACGAGTGTCGCCACTGCGCTGTACAGGTACTCCAAATCGGAGCGGCCGCCCTGTACAAATTGGCCGCTCTCCCACAGGCTCCAGAGACACCGCACGGTGTTCATGGAGGCCTGGAACGACGCGTTGAGCAGCGAGAGCTGTGTGCTCGGACAGTCCTGCAGGCTCATGAAGCCGCGGCCGCGCTGGGCGACGGAACGCTCGAGCAGCAGCGGGCGCACGGCGAGATTCAGGCCCTGGAAGTACTCGAGCATGATGTTGGCCGTGGCGCGCGAGTTGTGCACCTCCTTGAGACTGTAGTCGCAGTCGACGCTCTCGTGCACGGCGCGCTTCCACCGCAGCAGACCCACCACCTTCTCGCGCACCGGGGCTACGCAGCTCGTGGGCGCCGGGTGTAGCTTACGTAAGGCGTTGCAGTTGAGTTTGGTCACGGCGACGAGTTCGAGCTGCGGTTCCGGGTCGGGAAACACGAACGGGTGCTGGTGTTCGAGGCGGGCAGTTCCTGGCAGCTCGCATTGGAGCACGTGATCGTGCAGCAGCACTGGCGAGCCCTGGGCCGCGGCAATCGCGCGTTCCTGGGTGTATATGGTCCAGAGCAGCCGGCGGCGGTGCTCTGTGGCGGCGCAGTGGTACTTGTGTGTGAGTGCGAGACGCGCGGCTTGCGAGGTATAACTGGCGGCGTCGGGGCCGTGCGTCTGGAGGAGGAAGTAGCTGTACAGCAGCAGAGTCTCGAGACCGACGGTGTCTGCGACGTTGTGAACTGTTCCTGACGCCAAGAGCAGCCCGAACAGCCGGACGGGAGCAGCACACGGTTTGGGGTTCTGGAACAGCTCCGCGAGGGCGAGGACGAGCTCGAGCTGGCAGATGAGGAGCGCGGTGGCGTGCGAGGGCAGGCTATCGATTTCGTCGGCGTCGTATAACTCGTACAATTTCTGCCTGAGCACTCCATCGTTGAAGAAATAATAGCCCGCGGTGTACGTTTCGAACGTGTCTATGGCGGCGAGCGCGTCGTTGTAAAAGGGCAGAAACACCTGTGCGGCAGCGGTGCCGATGGCGACATTGCAGATATGGCCGATTTTGGACACCACGACGGTTATGCTGGTTATGGCTGCCGGGTTATCTTGCAACAGTGCGCTGTGCAGCTCGGAGTCAACAAGACTGTGGCCCTTGCACGGCGTCGCGCCGTCGAGCAGCGCGCGCAGCCGCGCATTCTCGGCGGCCAGCTGGGCCGCGTGGTCGCGCATCTCCGCCACGGCAGACTCCTTGAGCAGCACCTTGCGCTCGGCCTGCTGGTACTCGCAGTTCTTGCGAGCAGCCGCGCACTGGGAGCAAGGCCCCCCGTTGCCGTCGCACTTGGCGTGCCGGCGGCGGCAGCGCACACACGCCGGCTGGCTGCTGCGCCTGAGGGGCGGCCGTTTGGGTTTCTGAATAGAAAACTTGATTTGGCGAGTCTCTTTATTGAGCACCATAGAGAAAAAAAGCTTATCTTATCAAAAAGAAATCTTGCAATTAATTTTCCATAGTTATATCCATACTGTTGGCCACGTTCAGACACTCATCGGCAAAGTAGTTCCCGCCCCACGCGGTGCCGCTGTGGTCGTAGTTGCCCGCCAGCGACGGCCGCTGCACGTCGCGCACATAACCGGCAATGCCCTCTTGTTTGAACATCCGCGCAAACTCGTAGACGTACATGTTGACGCCTTGGAGCGCGAAAATCGGCTGTGTCTGGAACACGATGCCCATCTCAGCCAGCCGCACCGGAAGCTCACACACCTCCTGCCACGTGTAACCCGCCGCTTCGTAGTCAAAACTGCCCGTGAAGCCGAACCCAAAACACCGCTCGCTGTCGACGGCACGCAGAGCGGTGTGGATCTCGACGATGTCGCGCCACACAGGCGTGTCCATGCGCGCCCATGTGGTGTCTGTGAGCGGCATGGCGGCCACGGCGCGCTCTATAACTGCCTGAGGACACGCCTGGTACAGGTACTGGCCGACGCTGGTGCGCGCCACGTCCCAGTCAAAATAGATTTTGGTGGCCACCGTTATTTCGGCAAACGCGCGCATCTCGTCCAAGCCGGGCGTCGGACGGGCTTCAAACAGCCGGCAGAATGCCGCGTACTCGTCCGGCGTGGCCGCCAGCTTGACGGCCTCCGGGAACGTCATAACTTTGGCCTGCTGGAGCCACCGCGCACGCGCTTCTGCTGCGTTCTCGCCCCGTTCGTGCGCACGGTTCATAGCCCCGATAAATGACTCAATGCCCGCCACGGTGGCCCCGCGCACGTACTTGTGGTCCCGGGCGTCCACCACGGACGTGATGAACTCGGCGTGGTAGCAGTCGACGCGCGACATGAGCAGCATCTCGGACCCCAGCACGTCCAGCTGGAACCGTGCCGCTGTTAGCCGGCGCAGGTACTCGCTCAACGGGACAACTGTGCGGCCCAGCTTTTCGGTGAATTTCTTGAGCCCGATGGCCAGATCGTCGTAGTGCACCATCGCCGTTCCGGCCTCCGCAAACATCTTGGTCTGCTTCATTATGGCCGTCACGCTGCCAAAGCCCATGTCGCCGTCTGCCACCATCGGCAGCAGGTAGTCGTAGACGGAGAGCTCGGCCTGTTCGGCCGCAGAGCGGCCTAGATAGTAAGACTTCTGCCTGCGATCGTGGAATAACTGCGACTTGAAGAGCCGCGCCACAACTTTTGGCACTGTGTCGCTCGGATAGTCTGCATGGTCGCGGCCAATTTCGTCTGCCACCTGCAGAGCAGACACCCCGCCAGAAACGTACACGGCCTCGATTCCCGCACGGGACATTTGCGAAGCGGTGGCTGGGTCAACACAACCAAACGTGAGGAGCGGGGTGCGTTCCTTGCGATGCTTGTTTAGCAGCTCCCATAACTTGTTGCCCTGCACAGACGAGACGTGGTCGATGTGCAGGGAGCTGCGCATGGCGGCGACTTTTTCCGCCGAGTACGGTCTCTGGAGGTGTTTCTGGCGGGGCGAGTGCCAATGTTGTTTTATCTCGGACACTTCGGCCTCAAACTGCGCCCTCAGGTTACTCATGTTGCTACAAAAGGGGACAATAAGCTCGAGTTTATATGTGTGTTATCTCCATTTCCTAAACAGGCAGGAGGACGTGATGTTCCTATCACCCCTCAAATCAGGATTCAGAACGGCAAAGTCACGTCCAGCGAGTCGGCAGCAAACATCTGGTCATCCGACAGTTTGGCGCCGCACCACGACGTCTCAAATCCGTCGGTGTTGTTTTTCTTACAGAACTGAATAATGTCGCGGTCATAACCGTAGATTCCCTCCCGCTTGAACATCTTACCAAACTCAAGACTCACCATGTTCAAGCCCTGGCACGCATAGATTGGCTGCGTCTGGAACACAATGCCCAGATTGGCAAGCTCCCAGTGAAGGTTCTTGAACTGCTCCTCAGTGAATCCGGCTGCAAGGTAGTCGTAGCGGCCAGTATACCCAAACCCGTACGCTCTGCGGTTATCAATTGCGCGCAGTTTTTCATGAAACTCCACAATCTCGTCCCATTTCGGAGCGTCCATGCGTGCCCAGGTGGCGTCTGTCACAGGCAATGCTGCTATGGCGCGGTCAATCACGTGCTCCAGCGTGTGCTTGAAGAAGTACTGGCCGTCCGTGGACCGTGCGGCTTCCCAGTCGAAGAACACTGGCTGGGAAACTGTCTTTGCCGCATGGGCCCTTCTATCGGTTATACTCTTGAACTTGGAATCCTTGAAGAGAGCCATGTACGACGCATACTCCTCTGGCGTGGCGACCTGCTCGACTGCCTCGTCAAAAGTCATCAGCCCCGCCTTCGCCAGCCACGCCTTGCGCGTGCTCTTGTAGTCGGAACCTTCCCGCTGCGCCTTCACCATCGTCGCCAGCAGTGGCTCGCACTCCGGGTTTGTCACGCCTTGTACATAACCGTGGTCACGTGGATCGATAACCGAGGTTATGTACTCGGCGTGCAGCGAGTCTGCACGGCCCATGAGCAGTGTCTCGGCGCCCATGAGGTCCAACTGGAACCGCGCTGCCGTGAGCCGTTTGAGATACTCGCATGTGGGCACCACAGTTCTGCCCTCGCCGATTGTGAACCGTTTCATTCCTATGGCCAGGTCGTCAAGATGGAACATAGCCACGCCTGCCTCCACAAACTTCTTGGTGAGTTTCATGATTCCCGTGGTGCTGCCAAAACCCATATCGCCATCGGCGATGAGAGGAACCAGGTAGTCAATTTCTGGCGTGGCAGCAAGCTCCTCCGGGGTCATGAGAGAGCGCAAATGGTTCTGGCGCCGATCGTGCCATAACTGGGAGTTGACTAGTTTTTGCACGGTGTTGGGAACCGTGTCCCAAGGATAGTCGGCAGTGTCCATTGACGGCTCGGCCACGTTGGAAAAACCACACACGGCTCCACTGACATAACCGATCTCGAGTCCGGCCTTGGACAGTTGCGACAGCAGAATCGGGTCGACTGCGCCGTAAGTGAGCAGGGGCTCCTGCTTGGCTATCTTGTCTTCAAATAACTTCCATAACTTGGCGGCCTGCTGCGAGGATACATGGTGGTTCAGCTCAATGGAGTTTCTCATTCTGGCCACGTCGAGGGCCGAATACGGCCGCTGGAGCCTGCTCTGTTTTTCAGATTTCCACCAGTTCTCGATTTTTTCCACCTCCGCCTGGAGCCTGCTATCTCTGGTTGCCACTGTCATGATAACCCAACACGTCTTTTACCCCAAACATTTATAACCTGCCTCGAGATAGGCCCGCTTCCCAAATGGGTAATTTCGGATGTATCCTCCAACGCTTATCACTTATCGCAAATGTTGGGGTCGCAGATATCCAGATAGCAAGGGTGGCACGCAGAGGGGCCGTCGGAGCCTATAAAAGCACAGAGCACCACCCTGGGATCTGCAACGATGGCAGAGAAATTAGCAGGCAACGTGAGTGTCAAAGATATCAGTATGGCCTCTGTTGAGGAGGCACCCTCGGTGGTGGTGGAAGAGGGCGACGACATTGGTGCCCAGTATGTCCATCTTATCAAGGACGGTTATACGAAAAAAGAGCTGCACAAGGCCAGATGGAAGGTCGACCTCAATCTTGTGCCATTTCTGTGGCTCAACGTCTCTATCGCTGCCATGGACAAGGTGACCTCTGCCACGGCCGCTTTGTACGGACTCAAGACGGACCTCAACTTGAAAGGCGACGAGTACAGCTGGATCGGTTCCTCGTTCTACTTTGGATATCTTCTTTTCTGTTTCCCGGCTGGCTGGTTATTGCAGAAATTCCCCATTATAACTGTGGGCTCGGTGTGCTTCATCCTATGGGGATTCATTCTGATTGGTTCTGGGTTTGCAAAGGCATTTGTGCCAATGATTGTGAGTCGTGTGCTGCTTGGTGTTCTTGAGTCTCCGGTCGTGGCCATGACACTGCTGGTTATATCCTCCTTCTATACCCGTGAAGACCAGCCGCTGAGAACTGGTCTGATGTACACCGGGTTATCGACGCTGTTCACTGGGCCAATCGGTTATGCCGTTGGAGGTTACACCAATGTCTCATACTCTCCTTGGAGAGCTTTCTATTGGATAACCGGCGCCATGTCCATCGGATGGGGAGTTATCATTTATTTCCTGCTACCAAGCTCGCCCGTAAATTGCTTCTGGTTGTCTGAAAAAGAGAAGGCCATAATCATCCACCAGGTTAAGAAAAACCAAACAGGCATCAAATCTAAGAAGTGGAAGTGGGAACAGTTCAAAGAGGCCCTTCTGGACCCAAAAGTCTGGGTTATGTTTTTCTTCCAGATCTTTATCTCAATTCCAAACGGTGGACTCACAAACTTTTCTCCGCTAATTGTGAAAGGCCTCGGATGGTCTTCGCGTTATTCCGCACTGCTGGGAACCGTCAACGGAGTTATGCAGACAGCCTCCTCCTGGTTCACCACATTCACAATCTTCTTTATCGAGAAGAAGTGGCCCAATGCCAAATCCAGAGGTTTTGTCATGATCGGCTACCTGGTCCCGGCTTTAATCTCCGCCATACTGCTGTACAAGCTTCCATACACCAACTACACGGGCCGCCTTGTCTCGCTCTATTTTTCGTTCTTCTATTTGGGGCCTTACATCGCCTCTTTGACCCTCATCCAGGCAAACACTGCCGGTTATACGAAGAAGGTCACGTGCAATGCTCTTTATTTCATTGCGTACTCTGTGTCCAACATCATCGGCCCGCAATTCTTCAAATCCGACCAGGCTCCTTCTTACTCGCTGGGAATCGGCGCCATTTTTGGAGCCTACGCTTTGAGCATTTTCTCGCTGGTGATGTACATGTTTCTGTGTTATCGTGATAACTGCCGACGCGAGGAGAAAGATCCCGACGCCCTTAAAGTGGAGGAGCACCACGATACAGACTTTAAGGACCTCACGGATTTGCAAAACATCCACTTCCGGTACAAGTGGTAGAAGATAGCCACACCTTTTAAATATGGATAGTTATGTTATCGAAACTTTATCGATTCAGGGTAATTCGGCGCTAGTATTCCTGTTTCCTGATTTGGACGTTGCAAAAGTATATATTTGGGTATCATGGTACTACGGTTCCGGCAAATAAAATGCCACCCAGGTATAACTTTTTCAGAGGACACCCGTCTCCGTACTTGCTGCCAACAAAAGAGGTGCTGGATGCCACTACGCGGGTTTACAATCGTGTCATAGAGAACGAAAACTGCTACGACGACGTTTTCAATAGACATCCATTGCAATATGGTCTGGGCCTGGGAAACGAAGAGGTTAGACAGGCGATTGCAGACTGGAATAACCGCTGCTTTGAGATGGATGTGCGCTCTGAGGCAAATTGCATCAATCTGAGTAACGGTGCCAGTTATGGAGTTATGAATATTCTTGCCCAAACTACTTCACCGCATAACGGTATAACTAGAAGAGCATTTTTGGTAACACCCACATATTTCCTCATCAATTCCACCTTCATCGATGCCGGTTTTGGGGGCAAGCTAACGGGCATTGAGGAGCTTCCCAACGGCCAACTGGACTTGGACGAGTTTTCCAGCAAGCTGCAGTACTACGACTCGCTTGAAGAAATAAAGCCACCAAGACCAGAAGATTTGGAAGCCATCCAGCACCCTTCGAAAATGCAAAAAAAGGTCTACAGATACGTTCTGTATCTGACCCCCACCTTTTCAAACCCAAGAGGAGGCACTCTGACGCTCTCTACAAGACACAAACTAGTTGACTTGGCAAGAAAACACGATGTTCTAATAATTTGCGACGACGTGTACGATCTTCTCAGTTATACGAGTGAAAAGTTGGTTCCTCGTCTTGTTTATTGCGACAAGCAGACTCTGCCAGACACTCAAGCCTACGGTAACACCGTGTCAAACGCAACGTTTTCGAAACTGGCCGGCCCGGGGCTTCGTGTTGGCTGGCAAGAAACAGTTTCCCCTAAGCTGGCAACGCAAATACACTATGGTGGAGCGAATATTTCCGGCGGAGCACCATCTCACACAAACAGCGTTATAATTGGCGAAATGGTCAAAACGGGGGAAATGGACAATATTGTCAGTAATCTTTGCAAAGTGTACTCCGAGAGGGCGCTGGCTTTGAAAGAGGCTGTGGAATCATACATGCCAAGAGGCACCAGAGTGGATGGCGGCAATGGTGGCTACTTCGTTTGGATAACTTTACCGGATGGCTATAACTGCCGAGTTATATGTGAAATAGCAGCCAAACAAGGACTCGTTCTAGCCAATGGAGACCACTTTGAGGTTGTGGGAGATTCTCGTGGCTGGGGAGCACAGGCGGCACGTCTATCGATCAGTTTCCTATCCAAGACCGCCATAATGGAGGGCATCAAACTCTGGGGCGATATTTGTAAGACCTATAACCAGCTATAAAGGTAGCAGATCTATACCTGCCGCAAGCCATGTTTTTCCTGCCAGTATGTCATCTAGCGACTCTCCGCTGGACCAGACAGTGTTTGCTAGGTTCACCACCATGGAGAAGCTGGAAGAATTAAAGACTCCTTCGATCCCTTTCAGATAAGTTATGAAATCTTTGTATTCACAAGCAATTTGCATGACTGGCCATATCATGTGTGCCACCAATGGCAACGATTTGTCCAGCGAGGAATACACGTCTGCGAATTCCCATCCAATATGGTCTATGATGGATTGGTGTTCTTTGTGCGGTCTGACGGTGCTTAGAAGTTTCGTCAATATAGCCAATGACCAGCATTGTGCAATTTTGAGTCTCATCAGGTAATAACTTTTGTCGGAATATTTGCTTTCCTTTGGCGGTTGCAAATTATAGGAAACGTACATTCTGTAATCAGACAACTCTGTGCGCAGCTCACAGTAAAGTTTCCTGATCTCTGTGCCCAGAAGCTTGTTGTGCTTGATCCCATTGCGAAGATGGCATAACTTCGACATGCACACAAATAACTGCCCCGGACACCCAGACTGATCCTCTATGTCCTTATCCAAGTTATACCAGCGAGGATTACAGTATGGTGTGCGACAATCCGGCGAAACAAGAGCGGAAACTGTGTCCCACCAGGCCATGCTTACACATAGAGTCTTGTTGGCCTGGCCGAGTTCCTGTGCCACGTTAAATGTGCTATGTTCCACCAGCTGGGCAAATAACTTGAAAAACACTCTGGATAATCCAGAGCGGCCATTCTCCAGGATACCATATAGCACCTGAATGTACAACATGAAGCACACAAAGAAGACCGATTTTTTTGAGCTGAGGATGTTTGTGGAGGCGTCGTTGGGTTGGAAGTTGCTGTTCATGAGAGATTTATGAATGTTATTGTCTTGTATGAAGCGTAGAAGATAATCGAGTGTATTGTTGATATTCAAGGCACCTTTCTCCAATAGCTTGCGTTTGGCGCCGGTGTCGCTGACCCAGCCTGCAAGATGCAGCGCTCCGATAGAAACAAAGCAACTTCGGACAATATCCTTGTCGCAGTACTGAATGGCAGCTCCTGGCCACAATGGATTATAACTTGAAGATACTGACGGCAGTAGTCGGGTGAAAAAATGCTTCACGATCATCACATCATCGGTACAGTTTGAGGGGCTGTCGTATAAGTCTAGCGATCTGTAAATTTGGTCCAGTAGATAATTTCCTTGGTTATCCATGAGTTGTGATAACTCAGGTAGCGGCGAGTCCTGTCGCGTCGGAGGCTCCATGATCTGTTTTAGCTTTGTGTAGAAGTAGTCCTGATCGTTTTCGATCTTGCGCATTGCCGTCACGATTTCCGCCTCTCTGGACCTCTTCGCTCTAGACAAATGTGGAGTTATTGTTGTACCTCCATCGGGTTTCTGGAATAACTCAGTTTCTGGAATCATTTCTGCAAGAATGCGAGGCTTGGGTACCGGAACGGTTTGTGGCAGCCGCTGTCCTGAAAGTAGCGTGGGCGAAGAGGAATGGAATCTGTCTTTAGGGGCGAGGCTCTCCACATAGTCCATGGGGGACATTAGATATTGCCGATTTGGACTCATGAGGAGCTTTTATTTTTGTAATCTGATGCCTTTGAATTTTCATCGGAACTGTTATCTTTAAAAATCGTTATCTTTGGCTATCATAAGCGGCCACCGCCGTGGTTATAAAACAAAGATTTTGCTGTTAGAAAGTAATGAATTCTGGTTCAGAAGTGCACCTTGCACACTCTCTGCCACTGTGCTTTGCCTTGCAAGCACACTGTAGAGATCCTCGAAATTATACTTGATTCGGAAAATATATACATGAAAAATAGATAACAAAAACAACCACCAGTTATGTCTACGGGAGAAGGCCAGGGAAGTCGCAAAAGACGCAAAAAGGAGCTCAGAGCATGTACAAGTTGCAGAAAGCGAAGGGTAAAATGTAACTTTGAGATCCCGTGTAGTCGCTGCATAGATCGCAACCGAGCAAGCCTGTGCACCCGAGAGCCTGACGCGGAAGTGGAGCAGGTAAATCAAGAGTTAGACGTCCTTCAGGAAAACAAAATACTTAGGGACAAGGTACTAGAGCTGGAGGAACTGATTTTGCAGGCCAGAAATCACCAGGACACCGACGAAAGCACACAGGACCTTGAAATCGAGCCAATCGAGGATGATAACTGGAGTTATTACGTCCACGCAATCGCATCTGCAAAGCAGATTTCTCTAGGCTGGCTGGGCGAGGAAACAGGAATTGCAGACACCGAGGACTGGCTGCTGGCGAATTACGAGGACCCCACCGCAGAAAATGAAGATGTGTGGTGCTACTACTACGAAAAGGTCAATGGCATAGAAAAGCACATTTCGCAGAGAATACTCCAGGAAGCACGCAAAGTTTCGTTTTTGTATAACGTGATAGACTGGGACAAGTTCTGGAGGGAATATAACCAACACTGGGAAACTGAGGCAGAGCGACATATTGCACCATTCTACTCCAAGGACAAATGGAAGTACCTTTTTATGTGCCAGTATTACCTGTTGTTATGCATTGGGTTATACTACTCGGATGATTGTCTTCAGCAAGACATTGGGTACTCTAGTGAGGAGTGGGAGCTGTTCCCCAAAGTGTTTTTTTCGTGTGCATTCCAGTGTTTGATGCGAGGACGGATTCTCACTTACCCAGACGTGATGTCTGTACAGTGCTTCTGCCTATTGAGACTGTGTGCACCAATGCTGGGCGGTTATAACCTGCTAAACTCTTTGCTAGAAGTTATGTGCTACCACGCGCGGCTCCTGGGTCTCGACAAGCTATCTGCCTCGGACGACCAGTTCAAAATAATGTGCTGGTGGTCGCTGGTTATTACCGACTGGCACGACTCTGAGTTTCGCCACTCCTCCATCCAGCTTAACAGCTTTTCGACGCCACTGCCCCTGAAATATGGTCTAGCTAAAAAAATCAACGAGCACAGCTACTACCATCTGTTCAACGCGCGGATTGCACTCATCAAAAAACGCTACTACTATAACCCGTCGCCGTCGCTAGACCACCTCATAACTGCAGAGGCAGAGCTGCACGAGCTCGAGATGGAGCTGGTCTCCGACCTCGAGCAATTTCCTTCTAGCATGCCCTCCTCGCATCACGTCAAATTTCTTATCAAGTTCATTCTGCTTTACGAAAAACTCACCATCTGCTGCAAAATCGCCTCCTGCATAGCCAAGCCTGAATGGCTCCAAAAATACCACCGACGCTGCTTTGCGCATGCCGACCAGATCGTCCGCATCTACCTGTCTCCTGAAACCCCGACGGCATATAAAAAGCCGTGGTTTATGGCCGACATGACGGTTTCGGCGATGGTGTTTCTTCTGGTGGACGCGTTTCTCAACGAGCACGCCATTTGTACACAAGAGAAAGCCATTGGCGTGGCCCAGCAGCTTGTGGCCGTGCTGACCTCGTTTTCGCAACTGGTTCGACCGGCTTTGCGTGGGGCCCAGGTTATTGAAAAAATAATTGATTATTTAATTCGCGACGCTAGCGGAATAGCCAGAGATATTGCCGAGACTAGCTCGTCTCCTATCCATTACGGCGGGCTTTTGGAGATTCCTTGGCACGAGCTGTCGCAGGCGTTTCGGGAAAGTCCTTCGGCCGGCGACTACAAATCGCCGGCCTAAGTTGCCAATACCTGAGCATCTGCGACAATTCCACCATAATTGGAAAAATTCTTGGAAATTATATCATTGATCATATTAGACATCCGGCTCTGTCGACCCTTTTTCTCAATTTTCGATACCCAAGGCCATACTGTGCCACAAGTGTGGAAACCCCCACATTGATGACTATGAGTTCCCAAATCCAATGGCAGGAACCGTCTTGATATAGAGCTCGTTGCGTCCATAAACCACTTCTTCAGGGTTCCCTGCCTTTCGCTCCAGAAACCACTGTGTCGTACGCATTCCCTTCGTTGTGGCCGGCACCCACTCACAATAAATAGCAGCTCGACTCAGTTATATTCCCGAAAAATCCCTAGCAGAGCTCATTATCATGAGCAGGCTCGGGGGAGCCACGCAGCCCCCAAGGAGCTGGCCAAGACTAGATACGAGAGATGCTACCTGCAGCAAAAATCGCACTCGTGGACACTGATAACTGCTTCCTAATAAATGAAACAGCTGTTGGCGAATATAGCTGCCACCACCAAAATAACCTGGTTTTGGCTTGTTCCGTACGCTGGAATGCGTCTGGTCTGAAGGCGGGCAGACCTCGTTACCGTGCCGCTTGTCACTGCTTTTGCTAAACGTGCACATTGTGGCTCTGCCCGGCAATAAAGATGCCGACGCTGCTGCTCTGGCAAGGTTTGGCCCAGCCTCCGTGTTCTTGAACTTTGACCCGTCGGGCGCACTCATACTGGATAATGCAAGTTCATGATTTAGGGAGTTCGCAAGATAACTACCAGCTGGGAAGGGTCTGTGCTGACTTGGCTAGAGACGCACGGTTACATAATCATATGCATAGAAAAAGTCGCGGCAGCTGCCTTATATTGAAAAATAACATATTTACGCGATGTAGAACCAGATTCTCTCCACAAAGTTCCTTGGTTTTGGCGGCACGTACTCGGCGGCGTCCTTCTCGATCTGCTCGAGGCCAGAAATACAGTCGATTTCCTCCGGTGGGGCGAAAATCATGAAGTTTCTGAACCACAGCGTATGTCCCACATAAAGCGCAACCACAATAGGCAGCGTGATGTATGCGGCGAAAAAGTCGGCGACATTGAAGTCGAAAAACACACCGTAACCGTTGGTGATGGTGATGACGATAAAGAAGCCAGCACTGAGGTAGGCACCGGCTTTCTGTAATGGTGGTCTGAACACGATTCTGTCGTCGAGGCCGTGGTACGAAATGGCCTTTCTAAAGCGGAGGTAGGTGAGCGACACGAAAATCCACGAGATGAAGCCGGAAATCGTGCAGATGTTGGTAAGCCAGGTGAACACTTTAGCGGACGAGTTCGAGCAGTTGAGGAAAGCGAGCAGGGCAATGGCTCCTGTAAGGGCGACCGAGTAGATCGGCACGCCATTTTTGGTGCAGCGGGCGAAAATGGCCGGCACCTCTCCGTTGCAGGCCATCGAGTGCAAGCTTCTGGTGGCGGCGAAAAATTGCGAGTTACCGCACGAGTAGGCCGACGTGAGGATGGCGGCGTTGACGATGTGGTTGAGCACCTTAATTCCGGCGTTCTGGATACCGATCACGTATGGCGAGCCGGCAGCAGTGCTGGCTCCTGCGTTGACGGCGTCCATGAGCCGTGGGTCGTTCGAGCCAACAATGACTCCGACGATGATCACTCCGACGACGTAGAAGAAGGCCAGCCTGTAGATGAATCTCTTGCACGCTTTAGGCAGGTTCGATCTTGGGGCCTCGGCCTCGGCAGCACAGGCGGTGATCAGTTCTGGGCTGAGAACGAAAGCAAACGCACTCTTGACGATTCCGGTCCAACATGCAAGGAATTTGCCGGTGTTTCCCGGGACAAGGTGTTCAACAAACGCTCCTGGGTGTTTCCAGTAGTGGAAGCCTAGCACGCCGTCCGAGGCAGGCGCTCCACCGAAGAAAATGACGATTCCGACGATGATAAGGCCGATGATGGTGATAATCTTGATGGAGGAGATCCAGAACTCGACCTCGCCGAAGAATTTCACCGCACAGAAATTGAGCGCCACGCACGAGACCCAGAAGATGGAAATGAAGATGGCCACGTTGGCGTCGGTCCAGTACTGGATCACAAAAGCGGCGGCGGTCATTTCGGAAGGCGCAATCAGCGCCTGGGCGTAGTAGAGGTTCAGGCCGGCAGCAAACGCAAACGACTTGTTGCCCGTGTAGCGCTCACACAGAGCGTGCATCGTGGACTGGCCGGAAACGGGGATATACGAAACCATCTCGCCGAGCTGGTTCATGATGCACCAGACGAAGAACGACAGAATCAGGTAGCCGACCAACAGGCCTGCGGGTCCGCACGACGACAGCGTCGAGCCGGTACCGACAAAGATACCCGTTCCGATGGCTCCTCCGAGCGCGATCAGCTGGACGTGTCTGCTCTTGAGACCACGGTGGACCTCGGTGAGCTGCTCTTTCTCGGACACAACCTCCTCGGTGAAGAGGTAATTGGACTTGCTAACCACAGTGCTGGTTTTCTCCGGGGCTTCAGACATTGGGTGGTGGTCAAAAGGAAAGCGAAGCGGTGGTATATATGCGTTTTGATCAAGGACATATAATATGCGCTGCAGAGATAAGACCTGCAGATAAGAGCCTGGTGGCTGATAGCAGCTACGGCATTTAACGAATCTGTCATGCCTGGCGTGCAGCCGTCGACGCTGCGCAAAATTTTTCTGTGCCAAACTTTGGGAAGTCTCCGCGACGGGGGCTTATCGGGAGCGAGATTGAGATCGCGCCATTGCCCAAAATTAGCCGCGTAGAAAATTACCACATATGATATGCGTGGCTTTCCTGGACCCTAGAGATAAGCCCTGCATCGCGTGCCGCACTTGCGGCAGGGCCGTACTGGCCACGGTTGGCGCAGCCGAGCACAAACGCCACAGCGGGCGCTGTGCAAGGCTCCCGTCCGTCGTCGCACCACTCGACTACACCTCGCACCGACCTACATTTTCCGAGGAGCAAATCTTATCTCGATAGTCCATAAAAAAGCAAAATTAATAGCAACGAGCCACCGGGGCTTTTGTTCAGTTTTTCTCCGTGTCGAGTCTCTCGAGCTGCGTCACCTCTGTGATCGTGTCGTCCAGATGGTAGTGCACCTCGCCGTCGAACTTCTTGTCGATCTCCTCCAGCGTCAGGCCCTTGACCTCAACAAACGTCCACCAGATAATCACCGCCTGCGCAAAGTTGTACACGCCGTTGATCATGTAGTATTTCCACGAGATGTGGTCGAGCGCGATCGGAATCACGTACTGGTTGAAGAAGCCGAACCCGAACGTGACGACCTGCGAGAACGCCATGCCCTTGGTCCGGATACTGTAGTTGACGATTTCGACCGGATACGACACGCACAGCGGCGTGTAGCTGAAGGAGTAGGTGCCGCTGAACAGGAACACCATGAAGATCAGCGCGTTGGTGGCGTTGACGTTGGTTCCGTCCGCGTAGTATTTCTGGACGGCTCCCATGATGAACAGACACACGCCCATGAGCAGCGTGGACCACAGCAGAATGAACACACGGCCAAGCCCCTCGGTCAGATACGAGCCGGCGGACGCGAAGAACAGGTTCGAGACCTGCAGACCCAGGTTCAGCACGATCTGCCGTCTCGTCGACGTGTAGCCGGCGTTCTCCAGGAACAGGCCCAGGTAGGTGCCCACGATGTTGCTTCCGGTCAGCTGCGAGGCCACGCCCATCCAGAAAATGATCCACAGTCTCCAGCGGTTGCCCCTGGTCTGCAGCATGGCCTTCCAGCCGATCCGGTTCTCCTTCTCGTAGTGCAGGACCTGCTTGATTTCCTCAAACTCGAGGGCCACGAGCGGCGTCTCCTCGCCGTTGCCGTGGTAGTTTTTCAGGATCTGCAGGGCCTCGTTTTCGCGGTCGGTGTACACGAGGAACCGCGGAGTCTCCGGGATGAACGCCAGCAGCGGCAGACACAGCACGGACGGCGCGATCTGCCACAGCGAGATGCCTCTCCAGGCCCAGCTGGATTTTTCCGTGTACGTGCCGAGCGAGATGCCCGTGGTGATTATCGCCGCTAAGTACCAGCTGGCCATGTAGAGGCCGGCAAAGAAGCCGCGGTGCTGCGGTTTGACCATCTCGGCAACGTACGTGGGGGCGCTCACCGCGTTGATGGTGACGGCCACGCCGATGATGATCCGGCCGACGATGAACATGGCCCTGTTGCGGGCGCCGGTCTGCAGGCCGACGCCCAGAAACGTCAGCACCGCAGCGATAAACATGCCTCCCTTGCGCCCGACGCGGCGAATATCGATCAGCTGCGCAGCGAAAAAACCCCCGACAACAGACCCGATGTTGATGGCGGCCGAGAAAAGCCCCTCCATGCTCGAGTCCAGGTCGAAGAAGTCCAGGTACTGGTCGATCATGTTGAGGTTGGTCATCATGCTCTGGTCCACGCCCATGGTGCAGCCGTTGATGATGGCGCACGACAGTGCAATGGCCATAAGCTTGGCACTATTGACGCTCTTGGTGCCTATTATCTTTGACATATTGTTTAGAAAACCAAGCAATAAAAAATAATGCGACAAAATTTTTCATCGCTGGAGAACAAAAGTATGGCCGTCGGTATCTCCGTCGGATACCCCCATATGGAATTTACCACAAGATTTTAGCCGTGTAAACATTTATCTCTGTTTTTATGCGAAAGGTTGTTATCGACTGCGATCCGGGCATCGACGACGCCAGCGCGCTGCTGCTGGCGCTCGCGCCGGGCAACCTGGACGTCAGGGCCATCACCACGGTCTCGGGCAACCTCAGGGCCAGCTCCTGCACCCAGAACCTCAAGAAAGTGCTCTCCATGACCAACCGGCTGGACGTGCCCATCGGGCAAGGCCCCGACAAGCCCCTTGTGCGCAAGTACCCGCGCGACCCGTTTTCGCACGGCTCCGACGGCCTGGGCGACCTGGGCATGCCCGAGCTGTCCACCGAGCCGTGGGACGCGACCGGGAACACCGTCGCCGTGGCGAGCGACCTGATCGTCGACACCGTCAACCGGCACGCGGGCAACATCAGCGTCATCTGTCTGGGCCCGCTCACAAACCTGGCGCTCGCCCTGATCAAGGACCCCGAGCTGCCCCGCAAAGTGGAGAAAGTGATCATTATCGGGGGCTCGTTTGGCTTCTCGCCGTCGGAGGCGCTGCACGCCACGGGCGACAACCCGGTGAGCGAGTGGAACATCTACGTGGACCCGGAGGCCGCAGAGCTTGTGTGGGGGGCCAAGTTCAACCTGACGGCCATCGGCATGGACATCTTCTGTCAGCCGTGCATCGCGATGACGCAGAGGTACCAGGACAAGCTGGCTCAGTCGCGCTCTCCCGCGGCGACGTTCGTGCTCGGCGTGCTCGCGTGGCTCCGGCGGCGCGGCTTCGGCGACTACTGCGCCCTCATAGACTCGCTCGCGGTGGCGTACGCCATCGACGAGTCCATCATGGAAACCGAAAAGGTCGACTGTCTGGTGGAGACCAAGTCGGACATCGCGCTCGGGCAGATCGTGGTGGACCGCCGCAAAAACTTCAAGTGGCAGGGCCTGCCGCAAATCGACGCCGTGGCCCGTGTGGACGGGGAAAAATATCTCGCCATATTGACCGAGGGATTTACCAAATATTAAAAAAACTGTACTCGTATGAAAAAGAGCTCTCCAAACAGGACGCCCAAGTTCCACGTGCGCCGCGCCGCGCTCGCGTGCTCGCAGTGCCGCCGCTCCAAGACGCGGTGCCACTACCTCAACAACGGCCAGACGTGTTTCCGGTGCACCAACCTGGGCATCCGGTGCTCGCTGGCAGACGTCAACCTGACAGACTCGCTCATCTCGCAAAACGCCGCTTCCTCGGCGGATTCCGCGTCCGTCGCGCAGAAACTCGACGAGGTGCTCAGCAAGGTCGACCTGCTGCTGGGCGTGCGCCGCGCCGCCGAGATGGTCGACCAGGAGCTCGACCACCAGCCCGAGGCGTCGAACCTGCTCGACAAGCTGTACTTCGACGTGACGCCGTTCCGGGACGTGCGCCGCGCCGGCGACATGACGCAGATCCCCTTCAACAAGGAGCTGGCGCACGGCATCTGGCCGCTCGTGCTCACGCACCCGGCCGACGCCGACGTCGTCGCCAGCGGCGTGCTGTCCGAGCCGCTCGCCAACGAGCTCGTGCGGCTCGCCGTCGACTTCTACGGCCTCTGGGGCGGCATCTACACGGTCCCGCACAACTACGTCACCGAGCTGCGCACGCAGTGCCCGCTGCTGCTCGCCGTGCTGTGCGTGCTGGGGCTCCGCTTCTACCGCGGCCGCCTGCCCCAGAACATGGACGTGCTTGCGCGCTCGCTGCTCCACACGATCCAGCGGCTGCTCTCGGCGTCGCTGCTCGTCGTGCCGCAGACCAAGTACCAGATCCAGGCGTTTCTGCTGATTGCGCTTTTCTCCATCTCGCTCTCGTACCAGGCGTTCTACTTCGACGGCTGGTTTCTGTCGGGCTACGCGCTGCTGCACTACATCACGCGCGAGATGGACCTCAACCTGCTGTCGGACCGGTTCAAGATGCACCCGGACCGCATCGAGAGTTTCCGGCTCTGGAACCAGCTCGCGCTCACGCACCTGTGCTACTGCATCCTCTCGGGCCGGCCGTGCCTGATCGACACGCTGCGGCTCGACCAGTGCCGCAACATCCTCGACATCCCGTCGGCGTCGAGCTTCGACGGCCGCATCGTCAGCCAGCTCTCGATCCTGCTCACGCTGTACAACGCGCTGCAGTTCAAGGAGCCGCTCGAGACCTCGCTCAAGGACCTCAAGTCGTCCTTCAACGACTGGAAGCACCTGCTCGAGCAGGACACCGTCGGCCCGGTCATCGTGATCACCTACCGCTTCTCCAAGGTGATGCTGTACCGCAGAGCGCACCTCACGACGCTCGACCCGAAACTGATCCAGGACCTGGACACCGAGTGCGAGAAACTGATAAACATATTCAAGGAGACGGACATCATGCTGCTGGTCAAGAGCAGCGACCTGATCAAGTTCTTCATGCTGTTTGCGGCGCTGAACCTCGCGCAGCACGGCAAGAACGAGCCCGTGCTGGCCACGACCGAGATCTGCCGCGTTTTCGAGCACAAGGTGGTGTACTACAACCAGTTTGCGTCGGTCTACCGCCGGCTGCTCGAGTCTGTCGTGCGCTCCTATGCGCAGCCGTGATACTCATTCCCCTTGCTCCGCGGGCAGGAACCCGCTGGCACCTCTCACTCTGAACGATCGTCCCCGATGGCCCGTTATATTGTCCACCGCTACAAGATTCAGACGTGCGTGCATTAGCTAATCAACTTTTTATTTTTTATTTTTCGGACTTGATGGTAACCCGTCTCTCGTGCATCCCGTGCAAACAGCGGAAAACCAGGTGCGACAAGATCCACCCCACGTGCACGACGTGCGCAAAGCGCGGCGTCCCGTGCAAGTACCCGTCCACCTTCAGAAACGCCCCGATCCGCACGCCAGGGCTCGCGGACTCCGTCGCGAGTAACTCGCTCTCCGAGCGCTACTACGGCATCACCTCCGCCCACCGCGTGGTTGAGGTGGCCGGGAGCCAGCTGCCGAGCCGCGAGCAGCCCCTGAAGGAGGAATTCCTCGCTTTCCCGCTGCTTTTCGACGACAAGGCCAAAACACAGCACTTCATCACCGAGGGTCTGCGGCTGTACGCCGAAACGGCCGAGTTTTGCTCGCACGAGCAGTTTCTGGACATTTACGAGCTCACGCACAACGTCGACCTGTTCCTCGAAACGCTCTCGTTCCCGTGCCGCACACTGTGCCAGCTGCTCGGCGTGCTGCTCGTTGGGGCCCGCTACAACCCACACTGCTCGCCCGAGATCTACGGCGTGCTCCACCGCGAGTTCTCGCGCGTCGGGCTTTTCACGGAGGACTGCATGGAGCTGATCCAGGCGCGCCTGCTGTTGCTCGAGCACTACGTGTACTCGCTCAAGATGGAGTCCACGTGGTCGCTGCTGTTCAGCATCGTGTGCGCCGCGTACGCGCTCGGGTATCACGTGCGCGAGACGGGCAAACACGTGCTCTGGCGCACCATCGTCTTCTACGACTGCCTGATCGGGTCCACGAACGGCCGCCCAAACGCCACGTCGTGTCTTCTGGACCCGGCCTCTTCCATGCTGTGCGACTTGATCCACCTCTACCGCGACACCAACCGCGCGTTCCAGGCCTACGGAAAAGACCCGGCGCTCTACGAGGCCCAGATTCTGCCGCTGGACAGCCGCATGTCCGCCGTGCTCGACCGCAAAACCGACACAGACCCGCTCCTCCTTCGCAGCTACCGCCTCCTGATCCTCACCAACCAGATCAAACTCCACTACCCGTTCTTACGTAAGCACAGATATTCGCAGTACCAGCTGAACGGGCTGCTGTGCGCGTTTTCGTACGAGTTTGTGGACTTTGTGCGGTTTGCCACGGAGAATGCGCCCGTGTCCTACGTTAAGTTGCGCGAGTCGTTCCCGTTCGTGTCCTGCCATACGTACCAGACCCTGGCGATTGTGATTGCCTGTATTAAAAAAGACCTACATGTTCTGGAGCCGCGGCTGTTCCAGTCGTTCCTGCTGATGAGCGAGCGGCTGCATGCGTTTGCCGACTTCCTGGACACGGACGAGCCGCTCAAGCAGATTCTGGGCACGCTGCACGAGCTTGCAGAGCCGCAAAGCCAGCACTCTGTCGCGCTGCTCCCGATCGAGAACCACTCCAGCTTCGTCCAGGACGACCCGTTTTTCTTCCAGATGTTCTATGCCAAGGAGGGGTGACTATGCGTCGGGGGTTTTTTCTCTCGTCCTGTGGCCTCGTATATACACCGCAAGACAGCACAGCCAGCCCACAGAGGCCACCACGATCAGCACGTAGCCGCAGATGCGGAATTTTTCGTCCGTCTTGGCGCCGTTGCCCAGCACCGACGTGACCACCGCAAAACACAGACTCACGCCAACCTGGCCAAATGTCTGCATCACGCCCGACACAAGCCCGCGCACTTCGGGGTCCGCTGCGCCAATCAGCACGCTCAGGGAGTGCGGGAAGAAAAAGCTGCTGCCCGCGGACGAGAGCACCTGCATCGGCAGAATCCACCGCCAGTAGAAATGGCTGTGGCTGCTGTTCCATGTTGCGCAGAGCCCCGTCGAGGCCACGACGCCCGAGTAGCCCAGCATGAACGAGGCGTACGGCGACAGAATGTCGTTTTTCACGGACAGCAGCGTCGTCACGGCGAACATGCCGACCAGGTTGGGTGCCAGTTTGACTGCGGATAGTAGCGGCGAATTTTGCTCCACGTACTGGAAAAATTCCGCGCACAGCGAGATGATCGCAAACAGCGTGCAGTAGTTCGCGAACACAGCCACCAAAATGCACACCGGCACCAGCGTCGTCAGCAGCGACTTGGGCATGAGCGGGATCGTCTGCTTGAAGTGCTTGCCGCTTTCCTGGATGCGCACCAAAATGCTGGTGTTCCAGAAAAAGAACACCACGTACAGAATTCCTCCCACCAGCAGCGGGAGATACGTTTTCGGCGAGTTCCAAACCTCGCCGGCCTCGGTGAAGCCGACCACAACGAGCGTGGTAGCACTGATCAGCAGTAGCGAGCCCACGGCGTCCAGATTGGCCACTTTCTCGCCCGTAGGCGGTATATTCTTGATGAAGAAGAAACCCAGCACAGCGTCCACAAACATCACGCCGCCGGACAGATAGTAGATGCCCTTATACCCCACGGACGTCAGGTCGAACGCTCCGCCCACTATGTAGCCAACACCAAACGAGAGACTGAACCCTGCGGCCAGAACAGAGAAGCGGGAGCCCAGCTTTTCAGGCGGGAACGAGCGCGCAACAATGGCGTAGCCAGAAGGCACGATAGCCGCGGCAGCAACTCCCTGCAGGGTTCTAAACACTATCAGCGCCGTCAGACTGTCCACGGCGCCGCAAAGTAGCGAAAAGACCGCAAAGAAAACCGAGCTCCATATGTATAAATTGGCATGCCCGACGATGTCTCCGATGCGGCCAGAAACGGCGATGAACCCCGAGAACGCCACGGCATACGCGGACAAAACCCACGACGCGTTGGAGTATGTGGCGTCGAAATGGCGCTGTATTTCGGACATGCTCGAGATGGTGGCTGTCACGTTGACCAGGTCAAAAGCGCAGCCGACCAGCACGATCAGCAGCACAAAGTCGCTTTTTTGGTGTTCCACGTGACGTGCGGTTTTCACAAAGCCCATAACTGAATTCCAAATGCTCATCGAGAGCAGACTGCTGATGCCATGTTCTTATATACTTTGTTGGGAACGCTCACTCAGTCGTGGGGTTTAAAATCAAACAAGTCCGAAGTCCGAAATCGGTGTTCGGTGTTCGGTCACAGCCTGATCAGAAGAACGCTACAGAGGCGCCGTCGCCGCGCGGGTCGCTGCCTCCAGCGTACACACGCTTGCCTGCGCTCTGCTCGCGCCGAATCACCTGGCCCCGGCCGCAAAGCGTGCGTTTTCTGTCCCGTAGCACGATAATATCGTGCCCCAAATTTCGGAGCTGACTAATATTTTCCTCGGGCACTCCCTCCTCGATGTTTACTGTGGTAACTTGAGCGCATACCGGCCCATTAGCGCCCAGCCCCAAGTCTGTGTGTTTGTAATCCTTGTGCGGTGTCATGCAAAACCGCGGCGCATCCAGAGCCTGCTGCGGATCCATTCCAAATAGCACCATGTTCAAGTACACCTGGACGTGTGCCTGCGGCTGGTTGAAGCCGCCCATGATGCCAAAACTGGCATACAGCTCCTCGCGCGACCCGGCAGGCGTGGTGATCATGCTGGGGATGATTGTGTGGTACGTTCTCTTGCTGCCGGCGAGACAATTTTTCGACTCCGGATTCAAACTAAAGTTATCTCCCCGGTTCTGCAGAATAAAGCCGTGCTCAGGAACCACAATGGCACTGCCAAAATGGCTGTAGATGGAGTTTATGAACGAGAACGCGTTGCCGTCGCTGTCGGTGACCGTGAAGTAGACGGTGTCGGACCGCATCGCCGGGTCTGGCACACCGTGCTTGATTTTCCGGTTATCCAACACAGAGTCCTTGGAGAAATGTGCTATGCGCTGCTTGAAAAAAGAAGGGTGCAGAAGGTCTTTGAGCTGGCCTGCAAGATCGACCCCCGTGGCGCGCCGGTAATGCTCGTAGTCGTGGACGTGCTCGTCCGAGTCCCTGAACGCAAGCTTGAGACACTCGATCACCACATGCAGGTACTCGGCCGAGTTATGCTGCATGGCGCGCAAATTTATAACTCCGTCCTTGTCCAGCTGGCTGATATAACCCAGCGCCAGCAGAGCAATGATGCCCGACCCGTTGGGCGGGATCTCCCAGATCTTGTGCCCCAGCACGGGCACGCAGATCGGGTCCACAAACAGCGTCGCGTGCGCGGCCAGATCCGCCGCCGTCATTACGTGGTCACGTGACTGCAGCTCACGCACAATGGCCTCTGCGACGGGGCCCTCGTAGAAGCCACGTTTGCCGTGTTGGGCTATGCGACGCAGCGTGGCCGCGAACGGCTTGTTGGTGAGCAGCTGGCCCTTGCGCGGGGCCGTGAAGTTGTCGTTTGGCAGGAAAATACGGAGGTTTTCGTCGTGCTTGTTGATTTTTTGCAACCTCGACTCCTCCTCGAGCCACATATCGGCACACACCTGGGAGATAACAAAGCCGTTTTCGGCCAGGTCGATGGCCGGCGCGAGGATCTCGGCCAACGTGAGTTTCCCGCTGCCCCAGCGCTCCACGGCGTCGCACCAGCCGGCCACGAGTCCCGGCACCTGGACAGCGTAGACGGAGTCTTTTTTGAGACGCATGGTGGACAATATGTGGTCGGGGTGGTGTTTCCGCAGCCACTCGATGCTCAGGGCCGCTGCCGAGCGGCCTGTTGCGTTCATACCAGATACTTTGCCCGTTTCTGCGTCGTAAAACAGCCCGAACGCGTCGCCGCCGACTCCTGTCGACATCGGCTCGACGAGGCACAGCACGGCGGCCACGGCGACGCAGGCGTCCACGCAATTGCCGCCTGCGCGGAGGATTTGGAGGCCGGCCTCGTTGGCAAGCGGCTGGGACGAGGAAACAATTCCCCGTGGAGAGTAAACGGTGGACCGTCTGGAATTGAATTGCATTTTGATAAGATAAAAAAATATTAGACTAACTAATTTATGTGTACCAGATTAATCCTAGATTAATCGGCTGAAAACGAACACCATTACAAAACATTTCCCTTGTTTTTCTTGACGTCCACGTTGTAGTTCTTCCAGATGGCGATCGATGGGAAGCCCAGCACAAGAATACAGGTGGCGGCAATGGCACCGTTTCTCTGGCTCTGTCCCCAGGCGTAGTTGATGGCGTCTCTGACTTCGGAGCCAACAGGATACGACATCTGGGTGCTGACGCCGCCCATGTAGATTGTGAGCGCGTTGGAAACCTCAGAGGCAGGCAACTTCTTGACCAGAGCGTCGTAGAAAGTGTTGTCGTAGATGGCAGCAGCGACAGCATAGCCGATGGATCCACCCACAGAGCCAAACAGAGACAGGATCGAGAGCATCATTGGCACGCCCTCCTGGTCTGAGGCGGACATCACTGCCATGTCGCGGCCGATAACGCACATGCCACCGCCGAAAGCGATGAAAATCTGGCACATGACGATGTAGCCGATGTTGGAGTCCTGGCCCCGGAAGCGGATCATAAGACCGCCGCCGAGGAACAGCAGCGGCAGACCGAAGCACAAACAGGCGTATTTGAAGTGTTTGGTGATACGCACGTAGATTCCAAAGAGTGGCGACCAGAAGCACGAGCCGACGTTGTAGATCTCGGTCATATAACCGGCGTTCTTGACGCTCAAGTTATAAACCACAATGATGAAACTGTAGTAGTAGAGGTCCCAGCAGTAGAAACTGAAGTTGCTGAGCGCAGCGAGCACACAGGAGCCCAAGATAGTCCTGTTTCTGAACAACTCGTATCTGATGAAGTGCGTCTTGGCAAACCATTTCTCCCAGATGGCAAACACAGGGAACAGCAGCACGCCGATAATGATCATGGCAATGAACGTGGCCGACTTGTAGGTGGCCCTACCGTAGGTCTGGAGCGAGAATGGAAGCAGAAACAGGGTGAAGGCAGCCATGAGAATGAGTGCTCCCACAATGTCGAACTCGTGGAAGTAGTGCACCGTGGACTGCCATCTAGTTCTTCCGGAGTTGCGTTTCTTCAAAACGCCCATCTTGATGGCCTTCAGCTGGTAGAATTTGAACACGAATGCGAGAGGGAAGAACACGCACGGCATCACAATGGCAAAGATCCCGTAGCCCCATCTCCAGGTTGCAACATCGAGGATCGACTCGGCGGCCAGCGGGCCGGTGAAAGCGGTGCAGATGAACGGAGTAGACGCAAACGCAAACGCAAACGCTCTGTTTCTGAGACCGCAGGTGTCGGCAAGAAACACGTCCAAGATCAGGTAGATGGCGTCATAACCGATCCAGTACAGCACATAACCGGCAGCGTACGCGTGCGCGTTGTTGCACGCAGCAAGAATAACCAGACCCAGCAGGTAGACACACACAAACACAACAAAGCCCTCGGCACGGCCCCAGATGTTCAGGGTCTTACCGATAGGCAGCTTCAGCACGCCGCCCACGATGGTTGCCAGGATTCCCGCGGTGCTGATTTCGGGAGCTTTGGAGAAATCCGCGTACGCATACGGCATCATGGTGGTTCCGATGGTCTGTTGCAACGCCAGCATGAAGAAACACACCCAGATCCACGCGTAGGTGGTGTACACGGCCCATTTCGGCCAGACCATGGTGGCGGCCTCGATGGCCTGCAAGCCTTCTGGGGCGTCGGAGCTGATTTCGCTCGAGCCGTCAACGAACTCGCGGGCTTCCTTGTTTTTCTCCGGCTCCGAAAGGAGGGTGTCTGGCTCCTCGTTGGGCCTCAGGATGGCTTCTGAGAGCGTTTCCTCTGTCCGTCTGTTTCTTAGTTTCTGAAAAACACTCATGGTGGTGGAGTTCGTGATGGAATAGATAATACGGCCTGGGGAGCTGCCGTTTATAGCCAAAAAAAATATTTCCAGTTCTTCGTGCATATAATAAAAATTACATGCATAAAAGCAGCCTCCTCCAGTAAAAGAAAACTTGGCGTCCAGCTGAGCGCACTATTGTCTGGTCAAATAATCTCGCACCGTAAGGCTGATGGCTTTGGAAAACCAAGACTAGCTTAGTTTCGTGAGTGCATAGGGCTCCGGGCCACGGAATTCGGGGATTTCGGGTTTCTCGCTCGCCAACAACCGACTAAATTCCCGAGCTACATATTTTCCACTAACACCGTACAGCCAATAATGTTTCGGCAAATGTAACTCATGCAAAGTCCAGAGGGGTCAATTATTGCCTGTTGTCTATTATATTCAATGACAATGCATCACTCAGGGTTAAATGCTGGCCAGTTCTCTCGAAATGCTGCAGACATACGGCCTTTAGGAGTCTCGTGTTTCTTCTCAGTGCAATTTCCAAAGCTGACCATTCCTTGGGCAAGGGCCCCTTCCCAGATGTGCTCTTGATGTCCGCCATCAGCAGGTCCATACACTCAATATCGTCCGGATACAATAAATCGTGGAAGCTCGGCAGGTTGCCGCGCGCGCTTAGCAGTTGGCGTTCTTGGCTGGCCATTTCCGCATCGCTTGGCAATATTATTTTTTCTTGCAGGATTTTGGCCAACCAGATCCCCTGGATCTCTGCAACGTGAAACGGCAGCACGTACCGCGAAATCGCAATGAAGGCCAGCCCCGGATGCTCGTAGCTCCAACAGTGCCGGTACAGCCCGTGGATCCTGTTTCCGTCCGTGATGAGAGGTTTTTCAGACCTGTTTACCTCGGCAAAAAATGGCAGCGACCGCAGAAACCCGGTAGCGAAAATTATGCATCCAACATTGTCCAACCTTCGACCGTCAACGAAAAAGACAGACGCCGTGTGCGGGTCCAGATGGCTGATGTCCGGCATCTCAATGACCAGTTCGCTCGTCCCGCCGGGAACGCGGCTAGCTGAGCGCGCGCTTTTGTATATGTGTCTGCCCGTGTACCTCGCAAACTGGTAGCAGATATCAATTCCCGAGGCAGAGTTGCCAATCACCAGGACGTTTCCCTCGATGTGCGCCAATTCACGAGGACTGCGGAACGTTTTTGAATGGAAAATTGTGCCGGGGAGCTTTTCGTGCCACTGCCTGAGCCCCTCGAGCTCTGGAATAAACGGCAGGTCGTATACCCCAGTGGCCACCATCACGGCGTCGTACTCCTCCACCGTGTCGGGCACGGTGTCGCTCTCCTGAAATCCGCCCGCAGTGGCCTCGCACACGGCTCGCGACCGCACCGTCCATTTTTGGCCGCGCCGCACGTCCACAACTCTCGTACTGAACCGGTAATGCTGCCTCAGATCCTCTCCGTATCTGCAGACGTAAGCAAGGACCACAGATCTGTGAGGGAAAAGAGGAGTCGACTCTGGGAAGCTGTGGTCTCTGAACTCCATCAGCGGGTACGGCGTGTTTGTCTCGAGCGCGTCGTACACTGCGTTTGGCCAGACGTAGCCGTTTTCTGATTTTATGGGCTTGACCATGGCCAGCGGATCCACAGACGGGATACTGAGATGCTGGTCGGCGAGCTCGTTGTAGTTCCAGATCCCGCCAAACGAGGCTCTCTGTTCAAACCCGACAACCTTCTCGAACCCGCCTTCTTCAAGAAACGCTCGCACGGTGGCCAGTCCGCACGCCCCGCCGCCAATTACACAGACGGACTTGCACATGTGGAATTTATGAAAAAATAATACCAAAATTAAATAAATCAAAAAAATAAAATAAACACTATGGCAGTCATCAACCAGCCCTCCTCGCAGATCAGACTCACCAACGTGTCGTTGGTGAGGATGAAAAAAGGCAAGAAGCGGTTTGAAATAGCGTGCTACCAGAATAAGGTCCAGGACTACCGTGCTGGCGTTGAAAAGGATCTGGATGAGGTTCTTCAGATTCCGCAGGTTTTTATAAATGTCTCCAAGGGACAGGTGGCTTCGAACGACGACCTGAAGAAAGCGTTCGGGTCCACCAACACAGACGAGATTATTCTAGAGATTCTGAAGAAAGGCGAAATCCAGCTGAGCGAGAAGGAGCGGTCTGCGCAGAACGAGAAATTGCACAACGAGATCCTGACCATCATCTCCACAAAGTGCATTAATCCTAAAACCAAGAAAAGATACCCGCCAACCATGATCGACAAGGCCCTCAAGGAGCTCAAGTTCAACTCTGTGAACGCGAAGAACGCCAAAGCCAAAGCTCTGGAGGCAATCAAACTCCTGGTGGAAAAACAGATCATTCCAATCTCCAGAGCTCACATGAAGCTCAGAATATCCCTCAACAGCAAAGAATTCACGAAAATAGAGACGGAGCTCAAAAAGATAATAGCTGCCGTGCAAGACGAGGAGAAAGTTGACTCGGAAACGGAGATCGTGTGTCTTATCGAGCCCGAGTACTACAAAGAGCTCACCGAGCTGGTCAAGTCGAGAAAGGGGTCTGTTGAGGTTCTGGACATGGCCGTCATCGCCGAGGGCGAGCAGAACCTGTGAATATTAGTTTACATAGTGGCTAGGAAATCCAGCAGAGGTTTTCCTAACACCTCTAGGAGATCGTCCGACCAGAGGACGTCTAGATGGCTGTAGTGTTTGATTTTGATGTGGTTGAACCGGCCGCGCATTTCGGGCTCATTGAGTTGCAGATGTCGCACGAAAAGATCGCCGTCCACCAGTCTATCTTGCTCCCCAATGACCAGGAACAGCGGCGGCGTCTTCCCCGAGAACCACTCCCGCTCTTCTTTTAGGATCGACTCACCCATCTGGAAACCCTGTCCGTGGTGCTTGCTGAGCCACCATTTCATCAGTTTTGCCGAAATGTACACTGGCGAGAAAATAAAATGGTACGGTCTCAGGCTCTTGTCCCAGAGGTAGTCTGTCCAGTCGAACAGGAAGCTGAACATCGCGTAGCTCAGAAACCCAAACACTGGCGTGGTGACAATGATTCTGCGCAGAGCCATCATAATGGGCATGAACGAGTTGATTCCGAAAAACGAGTCGTAGAGCCAGTTGGGTAGCAGTTTGATGAAACGGATAAATCCCTTGGAGTTCAGCAGCGAGCCGCCGAAGATCGCCGGCGCCAACAGCACGCACTTCGAGATCTTGTCCTCGTAGCCCATCTCGAACTCGCTCGACAGCAGCATGACTATTTGGGCGGTACCCTGGGAATGTCCGATCAAAGTCACTTTCGACTTCCCCGTGGAGTGGAGGATCTCGTCGATCATGCACGGCACGTCGTAGCGCGTCATCTCTGTGAGGTCCCAGTCCCACATCTTAGGGTCGTTCGGGTTGAGAGACGTGTGCTGGGGGTGGAATCCGCATCGATTGTTGCCGAGCCACACGTCGTAGCCGTTTCTGACCAGCAGATAGCTCAGGCTTTTGTAGCCGCTCGTGACAAACGAGCCGGAGGACTGGAGCAGTCCATGGAGCAGCAGCACGGGCGGTCCGCTGGGCGGCACGTTGGGATCGACTATTTGCTGGAGCGTGATCACAAAGCCGTCCTTGGTGACGATGCGGTACTCAAACAGCTCCAGCCCCATGAGCTGGACGTAGTAGCGTAGATGCGGGCTTCTTCGTGGAGATTCGACGGAATACGCGCGTTTTTTGGAGGGTGTATATTTGTGTTCCTTTTTAATATGGAGTTTGTAAACATTGGACACAACCGCGAAAAACATGAGCACGCCGAGAAAGAAGAAACAGCACACGTACGACACGGTTATGGACACATAACCGAGCAGCACGTTGTGTTTTTTGCTCTCCAACGGCTCCGGCTCCTGCTCATTGGCAAGAAGAGATCGCGAGGGCATAAAGAAAGATACACAGCCCAGCAGAAAAAAAATATAAAAAGCCTTTATTTTTTTTTCCATGTTTTCAACCTCGTATCGCGAGAAGACCGCACAGGTGGCCGGCCACGAGGTGAAGTGTAGCGTGCTGGACTTTGCCGACAAGCAGATCGTCTGTCTGTCGCGAGACGGAGAGCTGGACGTGACGTACGACCTCCAGACACGCCCGCTGGCGGTGGAGGGGTCGGGAACACAGGTGCCTACAGTTCTGATCGGTGGCAACCTCAAGACCCAAGTTCTGGCCGGCCAGATCGGCCAGATCATCTCCAAGAACACTATACTGAACACCAGTGGGAAATTCTTCGCCAGTTCGGAGCCTGCCGACGAAGACCACGAATTGCTTGTTGAGTTGGTGGGTCTGGTGAGGACCGTGCTGCAGTCGCAGCCAGCATAGAACATTCTCGCTGTTTGTGAGCGTAAACGGAAGTTGTCTCCGCTTAAGTCCGCATAACATGGACATAACTCTCTTGCGCCGATGCACACTGTAGAGAGCAGATATATGCTACTCCGACGTCCGAGTGCATATTGTTGTTTTCGGAGTTAGTTATTGTATCGATTTGTAATCCTCGCAAACTCGTTCATTTCGCGGGTTTAAAAAAAAAATCCATATATTTCTAGGGCTAAAACACATATAAAGCTGAACACACGCTGTTCAAATTCGCAGTTTCAGCATGACCTCTTCCGAAACGTCTTTGGGAAACGACGCGACTGATGATATGAACCAGAAAGAGCCTCAGGAGTACCGTCAAGACAACAACGACTCGCTCATGCGGGTGGTGACTCAGTACACAGAGTACTCTGTTTCCCACGCCAATGAGGAGGACATCGAGAGACTCGAGCGCGAGAGAGACGAGGAAATGGCGAAGGAACGGCAGGAGCCGGTCAGGTCTGGGTTTCTGTCCAAAAGATACGCCCAGCAACGAAAGAAGTTTTTCAAGCAATACGCAGTTATTATTGTTGTTCTATGGATATTTATTCTGAGCGTGTTTTCTATTTATTGGGGCGCCATGTACCAGCGTGGCAGTCGCCTGGTCAACCTGAAAATTCTCCTGGTTGTTGAGGACGGCGCCAGCGTCGACAACAACGACTACCCGGTGTCGCAGGCGCTGCTTCAGGTGGCCGAGTCGCCGGCGGTGAAGCCGCTGCTGGGATGGACTCGCCATAACTACACGGACGAGGACTGGGTCGTCAACGAAGTCTGGAAACAAAAGTACTGGGGCGCGATCTACGTCACCAGCAACAACGTTTCGCAGCAGCTGGTCCAGGCTCTGCAAAACGGACAGGATCTCAACACTTCTACGCTCGTTTACGGCTACTATGAGACCGCCAGAGACCTTAATGGGATGAGTGCCTACGTTGAGCCTGGTCTGCTCAAGTTCGCAGCCGCCTTCACCGACATAATGCAGCAGGAGGTGTATCCACGGCTGCTCTCGCAGCTGTCGGCGGAGCAGTTTGCCAGCCTGCAAAACACCACGACCTTATCCCGCACGCCGGACGTCACGCTGACAGACGGCATTCCGGTGTCCGACTACACGGTCATGGCGCCACTCCAGGTTGGTCTGATTTACATTATCATTGTCACGTTTTTCCAGGTCATGTGGTTCCAGAGAGTCAACCAGGAGGCCGCCGAAACGCTCAAGCCACGGAGCTATATTATCTACCGGATCGTGATTGCGCAGGCCAACTTCCTGCTGATCTCGCTCGGATACAGCTGTGTGAACGCCGCGTTCCAGATCAAGCTCAACAACGCGTGGAAGGGCGGCTTTGGAGTGCACTGGATGATCTCGTACCTGACGATGTCGGCGGTGGGAGGAGCCAACGAGAACATTGCGCTAATCTGCTTTGCTGTGCTGCCGCCGCTGATGGGCTTCTGGCTGGTGTTCTTTGTCGTGTGCAACATCTCGGCCACTTTTGCGCCCGTCGAGGTGTGTCCGGAGTTCTACCGGTTCGCGTACGCGATGCCGATCAAGAACTCATACGAGCTAATGAAGGTGCTTCTTTTCGACACCTACCGCGGACATCTGGGCAGGAACTTTGGTATTCTGGTGGCATGGATCGCTCTTAACAACATCCTGCTCCCGTTCTGTCTGTTCTTCTTCAGCTGGCACATGAAGCGCAAGCTGACCAAGGCCGCTAAGAGGTAGCTTCAGCTTCTAGATCCAGCTCTTTATAATAATGGTGTTCCTGTGTATAGAACCGCTGAACAACACGAAGACACGAAGGAACGTAGACGGTCAACGCAGCACATCCTTTCTCGAACCTGACAAAGCCTAGGTTGCTGATAACCAGGTCGCATGGGCCGCCAGAAGCGTGCAATTTGTATGCTGTCCACGGCGAGCTGCTAACGTACCTGTGGTCCGCAAGCTGGGCCTGCCACTCTGCCAGGTCTCTAAACATTTTTGCTGGGCCCCAGAAATACTGTCTCAACGCCAGCGGTCCTCTGTAGTCGGGCGAGTATATACCCACGCACGGGCCGAGCCCCACCACCTGCTCTGTGTCCGTGAACACAAATTCACGGGTCCGAATGGAGTTGGTAGCTCCCCACGACAATACGCTCTGCCGGAGCTGGGGACGCAGCACAGCATAGATGCTGTGTGTTTTCGGGAGCATCCCCGGCGTGTCCACGAAAGTGAGCCCGAAATACGAACAAACAAACGTCCCGTTGCGACGGGTCGAGCATGGCTTTGCTGAGACCTTGGGCACCACAGGGACGGACCCGTAGTCGTTGCTTTCAAGGATGAGCCGCTGCACCAAGGAGCTTTTGCCTGTGTTTGTCTGGCCAATCACGTAGTACGTCTGGTTGTGTTCTGTCTGGATGAGCTTTTCAAACAGTTTAGCGACCGACCGGGGATACTTTATGCTTGTCACCATGACATTTTCCTGGTCTACCGTTTGCGAGCTGTAGAGCGACAAGTAGCCGTTCAACGAGCGCGCGTAGCTTTCACGCAGATTCTGCAAATCGGCGTCCCGCTCTAGAGGCGTATCCAGAACCTGGTCCGCAAAGGTGACCACGAAAAGCACGTTTTTGGCCGGGATCGACTTGGCCTTGAGCGTGTCGAAAATGGACACTTTAAGGTTCAGAGGAAAATATCGCGCCGACAGAGTATACAGCACTTTTGTGTCTGGTGCGTTGTCGGGGATCGTTCTCACCACAGAACTGTAATCGGCAGGGTTCAGCGCACTATCTGGCAGGCCGTCTTGTGCACCATTTTGCTGCTCCATAGACACTCCTGCAGTCCTTGGAACGTTGTGGTAAAGTCTATACGGCGCGCTATGCCCCCAGCACGCCCGAAAACCCGCTATTCGGGGAAGTGCCCGGATCATGAAGAATTACTTTACTGTATTTATATTTTTTTTATTTTTCCTCTATCTAGTGAGAAACGTCTTGAAAACCAAATTATCTGTCTCGTCCTTGTACTTGTACCCCAGGTCTTTCAAAAATTTGTCAAACTTCGCGTTGTCCTCGGGCGGAACACAGATCCCGGCCAGCACCTTGCCAACGTCGTCGCCGTGGTTTCTGTAGTGGAACAGCGTCAGGTTCCAGTTCATCTCCATCGAGGACAGGAACCGTGTCAGAGCACCGGGCCGTTCTGGAAACTCGAACGAAACTATTCTCTCGCCCGGAACGTGCACCTTACCCCCCACGAGGTATCTGCCGTGGCTCTTGGCCATCTCGTTGTCGGTCAAATCCTGCGCCTTGAACCCGGCTTGCTCCAGCTCCTTCATCACCTTGCCCAGCTCCTTGTTTCTGTCGATCACAGAGAACGACGTGAAAATGTTCGCCAGGCCGGTCTCCTCCGAGTCCGCAGAGATCCTGTACGAGAACTCGGTCACGTTTCTCGGGTCTATAATGTGGTTCAGCTGTGCAAATGTGCCTGGTCTGTCTGGGATCTGCACCGTCAGGAACACCTCCTTGCCCTCACCCAGCACGGCTCTCTCGCTGACAAACCTCAGTCTGTCGAAGTTCATGTTCGCTCCAGACAGCACAGGCACGTACGTCTTCGTGGAATGGTCGATCTCAGGGTGCAGTTCAACGTATCTCTTGAGCCCGGCCACCGTCATGGCTCCCGACGGCTCCATCAGAGATCTCGTGTCCTCAAACACGTCCTTGATCGCCGCACAGATCTCGTCTGTCGTCACGCGCACAACCTCGTCGACGCCAAACTCCCGGCACACAGCAAACGTCTCCTCTCCAACGACCCGGACCGCGGTTCCGTCCGCAAAACCGCCAACAGAGTCCAGCGTCACTCTCTCGCCCTTTTCCAGCGAGTGTCTCAGCGCATCCGCGTCAAACGTCTCCACAGCAATGATCTTCACGTGCGGGGCCAGCCGCTTCAAGTACGCCGTGATGCCGGCAAGCAGTCCGCCACCACCCACGGCCACGAAAACAGCACTCAGCTTGTTGCTCTTCACCTGGCGGAGCAGCTCCATAGCGATGGTTCCCTGGCCAGCAATGACATACGGGTGGTCGAACGGAGGAATGTTCGTGAGTCCCTGCTCGATCGTGAGTCTCTCGCACTCGGCCTTGGCAGAATCAAAGTCGTTGCCAAACAGTACCACGCGCGAGCCCAGTCTGCTCACGTTCTTGAACTTGATGGACGGCGTGGCCACAGGCATCACAATGGTGGCCGGTATGCCCATCTCCCTCGCGGAATACGCCACGCCCTGCGCGTGGTTGCCGGCCGAGCACGCTATGACACCCTTAGACTTACGCTCGTCCGACAAATGGGCGATCATGTTGTACGCGCCTCGCAGCTTGAACGAAAAAACAGGCAGCAGGTCCTCGCGCTTCAGCATCACCGTGGAGTTGGTCTTCTGCGACAGCGAGACAGCGTTCGAGATCGGAGACTCGTCGATGACGTCGTACACCCGCGACGTGAGGATCATCTTGACGTAGTCGGGCCGGCCGTTTGGAAGCACGTCTGCCGGGCTGAGGTCCGGGAACCGCCGACAGATGTCGCTGGCCGAGGAATACAGTCGCCGCACGGTCTGGGCGAGTCTCAATTGTGCCACCTTCCGCATGTACTGATGTTTTAATTTTTTCACCTTTTTTTTATTATTTAATGATTCATCTCCCCTTACGATGCTGACGTCAGCAGCCATTGTGCGGTCGGCGGTTTTTGACGTGGGTGGCTCGGGGTTTGGTTGGTTTGCAGTCGGCTGCGGTAGCGACATGCGCCTATGGGAATCGAGGGTGCGACCTATCCGGTGCCTGCGGACTGGCGTCTGCACGAGCGCCAGAACAAAATACGCAAATAGTCCTCTGGCCAATCTGCTCCTGGCTCTTGATCGGTCCTCCAGTTCCGGGTAAAAAAAGTATTTAAAGAGTAAAATTCGCAACTACCCAGACGCAACCAATATGAAGATTGTCACCAAAGAAGAAATCGACGCGCACTCGTGGGCTACCATCACCGGAGGATTCAACGGGTTCTGCCTGGGAACCCTGATTTCCGTCGGGGTGTACGCGATGGCCCCTCGGCACTATCCGAAGCTGCTCAAGATGCCGTGGTCCATCAAGACGGCCACGGCCATCATCCCGCCAGCGTTCACCACGGCCGTCAACGCGGAGCTGGCGTCCACCAGGTTCGACTCCGAGATGTACTCGTCCGAGTTCCAACAGCGCAAGGTGCTAGAGGAGCACAGAAGATGGGCCAAGCTGTCCCCGACAGAGAAGGTGGTGGAGTCCCTGTCGAACAACAAGTACAAAATCATCACCGGGCTCTGGGCCGCGTCGATGGTTGGGTCCTGGATGTACGTCAACAGAGACCCGCTGCTGACCCGGACGCAGAAATTCGTGCAGGCGAGAATGTACGCGCAGTTCATCACGGTGGCCCTGCTTCTGGGGTCGATCGGCCTGAGCGTCTACGAGGAGAACCACCACCTCAACCACAAAGAGCGCGGCGAAGACGCGTACTTGCGGGAGGTGCTGGAGGCCAACAGACAGAAATGACCCATGTACATTACACTAATAGCCAGCACGCCAGTGCGATGATACTCACCCCGATCAGCACCGTAATGATGGCCGCGCCGGCGGTGTCGCCGCGGTCCAGACTCAGCGGCTGGTCCGTCAGCTGCGTGCTCTCCGAGCCGGCCGCTCCGTCTCCCGTCGACGAGCCGCCGTTCGTCGAGGTGTACGGGGCCGGCCTGTCGTAGATGAGCAGGTTCTGGATGGCCTCCAGAGCACACATCTGCTCGCCCAGCCCGTAGTAGCCGTCCCAGCCGCTGTACGTCCAGTTCAGGCCGCACGTGTGGCCGTCCGTGCCGCCCGAGCACGACTGCGCGGCCGCCTGCGCCGACTGCTGGATGTACTTGTTGATGGTGTCCTGTGTTTCCGGCACCATCATGGCCGTCAGCCCCATGAACCGGATCAGGTACGCTCTGAACGAGCGCTGGTCGTTGTTGCACGAGCCCGACCCCATGCACGCCGTCTCCTGCAGCACGTACACCCCGTCCTGCGCACTGTTCGGCGTGTACACAACCAGCCCGTTCAGAAAGTTGATTGTCCGCTGTCTCCAGATATCGTCCTCTGTGTAGTTGTACAGGTACGCACAGCCCGAGAGCATCATCCCGGCGTTGTACGACCACTGGTACTTCACGACCGACGAGCAGTTGTCCGTGATGCTGGCCCCGTCGTACGCAAAGTTGTACGTGTCTCCCTCGGTGATGAAATCCACGCCCAGCAGCCAGTCGTAGATTTTCTCGGCCCAGTCGACATACGTGTCGTTGGACGTGAATCTCGCCAGTCGCGCGCCAATGTGGAACAGCCCCGCGTTCGAAACCGTGTTCTTGTAGTCGTAGCCCGAGTTCCACTGGAAAATCTGCCATCTGAGCCCGCCAGCACAGTGCTCCGTGTCCCATCTCCAGGCCATCGTGTTGAACACCGCCTGCGCGAGATACAGCCACTGCGGCTGGTCCGAGGCCGGGTTCGTGAAGTTCCGCTCGGCCGCCTGGATCGCAGCAATGCCCCAGAACGCCTGGTCGTCGTTACCCTCTGTGGTGGATTGATTCAAAGGGATATAGTCCCAGTTGTCTCCTGTCTGGTACAGCATCGCCTCCTTGATGGTTTCCTCGTACGTGTCGTTCTGCAAAAAATACCAGTAGTCGATCATCGACCCCCAGGCTCCGCCGGCCTCCCACCAGTAGTACGGATTCGTGAACATTCCTATGGTTCCTCCGTACTTGTCTCCCCAGTTGTAGTCCATCAGGCCGTCTGCGATCAGCGCCGTCGCCGCCTGGATCGAGTCGTAGCTGTTGATGTCGAGGTCGACGGCCATCGCCGACCCCAGAAGAACAAAAAGACTCGCAAGTTGCATGGAAGAAAGGCTTTGCAAAAAAGTCTCGCCGCGTAGCTCAAGAAAATACTCTCAGGTGTGATTACGTAACAGATTATATCGGTCTATTTCTCTAGTCCACGTCTTTGCCCATGGCCATGCTGATCAGCAGCCAGAAGTTCATGAGCGAGATGACCAGCCACACAATCACGCCCGCCACAGCGGTCACCAGGTTGTTGCTCATGTCCTTGTACTTTGGCTGGTCCATGGTGTCGTCCAGCTGCGGCTCCCGGAGCTCGCTCGACTGCAGCGTGCGGTCCGACGTCATGTTCTCCTCCCTGTCGGAGAGCAGGCTGAGCGTGCTGTCGGTGGTGTTGGAGACAGAGTCCAAGGGGATGTCCTCTCCCGTTTCCTCCGCGCGCTCGGTTCCGCTGATCAGGACGCGCATGATGCTCTTTTTGCAGGTCAGATACACCAGCGGCGCACTGATGAACGGCAGCAGCAGCGACAAAACGACCTGCGTCGCGTTCAGAACGGTACTCAGGCCCTCTCTTCCCTGAGTCACGACAACTGCTATGCATGGCGTGATGGCAATGATACGTGTGATGATACGCTTGATGGCAGGGTGCATGGAGATGTGCACATGGCCCTCCATGATCTGCTGGCTCGCGATGGTGACCACCGTGCCGCCGCACAGGCCCGAGCACAATAGTGCCAGCGCAAAAACTGTACCTGCAGCTTTTGACAGTTGACTCGAGAGAAGATAGTGCAGTGTGAACAGATCGGCGCTCTCGAGGTCTCCGTCTCCGTCGTCGTCCATAGGTTGCGACAGCGCCGAGCCGGCGACGATCAGAATGGCAGCGTTGACAAACAGCGCAACGGTAATTAGCGAGACCACCATCTCGGCAATGATGTACGACATGGTCCCGTCGATCGCCTCCATCGACGGGGTGTATCTCACCTCCGCGGAGTCTCCCTCGATGGTGTTGCAAAGCAGACCTTTTTTCTTGTGCTTTGCCATTGGAGGCGTGTACAGGCCGCGTTTCATGTCGAAGGCCTTCATGCGCGCCTGGACAACTCCCGAGCCCAGATACAAAGAGTGTGGCATCAGGTTGCTTCCCAGCAATGCAGCGGTGAGGTAGAGACCTTTGGTATTGGTGAAGATCTCCTTGGAGGGCAGAAACCCGCGGAACACGCTTCCCCAGTTGGTTGTGGGAGAAACGTTCACGAGCTCCACGATGAAGCAGGCGACCGTGCCCAGGACCAGACATCCCACGGCAGCCTCGAAGACCTGGACCACGACAAGTGGCCCGTTCGGCCTGTATGCAAGCAGGACAAAGAGAACATCAAGAGTCGTCAGCATGACACCGCCCAGCAACGGCAGACCAAAGAGAATATTGAATGCGATGGCAGTACCGATGATTTCAGCCATGTCTGTGGCTGCAACAGCCAGCTCTGCAAAGATGTAGATGGCAAAGTTGACGTACTTCGGCAGGTGGGCGCGGCAGTTGGCCGCCAGGTCCTGGCCGGTACAGATTCCAAGCTTGCTGGCGAGGATTTGCATGAACCCAGCCATCATGTTGGACACAAGCAGCGAAAACAGGAGTTTGTATTGGAATTGCGCAGACGAGATGGAACTGCTGAAATTTCCCGGGTCCATGTACGACACAGAGACCATCAGTCCTGGGCCAATGAACTTGACAAATCTCTTCAACACGAGGATCACCTTGGCTTGTTTGGAGTCCATTTTCGGGAGTTCGTCGTCGGTGTCGTTTTCTGGGAAAAAAGAATCTGTTGAGTTGTTCAGTTCAAAATTAGAATGGTCCGATGTTCCCGTTATGCTCTCGAGGCCGCTATTATCCTGAATGGGGACTTGGTGCCTTGCGTGACGGTCTGATGCGCGGAGACTTATATAGTCCATAAAAGACGCGTTTTCGATGAATAGGGGATGGAAAAGATTTTACAGCCGTCTCCAGTCACAGACACGCTTGTGAGCTGAATCTAGCCGTTTGTTTATGGTACCACTAATTTGGGTTCTGTATAAAATTTTTATAGCGCGAGACAAACGTGTCTTTTTATAGTAACTACCCCGGTGAATTCGGTTCATGGTCGGTGCAAAGGTGGTGAGAATAAAAATAATAATTGAGGGGATACAATTTGGGCCATGATTACAAGAGCGCGGAACATAGGGGCCTCGCGGCTGCTGCGTTTAGCTGGAAAACGGTTCACAGCCACAGTCTCTGCGTCGACGCCTCTTGAGCCAATCATCGAGGACACCATTAAAACCATCGGACCCATCAGCCTGTCCAAGTTTATGAGAACATGTCTTACCCACCCGGAACACGGCTATTACATACACAAGGACCCTTTGGACGCCGACAGCGGCGACTTTATCACTGCGCCGGAGATGTCTGTGGCGTACGGAATGACCTGCGGGCTGGCATTTGTGCGAATGTTTCTTGCCCAGCTGCAATACCAGAGTCGACACAGCCCTGATTTCAAGGTCAAGGACAATGTTTTCCGCGTGATCGAGTTTGGCCCGGGCAAGGGCTCCATGATGAAGGGACTTGCCATGGTTTTCAAGCAGTACATAATAGACAACCCCGTGGAGATCGTGATGGTGGAAAAGTCGGACATTCTTATCAGGGAGCAGCACAAGCTGTTGTGCAAGGCTCAGGAGCTGCAACAGATCGACGATTACAACTTCAAAAGTGTCACAGAGTGGGGGCAGCCGATCACGTGGCAGAAAAACGACCTTGTCGAGCTGGATCTCGACCCCAGGTACATGAACTTTGTCGTTGCTCACGAGTTCTTCGACGCCCTGCCCATCGACCGGTACATCAAGACCAAGCACGGATGGCGAGAGTATTTGGTGGATGTGCGGCGGCCAGAAGCAGGCAGACCAGGCAAGTTTGGGCTCGTGGTGGCCCCCCATGCCACGCCCGGGTCGTTCATTCCGGCCACCAACGAACGCTACAATAAGCTGGCCGTCGGGGCCAACGTGGAGATCTCGGCAGACGCTCACATGTACGCGTCGCAGTTTGCCAAAATCATCAACTCTGGCGACGTGGGTGGAGCATTAATCATAGACTACGGCCCAAAGGATACGATACCGATAAATTCTCTGCGGGGCATAAAGGACCACAAATTTGTGGACCCGTTTTCGGAGCCGGGCAAGATCGACCTTTCTGTGGACGTCGACTTCCTGGAGCTGAGCCGGCTGTTTGAGTCACAGGGACTGAAAACAGTGATAGAAACGCAAAGCCACTTCCTCAACTCGTCGGGACTGCCCAGCATCTTGGGCGGTCTTGCTTTCAGCATGAAGGAGCACCAGCAGCGGTTCGAGACGCTCTACCAACGCCTCACCGGATCAGCCCCACAGGACATGGGAAGAGCATACAAAGCGCTGCAGGTTTACAAGAACGCCAACAAAACTACGTGAAAATTGTCATTGGAATAATGTATGAGTCTACACTCTTATGCGCTTGAGGTTTTCTGCCTCTTCCAGATCCAGCTTGCGCTTCAACTCCTGTCTGTCTTCGACCTTTGCGTTGCTGTCCTGGATCTCTTCACCGATATATTTACCCTCGTCGTCCATCTTGTTGAGCACAGCATCATAGATCTCATCGTTCTCCTTAGCCTGACTCACCAGCCTGCATATCACGTTCTTGCCCCGCGTGTTTGGCATCATGACCGCAAGACAGTACTTCGAGTTCGTTCGAGAGTTGTTGAATTGCTGTGCAAATCTGACATACTCTTTGGCAAGCTTGGGCCATGGAAGCGGCCCTTCAGGATTGAATACGGTAGGGTTGGTTTCTGCCTTGGAAGCAATCATGCAACTGATGTCGCTTCCATACTTTTCCTGCATCTCCTTGAATTCATGGTAGCTCTTGATCCCGCCGTTGATTATCAAGCTCACGTCTGCCTCAACACAGATCTCTTTGATTTTGTCAATGTAGTCTCTGATTGGGGGCTGGCCATTCCTCATTTCTCGCGTCCGGCAATGAACAGTCAGATTTGCAATTCCTGTCTTGACCAGTTTGCGCACAAGGTCCAGGGTCTGCTGTTGTTCTGGCAAGAGTCTGATCTTGACGCTTATTGGCTTTTGGAATGGTTTACCAACCTGCTCCACGAGAGACGATAGAATAGCGCACAGAACGTCTGGAGTTTTGAGCAAGGCGGCCCCCATTCCCGAATGAACGGAAAAATGTTTTGGACAGCCTGCATTAATGTCTATGCCGTCCACGTCGGCAGCCACAATCTTGGCAGCCTGAACAGCGAGTTCTGGGCTTGCGGTGCCGAGCTGGAAAATCAACTTGCCCTGCTCGAGCTTTCTGTACGTTCTGAAAACAAGGTCAGTGGTTCCTGGCACCTTTTTATTGCCGTCTTTTTGAATAAAGTCAACTGTATTAAGAACTGGATTGTAGACCCGTTCAGCGCGAACGAGCCGTTTGTCGATGATTTCTGGTCCCCAAACAAGATCCGCACCATATTTGAGAGCCAGGAGACGAGTCGGGAGCTCGCCTATACGGACCATCGGAGCCAGAACGAGCTTTGCGCGGTAGTCGACCATGGCCTATTTTATTTTTTTTTAATTTTCGTAGTTGACTTACTAAGTTCTATTTTTTTTTTTTTTTTCACTTTTATTAGATTTTTTTCTACTTCATTTTCAGTAACCATCTAGAATACGTTCGTTCATGCCGTTCCTTCTATCTTGGCCTCCTCCTTTTTGTCCTCCTCAGCAAGCTCTTCTTCCAAATTCAGGTTCTCCTGAATATTCCACAGCTCCTTATACAATGACTGCTGGCGTCCCAGAAGCTCGTAGTGAGTACCTTCCTCCAGAACCTCTCCGTTTCTTAAAACAATGATCTTGTCGGCATCGGCAATTGTTCTCAGACGATGAGCGATACTGACGTTGGTCTTGTTGCTCTCCTTGAACACCGTCCGGATCGTCTTCAGCAAAGCCTGCTCGGTGTGCGTGTCCAGGGCAGACGTTGCCTCGTCGAAAAACGTAATTGGAGCATCTTTGAGCAGCAGTCTGCCAATTGCGAGTCTCTGTTTTTCTCCTCCGGAAATCATCATTCCACGCTCGCCGACGATCGTGCGCACCCCATCAGGCATGTCGTGCACCAAAGTGTCCAGCTTGACCTTTTTTATCACCGCGTCCACCTCTTCGTCGGTGGCAGCCAAGTTGCCGTATCTGAGGTTCTCCAAAATGGTGTCGTTGAAGAGCGGCGTGTCCTGCGGAACCACGCCGATGTGTCTTCGTAGGCTGTCCAGATCAACGTCTCTAATGTCCTGGCCGTCGATCAGAATTCTTCCGCTGGTGACGTCGTAGAACCGGAACACCAGTCTGAGAATCGTTGATTTTCCGCTTCCGGATGGACCCACAATGGCCACCTTCTGGCCCGCAGGAATGGTGAGCGAGCAGTTCTTCAAGATCGGCCGGTCCGGATGGTAGCCAAAAGTCACGTTTTCAAACTTGATTTCTCCTCCCTTGAGCTCCAACGGAGGAGCGTTGGGCTTGGATTTGATTTTCACGTCCACCTTCTGCAGGTTGAACAGCGACTCCATGTCGAGCAGAGACTGTTTCAGCTCGCGGTACACGGACCCGAGAAAGTTGAGCGGCACGGACAGCTGGAACACAAGCTGGTTGATCAGCACCAGGTCGCCAACGGTCAAGGAGCCGGCTGCCACGCCCTGACACGCCATGTACATCATTGCGGTCAGCGCGGTGGTGAAAATGAGGTTCTGGCCGGAGTTCAGGAACGCCAGCGACGTGGCCACCTTGACCGACGCGTTTTTGTAGTTGTTGAGCGCAGAGTCGTACTTCTGCGACTGGAAACCCTCGTTGTTGAAGTATTTGACCGACTCGTAGTTAATCAGCGAGTCGAGCGCCACGCTGGCGGCCCTCTGGTCGGCCTTGTTGGCCTGTCTTCGGAACCCGGTTCGCCAGGCGGTGGTTCTGATGGTGAAGACCGAGTACGCCAGCATGGTCATCAGCGTGACGGCAGCAAACGAGGCGCCGTAGTTGTATGTGAGGATCCCACACACAACGGAGATCTCGAACGTGATTGGCAGAATATGGAACACCATCGCCGTGAGCACGTAAGAGATGCCCTTGGTTCCTCTGTCGATGGCTCGTGTGAGGCCGCCCGTCTGTCTTGCGAGATGGAAATTGAGGTCCAGGTTGAGCAGATGGACAAAGGTGTTGTGCGCGACCTTCATGATGGCGTTCTGGGCGACTCTGGCGAAAATGGCGTTTCTGAGCTCGCCAAACAGCACGGCTCCAAAACGGGTCACGCCGTACGCCAGGACGATGGCTCCGATCGAGGTGGTCAGAAGCCCAGCTTGCGACACCCAATCGATGTTCATCGAGTCTATGATCGACTTGAAAAAGAACGGCACCTGGACGTTGAGCACCTTGGCCGCGATCAGCATGCCTAATGCCACCACGACCCGGAACTTGGCCCACGGGTTGTTACGGGGCCAGATGTACGACAGCAGGTCTTTGAGGATGCGGATCTGCGAGTGGCGCTCCTCCTTGAGCACGGCCGGCGACGGTTTCTTCTCCTGGACGGCTGTCCGCGACAAATGGAACCCTCTGACAGAGTGCCATGGCACAGGTGTGGCTCGCACATCTCGGATGAGGGACCGCGGACGGGCTGGGCCGACAACAAGTGCCAGCGGCCGCTTGCAAAACAGAGCGAGCCGGGCGGATCTCCACAGTTGCGGTCTGGACGCGTACCGGACGCAGAGCCCGGTGTTTAGCAGCATTCGTTCGTGGTATAGGGGATATATATAATTTGGAACCAAAGAAATTTTGGCTCCTGCGAAATTCGACGCGACGCCGTCGTCTGCAGCAGGCAGCAAACTAAATTTCTCTGCCGATGCTCGAGCCAGAATCTTTATTTCCGGAACCGGCATTGTTGCGTAAGCTTCTAGCCTTGTTGCCAGAGCCCAGCGACAATACGAGACGCACGCCAAAATTTTTAGCCACATGCAGGCCCGTCGTTATACCCGGCTCTCTGACGTATAGCTTCAATCTTGCTACAGATGCATGCAGCGAGCAGACTTTCTGCACTAAAAAGTCGCTAGTTGACAGCAGTGCTCCTGTTGGAGTTTCCTTGATCGAGCCATGACAGTGCCCTCCGAAATAGCAGTGGATTGTTTGAGGCATTAGGACACCCGCATCCGGCCATTTCGATAGTCGCACTCATGCAGCTTATCATGGAGAACCCCGAACCAAAATGACATATCTACAGAAAAAAATGCGTATTGCAATTCTCCCAGAAATATACTATAATCCGGCCCGGCCATCCAAACTTCGTTCTCATCTTTGTTTGCCTGCTATGAATCATGGAGTTTAATCCAGAGCCACCCTCCCACGACGGCTTCGCCGCATACTACTGGCCCAAAATGCCCCCAGACCAATCTGCCACCATCGCTCACCCGGCCTGGACCAACTATGACCCGCACTCCGTGGCCCAACACTCCATCAACCCGCTGCTCATCGTCAAGGAGACCCAGACCGAAAATGAGAGCGACCTCTCCAGAAAGCAGTCCCCCGTTCACGACGTCTACCACGACAACAACTACCACCTCCTCAGCCACGACGAGGAAGTGTGTCCGCCGCGGTTTACCGAGCCCCTCAACGTTGCCCATGTGCCGTACTCGAAGTCGACCGTCTCCTTGGATTCCTTCAAACAGCCCGTCTTGTGGATTGACGAGTCCATAGCCGAGCAGACAGCAACAACTCACCACCAGGACCTGACGGAGTTCAAAAAACCGTCCTTTGTCGCCGAGCCCCGCCACTCCATGCCACTCGCTCCGTCTGACCCGCATTATCGCCCGTGGCACAAGAGAACAGTTTCCGAGCCGGTCTTCGGAGCTAAAAATCAGGGCCCTGCATTTCCGAAAGTCACCATGAAAGAACGGTCCGACTCGTGCATGTTCGACGCGGAATACTGGTCGAATGTCAACAGGTTCCTCCCTGTGCCGTGCGAAGAGAACGCCCCGCCGTCCTTCGCTGTGTCTTTTGTCCAGACCGCAAAACAGCTAGAAAAAACCTCGCAAAAATTGATGAATTATCTTCTCACCGATTATGACCTGGTGGCGGAACTACGCCAGACTCCAACCTCTTTCGACCAAATCGCCGAATGTTCCAACAAAAGACGCAAGGTCGGCGACGACATCAACTGGAAGCCCATGTCCGCCGGCAGCGTGCTGGGACTAAACGAAATTTTCAAGCTCCACCAACGAGAAGTCAATAACATGCTCCAAAACTGCACAGACTCCTGCTTCGGCGAACTCAACATGCGGGAGCTGCGCGCTTGGAAACGCGGCGACAGAGAGCTCAAGCGGCGACAGACCCACGCATCGCCTTTCTAAACGATGCAGATAGATTGCAACGCTCTCCACGGTGAGCTCCCGTGGTAGCAGGAAACTCTGCATGACATAATCAAACGTCTTCGCGGAAGCATTTTTCAGTTCGGCTCAAAACCGCGCCCTGCAAAACAACGCGAGCAGTACAAGAGGTTGTATAGGGGTTCGGTCGCGGGCGTGCGACCTTCATTGTTTTGTTGTAGTCAAGCTCAAATAAATACTGCTATTGTTTACAGCCCTTGTTTACCCCCTCAGTGGCGTTCCTCCCAGCGAAAAGCTTCTGGTCGTGCGCCACCCAGAAAGATAGCTGAAGTCTTTTATTTGGCCAAAAACTTGTCTCGTTGGCGAAAAAAAAAATTTCTGCTATTTAAATGTCGCGATCCCCCGATTATTCATTCGCGGCCGTGTTTCACAAAATTTTCTTTTTCTGCCAATCCAGATAAGTGCAGTTAATTGTTTAGTGGTGATGTCATTAGAAGAACCAAGTGCTTCCGTACAGCCTTCTTCTATTTCTGACATCCCGGTTAATGGCAAGCCTGAGCTGGAGGTCTCGGGAAAACACGCCCTTGATCCGGAGTCTCCGGACGGCTCTGACTTGAAGAAGCAGAAACTGGACCCAGATGAGCAACCTTCACAGCCTGCACAGCCCGACCAGGCTCCTCCTGCTGAGGCTCCTGAACAGCAGTCTGAACAGCCCAAGGTGGAGGCCTCTCCAGATACGGGGGCTCCTGCGCTTGTTCCTGCCAACATGGAGCCTGCTCCCAAACCTCCCCCAGAGCCAGACATGAACAACCTCCCCGAGCATCCGCTACCAGCACATCAGAAGAAGCATGCCATCACCTCTATAAAGGCCGTGCGGCGACTGAAGGATGCTGGCCCGTTCCTGACGCCGGTCGACACAGTGAAGCTCAACATCCCATTCTACTACAATTTCATCAAACGGCCAATGGACTTGTCGACGATCGAAAAAAAACTGAATGTGGACGCGTACGAGACCCCGGAGCAGGTTATGGACGATTTCAATTTGATGGTCAACAACTGCATCACGTTCAACGGGAAGGACTCTGCGATTTCCCAGATGGCCAGAAATATACAGGCAAGCTTCGAGAAACACATGCTTAATATGCCACCCAAGGAATTGCCACCGGGAACGCAAGTTTCTGCCACCAAGGGCACCAGAAGAAAGACAAACGCCGGCTTGGAAGTTCCGCAACTTAGGCGAGACAGCGCGTTGGACAACGGGAGACCCAAGCGGGAGATTCATCCGCCAAAGCCCAAGGACATGCCATACGATATCCGACCAAGAAAGAAAAAGTTCCAGGCCGAGCTGCGTTTCTGTCAGCAGGTGATCAAGGAGCTGATGTCGAAGAAGTACGATTCCATTTCGTATCCGTTTCTGGCCCCCGTTGATCCGGTGGCTCTTGACTGTCCAACCTATTTCGACGTTGTGAAGGAGCCTATGGACCTGGGAACTATCTACAGCAAGTTGCAAAATGGCGAGTACGAGAACGCAGATGAGTTCGAGAAGGACGTGAGACTCGTTTTCCACAATTGCTACTTGTTCAACCCTGAGGGAACGGCTGTGAACATCATGGGGCACAGGCTGGAGAGTGTATTTAATGAGAAGTGGGCGAATCGTCCGACGACTCCGGTGTCGCCTGCAAATATTTCTGATTTCGACTCGGATTACGACGACGACGACGACTTCAACGTGGACATCGACTCGATCACGGACCCAACGATCGAGTTTTTGGTGGCCAACATCGAGCGTATGACCCAGGACCTCAAGAAGATGAGACAGGAGAAGTACGAGCAGATGAGGAAGGAGTGGCTGAAGAAGCGCAAGAACAAGAAGGGGGGCAAGAAGGGCACGAAGAAAAGAAAGGAGTCCGTTTCGCAGCCTAACGGTATTTATCCTACGCATGTGACCTACGAGATGAAGAAGGAGATCAGCGAGGCGATGGGGTCTATCAACGAAAAGATGCTGAAGAACGTGATCGCTATCATCAAAGAAGGAATCCCGGATCTTGCTGACGACGAGGAGATCGAGCTGGACATGGACCAGCTGAACAACGAGACCTTGTTGAAACTGTACAACTATATTGTCAAGGGCAAGAGTTCCAAGTCCCAGCGCAAGAAGAAGAAGGGGGGCAATAGCGAGGAGAAGAAGATCGAGAGTTTGAAGAAGAAACTCGCGCAGTTCGAGAACGCCGAGGCGGACGAGAGCTCCGACGAGGACGATGACGACGATGAGGACGAGAGCTCCGAAGAGGAGTGATCGGGACGGGAATATTTTCCGTCGTGTATATTTCGATAAGTAGTGTAAATTATTACGGTGTATTAGGGCAGTGCACTTATTTTTTAGACCAAAAACTTTTCTTTCATGACATGACAATAAAGGTGTCTGTCATTGGGGGCACGGCGCTGGTTTTCGACCCGTCTGACTGCGTCATCCTGCGCAAGGAGCACGGCATTGCTGGCGTGCTCACAGGAACGCTTCCCAGCGCCCCGCAGCAGAGCTTGTTGCTGGGTGTTCCCTTGCGCCTGTGTGTCGAGGAAGTGCTGTATCTGTACGAGCAGGAGGCCGTTGAATTTGTTCGGCCGCTTGAGCCGGACACTAGTGCAGAAAGCCGCGATGATTCATTTTTTCGGACGCCCGATGCAGCGGAATCAGCTGCGATGCCGGACCAGGAGCATGTCCTGACAAAGTACGTGTCTGGACAAAGACGGGATTTGGACGAGCTTTATCGGACATACTGCATTTTCAAGACGGTGAAGGAAAAGGGCCATTTCACGCTTCCTGGACTGCGGTTTGGGGGCAAGTTCGTGTCGTATCCGGGCGACCCGCTGCGATACCACTCGCATTTCATCATAAATACCAAGGATTTCTACCGCGACAGGCTGGACCTGGTGCAGCTGGTGAAGGGCGGCCGACTGGCTACCGGGACGAAGAAGATGTGGCTACTGGCCGGAGAAAGGGGCCCTGGGACTCGAAAAAAAACGGCTCTGCAGGTGTTGAATCGGGAAACCAGAACCGTATGTTTCTCTGTTGAATGGGCTGGTTTCGGATAAATTCATTGTTCATGCGATTATGTAGCTGAAAAAAATAACTTATCGGCCGATTTTGTACGATTTACATATTTAAAAGACCAACTTTCTTTGGGATATCTCAGTATTTTCGCTATGACAAACAACAAGCACACAGCCATCGTGATAGGCGCCGGCATCTCTGGCCTCAAATCGTGCATCGAGCTCAGCAAGAACGGAATCGACACGCTGATGCTCGAGGCCCGCGACAGGCTTGGAGGACGTCTCCACACGGTCACCACCGAGTCGGGCCTGAAAGTCGATCTGGGCGCGTCCTGGTTCCACGACTGTCTGTATAACCCGCTTCTGAAAAAGTCTTTGGAGAAAGGCAATGTCGAGATCTACTTCGACAACGGCAAGCTGAATGTCCACGATAAGGATATCGGAGTTGTCGACGACAACTACAAAGTCCGGCCTGTTGTCGACGAGATGTCCGATTATTTGCAGTATGTGTGTGCCCAGATGGCCCATTCAGACGACATGAGCGTCAAGAACGCTGCCCTCAGATACCTCAAGGACAAAAAGAACACCCTGACCGAGTGCCAGATCAAGCTTGCTCCGCAGCTGCTCAGATACTACGAGATGTGGATCGGGTCGTCGTGGAACATGCTGAGCGCACGGCTCATTGCCAGCGACAACCACCAGGGCCGCGACGCCATGGTCACCAACGGCTACCGCACCGTGTACGACAACGAGCTCGAGGAGCTGTACGAGATCATGGGCCGCCGCGACTTGGTGGGGTCGCAGATTTTGCGGCAGAAGGTGGTGTTCAAGATCGAGTTCAACGACCGCACCAAGGAGATCGCCGTCCACACGAGAGACTACAGCGGCAAAATCGAGACGTTTTTCTGTGAATATTTGGTCTGCTCTGTGCCTCTGAGCGTGCTGCAGCTGCAAGACAAAAAAGAACAGGGCCATATCGAATGGAGTCCGCCGTTGCCGCTCTCGCTCAGAAATAAGCTCCAGGGAATCACGTACTCGCAGCTCGGCAAGGTGTTCTTCGAGTTCGATCACGTGTTCTGGCCGACCGACGCCGACAGATTTTTCTGCATCCCGGAGTTCGACCACGAGATCACCAAGTTCATCGAGGCCAACACGGACACCAAGTTCGAGAACCTCAAGCAGGACCCGGTCTTGGAAAACTCGCCTAAACCGTGGACACAGCCGATCCTGTTCCTCAACGTGTACAGAGGCACCGGAAGACCGGTGCTGCTGGCGCTCACGTCGAGTCCGCTCACCAGGTACATCGAGACACACGAAATCGACGACTTCTGGCCTGTTTTCAGGCCGGCGCTCGCCAACATTGCCAACCTGCCGGACTCGTGCATTCCGCGGCCGACCAACGTGGTCACGTCCAACTGGTCGGTCGATCCGTTCGCCAGGGGCTCGTATCTGGGCTGCGCGGTCGGCGACCTGGTCGACGAGGCGATCGACGCGTTCACCGAGGCCAAGGACGTTTTTGACGGAAAGGGCAGGGTCAGGTTTGTGGGCGAGGCATTAATCGAGGAAGGAAACGGGTGTGCGCACGGCGCGTGGATGACGGCTATCAGGGAAACGGAAAAAATCATCAAGGCAATCAATCGTGGAAAATTGTAGATAAACACGCTAATAAAGGTCACTGTATTGTACACTGTTTTTACATCCTAGTACGGTCTGAAACCGCCCCTGCCCCTGGCCCGGAATCCTCTGCCTCTGCCTCTGAACGCGCCCCTGCCTCTGGGCCCGCCTCGCCCGCGGCCGCGGCCCCTGCTGCCCATTCCAGGCAGGTTTGTTCTTTTCGGGCTGATCTTGAGCTCCCGGCCTCTAAAAAGCGACCTGTTCTTCTCGTCGATCGCCTTCTGCACCAGCGCAGGCTCCGAAAACTCAATGTACGCAAACCCTTTCGGGTTGCCCGTGTATTTGTCGGTCAGGATCGTGATTCTATTGATACTGCCCACGTCCTGGAAATGGCTGTGCAGCTCCTCGGGCGTCGCCGCGTAGTCCACGCTGCCCACATATATCGACCGCGAGTCGATGGCCTCGCGCTCTGCAAAATCCAGCTGCGAGTCCGCGTCCTCCATCGACACGTTCGGGTCTGCACCCTCCTCGTTTATTTGCTGCTGGAGCTCGCGCAGTTTCGCGGTCTCCTGCTCCATCTCCTGCACTTTTGCTTTCAACGCGGCCAGCCGTTCCTCCTCCGTCTGCTGCGCCGTTTCGACGCCATTCGACGGCTCGTTCTGCGACATGCTTGGCTCGGACATTTTTATTTTTTTTCAATTAATTGACGGTGCAGGGAGTATCTATTAATTCTGTCTATTTAATTTAATTAGCAACCTCTTTGTTACCGTGCTTTGCTACATCCCGGCCCCGTGTCTGCCATGTGGGATCTGCTCTCTAGACTTTTGATTCTGGGGCTTCTGTTCACCTCAGGGGTTTGCAAAGATAGCCCCGACGACGACATACCCCCCACCACCACCATTATAGACATCCTTTCGAGCAACGCCAACTTCAGCAAAATCCTGCTCAGTCTGCAGCGCAGCGATTTGGTCGATTACATCAACGAGCTGCAGAATGTCACTTTTCTTGCTCCCCTGAATCTGGCGTTCCCCGATGACCAGTTCTACCTGGACCTCTCTCAGAACGACGTCTCGCGACATATGATCGACCAGCCGGTGGACGCGGACGACGTGTGCGGTTTGGGAGTGTACAGGACACTGTTTGTCAACACGTCGTTGTCGCCCGAAGGCGTTCAGCAGCCGATTCTGCTCGACAATAGAGACGACTTGTTTCTGGCTGATAATGCGATCGTCACCGAGCAGTACGACGTGAGGTCGAGCAACTCGGTTGTTTACGGCGTCTCTTCGTTCCTGGAGCGCCACAAGTCTGCGTGTGACTTTTTTGCAGACATCGCCGACGCAGATCCTGTTTTTGCGCAGTACCAGATCATAGCTCGATTATTTTCCGATAACGAATTCTGTGCTGCTCGGAAAATCACCAACGTCACCTTTTTGGTCCCCTCCGACGCCAGCGTGGGCCTCAATGAGATCGAGCTAAACTACCTAAACACAAACGAAGGTCTAGAAGATAAAACGAGGCTCCTTGAGTCGCATGCCGTTGCTGGAATCTGGGGAGGCCGGCTGGAGCCAGTCAGCACCAAAACTCTGGCCAACCAAAAAATCCGTATTTCTTCCAACTCGGAAGGAAGCAACATCATAGTGCAGAACACCAGCTCTACGTTTTCCAACTACCTTCTTTCCGACGGCATTGTTCATCTGTACGATTCAATTCTCCTAGAAAACTCCGTTCCCGTGTTCACTCCGCGCAAGTACCTTCTGGGCCTGGGCCTCACGTCTGTGGTGAACCAACTGGACTTCCACAAACTCTCCAGTCTCATCGACGACCGCGACGTCAACCAGACGATTTTCGTGACGGAGAGTGCCGAGTCGACGGAATCGAAAAGCTCCCTGCTGTACCATTTTGTCGATGGCAGGGTGGAGTTCGACCGCGACGAGCTGCTCACCACGAAATACTGCTCCAGCTCTGTTTTGGGCCACTGCCAGAAGCTCAAGGTCATGAAACGCGGCGACCAAGTGTCTCTCAACAACAACGTCTTTGTCACGTCTCCAAAAATCCGCGTCGGCAACACATACATCTACTACGTCGACGAGGACCTCACGCTGCCGCTTCCGTTCCAGCACGCCGTGTCGCCGTTTCTGCGGTGCGCCAAGAGCATCAAGCTGCTCCACGACTTCGGCCTGCTCAAGTTCCGCAACAACGGCGGTTTGGGATACACGGTCTTTCTGCCCAACGCGGACGCGTGGCGGGGCCTGGATCTCGTCCTGGACTATCTGTACGCGAACCGCGACGTCATGCTGGAGATCCTGGGGAACCTTATTGTCAACGGCCTGATCTACGACGACTTCCAGGGCTCAGCTACCTTGGCTACGCTGCTGGACAAGCCGCTTGAGGTGGAGTCAGTTTCAGACACACTCTACATAAACGGCACTGCGGTGGACGTTTCCATTGAGTCTGAGGTGCTATTTGACAAAGGCGTGGCTCATCCAATAGAGAGGCTCGTGTTCCCTGCCACGGTGCAGGTCGGCGTGCCAGAACTGCTCTCTACCGTCGACGGCGAGGAGTTTCTCAAGGTGCTGAAACTCCTCCGGCTCGACCATCTTCTCTACGAGGACTACTCGTTCATTGTGCCCAGCTCGCGCTCGATGAGACTCGAAAACTTCACGTCTGAGCTGCCGAACCTCGCCAGACTCGAAAAATTCGCACGGTTGCACATTCTGCCTGCTGGAGGCATGGAAAAAGTTATCGAGTGCAACGACACCGTCCCGACGCTGCTGGAGAACGTGCACCTGTCGTGTCGCGAGCTCACGTCGGGCATCTCGATGTTGAGCGTGCGCGAGGGCAACGACCGCGAGGTGCGCGTTTTGCGCCAGGGACTCGCCATCAACGGCGGCGACACCGCCACAGGCATTTTGCTCGTGGACCGGTCGATCAACCCGGACTGGCTCAGCGGCTCGAGGGGCCCGATCCACCTGCACCTGCCGTTTGTGGCTCTGCTGATCGGCGTCGTGATTGGCATGCTGCTGCTTGCGGTCGGGGCGTCGTGCTGTCTGGTGTGCTCTGTCGGCAAGCAGACGCCAGTCTCGGGCGAAACGGCTCCTCTGCTGCGCGCGCACGAACGTCTGGAAAACCCCACGCCGCCAAACTCGCCGCCGCCGAACGAGACCCAGTCTTACTCAAACTACTACTCTACACATTCGTCCTCAAGGCCGATCGACGTGGACCAGCCGTGACTATACCATGCATCATTTTTTACCTAGTTTACGAGAGAAAACATCTCCAGAATAGCCGTGTAGTGGCCCAGAACGCCCAGCAACACGAATATATGCCAGATATGGTGCGAGCTGAAGACGTAGTCGACCCACCACATGGACAACCAACTACTGCGCATCGGCGTCTCGTCAGGCGTTTTGTTGAGGTACTCGTCCAGTTGGTCCGACTTCTCGAGCGCGCTGATCGCCTCGTCGCAGATGTCCAGCTTGTCGACGATGACGTCGTTTCTCCATCTTTCTGGCACCAGCGTGCCGTAGAACTGGACTCCGGTCAGGTACCACACGAAACTTTTGAGCAGCGGAGAATAGAGGCGGAGCGAGTACTCGAGGCCCTTGAGCACGGCACTGGAGCAGAAGGCGGCGACCCCAAGCGCCGAGAGCGAGATGAAAAATAGGATTCTGACGGGCCGCGACTCGGGCTTGTCGAAAAACTCGGACCACGTGAACAGCACCCCGACGACGCCGGCGATGGTGGAAAATGAGATGAAACCGAGCTCTGCGGCCGGGAACTCCTTGAGCGCGATGTGTTCGGTGGTGATGATGGACGCCGTGATCAGAACGGTGATCCCTGTGTAGTCGATACACGCGAATCTTTTGCGTAGCTTGAGCTGCGAGATGCAGTCGTAGGTGTGCCAAATAACAGACGACATGAGACACTTGATGGAGGCAAGGAAGAAACAGTTGGTCACCAGCTTGTCGCCGAAGCTGGAGCGTGCATAGACCTCGGTTGCCGGATAGTGCTTGAGCATAATGTACAGGAGGAGAAGAGACCCGAATATGTGTGTCCAGATATTGGCAGTTTCGTTGTGGAGCTGAAAGACGCTCTTCAGCACAGCCAGATGGCTCGAATTGAACCGGTAGCCGTAAATGATGTATTTGTTTTCGCGCCACTGGAAAGGCAGCTCATAGAAATGGAGCAGTCTTTTCGACCCGGTAGCCACGGCTTTATCGAAATTGTACAGCTTCTCTTTCAGTCGTCCGAGATGCTCCTGCGGGCTCAGCGGGATGTTGAAGGTTTTCTCGAACAGGTCGATTTTCTCGTCCAGAAACTGCAGCCCGGTGGATATTTTCTCGTACATGTCGGTGGAGTCGTACTCTTTTTTCTCGTCCAGCAAGCTGCCATAGTACCTATCCAAGATCTGTCCGAACGCGTGCAGACTGCGCTGCTGGTTCTGAATTACCGCGGCCTTGATGGACTTCAGCGCCTCAAAAAAGGTGTAGTGGGTCTGATTCGATTTGTGGGCGGAGTCGGTGAAGTATTTTTCGAAATCCTCGATCCGCGACTCCAGCTTAGCCAGAAACCGGTCGAACCGCTCCAGCACGCGCTCTTCGAGCGACGCGTCGCTGTTCAGCTCGGACTGCGACTTGATCCGCTGCATGAGCTTCTGGTCGTGCTCATCAAACAGGTCGGACCCGTGCACCTCAACGCCAGTGGAAGACATGATGAATAAATTATCGCAAACAAAAAAATACAATAATTACTTTTTGTGGCCCGCAAAGCACCATAAAATTTTTTATTTATCAGAAATTATGTAATCCTGCTACAGAAACTGCTGCTCAATGTCAAACGACAACGGCCACAGCACCGAGTGCAGGTGCGTCAGCTGCGACATCGGGCTCTCGTCGGTTCCGGCGCTGGCAAGCAAGTCGGCTGCCGCGTCGGCAGAGGCTACGTAGTCTGCTCCCAGAGACTTGCTGAGCTCCAGTATTTTGGTAGCTATCGGACAGATGTGCAGCAGTCTCTGGAGGACCTGCTCTGCCGTCAAAATGTCCCGTTTCCATTGCTCTGCCTGTGCCGCCAGCGGGTCGTTCCGCAGACACACAAGAGGCATGAGCAATGCGGGAACCAGGAAGAAAACCGTGTACCATGCCTCCATCCTGCTGGTGGTCTCTTTGCGCTGCCACAGCGCAGCCATGCTCTGGATGGTCGAAGAGCATTTGCGCAGACACTTCTCCGCGGCCTCCTCTTCCTCCTTGCACAGCGGCTCGTCGCCCGGACGGCGAAACACTTTCTTCAGCAGACTTGTTCTGTACATAATGATCTGCAGGTTTTTCCGTCTCCAGTGCAGCACGTGGTGTGCGAGCGTGAACGGCTGCGACACCTCCCTGTCCTGCTGGAAGTAGTCTGGCACGAGGCTCTTCCAGCGCCCTATGAACCGCGTGTCCCATTCGAGCAGCTCTTTCGCGGACGGGAACGGGTCCGAGGTGATGCGCTCGTAGATGCAGTTGGTGAGCAGATGGAACAGGCTCTGCAGCCGCACGCTCGTGTAGATTGTCGGTTCCTGGACCTCGCTCGGCAGGCACTCTGACGCTGCCGTCAGCTCTGTGTCGCTGATATTCAGCGGCAGCCGTGCGTCGATGCCGGCACAGGGGATCCCCAACGGACGGCCAAACGTGATGGTCTGGCCGCAGTCAAACACGTAGATGCACCACCAGATCCGCCGGCCGATTTCCTGCTCCAGCAGGTTGTCCGAGCAGTCGGTCTGTTTGTGCAGCCCGAGTCCCATGGCCATGCGTACCGCCAAACCGAGGTAGTTGTATCCCGAGTTGGGTTTGTCTCTTTTCTGGAGATAGTTCGAGAGCAGCGCGAGCGTCTGCACCAAGCTGATGCTGCCGGTCTCGAGCAGCTCGAAATTCAGGTGCGACTTGGCCTTGTCGATCAGCACCAGGTCGTCCTGGTTGTCTGGGTCGGTGGACCCCATGAACGCGCCGATCGCCGCCATCGTGTACATCAGACTGTCCCAGCCGATCTCGGGCCGCGGCACGATCTGGTTGTACTGCGCCCAGAACAGCGGCCGGTAAACGATCGGATACGAGACGTGGTAGGTCTCGAAGTAGCGGTTCAGATAGTGCTCGACCTGGGCGCCGGACACAGATCGGTTGTCCCGCCGCACAGGGCTGCGCAGCGTGCCGCCCCACGAGTAGCCCCCAAACACAAGACTGATCACCGCCACGCTCGAGTGCGACCCCAGATACCCGCTTCTATCGGTGATGGCCATGCCGTCTATCGCCTTGTGGTCCCGCTCATCCCACGAGTAAACGGGTCTCGGGTTCTCGCTCGTGCTCTTGTAGTCCTCACTCACGGCAACGGGCAACAGCTGCGGCACCTGGAAGTTTTTATCCGACACGATCGGGTCCTGTCTGTTCTGTCTCAGACGGCCGAGTTCCGGGATCTCCCACACGGAAAACCCGTTCTTGACGTTCGCCAGGATGGAGTGGATGTCCAGCTCGGGCGACAGCGCGCGCAGAAGCTCTGTCGCGACCCGCAACTCTTCCTCCACCTGGGTCAGATGCTTGCGAGTGAGCGGACTATGGCTGTGTCTGTTGTAGAGACAGTGTCTGTTGAACTTGGAGCACGAGACACACGTGGGCAGGTCGCGCGAGCAGCGCAGCTTGCGCCGGCGACATTCGTTGCACGAGTGCTGTTTGGTGGCGTCCATTGTCATTGTACAAGATCATGTACACTCTTTTGGGACTTTTTTTTTCTTTCCCCACAAGAATGCGCTTTGTGACATCACGCGTGGTGCAATGGATCTGGTGCGAGGTGTGGCTCTTTGTTGTCCTCCACAGGGCCTGCGCTTGTCCCATGGAGAAAAACAATGCGGGCTGAGGGAATTTCAGGCATTTTATCCGGGCAGAAAGGACACGCGTGGCGCGGGGGGCGACGACGCCGCTGGGCGCGATCAACGCTCCGGGCCGGCTTGCAAGCTCAGCTGCACCCGCCATCGACGCCGGAAAAACCAGGCACGCCCAGTGTGCCTTCCCCGCCATCCGCGGCAATGGTCGCAAAGATTTTTCCGCGATCGACGATGTGTGCTAAGCCGTGCACGAACGTGATGCACGATTACCCAAAAAAATATCCGAGTTCTTTGTCACCCCAGGCTCTGCAGATACCACTCCGCATGCCGCACTCTCGACAGCTCGGCCGCTATTGTGTTGGCTGCAGACAGCCCCGTCTGCGGGGGACATCCATTCGCGTCACAGGTTACTCCGGCTGCTGTATAAATTGCGGCCACGCCCCCCCTGTTTTTTAATCCGATCAGATGGAAGAACTCAAAGACGTCCGCTCGATCGACGAGCTCAGCCACGTCGACAAGCTCGACACCCTAGGACCTCAGGGCCAGGAGCTCGAGGCCCGCTTCGAGCAGTACGAGATCATGGCCGAGGAGGCCAAGTCCCACAACACGTTCTGGGACAGACTCGTGCTCAAGTCCGGCTACACTTTCCAGTTCAAGGAGAAAAAACATATGGTGCGCATGCTGGCGTGTTTCGCGTCGTTGGGCGGCATGCTGTCTGGTGTTGACCAGTCGCTCATTTCCGGTGCCAAGGTGTCTCTTGTTCCCTCCTTGTCGCTCACCTCGCACGAGCAGTCGCTGGTGAGTGCTTTGATGCCTGTGGGAGCCATGGGTGGCTGTATTTTCCTGTCGCCGCTCAACGAGTTTCTGGGCAGACGACTGTCCATCATGGTGGCGTGTATCTCGTACACGGTGGGCGGCATTCTGTGTGCTGCCACGCCGAACGTGGAGGGCCTGTACGCAGGCCGGTTTTTCATTGGTTTTGGAGTCGGCCTGGAGTCTATCATTCCTGCCTATGTTTCTGAGTGCGCTCCGGCAGAGCTCAGAGGCAACCTTGTGTCGCTGTACCAGTTCAACATCGCGCTCGGCGAGGTGTTTGGCTACGCCATAGCAGCCATGTTCTACTCGCTCGACGGCGCGTGGAGATACATTCTGGGCTCGTCGCTGTTTTTCTCGACGCTGCTGTTCATCGGCATGTTTTTCCTGCCAGAGTCGCCTAGATATCTTGTCCACAAGAACAAGGTGGGCGCGGCGTACGCGATCTGGAAACGGCTCAGAGACATCTCCGACGTGTCCAACAAGGTGGAGTTCCTCGACATGATCCAGTCGCTCGAGCAGGAGAAGCTCGAGGACGCGCATCTCTCGACTAAACACAAGTGGATGGATTTCATCACGAACCCAAGAGCGCGCCGGTCGCTTGTCTACGCCAACATCATGATCTTCCTTGGCCAGTTCACGGGTGTCAACGCCATCATGTACTACATGTCGACGCTGATGGCGTCGATCGGCTTCGACGAGAAAAACTCCGTCTTCATGTCGCTTGTCGGCGGCGGCGCCCTGCTGCTCGGCACCATCCCGGCCATCCTGTACATGGACTACTGCGGCCGCCGGTTCTGGGCCAACTCCATGCTTCCGGGCTTCTTCATCGGCCTCGTCTTTGTCGGAATCTCGTACCAGCTGCCTGTCACCGGGGCGTCCGCTCTCGGGCTGTACCTCACCGGTATCGTCCTCTACATGGGCTTCTTCGGCTCCTACGCCTGTCTCACCTGGGTCGTGCCGTCAGAGGTGTACCCGACGTACCTGCGTTCCTACGGAATCACCGCGTCCAGCACCATGCTCTACCTGTGGACCTTCATCATCACGTACAACTTCACCGACATGTGGAACGCGTTCACCAACACGGGGCTCACGCTGGGCTTCTACGGGGGCATTGCGGCCGTCGGCTGGATCTACCAGCTGCTGTTTGTGGTCGAGACCAAGGGCCGGTCGCTCGAGGAGATCGACGATCTCTTTTCCAAGCCAACGCTCACGCTCGTCGGTATCAACCTCAAGTGCACGAAGAAAGACTTCTACAACATCTTCCACGGCAATTTCAGAGAAGTCGTCCGCGGGTCCTCCTACTAGTGTACTGATGTACCGGGGTAGCAAGTATGGTATAAAGAATGTGATTGAGTATTTGGCTATGGCGTCACGTAATTGTATCTTGGGCAGATCTGGAAGCTTATTGGCCCCGTGTCGATGGCCCAAATCGCGCATTCCCTGGCATCGGCCAATCAACGCCCCGGACGGCGTCCATTTCAGGGCTGTGGTGGAAAATTGACAGCTCGTGCAGCGCGCACGGGAGCCATCCGGGAGCTACCCGGCCAGAGGACCTGGTATGCTTGTATGTCATTGGACGTGGAGACATGCTTGTGCGGCTCGCGCTGCTGCCATAGGCTACGCCGCCGCTGTCCAGATGACTCCGGGGGCGTGCAGTGACTCTAATATTTTTCTGTGCGCAGCGCACGACACAGGTATATAAGGGAGAGAGATGCTACCCTTGCAAATTACCCCTTATATTGCCGGAATTTACTCCCACAAATGACCTCCAACAAAATCACCTTCTGTCTCAACTGGACTCCTGAGCCGTACCACATCCCTGTGTTCCTTGCCCAGAGCATGGGCTATTTCAAGGAACAAGGCCTAGATGTGGCCATTCTCGAGCCCTCGAACCCTTCGGACGTGACCGAGCTGATCGGCTCGGGCAAGGTCGACATGGGCCTCAAGGCGATGATCCACACGCTCGCCGCCAAGGCCCGCGGCTGGAACGTCACTTCGATCGGGTCGCTTCTGGACGAGCCGTTCACCGGAGTGCTGTATCTCAAGAACAAGCCCAACGGCGTCACTGACGACTTCCAGTCGCTCAGAGGCAAGAGAATCGGGTACGTGGGCGAGTTCGGCAAGATCCAGATCGACGAGCTGACCCGCCACTACGGCATGACTCCAGACGACTACACCGCGGTCCGCTGCGGCATGAACGTCGCCAAGGAGATCATCGAGGGCAACATCGACGCCGGCATCGGCATCGAGTGTGTGCAGCAGGTCGAGCTGGAGGAGCATCTCAGGGCAGAAGGCAGCGACGTGAACAACGTTGGCATGCTCAGAATCGACAGGCTGGCCGAGCTCGGCTGCTGCTGTTTCTGCACTGTCCTGTACATTGCCAACGACAAGTTCATCGAGGCCAACCCTGACAAGGTCAGAAAGTTCATGAAGGCCATCAAGAAGGCCACCGACTACGTCATTGCCCATCCTCTCGATGCGTTTGAGCAGCTATGCAGACTCAAGCCGCAGCTGAACAACGACCTGAACACCAAGATCTTTGAGAGATGTTTCGCCTATCTGAGCGACTCCTGCTACAACGTCAAGCGGGACTGGCAGAAGGTCAACAACTACGGCAAGAGACTATTGGTGCTTCCACCAGACTTCCAACCAAACTACACCAACGAGTTCCTTTCCTGGGACGAGCCTCGGGAGGTCAATGACCCTGAGGAGGCCCAGAGATTGATGGGTATCCATCAGGAACAGTGCAAATGCAACGGTGGCTACCGTAGACTGGTTCTCAACGGTGTCTAGGGAGCTGTTTATATTGACACGTCAAACTGGGGGGTCCCGTGTCAATTTTGCTTCTGAAAGGAGGTAATTCCGGCAAACAACTGTGTACTTATTCACTTAAGTATTCATTCTGGCAAATCGAGCTGTAGAGGGCATGCTTCCATGCTTATGTAAAAATATTTTTTCTATTTTATTTTTTATTATTTTCTGATAAATCCAGTCCACATGAGTACGGTCAACAAGTCGGGAACGCGGTTCACGCCCAAGTTGACGCAGCGAAGCCGGTCGCGATCGGTAAGCACCAGCAAACAGCAGCTGCCGACCCCCGTCTCGACGCAGAAGACAGCGCAGGACACAGCTAAGAGCACTACACAGGAAACCTCTGCTATTGACGACCAGAGCGACGACAACGGCGAGCGGAACGCAGACGTGTTTGCAAAGCCGCGCAGAGCGTCGGTAGTGTCGCTGGGGAATCTGAGACGGCCGTCTGTGACAGGGCTCAAGACCCCGGAGACCAGCCAGAGACGTCTCTCTTCCCTGGGGCCTGGCGCCGCTGCTGGGCCTCTGGGGCTGCGCAGCCGGCAGAGCAGTGTGAGCAGCATTTCTGATAGACGGCGGTCTTCTGACGAGGGAGACGCGCAGCCCATGAAGATCGGGATTCCAGAGATCGCGGGCAGTTTGGGCCGGAGACGCAGCTCGGTGCAGTCGAGCAAAGCGGATTTTGGAGTCGAATTCAAGAAAATCGGTTCGCGAGCCAGCGGTGTTGCGACGGACGACAACGTCGATCCTCTGAAACAGGGGAAGCCGCAGGAGGTGATGCTGACGAAAGCAGAGCGCGAAAAGCAGGTCAAGTTCATTATTGATCCTGAGAAACAGGTACTGACAAAAGTGAGTATCGACGAGTACCAGCAGATGCGGAATGTGCCGAACTCGCTGGTGATTGACGAGATCAGGGCGCTGAACAAGGTGCGGAACTCGGAGGACGCCGATCTGCTTGAGAACTTCGTCATCAACGACGGCAAGGTCACGCTGGAAGAGCTGTGCAAGCCCGTGATACCGTTTGGAAAAGTGTCGAAAAATTACGAGCTGGCGATCGAGGGGGACAGGCGGCGGATGGCGCAGCGGGAGCTCCGTTGCAAGCGGCGGAAGCTTGCACGCGAGATGCGGGTGCCCCTGAACCAGCTGGAAGGAGAGGAGGAAGAAAAGCTGGAGAAAGAGCGGCAGCAGAAGGCAAAGAAAATTTTGGATTCTGGGGACGTTGAGAGTGCGCGCAGAAACAAGCGACAGCCGCAGCTTCAGCTGGATGAGAACCAGAAGCTGATCCTGGACCCGGAGTCGACGGTGATCGACCGCCATAGCGGGCCGGCCGACTCCGCCAGAGAAGTGGTGGACGAGAACCCGTACCAGAACCTGATCACGTCTGGCTCGTACTCGAAGAAGAAGTATGTGGATAAGTGGACGGCCGAGGAGACGGCCGAGTTCTACAAGGCGCTCTCGACATGGGGGACCGATTTTGGGCTGATTGCGCAGCTGTTCCCGTACCGCACGCGACGGCAGGTGAAAGCGAAGTTTGCGTCTGAGGAGCGGCGCAACCCGCATTTCGTTGAGCTGGCGCTGCTACGCAAGCTTCCCGTCGACATTGCCGAGTATGCTGCCAAGACGGGCAAGGATTTCAAGACGTTGGAGGAGTACGAGGCCGAGATCAAGGCGTTGCAGACGAAGCACGAGAACGAGATGAAGGAGATGAAAGCGATGAAGGAGCGTGCTCGGCTGGAGGACCTGAACAGCAACAACGAGCTGGAGACGACAAGGGTGACGTCGCGGTCGCGGAGAGAAAAGTTGCTCGCGTTCCGCAAAGACGAGGAGGTGGTTGGATTTATCGACAGAAAATAATTATCAAGGCGCAGCTTGGAAAAATAAATAAAATCGAGTAAATAAATAAAAGTGCGATAAAGAGCGATACAGATCTGTGGCGTTTGCAAACTACAGTGGCATGAGAAAAGACTATGTTCTGGAGGTCAAGAGCTCCGACACCAAGTGTCCCGACGTGATATACCAGGACGACCGCAAGCAGCCGAAAGACACGGACGCCAGCGAGACCAAGCCGCAAAAGTACATCAAGTTCACGGTGCGGCCGGCGCGACAGCGGGACGGGACCTTGACTCTTGTGGTGCAGCTCGTAGTGCTGGCTACTGCAGTTTGTGCGATGTATGTTGCCGTTTGCAACGGGCAGATACTGGAGAGGATACTACGACAGGCGCAACTTGGGACAACCAGCGTGGACGACGTTTGGACTGCGCGAACGGCGCGAGCGTTTGTGTTTCTCGCCTGCTACCACATAGTGAACTGGGGATACGGCTCGCTGCTGGCGCAGACGGAAGAGAGCCTGATACTTATTCCGAATCTGGGCGTGCAGAGCGAGTCGTACCGGGTGCGAAAAAGCGGGCTTGCATTGGTGCGACTGCTGCTTGGCAGGGTATTGGGGAAATCGGAATTAAGCAGACCTGTGCACACAGCAAAGACGCTCAACAAACAGTTTTTCCCGATGGAGGACGTGCATGATCTGGCAATAGTGGAGGGATTCATGAACTTCCAGGTCATTTTTTACCTGGCTCTCGTGGTCGGGGAGGGCCCGCAGGACGACCAGTTACAAATGGTGGTGATTTTCCCAAATCTGCTACCCAGGAAAAAGCTGCTGCAGGCTGTCTGGCGCAGAAGCAGAGCATACCTGGACGGTCCGTAATAATATAACAATCACCTGTCTCAGGGGTGGAGCATCCAATTTACCCAATACAGGCAGTGTCACAGTGAAATGGGCCGGGCTTCGCAAACCCTGCCTGGCCCGTGCTGTACTGTAGCCTTGGACGTCGTCCCAATCGGGAAGCCAGATCTGGTCCAGATTCCCCGTTCGGGCAAGGTCGTGTCCTATCTGCCCGATTCGCAAACTCTTCGAGCAAAACGTAAACAACCAAACAATAGAAAAAATCTTTTCCTGTGTCCATTGTTTACTTCCGTAAACGATCTCCAACGAGAAAAGGGTTTGTTTTCATTCTCTCTCTTATAAAGGCCCTGCTGCTGTTTATCCTTTTTCTCAGTTGTCCAATAACCAACTTACAGTCATTCCTTTAGTACTCATCCCTAACTTGGTTATTTTCGCTCCTTACAATGCTAGCTAACACCATTATCAAGGCCCTTGCCCTGTCTGCTTTAGCCACCACCGGCCTGGCCCAGCCAATTGGCCACCTCCACCATCAACATGAGAAGAGAAACGTTGTCGTTGTCACCGAGACCGTTGTCGTCTACGCCGGTGCCCAAACAAGCACCGTCGAGTACGTCCACGCCGACCCAACTGCCGTCTCTGTCTCCTCCCACGACAACAGTGTCCAGGTTGCTCCAACCGAAACCACCTCTTACACCCCTGCTTCCACCCAATCCACCACCCACTCCACCTCCTCCACCTCCTCCACTGCCGAGCCAACCTCCAGCTCCGACAGCAGCTTCAACAGTGGCTCCAAGGGTATCACCTACTCTCCGTACGCTTCCACCGGCGCCTGCAAGTCTCTCTCCGAGGTCAAGAGCGACCTTGAGAAGCTGACCGGCTACGAGTACATCAGATTGTACGGTGTCGACTGCAACCAGGTCGAAAACGTCCTGCAAGCCAAGGCCGACAACCAGAAGCTGTTCTTGGGCATCTACTACGTTGACCAGATCTCCGACGCTGTTTCCCAAATCAACGACGCTGTCTCCAGCTACGGATCCTGGGACGACATCGACACCATCTCTGTTGGTAACGAGCTCGTCAACTCTGGCTCCGCCGACGTTTCCCAGATCAAGTCCTACATCGAGGAAGCCAAGTCTGCCCTCGAGAGCACCGACTTCAAGGGTTCCGTTGTTTCCGTCGATACCCACGTTGCTATTATCAACAACCCAGGTCTGTGTGACCTGTCCGACTACATTGCCTTCAACGCCCACGCTTTCTGGGACGGAACCGTCTACCCAGACCAGGCCGGTGACTGGCTTCTGCTGCAAATGCAAAGAGTCTGGTCCGCTTGCGGTGGCAAGAAGAGCGTCATGTGCACTGAGACCGGATGGCCACACGAGGGCTCTGCCTACGGTGTCGCTGTTCCATCTGAGGAGAACCAGGCCAAGGCCATCGAGTCTCTGAAGAGCGTTGTCGGCGACGACATCATCCTGTTCACTGCCTTCGACGACCTGTGGAAGAGCCCAGGCTCGAACGGCGTTGAGCAGTACTGGGGTTTCACTTCTTAAGCTGTTAAGCCGTTTCGTTTATTTTTTCTATAGGACACATATCGACCTTTGATATCCAATACATACTGATAGTTGAAAAAAAACTGGAAAAATAAGGTAAAATAAAAGAAAATAAAAATTACTAATACATGTTCAGATCATTGGCCAGAAAACTGCCCCTGGCGCGGTTCGGCCGCCGGTTTCTGTCCTCCGACATGGACGAGTACGAGTCGATGATCTACAAGAAACTGGCGCAGGAGCTCGAGCCGTCCAACCTGTCGGTCAGAGACATCTCTGGAGGGTGCGGGTCCATGTTCGCCATCAACATAGAGAGCCCGAAGTTCAAGGGACTCACCATGATCAAGCAGCATCGGCTGGTCAACGAGCTGCTGAAGGACGAGATAGCGAAGTGGCACGGGCTGCAGCTGAAAACCAAGGCCAAAAAATAAGTACACTGTAAATATAATATTTATTCATTACGCCTACTCTATCACCTCTTCCTTCTCCTCCAGGATCTCCTCCTTGACCTCCTCAATCACCTCTTCTCTGGTCTCTGCCTGCTCCTGGGTAAGATGCAGCTCCTTCAGCTTGGCAATGACCTCCTTTCTCCAAGTGTACCACTCTTGCAGCAGTCTCTTTCTCTTGAGGATCAGCTCTCTCAGCTCGGCGTCTGCCTCCATCGCATCGGCCTCCTCGAACTGCGCAGCGTACTCCTTCAGGCTCTTTCTGACCTTCTTTCTGTCGTTCGAGCTCAACATCGACGGTGGTCTTGGTCTCCACTCAAACTCTTTGAATCCGTCGATCAGCTCCTCCTTGCGCAGCATGCCCACCAGGTCGTAAATCCGATACCCGTTCTCGATCTTGTGTCTCCAGGTGGACGACCAGCCAGCAACGTATCTTCCAGACGGGTCCCACGCCAGGTCGGTCAGACCCTTGTACTCGTGGTGGTTCAGCAGCTTCAGGTTCGACTTCACCTTGTCGGACTGCTCTTTCTCCTTCTCGCCGTCGTAGTCCGAGTCGTAGAAGTCGAGGTCGCCGTTTGCGCCGGTGACGGTGGCCACCACGACAAACCGGCCCTTTGGCGACCATCTGATCTGGTTCGCGTGGGTCTTGGTCACCGTCTTGTAGCACAGCCACTTCTTGATCACCTGTTTCGCAACCTTGGCCTCCTCCACGTCGTAGAACGACACAATGTTGTCTGGAACGGCGATGTTCGGGTTCGGCGTGTCCAGCTTCGACACGGTCACAAACCGCTCTCCGTGCGGCTCCCACTGGAACGAGCTCACCACCTCCTTGAGCTCCACTTTCTCCACAGGAATATCTTTTTCGCCCAGCGACAGCAGCTCCAGGTTCGTGAACGTGGTCTTCCTCGACTTGGTGTGTCTGTCGACCTTGCAACACAGCATCTTGGCCTCGTCCTGCCAGCACAGCTTCACGTCCGACACGTTGAACAGGTTCACCGTTCTCAGCACCTGTCGTGACGGCAGCTGCACCACCGAAACACGCGCCGACTGGTTCGGTGTTTCTGGCGTCCAAAACGAGAACACCGTCTCGGGCGGGTCGTTTTTCCTCGTGGTGGCCAGTCTCACGCCGGCCGGAGCAAACTCAAAGTCCATGATGCCCTCGGCCTTGTACAGCTTCTTGTCCAGCAGCGCAAACTCCTGCGTGGTGTCGTAAATCGCCAACGCGTCGGGACCCATCCGGGCACAGTACTTGTCGTCAAAAGACCATTTGATCAGCGGCCACGGCATCGACTGCTGTTTCTCCAGGTTTGGGGGCAGCGCAAAAGTGCGCACCGGCAAACCCGTCTGCAAGTCCCAGATCACCAGCTTGTGGCCGGCACTTTCTGCACTGAACAGACACTGTGCGCGGGCCGGGTGGTCCTCGGGCGGGATGACGATCGGCTCCGGCGACAGCGTCACCAGGAATTTTTCCGTTGGCGAGAAGTCCAGCAGCTGGACGCCCGGATGCACAAATCTGCGGATCCTGTCGAATTTTTCACCGCCCCACGCCTGCACTCCGCCAGGGAAGAACGAGAACAGATACGTGCCCTTTGGCGAGAACTTCATCGACGCAGACGTCCAGTGGGCCCGTGGCTCGATCACCTCCTCGGGCTGGATGTTCTTTTTGTACCAGTACACGCCCACGGTGTCGTGGTGGTGGAGCATGAACTGCTCGCGGCCGTTGGGGTCCAGCAGCCACGACTTGAGGTAGCCGTGCGAGCGGAACTCGGGAATGGCCGGCTCGCGGAACTCCTCGGTGATGTTGTCGTTGAGGGCGTATTTCTCCATGTCTGGCAGCTTGTTGACGGCCAATCTGTGCTTCACGTCCAGCTTCTTGCCGTTCAGCTGCTTGACGGCCTTGTCGGCGGCGGCGGCGTTTTCGAGCTCGATGATCAAGTAGCCCTTGGTCTGGCCGTTTTCCAGCGGCATGAACATGTCGACAACCTTGCCGCACTGGGAGAACAGCTTGGTGAGCACCTTCTTCAAAACAGGAGCCTTGGCCTCTGGCGCGATGGGGGCGCCGTCGCAGATCACAAAGTGCTCGTACGAGTGTTCTGGCTCGGGCACGTGGTACTGTGCCTCGAGGTCCGAGAAATCGATCGACGAGACGTCGACCTGGGATTCGTCAAAAGCGATGGGTTCTGGCATGTTTGAGGAAAATTTTCACTCGCGGAAATGTTTTTTTTCTCACCGACGCAGGTGCGACGCGTCGGCACACAGAAACGAGATAAGAACGCTCTGGTGGCCACCAGGCGACATGCCCCGTGTGCACCAAGAGGTGCCCCAGACGAGACATGCAGAAACTCGCTGCTTTTTGCACTATAGCCACCATTTCCTGGGACCCAGTTGCCGAAAACAGTATGTAAAATAGCGGTGGACTTAATTTCCCGATCGGGCAGGTCTGTTATCAGCGGAAATTAGCCCCTCGCACTATATAAGCCAGCAAGCTTCGCTCTTGTCCCTCACAATCGATCAGCATGGAAAGACTGCGCCAGATCGCCTCCCAAGCCACCGCTGCCTCGGCCGCCCCAGCCAGACCAGCCCACCCGCTGGACCCTCTGTCCACGGCCGAGATCAAGGCCGTCACCAGCACCGTCAAGAGCTACTTTGCCGGTAAGCAGATCAGCTTCAACACCGTCACTCTGAGAGAGCCTGCCAGAAAGGCCTACATCCAGTGGAAGGAGCAGGGTGGCCCTCTGCCTCCTCGACTTGCGTACTACGTGATTCTGGAGGCCGGCAAGCCCGGTGTGAAAGAGGGTCTTGTTGACCTGGCCTCCCTGTCTGTTATCGAGACCAGGGCTTTGGAGACCGTCCAGCCGATTCTGACCGTCGAGGACCTGTGCGCCACCGAGGACGTCATCAGAAAAGACCCCGCCGTCATCGAGCAGTGTGTGCTGTCGGGCATCCCTGCCAACGAGATGCACAAGGTGTACTGCGACCCATGGACCATTGGCTACGACGAGAGATGGGGCACCGGCAAGAGACTGCAGCAGGCCCTTGTGTACTACAGATCCGACGAGGACGACTCGCAGTACTCGCACCCGCTCGACTTCTGTCCGATCGTCGACACGGAGGAGAAGAAGGTGATTTTCATCGACATCCCCAACAGAAGAAGAAAAGTGTCCAAGCACAAACACGCCAACTTCTATCCTAAGCACATGGTCGAGAAGGTCGGCGCCATGAGACCAGAGGCGCCTCCTATCAACGTGACCCAGCCAGAGGGAGTTTCGTTCAAGATGACCGGCAACGTCATGGAATGGTCCAACTTCAAGTTCCACATCGGTTTCAACTACAGAGAAGGCATTGTTCTGTCGGACGTGTCGTACAACGACCACGGCAACGTGAGACCGATCTTCCACCGAATCTCGCTGTCCGAGATGATTGTTCCGTACGGCTCGCCAGAGTTCCCTCACCAGAGAAAACACGCTCTGGATATCGGCGAGTACGGCGCCGGGTACATGACGAACCCGCTGTCGCTTGGCTGCGACTGCAAAGGCGTGATCCACTACCTCGACGCCCACTTCTCCGACAGAGCAGGAGACCCCATCACCGTGAAGAACGCCGTCTGTATTCACGAGGAGGACGACGGGCTGCTTTTCAAGCACTCCGACTTCAGAGACAACTTTGCCACCTCGATCGTCACGAGAGCCACCAAGCTGGTCATCTCGCAGATCTTCACTGCCGCCAATTACGAGTACTGTCTGTACTGGGTGTTTATGCAGGACGGAGCCATCAGGCTCGACATCAGACTCACGGGTATTCTGAACACGTACATTCTGGGCGACGACGAGGAGGCCGGTCCGTGGGGAACCAGAGTGTACCCTAACGTGAACGCTCACAACCACCAGCACCTGTTCTCCCTGAGAATCGACCCGAGAATTGACGGCGACGGTAACTCTGCTGCCGCCTGCGACGCCAAGCCGTCGCCCTACCCGCTCGGCTCGCCAGAAAACATGTACGGCAACGCCTTCTACTCGGAAAAGACCACCTTCAAGACGGTCAAGGACTCGCTCACCAACTACGAGTCTGCCACCGGCAGATCCTGGGACATCTTCAACCCCAACAAGGTCAACCCGTACTCGGGCAAGCCTCCTTCCTACAAGCTGGTGTCTGCGCAATGTCCACCTTTGCTGGCCAAGGACGGATCGTTGGTGGCCAAGAGAGCGCCATGGGCCTCACACTCGGTCAACGTCGTGCCTTACAAGGACAACAGACTGTATCCATCGGGCGACCACGTTCCCCAGTGGTCTGGAGATGGCGTGCGCGGTATGAGAGAGTGGATCGGCGACGGCTCCGAGAACATCGAGAACACCGACATCCTGTTCTTCCATACTTTCGGGATCACCCATTTCCCAGCCCCAGAGGACTTCCCACTGATGCCTGCCGAGCCGATCACCCTGATGCTCAGACCTCGGCACTTCTTCACCGAGAACCCGGGCCTGGACATCCAGCCGTCCTACGCCATGACCACCTCCGAAGCCAAGAGGGCCGTGCACAAGGAGGCCAAGGACAAAACCTCGAGACTTGCCTTTGAGAGCTCTTGTTGCGGTAAATAAGTATATAGGACACGTTAATCTAGTAATCTCCACTGTTGACGAGCTCGTCGAACTGCGAAAACAGGTTTTCCATCTGGTCTGTCGGCATCAGCCCAGCCTCGTCCTCCTGCGCAGGAGCAGCGGGCTCAGGGCCGGCCTGCGCGGGCTGATCCAGAAAGTCCAGGTTCAGGTCGGTGAGCGAGTTCATCGCAGACGGCTCGCTGTTGTCTGCTGTCTTCATGTCGAAAATGTCCTTCATCATATCGTCGTTCTGCGGCCGCTCGCTCGTCTCGCCAAAGTCCAGGAAATCTGTCCGGAAATTGTCCAAATCCAGGTTCATCAGGTCGTCTGTCGACCCAAACACGTCGCCGGCGGCGCCGCCCGGCTGCTGCTCTGCCTGCCGCTGCTCCTGCTCCTGCTTCTTCTTGGACGCCTCCCCCTCGATCTTTTTCTTCATCTCGGCCTCTTCCTGCTTGATCTTTTTCATTTCCTCGTCCTTCACAGACTTCACCTTCAAATATCGCAGAACGTGCTCTGCCTCGCGCAAATTCATGTTGTGCTCGTCGAGAATCTCGTTGTAGCGGTCAAAGTCTTGTTTCAACGTCTGCGACAGCGGCTTCACCAGCGAGTCGTTGTTGTGCGGTACCACCGTTCCCGTGGCCTTGCCACTCAGCCTGTACGTCAACTTGTCCAGAATCGTGGCTGTCGTGATGAAGATGTTGTTGGCAGAGTCCCGAAGCACCCAAGACATGATCAGCAGCGATAGTAGAATGAAATATATTCGTGTGAGCCAGGGGCAGACGACCGACGCGACGGTCGTGCGGGCCAATCAAATGTAACTTCTCAGATGCCACGAAGTGGAAAAAAAATATCTCTCTTCCTCACCAACAATGTTCAGACAATCCCTTAGATCCATTGCCAGAACAGCAAGAACTGCCACCGCCGGTGTCAGAACTTACGCCGAGGCCGTCAACCCAGACGTCCTCAAGGTCTCGCTCGTCTCGCCACACCAGGTAAGTGTGTCCGATATCTAGTCTCTAACATGGCAGGCCCTTCTCACAAACAAAGAGGTCAGCCAGGTCAACCTGCCAGCCAGCTCTGGAGAAATGGGTGTTCTGGCCAACCACGTGCCAACCGTCGAAGAATTGGCTCCAGGAGTCGTCGAGGTGATCGAGTCGTCCGGCACCACCTCCAAATACTTTGTGTCTGGAGGTTTCGCCAGCATCGTGCCAGGCTCCAAGCTCAACATCTCCACCGTCGAGGCCCACCCATTGGACGCATTTTCCTCTGAAAACATCAAATCGCTCCTGGCCGAGGCCCAGAAAAACGCCTCTTCCGCAGATGAGACCGTCGCTGCCGAGGCTGCCATCGAAATCGAGGTCCTCGAAGCTCTGCAGGCTGTTGTTCACTAGATACGATCCTAAGTATGATAAAATTACATTATCCTGACCAATATCTATACAATTGGGGAGCTTCGTAGCTCACCGGCTTCACCTCCTCTTCTCCCAGGCTGCGCTCTTCGTCCTTCGACTCGAACCCAAGCACGTTTAGGCTCTTCTTTGGAGGCTTCATGATTAGCTCTCTGGCGTCCGCCACCAGCTTCTTCACTTTCTCGCCGCCTTCGCTCTTGTCGTCCAACAGCTCAATGGCCTGCATTAATTTCGACGACACAGTGTTGGCAGTCTTGAAGAACGAAAGACGGTCCAGAAACAGCTCGTCGTTCTTCTTTGAAAGCTGTTTCTTCTGATACTCAAAGAGCCTGTCCAACTTGCTCAGCTTGTTCAGCTTCAACTCCACCAGCTTCAGCTCGTTGTTCACTATAGCGGTCATGGCTTTGTTCATCTCTCTCTCCTCGTAGTTGGCGAAAACATGCGACCGCGCTGCCGCAAGCCCAAACGACGTGTTTGCCGCATCTTTCACGTCTGTGAGGGGGTCTTCCATTTCCAGGTTGTCCTGCTCCCCGTTTGAGTCCTCCTTAGGCTCATCCTTTATCTGCTTCGTCTCTTCGCTCTGCCCCGACCCGTCGAGCAGTTGAGTCAATTTATCATCCACCACCTTCTTTGCCCGATCGGCAGCAGCCACGGCCGCATCTGTGTCCACTATGGACGTCAAAAAGGCCAAAGTCGACATGATAGGGTTATCGTTGGGCGAAAATGATAAATTGGGCACGTATTTCAACGGGCCAAGATGCTCTTTGTTTTTCTCCAAGAATTCGTCCTCGATCGGAAACTGCAAAAACCGTATAATACATTGCTCTGGACTCTTGTTGCCAACATGCTCTGCAATCTTGTACCAGTCGTTAGGAAACTGCTTGACTCCTTCAACCAGCTTTTCCAGGTCTGTCTGAGACCACCCTTTGTTGATGTCTGGCTTTATGATTTTCCGCCTTTTGTTAGGCTCTCCGTTCGATGCTGCGCTGCCGTTGTTGCTCGAATTTAAGAGCTCTTTCACTTTCGACATGTCAGGAAGCTCTACAGGAGGTTTGTAGCTCTCAAAGGGAAAGAGCCCCCGCGGAGTGTCAAAGTCGACCGTGAACTCTCCCGTGTATGGCGGCTCTAACGGCACAGGACGCGTCTCTGGGTTCACTTGGTAATTGATTATCCCCCATTTGTCCAAAAACTTGTGTAGTCGGAGCAATGTGCCAGCATCTCCAACAAGGTTTCTCCTGACGGCTGTGAACGACAAGTACTCGTTGGGGTTTAGTCTGTACGTGTTCACCATGAAATTCCGATACCGGGCATATATCTGAGGAGTCTTGTTTTTGTTGCTTCCGTTGAAGAACTCTGGAAGAGACTCTTTTTCGATTTTATGGATCTTCTTCATGTCGAACCACGCACCGTAAGACGGCAAAACAACCGTGTGAGTTTGCTTCTGGAGCGAGGACATGCTGATCGTGCTTTCCATTTGCGATCTCGAGGTGAACATGTAGTCACTCGAAACTTGGTCCTGAGGGCCCATCGTGGGCTTGTTTTCTTCCATATATGCGCTTCCTTCCTGAGGCAGCGGAATGTCCTCGTTTCCAGGCTCTTGTTTGACCTCTTTAGAACTATCTGTAGTCTTCCTGGCTTCGCCATGAATATGTTCCTGTTCCACAGACTCGGGTATTATGTTCGTGTCTATGTCGTTTGCTTCCTCAATGTCTTCGGCCTTTGGCTCGTGTTCTTCGTCGACTTCTGCCCCCAGGTCTTCCTCGTTGCTTTTCTCAGCAACTTGCACATCTCCGTCGACGTTTTGTTGTGCATTAGTTTCGTTGAGTTCCACTCCGACACCTTGTTCATTTCGCCCGGGACTTGGCGACAATCCTTGGTTTTCTTCCATTGCAGATAAAGATGTCTTTTCTAGTAGTCACCCGCGTTGTTCAGACTGTTTTTCGACCCGACTAGCGTGTCAATTTTTATGTTTCAATGCGCAACAAACAATAAAACTTTTGTTTATCGTGGAGTTTTTTATTTTTTGGCAATTGCACAAAGCTCCCGCGACGATCGACTTTGTGTCCCCTAGAATATTTATTTCACAGAGTCCATCATGGCGTTTGCGAGAGGGTTCCTACGTTTTGCCGGCGTGACCGGTCTGTCTGTGGCGTCATTCGGCGCCGGAGTGTCTGTGTTTGGCCGTGCCTGGCCTGTCCTCAACGAAAAGGATAAACAGCTCGCGAACGAGCGGTCTTTGCAGTCGCTCGAATTTATCAAGAGCTCCAAGTTGTACAAGCAATTGGCAGCAGATAAATCGTTCGAGCTGCTTTCTGGCTCTCAGCTCATTCCAGAGGCTCACAGACAGTACCATGTGGGACAGGGTCTCTTGAACTCGCCCAACCACATGACTACCGACCCGATCATCTTCCTCAACCGCGATGAAGGAAAGATGTACTGCATAGCACATCTTGGAGCCCAGACGGTGGGTTCGGATCGGAAGATCCACAACGGCATTATCTCTACGATCATCGACGAGGGCCTATGTATGTGTGGATTCTCAAAACTGCCTTCCAAGAGAGGTGTCACGGCACAGCTCAAGCTCGACTTCTTCCAAAAAGCCCCTCCTGACTCCACCGTGGTTCTCAAGGCCCAGGTGCAGGAATTTCGCGGCCGCAAATGCATTATCACGGGCACAGTGGAAACTCTGGAACGGTCGCCGATCAAAGTCGCTGACGGCTACTGTATTTTGGTGGAGCCCGTGTGGTTCAAATATTTGAACTGGGTCCCTGTTTTTGCATAACGATGACTAAATTCAGAGAAATACAAAAAAAATGCTAGTGTTGATCAGCGTAGTTCCATAAGCCAGTGGCACTATTCTGAACGTTGACAGACTCTACAGCGTCTGGGGGTGAGATGAGAGATGCAATGGAGATTTTCTTGAGCCGTTGCGACGGACTCGCCTGCGGATCGCAGCTCTTCACGGGGTCTTGGAAGACAGCCCGTTCGAAACTTGCATCGGCCTCAGATTTCTCCAGTTTGACAGGCACGTCTGGCTGCGAAAAGTCCACCTTCGAGCCCGTGTGGTTCGGCCCGACATAGATGCGCAGCAGCTCGTCCTGTATGTTTTCGTCGTTGAACAGTTTGCTAAGTACGTGGTGGAACTTCTGTGTGAGATTCCAGTTATCAATACCGTTTTCGAGAATGTCTAGTAAATTGTCTGCGATTTCGCGTCCTCTTTTCGCGACGCTCGGGTCCGACGCCCTGAGGAAATAGGTCAGCACCTTTCCCAGCAGGAAAGTCCAAATAATGATTTCCGTGCCAAAAATGGACAGCGCCGCAGTGTTTTTCAGTTCTTTCAATATCGTGTCGACTGTTATGCAGCATTGGAAGATCACTTCCCACGAAGGTCTATGGCTGTCCGCCTGGTTGTGCGACGGTGATTCGGACGCAATTGAGTGGACAATGCTTGCGTGATGTAACGTGATGAGAGTGCAGAAGTAATTGCAGCATATAATAAGACTGTGGTAATTTGGATTTTTTTGCGTATGGGTGCCCAGTTTCAGCTCGTTAGGGACAGTGTCGAACCACATTCCTAGCAGAGTGTCTTGTTCGCTGGAGGGTAAACCGGCGCTGCCGTTTACCACCGTCTGGTCGACGGCGGCCAAAGCCTCGGCTAGACGCAAATGTTCGATGGCGTATAGCTTTATAGTGTCTGTGATGTCGGTGTCGAACCTAAAGTCCCTAAGCGAGAGTTTCTCTGACGGCACGGTGGAAACGTCTATCAGACGCGGTTTGCCAAGAATAACCGACACCACAGTGTCTTTGGAGATAAAATACCAGGTCAGTTTCCGGATTTGACATTGTTCTTTTTCGGTGTACTCGGAAAGGTCGTTCTGAAAAAAACCGTGCGAGTTGGCCACAGAAATCGACACCTGGAGCCACGAGTAGAGAGATTTCGTGTGGAAGTAGTGGTCTTCGAGCCCCAGTCCCAACAGTGCCATCGCTGCGAGCAGACTGACCGGGTTGCCCTCAAAGTCATGGTCAAAGAGAGCTTTGGCCCGGCCATACAGTATGTTGGTAATCTTGGACTGTGTGAGCCTGCTTTCCTCGGACTCGCACTTTATAAACTTGGAGCCGACGAAAAGAACTGTCTGCAGCAGCAACAAAGAAGTGGGGTTGGTGTATTTACTGTTCTCGGCCAGAAAAGTCTCTTTGTTCAAGATCGGAATCAGGGGGTGCACATTTTGGAAATAGGAGTCGACGTAGGTCTGGCAAACCGCCTTCTCGGGTAAATTAAAACAGCCCAGCAGGTTCAGGTTGCGGATACTCGCGTCGCTGACGTCCTGGAACTGCTGTTCCTTGGAATACTCGTCAAACAGCCTGGTCACAAGCCTGTTTTCGGCGTCCGAGTAACTTCTGTAAATGTACTCATGATGGCGAGTTTTTTTCAACTTCTCCATCAGCTCGGCAGGGTCTATACGAACTGCATTCAGAGTTTCGATCTTGGTCTTCTCCAGGAGATCGGAGAGGTTCTTGTGGATCTGGAACTTTTTGATTCTCTTCTTGCGCTTGTACAGTTCGCACTCCAGATTCAGCTCCTCGCAATTAGTGCACCGCTGCCCTACTTCCTTGAAGTCGAGGTCACATTTGATTTTGCGTTGATGGCAAATAACACAAGCCTTCAAAGCCCTCTTTCGTTTCCGCGCGCCATCACTGTCACTCGGGGGCGACCGCGTGATCTCTGAGTCGACAGACATGGTCTCAAAGTACGACACCCAATGATTTATTAATGATATAAACTTATTGAAATTGCAAAAGAAAGGGCAGCTTAGTGATCTGGCAAACTTTGAATCCAACTGGTACGGACGAGAAAGTTAAGAATTAATGCATGTTTCATCCCAACGGTTTGTCCTCTCCTGCAGGAAAATGCGCACCAGTTTCGTACAATCAATACGCCGGTGACCTCAGCCGCTGCACCAAGCCAGATTAATAGACGAATTCACCACAAAGAATCCCAGCGCGACACAGACAGACAATGCTAACCTTCCACCACGACACGTTTTCTACTACGGCCCACAAAGCTTTTTCCGACGTTCATGTGAGATTATGTACATGCATGCGCCTTAATGCGTATGACGTATAAAAAGGCAAAAAATAGGGCAATACAAGCAAAAAGAAAAATTAAAAACCTAGGGCCCGGCGGGACTCGAACCCGCAACCATGCACCTCCGGAAGATGACGTGATAACCATTACACCACGGGCCCGATATAGTGCTATTTTAGGCACCATTGCCAACATATCCAGCACTGAATGTATCAGCAAAGGCCGCCCCTTTAGGGAACCGTGCATCGGCTGTTCCATTTACCCTACGGCAAATGCCGTGCTACGCCCTTCTGCTCAGTATAAACCACCTGGAATTCAACCACTTAAAATTCAGCGAGGTACTTCCGTCTTGCTCGTCTGCGTTAGAAGAAGAAATGTGACCGCCCTCGCCTCAAGTTTTTCTTCAGCTGCATCTCAGCTTTTGTCAGACATCTTACGTGCATTAAACTGAGTACCTGAGAACCGCCTTATCCTTTTACAAAAATGAGGCACCGAGTCGAGAGCCTGTCTTTCGAGACAAAACACCTCTGCACCAAATATATTCTGGACTTGAAAAAAATGGACAAAAAAATTGGTCGACTTTCTCAGTTGATACTCAGGCAATATATCCTCCCAGCCAATGTTGTCCCGCCTTTCAACTCTTGGCATACCCCATTCTGCGCGGAGGCCTCTTTTTTCCCAGCTGGCATCTCCAACGTTCTCAATCGTGTCAATAAGATACCATTCGCATAGCCATCAAGATCACACAAATTCCCATAGCCATTCACATACCCATACTTCCAGCACGCAAGAGCAGGCCCGACAGACCAGGAAATCGGGGTTCTCGTTTCTGAACAACTTTGTGCGGGGCTCGAAGTTTCTGGTTTCGTCGTCCATTGTACTTCTGGCTCTCGGGGTTTCGTCTGTGTCGCTGTATCTGGTGTTCAGCGAGCTATTTTCTCCATCGGGTGAGACATCAACGTTCAACAGAGTAGTGTCAATGATTGAAAAGAATGAAGAGGCGCTGACGCTGCTAGGCTACTCGAAAGAGGAGATCGAAAGCGGCAAACACATCAGACTCAAAGCGTATGGTTATGCTGCGGGAGACAAGTGGACCAGAAACAGACCAATTCAGGCTACCAAGTACCTTGCCAAGGACAATAAGGAGCACATGCTGATGAAGTTTTTCGTTGAGAGCGATTACAAGGTTGCCGTTGTTCAATTGGAAGCCATTGAGGAGAACTTTGTTGAGCAGCAGCTTGTGTATGTGGCGTTGGACGTGAAAGGACAGAAACGGTTCTATCTGGTTGGAGGTCCGAAGTCCAGCTCTGTGAACAAACGACTGGGCCTGATGAACGAGTCGGGTTTCCTGGGAGTGAAATGGGGAAACAAGAAATAGTGAATACTAACGAGCTTAGCAATCCTGTCAAATAGAAATTATGACCAATATCATCAACATATTCAGAACGGCAGTATATTCCGTCCTCCCAGCAGAGTTCAGGTACGCATGCTCAAAATCGTTGTCAATGTCCTCGTTGACCATGTCTCTTTCGCCTGACGTGATCTGTTTTCTTGCCCTGCCAATCAAATATCGATCCCAGTCGTCCATGATTTCCTGTCTGCATGACTTACCGTTGTAGTCATAGAGCGACTGGTAGTTTTCGATGGAGTAGTTGTGTGCGATCAGCTTGCCCAGCCCACCCGCGTGGCAGAACGAAGCCTGGTTGCCGTTGTACGAGTAGTACAAATTCAGAGCTATTGAGTGTCTTTGGAGTTTGGTGCAACTGGCAAAGATGCCGTAGCGCCCTTGTTCGACGTCATTTTCTATCGACCCGCAGTAGACCGTGTCGCAAAGACGTTCCAGCTCGTTGAACTCCTGGTTAACCTTCTTTGGGTTTATCATGCAGCGAAGCGCTGACATTATACAGTCGCACCTTGAGGCTCTTGGCGTGTGTGGAAGAGACGAGGTGCAAATGGACATTTCTTCAGGACACGGGCCCGATCGAGGGCTGGGGAAGCTCAGACCCTGGTTGGAGAAGTAGAAGTCCACAGGGTACAGCGTGTCACAAGCGAAGTACTGGTCTACCGTTCTATTGACGTGCGAACTTAGCTCCAGACCGATCGGGATGTATCTCATTCGGTTGCGCACAAGGTACTTCTTCATGTCTCGCACGGCAGCTTTAAAAAAGGGCAGGTTGTGTTCTTCCAACGAGGCCTCAATCACAAACCCCACCAGCGTGGGAAAGAAATGCGCGTTGTCTATTACCGTGGTAAAATCCTCGTATAACTGTGTATCCCAAGTTGAATTGGCGATTGTACCCAGTTTGACCACGAAGTATCCCCGCTGCTGGGATTGAATCACCTTGCGGCCCAGATCCAGCACCGCCTTGGGGTCCATCATTGGGATCATTTCCGGAGGGCTGAATATGGACCCGTTGGTGGAGTACACCAAGGTTCGGTTGTGGATTTCTATGGCGGGTCTATCTAAATGATGGTTATTCTCCTGTACAAGCGGCTGGAATAGTGAGGGGAGAAACGATATGCCGCCCGCGCACGCTAACGTGCCTCCTGTCAGGGACATTAGCGCCAGTGTGCCGTATCTCATGGGGCTCGAAAATAGAGTTTATATTTAAAATAAGGTTTTTTATATCCTTTCTGCCCATTTATAAAAATCCCACTTTCCGGAGTACGGTAAGAAGCGGACGCAAGCCAATGTTTCTGCGGTAGAGAAATAAAATGAAAAGGTAGACTCTGGTTTTGAGGAAAAGGCGCACTTGGTAGCCAAACGTCAACGCAGGCTTTGCTGGCGAGAGAAGTGTTGCTGGGTCGTCTGTGACAACACCCTCCAGCAACGGCTGTCCGTCTATCTTGCGCTCTCCGTATTTCGAGAGGGCCAATTCTAAGTCCTCTTTGCTGTTGACTGTCCAGAACCACAGTCGCACTTTCTCCCTCTCGCAAAAGTCAAGAATCTCCTCAACCATATACGCCAGACCGTTGGCAACAACGATCACAGAAACACAGTCTAGTCTGCCTCCCTTCTCCTTGATCTGACTCGCCACTTTTATACTGGTGAGCACGTCCACAGAGATGTTGAGAACTTCAAACTGGGCTATTCTCTCGTCGTAGTAGGCCGCGCCCCACAGACCGTAGATGATCTTGTCCTTCCAGTACTCAACTCCACCAACAGCCTCGAGATTCTCTAAAATCAGGTCCACAATGCGCTTTGGGTCATTGTCGGCCTTAATATCCAGCATCAATTTGATAGGCTCCGAACGGGACTCGTTGGTCTTCACGGCCCACTCTAATACTTGTTTCAACGTCGGAATCGGAAGATGCGGAGCTCGCAGCGTGCGCAGCTCGGACAAAATGCCCTTGTAGGGGGTTTTCGTGACAACGTAGTCCTGTCCAAACACACGGTTTGTATCAATGTCGTGGCAGATCACTACCTCGCCATCCGAGGAGATATGGAGATCTGTCTCTATCACAGAGCACCCATTCTTGACCGCCTCCTCGAACGCGAGAATCGTGTTTTCCGGACACGTTTTCTTGAGTCTACGGTTAGCACGGCATGCCAAATCACTTACCCTCTGTGGCCGGCAAGAAGAAAAGTCATATTTCTGGCAAAATCAAAAATGAGCTCCGTTTGCTCCAGTTTAAAAACGGTGCGCGCATATTTAAATATACGGTATATATCCGGATTTGGTTTTTTTTTTTTTCACGTGGGCCGAAGCCATATACATCTATCCTACTACTCTCGAAGTGGAATGTTGTACACCGTGTTGAGGGTCTTCTCACGCATGTTGATCCAATAGTCGTCGTACAGCAACTGCAGCTCGTCGATGGAGCTCAGGACCATATTATAGTCGTTCTCGGCCTCCAATAGCTTGAATAGCGTTGCGGCTTTCGTGCTATTATATTCTCCCCAGATCTTGTAATCGTGGCACGCTCCGATGAAGTTGCTTCCCCCCTTTCTGAACAGCTCAATGTCCTCGGTCGGCACATAGTTGCACTGGTCGCTGTCGACCCACAATCGAAGATGGTCCACATATTTGTGGCCAAAGAACTCCTTGGTGTTGATGATGTCCTTGTACAGCATGTCTAGGATTGAAATGAAGCGGTTGGGCACGTTTGCGAGTCTTCCTTCGAAAAGCGTGCGGCGGAGCGGGCTTATTTGGTCAATGTGATAGAAGAAGCCTGTCCCGCTATTGATGATTTTGCGTTTCGACCCGTCCACTGTTCTGTCGGCCTTGAGGTCCTCGAGCACATCCCCCTCGTTGACGAACATCTCCATCGCGTTCGCAGGGATCGGCAGCCCGTCGCTGCTGATCATCAACCCGGTAACCTCCAGATACAGACCCGTGCGGATGTCTATGAACTTGAGGTCGATCGACTCCGGCGACGCGTTTCCGTTATTATTTCTTGCGCGCTCCATGTAGTATGGGTTGACATCGATATAGAAAACACCCGTGCCGTCCTTTGGGTCCTGGATCACCAGCGACCCGTTCAGTGACTCGGCCAGCCTGACCATGTCCCTGGCGGGGATCTCGAAATGGACGCTTTCCTCCCACGGACTCAACAGCCCGTTTCTGTGCCACCCAAGGAGTGCTTCCTGCGACAGCCAGGTGGTGATGCCCAAATTTGACGAGAAATGCAGCCATCCGCGAATCAGCTGGTGCCAGGTGCTACGTTTATCTGTCTCGTCCACAATGAGGTTGCTGAAAAAGCGCCAATCGTATTTTTCTCTGCTCACGGCTCCGTCTTTTTTTCTCAATAAAATATCATGATAATGCAGTTCCTGGTGGTGGAATGCGGCTCCGGCAAGCTTGGTCTTTTTCTTGTTGGCAGGGAACTCGAACGCGTCGATTGAGACCTCTGTTTTGTCTAACCCCTGCGCTGTGGCGTCCACAAAGTCTCTACCCAGAAGCTGGCCAATTTCCCCCAGCGAATCAAAAACAGAAATCGGTGAGCTGATCACCTGTTGGTACGTGTAGTTGTACCGCGCCATCTGCGACTTGATGTAGCTTTCCAGAAGTCCAGACCGCACAACATCCTTTTTTTCAGCCACTTTCACTACAAATGCAAGATCTCCTGCAAGGAAGATCAGTTTTCTCGGCAGTGGTGCCACTTCAACCAAATAAGTCTTACCCCTTAAACTGAGGCGGTACGCGGACTCGTAATCCGATGCTGGTGAGTCGAAGTAGAAGTTCAGCTCGCTGCTGTCCTTGTTTTTCGCATCGATGCATCCTGGCCACGGAGTTCGCACGTTCGACCCTAGCACTCCGGCAACAAAGCAGTTGGGTTTCTGCTCCAGCAGGGGAATAAGATCGTGCATGTCAATCCAGTCTTTCCAATGGAAATCGAACTCCGGGATCGGCGCCTTGGGATTATGCTGTAGTTCGACGAGGTGCCGTTTGATCGCTTCATAATAGATTGCATGTGTAGCACGCAGATCTGACGTTTCTCTGGCATGCTTGTAAGGAGCGTTGGGTAACACTGTCACGTCGGCCGTGTAGGGGAACTCTAGAAGCTGATTTTGAGACTGCTTGTTCTCCTCCATCAGCTCGTTCTTGGCATCTGGCTTAGGATGTTTTCGGCTGAAAATTGCTCCAAGAGAAGGTAACGAAAACGATCGCGAGCTTTCATATGCACTGTAGTCGCCCCTAGACTGGAACTTGTTCAGAACCAAGATGAACGCAACCAGATACAGCAACGGAATCGCAACCTTGATGTATCTGTGTCGTCTCCACCGGCCCACCAGTATCCAGAAAGATTTTCTCTGCTTTCCTGCTGGATAAGTTTTGCTATCAGAGGTCATGCTTGACCGGCTGCTGCTCCTCGACTGGGGCCTCAGCTTGTCCTTGCGCACGCGCTTGCTGGGGGTTGTCGGTAGGCCTTCACCTTGAGAACCGCTTCTAAAAAAAGTATAATCAGACATAGCTACCGCGGTTTGAGAGCGTGAGCAACGGAGCAAACCTGGTCTGTTAAAAAGGCAGTTGAGCACCTGGGGTAGCGGAAAGAACACAGTTCAAAGAAGAAAGTTTCAGTTTTGTCCGACATTCTTTAGCTGTCCCTAGGGCCCAGATTTAGTGACTGGCCAGCTGGCACTTGCAGATAAAACCCCTACACCACTGCAATATTTTACTAATTTATTTTACCTTTTATGCGAGGCAAGTTATCAGCCCAAAATTGCACTAATGTTTTTTCTGGTGTAAGATGTGTGCAATATTCAAAGGCCAGGGCTCGTGAGCATCGAGATCCAGCCTCTGCAATTGCGGGTCAATATATGGGATTCGTTTACCACAGTACGCCACAGGACAGGCCAGTTGGCCGTAGGTGAGTGTGGTGATAAATCCCAAACTGTTCCGCTAAGAAACAATGGCCACATTGCGTCTTAACGGGACAAAGCGTGAAACAAAGAAGACAAAATTTTTCAGTTCCCTACTGAAACTAGGCCGGTTTTTTATTCACGCTTATGTAATGCCGGCGTTTAGTCCACAGATAATATAACGGTTGCAGGTGTGAGGGTGCGGGTGGCTGGAGCGTGTACATGGATCGAAACAGCACCCGTATGAGGGCCCGAGGCGATGGCTCTCGGAGAGCTTTGAATTAGGCCTCGCAGGGATATTGGCACCAAGTTTGGGAATTAACCTATCGAGCAACACATACCCTGCGCTTTTAAGCGAAATTAAAGGTAATATCGGCACAAGTGCTGGCTGTAGAAATCTGTCTTTAAGCATTGATAGGAAGAAAGGCGATCTGGTGACGTCAGTCTCGTTAAAACCACTCAGGGGTCAACAAAATGGTCGTCACCAACTGATATGACCAACAACGTTTCTGGCCGATGACTCTTTTACATTCATGTGATGTTTAGCTAAGCAGAAAAGTTGCCGATTTGACCAATATTTAATGATCTGAAATTACATAATCAAAATTAGTCATGTTCACCGGTATTGTTGAGGCTATTGGGACTATCAAGGAGGTGAAGAAGGTCGGCGATAACGACGACCTTGGTATCGTCATTTCTGACGCCTCGTCAGTTCTTGGCGACTGTCATTTGGGGGACTCGATTGCCGTCAATGGCACTTGTTTGACGGTCACGGAGTTCACTGATTCAGAGTTCAAGGTTGGTGTTTCGCAAGAGACTTTGCGCAAGACAACCATTGGAGAGTTGGGTGTTGGCGATAAGGTCAATTTGGAGAGAGCAGTTTCTGGCGACATGAGATACGGAGGCCATATGGTGCAAGGCCATGTCGATACCGTTGCCAGCATTGTTGGCAGAGAGCCGGATGGAGACAGCATCCAGTTTGAGTTTGAGTTGCGCGACAGGGAGTTTATCAACTACATTGTTCCGAAGGGCTTTATTTGCGTCGACGGAACCAGTCTGACTGTGATTGACGTGAACTACGAGAAAGCCAGATTTAAAATCATGATGGTGTCTTACACACAGGCAAAGGTGATTATGCCACTGAAGAAGATAGGCGACAAAGTCAACGTCGAGGTCGATGTGGCTGGAAAGCTGATCGAGCGTCAGATCCAGGTCTCTTTGCAGAACAAGGACAGCGCCTTTGGAAGAATATTGGAAGAGCTTGTGGAGAGAAAAGTTAGGGAAGTATTGCAGAAATAATGAATATTAATTTATAGGGCGAACACCAAGGAGACACCCTCGTCTCCTGCCGTAACCAGTCTGATCTTAGAGTTATCAAGCGCGAAGTCCAGAACGCCCATGTGGTGGCCCACGTAGGTGTATAACTGCTCGCCTGTTCTCGAGTCCCATTTGTACACCTTTCCATCCATAGACGCTCCCAGGAGCAGCGGCGAGTTGTCGAGAAATTGCAGTTTAGTCACCGCGTCTGAGCATTTGAGAGTCCGTCTCACCTTCCACGTCTTGGTGTCAAATATGAAAACGTCTCCAGAAACAAGGCCCAGAGCAGCGAGCGACAGGTTGGGGTCTCTGCACCAGCTGATGCTCTCGATCGAAACCTCAAAAACGTCCTGGCCCTCCTGCAGCTCCAGAACCTTGAACGAGTTCTGGATCGCACCGGTTTCGCTGTTGATTACCACCACTTCCGAGTCTCTGGAGCCAACAACCAGTGCCTTTCCGTTCGGATCGGCCTCCATCGAAACCCACGGAGTTACCACTCCCTTGAGTCCCGAGTCGCCATCGATTTTGTAGATCTGTGTCTGGGTGAAACAGTTCCATCCGATGATAGAGCCGTCCTCCGAGATGGTCACCAGATTCAGCTCGTCCAGGTTGTCGACGTTGATGAACATGCCATTGGTGCACTCCATTGAGTGCGAAAAACCTGTGAATATCACCTCCAAAGTAGGCTCGATTTGGTAGACCCACACAGAGCCGTCGCTTGCTCCAAATGCGAAAACGTTCTGTTTCGGATGCACTCTTATCCACGTGATCTCTTCGACGTCCTCCAACGTGCCGTACAAATTCCAGACCTGGAACTTCTTGGACGCCTTATGGACCAGCACTTTGCCAGTCATGTCTCCAGTAACAAGGTACGAGCCGTCAGCAGTGAATCCTCCAGCAACCACAGATTCTGTGTATCCTTCGAGTTTGGCGACTTGTTTCGTCGGACTGGTGTGCGAGGTCCACAAGTATGCAACGTTGTCGCCCCCTCCTGTCATGATCAGCGGCACAGAAGGATGCGGTGCCACCACAAAGATGGAATCTTGGTGGCTATCAAAGTATCCCTGAGAATTATTGCTCAAGTCGACCTCTAATGGCTCATCGTCTTCGTCCATCTCGTCCTCACTGTGGTACTGTTCTGCGCCGGTGTCCTCAACAACCTCTTCAACCTCCTGGAGGTTGACGTACTCTGGCTCTTCGCTATCCATTAGTAATTATATTTGGAAAAAAATATTTTTAATTTTTTCCATTTATGACCTCATCTTATCGCGAGATACAACGTCTGCGAGACCAGTTGTTTTCTGACTCGATCGATATTCCCCTGGACGCGGCTTACGCAAGGGCGATACAGCGAAATGAGCTGGGGCCCTTTCCGTTGCCAAAACATATAGAGGCCAAGCTTGGGAAGCGGTCCATCCTGGATAAGCTTCGAAACCAGCCCATCAACTCGGGCTCAGACTCGGCTCTCGTCCTTGCAAATAACATCCTCACCAAGGAGGAACTCACCAACCCCGCTTTGGTCCCGCTTCTCGACAACAAACCGCGCCAAAAATACCATCACAGCAATTGGAAATTGCACAAGGTCCTGCTTGGCCATACGGGCCAGGTCACCTCTGTCACGTTCGATCCTTTCAATAAATACTTCGTCACTGGATCTGCTGACAGCACAATCAAAATATGGAACCTGGCAGCTTCCAGGTTGGATCTCACTTTGACAGGACATATCATGGCAGTCCGAGGACTGGTGGTTTCAGACAGACATCCGTACATGTTCAGTTGCTCAGAGGACAAAACGGTGAAATGCTGGGATCTGGAAAAGAACGCTGTGATTAGAGACTATCATGGACATCTTAGTTCTGTCTATACTATTGACCTGCACCCAACACTGGACCTAATAGTGACGGCTGGCCGTGACTCTAGTGTTCGGGTCTGGGATATTCGCACAAAAGTGGCCGTTTACACATTCACAGGCCACAAATCAAGCGTTAACATGGTAAAGGCGCGCGCCACGAACCCTCAGGTTATCAGCTCCTCCATGGACTCTACCGTCAAAACATGGGATCTGATTGCTGGAAAATGCGACAAAACGTTGACATATCACTCCAAATCTGTGCGCTCGTTTGCTCTTGGTTCTAACGACCAGCAGCTTGTGTCTGCTTCGTCCGATGGAATCAAAAAGTTCCAGCTACCAGACTGTACTTATTTGCAAAATTTCGAGTTTTTCAACACCAACAGAATAGAGCATGGAAACACCATCATCAACACACTGGCCTCCAACTCTGATGGTGTCATGTTTGGAGGTTGCGATGACGGCAAGTTTGCCTTTTGGGATTGGGAGTCGGGCGAGATTTTCCAACAGGGGCAGAACGTCGCCGTGCCAGGATCGCTGGCTGGAGAAACAGGTATTTTGTGCTCTAAATTCGACCAGAGTGGTCTGCGGTTGATTAGCGGGAACGTCGACAAGAGCATCAAGATATGGAGACAGATCGATGAGACTGTCTGAACTATTACCGTTGAGCCGTGTTGAATTATATATAGTATGTACCCCTTACTTCAAAATGCATCCATGGTATAATCGTACTCGATTCCAGGTGTTACACTAGCAATGAACTTCAGGAAAATCACCAAGTACTGATCCACGCGAATGATGCCTTCCTCTCCTTGATCGACGTTTTCCCAGTCATCTTCTTCGTCGGCGTTTTTGCCATCTGCAAGACCAAGCTTGGCCACCCCCGTCACGAGATCCTTGTCCCGTATTTTTTTCGCCTGCGCAGCATGTGCAGCACGCTTCATCAAAACCCTCATCACGTTAGCGTGACGACAAGGATGAATTGACACGGAAGTGGTGTTGGATAAGAACGGCGCTTTCTCGATCGTCACAGTCTTCTGTCTGTAGTCGCTGGCAATGTCTTCAAACATCTCGTTTGGCGATAATGGCACACCATTCGAGTTGAAGCCAACCAAATACATTTTAGGGACCCGGTACGACGTCGAGTAGGTGATGTACAGATCGTAGTTGCGTTTCTTTGGATTGTTGACGATGCCGCCCTGCCCTGCATCGTTAGCAAAGTCGCTTTCCTCTGCTGTCTCGTCGATAAGTTCGTCAATGTCGTTTATTTCGTGCTTTCCAGAACCTTCATGCTGTGCAACCCTTTCCTCTGGTGAGGACGCACCGCTCTCGGTCATCTCAATGTACTTGATTGAATGTCGCCGCTCGGCCTCTGTGTCGCACCGTTGTGGAGCCACACTCTCCACATTGGTACTAGTCCATCCGTCTTCTTCATCCATCATTTCCGTCTCTCTCTCCGTATGCTCGTAGTCTGCTGCCCTGACATAAGAGGGAACATGCCGCGTCACCAAAAACTGTTTGTTGTCTGGGAGAAAGTCGCGCTTCTTGGACGATGGAGCAGGCGACCATTGCCATGTGGGGAACTTGTAAACAAGATAGTCGCCTGCGGCAACAAACTCCTCAGGAGTAATCTCTCCCGTATCTGTAAACGTAGACTTGTGGCTGATTGGCGTCAAGTACTCCCTTAGAGAGCTGAAAGTGGATCTGAGGTATAAACCTGTCATTCTTAAAGATAGTAGTAAATTATATGATAAAAGAACACTTTATTTGTACGGGTCACGAAATTCTGAATATGTCTGGTGTGTATTGAGCCGAGTTATCGTAAAGCGCTAATATCAACCCTGTTTCTCAGCAGGAAAAATCTAGATTCCTCAAGTTGCCTTTAAATATTATTATATTTATCCCATCACATTCTAACTTTATCATAAATACGGGGTCCACCCTCGCACCATGTGATTTTTGAACGAACACCAATTTTCATTCCTGTTAGATCTGCTCATTAATATAAACATGCCTTTGGAAAATTATACTCTCACTATCCTCGGTTGCGGAACTATGGGGACAGCTGTGCTGGCTGCCATGCTTCATACCAGGTTTGAGCCTTACCCAGCCAAAATCATATGTTGCACAAACTCTGAGAAGTCTGCCCTCAAGCTGAAAGAAACTTATGGTGATAAAATTGAAGTTTCTTTTGGTGCCGCAAACAACGCCAAGGCCGTCGGGGAAGCCGAGATTCTTGTGCTGGGATGCAAGCCTTTTCTCTGCGAACAGGTGTACGACCAAGTCAAATCCCATCTGCCTGGAGACCAGATTGTGATTTCCTTGCTCGCTGGCTGGTCAATCGATCAATTGAGAATCTGGTCACCTAAAGCAGGCAAAATTGCCCGTGTCATGACTAACACTCCTGCCAAGTTTGGTTGTGGTGTGGCCGTGGTGTCGTTCTCCGACGAGTGTCTTCCTCACGAGGATTTCGTGATGAAGATTGTCGGCGGAGTTGGAACAGCCATCAAGCTTCCAGAAAGAAACCAAGACGCCGCCACCGCACTAGTTGGATCTGGTGTGGCGTTTTCGTTGCTTTATATGGAAGCCCTGACGGAAGGAGGAATTAGAATGGGTATTCCGGCTGCTATTGCCAAAGAATGTGCTGCAAAGGTGATGGAAGGCACTGCAAAGATGGTCAAAGAAACTGGCGAGCATCCAGGGGCCCTGAAACTCGCTGCCTGTACGCCTGGTGGTTGTACCATTGGCGGTCTGTTGGTGATGGAAGATAAGGGAGTCAGAAGCGGTGTGAGTCGTGCCGTTGAGGAGGCTACCAACATTGCCTCTCAATTGGGTAAAAAGTAGTCTATTCATCTTCAAACTCCTTCATAATCTTCTTCATTTCGATCTCCTGCAGGTCCCTAGTGAGTTTCTCTTCCTCTTCCTCATTGAGCTCGCCTCTTTCGTACTTCTCCTTCAAATCCAAAGCCTTCTTCTGCTCTTTTTTCAATCTTTCCACTTTTTCCTCCCTCAGCGAGCTGAAGATCAAGACAGAAAACCAGATCTCCATGAAGCAGTAGCCAAAGATCAACGAATTGGAGATAATCGGGTTCCCTCCCATGTATGAGTAGAATACCAGAGCGAAGTGGACAAGAAGCCTCGTTGGGATAGTTGCCTCAAAATAGCCATGATTTCCATCCAACAGAGGCACCAGGTCGCTAAGTGCAGTCATGAACAAGAGCAACGCCAGGGCCCCGTAGATCGACGATCCTTCAGTAGTTAACAACAGGGGCATGTTCATAGACGAAGCTAGGATAATCAACCCTTCGTACTCAAGAACCGACTTGGGATCTGTAAGCAGAAGATATGACACAAACGCATAGAATGCAACCCTGATTGAATTAACCAGGTTAGAGGAGAGAATTGCCATGGTGAACGTGCCTAAGAATAAAAATATGTCGCGTTTTTTCCCTCGATCTGATACACCCAACACCGGAGCTCGTTTTATTAAGAGTTCTATAACTACAAATGGAACAACTTGAGAAACCAATTCTTATGTAGGTCCTCATAAATGTCAGTGTATTCCTGGAATCGGTCCCAGCAAGTATGATGTTTTTCGCAGTTCATGTAATTCACCAAGAAGTCCCGATCCTCAGGCCTGTAATGGAAATGCTGGTTTCTTAAAAGTTGCGATCTCGCAGCTTCCGCTTTGGCAATCTCCTCAGGTTCCGAGGAAAGCAGAGCCTCGAGATCTTCGTCAAGGTCGTCTGGATCTGCTATGCAAAAGTCGTCAGAAAGAGAGTTGAAGGCCTTTGTAGGCATGAATCCTATTTTCGATCTGATCCAAGATTGCGTGTTGAAAAGATACTCCAGACAATTTCTTTCCTCCACATCGTTGTTGTATGAATTGGAGTCGTATTCGTCCGTGCTCAGTCTGAATCCGTACTTTTTCTCTGTGCCGTGTTTCACCCACTTGACATGCATTTGTTTGTAGAACACAGGATCCCAAATAACGTCCAAAAGCAAGTTGGACCAGTCGCTCTTCTTGATAAGGAATGAATTCAAGTTGATGCCGTTGCAATCTTGCGTTAATATGAGGTCCACGCTGTTAATGTCGTTGGTCTCTTTCAACGAGGAACCAATGGTGAAGTGGTTCAAATCCTCGTCAATGATCAGATTGTTAGGGTTGAAATATTTCAGGTCCCGATATAGATAGTCCAAATTTTTGAATATCACGTCCTCGAGCGATAGTTGTGGTTCCATAATGATGGTGTGGATATCCAGATACCAATACCATTGTTCCATGGGCGACGACTCGTCCTGGGGTGTCTGTTTCATTAGCTTCCGGAGCAAATCAAACTTTTCCCAGCCTTCTCTGAATTCGTGTTGGTACCGTTTTTGGTAAAGTCCGACGTCGTCGTCTAGAGCGTTGACAACTATCAGTTCGTAGCCGTGTTTCTCGCAGTAGTGTTTCTTGTTCAACAAGGACAACTTCTCCATGAGCCAGTATTCTTTGGATTTTTGATGCTTGATGCCAACCTCTGGCGAGTGTCCGAGAATCACGTATATTTTACGTTTTGGATTTGACAACCCAAATTTCTGTAGCAGCGACTTTTTTGAGCCATTCTGGGTCATCGTTTTACGTCTAGGAACCTGGTCATCCTCCGTGCCATATACTCCTGGAACCAATGGGTTAGGCGGCACTCCTGGTTTCTTGTGAGTCTTTTTGTTAGTGGCCAGGCCAAATCCTATATTCTCATGATTGTTGGCCAGCTTGCTATTGAGATAATCGTGGTAGCTTTTTTTGGAGACGTCGAAATAGTTGCGCTCTTTTCTGTGTGTCGGTGTGGGCGACCCCTCGGTCTCTTCCCCAGCTGAAGTCCAGTAGCAGAACAAAGTGACGATGATCAAAAGAGCTGTAAGTCTAGTGATCGTTGAGCGATCTCGGCGATACATGCTCAGTCGAAACCGCTGCCACAGATTCACAGCATACTCCTGCCAGTTGCGACTCCTATTTTTCTTCTTTTGGAACTTTTCGTCGTCAAAATCCTGCATAGCTGGGTGCAAATCCTAGCTTGATTTTTCTAAAAGCCAGCTAATTATTTTGCATCCCTACACCGCTCCACACATTAAGGTGTTCTTTTTCGCTAACAGCCGTTTCAATTTGGCTAAATGATGTACAGAGCACAATTTGGTGTAGAGGTGGGACTGAGACTAAAAATGGTGTGAGCAAAGCATACGCTTCCTTTTCCTTGCCGATTTCGATTCAGCCGTTTTCTGACCAGTTTGCTGATGTTGCACACACAGGAAGCCCCCACGTTATACCCATCGGAGGAGGAGTTTTCAGATCCGATTAGGTACCTGAGTTCCAAAGAAATTATCGGTATCGGTGAACAATATGGAATCCTGAAGATCAAACCTCCCAGAGGCTGGCGTCCGCCTTTTGCCCTGAATCCCGACACTTTCAAGTTCCATACCCGGTTACAGACTCTGAGCGAGTTGAGTCTGACGAATCGGTCAAGGCTCTTCTGGCTTAACGGATTTAATAATTATTTGAGGATGAAGGGAAAAGAACAGCTTGAAACTGGTTTCGCAGACCTGAAGAGGCCTCTAGGAGAGCACCATGGTTCTACAGGAGCCAAAAAAGAAGTTCATTTATACGACTTGTACGTCGAAAATGAAGCTTACTCTTATAAGGGGAAATTTGAGGATGAAAGCCTGTACCGGGATTTTGTGGAGTATGTCCATTTTTTGAAGAATAAGGGACAAGAGAGACCTGCCAGAACAAGCGTCAGCTGTCAGATGAAGGACATGTTTAGGAAGAAGAAAAGCAACGCTTGCGAGAAATGCGGCAAGCTGGACGAGCCAGATACTATTCTCATTTGCGATGACTGCAACAGAAATTTCCACATGAGATGTTTGGAGCCGGCTTTGAAAGAGGTTCCCGACACCGACTGGTTTTGTGACGACTGTTTGAAAGGCTCCTCTGCTGAATACGGATTTGAAGAGGACTTTGAGTCGATCTACACCATTCGCGAGTTTGCCCGTGAATGCGACGACCTCAAGACACGATATTGCAACGAGATGTTCAACGGAGATATGAATCCCTCCGTGGATGCGATTGAAAAAGTCTTCTGGAGACTTGTCGACACGCAAGATGAAGAGGAGGAGGATTTCGAGGTCCGATATGGTGCCGATATCCATAACGATGGACCAGGTGAAGTTTCCGCATTCCCAACAAGATCGCACCCATTCAAAGAAGAATATGACAGATATCTTGACCATCCCTTCAATTTGACAAACTTGCCTTTCGCAAAGGGCTCGCTCCTCAGCTATATCAAAGAGAACCGAGATCAGATATCGGGAATGACCATACCCTGGCTGTACATCGGCTCCATGTTTTCGACGTTCTGCTGGCACAAAGAAGACCATTACACGCTGAGTGCCAACTACTGCCATATGGGAGCCACAAAGAAATGGTACGGGATTCCCGCTGCCGATTGCGAAATATTTGAGAGCGTGTGTCATGACCTTTGTCCGGACTATTTTTCCAAGCAGCCTGACTTGCTACATCAGCTGGTGACGCTGCTATCGCCGGACCGGATATCAGAACTGGTAAGACAAAAATTTGGCCGGAAGATTCGCATCTTCTCTGTCAATCAAGAGCCCAACGAGTTTGTGATCACATTCCCGAAGGTTTACCACGCGGGTTTCAATTGCGGTTTCAATGTGAATGAGGCGGTCAACTTTACTATGCCGTACTGGTTACGCTACGGGAAACAGGCCATCGATGAGTACAAGCCGGTAAAAAAGGAAAATGTGTTCAATCACTTCAAGCTATTGCGCAATATCTTGGATGATTTACGGGCTAGGCAAGGAATGCCGGATGTTTGGTGGACCGACTTCGAGACTTCCAGCATCTCCTCCATGATAAAGACTGCATTTGTCGACTATCTAACGGCAGTGCGCAATTACAAGGCCAAGATGTCCAGCAGAGATATTCAGTCTCTCCTCCACGGCTTGGAAGTTATAGATTACCAGAACTACATTAAGTTGCGCGAAGAAGACCGCCCTTCCCGCCAGTCGGACAAAGTCGTTGGCCGCAAGGGAACAATGAGCACCGAGGAGGAGGCCGAAGAAATTATTTGCATGAACTGCAAGGCGTACCCAAATTTCAAATGGCTTGGACTGGACATGCTGAAAGAAGCGCAACTGGCTATTGACAAGTACAACAAATCGCAAGAGTCGCTTTTGCCAACACCTAACCATACCCCTAAGCAGGACCAAGCGTCTAGCTTTTCCAAAGAGGAGGACGGGGTGATTATCATCTTAGACGATGACGACGACGACGAGCCACCGGCAAGACGGCGCTCGACCGAATCGGACGAAGAAGCACCTGTAAGGAAATCGAGGAGATTAGCCAAGAAGAGCGATTCGCCTGTTTCTCACCCAATTGACGAAGCAAAGCTGGAGTACGAAGCTAATCTTAGTCTCTTGCGACGCATAAAAAGAAGAAGGAAGCAGTTCCCAAACTATGGCAAGGTCTACATGTGTCTAAATTGTCTCGAACAACGCCTGGACGACTTCGAGCTTGACCAGTTGAAGTACTGTGGAGCAGTGTTCCTGGAAAACGAGGTCGGGGAACTGGAAAAGTACCTTACTGACCAATTGGGTGCTGAAGTTGAGATTTGAATTTTTAAGTAGATCTGACTCCAAAAAATTAATGCCGATAAAATATGTCTCTAAATTGGAAGTGGTGTGGTACAATACCTAGCCTATATAGTACAATTCGTTCTCTATAGAAGAAGCCTGCTCCCTTCAGCGCGGCCTGAAAGCTGGAATTTGCAATTCGACGTGCTATTTTGGCTGCTACCAAATCCGACCAATAATATTTTGTGTTGCCGGATTCTTGGTGACACGGTTTTTTTATGGCAGCTGCCGAGAAAATTGTACCAACGAAGCATCTGCTGTCGATTTTCCTTCTTCTTTTCTTTAGCTCTTGTTTATTCGAGATTATTTTCTGACTTGTCGTTATCAAATCGATTCGATAATCAAGAAACATGGTTGCTAGATTGTTTTCCGTCACCAAGAGAGCTACTTTGAAGGCTGCCAGAGCTAATTTGGCCCTTCAAAGAAGCTTGGCAACTGCCGGCCCAGCTTCTGGTAAGATCAGGTAAGTTCATTTCATATGACATCAATTGAAGCCAAAGAGGTTGGCAGATAGCATGCACGTGGTTAGTGAATGCAGGAGCGTAGGACGCCCTGTTATCGGTCATCATGCTGACCTCTTCCTGCTAGGTTGATATCAATTGGTTTACAATGCTACGTTTCCGTACGAATACAGGCGCATGCGAGATCACATCGGACTCAACGATGGTCGAAGAGAGCGAAACTCATGGTTTCCACCTCTCGTCAAATCAGAGGAGGTCATTTTTTCGCTCGCTCGTCTGGAAATATTTTTTCGGAAACATCAAGGGCTGCGTAACCAAAAACTGTGGACATCAAAACTAACACATTTTAGAGCTGTTATCGGTGCCGTTGTCGACGTCCAGTTCGAACAAGGTGAATTGCCTGCTATTTTGAATGCATTGACCATTGACCAAGGTAAGGACCAAAAATTGGTCTTGGAGGTTGCCCAGCACTTGGGTGAGAATGCCGTCAGAGCTATTGCCATGGATGGTACCGAAGGTCTTGTTAGAGGTCAAACCGTTGTTGACACGGGTGCTCCAATCTCGGTCCCAGTCGGAAGAGGTACTTTGGGCAGAATCATCAACGTCGTTGGTGAGCCAATTGATGAGAGAGGCCCAATTGAATGCAAGCAAAGAAACCCAATCCACACAGACCCACCTTCCTTCGTGGAGCAATCTACCGAGGCTGAGGTTTTGGAGACCGGTATCAAGGTTGTCGACTTGCTTGCCCCATACGCCAGAGGTGGTAAGATTGGATTGTTCGGTGGTGCCGGTGTCGGTAAAACCGTCTTCATTCAAGAGCTGATTAACAACATTGCCAAGGCCCACGGTGGTTTCTCCGTCTTCACCGGTGTCGGTGAGAGAACCAGAGAAGGTAACGATTTGTACCGTGAAATGAAGGAGACCGGTGTCATCAACCTGGAGGGCGAATCCAAGGTCGCCCTGGTCTTCGGTCAAATGAACGAGCCACCTGGAGCTAGAGCTAGAGTTGCTTTGACTGGTCTGACCATCGCTGAGTACTTCAGAGATGAGGAAGGTCAAGATGTGTTGTTGTTCGTTGACAACATTTTCAGATTCACTCAAGCTGGTTCTGAAGTGTCTGCTTTGTTGGGTCGTATTCCATCTGCCGTCGGTTACCAGCCAACCCTGGCCACCGATATGGGTTTGCTGCAAGAGAGAATTACCACCACTAGAAAGGGTTCCGTTACTTCCGTCCAAGCTGTCTACGTGCCAGCTGATGACTTGACTGACCCTGCTCCTGCTACTACTTTCGCTCACTTGGATGCTACCACTGTGTTGTCCAGAGGTATCTCTGAGTTGGGTATCTACCCAGCTGTCGACCCATTGGACTCCAAGTCTAGATTGCTCGATGCTTCCGTGGTTGGTCAAGAGCACTATGACGTTGCCACTGGTGTCCAACAAACCTTGCAAGCTTACAAGTCTCTCCAAGATATCATTGCTATTCTGGGTATGGACGAATTGTCTGAACAAGACAAGTTGACTGTCGAGAGAGCCAGAAAGATTCAAAGATTCCTGTCTCAACCATTTGCCGTTGCCGAGGTTTTCACTGGTATTGAGGGTAAGCTGGTTAGATTGAAGGACACTGTTGCTTCTTTCAAGGCTGTCTTGGAAGGTAAGTACGACCACTTGCCTGAGAACGCATTCTATATGGTTGGTGGCATTGAGGATGTCGTTGCCAAGGCCGAGAAGATTGCTGCTGAAGCCAACTAGATCAATTGACAAGTCATTGTATAGACAATTTCTGTTTTAGGCCTATGATCCACCTGAAAAAGACATGATTCTGAAAATTTTAAACTACAGTCAGTAGTAAGTAGTATTCCTAGCTAGTTTTTCAAAACCGCGTGGGACAAAATATTTTAGGTTTTTTAAGTATGAATTCTCTTATACAAAGTGCCAGTTCCTTTTTTGATCGGCCTGGCTTTGACTGGAAGGCCATCATTCTGGGTTTCTCCACCGCCAGTTTCGCCTTCGAATCTTACCTGAAGTATAGACAAATTCAAAAAGTGGCAAATGCCAAGGAAGTTTCTCCACAAATCAAGGACAAAATTGACAGCGAGACACTTTTGAAATCTTCCAGATACTCCCTGGCCAAGCTCAAGTTTTCGCTTGTTGCGTCGTTTTATTCTCTTGTGCAAAACATTGCGTTCTATCAATGTGACCTGCTGGCAAAATTGTGGTCGGGGGCCTCGTATCTGGCGTCTTCGTCTATTCTTCCAGCAGTCTTTGTCGGCTCTACAATTACAAAGTCCCTGTTCTTCATGGGCCAAATGTCTCTGATTAGTGTTGTTCTGAACTTGCCTATCGATTACTACTCCAATTTTGTCATAGAGGAAAAGTACGGATTCAACAAACTGACTGTCAAGCTATGGCTTACCGACACAATCAAAGAAATTCTTGTTTTGTTCACCATCGGTGCTCCAGTTCTAGCTGGTTTCCTGAAAATTGTTGACTACTTTGGTGATCAATTCATGTATTATCTCTCCGTCTTCCTCTTTGTCGTTCAGATCTTTCTCATCATTATCTATCCTAAGTTCATTCAACCACTGTTCAATAAGCTCGAGCCTCTTGCTGACGGTGAATTGAAGACCAAGATTGAGCAACTGGCTGAAAGAAATAAATTTCCGCTGGACAAACTGTACGTCATTGATGGCTCAAAGAGATCTTCCCACTCCAATGCCTACTTCATGGGTCTTCCATGGGGCTCCAAGCAAATTGTCATCTATGATACTCTAATTGCTTCATCCGAGGTGCAAGAAGTTGTTGCTGTGCTTGGCCATGAGATTGGCCACTGGTTCTTGTCTCACACGACCAAGCTGCTGCTCATCAACCAGGCCCACATCTTTGGAATCTTTACTTTGTTTGCTGCATTTATCAACAATAAGTCGCTGTACCAGAGTTTTGGTTTCTACAAAGAGCAACCGGTTATTGTTGGGTTTTTGTTGTTCGGCGATATATTAAAGCCAGTGGATACCATTCTCGAGTTCGCCATGAACTTGCTCTCTAGAAAGTACGAATACCAGGCTGATAGATACGCAGTGGAACAAGGATATGCTGAGGAGCTCAAGGTGGCACTGATCACACTCCACAAGGAGAACCTGAGCTCGTTGGACGTCGACTGGCTCTTTTCGGCTTACAACCACAGTCATCCGCACCTGCTTGAAAGACTGAACTACATTGACCTCGTCGAGAACGAGAAAAGTGAAAAGAAACAGGACTGATCCAAAATTTATTCCACCAGTCGATCTATCATCCTCATGATATTTCGCACGTCTTTTCGCGGAACAAGAAACCACTCTTTGTGCACCCCAGAGTTGGCCGTTTTGCATCCATCACAGTATAATCTCCCACTGCCAAATAAACTTCCTAGCTGCGCATGCACTAGCTGTTCAGATCTAAATGCATTTGACGCTTTGAATGCTTGTTCATTGTAATCGTACTTTTTGTAGCTGCGTAGCGACAAGCTTTTGAGCCTCTCCATCAAATCCGCCAATTTGTCTCTGTTCGACGATACCACTCTATCAATAGTCTCTGGAGTTATGAGCTGGAAATCTTGTTTGCACCGTTCTCTCCACTGACTGAGCCGTCGCCTGACCCGTTGCGTTGTATAACCCACCTTGATCAGAATATGTCGTTTTGGATCAAAGGCCGACGTCTGTGCAAAATTGATCTGATTTTCGGAATTGGGATCTGCCTGTCGTAGCCATGTCTGTTTCTTGGGTGAGAATTCAATTAGATGCTTCAGGGTGAATATGTACACGTATCCAGCTTTGCCATTTGGCCCAGCTTGTTGGTTTCTATGGTATTTGCAGTATGCTTCGTGTTTCAGCACTATTTTGCACCGTTCGCCCTTTGCCGTTGTACCCAAACAACGTTTCATTCGAATAAATTTGAAAATAATATAATCTTTTTTCTAGTCTTTGGAGTTGGTGAACATGTAGCTCTGCTCCAGCACTTCCTTGGCGCGGTTGATTTTCAGTGCCAGATATTCCGAGCCGCCTTTGTCAGGATGGTTGAGAAGCATCATCTTCCGATGCCGTTTCTTGACAATATCATGTGTGAGATGAAGTATTTCGTTGGGCTGTATTTCGAGGATCAGCAATGCTTCTGTCTCATTCATCTTTTCGTAGAACCCTCCTTTGTACATCCAAAATGGATCCTTCGAATTGATGGGTTTGATGTTGATATTATTCAAGATAGCAATCTGCTGGGGAGTAAGACGGACGAATTTGGAGTAAGCGGAGATGGCCGACTTGGCGGTAAGGGCGGCTATTGTGACCCCCACACCGATAATAAGTGGCAACACCTATAAGTTAGTCTGGGTCTGTCCAAACTTACCATTCCTCGCGACAAATCGCTTTCGGTCTTTTGAATATGGACTTTTTAAATATACAGGACTAAAATATTTTGGAATATACTGCAACATGAAAAATGTCGTAGCAGTGAGGGAAGCATAAACAACGATCAAGCTTTCGATCGTGGATTGGATAGCATCAAGGTACCAGAAACCCAACACAAGAGGCGTTAGGACAAAGCAGCGTCAAAAACCCCAAGTTCGTCAGCATCGGGCGACTCCCGCATCGCTCGAGTACATTGGGCGTGGGCTCTCCCCAAATAGCCTTCCAGGCCATAGTCTGGACGTCTTCAATGAATACTCCATTGGTGGAATAATGGAAAGCACCACCCTTATCAGCACCCAGATCTAAATTTTCCAGGCTGTGCTAAAGTATACTCTGTTAAATTTATGCTCGGTGATGATGGTCAATAACAAACCCGTCCGAAATCAGACTCCAGCAGTCAAGTCTCCATCAGCGCTGATGCTGATAATATGCGTTACCGGGATATATGGCTCGTTCCTCTCCTGGTCATACCTTCAGGAAAAAATCTCTTCCAAGAACTACTCGGCAGAAGGCCAAGCCTATTTCAAAGCACCGCTGATCATCAACAGTGTGCAGGCGTTCTTTGCGATGCTCGTGGGAACAGCGTATATGTCTGTTAAATCTCGGAGATTTGAGACCCCTGCTCATTTCCTCCTCCAAGACACAAAAATGCTACGCAACTTTGTGCTTATAGCACTGACTCAAGCTGTTTCTTCGCCGGTGGCCTATCAATCGCTGAACCACCTGGACTATCTGTTTTACCTGCTTGCCAAATCGTGCAAATTGATACCTGTTATGCTGGTCCATCGACTGCTATACAACTCCAAATTCCCCACCTACAAGTATGTGGTGGCAGGTCTAGTGACTTTTGGCGTCGTGATATTTTCCGTCAGTAACAAAACCAAAGCTACCAGCAATGACGGCCGCATACTACTTGGGTTCGCGTACCTTTTTGTGTCGCTACTGCTAGATGGGCTGACAAACTCGACACAGGATCAACTATTTTCGAAATCTCAGTCCAAAAAAATCACAGGAGCTCATCTCATGGCTGGCTTGAATCTGCTCAATTCAATCTTCACAATCACATATACAGCCATATTTACGCATCAATTAGAATATTTTAAGCAGTTCGTGGCCAATAATGGGTGGGAAGTGGTGCAGGATATTCTACTGTTTGGGTTGCTTGGATCTCTGGGTCAGATCTTCATTTTCTTGACCTTGGAGAACTTTGGCTCTCTGCTACTAGTTACAATAACGGTGACGCGCAAGATGTTTTCGATGTGTCTGAGCGTGTTTCTTTTTGGCCACCAATTGAACGCGAGCCAGTGGTTTGGCCTATTGACTGTCTTTGTGGGGATCTTCCTGGAATCTTTCTATAAAAAGTTTGCGCATCAAAAGAAAATAGATTAGAAGTATTATATTAAGTTGTATACTTTTGCTAGTAATACAATGATATGCTCATATACATAAAAAACTGGCTCTGACGCCAGTAGAAGAACTGAATCATCACGATGCTAATGAAAAACTATCGATGCGCCAACTGCAACAGGCACCGAGCTGCTCCTATAGAAGACGGAGTGGACATTAATCTTGTAGGAGACAAGTCTATTTGGTTTGGTCTAGAGATGGACGACAGCAGCTTAGAAGCCTCTGTCATGCTGGTGTTAAGCTGGGGCTTAATAGGGGTCATAAACGTGGAGTCGGATTCCAAAAGCGTGGAATCCGAGTGATGGATCGCGTTTTGAGGAACAGGAGGGAGTTTGGCCTTGTTGACACCATTGGAGGCAATAACAAATCGTGAAGGGGATGTCTGGGCAACGCTGTTCAGACTTGAAACTTTTCTATACTTCAAAGATGCCCGCTTCAAGTTAGCACTGGTAGCTCTTTTTTTAACAACATCATCTAGGAAACTAACGCCTCTCCTCCTCATTTGTCTAACTTTGCGACTTCTGTTCAAAACAGGAGTCGAGGAGGCCAGAAGATCATCCAGCGCGTTGGAACGACGGCGCTTAGATATCGGAGAACCGTGTTGTGCTTCTTTGCCCGGGACTTTGAGGCTGGTCAAAGGCACGTCCATTTGGTTGGTTGTGACCTTGTAGTATGCTAGCTGCAGTTTGAGCTTGAGCATTCTTGCTCTTTGGAGTTTGGGAGACATTTCTCTGGACCCTTCAAACGAGAGGACATGCTTACTACCGCTCACGTTTTGAATGCTCAGAGTATTGTTGTCCAAACTAGCCAGAGCAGGTCTTGTTGTGGTCTTGGTAGTCATGGTTGCTCGTTAACCAGTATATCTACCACCAATACTAGTAAATGAAAGAACGGCAAAGTTGTTCTCAGATATGCCACACGCTTGAATAAACAAAATACTCGATCCGAGGGTGTTTGTTTTGGAATTGCCGAAACAGTTACGCTACCAGGAAAAAATAATAGCCATGCGCGATGAGTACACGAAAAATAAACGAGCGAGTCGCGCGACGGGTTTTTTATTTATTCGCTGGAGCCTTGATATGTATATGGTTGTAGCTAGAAGTCAAGCTCACTGATCACCTCATGCAACTTCGTAACATACGTGCTGTTGATGGTATCTCCCCTACCGCTCGCGACGCGTAAAACCATCTCGTTCAGTTCTGCACTTCCAAGAATGTCAACATGCTCGGCCGTTTTTGCACCGCCTCGAATATCGAATCTATCGGGCTCGTGCTTCATCTCCACAATTGTGACCCTCGAGTTTCCCGGATTGTACATGTTATCTCCTGCTTGCGACCATTTGTGGCACATTGTGTGTGTCATCAGCGAGACCGTGCCATCGCCGTCGGAAAGGAGCACGCTCTGCTTGTTATCGGTGTCAATCGACACATTCAGCTTTGATACACCCTTGTTCAGCTCCTCACGGTAGTTGTATGCACGCTCTGTAGGATTACCGACGCCGTAGAAGCAGTAGATCTTCATATCTGGCGCATTAGGTAGCGGCACTTCCAATGGATTAATCCACTTGTTGAATTGCTTCTCATTTTCCAAAAGCTCTTTCTTCGACTTGGCAACACCGTTGGAATAATGCTCTAATGTTCTGCGAGTAAACCAATCAGGTCCCTGCTCAAGTAGAAATTCGATCGATTGCGAAACAGTGAGGTTTCGTCTCGAGAACTCTCCAACCTCCTCAACGAATCGGATGAATTTCCCCATTGTTTCATTAGCTCTTTGACCGTCGCCAGCGAAAGCATCGTCTGGAGCAGACTCAAGATTTCCCCAAATCAGGTCTCCTCCCTTTGGTATCATACTGGCAATGCCTCCGAAAGACTTGAGCATGTCCAATCTTTCTCTCCGAGAGAAGAATCTTTCCAGGCCCTGAACAGCAAGAGCGTTCAGCTGGACAGTGTCTTTCATTTCTCCAGATAGCAACGCCACAATCGCCTTGGGAGTACCCAATAAACACCCTGAAATGTTGACAAATGCCTCGATGTGGTCGTTCACCCATTGGGGACCTCCATTTCCAAAATGCTCTCCTTCGGCTTCAACCCACTTCAAAAAATAAAATATAACCTGCGCACCCATTGAGTGACCGTAGAGCACAGTCTTTTCGCCATTAAGCTTTTTGCTCAACTCGATCTGTGATTTGAGCTTTGAAAAGTAGCCATCTCTTCTTTCCAAATCCAAATAACTCAGTCTCCAGTCATAAGCAGCGCTGAACATATTATTGGGGCCATATCCTATTACGGCCAAATTCTGAAGGATCTTGTTCCATATCCAGTAGCCGGCCATAAAGAAGTCCGCTGCTTCAAACCCTTGCGCCGCTCGCAACTTTATTCCTGGTGGGTCGAGTCCTGTCTCGGGGTCCAGCATGATATGTTTAAGCCAGCAAGTTTTATCTAGAAACATGGTCCGGATCATATAAAATGATCCCCATAGTCTCTTTCTGAAATGTGGCTCGCTTCGACAATCCTCGGTGCCTTCTAGTCCCCAACTCTCTATTCCTGTACTGATGACTCCTGGAACCATGATAACTGGGTGTTTTGCCTCGAAGCCTTCTTTTTTCAGCAATTTACCAATTGCAAACGACTCACTAGGGTCATGGAAATCTTCGGTGCTGGTCTCTTCCAGCAAGCTTTGCAGGGAAGTGGGAAGCACGTCCTTCCAATCTTCAAAGTAGCCACTGAGAGTCTCGAATTTTATTATTGAGTCGAAGTCGGGGAGCATATCATTATCAACCATGGATTTCGAGCCGAAATAAAGAGCAACGACAACACCAAAAAATATACCAGAAACAAACATAAACCGTTTTGTCATCAAGAAGGTCCTCGCCTTTGACTTGTCCTTCTCAGAGATGCTAGAGGTTCTGGTGGCATTTGGAGAAACTGTCGCGGGTACGTTGATTTCCTGGATCTTGTTTTCATTGTCAAGGATACTATGTACCGAAGCACCGATCTCGTGAGCGGAAGTTTTTACTCCATTGCCTCCCTCAGAATTGCCCGACTTTTTGGCTGTATTTCTGCGTTTTGGGGGCATTTGCAAAAACCGCTGAAAGGATAAAAAGCTTCTAATTTAATCAAGCGAGATTTTATTAGCCCAGATTTGTGTTAAAAGTAAAATAAACACAAAATCGACAATTTTATGGTTGTCGACAAGGATAACGAATTTCTTAGTTTTGCTCCCTTACTGGACCAGAGTTCCGGTCTTGATGATTCCAATGAGGACGAGAAGCTGCCTCTGCCTCAGTTATTGGCCAAGATCATTGCACAGCGAGGGTCCTTTTTGGACATTTCCGAGGACAAGTTGAGGGAGGAAATCGAAAATGAGCAATTGTCGAAAGACACGGCGTCGGATCAAGACGACGTCGAAATGGAGAACGAACCGTCATTCACTCAGGAACAGTTCAGATCGTACGAAGACTTCTTGAAAGTTAAACAAGAAATTATCAACTCTGTCCATTCTGCTTTGAACGAGTCGTCTTTGTCTTTGGACTTCGTTTCTCTTTTGATTTCCTGTGTTCGTCCAGCAGCAGGCTCGTCATCCATGTCTCCTCATCTGAAACAACACATCAATATAGGCTCACTGTCAAGCGACAAGGTTGACCCTCCTGAAGATACTGAAAAATTGCAGTTTGACACCTCAAAAGTCGGTCGAGGTTGGAAACTAGAGAGCTTGGAGCGCGCAGCAACAAATCTAAAGTCTTCCAGCTCGAGACTCAAAGAAGAGGTGGCAAAAGAGAAGAATTTCTGGTCAGGAATGGTGGAGGTGCTGAAGTCAAACGAGGTGATCACAAGCATGAATATAAAAAATACCAAAGAGGTATGTGTCAAGTACGGGTATGGAGATGCCGGATCGACATACTACGATAAGGGAATAGGGATTCTGAAAAAAGACGCAACCACGGGTAATTTGTTTTTCGAGAATTCTGCTCCAGTTAAAGAAGAAAAACAAGACAAGATAGTCAACGTCCGGATGTATGAAAAAACCGGAGAGAACATTAAATTAATCGGCGAGTCCAACGTTGAACAGAGACTACACACGTTCAAAGAGAAGGAAGGCGTGATAAACGAGATCGCAAAGGCAAGATTTTTTTTGTTTGAAGAAGAGCTCTTTTATCAATTGCTCCGAGAAGCTGCAACTCTGATATCTCTCCAGGTGTCTGCAGAGGAAGATAAGATTGTGATAGATTTACACGACGAGCTCATAGAGATCACACAGGTTGTGCCTGAAGAAGTACGTGCTCCTGCAGACCTTCCATCAAATGAAAGAGCAGATCTCATCCAGATATACTTACGCTTGATGCTCTATGCAGAGCACAAACACAATTTGGACCGGCGAAAAATACCTCCTTTAGCGTTGGACACAGAAGCCCAGAGCGCACCACAGACATCTTCCTTGTCGCTAATTCGCCCAATCATCGTTTACAATCGCCACGAGCGCACATTGCAATCTGTGCGCGACGTTCTCGAATCTATCATTTTGAGCCACTTTGAGAACGACAGAACGAGAACTAAAGAGCATCTAGCAGAGCATCTGAAAATAAACAGGCATTGCAACGAATCATCTTCACGCTCGAAGGACCCTTTTGCACGCATCAGCACGCCCCCAGCTTCGGTTTTGGAGCTCGTTGCAGACCCGCTGGTTGTGAAAGTCAAGCTGACTTCGCTATTTGCATCTGCTTATTCGGTAATGAACCTCACATTGCAAAACCAGGCCGGCTCCACAGTCCTGGACGTGACTCTTAACGATGTCAGAGAGCTGGAAGACTGTTTGAATTGGGCAATACGCAACCACGATTCCATATAAATATTATAAGGCTGTGTCCCACATACGTAAGCTTGTCACGAAAAATCTAATCGTAATGTCCAAAACTAAAGTTCTTTTGGTTGGCAGCGGAGCCCTTGGGATTGTGGCCGCTTATACATTGGAATACAATGGCTTTGCAGAGGTTACGGTGGTGGTGAAATCAGGCTACAAGAAAGCCTCAACGGAGGGATACAAAATCGATTCTGTGCAATTTGGTAAGATTGACCATTGGAAGCCAACGAGGGTGGTGAGTTCAATTCACGAAGCCGTTGCCAACGGCGAAGAATACGACTACATATTTGTGTCTGTCAAGAACTTACCAGACTCGCCAACGCCCTGCGAAGATATCATTGAGTCTGCAATGAAGACGAATCCAAATACGGCTGTTATTTTATGCCAGAACGGTATCGATATTGAGAAGCCACTAATAGAAAAATACCCGGGTCATGTGATCCTGAGCTGTGTCTCGCTCATAGGATGCACGAATATCGACTGTGTGGTGAGCCAGATGACGCCAGATAACGTTCAGCTAGGAATCTTTGAAAACCCGACTTTGAAAGACCGTGCCAGAGCTGAGCAGATCTTGGACAAATTTATTTCGATCTACCGTATGAAGGACGGCAAGAACGTGGTCAAGAAAGACTCTAATGTCAGACAGACTAGATGGCAGAAGTTGCTGTATAATGCGTCAGTCAATACGTCGACTGCCCTGACTAATCTGGATTGTAGCAGGGCAGCAATGACAGGTTGCAAAGAAACTATATGGAGACCTGTCATGAGAGAAATATATGCAATCGCAAAGTCAGACGGGTATACGCTTCCTCTCGAGCTTGAGGATACGATGCTGAACATTTCCGATGGCCTCTTCTACACCCCATCGATGCTAGTTGACGTTAGACTGAATAGAATGATAGAAGTGGAAACAATTGTTGGAAATCCACTCAAGATTGCTGAGAAAAACGGCATTGACGCGCCCCACCTTTCTATGATCTACCATCTGCTCAAGATGGTCCAGTTCCGCATCAAGGAAAATCAGGGTCTTATCACTGTTGACGACTCGGTCAAGGTGTACAAAACGGCTGATGAGTATGGCAAAGGCTTTTAAATAGATGGCACCCCCACACCATAATAGATTAAATTTATTCTTTATTATGAGCAAGATATTCACTCGGTTCAGGTCCACCAAAGTGCTCGTGTTCCCAGGACAGGGTCGATTTGATGTCAATTCGCTGTCCTCTTTGACAAAGCACCAAAAAGTGCCTGTGGTGCAGTCGCTATTAGCACAAGCGGACGAAACACTGCCTTCATTGCGGTTGTCGGAATTTATTACTGATCCTGCTATTGCATTGGCCAAGAAAGACATCCAATTGACGTCAATCCAACAGCCACTACTGATACTAACATCCTACGTTACCTACCATCTTCTCAGGGCCGTGAAAAATGATAACATTCTCAATGATACCGATTTCTTGCTGGGCCACTCTGTGGGTGAAATATCTGCCTTGGTTGCGCAAGACTCAATTTCTTTTGCAGCCGGACTCGAATTGGCATACCAAAGGGGTGTGTTAATGGAAAGGCTAGTGGAGGAAACAGGGAAGTCATTTTCAATGCAGGCATTGTTATTTCAACCGACTCATTATAAATACATTACACAAATTCTAGGAGAGCTGGACGTACAAGTCAGCAATTATAACAACTACCAGCAGTTAGTGGTTAGTGGGGAGAAATTGGGGTTGGGTCAGAAGATCGACCAGCTCAAAGCAAGGATTGCCAAAGCTGGAGTCTGGAAAACACGAGTCCATAGCGTCGACCTCGGAGTCAAAATTCCATTCCACAACCCTGTTCTGCGACCTATAGAGAAGGAGCTGGGACACTTGTTTGAAAAAACAGTTCCTGTGAAGCGTTCTTTGGGCGTTCCGATGGTGTCGAACCTGAACGGTGAAATGGTAGCAGAGGTGAACACGCAAGTCAAAAATATTGTCCAAGTGACCTCAAGACCGGTTCAATTCCTCAAGTGTCTTGAGACCTTAACTTCCTTGGATGATAAATTCGAGTTTCTCAGTTTCGGGGATACCACCTCGAAGATAATTCAGAAATATTTCCAGGATGCTCAAAAACTGAAGAATCTGCAGGCGAAATACTCGACTAAGACGGTTGAAGAACTATTGAACGAGTAATGTCATATTATTGTATGGGAATGAAGTTTCCGACAATGCAGCTGGGAATATTGTACTTGTCTCGGCGAATAGTAAAACTAAAGCAGCAGTTCCTTTTCTTCCGACCGTCCTTGCTCCGCAGGTTGCAGCTGGTCATGACGGCCTTCTGGGTGTTGTCAAATGCGATTGCTCCATATTTTTCCCAGAAGTTGACACTGCTCTCTTCTGTCATCAGCTCGTAGATGGTGAGCTTGCCATTTTTGAGATCGTCAATGGAGACCTCGACCAAAGATGCGAATTCTTTGTTTCCTCGATATATTTCGCCGGTTCTTCTCCAAAGACAAGCAGGGATAGCCATTGACGTGAAAACACGATCGTAGTCCAAAAGCATTCTCTCAAAGTTCTCTTCCACCAAGATCAGATCGATATCCTTCAAAGCCTTAGCAATGGCCCGAAACCCCGGTCTAAACATGGACAACGGTTTCAGAATTCGCTGTCTCGATGAGGCAGCCATGTGGTTGTCCATGTAGTTTTGCAGTCTTTGGTAACCTTTGGCATAATTGTAAGGCTTTAGGAGTCCGGCCTCGAGCTTGGCATTGATAACCTGTTTTAGTCGCTCTTCTGGTGAAATCTCGGTGGTGGGGTCGGCTGCGGTAAGGAAAAACTTGTCTCTAGCAGAGTCAGATACAAATGGTTGTCCGGAGGACCTCGTGGACGCTTGAGCCACATTTGGGTTGACTTGTGGTTGAGAAAGAAAAGGCTCATACAGGTTCTGTGGGGCGCGAACGGAGCTGTTGGGCAGAGCGACCTGGGCAGATATTGCTGGGGTCTGTTTTTCCACAGTTGGAGAGCTTGACGTTTTAGCGAAAAGGCTATTTTCGAATGCAGGCTCAAAGGGCGGCATCTGGTTTAGGGTGGCGGACGGATCGTTGTTTCCAGGCAGGCCTGTGAGTTTGTTGAGCAGTGGATCGTTATCCAAATTGATGGAATTGATCATATCCGTATCGTCGATCATAGAGAGAAACTCGGTAAGAGAGTTGAACTCAGAGCCCGCGTGTTCGGAGTAGAAAAACGGCTGCTGATTTATGGCGATTCCCTGCGGCTTGGCTGACGGATAGCTGCGTGGATTGGCCTGCTGCGGTGTCGTCGCGTCGAAGTTCATCATGCCGGGGTTGATGGGCTGATGACGGTATATTCCAAGGGGACTCAATTTTTCAGCACTGGAGCTGTTCGCCCGAGTTTCCTCCAGGTTCGAGTACCCGGGAGACGAAGAAGACCGGTCAGCTGTGGCGCTTGTTGATCTTTTGCTCCTGCGGCCTCCGTTAGTGGGCTCGTCGTGACAAAGGTGTCCAATGTTACGTTTCAGACATCGCTGACAGGGACGACCTTGATCGCAAATCATGTGCGACCTCCTACAGTAGACACAGGCCACGTTGACTTTTTTGCGTTTTCTCTGCGGTCCATTGGTCATCATTTTGGAGTAGTCGTGATTTTCCATACGTTCCTCAGAGCTTTCTTGCTTTATCACGGGCGTAGACGTCTCTCCCTCAGGCGATTGGTGCATACTGGACACACCGTTGTGGCCATGCTGAGGGTCTTGTGAATTGTCGTCGCTTACACTCATTGTAAACGTAAATATTTCATATAAGTGTATACTCAAATATTTTCGTTCCCCGGAAAATGAACAAATTGAACTGAATTACATGAGTTTACCAGCCTCAAGAATTAATTTGTGTATTTATTTGCCTTACGAAACGTAAATACCCTACTCCTGCTTCTTGTGGTCCTTCTTCACCATCTTTCTGTCGGCCACCATGTACAAGATGGAAACCACGACAAACGCGAGTATAAACTTGATCAGCATGCCGTACGCCACCCCATAGATGTCTGCCTCTTCCGTGGCATCGGCAACGATCTTGGCACTGGAGAATTGGTTCATCTGAGCCAAAACAACGATTGCTTGGAATTAAAATAAATTAGAGATTAATTTTATTCTGGCTGACTCATCCTCTTACCATGCTCTCGTTTCTGCAGTTTGCAAGAAAAGCATCTTCCCTGACAAGAATAGCAACCCCCAACGACAAACCTGTGCTAATTCTGGTGGTATCCATAGGCAACCCAGAGGCCCAATACCACGGGACCCGTCATTCGGTCGGCCATCTCGTCCTGAAAAATTTATGCGAGTCTCATGGTTTTTCCCAGATCAAGCAAGTTAATGGGTTCAAGTTCAGATGCAACACAGACAAGCCAGACGTGCTCCTGTACCAAACCCCGGGGTTCATGAACCTAAGCGGGAAAAACCTCGCCAAGCCCTGGAAGGCTATCTTGGCGCAGCCCCAATGGAACCCAGTGCTCGTGGTGCTCCACGACGAGCTAGATCTGGACCTGGGGAAAGTGCGTGTGCGAAAACAAAATTCCTCCGCGCGCGGGCATAATGGTCTGAAATCTATCCAGCAGCACATCGGCAAAGGCTACAACGCCATCCAAATCGGCATAGGAAGAGACCCCAGCGGAGAGAAAAACGCAGACACGGTGTCCAGGTACGTGCTGTCTAAATTTGGCGCGCAGGAGGCGGAACAACTCCACCAGCAGGTAGTGCCCCAAGTGGCTGCCATAATTGAAGAGATGCGGCAACACAAGCATATTTTTGAGACCTTGTGATTACATAAGCCTCACGACTCGCTGGGGTAAGTGCGGAGTAGCATGGAGGCATGATGATGATGATTGTGGGGTGACTTCAGATATATATAGAGAGTGTAGGGAAGGCAAAAATTGTAAGCATGTTCAAATTAGCAGCTGGCCGTACCCTCAGAGAAAGCTCAAGGGGACTCCTCAAACAACCATCTACATCTCTTATCCGCCACTACTCCCTTGCAGACAGACAGGGTGTCCTTAGACTGGAGGAGCTGATGCTCCAATGTCACGCCTATCCGGACCTTAGAACCAAGGCATACGACGCATTTAAAGTTGTTGACAAGGCCATCACGGTAGCAGACAAGCGCGCCAATTCGTTTTTCTTTGATAGATATTCGGCCATCACAAGTTTCATGTTCAGCGTGCTGTTCACGAGAGAGATACTCCGCAAGCCGAATAAAGAGGTTGTTGACCAATTTCTGGATTCTATCGCGCTACATGACATCGACTTCCAGCTAGAGGATGTCAAACTGGTAATCCAATATTTGGGCACAATCAAAAGATTGCTGTGAATCATCACATATGACGACATATACTACTTATTTATTTAACTGAATTTCCATCTATTTCCGCAGCTCTCACATGTACAGAAGGTGGTCAGCGGCTCATCCGCAGACCTCGTTTGCATCTGGTAGTAGCTGACCTCTCTCTTGTTGCATTTTCCGCACACAAATCTGTCTGTGATGGCACGCTTCTGCACCGCGCCCTGGGCGTCGAACAGGTTCTTTTGGTGCAGATCGGCAAGCTCTTTCTTCAGAGCTTCTGGGGCAAGCTCCTGGTTGGTCATGGTGACGAACTTTGACGATTTGATCTCTCTGCTCAGCAACCGTGCTCGTAGTTCTGGATTGTTCTTATTCCTTAGATTCATAATTAGTGACCTCATCTTGTTGCGGTACTGGTCCGACACTTTGGACTCCGTCAACTTGAATGCCTCTGCTTCGATCTCCTGGGCTATTAGTACGATTTCCGAAGGCAGTTTGTCGGAGGTCATGGCCAACGCCGTGTACAGACCAGAGATCGACCCGTTTCTCGTGGAGTTGTCGTGAATATTAATATTGACACCATCGTTTGCGGGATTACGTGGTTTTGACGTCACAAAGGTTTTGCTCTCTCTGTTCTCCACTGGCGGCGATGCTGACGTGGTGGCGGCAGGGGTCTCTGGCGACGACTCTTTAGGGGGGGCCTTGCTAGACTTCTTTTCCTTTGAAACCTGCTCCTTCCATTGCTTGATTATTTTCTTCACGAGCGAGCTCACTTCCACGTCCGCATGTGTGCGCAGCTTGTTCACAGCCACTCCCACCTTGGTCTCTCTGAGAAACTTTTCTGTGGCTACCACTTCTTTCTTCAGCACCTCCAATAACTCAACAATTGTTTTCGTGTCCTGCGCCTTGTCGAGGCTCTTTATCACAGACTTCACTTCCTGGGCCTCCATGCTGTACGTTTCCGAGCTTCCCTGTTCTATTTCTCGCTCCTGGCCTCTTGCCGGTAAACAAAATACGCTTATCACTTTTCGTAAATAAAATTTCAGCACATGTGTCGTGTACACTTACATATTGCACTAGTGCAAGTCCGATCAGAATACTTATTACAGTCGTATTTAGTTGGTGGTGACCTCGTGAATGGCCTTGGCCAAGTTGTCGACGTTCGCAGGGTAGATACCGGCAATCGAGATTCTTCCGTCCGAAGTCAGATAAACAGACTTTTCAATCAGTCTCTTCACCTGGTCCTCCTTCAAGCCAGTGTAGCAGAACATACCTTTTTGGTTCAACAAGTGATCCCAGTTCAATGGGTTCTTGTAAGTGTTTTTCAGTTTGTCATGCAGCAGTTTTCTCATCTCAACGAGTCTGTCAGACATCACCCTCACGTCCTTGAGCCATTGTTGGTAGATAGCGTCGTCAGAAAGGATGATCTCGACCAGCTTCGAGCCGTGAGATGGAGGAGACGAATAGAGCGGTCTGATGACTTTCTCCAACTGTGATTTCACTCTAGCGGTTTCTTCGGGACCAGCAGTGATGAGAGACAGCGAGCCGACTCTCTCGCCGTAGAGACCCATGTTCTTGGCAAACGATTGCGAAAGAAGGAAGTTAGAGAGCTTTCCGTCAACGACGGCCTTGTTGAACTTGAACAGAATAGCCAAGTCGTCAATTGGAGAGCCAGATCTGAATCCCTGGTAGGCCATGTCCAGAATTGGCAAAAGCTGCTTCTGAGAAAGAACGTCCAGGATCTTATCCCACTGCTCCAACTCCGGGTCGACACCAGTAGGGTTGTGGCAGCATGCGTGCAGGAGAACCACGGTGCCCGGCTCTGCAGAAGCCAGATCGTTCAACAATCCAGCTTCGTCCAGTGCGTTGGTTTTGTAGTCGTAGTAGCTGTACTTGCCGGTGGTCAGGCCAGCCTTTTCAAGAATGGCGACGTGGTTGGCCCAGGTTGGGTTTGGAACAAGCACCTTGTTCGACCTTGGGTAGAACGTTCTCACAAACTCTCCCAGAACTCTAAGAGAACCGGTACCGGAGATGCCTTGGGCAGTGAGAACACGGCCGTCCTCGAGAAGCTTTCTGCCGGCCTCGTCGTGCGTGTAGAGCATTTTTTTGATAAGCTCGTTGAATTTTGGCGATCCGACAATCGGAACGTACTCCTTGTTGGTTTCGGTCTTGGCCAAAACTTGTTCTGCAGCCTTCACAGAAGGCAGAATCCACGGTTTTCCATCATTGTCTCTATAGGCCCCAACACCCAGGTTGATTTTGGAAGGGTTGGAGTCGTTGTTGTACAGCACAGTTAGGCCAAGAATTTTATCGGCTGGAGCAGCCTGGACTGAGGCCCAGGCAGACTCCTGTCTCTTGGCGACAACGAAGGCAACTTTCGAGAATTGCAGTCCTCCAGTGGCTCTCGAACTTGTAACTCTCAACATGGCTTTATTTTTTAGTGCAAATTCAGATTCTGTTAAACGTTCTCTCGGTGCATATTTATAGTACTCTCCAAACACCCACCCTGCATATTTTTTCAAGATGATTCAATTTTTCCATTCTCCATGCAAGAAACCACCGGAGACGGGGTGGAGCCACAAAGTTGGTGCTGGCCAATTGGCGCGATATGCCACGCAAATGCTGGCCGTCTGAAATAGCGCATTGGCAGGTCTCCGTGTCGGCAATGCGATGCTTGTTTGCGTGGCCCACCGGAGTCACCTTTGAAAAATACCAAGGCCCGGGGTTTTTCCACGAACGGATACACAGTTACCCGATGAATTTTTTTTTGAGTCATACCCCTCATGGGTCATTTATGGTCTGGCTCCCCTCTTCTCATCTATGAACCGTTTAAAAAGCCTTTAGTCTTTATTATAGTCGCTAAAAGGTGGTACTTAGGCTATTTGCATCTGGACACCAGCTAGTCGTGACCGGCTATTAGACACCGGCTCTTCGACCCCGTAGAAACCCGGCCCATGCTCAAGCGGCTGTAACACAGGAGAAATGGAGATATATGCTTGATGACATAATCAAGGATATCTATTCAGGCCTGGTTAATGTACATTGCGTCGATCTTCTGAAGCGATTTGCCGAGATTCAGCTTGAGCTTGGTTCTGTACAATGCCGGCGCATTCAGCTGAATAGGATTGCCCTCAAAATACACGGTGTCCAAATTTGGAAGGTGTCCCAATTGCTCTCTCACGTTATCAAACGAGTCGATCTTGTTGTACGAGCACCAGAAATCTGTCAGTTCTGTGAGGTGGCTGAGATTCTCAAGCTTGCTAATCTGGTTCGCCGTCACGTCCAGAACCATCAGCTTGTGCAAGTTATCCAGGCCTTCAAGCTTTGTCAATTTGTTGTGCGATAGATACAGCTCCTCCAGGCTCTCGAGGTGATCCAGATTTTCGATCTTGGTTATCTTGTTCGATTGAATGGATAGGACTCGGAGCCGCTTCAGATTTTGTAGATTTTCAAACTTCGAGATCATGTTTTTACCGAGCCAAAGCTGCTCAATACTTGGCAGATGGAGCAGCGTTTCTGAGATCACCTCGATCCGGTTTCCACCCAATTCGAGGTTTTTGAGGTTTTTTAGCGTTTCCAAATTCCGAATCTCCTTGATGCGGTTTTGAACAAAGTACAGGTTCTCCAGTTTCGTGAGAGCTTCAAGATGCTTGATATTTTTGATATTATTGAAGGAGAGGTCCAGAGTAGTGAGGTTGGTGAATTCGTTGATATGTTTCGAGATGTGCTTGATCCTGTTGTCGTAAAGGTCCAGCTCCTCTAGCTTTTCCTTGTTCGGCAACTTCTTGAGCCCGTTTGCACTTTCCAGCAAGTTGTCTCTCAGAACCAGACTTTCCAAACTATGAAATCTCTCAAGTCCCAATGCATCAAGATCACGGATTTTATACTGGATCAGATCAATGTACTGCACATCATCAGGAAGGCCCTCTGTGAGCTCTCTGTCTGAGGGCAGAACCTCTGGATTTGGATCATCGATGGTTTGCATTCCAAACTTCTCCTGTAGCTCTTCCACCTGCGTAGGTGGCATCCCGCGCTGCTCTGGAGCTTCCTGGTCATCTGAAGACATGATTTCTGCCATCTCAGCTTCCGATTGAATACTTTTGTCGGCCTTCTCGTCACTCATTGCGCTATACTCAAAATTATTTATTTATATTTGTTAAACAATTAATTCGAGGGCCGTGACATCGAATTCACATCTCTACACCGCAACAGGCCCCTTCCGCACAACCTCTACTCAGTATGGTCACAATTCAACGATTATCTACATAACGAAATCTCCAGACACCCTATAGAGACAAAGGCACTTCCTCGCCTCGTGTGGGACGAGACAATAACCCTATTGGCTCAACGGATCTCGGGATCCAGGGACTCTTGAGCAGGCGTGTAGCTCTTCAAGACGTAGTCAACACACTCTCCCACAGACTTGATTTCGTTGGCAACGTTGTCGTCAAACACCACGTCAAACTCCTCCTCAAGGGCGACAAGCACGTCATTGTAGTCTAGCGAGTCCATGCCCAAATCCTTGATGAACTCGGTCTCCATACCAATCGAATTGGAAGGAACCTTCAGTTCGAACGAGTTGAGCACGGAAATCGATCTGGCAAGCACGTCCTCTTTGGTCAAGGAGGAAGTCGAGGAGTAAAACTTGACGCCGTTCATAAATCTCACCGGTTGCATCCTGGCAGCAGGAACAGGTCTCACCGCTCTAGCAACCTTGGCGGCGTTTCTCATACTGTAAGCAAATCTCAACATCTTGTAATGTGTTTATAATCAATGCGGTCGGATATTTGCCTAAGTTTTTTTTCCAAAGTAAATTTCTCCTCTTCATTTCTGCAGAATTCGGAGCTTTTGCGAATTTGAGTATTGGACTCGGAAGTCTAATTTTCTACGTATATGTGATACTCTTGAGCTTGTAAGTTGCTTTCCAGATACAGACAAGAGGGCCAGCGATCCCGGTATTCACGCCTAAGGCAAAATCAGTCAACGTTCCCAAGGAGAGATGCTCTGCCATTTCCTTAATTTTGCCCCTGGAGATATGCAATAGTCCTCCCGAAATTGGAATATGCAACACAGTAGCCATGGCACGCCAGAAACTGGCCATCTCCAACTGTTTTCCAGAACCAGTTGCCAGACCGTTGTTCATAAGGTAAAAGGGCGTTGACATTATTTACCCGGCCGTCCCCCAAGTTGTAAACTTTGTTGAAAAAAACACCTCTTCAAACTATAGAATTCCTCTTGTTTCCGCCACATTCAGCTAATCGGTTACCAACGTGCCAAACATACGCATCTGTACATATTTTGATAGTTTTGGCTGGTGAAGGAGATACTTAGGTTCGGTTACGCTTATATTTCGCAAATATTGTATATTAGTTTGTCATGTCGGATGTTAAGCGGTCAGTGTCACCGGGAACAGACACCTCCAAGATTCTCAAGAAAATCAAGAGGTCGTCCGAGCCTCTAGACGAGCTCAGCGAGTTTGGCCCTTTGACCCAGGAGGACGTTGTTTACTACCAGAAGGAGGCCCTCTACAGGATGATGAATCTCTACCGAAGTCGAAACAGGCGACTCGGCAAGGGCCTCAAAGACCTGGAAGACAACTATGCTCGAATCTACCGATGCTACAGCATCTTGAACACTTGGTGGGCTGAGATAGTTGAACATTTCAAAACCCACGATAAATTTGAGATCAAAACGGACATTAACGAGCACGTTTTAGTTCCTGTCGATGAGAGTTTTGAAGCCGACACTGAGAAGCTTAAGGAGACCAGATTAGCACTTATAAACTTGATTCAGCCCTTGTTGTCTCTCCCCGTTTCGGAACACGATGACAAGCTGGCGACGTTGCAGGAATCTCTGGCTGGCTTGAGCGTGTTCAAAAGCCAGCTGGAGGACGAGAATAAGCTGCTGCGAGACAAGATCGAGGAATTGAATCAGGAATTGGACGTTTACATTGGTCACAAGGATCGAGCAGAGTCCAAGACTTTGGAGCGTATAAGCGATGTGAAAAAGGCCGAGGAGCCAATAGTGAAAGAACAGACGCCCGAGATCAAGACAGAAAATGGAGAGCAAAAACAAGAGAGCGACGCAAATATTGTTGAGTTTGAAAATTTGAAAGTGGAGGTGGAAGAGCTAAAAACGAAGAACAATGTAATCTCGCAACAGCTTGAAGAGAAGATGAGACTGATACAAGACCTAGAGGCCAGACTCTCTGAGCTCTCGGTCAAGCTTCTGGATCCATCGGAAGATGATTTGCAGAAGTCGTCGCTATTCCAGAGTCTTTCCGCCAAGAACATCGAGCTCAACACAGAATTGAGCAAAGTGAAATACGAAAGTTCGAAAACCGAGTCCCAGTATATGGCTTTGGAGTCGAGTATAACACAGAATCAGTCTGCTCTTGAGGAGAAGCTGCGCACAGAGATGAAGAGCAACAACGGTTACATACAGAAGCTGGAAACCGATCTTTCTAGGATTCGTGCCGACAGAGACGAGCTGCAGGCTCAAATATCCGTGCTGAAGGCCGAAAAAGGCAAGAGCGAGCTGACCGAGGAGTACCGCAAGCTGAACGAGGTTTTGGAAAAACGTTTGGAGGAGCTCGAGAAGAGCGTGAATAGGGACTACGAGGCCGAGGCAACGTCCAGCGAGGACATAGCCACCTTGCAAAAACACAACGCCATTCTCACGATGGAGCTCAAACAGATGGAGGAAGCGTTTAAGCAGACGCGGCAGATTGCGCAATCGAAGCTCCAGAAGTACGCCGACTCCGACTCCTACATCAACAAACTCACAGTGGAGAAGAACAAGGCAGACCAGAAGTATTTCCAAGCGATGCGGTCGAAGGATTCGCTGACATCGCAAAATAGGATTCTCAATTCAAATCTCACCAAGCAGAATGAGCTTATAGAGGTTCTTAAAGGTAACGAAAAAAACCTTATGAAGAAGTTCGAGATTGAGCAGCAGTTGTATGAGAAACTCAAGAATCTAGAAATTGTGTTCAAGAACGATCTCAACTTCCAAGTGAATAAGAACAAAGAGCTAGAGTTGAAACTCAAATCCGCTACGCAGATGAATCAGGAACTACAGGCGAAACTGAATCAGAAGAACGAGACATCGGCAGAACAACAGAGGCGCATTTCTGGTCTGGAAGCCGAGACCAAGGGTCTCTCGTCGAAGGTCAAGTCGCTGGAGTCACTGCTGATGAAGTATCGCGCAAACAACCCGTCAGCCACTGCCGAGGACGAAGAGATCAACCAGGCTCTGCTGGCCATGACGAAATGCCAACTGTGCAACAAAAACTTCAAAAATCTCACGCTTAAAGTGTGTGGTCACTGTTTCTGTGCCGACTGTATCAACGATAGACTGAGTTCTCGTATGAGAAAGTGTCCCAACTGTAACCAGCAGTTCAGCAGCTACGACGTGCTGACTATCCATTTATAAGTATTTATAAGTACCAATCGATGCCAACTGAATGATGTAGTTTGGACGTATTGTTTACTGTGCGTCGATAAGCGCAGCTTTTTTGTTATCTCTATTGTTGCAGGAACATTAATCTTCTTATCCAGCCAATAGTGCCTCGACGGCGAAAATTACGGGCCGCGCTCGGCGTCTTAAAATTGAATTGTTACGGGGGTTTCCGCTAGGGCATCGGGGCGCCGATTACGACGAAAAAATATAAGCTGCGGCAAGTTCTGCGAGACGCATCGATAAGAGAAACTGGAAATATTTCAGTCTCAATTTGTTTATTTCCAATGGTTGACACAACAGGTTGGACTGCTTCCAAGTGGGTCAAGTTCCATCAGGACACCACGCCTGAGGACTCGTTCCAGGTTCTGCTCGATCTGGTCAAGTCGCTCAAGACGTATCCTGAGGAGCCTGCCTGGATCTCTGTTGCTTCTGAAGAAAACCTCAAGCACCAATGGAGGATTCTCCAATCCAAGTCAAACAAAAAACAGCTCCGGCTTTACGGTGTGCCTATTGCGGTCAAAGACAACATTGACGTGAAGGGTTTTGCTACCACTGCTGCCTGTCCTTCTTTCAGCTACGAGCCTGAGCAGGATGCAACCATAGTGTCTCTTCTCAAAGACCAGGGTGCCATCGTTGTGGGCAAAACCAACCTCGATCAATTTGCAACAGGCCTGGTCGGCACACGGTCTCCGTACGGAATCACGAAAAACGCTTTCAACGACAAATACGTTTCCGGTGGCTCTTCTGCTGGTTCTGCGGTGGTTGTTGCCAGAGGAGTCGTGCCTATTTCGCTTGGCACCGACACGGCCGGCTCTGGAAGAGTGCCTGCTGCTCTGAACAACCTGATCGGCCTCAAGCCCACGAAGGGCGTTTTTTCCACGGCCGGTGTTGTGCCTGCCTGTAGATCTCTGGACTGTCCGTCTGTTTTTGCTACAAACCTTGCGGATGCACAGCTGTGCTTTGACATCATGGCCAAGGCCGACTTCGCGCAATGCGAGTACTCCAGGGCTCTTCCGGCCAACCCAAGAAGACATTATCCTGCGAAGCCGAGAGTTGCTGTGCCTATCGACTTCACAGGCCTCTGGTACGGCGACTCTGAGAACCCAAAAATTTACAACAAGGCTGTCGAGACATTCAAGCAGATGGGCGCGGAAATTGTTCCTTGCGACTTCACGCCGCTACTGGACCTCGCCAAGTGTCTATACGAAGGTCCATGGGTGGCAGAGAGATGGGCTGCCACCAAAGAATTTTTTGAGTCGAATCCGCCGGAAAAAGATTTAGACCCGACCGTTGCCAAGATCATCAGGGGCGGAAAAGCCCCTGACGCAGCTGCCGCGTTCAGCTACGAGTACAAAAGACAGGGCATTCTGAAACGTGTCCACGAGAGTTTCAAGGGAACAGACGTCATGCTTGTGCCCACATGTCCGCTAAACCCAACTATCAAGGAAGTCCAGGAGGAACCTATCCTGGTCAACTCCAGACAGGGAACATGGACCAACTTTGTGAATTTGGCCGACCTGTCTGCGCTGGCCGTTCCTGTCGGGTTTAGAGCCGACGGTCTGCCGAACGGTGTGACGCTACTGGGCCAGGCGTTTGAGGATTACGCCCTGTTGGATCTCGCAAGCAAGCTGTTCAAGACGCTGTATCCTAACGGCAGATTTTTGGGAGCCTTGAAGAACGTGGACGCCGGAATTGCCGACGAGCTCGACCACTCACTGCCAGCTCCAAACCCAACCAGCACCGTCAAGCTGGCCGTTGTGGGGGCCCATCTCAAGGGACTGCCTCTCCACTGGCAGCTGGAGAAGGTGCAAGCTGCATTTGTTGAAAAAACCACAACGTCCAAAAACTACAAGCTGTACGCGCTGCCGTTGACGGGTCCGATTGCCAAGCCGGGGCTGCGCAGAGTAAGCTACGACGAACAGGGTTCTGAGATCGAAATTGAGATATATGCTATTCCGACAGAGAAGTTCGGAGAGTTTATCTCGATGGTTCCTGAGCCTCTGGGAATTGGCTCCGTCGAGACCAAGTCGGGCGAGGTTGTGAAGTCGTTTATTTGCGAGGAGATCGGATACTCCCAGAAGGGGGCCGAGGATATCACTGCGCTCGGTGGCTGGAGAAATTATTTGAAGCAGAAAGAAGTGTCAAAGAGGAAAAAACCGTTTGAGACAGTTTTGGTGGCCAACAGAGGAGAGATCGCTGTGAGAATCATCAGAACACTGAAGAAGCTCGGCATCAAGTCTGTCGCCGTCTACTCCGACCCAGACAAGTACGCCCAGCACAGTCTGATCGCCGACGTTGCCATTCCGTTGCACGGTGTTTCTGCTGCCGAGACGTACATCAACATCGACAAAATCGTCAAGGCGTGTAAGGACTCCGGAGCAGAGGCCGTTTTACCAGGCTACGGCTTTTTGTCCGAGAACGCGGACTTTTCCGACAGACTGGCTGCCGAGCGCATTGTATTTGTTGGTCCATCTGGAGATGCTATTAGAAAATTGGGTTTGAAACACTCTGCCAGAGAGATTGCTCAGAAAGCAGGCGTTCCGCTGGTTCCTGGGTCTGGGCTCGTGGCCACGGCTGCCGAGGCCAAGGAGATCGCCGCCAAGCTGGAGTATCCGGTCATGGTGAAGTCCACTGCGGGCGGTGGTGGTATCGGGCTCCAGAAGGTGGACTCGCCGGAGGACATTGAGCGCGTTTTCCAGACGGTGCAGCACCAGGGCCAGGCGTACTTTGGAGACGCGGGCGTGTTCCTGGAACGATTTGTCGAGAACGCACGTCACGTGGAGATTCAGATGTTTGGAGACGGTTACGGCAAGGCCATTGCTCTGGGCGAGAGAGACTGCTCGTTGCAGAGAAGAAACCAGAAGATTATTGAAGAAACCCCTGCTCCCAACCTTCCAGATGCCACCAGAGCCAAGATGAGAAGGGCGGCCGAGCAGCTGGGAGCCTCAATGAACTACAAGTGCGCCGGCACGGTGGAGTTCATCTACGACGAGAAAAGAGACGAGTTCTACTTCCTTGAGGTGAACGCGCGGTTGCAGGTCGAACACCCTATCACCGAGCAGGTCACCGGGCTGGACCTTGTGGAGTGGATGCTGTACATTGCTGCCGACATGGCTCCTGACTTCAGTCAGCCAATCAAGTGCGACGGCGCCTCGATGGAAGCCAGACTGTACGCCGAGAACCCGGTCAAGGACTTCATGCCGTCGCCGGGCCAGCTGACGGAGGTTAAATTCCCGTCCTGGGCAAGAGTCGACACATGGGTCAAAACGGGAACCGTGGTGTCTGCCGAGTACGACCCAACGCTGGCCAAAATCATCGTCCACGGCAAGGACAGAGCAGACGCACTGAAAAAACTCAGACAGGCCCTTGACGAGACGGTGGTGTACGGGTGTATCACCAACATCGACTACCTGCGCTCGATCGCCAACTCGGAGATGTTCGAGCAGGCCCGGGTCGCCACAAAGGTGCTGGACTCGTTCGAGTACAAGGCCAACGCGTTCGAAATCACGTCTCCGGGCGCCTACACCACGGTGCAGGACTACCCGGGCAGAGCTGGCTACTGGCGTATTGGTGTGCCACCATCGGGCCCTATGGACGCGTACTCGTTCAGACTCGCAAACCGGATTGTTGGCAACCACCACAGGGCGCCTGCCATTGAAATCACCCTCAGCGGACCGTCTATCCTGTTCCACCACGAGGCTGTGATCGGTGTCACTGGAGGAGACGTTCCTTTGACCGTCAACGGAGAGCCAGTGGCTATGTACGAGCCCGTCACTGTCAAGAGAGGCGACAAGCTGGTGATTGGCAAACTCACGTCCGGCTGTAGAAGCTACCTGGCCATCAGGGGCGGAATCGACGTCACTGAGTACCTTGGCTCCAGATCGACCTTCGCCTTGGGCAATCTCGGAGGCTACAACGGCAGGGTGCTCAAGCTCGGAGACGTGCTGTTCCTGGGCCAGCCGAACCTGGCTGCCTGCACGCTGCCTGCTCCCGTGTCTGCTCCGCAGGCCGTTAAGAAGTCGCTGGCTCCGCCAATAGCTGCCAAGGAGTGGCGCGTTGCCGTCACGTGCGGCCCGCACGGGTCGCCAGACTTCTTCCTGCAGGAGTCTATCCAGGACTTTTTTGCGAACCCGTGGAAAGTGCACTACAACTCCAACCGGTTCGGAGTGAGGCTGATTGGTCCTAAGCCGAAATGGGCCAGAGAGGACGGTGGCGAGGGCGGCCTGCATCCGTCGAACGCACACGACTACGTGTACTCGCTGGGAGCCATCAACTTCACGGGAGATGAGCCGGTCATTTTGACGTGCGACGGTCCTTCGCTAGGAGGGTTTGTGTGTCAGGCCGTTGTCGCGCAGGCCGAGATGTGGAAGATCGGCCAGGTCAAGCCGGGCGACCAGATCACGTTCTACCCAGTGTCGTTCGACGCTGCTCTCAAATTAAGGGTGGACCAGGACAGAGCCATTGAAACGTTGCAGGGCACCGTTCCTGCCATTGAGTACGGGCTCTCTGCTCCACAGGACCCTGTTCTCGCCAGATACCAGCCCGGAGGCTCGTCCGCCGCGCCGGTCGTCACGTACAGACAGGCCGGCGACCGCTATGTGCTTGTGGAGTACGGCGAGAACGTGATGAATTTGAACTTGTCGTACAGAGTGCACAAGCTGATCGAGATGGTGAACACACACAAGACGGTTGGCATTGTGGAGATGTCGCAGGGCGTGCGGTCTGTGCTGGTCGAGTTCGACGGAACCAAGATCCACCAGAGCGACCTGGTCGAGACGCTCATTGCGTACGAAAGAGAGGTGGCATTCACCAACAGGTGGACGGTTAAGTCACGTGTCGTGAGACTGCCTATGGCGTTCGAGGACAAGAAAACGCTGGACGCCGTCAAGAGGTACTCCGAGACGATCAGGTCGAGTGCGCCTTGGCTGCCCAACAACGTGGACTTCATTGCGCAGATCAACGGCATCGAGAGGTCTGCCGTCAAAGACATGCTGTACACGGCGCGGTTCCTGGTCCTCGGCCTGGGAGACGTGTTTCTGGGTGCTCCGTGCGCGGTGCCGCTGGACCCCCGTCACCGGTTCCTCGGCACCAAGTACAACCCGTCCAGAACGTTCACGCCAAACGGCACCGTTGGCATTGGAGGCATGTACATGTGCATCTACACCATGGAGTCGCCTGGTGGCTACCAACTCGTGGGAAGAACCATTCCTATTTGGGACAAGCTGTCCCTGGGAGCACACACTGTTGCTCACAACGACGGCCATCCATGGCTATTGACTCCGTTCGACCAGGTGGAATTCTTCCCCGTGACGGAGGAAGAGCTCGACCAGATGGCCGAAGACTCGAAGCACGGCCACTACAAGGTCGAGATGGTGGAGTCTGTCTTTGACCACGGCAAGTACTTGTCTTGGATCCAGGAGAACTCCGAGTCGATCGAGGAGTTCCAGAAAAAACAGGGCGGCGAGAAGCTCGAGGAGTTCAAGCGGCTGATCCAGGTCTCTAACGCAGAGCTGCAAAAGTCCGGCTCCGCCGCCGTCGAGAAGGAGGAGAGCTATCCGGAAGACGCCGAGATGGTGTACTCTGAGTACTCTGGACGGTTCTGGAAGCCGCTGGTCAAGGTCGGCGACGAGGTTAAGGAGGGACAGGGCCTGGTGGTTGTCGAGGCCATGAAGACTGAAATGCTGGTGAACTCTCCAAAAGCCGGAAAAGTGCTTAAAATCCTACACACCAACGGAGACATGGTCGAGGCCGGCGACCTTGTGGTGGTGATCCAGTGAAGCCTGCTCTTTAATAGGTAACTAAATTTGCAACTATTCTATTCAGTCGATCCTCTCGTAAAATAACATGTACACAGCCCGAGAGTCGTCCATAACGTCTGACAAAGAACACTCGGTAATCTTGGAGTCGTTGATGCGCCAGAACGGGTTTTTCACCGAGCTGGCAAGCTTCTTGTCGCGCGCAATCACAGGCTGCGCGTTCTCGAACACCGACGGCGACCTAGGTCTGGTGCCTCCCACCAACGACGACACCCTCGAGCGTAGTCTCGACATTGAACTCTGTCTCTTCATGTCTGTGACGGGCTCCTCCTCGTTGTCCTTCGCGTCCTCTTCCACGCCCTCAAGCTTTGGGAACTTCTGGTAGTACTCGCCCGTCACGGTGTTCTTGTAAAACACAGGTTTTCGCCGGTAGCACTCGTAGTGTCCGAGCGAATGAGATCCCTGGTGCCGCACCACAGCGTTCAACTTATAGGTGATAGTCTTGATTCCGTCGTCCGGGTCCAAACTGATATGGTGGTCCTCCATCTTGGCAGCCAAGTCGTCGTCGTCGTCGTCCTCCAGCTCCTCGTCATCGTCGTCGTCTTGGTTGTCTGGGTTCTCGTCTTGTCCATCGGAATGCACTTCTGAGTCCTCCAGGAATTCGGTGCCAGGTTTCTCCTCCAGGATCGACGAGATTGCCCTCGTGAGCTGCGAAGGCTCCTCCTCGGTCGCATCGTATTGGTCCTGGTCCACGTTCTTGAACTTCTCCATCTCGGCAGTATCCACGTTCAGCTTCAGGAACTCCTTGAACTCCACATTGCATTGGTTGCGTCTAGCCTGCGTATCATAGATGGATCTCGAAAGATGGACAGCCAGCAGCTTTGGAGGAAGAATGATCGAGGTTTCCTTGTGCACCGTCGACTTCACGTCGGCGGACTTGATGCCCTCGTAACTCTGCACAAATTCGTCCAGTTCAGGCTCCAGGTCGTCGTTTATCAGCAGGTCGTCATTGAGTTTTCTCTTGAGTTTGTTCAACATAGGGCTGTTCTGCTTGGCAGTGCTGAGGATATAGTTTATTTTGCACCTCGTGCAGGAGTAGTCATCAATAATGTCACTCTCGCTGCCTCTCAGCATGCTCTCCAAGTCAATAGACGACTCCTGTGGAACTGGAAGAGACAGAATCATCATCGGATTGTAATTGGTCGAGCTCTTCTTGCCGCATCTCATGCAACGCAGCTGCGAGGAAACCTCGCCCTTAAACGGGAACTCGGGAACGTTGGGAGCCGTTTTTCTTAGCTGAACATGCTCTCTCTCCAGAGTCTCCAAAATCAGCTGCAGAAGCTCGTGCGCGTCGTGTTGGCTGACAGATATCTTACTGTTGTAGATTTTCTCAATAACATGCAAGAATTCCCACACTGATAACACACGGGGCCGGTAAACGGTCTCTTGGAGTTTGGACAGAAGATGAATGAGTGCTTGGTGAAGTTCATACGGGGGCAGCTTGGCGCGTTGCTCAATGAGAGAGTTTCTAAACTCAGTCATCGCATTCAAATACTCATTGAGCCCCGGAAGAGAAGCGAGAGCCTGCAAACAAACATTGGCAAAACAGTCAGTGGTCATGTTAATGAGCCCTGTAGTGAGCTTATCTGGTCTTTTCGAAAACATGTTGGACTGGTGAGAAGGGAATATAGTAGGATATAGTACGTATAGCCCGATGCTGAATAATAAAAAATACAGTAAGGGTCCTTTGGAATGTCTTTGTGGCGGTGGCGTACGAGGTATGCTGGCAAAACGTCTGTTATAGAATTGAATTAGACGGTCAACCGGGTGTGGCATCAAACTCCAGTAGTGCCCAGTGAAACCAAATAGTATTGAATTTATAAAACCTCCGGCAACAATTGACAATCAAAAAGCCTTCCTGCACGAATTTGCTAAATAGCGAGAAAAATAAAAATACGCGGAAAACCGTACTATTACGTACTTTAAATAATATTTCAATGTATCTACATTTCCATTAGCTATTATTAACACACCGTTAAAAATCGATCATGTGAATTAATCAACTTCCTCCATAGCGGAATCAGCAACAGCCTCTTCAGATGGCGCTTCGGTAGCCTGTTCAGCAGGAGCCTCAGCCTCCTCGTCGATGTTGAGACCAATGGCAATCAAAGAGTTGATTCTCTTGGCGAACGAGGTTGGCTCGTCCAGAGAGAATCCAGAAGTCAACAGAGCAGTGTCAAACAACAGGGTGGTCAAGTTCTTGACAACCTTGTCCTCCGGACCGCTTTCCTCAACCTTTGCCTTCAAAGCCTTGATGATAGGAGACTTTGGAGAAATCTCAAAGATCTTCTTCGAAGCCATGTAAGCAGACATAGAGGTGTCTCTCAAGGCTTGTGCCTTCATGATTCTCTCCATGTTAGCAGACCATCCGAATTGTCCGGTTCTGATAGCAGCTGGCGAGTCGACAAGCTTGAAGGAAACAACAACCTTCTCCACTTGGTCTCCCAGGATGTCCTTCAGAGTCTTGGTCAATGGTTCGTATGCCTTGGTGATCTCCTCTCTCTCCTTCTTCTCCTCCTCAGACTCCTCAAGCTCGAAGTCCTTGGTGATATCCACCAGCTTCTTGTCTTCGAACTCCTTCAGCTGGGTCATGGCGTACTCGTCAATTGGGTCGACCAAGAACAGCACTTCAAAGTTCTTGGCTTTCAGAGCGTCCAGGAATGGAGAGTTCTCAACAGCCTTGATAGACTCACCGGTGATGTAGTAGATGTTCTTTTGGTGTTCTGGCATTCTGGTGACGTAGTCAGACAGAGAAGTCAGCTCATCAGTTGACTTAGTAGAGTTGAATCTCAACAGTTTGGCCAGAGCTCCTCTGTTTTGTTGGTCCTCGTGAATACCCAACTTGATGTTCTTCGAGAAGGCGGTGTAGAACTTGTCGAATTGCTCCTGGTCCTCGGCGATTTCATTGAAGGTCTCAATGAGTTTCTTGACAATGTTCTTTCTGATGACCTTCAAGATCTTGTTCTGTTGCAACATCTCTCTGGACAAGTTCAATGGCAGATCCTCAGAGTCAACAACACCCTTGACGAAAGAGAGCCACTCTGGAATAAGCTCCTCAGCTTCATCAGTGATAAACACTCTTCTAACGTAAAGTTTGATGTTGTTCTTCTTCTTCTTGGACTCGAACAAGTCGAATGGAGCTCTCTTTGGAATGAACAGAATAGCCTTGAACTCCAATTGACCTTCAACAGAGAAGTGCTTGACAGCCAATGGGTCTTCCCAGTCGTTGGAGATCGACTTGTAAAAAGCGTTGTACTCTTCCTGTGTGACTTCGGATGGGTTTCTGGTCCACAATGGCTTGGTCTTGTTGAGCTCCTCGGTCTCAGTGACAAGCTCCTTGACTTTCTTTGGCTCCTTCTTCTCCTCTTCGTCCTTGACTTCTTCGACCTTAGCCTCCTTGGACTCTTCGTCTTTAGACTCCTCGTCTTTCTTCTCTTCTTCTTCTGGAACCTCCTTCTCGACCTCCTTGGTAACAACCAACTGGATTGGGTAAGAAACAAACTCAGAATGTCTCTTCACAACCTCCTTGATTCTCTTCTCCTCAAGGTACTCGAGTTGGTCATCCTTCAGGAACAGTCTGATAATGGAACCTCTGCCGATTCTCTCGTTCTCCTCGTCAAGAGTAACAGTGAACTTTCCACCAGCGTTGGATTCCCAAATGTATTGCTCGTCGTCGTTGTTCTTCGAGATCACCTGAACGCGGTCGGCAACCAAGAATAGCGAGTAGAAACCAACACCGAATTGTCCAATCATGGACACATCAGCACCTGCGGAGAGGGCCTCCATGAAAGCCTTGGTGCCGGACTTGGCGATGGTACCAAGGTTCTTGACCAATTCAGCTTTGGTCATACCAATACCGGAATCTCTGATCTCAAGGATCTTTTGTTCTGGCTTTGGAGTGATTCTGATGAACAGCTCTGGCTCAGTCTCGAGCACAGATGGATCAGAGAGGGCCTGGTATCTGATCTTGTCCAGCGCATCCGAGGCGTTCGAGATCAACTCTCTAAGGAAGATCTCCTTGTTCGAATACACAGTGTTAATGAACAAGGACATCAACTGAGAGATCTCAGCCTGGAACTCATATGATTCAGTTTTGTTCGACATGATGTCTTATTGTAGTTTCCAAAATTTCAAGAAAAAAAACCCGATCCTACTTGGGGGCGAGAGGCTTCTTTAAATATGCTGCTCATTGCAATATCCTTTCTTTCCAAAGTCGACCAAGTTTTTCGTCTAGAAAGTTCCACGATAAAATAAAAAATATATTTTTTAGGGTCGATCGACCCAAGGAGAATATTCGAGACTAGGTTTTGGGAGCCACAACGTCCTGATAACACTATGATCTGTTCTAGATTCCTGCTGATGAACTACTAGAGGTATCTTGTTAAGAGCGCCTTCATGAAGCTTTAATGGACCGCTTCTCAAAATCAATAAACGCAGCTTTTCTCCTTAAAAGGGATTAGAGACCGAATAGAATGAATGCGTCTCATTCATGTTATTCCCCCTATCGGCGTCAACTCAGTAGATCTGATCTCGCTTATTCAAGCCTCTATCTCTCTCCCAAATCGAAAACATCCCTGCACCAAAAATTACACATACACCTGAGACCTCGTGTTTTTGTTTACAATAAGTTGTGTGTTTACAATTAATCCAAGACGTTTTTCTTTCAGCCATGTCGATGAGCACGTCTGTTCGGAAGGATGGCAAGAAAAATCTGGCTTCCCAGTACTTGGAGGCAATAAGCATGCCCCACTTGTCACCTCTGAAACCAACAAACTCATATAGCAGCAGCACTCCTAGCTCTCCAACCAAAAGAGCTACTACTGCCAATCTCAAAGAAAACGAGAACCCCTTCAAATCTCCCCAGAAAACAACGTTTTTAGAGAATGACTCCCCTGTGAAGAGACTGATCAAACAAAAAGAACAAGATACCATTGAGAACAACGCCTCAAACTTTATACCCATTCCTGCTCCATTTAATTCTAATCAACCTAGGCCTGAGCCACTGCATAAACCCACCAGGAGCGAGATCAAGACTATGGGCCAAATTAGTAGTGCGATATCTAACTCTCCATCACTGAAAAACCTGAACAAGCTGAGGACAATCGAGAACAAGTTGCGCAAGACTTCGCGTGTTGAGTCGGTCTCCAAGAAATTTCAATCAACACCAGTAGGTGCTGACCTACCATCGCAGGTCGAGGAAGAGCCTATCAAGTCTGGGTCCTGGATGGATCATGATAGAAAGTCACTTCAGGCGTACGAATTTTTGTGTCGTGTTGCAGAAATCAAGATATGGATTGAAGAGTGCTTGGACGTCAAGATTGATTTGCAAAACGACTCAATTGCCGAGTTTCAGGAGTATTTGAGGAACGGAATTCTGGTTGCAAAACTCGCTCAAAAGTTTGGCTACTCTAAAGTCAAGAACATCTACTACGGAGAAAACAACCCGTCAGGTACAAACTACAAAAACAAAAGCGGTCTGTACTTCAAATTTACTGAGAACATTGTCGTGTTCCTCGAGTTCCTCAGAAGCATACAGCTTCCCGAGATGTTCATTTTTGAGACAGCGGATTTGTTCGAGACCAAAAACATACCTAAAGTCATTTTCTGCTTGCACGCACTGAGCTATATGATGTCAGCTACGAAGAAGGCGCCTCAATTGAAACGCTTAGAAAAATATGATATAAAGGACTCTGACATCAAGAAGATTCAAATCAAAATAAGAGGTCTCAAATTACCGAATTTCAAGAACATTGATGATGGGGTCCGAGTCAACCTTGGAGACAGCTTGATTACGACGAGGGAATCTAAGGAAGAAGACAAGCCACAGATAGAGACCAAGCTGGATACTGCCTTAGTCAACACTGTAGAACCATTGGACACAACCTTAGTTATAGAGGAGACTGCGCAAGCTAGACACTTATTTAAAGAAAAACACAACCAAGACGATTTTGATGTTGACATCGAGGAGATTCACGCCAAATACACTTCCATGATCGATCATGACAATGGTTTAAGCCTGAAGCCAGCAAGTGAGCACACTTATGTTGCTGAGCTCATCCAGCTGCAAGCTATTGCACGAGGAACACTTCTGCGCTACGAATTGTTTGTAAACAAGTTCATGCTCAAGGTGTTCACGCCGGATATCATCAGATTCCAGTCTCTTATCAGAGGGTCACTGGTTAGATCCAAAAAGGCCACCACTCACCAGTCACTCATGGCAAATTCGAGATCCCTTTCTGTGCTTCAGGCCATTCTGAAAAATGCCAAACGGGAGGATAAATACTCGGCAACACGGTCCAAACTGTTAAAAAATGAAAGTTCGATTGTTCAGCTACAAAGCTTCATCAGAGGCGGATTTGCAAGAGAAAAGAAATTCGCTGATAGAAAAGCGCTTCTTGGACAAACAAGTGCGATTATCAAATTACAAGCCTGTATCAGGGGAAAGTTGATAAGGGAGCACAAAAAATATCTACAGCACAAACTTGCTCATCGAACACGAAAGGCTCCAAGAAGAGGTATTCCTATTAGTGTTTCTTGCCAAGAACACCTGTCCATCCATTACCTTGAAAAAGATTACAGGCTTAATGAGTTGCTAGCCATTTGCAGGGGCAAACTGGTTAGGGAAGATATTGCGCACAAACATAAACAACTTTACAAACAAGCATCTGCTGTGAAACAACTACAAACAATATTTAGAGGTGTCTTACAGAGGTTCTATATTGAGATTCTTCAGGATGACTTACAGGATGCCGAGGAATCAATCATAGGTCTTCAGTCTGACATCAGGGGTTACCTACAGCGAAAACGTATAAGGGATAGAGAAGACTGGTTTAGAAAACCCGAAAATCTTGAAAAGATTATCAAACTTCAAAACTGGTTCCGTGCTGCTCGCACTAAGCACGATTATAAATCCTTGATCTATGAGAAAAACCCTCCTTTGAAAGCTATAAAGAATTTCATCAACTTGCTTGACGGCCCTGGCTCTGAACTCGAGGACGAAAAAAAGATTCAGAAATACAAGGATGAAATTGCAAAAGAGACAAGAAGAATTGAGCAATGGGAGCTGGATCTTAGTCAGCTAGGTGCCAAGATTCAGCTTCTTAAGAAGAACAATGTTTCTCTGGATGAGCTTCTCAAGTTCAAAGATGAAAACATGAACTTGACTGGTTATTCCAACAACCTCAACGAAAGTCTTAGTAAGAGCTTAGGAGCAAACCCTGAGCAGCTCTTGATTAAGCCAATCAGAACTCTGACCAGGTTGTATGAGAAATTTTTCTATCTGCTGCAGACGAAGCCATGTTACTTGGGCCATCTGTTGACTTTAGTCGACAATGAGTCCATTACTTTAGATTTGAGCAGTGGCTCCATTGAAGGCTGGATATTGAAATGTTTCAACTTTAGCAACTTTTCCGCACCGGCATCAACCGCTCCTAAGCGTGAAGAATTTCTTCTCATGCAATTGATATTGTTTGCCTCGAATGAGTGCTTCGAGCAACTGGGCTCTATTGCACGGCTGAAAAACTACATCAAATCCAGACAAACGGTGACAAACAGAAGCACGAAAAGTTGGGAGTCTCTCCTCATGACTTATGTCAATTTACCTCAGCAAAGAGCATTAGCAAAGAGTATATTGGCCGACTGTGTTTGGAAAGTGATTACAGACGAAGACGCATCTTACGAACCTGATCCTGCAGCCATTTATAAAGACATCATTGAGCGTGATGAGCTTGAAGGTCGCATGACTTTAAAGTCGATAGACGACTTAGACAACATGGATCCAATTGACGATGATGACACTAGAAGACAATTTGTGAAAAACTTGACAGATTTAAGAGAAGCATCCTACGACGTGATGAAAACAATAGGTAATATTGTCGACAAAGCTCCTGTGTTTATCAGAGTAATCTGCCGTGGGGTCTATGACCAAATGAAAAAGCTCTATCCAGGAGAATCAGAGAGATTTTATCTCAGCGCTGCGGGTTCGATATTCATGAAGTCATATGTGCTACCTATACTACTCAAGCCGGAGAATTATGGAATTAATATAAATGACATTGTCGAAGATGAGTCTCATGTTTCAAAAGTTGGGGACAACCTTTTGCAAGTTGCCAAAGTCTTAAACCAGTTGGTTTTAATGAGACCTTTCAATACTGAAAATGTGTACTTGCAGCCATTAAACCCATTTGTCGAGGAGTTCGTGGAAGGTGTCAGGAAAATTCTCAAAGACCTCATTGACGTGGGCACAATCGAAGAAGCGTATCAGATGAAATCAGCATATGATGATATGGTTTCCAACCAAAAGCCTAAGTTGGAACTATTGAAGGACGACATTTCAGAACTGTTGCAAATAGTTTTTGACCACCAGGATGTCCTGGTATCACAAAAAAACGATTATTTGCACTTCTTGCTGATGGAAATTGAAGAGTATTCTTCTTATCACAACAAGATTGAGACCAGAAACAGTCTGGTTGAGATGTATTTGCAACCAATTGCCGAAAGTACCGATCCCGAAGTTGTTGGTACTAAGGTGGCTTTGTTGGAGGTGAAGGAATATCTGATATACATTATCAAAGTGCAAGATGGTGCCGATCTGCTGGACTTACTACTGAGCGAGATTACTCCGCTTGACGAGTTCCGATTCAAGGAAATAATCAAGGAAGAGAAGGCCAACAGTGCCCTACCCGAATTTGGCATGGAGAGACGAACAGTGCGCAAGATTCACAATTCAACGTTCCCGCAGTTAAAGAAGCGTGCCATTGAACTGCTTCTTGAACTGGAAAATAATGGATACATTAGCCGTGAAGACGGCTACCAGGCAATTCTCAACGAGATAGCGCATGACATTAAGATGAACAAATCGAAAAAGGAGGAGAGAGAGCGCCAGCTCAAGCTAGTTATTGACACACTGACCAAGTTAAAGAAGAAAGAGAGAACTTGCTCGAAGGTTTACTCAGACTATATCAAGGAAATTGATAGGGTGATGATGCGCATGCAGCATCAGAGTGTGCACAAGAAAAAGGGACCCTTACTCAAGTACTTCTCAAGGCAATATTACCACGAGAAAGAGCTCAAGAAGAAAAAAGGATATGTTCCTAAATTTGGTTCTTACAAGCACTCCGCCAAACATCTGATGGATCACCATATCCTGATTGAGTTCTGCAATACTAGTCTCACTTCTTTTGCATTGAGTCGGATTCATTTCACCATCAGCTGTGAGCGTCAGGGAGAGTTTACGTTCGATATTTCCAAAAATTCTCTTGGTGTTAGTGGCCATGAAAGGATTACCATGGACGATTTCCTCAATCTACAATACGAACACAAGAAAACTGTCAAATTATTTGATGAGAGCGTTTTATTCGATACGGACAACTTAGTGGCGTTTATTTTCAAGAAGTTCTATGAGGTGCACGAGAATGTATAGACTACCATAAAATATTCTACTACGCGAATGAAGTAAAAATAAAATAAATAAACTATTTTGCTTATGACTCGATGGTAACTGTCACACGGATCTGTTGCACCATTGCATCGACCTTCCCCAAGTTTGTGTGCACGGCACTACTTGTATGGTCCTACTATGCGATAATCTTCAAAATGGTCCTTGGTGTGATAGACGGGTCAGCGAGCAAATTGGCCATTTTTGTCATTATAACCTTACTTGAGGCCTTGTGTCTGATATCATATTACTTGGTCGTGGCGGTGGGTCCAGGCTCGCCCACAGAATTCTCTGAGCTTTGCTGTCTCCAGCCTGATCCTGCCGTCCGTCTTGAACCTCCAGAATTTCTCAAGTCAAACACAGTAATGGTGAAAAGAGATGGAGGGTACCGTTTCTGCAACAAGTGCAAAGTTTGGAAGCCTGACAGATGCCACCACTGCTCATCGTGCGAACAATGCGTTCTACGGATGGACCATCATTGCCCATGGTTTGCAGATTGCATCGGGTTCAAAAACCACAAATTCTTCGTTCAATTTCTTATTTATACGTCATTTTACACGGGGCTGGCTACCTTTATCTCAGGATACTGTCTATACAAGATCTACTACCTGCAAAGCGTTTCTCTGGATAAGTTCTCGTTGCACACTATGTTTGTGTTTGTGCTGGGAGCCGTCATGTGGCTGTGTGTTTCCGTGTTCACGCTGTTCACGATATACCAGCTACTAGTAAACAGAACGACGCTTGAATCATACGAAAGTCACGGGTATCGCTCGAGCGGCAACTCGCATGAAATAGGAAACATCTTTGATCTTGGATACAAGCAAAACTGGTGCTCCATCATGGGCACCACCTGGATGGAGTGGCTGCTACCAATCCGCACCTCTTCTGAGTACGGATCTGGCCTCACGTTCCAAGTGAACGACTTGGTGTACCGCAAGCTACAGCAGGAGGTCCAGTTGCAGGAGAGACTGTCTCAGGAGATTACAAACTACAGGTCGTTGCAGAAACAAATCAACAAGTCTGCACTTCCTCCCGCATAGCCAGCTCTTCGCGTCCCAATAAAAAATATGTACGTACACCTCGCACCGAAGACGACATTTTCCATGTTGCCCTTAAAGTTGTAGAAAGTAAGTGTTTTTTTATCTCTTACGATAGAATGATCTTTGAGCTAAAACCTTTTGACGAGCTGAAAGTGGGCACCAGCAGCAAGAAGCGGGTCGCGTACTTTTATGACTCCGACGTGGGCAACTACGCCTACGGTGCTGGACACCCAATGAAGCCACACAGAATAAGGATGGCGCACTCATTGATCATGAACTACGGATTGTACAAGAAGATGGAGATCTATCGGGCTAAACCGGCCACCAAACAAGAGATGTGTCAATTTCACACCGACGAATACATCGACTTCCTCGCCAGAGCCACTCCGGACAACTTAGAAATGTTTGCCAAAGAACAGGCCAAGTTCAACGTTGGAGACGACTGTCCTGTTTTCGACGGGCTTTTTGAATACTGCGGTATTTCTGGGGGAGGGTCGATGGAAGGAGCCGCTAGATTAAATAGAGGAAAGTGCGATATTGCCATCAACTACGCTGGAGGTTTGCACCACGCCAAAAAATCCGAGGCCTCGGGTTTCTGTTATGTGAACGACATTGTCTTGGGTATCATCGAGCTGCTCAGATACCATCCGCGCGTGCTGTATATTGATATCGATGTGCACCATGGTGATGGTGTTGAGGAAGCTTTCTACACCACGGATCGTGTGATGACCTGCTCATTCCACAAGTATGGAGAATTTTTCCCTGGTACGGGTGAGCTCAGAGATATTGGTGTGGGCAAGGGAAAATACCACGCTGTGAACATTCCCCTAAGAGACGGTATTGACGATGCCACCTACAAGTCGATTTTCGAGCCCGTTATCCAGAGAATCATGGACTGGTATCAGCCTTCTGCCGTTGTTCTCCAGTGTGGTGGAGACTCGCTTTCCGGGGACAAGCTTGGCTGTTTCAATCTTTCCATGCGCGGACACGCCAACTGTGTCAATTTTGTCAAGTCGTTCAATGTGCCGACGATGGTTGTGGGTGGTGGAGGATATACGATGAGAAACGTGGCGAGAACATGGGCTTTCGAGACCGGTTTGCTGAACGAGACGTTGTTAGACGCTGAACTGCCCTTCAATGACTACTACGAGTACTTTGGACCGGACTACAAGCTGGACGTGAGACCATCCAACATGCACAATGCCAACTCTCCGGAGTATCTCAACAGAATTCTCACTCAAGTATTTGCCAACCTCGAGAACACAAAGCACGCTCCATCGGTTCAGATGCAAGAGGTTCCGCCGGATCTCGTGGACTTTGACGACGATCCTGAGGAGGACACTAAGGAAGCCATCGACACCAGAGGTGGCTCTCAAAAAGCGCACGACGAGCGAATTGTTCCCGAAAACGAGTTCTATGATAAGGATGAGGACGCGGTTAGAGCAAAGGATTCGACTGACTACAATCAGGCTGAGAAGAAGCCAACTCCTTCGATCATTCCCGCTAGTTACTACAATGAGGTTGCAGAGGATATGGTGCGGGAGCTAGAACAGGACGAGAAAAACGAACACAAGGAGGCATCCAACGAAGCTACTATAACGCCCGCCTCGAACGGAAACGGAAACTATGTGAACGAAAACAATTAAAAATATTATGGATGAACGTCGTTTATGCTTTTGAAACCGGAGTTGAATCCCAGCAAGTTGTTGATGCCTGTCACCCAGTCACCTTTTGTACGCGCGACACACCAAAGACCAGTTTTGGCTTCATCGGTCGTGGTCTTTTTCTTCAGTGATATGGAGGTCGGGAGGTTCCACGAAGGGTCCAATAGGGAGCCCGACTCTGAAACAACGTGTATCTCGTCGCCCGCTGTGAGTTTCAGCTGAGGCATCCCGTCGATCGACAACTTTGCCGAGCATTCGTGTCCGCTCAGACTCTTGCTTCTGACGACTACCTTGATGTGCGAAATAGATGGGAGAATCAAAGGTCTAAAAGAAAGAGACCTGGGACACACGGGGGTGAGTAGAATGCATGGAACCACTGGGTGGACCATGGACCCACCAGCAGAAAGAGAATATGCGGTTGATCCTGTGGGCGTAGCAAAAATTAGACCATCTGCGGTGGTTGTTGTGAGGAAGTGGCCGTTTACATAAACGTCCAAGTTTATAAGACTTGGCAGCGACCCGCGATGGAGCACTATATCGTTCATGGCGTGCATCTGTGATAGTTCGTCCGAACCACTTCTGTACATCGAATTTGGATTCGAATCTGTAATTGTACTCTTTTTAACAATGTGACATTCCAGTCTCTCTCTGCGTAACATCAAGGCTCTGCTCTCGAATACCTGCTTGAAAGCTTCCTTGAAGTCTTTGAAATCGAAAGGAAGCAAGAATCCCAAAGTTCCCAGGCTGAACGAAAGTATTGGCGGCACCTGGGTATTTGAGAAGAGAGAAACGCCCCTTAATATGGTTCCATCTCCTCCAAGAGAAACAATCATGTCGGTCTTGCTGACAATTTCTTCGCTCTTGCCCGTATACAAAACGTGCTTGACATTTCCGCCGGATTTATTGAATACCTCGGGATTTTCGTTGAACTCCTTGGCAACTTCTTCAGTGACTATTACGGTGCAATTAGGGTAGGAAGAGTGGACGTGGGAGATGAACTGAGCTGTCGCAAATGAAACGTCCTCTTTCCGCGGTTTCTTAACCACCAATATATTCGAAGGGGGTGCTTGCCAAACGAGGTTTCTGAAAAAGGAGTGCGGATTTTGGGCGTATTGGGGGAATTGGCGCGGCTTCAACTGGGTCACCGACTCAATCTTGACATTTGAAAGCGAAACAGTGCTCGTGGAGAACAGCTTCCTCGACCAAAGAGTCCTGGGCACCCTCAATGATATCATTTACAGTTTATCAGAAAAACCTGGGGTTTTTTTTAAAATTTAATTTTTCATGAGTCAATCGTACTCGGAATTGTGAAAGAAGGAAAACATGTGTTGCGTTTCATGAATTTGACATAATGCCGTTAAACATTGCTACTCAACTGACACTGCATACTGTGGTAGCTGCATATCAGCTCATCATCAACACAGAGCAAACTGTGGTTGAGGCGGGAAAGGGGTTACCCGGCCGAACGATGGTATATAAAGCGATTTTCAAAGAATTTTTTTTCCAACGCAAAACCACAGACAGGCTGGCACCCCGATCGCATCCTTTCGAGGTTGAGCCTCTTTCGGGAGCGCTCTGACCCAGGACATCATGGATACAGGTGCCAGGCTTCGGTCTTCACGCTTGTACTGGAGAACAACGTGTCAATCTTGGGTGCAGTGGACCATCTGAAGCTCCTTGTAGCTTCTAAGGACCCGCCTTCGTGCATCCGTATGGGGTCGACTGCAAGGATTGGCACAACATTATAGTGTATTTATAGCTTATTAGCAGTCTATCTGTAACTGGCCAGGAACTTGATGACAGGTGAGAAGACTCTGTCTTCCACGTCCGAGGCCCAAAGGGTATCCATATGCTCGTAGTTTTCTATACCCACAATCTGTACCGGACAGGAGAGTTGGTCAACGGTCTTGTCGATGTCGATAAGCGAATCTGACATCCCGTAAACTAGCAACATTGGGGTGGTGATGGTCAGCGTGGGGAATGGCGCAACTCTATTAGTTTTCGAGGTAGCTCCGCTCAAATACACCAGCTTTGATCCGGAAGCTCCTCCTTCGTCGTACATCTGAAATCTTTTGCTGTTAATGATCTGGAACCAGTGGATCACGCTTTTCACGCTCGAAGGTGAGAACATGTGCGCGTAGCCGAGCTTTTTCTGCGATTCGGTGACATTGTGCGACCTCCAGTTGAACAGAAACACTAGAGACTTGTCCACAACGGTCTGGTACAACTGCGGGCCCATCAACTTCTGCCAAAAGACAACCGACGGAAGAAGAGCACGACGTCCGAAGAGTCTGTACATGAGATTTGGCGCAGAGTTGACGAAGAACTTCAGCAGTGGATGGCTGAGCCCTTGTGGAATCATTGCAGGCGACAGCCCTATGAACTGCTTGATCTTGGAGTTGAGTGAAAAATCGAGCGATAGCGCAGCCAGACACTGCGCAGAGCCCTGACTGAAGCCGATGTAGGTGAGGTCTTTCTCGTCTGTAGCGCGCAAGATGTAGTCTATGGTGTCTGGAATGTCGAACATGGCAAACTGGTCCAGCGAGTAGTCCCAAAACTTGACATCGCGTGAGGAAAACGTAAGATGTTTGCGAGAATATTTATTCCCGCGATTATTGCCTAGCCAGACATCGTAGCCCAGTTCCAGCAGGCGGAACGGAAGACAACGTGACGTGGTGTCTCCCAGCACAAATAGCTCACTGTTGGTGAGCAGGCCATGATGCATGTACACCACTGGCGCGTTTTTAGGTGCGTGCTTCGATATTATTCTGTGGAGTGATAACAGATATCCGTCTCTGGTCTGGACAACATGTTCGTGCACTTTATATCCATGGGCGTGCACTATCTGCACGATATCAACCGCATCGAGAATTCTGTCGTGGAAGCGACAATCACCGTTGACTTTCCTTGTAGGAGAGACTGCGGGAGAGTTCCGCGGTTCTGTTGACGAAACGTTGTCGGGCTTGCTGAAGGGCGACTGGAAGGACGCGAGCACGCTCTCGAGGCCAAGGGTGTGCAGCACCAGCAGGGGGAACTGGATGGCTATCGCTATGATGTTCAGCAGCACGTTCGAAGCGGCGCCCATCAGGTTGTAGAATAAATTTCTGTTTATTCATCTGCGTAGTGGATTTTGGTCAAGAAGCAGCAGCACAGCCCGAGATTAGTAAATTTGCGAGTTTTAGTAGATGGCAACTTGACCGTGGTGGAGCGGGAAACTTCCATGCAGAAGCCGACGACCGATGGCTGGACCCAGCTACGGTCCAGATGGCAATTAAAAAAGTACAAGTTGCAGACATAATCGGGCGAGAAATGCCAGGCCACTAAAGTTGCAGGCTCAAAAGAGCAACAGGTTTTGACTCAAAGCGAGGATCGCACAAGCGAAATGTCCTCTGTCCGGTCCGGCTGTCCTCTCAAAATGATTCCGCTAATCAAGGGGAAGCATATTAAGTGCTCGGACAATTAAAATACCAAGCCTATTGATACCACTGGAACTCCATACTTTAGTCATATTGTAAATGCCGCACATCATCTGATGGATCGTTCTGGCAACAGAACTATTAGTAGTACTTTGCGCACACGCATATATTCTGATTCCTTTACGTTGTTATGCAGCTTATATCCGATTATTAATTTATCTGCTCGGTTTCGGTAGATTATATGTAAGCCGACCGAGGGGTTTTTAGTCAGACATAAATATGGTCCAAAGTGCACTTCAGCCCATCAGAAAAGTGCATACAGCGCTCCACAGATACCATTGACCATGCCTCTCTCGTCCACATTGTCGTCGCCCGACCGGTACGGCGACAGAAAAGCCCAGCAGCAGAAGAAGAAAAGAGTCGGCAAGGCTTGCGACTCGTGCAGACTCAAGAAGACCAAGTGCTCAGGAAAACAGCCTTGCGAGAAGTGTCAGGCAGACAACAAGATCTGTATCTATACCGAGCGTAAAAAGAGCCGGGATAAAAGTTACTCCTATGATTACGTCGAGCTGATCGAAAAGAGACTGCGCATAGTCAACAAGGCTTTGATAAATCTCTCGGAAATGGTGAAGCTCAATAAAACCGCAGAGTTGCAACAATTTGCGCAAAATATCACGTACAACGAGTACGACGAGGGTGTTCCAATATCCATCAACCAGGCCATTTCGCTGCTCGTTGACAAGTCGGACGTTGTAGACCATTCTGACAGCGAGACGAACCACGATCAATTGCAGGGCCGCGTCCCGCAGACCGAGTCTCAGGATAGCGCTCTTGAAGAGTCTTCGGAGTCAACTGTTCCTCAGCCGGCAGTCAAGAGGGAGGAGCTCTCCACGAGCTTCATCCCATATTCCTCGCCAGATTCGCTTACGCCAAGATCGGACGATCCGTTCTCGCCTCTTCCCCAGAACGACTTCAGCACGGAATTTATGTTTGAACAGCAGACGAATTCGACGCGTCTCGATGACATAAAAGAGGAAAAGAGCGACGATTTTTTCAGCCAGATGAGTCCTATGCCTACGAGTCTTATGATGGACGCAGACCAGCCTCCTGTGGAAAACGAGTCCTTCGATAACTACAGCTCGATGACCCCCGCGCAGTTTGATATTAGCGGATTCAAATCTGGGGCGGGCTTAGCAGCTGCAGCCGTCAATGGCCTTCTGGGCCGCTCGCAAGCCTCTGGCTCCGGTTCCGGATTTATGATGTCTGACTTCGATCTTAATTCCCCAGCATCGATGCTGGCCACCTCGCCCGATTCCTACAACTCCAAGACGGTCATTCCTGCTTCGATGAACCTTTCGCGCAACGACAGCTCGTACTCGTCCTACTTTGGAGAGGACTCCTACCTTGACTCCGCACATCCCCCAAGCAACCTGCAAAGATCTGCATCTACGAGGTCCACAGATAGCGGAAACAGAAAGCACGGAACGTTGCATAGAAACCACCATTCGTACTCGCAGCACCCTCATCCATACAAGAAGACAACACACTCTGTTGACGGTGCCCTTGTCTCCCCGACTCTGAAGGATGAGCTCCTCGGAATAAACTAATGTGATGAAGTTACGACTATAAAATTACACACTCCTATATTATTCAAATAGATACTTACTCAATGATTACTAAAAGATCCGTTTCACGTCAACTGATCGGTTCGGCATGCGCGAATATTTTTGCACTCATATTATTAGCGATGTGCAGAACTAATTCCGAGAATAATATTTCTAAACCACTGGGTGCTTGTGGTAGCGACGTTTGCGGAAAAAAGTGTCCAGTCTGTAGACTACCACGCCAAAGAAGCGGACCAGCGCCAGACAGCACACACACCAAAGCACGAACGTCATGAACCTGTTGGAGCTCTTATTATCCACGCTTCTCTTCACCTTGCTGGTAGTGGAGCTGCTAGAGTCCTCGTAATCACTGTAGTCGTCCAGTCCCCCCGTTCGCAGCACAAGCACCAAAATTATAAAGTTCGATACGAGCCATGCAAGCACCGTGTACGTTCTTCCCAAGGCATAATTCCGTTCCGAGGTTTTTAACGTGCTTTCCTTTTTCACCGTCTCAGGCTTGGAGATGTTGCTGTTAGCCAGTAGATACAGCTCGTCAGGGTCCTGCAGGGCCTCCGATAAGATCAGCTCGTTCGAACGCTCGCTCTTATTGGCCTCTTTCTTGCCCACCTCCTCAACCTTGAGTGCTCCCTTAGTTCCCCACGAAATGTCGTGGATGTTGCAGAACGCAAAGACACTCAACACGTTGATGTATGCCGGGCTCAGGAAGATGTACTGCAGACTGCAACCAAACAAGTGGAAGAACTCGAAAAACAGCAGCGACCCTAAAACGTACAGGGCGTACGTGGACGAGAGTGCCACGGTCAGGTCGCGGAACTTGGAGTTTCCGAGGTACGCCAGTACCTTGCTTTTCGTAGAGGCCGCTATCTCGCTTTGGATTGTGTGCACAGACGCGATCGTGAGCATGATCACGCAGAAAATCATGTAGGCCATCACTATGGAAAAGAGCAGGAACGCGAGCTGGTACAGCCGTTTGGCGTCCTTGGGCTTGTTGCCGAACGAGATGATAAACGTGAGCGCCAGAGCTGCAATGTAGAGCCACAAGAACACCACAGCGAGTATGTTACCGGCCTTGAACCCGACCGATGTGTCTGCCAGTCCCAAAGTGAGTATGCGGAACACCAGGAAGTAGAACGAGATGGAGAGCCACGAAAGACCGATGTTGATCGTCTGATACACCACCTCCACCAGCAGGACGAGTTTGCGGCCAAAACCGTGCTTGGAACGGATTATCCGATAGAAATGCATCACCGAGTAGAGCGCAGCAAAGAACGAGCCGTTGAGCCATCTCCGCCGCTGGTTAATGAACTCTGCAATGTTTCCCGGCACGTCGGTGACTCCAAACGCGTCGTGGACGTACCGCAGCACGTACGACGCTCCCTTCTTGGCCACCAGCTCAAAACACAGAATTCTGTCTTCTGCCAGGTACATGTTGGACTCCAGCGTACCGGCAGGCTTCTCTGTGTTAGTTTTCATGTCTTCTCCGTGGAAGTATGCCTCCAGAGGGTCTCCTTGCAACGCCTCGTATCTGTACGCGCTGAATGCACCGGGAAGAACGGTGACGAAACCAAATGCCGACTCCATCGGCTTGTCAAGAATATTGGATATTTTGTACTCGAAGTTCTGTGCGGCAGTGAGCGGATTCAGCACAACGCATTTGACGTCGGAAAAGGTCCGCACGACCCAGCGTCCTAGTTTCTCCATGACCGAGCCCTCGTCGTTCGGACTCATTTTTTTCCCTAGCATGGCCCTGATCTCTCCACAGGCTCCTCCGACCTGCGGGTCCTTGAATGCCTGCCAAAGCTTGTAGATCGAGTCCGGGCCTGGCTCCGTGCCAACGTCCAGCAAACACACTATTTTCGGGTTCAGGTTCGGACACAGAAAGTTGAACGCCCATCTGTGCGAGTTGATCTTCTGCTTGTTCTGCTCCTTGAGTAAAAACATCATCTGCACAGGCACAGTCTGCTCCGTGACCAACGGAACAGTGAAACCCTTACCCTCGTCCCCACGATGGTAGTCGAACTGTCCAATACCAAAAGTGGTGGTGTACTCAAACAGATGAGCATTGACGTCGTCGCCGTTCACCTTCTCCTGGATCACACCCTCCTGGTAGCATCCCAGCAAAGTGAGTAGAGCCTTGGATCTCTCGTGGATCTTCGAGCGCCCGTCGCTAACTATCACCACCACAATCTTTTTCCACGCGTTTTTGCCAAACGGGTGCTCGTTGGAGTCTTTCTCCGGCAAGTTGTACATGGTTTTAATGTTTTTGAAAACACCCTTTAGCGTGCGGCCCAACAGAACCTCGTCCTCGTTGTACATGGTGCACACGATCATGAGCTCCGTCTCGCGTCGCACGCCATACAGATTCGGCCGCAACGGATAATTCACAATGTCCTGTCTCTTCTCGAGGTCGCCGCTGGTAAAGTCCTTAGGGTCTGCTGTAATGGCATGGTATCTCAAATACGTGAACTCTGTCAGGTTTTTGGCGTCCTCAAACGGGATGCGCGCAACCAGCTGTTTGGGAACCGGGAAATCAAAGCTGTAGTGTTTGTCGTCCAGCAATTGGACCTTGGTGTCACCTGAGGTAGCCACATTGAGAGGCTGGATAGCGTCGTTCTCTGTCTTGTCGAAAAACAGATCCTCAATGACGGGCTCATCCCCGTCCCTCATAAAAGACTGGAACACGGGATAACTTTGCTGATAAGGCATTGGCGGCACTGGGGGCTGGTATATCACTGGCCTGGTGTACGACTCGGCCGGGACTTTTTCGGACCCCAGAAACGAGCTGTTTGATGAGAAGCTAGACTGTGTCGCGTCGTAAACATTCGAGGGCGGGCGAAGAATGGAGTGGCGCATCGGAGAAGGACCTGCTTCGTGGTATGAGTCCTGGTATTCGTTCAGATCAAAGGTACTCCTGTGAGCGTGGCTGGAATCCTGTTGTATATCGTCGTCGACTATCTGCTGAAACGGATTGTTATGCAAGCTCTGTTCCTCAACAGAGTCGTCGTCGTCTAATCGAAACGGATTGTCATTTTGTACCATATCTAAAGAATTCTCAGATAGCTTTGTTACAGATTAATATAATTCTATATTTTGGTTTTGTATCAGCTGCGCCATGTCTAAAAATAATTCGAAGCGTGATCGCGTGGCTATGCTGGAAAAAAACTCTGAACCGAGATCTCGGATAACTCCAGCCGTCCATGGCTTTAGTCGTACTCAATGGAGGAAATCTTCTGTCTGACAATGTCCGAGACAATCCTCGACTCAGTAGCGTAGTACCTGACGACGTCGATCTCGTCTCCCTCAAACCCGACCCAGGGTCCATCCAGCTGTTCCTTCAACAATGGATATATGTAGCTCTGACATGCCTCCCGCGCCTCGTCAATCGTGCTTCTGCGTTTGCGCAGCACGTGTGCAGAAAGCGCTTCTGGATCTGTATGCGAGGGGCTTGGGGACTCTGATGGAGTGCGCATGACCACCGACTTGCGTCCGGGCCGCGGTTTGCGGGCAGCCCCATCAGGCGAGCTAAGGAAAGAGCCCAGCTCGTCGGAGTCGTCGGTCTCTGCAGACTCGCCTGACGTCTTTATGGCGTCGAGAGCAATGTAGAACAGCAAGGGCAGGTAGTTGCGGTTGAAAAAGAGTATCACCACAACCGTCATTGGCAGCAGAGGCACCACTAGCGCAGCAAGCACAAACGACTGCTCCAAAGCGAGCGTGCCCAACATTTGCAGCTGGAAAAACAGCATCCCCAAACACACTCTGTGAAACACTATGGGCCACAGCTTTCCTGTACTGTGATATGGATGGACCATGGAATACACCAGCTGATACTTGTAGACGTAGTATCCTAGAACAAAGTACACCAGGCCAGACGTGAGGATTTTCGTGGAGATCACAGAGTAGATGATGGTGATGATGAAAATGAGCAGATGCTGGGGCAGAATGAGCCCGACCTCAAAAATGGCAGGCTTGTAAAACAGGTCTCTGTAACTTCTGGGAGTCTGCCACGAGTGACGCAAAACGTACTCCCAAAAAATATATGCGAGATCTCCCGCCTGCAGCAACTTGACCGGAAACATAACCAGACCCTGCAGCAAGATCAGGTCGATGTAGAACAGCGACAAACTTTTGATCGACGTTGCCAGCAAAGGCGCGATTTTCGTAGTGTCTGTTAGCAGGGCCTTGTAGCTGGACAGGGTACCAAACAGCGTGAACACCAGGAACAAGTTGAAGAAAATGTACATGAAGTTTTTGCGTGTGATTGAAAGATCAACGTCGCCTTTAGAAACCAAACCTTGCAAATTGGAGAGGAAGGAAATGACGTATGGAAGCGCAATGTTGATGAGCGTGAATAAGTAGGTCGGCAGGATACCGGTCACGATGGTCCTAAGAATTTCGTGTTTGATCAAGTAGTCACCAAACTCGGGCCATATTCTTTTGATGGCGTTGACGTTGAGCAGCGAGGACAGATACCGAATAGGAATAATGAGCAAGATGCTAAAGGCGATGATGATCAGCTCCACAATGTTCTTCCTTATGAATACGGATTTCGAGCTGAGATGCAAGTTGTCCCAGTTGACGTCCAGAGGAGCCGGTGCCAGACAGGTGATGAGCTGGAACGCTTTAGGCGAGAAGAGGGCTTGCGCAGCCATCTGAGCGTCGCTGACAGAGTCCATTGTCACGAATGCCGAGGGAATAGGCTTGAAGTCTCCTTTCTCGCGCACCACCATTATTTTTTGGTCCATCTGGATGAGCTCTCCGCAGTAGTAGTCAAAAAGATCGACTTTGGGGCCAAACGCAGTGATTCTGCCCAAAGGCCGCTTTTTCTCTCTATTCTTTGAGTCGTATGCCTTGGGAAGCGGCACGGACGCGTCAAGATCAAGCTCCTGGCTGAGCAGGTCCAGTTTAAGCTTGGCCGAAGGGGTCTCAACGTCTTTAAAAATGCGAGTCTCGAGTCCGTAGTAATTCGAGTACAGCTGTTCAAGCTTGCGCATTATTTTTGTGCGACGGTCAAACAAGTTCCGCAGTTTCGTGTAGTCGTACACCAGCGTGACCTTCTCGACGTTACCAACTCCCAAGGTCTCGATATGAGATTTCAAAGCCTCTTCGTCTTTCAGCGAGTCCGGAATATGGGAGATCACGATCGTTCGGTCTGTGACCGACCGTTGCGAGCCCAGACAGCGTTGTCTGGTTTTGATGATGTGCAAGGTCTCTTTGAACAGGAAAAAAAAGACGGTAGCAGTGAAAACATACGTGAAGATCGTGCACACCACCAGATACCCTGTTGGTTCGGAATCGTCGTGTCTGGCAGGAGTCTTGGCCGCTCCCGTCATCACACCGTAGAACAGTTGTAGCCCCGTCATTTCCTTGTCAAACTTGCCGGTCAGCAGATACCTCACGGGACTCAGAACCAGCAACCCAGCCACAGTCATGGTACAAAAAATCCGTATTCCCATGCGGAAGAAACAGAGGAACACGTACGCGTCGAGCCCGGCCACTTGGATGATCTCGTCTCCGGAGATCGAATGGAGAACTTTGAGCCAGCCAAGAAAGCTTTTCGGGAGCCTGCGTATCATCTTGTTCCGATACGGGCGCACAGAATATAACAGGGGGAACTTGTATCTGACCAGACAGAAAGTGAGGAAGATCACCAGGCCCAAGATGGAACAGAAGTACAATTGCACCTTGAACAGGGTCTGTGTCTGGCGTCTGGGGTCAAAAAGAGGAGGCTCATCTGAATTCTCCAGCATTGGCACAGATTTGTAGCATTAATTAGTCCTCATACAAATTATTACTAGCGCGACAGATAATAGCGGACCATGTGGCGGTGCAAAATTATAATGCTATCATCTATACAGTGGTCTCTCATTTGGAGAGATCGAGGTCTAGGTTGAAGGAAGGCAAGCCAGAGTGGTACAGGCTTTGTTCCGAACGGGTTTGTTGCAAGGGCTGGGAGCCGAGAGTGAGGCCATTGATGCGGGAGGACAGGCCTTGGAAGTCGTCGAGGCTTCCAGAATACGACGAGGCGCTGCCCTGCGAGAGCATCGGCTGGAACAACGGCGTGCCGGAGGCAGACTCGGGGAGCGAGCCCTGCTTGCTTCCGGCCCCCGACCGCGGGTACTGCAGCATGTTGTAGATGCCCTGAGCTGCTGCCGGTGCAGAGGTGTCGGGGCCAGAAGCGTTGGAACGAAGGTTGTGGCTGTACTGCGGAGTGGCGAAGGATCGGCGCTGGGCCACGTTGGAGTTGTATGCGTCCTGGTGGTACGTGTAGCCGTTGTACGAGTTTGCTGCCGGTTTGGGCACCCCACATTTGAGGCAGCAGACATTCTTGGCAAAATTATGGTATGCGCAGGTCTCGTTTGGACATTTCCAGTCGCCGGCCCTAAAAGGCACGTTGGACGAGCCGTTGGTGTTTGATTGTCTGTGGTAGTACTGACCTGTGTTGATCGACTCCTGCACGGCAGCCGCGGAGGCAGCAGGGAAAGAGCAGCGGAAACACGTTGTTCTTCGCTGGAAGTTGGAAAAACCGCACGACGGACAGGTCCAGTCGCCAGGTCTGGGTCTGTTTTTCGAGGACGGGAACGGCGTGAGAATGTCGTGTGCCTTGTCGAGCACCGAAGCAGACGAGGGTTGCACCTCTACAATTCTGTCGTTCAAAAGTCTCCCCGTCATGGCCAAGGAGTCTAGAGCTTCTTCGTGGGTAGCAAACACGGCAAAACCAGAGCAAGTTGGCTTCGTACCTGACGATTGCGAGCTCACGCTGTTGCTGCCGCTGCTGTTGCTGGTGCTGGACCCTGTTCGGCTGTTGTTCTGCGACTCTGACACTGGCGGGCTCTTCACGGTCCAGAATGACACAGGCCTGCCACCATATTGGGTGAACCAGGACTCCAGCTCGCCCTGCGTCGTATCTGCCGGCAAGTTGCTCATATACAGGATTCTGGACTTTTCCGACCCAAACTGTGCCAGGTCCAACGCCATGTCGTATGGTGTTTCGAGGATATTTGAGCCCTGTGGAGCTAATTTCTGGAGATGGCCAATCACCTTGATCAGCACCTGCACTTCATCGGCCGCGCGGCGGGGCATAGCGAGCGTCAGAGAGTCGCCGTACGACCTGTTCACGGGCTTTATATCTGCTACGTCGAGATCGAGAGCGGAAACAATGTGCGACACGGTAAGGGAGCCAGGGTGATCTATTTCCTGAGACTGGCACTGTTGGAACTTGAGATACTCCTTCTTGAGGTCAAAGTACCGAGAGTGCTCCAGATACGACGGCAGCTGTATGCTCTTTTCTCTGCTTTCCTTTGGGAGCCGCATTCTGAGGTTCCAGCTGTTGAAGATAACAAACGTGAATTCTTTTTTGGCGGAGACGAGGTGCTCCTCGATGTCCTGTTCCAACAGCAGGACGCAATCCCTCAGCGAGGGAGCGTTCTTGACGTTTTCCCAGGTTAGGGAAGTCTGCGAGGTGCACAGCGGCGTGACAGGGGTGGTAAGGGGCTTGACGAGCGACGAGTTGGTCTTGATCTCGGCGAGCGACTGCGAGTCGACGACGGACCAGGCGATCTCGAGGATCTCGCTGGAGTCCTTGGAGGAGCCGAGGTCGTCGCCCGTGGTGGTGATGTGGAGAACAACAAACGCAGACGGGCTGGTTTGTCCAGACATGTTGTGGAGATGGTCGAGAAGATGGAAATTTTTTTTACGGATGAAAAACCACATCAGGCACGAACAACACCCGTGCACGCGCTGTCTCCCCGGGCCGATTTACCAAGATCGGCAGGCGCAAAGATCAGCGGGAGTATGTGCCCTGCCCTGATGTATCGTCGCAAGCGACAATACGAAAACAGGGATCGGGAATACACAACATTGGCAGCGCCGTACGCGGCCTGCTGGAGCAGCGAGCAAAGAAGACCGTTAATTGAGGTCGGCATATGCAACAGGAACAAATACATTGAGCCACTGCCAGGGGAGGAAGCGGATTGCAAAGTGTGGGTGCTGGAGGCAGGAGCGGTCTCGCTTAGCTGTCCGCGGGCGAAATTTTTTTTTCGCGCACGCCTGCCACGGACAAGGGACTGCATGCACCACGCGGGAAGCAAATCTGGCATGCTACAGGCGCGCAGCAGTGCTGCAAAGTAATGGTGAACTTTTTGAAAAGTGTTTATGTATGTAATGAAAGTTTTTTTGGCAAGGGCTTATACTTGAGGAAACTTCACCAATTGATGCAGTAAACATACGTTCGTTAATGTCCCAACAGTACTCGCAGTACCAGCAAAACTACCAGCCCTACCAGAGCTACCAGTCGTATCAGCAGGGCGTAATGCCTTCTGGTCCAGTGGCACAAACCTACAACTACCAGCCGTACCAGACTGCCGCCGTACCTAGCGGAGACTCTGCGGCGGCGCAGGCATCGCAGCCCGGAGCAGTCGCTCCTCCAGCAAACGAGGCTCAGTCTTACCAGTACTATCCAACAGCGCATTCCCACTATTCGCAATACTCCTATCCTCCCCAGCCTCCCACCCAGTCGCAACAACAACCCCTGCAGCCACAACAGGTGGGCTACTACTACCCGCAGCCTCACCCTTCCACCTTCTATCCAAGACACGGACAGTATCCAGGGTACGGGCAGTCATACAAAGGTCATATGCAGTATGTTTACAACACTCCCGGCAACACGGCTACGTCAGAGACGCCTGTGCAACCTGCGGGAATGAGGCCAAAGATAACAACGACCATGTGGGAGGACGAGAAAACGCTGTGCTACCAGGTGGCAGCCAATGGCGTTGCCGTTGTCAGAAGAGCAGATAACGACATGATCAACGGAACCAAACTTTTGAACGTCGCCAAGATGACCAGGGGCCGCAGAGACGGTATTCTGAAGGCCGAGAAGACCAGGCATGTTGTCAAGATCGGCTCAATGCATCTCAAGGGGGTGTGGATTCCTTTTGAAAGAGCCCTTGCTATGGCTCAGAGAGAAGGTATTGTTGACCTGCTGTATCCCCTGTTTGTCAAGGATATCAAGAAAGTGATACAGCAGGGAACTCCGACGACCCAGATGAGCAAGACGGCTGCGGTCCCGCCGTATTCGTACTACGTGCCTCAGCAGTATAGCTCTTCGGAACAACCAAGCGAGGAGAAAAAGGCCAAGCCAGCGGAGTCGGGATATGATAAGCCCAAGGTCAAGTCTGACTACTTTTACGGGTACAAGCCCCAGCCTTCCGGTGGCATGCACTATTCAAACTCGTATGCGAGCTACAATTCGCAGGCCTACCTCCCTCAGGTGGCCTCCAATCAGCCTCCCGCAGATCCTAATGCTTCTCAAGGATCTCTAGCGTCCACCAATACACCTTCCTCCTCTGTTGGGTACGCCAACCCTGCTCCGGCTCAGAAATCGTCTGCGTCTGACCATTCAGAGCCCTACATCAAGAAAAGTTCCGAGTCGAACTGAGTGTTTTTGTGTTGTTTTGACTATTATTTTTTTAAGGCTCCAATTTTATATTTTGTATTAATACTGATATCAATTTTTCAGGTGTGAAATTTTATTTTAAAAAAATTATGTCTCTATTTGCAGTTGACGGATGGGGCTTGGAAGGTAAGAAGGTTGCTGAAGCCGTTCCGAAGCCCAAGCCGGCTAAGGAAAATAATGCGACAAAGAAGAAGGGAAAAAAGGTGAACAAAAAGAACCAGAAGCAGGGTTCCAAGGTGGATCAGGTCCAGCAGGAGGACACAACCATTTCTTCTGCCGTGAATTCTGATAATTCCAAGACCAAGCCTGTTCAGCAGAAACCTTCCAAAGCTCCTCAGACTGAAACTAACTCGTCGCTTACTCCACTCCAACGCAAAATGATGGCCAAGCTGGCCGGATCGAGGTTCAGATGGATCAACGAACAACTCTACACAATCAAGTCTGACGAGGCTTTGAGACTGATACAAGAGCAGCCAGAACTATTTGAAGAGTACCACGAGGGTTTCAGATCACAAGTCCAGTCCTGGCCGGAAAATCCCGTTGATGTCTTTGTTAATCAAATCAAAACTCGAGCTACCACCAGACACGTCAATGCACCAGGAGGTCTTCCTGGACTGGCAAATAGCAGAGTGGTAATTGCCGATATGGGATGCGGAGAGGCCCAACTTGCGCAGGACGTGAAGAAGTTTATGTCATCAATAAAAAAGAAGAAGATAAAGATAGATGTGCACTCATTCGACCTGAAGAAAGCCAACAACTTTGTGACAGTGGCTGACATCAAGAACGTTCCGCTTGCGGACGAGTCTTGCACAATCGTGATATTTTGTTTGGCACTGATGGGTACGAATTTCCTCGATTTCATTCGGGAAGCATACAGACTACTGGCTCCAAGAGGGGAGCTGTGGATTGCGGAAATCAAATCTCGTCTGAGCGACGAGAAGGGAACCGAATTCATAGAGGTTCTCAAGAGTTTTGGATTTTTCCACAAGTCTACCGACGACTCCAACAAGATGTTTACTCGGTTTGAGTTCTTCAAGCCACCACCGGATATCCTAGCTGAGAGAAGGGCAAAGGAGGAAAAGAAGCGCAAATTTGTTGAAAAGGAGAACAAGCTGGAAGCTCTTGAGACCAAGAGACAGAAGCGACCTGAGGGGGAGTGGCTATTAAAACCTTGTATTTATAAAAGACGCTAATCGAGGATTCTGGGCTACGAAAAAATTATTCAACATGTAATATTATTAATTTTCGTTCACTAACGTCATGGTTCTAAAGATAGGATTTATCCCAGAGCATTTTTCCACTCCTCTGCAGTTTTCCAAGACGAAGGGATATTTTACGCAAAATGGCATCGAATGCGAGCTGATTGAGTACCCGTCGGGCTCAGGACACCTTATTCAGTCTCTCAAGAGCCGCGAAATCGACATCGCCATTGGACTCACAGAGGCCTTTGTTAGAGGAATCTGCGAGGGCGACCACGAAAGCTACCAGATTGCCGGCACATATGTGCAGTCTCCTCTTTGCTGGGCCATTTCCACCGGTGCCCAGCGCTCCGACCTGACTTCCGAGACCCAGCTTCAAGACGCATCGATTGGAGTCAGTCGGATTGGTTCGGGCTCGTACGTGATGTCTTTTGTTCTGGGTTTACAGCGCCACTTCAAGAGCCCATTTTTCAAGAAGTTTGTCGTTTTGGACAACTTCAAGAACCTCAGAGACTCGGTCAACAGAAAGGACGGTGTTGAGGCCTCGGACGCGTTCATGTGGGAGCATTTCACAAGCAAGAAATACTACGACAACGGCGAGATCAAGAAGATTGGCGAGATCTACACTCCATGGTCGTCGTGGGTTATTGTCTCCAGCAAAAGTGTGGAGCAAGCGCACGTGTCGTCCTTTTTGAAGGCTGTGCAGCAGGGTGTTGAGTACTACAACAGCCACAAGGACGAGGCCGCAAAATATATCGCTGACCATCTGGATTATACGTATGAGGACGCCAAGGAGTGGCAAAAGACTGTAAAGTTTGCTGGCGACGTCCAAAAAATCGATTTCGAAAAGGACATTCTCGGCACGAAGTCGGTCCTGAAAACCGCCGGCGTCATCCAGAAAGACGGCTCTGAAACAGACGAGCAGATTCTGCAAAAGCTGCGCGCCGGCGTCATCAACTAGGTAACTATAGAGTCTGTCTGTCATTCTTGTGTACGGTAACAACCTAATAATTTTGGGGTAAGCATGTGATTTTTCTTCGACAGAGAAGATCAGGACCCGAAATTTGGACCCGTGCTTCTGATCTTTAAAGACGTGCAAGATGTCGCTTGAGATTCCGCCCAGCAGTTCAAAGAGCCCAAGCTCGGGCTTGTTCTCTCCTGGGTTTGCAAATTCCCCAGCCCAAGGCAACATGAACGCCGCCTGGGACACCAACGAGGCCAACGGGCACAACAACGCACACCAGCCCGATTATTTTTCCGCAGACCTTGACTTTGACACGGCGTACATGCTAATGACTAATGAACTCGATGCGGGCGTTCCTTCGAACGCCGAGCTCTCCGCCGCGATCAAACACTCCGCCGGCTCGCAAACTACCCCTGGCTCCAGTTCTACTGACCAGTCGACCACGGTCCCGCAGACACCGCCGATAACCAATGTCGTGTCCACGGGGCTGTCGCCTTTCTATAGATCGCCGAAACTTGTCCAGGAACAGCTTTCGCGACCCTTGACCCCGGAAAACACCAAACTTCCCGACAAAAACAGCTTTTTTGCGCGATCGTCCTCGTCGTTTCATTTTGGCGAGTCAAGTCCTGCCCAGGCCACGTCGCCTGTGTCGCCAAACACAAGGAATTTGCTCACCACGTTCAACAACCTGAGCTATTCTGCGAACCTGGTGGGTCTGGCTCGACAGCAGTCGTCAGAGCTTCTTTCCGTGTCCGAAACGTCTGCGCTTGAGAACTTTCTGGACTCGATCGCCAACGACCAGAACTTGTCGAACCTCTCCAAACACTGGCACTCTATTGACCCTCTGGCCAGCTCAATAAAGGACTCGAAAAAGCTCCCTGAGACCGAGCTGGAGGTGATCATCAAGAGAGACGACGGGGCGCAGTCTCTGCCGTCGACTCTGACGCAAGAGGAGAAGCTGGCCCAAGAAAACTGCCAAAAACGACAACGGAGCAATTCTTTTTCCAAAAAGCTGCTCACAGAGGAGGAGAAGAAGCTGAACCACTCGGCGTCGGAGCAGAAACGGCGCGCAATGATAAAGAACGCATTTGACGACCTGTGCGATCTCATAAGTTCGTCTCCTGTGTATCTACGACAGACCAGAGGCGATGGTAGCAAGCCGAAAAGCAAGCGCAAAACAATGTCCAAATACAACGTCATGATGCACTCGATAGAGGAAATTGATCGGCTTCAAGATGTTAATAGACGGCTCAAGCAGCTGATAGGGTAAATAGCGAGTCATTGATGAGAAACGAGAGCAGTGTTATTGTAGGTCGATCGACGCGACTCGAAAAGCGCTCCGCGAAAAATGTCTGTTTATATTTTGTTTGTTTATTGTTCATTCAACTGGCGCTACCATTTGAACACCATGCGCCAGCGCTCCAATTCTGCGACTTCCGAGGATCTGGACTACCTTGCAGATTCCTCTGAACTTCATCTTCATTTCGATAATAAGAGTTTTGAGGATACTTTCAATGAGAACGAGTTTATAGATATGGTTTTGAACAGAAGATCCGATCGAGGACACGAGAGCGCGTTTGGGCGAGCTCTGCAAGCCCGCGAAAAAGAGTACAAAGAAAACGATGAGCCGGTTCTTGACTTCCAAACGCCGATACCCAACTCTGTGGCATCGTCCACTCCGAGGGTGGTTCCGCCGCAGAATGTTGGAATACTTCAGAGCCATCACAGAAACGTTTTAAATGAACGTCTTGACAGTGCAAAATCGGAACCAAACCAGGTTCAGAAGCTGGTGGTTAAATTTGATGATACCGTTCAGGATAAAGAGAACCATCACTATGTTCAGAAACTCAAATCTTTACAGACAGAAAAGGATCAGCTTGAAACTAAGATGGAGGAGTTGAGCTCGCAGAATACCAAACTAACAAGCGATCTGGATGCGAAGAACAAAGAGATAGAAGATCTGCATAAAAGAATAGACTCCCTGATAGACAGCCGAAGTGTTATCCAGAAAGAGCTGGACTCTTTTAAGGAAATGATTTTGGGTAGGGAAGAATTACAAAAGGATCTTGACTCACTGCGGAAGTCGAAAGAGTCGTTGGAACTGGAGAATGAAAATTTGAAGACCGCTGCGCAGGACCAGAAGACCAAATTACTCGATTCGGAGAAGGAGAACTCTGAGCTTGAGATGAAATTAAAGGAACAAATTGACTTAGTTGCCAAGTTGACCGTGGAAAAGGAAACAGCCGAAGCTGAGGCAGGTGAGCTCCACGGAGTAAGTGCAGATCTGGAGAACGTCAAGAAAGAGCTAAATATCTCTCTTGAGCAGAACCAAACCTTAAAGAAAGAGAAGGAGAGTCTACGGGTAGACTTGGAGGATAAGACGCAAAAGGTTTTGAGTTCTGAGAAGCTCAGATCTGAAATTTCCGAGCAGCTGGACACATATAAAATACAGACAGAAAAGGAGAAAGGACATCTTTCGTCGGATTTGCATGAAGCACGAAACCATATAGATCAATTGCTGGAAGAACAGCAGCATTTGACCAAACGACTGGAAGATTACGAATATCTCATTGAGTCGCTCAAATTAGAGAATGAAAAGCACGCCGCCAAGCACGGAGATCTGAACTCCCAGCTAACAAAAGAAGACCTAAAGAACTATGCGTTATTGAAGCTTGAACAGATTGACTCAATGACGTTTGTGGAACTTGCAAACAGTATGAAACAGCTGCTTCACTCGTTTGGTATTCGCTACCAGAACTTTGGTCCTTACTTCCATTTCTTAAGACAGTCGTTCGACTACTACGAGCAATTCGCGTTGAACTTGCACGAACTTCTGTACAACGAGAAGCCAATGAACCCCGAACTGCTCATTTCCCAAAACCTACGCAAGTTCTCGCCCGCTAATGTCAAGAACCTCAAGCGCTGTCTACAAGGGATGCTGGATGCGGTGGACACCCGAATGTACGGACAATAATATACGAATTCAACCAAATGCAACCGAATAAATACCCAGATTTTTCATTTCAGAGAAGAGATATCAACTTCTGGTCCGATGGTGACAATGTCATCGTAAAGTAAGGTGGTCAGGAACTCGGCCACCTCGGTGTGGCCATTAATTTCCTTTTTGAGGCAGTCTGCAGCGATCTTGAACTTGTTGTTTGGCTTGTTGGCAGCGCATCTCTCTGCCTCTTCGTCAATCAGCTTGCTGATGAATTCTGGAGTGATCGTCTTGCCGGTATCGTCCATCTTGACTGCGTGTTTACACCAGGAGTACAATTGCAATCTGGAAACCTCTGCGGTGGCAGCATCTTCCATCAAGTTGTTGATAGGCACGCAACCAAGGCCTCTGAGCCAGCTCTCCATGTAGTTGAGACCGATGTAGATGTTGGCACTCACACCTTTCATGGTGATCTTGCCGCCAGGAATGTTGGTATCGACGAGATCAGCCTCTGTAATCTCGACGTTCTTTTGGACGTGGACCTGGTTAGGAGTAGGCATGTGTTCCTGGAAGACGGACAGGGCGGTAGGGAGCAGTCCCGGGTGAGCAATCCAGGTTCCGTCGTGGCCTGCAAGGACTTCTCTGAGCTTGTCCTGTCTCACGGCCTCCATGGCAGCTGCGTTTCTCTCTGGATCGTCCTTGATAGGAATGGTGGCAGCCATACCTCCCATGGCGTGGACGCCTCTCTTGTGGCAGATCTTGATGAGCTGTTTGACGTAGTTGGTCATGAAAGGAACTGTCATGGTGACCTGGTGCCTATCAGGCAGAATATGTTGTTTTTGATTCCTCAGTCTTTTGATGGTGGAGAACATGTAATCCCATCTTCCACAGTTCAATCCAGCAGAGTGGTCTCTGAGGGCGTACAGAACCTCATCCAGTTGGTACGAAATAGGCAGGGTTTCAATCAAAACGGTGGCCTTGATGGTTCCTCTAGGGATTTCGAGGCAGTCCTGAGCAACGCAGAAGATGTCATTCCACAGCTGAGCCTCCTTGTAGTGTTCCATCTTTGGCAGATAGAAAAATGGAGCAAGGCCCTGCGAGAGCAGGAATTTTGCGTTGTGGAAGAAGAACAGACCAAAGTCCATGATCGAGGCAGAGATAGGCTCTCCGTCGACCAAAATGTGCTTGTCCACCATGTGCCAGCCTCTTGGTCTGACAATCATCACAGGCACTCTTCTGCCCTCTCTGTTGATTTTGTACCGTTTTCCAGTGGACTGGTTGGTAAAGTCAATTCTGTCTCTAATGGCATCGTACAGATTGACCTGGCCATAAATCATGTTGTTCCAAGTTGGAGAACACGAGTCCTCAAAATCCGTCATGTACGTGAACACGTCTGTGTTGAAGGCATTGACGATCATCTTTGCGTCTGGCGGACCAGTGATCTCAATCTTACGGCACTGCAGTTTAGGATGGGTAGGCAGACATTTCCAGTTAGGGTCGTCCCTGATGTATTTCGTCTCCTCGAGGAAGTGCAGCGACTCGCCGGCGTCCAGCTTTGCCTGGACCTTTTGTCTGTTTTCCAGGAGCTGTTTGCGGGTCTCGTTGAAGCTTCTGTGAAGCAGGACAATGAACTTCAGGGCATCTTTCGTCAGAATGTCTCTAGGAGTGGCCTGGGACAAAAGAGGCTTGTCCGAGACTTCGCCTAGGATTTTCACGTTATCCAGCGTGGTTGGGTTAATTTGTGCCATGTGGGAATTGTTGGATGCGGTGCACAATGACCGTATTTATAGGTTGCAAGTCATCCCATTCCATTCACCCTATATCCCACATGGTTGCGCCGCCAGGAGAAAAAATGCCGGGTTCGGGGTTCTCCGGAGACCCGATGAACCTTGCGGCCGATCTGGGGAACCGGAAAATTTTTTACTTTAAATACTATGTATATCCTCTATAACGTCACGCGTTTCGTGCTCGCTGTATGATTTGACCCTGCTGAACGCAAAACTGCGCTCGTTGCTGATATCCAGATCGCCCTCGTCCAGGGTCTCCTTATTGACAAAACCCATGCGCTTCCAGTTGAGCTTATGGTGTCGTGCGTACTTCCCACCATTGACGATCTGGAGCTCGTCCACAAACGTGTACATCGGCACGGGACCCTTGCAATTGCACCGCACATGCCCGTCAATACTCATTGACCAGGTTCCTTCGTAGACCCGTTCCCACTCGCTCGTCCCGAAGAGCTGTCTCCAGTTTCTGTAAAATTTGGGCACAACTTCCTGGGGCTGCATTATCGTAAGCAATTTTTGGCAGCTCCCGTCGGGGAAAAATCTGTTGTAGCGATAATAGGTTATCATGCGGAACGGCAGGTTCCACTGGTTGGAGAACTCTGCACGGCCTCCCTCGCGCTGGTAATTCACCACGCTGATGTAGAGCCCGTTGAACTTGATGAACGGTCGCTCGCTCAGCATCTTGTGCCAGCTGTGGTCCCAGATCCGAACCATCTGCCACTGATCGGCTGTAACGCCATTGAGCACCCGTTCAGAGTCGTCGTACACCTGTCTCGGATACACCAGCATGCACAGCCGTCTCCAACTGGCAGCCTGGCCGAAGCCGAGCCAGGCGAGCTTTTTGCACGACATGGCAAAATTGAACCACGACGGCGTGTCGCTGCAGATCAGAGTATCTAGAATATTGTTAATGACCTCGTCCGGCAAGGTCTCCAGCCAAATGGGCTTTTCCTCGTCTATGGGATGTAGAACAGCATCGTGAAAAGACTCCAGCAACGGCTTCACTTTGATTTTGCTGAGATCCAATTTCGTGAATCCGTTGTGCACAGAGCCGTCCTTACGCTTTTCCGGCACCGGCAGGTTCTTCACGAGGTTCTCGCGGTAGCGCAGATCAACCTTTTCATCCAGCTTGTACGCCTTCCGATAGTAATCGATTGCTTCGCTCAACGAGCCGGCCTGCTCCTTGTTGCTGCCTAGCTCGAAAAATTCCAGCGCAATGTCTTCCCTGGTCTTAGTCGGATGCTGCCGAATAGACTCCAGAGTCAGGTGTTTCAAAGACTCTTCCAGACTCTCATTAGACATTCAGGACTGATTCTGATAAAAAAAAGAGGAATAGATTACGTAATTGCACGGCTCAAGCTTGTTTCAAGCCTGTCTCCACGAGCCGATGTGAGTCGACACTGCGACAGTTTGGCTACCATTAGTGTTTAACTTCTCACTTATATATACCAAGATGACCCATACCATTGTACTCATCAGTAATGACACAGCTGAAAGACAAGTTACGCGAACTGCGGGAGCTGACAGAAGCTTTATATCGAGATTTTGGGCTCAAATGCGAGTACACCCTCTCAGACACCAACCACGCCTTGTTGGCGCCAGAGTTCAATAGCGTTCCCAAAGAGGCTGACACTACGGGCTCCTCAGTGGATGAAACTTCTGTGATTGAGTCGACTTTCAAGACAATTGAGATCGACCCTTCGGACTCGCACGAAGTGGACGAGTACCTTGTTCAATGCTTTGACGAATTCCAGCAGATTCCATGCAAGTTACTGGCGAAGGCATGGATAAGGCTCATCGAGCCTAAAAAACAGAGCAGGTATCCTTACAAGCTTGGAGACCGGTCCAAGCCGTTGTGGTGGCCGGAGACTTGTCGCCACAAAGAACCAGACCATTTGCGCAAGGAAGAGCGGATTGACCTGCTGGTATGCATAGTGAAGAGTTTCCGGTTCCAAGCAAAAGACTTGATCGCAACGGCAGAGTCTGTCGGAGATTTCAGCATAGCCCATGGAGACCACACAAAAGTGAGCAGACTGAGTAGACGCAAGCTCGACATACTTATAGAGATGTTTAAGGTTCTCAATGCTGCTCCCGGTTCTGGACCGGTGACCGTGAGCAAGCCAGGCAAAAAATATTCCAGCAAGGTCTACACCAAAAAGGTGTTGCAACGCAAGCTGGAGTCTGAGCAGCGCGAAAATATTCCTCCGGAGAAGCAGAGTCTTCCACCAAAAACTCCATCACCACGTAGGGTGCTGGGAGCGCCCCTGATACCCTCTAATATGCGCCAGACCTCGACTCCTGAAATGAGCTTCCAGAGTCCCAGTTTTGGGCACGAAAATATCGAGCCTAGCCTGGCAAGCCGAAACCCGCTTAGTCTTTTGACACCAAACAACTTCAATCTGCTGCTCTTGTACGGGCCATCGTCGACCGACTTTGGCGGGCTTTTCCAGGCCAACGAGAATACGAGATCCGCGCAGCGTGCAACGTATTTCCAGAGAGTGGACCAATTTGATAGCGACGAAACAGTGAGTGACTGTTGACATGCTCATATTACGCTCTCACCAATTGGAAAGTATACTATCTGAGTAATGAATTTCCCGCCGTATCGATGGATGCAGGAGCCCGCAAGAACGTTGTCCACCTTGGAGTTACAGGTGATGAGGTGGTTGAGCATCACGTGGTTCGGAATGTCCTGGTGGTCAATGTTCTCAACGTAATCGGAGTGTCGTAATTGTGAAACTGTTTGGACGCCCTGGTCGCTAGCCCGTTTTTTCAGCTGTTCTCTGATCGACTTGGAGCGCGGCTGGCGGCTGTACTTGTCCATCAAGTTCAGGTTGTTGATGTTGTAATGGTGCTGTTCGTTGATGTAGACGTGGTTCGAGTACTGGTATTGGTAAGGGTATGTGCGATAGTTGTGAGATGGCGAGTCGTTCAGCAGATTGGAGTTCAAATAAGGAGGTAAAAGCGGCGGTTCTTTATAGCCCAGCGACTGCAAAAAATCAAAGTGGTTCATCTTGTCGAACTCGGCGTCCGAGAAGTCGTAGGGCGATTTGTACGGGTAGTGTATCTTCTCGGGAAGGTAAAAATCGGGGATCTCGTTTGTGTATTCCTCTTTTTCCTGCTTTACTAGGCTGGATGTGGAAATATTCAGAAAACTCAGGTCGTGCGCAAGAGCGTCAGAGAGCTCTTCGACCGTGGAGGAGGCGCTGGACGTGTTGGCCAGCGGCACATGGTTGTACTCGTCCTCGAGACGCTGGTCGTTCACGTCGTCGGAAAAGAACATTCGCGAAATCGTGCGCTCTGGCTCCCTCTGTGATCCCTCCTCGCTTTCGGCGATGCCTGGGGCCCCGCGGCTCGACGCTGAGGACGACACCGTGGACGTCTCCGACGACGACAGCACCGGGTGGTCTTCGATGTTCTCGATAAATGAGTACGAGCCTACTTTATGAATTCTATTTTTTTCTTCCATCATGGAACAGAGATATTGCAGGTTAGCAAATATATATAAGATGCCTGTGACGTCAATCGATGTAAAGAGATCATCCGCACAGCCTCAGAAAATTTTATTACCCCCCGCAGTAAACTAAGTAGCTCTGCGTTTTTTGTTGTTTTGCGGTTTTTCCTCTTGCATATCCTCTTCGGCATCAGAGTTGAACAGCCGTTCGAGCTTGTTTCCCAGAGTTTGGAAAACCTTTTTCTGGAGCCCAAACTTGTCCATCGGAACATGCATGTTGTCGAACGCAATTATCGCCTCAATCCGGGGTGCATTATCGATCATATCGGCGGTCAGGGGCACCTTGAAAATCGACGAGACCCTGTCTATCTCACTGTTGCTATGCAGTGGATTCTGCAGCTTCTCGTACACCTTGGTAGCACTCGAACAATAGCGGTACCGCTGGCTGAAATGCGTCAGTAGCAGCTTTTTGGTCTTCATCAGAATGCCCATCTGCACGGCCTCCGACGTCGTGCTGTGTCTCTTCTCGATTGCGTCTTGGTACTTGTCGTCCTCCAAAGTAGACTCGTGCACCAGCAGATCGCAATCATAGCCGATTTTCGCGAAACTCTGTCGCGGCCTTGTATCTCCGGAGTACGCAACTTTGAACGACTCTGAGCCGACCGCAAAGTCCAGCATACAACTGTACGAGTATTCGCAATGGAGCGCGTAGCACGTCTTAATGGAGTTCAAACCGACGTCCCTGTACAGCTGGCTCTGTAGCTGGAGATCTTTTTTCGGCTCTTTTTGCGTGCCTCTCACCTTGAGAGTCTCATTCTTGGGAATATCTTCGATAGGTATCTGTTCGAACTCGGGCAAAACCTTGCCGGAGTTGAACTGGTCGCAACTCAAGTACACGACGTTCGCCAGGTCCAGCGTGCTGTCGATCCGCTGTAGCTCTGTGAGGAATTTTTCGTACTGCCAGGGAGCCACGACATACAGCTTGTCGTGCTTGCTTCTTACCTGGCACCATTTCTGCAGTAGTGAGACGATCCCGATGTGGTGATCAGCGTGCAGATGCGACAAGTACACCAGCTTCAGTTCTCTGAAAAGCATCGTAACGTCCTCCCGCGAGTACAGCTTGTTGATGCTGCCCAGGGTGTTCTCGCCAGCGTCCAGGAAAATGGTTCGGTAGCCAGACTCGGTTGGCACTCTCACAGCATTCGATATCACATTTCTGAGCTTAGACGGCAGCGCCGAGCCCGTCCCCAAAACTAGAGTTTCAACTTGTTCCTTCAAAGGCCGAGAATTGTCGGGAACCTGTTTCAGATTATTATTTGCAGGAGTGGTGGCTAGCTTGACAAACTCTTCCTCAGTAACAAAGCTTGGAAGCTGCAAGGGAGCTATATCTTCTGCATAGGCATCCCGCAAAGTCTTGACTACTTCTTCTGTGCTGGTGCAGCTGCTGGCTCTGACAATTGAGGTCTCGTCAGGCCCAAAGCCGACAATTTGGCCGCACAGCATCGGCCGCACGTTGGGTAAACCTTCTGGTATATGCTTTTCTGGCTGTTCACTCCATCTGAAAAGAGGAAACAGATCTGGAAGCAAAACATGCCATTTCAAAGACGTCACGTACGAAGACAGGAAGTTTAGTGTGTCAGGAACGTACTGTCTGTGAGAGACGAAGTGGTAGGTGTCGGGACCGAACGATTTGATGAATTTCTGGTATTCTGGAAGATCCAGCACGTTGACTACCGACTCATCAACGAAGTGGTAAACTGCTGAGTATTTTTTTTCTTCGAGCTCGCTCTTCCAGTCATGCTCTATAGTGTTGTGCAGATACTCAGGACCAGGAATGTCAAGGAATAAAATACTATCGAACGTCTTCATGGGCTCCAGAACCTGTTCGGGCTTGATTTCAGTTCCGTCCTCGAGCCACACGCTTTGGAAATTGCACAGGTCCCTGTATTTTTGTTTAGGACATCCCAGCTCTTTGGCTTTTTCAACCAAAAACCTTCCGCGGATAGGGTTCCCCGTCATGATGTAATTTGCAGAGACTTTAGGGTTGTGGACATCGGACGGTATCTCAATATTCATCAGAGCGCGTCCACTGTTGCCCATTCCTGTCTTGATGAGAAATATGTACTGCACCAAATCAGATACCCGTTCGAATGCTTTGCTAGTCTTCGTGCGTGTTTGGGTTGCAGATTTAATATTCACTGCTTTGACTTGGTATGCGTCAGCTTTGTATACATCTAAATCGTCGACCCTCAGCTTCAGTCCAAAGCGGAAGACGAAATACCTCCAAGATGCAACCACGTACTGAAGAATTTTGTTTCCACTGTGGACCACTTGGAGCTCTTTTAGCCCTTGATCTCCAACAGTGAGAATAAACCCAGGCAGTCCGCTGACTGCGGCCCAATCAGTAATGCCCGTGAGGAAGATGGTGTCCATTCTGGAGGTTCTGAAGCCCATTTGATTGCATTGCCTCTGTAGACCTTCGGGCACTTGGCCTATGATATGCCGTTTGCCGGTCACTGAGTCGGTCACAAACACTGACGGACGGGCTATTTCGGCCGTCGGGTGGTTTGTGACTATGAGCTGGAACCTCATTCCGATCTTGGTCAGGACTTGTCTCAACACTTTGAAAGTTGGAGGAGCCAGTAAAAAAGTAGTCCTGACACAGCCGTGAAAAAAATAAAAAGATTCAAATTTTTTCAAAAAAAAATTTTAGATCTTATTGTTGCCTGGCATGGTTGAAAAGCAAAAGAGAAAGAGAACAGAAACAGACGAGGTCGGTGACAATAAGAAGTCGCTACTCTCCAAGAGCGCCGAGATCTCTTTTCCTAGAGGAGGAGGGTCGGTGTTGACGCCGCTCGAAATTAAAGAGGTTGCAAATGAGGCCGTTAGTGATGCTCTAGCAGAAGCCAAAGAGTCAAAAAGCAGCAAGAAATCCAAAAAACAGAAGGTTGTTGCAGCACCTGCTGAGCAGATTGGAGTTGAGCATGTGTCATTCAAAACTCTTCTTCCAGGAAGCATGGTTCTCGGACAGATTAAGCAGGTCAACCGCATGGAGATCGTTCTTTCATTGACAGATAACCTGATGGGTTTCATTCCAATCACGAATATTAGTAACGCATTGACCAGTCAGCTTCAAGAATTTGATGACGAGCAAGACGAATCTGATGAAGAACCAGCATATGGCGATGATGAAGAGACCCTCACGAATGGTATAATATCTTCGAGAAAGAAGTCATTCCCGCAACTAGTTACCAGATTCCAGGTCGGACAATGGCTGAGAGCTGTTGTTGTTGAAAGCACCAAAAGCAAGAAAAAGCGCATTGAACTGAGCATCGAGCCGTCCAAAGTGAATGAACCAATGGATAACGACGATTTAGTCACCAACGCTATAATTCAAGCTTCCGTCAAATCTGTTGAAGACCACGGACTGGTTCTAGACGTGGGAAAAGAGAAAATTGGTGGATTCATTGCGAAAAAAGATGTCCAATCCCTTGTTGACGTTGGCTCTGTTCTGCTGGTGAACATCGCCAAGAAAGATGGCAGGACACTTATCTGCTCTCCTGTGAATAAGCTCAGTGTTGTCCAAACTATTTCCTCGATTGACGCAATTCTTCCAGGTATGGGTGTGGAAGCTTTGGTGACGGATGTGACGAAAGAAGGCGTCATTTGTAAGTTGTTTGGCCTCGGCAACGCTAGCATTCCGCTTTCTCACCTTGGAGTTTACGAATACTCAGAGCTCAAACACAATTTTGCTGTTGGTAGCAAACTCAAGTCCAGGGTGATGGTTTCGTATGTGAGAGCTGGCGACAAGAGGTTTCTTCTCTCTGTTCTTCCGCATATCAAATCCTTGAACGCCAACGTTTTCGGAGAGACCTCTGCCTTGGAAGCCTTCCCAATCGGCCACATTTTCGACTCTGTCACTATCAAAGGAAAGGACTCAAGCTATATATATGTGGACGTGGGAAGCGATCTTGCAATTGGACAGGCGCATATCACCAGAGTCAGCAGCACCAAAGACCTCGACATGGACTTCAAAATTGGCTCCACTCACCGTGCGAGAGTCCTAGGATACTCTGCTACCGACAACCTGTATATTCTCACACTCGACAAGCAGCAAATAGAGCGCAAATTTTTGCGAGTCGAGGACATTCCCGCTGGCGAGCTCATCAATTGTGAGGTCCGTTCGGTTGATGCTGAGAAAGGAATCGTTGTGAAGTTCGAAGAGGACTTTGAAGGAATTGTTCCGCCGGCATATATGAGCGATGTGAAATTGATTTATCCGGAGAGAAAGTTCAAAATTGGATCTAAAATCAAGGGGCGTGTGTTGCGCGTTGTCAATCAGAGCGGCAAGTCCAGGATCTATGTGACTCTGAAAAAATCGCTCGTCAACATCGACGATGAAGACGTTGTTTCCAGCATTGACGACGTGGAGGCAGGCAAGAAAACTTTTGCAACCATCGATAAAATGCTTCCAATCGGATGTGTTGTGAGGTTCTTTGGATTTGTCAAGGCCTTCCTGCCGAACTCGGAAATCAGTGAGACGTTTGTGAAACGTCCAGAAGACCACGTCAAACTTGGACAGACCGTGAAAGTCCGCGTCGTTTCTGTGGACAAGGAAAATAACAGAATCAAAGTCAGCTGCAGAGTGTCGGAAGCACTGTCGGATATGCAAAAGAAGACGCTTTCTTCCATCGTCCCAGGAAGATCCATCGTTGACGTCCAGGTGGTCGAGAAAGAAAAGGACTCTGCCATCGTGGAGCTCGCTGAATCTGGTTTGCGTGGAATCATCTATGCTGGCCATCTCGGTGAAGGGAACTACGAACAATCTCGTGCCCAGCTGAAGAAGCTTCAAATCGGCTCCCAGCTCAAAACTTTGGTGCTAGAGAAAGACGTCCGCTCTCGTGTGGTGAAGTTGAGTGCCAAAGAGTCGCTTATCAAAGACGCTCAGGAAGGAAAGCTACCACTACAATACAGAGACATTGAAATTAGCGATGACTTGCTGCACGGCTTCGTCAAGTCCGTGACGCCGAGCGGAGTCTTTGTCAGCTTCGGAAACGGCCTGACGGGTCTTGCACTGCCTCGTCACGCGGTGGAGAAACCTGTCGACGACTTGCAAAAGGCCTTCTTCACCAACCAGTCTGTGACGTGTCACGTGATCAGGGTGGACGACGCGAACAAGCGGTTCCTGGTTTCGATGAAAAAGGAGAGTAGCACGACGTCTGAGCCGGCTGAGAACCCTGTTGACAGCAAAATGAAGACTCTGGACGATTTCGCCGTTGGAAAGACCACTAAGGCCAAGGTCAAATCCATCAAGCAGACACAGTTGAATGTGCAACTCGCAGACAACTTGCAAGGAAGAATCGACGTGAGCGAGCTCTTTGACGATGTTTCGGAGATCAAGGACGTCAAGAGGCCTCTTTCACAGTTCCATGCAGGCGAGGTGCTAGACGTGAAGATCATTGGCTTCCACGACTCAAGAAACCATCGGTTCCTTCCTATCAGCCACAAGAGAACTAACCAGACCGTTTTGGAGTTGAGCGCGAAGAAAAGCAGCGTTTCTAGCCACAAGCCAGTGGTGCCTGCTTCTATTGGAGATTTCCACCTTGGTGACGAGTGCACGGGATATATCAACAATTTTGCCAGAGGATTCTTGTGGGTGACGATCTCTCCAAACCTTAGAGCGCGCGTCTCTTTGATGGACCTGTCTGACGACGCCTCGAAGTTTGAACACTTGGAAAAAGAATATCCTGTTGGCTCTGTGGTGCGTGCCAAGGTGATCGATCTTGACACGGAACACAATATTTTGAGTCTTAGTGCTAGAAACAAAGCTATCACTTCATTGGAGGACCTGGAAGTGGGCTCTGTGATCCCGGCTAGAGTTCTGAAGACCAGAGAGAGCTATGTGGTTGTTGAGCTTGGCAAACAGGTTTCTGGTATTTCCTTCATCACGGACGCTTTGAACGATTACACAGATAAACTCGACGACATTTTCTCCACCAACGACATTTGTGCTGCCACGGTGCTGGAAGTGGACCATTCCAACAAAAAGGTGTACGTCTCGCTGCGCACCGGGGACGTTAAAGACAAGAGAATTGCATCGTATGAAGATCTGTCTCCAGGTACCGTTGTGCGAGGATTTGTTAAGAACGTCGCCAACAACGGTGTCTATGTTGCATTGGGAAGAACCGTGCATGCGCTTGTTCGTGTGAGCGATCTGTCAGACTCGTATCTGAAGGACTGGAAGCAGTATTTCAAGGTGCACCAGCCTGTTCTAGGAAAAATCACCAAATGTGAGGGCGAGAACCAGATCCTCATGACTCTGAAGCAAAGCGAGATTGACGGCGATTTCAGTCTTCTGAAGCGGTTTGATCAAATTCAAAAGGATGAGATTTATGAGGGAAGCGTCAGAAGAGTCACTAACTTTGGTGTTTTCGTGAACCTTGACGGAACCGTGAACGTGAGTGGATTGTGTCATCATTCTCAAATCGCAGACAATCCCGTTACAAATCTTGAGGCTCTGTTTAACGAAGGCGACCGTGTGAAGGTGAAGATCCTCGACGTTGACCACGAGAAAAAACAACTGTCTCTTGGTATGAAGGCTTCGTACTTCACTGGCGAGACAGAAGAGCCGGCCGTTGAGGAAGAGGAAGACGAGATCATGTCCGACGATAGCATTATTGACACCGCTTTCGGACATGAGTCCGACAAGGACGCTGAGTCGGATTATTCTGACGACTCTGATGCTCCTGCTACCGGTGGTCTTTCCGCAGGATTCGACTGGACTGCTTCAATTCTGGACCAGGCCAAGGAAGACGTTTCTGACGACGACGAGATGGAGAAGCCAAAGAGAAAGAAGCGGAAGGTGGTTGCAGAGGATCAGACTGCCGACCTGAACTCGCGTGTACCACAGTCTGTGTCTGATTTTGAGAGACTTATAGTTGGAAACCCAGACTCGTCGATCTTGTGGATGAACTATATGTCTTTCCAGATTCAGTTGAGCGAAATCGACAAAGCCCGCGAAATCGGCGAACGCGCACTCAAAACTATCAATTACAGAGAAGAACAGGAAAAACTCAACATTTGGATTGCCCTGTTGAACTTGGAGAACATGTTTGGCACAGAGGAGTCGCTGGAAGCAACTTTCAAGCGCTCGTGCCAATACATGGATCCATATGTGATGTACCAAAAACTGGCTGCCATCTACATTGCCTCTGAGAAGGTGGACAAGGTGGACCAGCTATACACGGCAATGTGCAAGAAATTCGGCTCCCAACATACCTCTGTGTGGGTGGCATATGGATCGTTCCTTCTTCAACAGCAGGATGGAGAACGGGCCCGTGAAGTGCTTGCTAAAGCCTTGCAAGTTCTGTCTAAACGCGACCATGTCGAAGTTGTCAAAAAGTTTGCTCAGCTCGAGTTCAGCAAAGGAGACCCGGAGCACGGACGTTCACTGTTTGAGGGACTTTTGTCGGACGTTCCAAAGAGAATTGATCTGTGGAACGTCTATATTGATCAAGAGATCAAGTTTGGTGACAAGGAGAAGGTGGAAGCCATTTTTGAAAGAGTGGTGACACGCAAGCTGAGTCGCAAACAGGCCAAGTTCTTCTTTGGAAAATGGTTGGAGTTTGAAGAGAAGCACGAGGACCAGAAGGCATGCGATTACGTGAAAGCTAAGGCTGTCGAATATGCGCAAGGCCTTGGAAAAGAGTAATTGATAATAGAAGTTTTAATACAAGACATTTTTAAAAATAAAAAAGGGCCAAAAAATCCCCAAGAAAAAACACTGGAGCCTAGTTTATTATTTGTCGTATTTGTTGTACTGCCAAATACCCATCCAACGCTCTACAATGTCTTCTTTTGCACTGGTTTGGAAAACTTACAGACAATTCAATTCCACTTGGATGTTCGGATTGGGCACAATCGTCGTCCTAGTCGTTAGCGCTAGCATGAGACAGGCCCGTATGACCCACGACTTTGTTTCTCAGTTGAGCACATCCCAGACACTGAATTCGCTCATGAGCTGCTCAGGCTCTTACAAGAGCATTGACTGTCTCAGACGATACCACAACGAAATTTTGCGAGAGTTTGCCCCGACCCTCATACCAATTGTTCACGCTGAGTTAAAATTTTGTCTTAATGGACTCCAAAATGGCCAATCGGGCGCTGATGTGCTTCTGGGCGTCCATTCCTGTCTTAGCAGGGCTGACAAGCTCAATACGGCCTTCCAGAAAACACACACGGAAACAGTACCATTCAATACCTGGCTATTAGCATATTTTTCAGTCACCGCGCTCTCCATAGCGTGGCTAGTGGGACATCTACTTGCATCAAATCAAAAAACACTCAAGACACAGGACGGTCTTGCATTGCAAAACGTTGTTGAAAAGCTCGATGCCATGCTGAATGACATATCCGGCTTGAAAGAAAAGATACTGGGCCTCGAAAAAGCAGTCTGTAATTTAGAGCTCTTCGCCAACAGCTTCACAGGAACAGAGAGATCGTTCAGCAAAAGGCTTGAACACGTCTTACAATCCTGTAAGGAAACCAGCCAACAGCTTGCATATGTGTCCGACCCTTTCCCTCTTGCATCCGGTTCGATTGGTCGGACCGCCAGACCGTCGGATATATTCCTCGAAGACAAATCCATCAAAGTCGGCAACAAGACCTTCAACATAGCAACAAAGGATGGGCTTGACCAATGGAAGACGTTTGTGCACCAAAGCATCAACAAGAAGCCAGAACAGGAGCCTAACCTGTCTGGATCCGAAAACGAGACAACACCCAGTCCCATCGATGTCAAAAGTCTGAGGATGACAGATGAGAACGGGAAACCGTTTAGACGCATTTTTGTGCCCAACAGAGGCTGGGTTTCATCGAGAAAGCTCCATCAAGAACTGCAGCTAATGGCTTGAGCTCTTATTTTTGGTGTACAGGTGTTGGGTTTTTCGTGTATATCCTTGTAAGTTGGCTATCGTAAAAGTAAGTATCAATTGATTGATATTCCAATTGTATCGGTCAGATTGTGATGGATGGTAATTTCTACTCCTCATATACAATACTATTTGACCTATTCAAGCCCGATCAATTGATAGGAGAGGTATTCATACACGGTGAATCAAGTGTCAAGGCTGCAGAGTATTTGGGAGTGCTAGACAAGAAACATCTGGTCAATTTTGGGGAGGATCTGTTTGCAGAGCCCTGGACTAATCTCGTATTTGCCAACAGGAATATTTTCACTGATTTACCCAAGAAATCTGTTACTTCAGGTGATCTAATAAGCTCATTAAACAGTCTTACGCCCAGTGAGACTCTGATCGAACAGAAAGTCAAGACACTTAAGCTTCGCGACTCCAACAAAATCGACTACCGCTTTTCTAGGGTTGAGGTTGAGGTGGTGGATATGAACAGCATTGATTTGCAGGCAAACGAGCCTTTAAAGGCCAAATTGCTCGGCTTTGGAGTAATCAGGCTTTTCAGAGACCGTGATGATATTCAAAACGAGGGGGACGAATCAAAGATCACTGGAGATGAGACAATGGTTGCTATGTTGGGAGTGCCGTTCTACTTTTCAGCCAGCGACCTGCTGTTGGGATTTTTCGACGCCAATGTAAGAAATCAGGTGTCTCACTTCAGGCTGATTCGAACACAAGCCCCTAACCGATTTATGGTGCTGATGAAGTTCAAAGACGCACAACATGCGAGAGAGTTTGTTGATAATTATAACGGGCAACCATTCAACTCCATGGAGCCAGAAACGTGTCAGGTTGTATTCATCAAGGAGATACTATTTCGTCCAAACAAACACGATAATGATACCCTTAGCACGATACCCTATCTTTTGGACGACCCATTCACATCTAGCGACAGGGCTCCAGGTTCCTCATCACAGCTGATTGAGCTTGCTTCTTGCCCCGTTTGTTTGGAGCGGCTCGATTCGTCCGTCACAGGGCTGCTTACCATCCCGTGTCAGCATACTTTTCATTGCCAATGCCTATCGAAGTGGAAGGATGACTCGTGTCCAGTGTGTCGATATTCGGCAAAATTCGATGCGCGCAAGAACCGTCAAGCCGATCAGGAGGAAAGGTGTCTCGTTTGCGGAACCAGCGATAATCTATGGATCTGTCTCATCTGTGGCAACATAGGATGTGGACGGTACGATTTGGGCCACGCTATTGACCATTACAACGAGACTTCACATTGTTTTGCTATGGAAGCAACATCGCAGCGAGTGTGGGACTATGCCGGCGACAACTACGTTCATCGCCTAGTCCAAAACGAGGCCGACGGAAAACTTGTTGAGTTACCTATACATAGCGGAAAAGAGCACCAATCCAGCTCTTCAGGAAATGAGGATAAGGTTGAGAAGATTGGGTTTGAGTATTCCAAGATGTTGATCGCTCAATTGGAGTCCCAACGTGAGTTTTACGAGATGAAATTCGAGGAGGCTAATAATCGAGTGCTATTGGCTAATGAAAACATACAGGCCATGAAGGAGCAACTCCACGAGCTTCAACAGAGTTTGGCAAAAGCTAGGCCAGAGAAAACAGAAAACAGTAAGAAGCAGAGAGATCTGGAACTGGAAAAGAAGTATAAAGAAGAAGTCACATTAAACGAAGCACTATCGGAGAAGGTGGATTATCTCACGAAAGAGAACCAAGAGCTAAAGGCACAGAACACAGAGCTGCAGGAGCAAGTTAATGATATTATGTTTTATTTGGAATCGCAAGAGAAATTTAAGAATGCACCGGATGAAGTGAAGGAAGGTAAGATTATCACCAAACCTAGTCGGAAAGCAAAGAAGAAACGCTAATCGTGATTCTTCAGGTCCACCAAGTATTCCTCATTGGTGTAGGAGAAATTATTGAAATACACGGACTCCTCAAATTGGTTGTCAGCGGTTGGTTTTTTGATTGCGATGTACGAGGACGTGCTGGTTGATCTTGACTCTTCCTCTATTTCTTTGAGCAGAGAATGTTCGATTGGGGAGCTCGGAGGTGTGATCTTCATCGAAGTGAACTCTTCGTCGAAATTCTCTGCCAGCTCGGGATTTGTCACGACTGGCACTATTGGAGGTGGCTGTTCTGCATCATTTTGGTCTATAACATGTTGCCAATTAATATACCGGAAAAATCTATGGGATCGAACTTTATTATCGAACTCAATGTCGCAATTGAGTCTTTTTTGCGGGTTCTTGTTGAGAAGCTTGATGAGTAGGTCTTTGACATCCTGCGAAAGATAAAACGGATACTTGACTTTTTGCGTGAGGATCTTGTCCATGATTCTTTTATTGTTGTTACCAGTAAAAGGCGGTGACCCTGTCAGCAGATCGAACGTAACTGCTCCCAGAGACCACCAATCGCATTGGCTGTCGTAACGTTCGCCTTGGATAACTTCTGGGGCAATGTACTGAGCGGTTCCAAAAAGTGAACTGCTTTCAGTTGACACTTTGCTGAGACCAAAATCTGTTAAAACCAAGTGTCCGCGTCGGTTAAGCATGCAATTTTCTGGCTTGAGATCACGATAAATCACACCTGTGTGCAGATGCAAATGCCTGAGAGCAAGAATTATCTCGGCTACGTAGAAGCACGCAATTTTCTCAGACAAAATCCTTTCTTGCGACAAGTGATGAAATAGCTCTCCACCTTCTAGATATTCTAAAATCAGGTACAACTTATCGAAATCCTGAAGAGCATAGAACAATTTGACCACATTCGGGTGCCTGACACGCTCGAGGATGGTTCTTTCTGTGAGCGTTCTTTCGTAATTCTTTGCATTCACAATCATGGAAGCCTTGCGGAGTTGTTTTTGTGCATATAATTTACCGGAGCTCTTATCCTTGACCAGGATGACTTTACCGTAGCTACCTTTGCCCAAAACTTTGATTGGTTGGAAATCTGCCACCTTCTTTTTGCGTTTTCCTGCCTGATAAGGCAGGTCGATGGGCACTTCATAGGACTTGGCTAGCCGGCTTCCAATCCCATCAGACGAAGCAAACTCGCCAACCTTAGGCACTTCTGGCTCATTGAACTCCCTCAAGTCCAGTTTTTCGATCTTTGACGCAAGCTGCTCATCGTCAAATTCGAATAACTGAGTCATTTAATACCCAATATAAATCGAAATATTTAGTCTTATATAATCGAAATATCTCTGAAAGAAAAACTCAAAATATCGGAGAGCTGTAAGTATGCCATACAATGAGGTGACTCCGCGCACTACGCTCAAAAAGAATTACAAGGATCCGGCCACATGGCCCAAAGCGCTACATGGGTTTATATCTGCCTCTTTCAAAAAAGCGTCGGAACTGAAACTCACGCTGGACAAGAAGAAACAATTTCAGGCCGAGCTCAAAGAACTAATCAACATGGCCATAGACCAGGGGAAAATCGAGACTAATCCATGGGAAAGCCAAACCTTGCCTTCTTTGGGGGGCTCCCAAAAATTAGATCTTTATTGCAACCAGGTGGAGAAGGCGCGGAAACAGAAAGTACATAAGGAGCCAGTTCAGGTTTCAGTAAAGCAGACGATCAAGAACAAAAATGTTTTCGATGAGCCGGATGGACAGCCTGGTCCTTCTGCGCTTCCCCCTCTCAAGAAAATGAAGAAGACTCAAAGAAACAACGAGAACGCAATGACCTCGCTGCAGCGCAAAGAGCTTCGAAGCCAGCGATTCGAAAGAGAGCTTAGCACTCCGCCTCCAGACAAGAACTCCACCCCGGTGCATACAAACCCTAACACCCCACTTGTAGGAACATGCAAAGAACTGGAAAAACGGTATTTAAGACTAACATCGCAGCCCAACCCAGCAACCGTCAGACCCCTTCCAATACTGAAAAAGACACTCCAACTGCTGATCGATAAATATTTCCAGAACGCTACTTACAATTACCTATGTGATCAATTCAAATCCATGAGACAGGATCTGACTGTTCAGCATATTAAAAACGCATTTACGGTCAAGGTGTACGAATTCCACTGCAAAATAGCGATTCAATTCCAGGACCTGGGAGAATTCAACCAATGTCAGTCACAGCTCAAGCTGCTGTATGTCCAACTTGGCACTCCTTCGGCTGAATTCTACTCGTACCGCGTTCTCTACTACATCCTCACAAACAACTTCAACGAGGCCTTTGAACTCAAGTCTCAGCTCCTGGACGCGAACCTAAAATTTGACGAATACCTTGACACAGCATACAAACTTTTAGAGTTCACAGTGACCAACGACTACAGCCAGTTTTTCGGTATAGTGAAACTTTTGCAGGAGAAACACCAGGAAGAGCTAAAGACACTGCAACCCGTCTCCCATGTAAACGTACTAACAGACAAAAACGCACTAAAGCTAAATCACACCGCCTGGTTTTTTTTCTTACAGCTGTTACGGCCGATCATCTCGAAAGTGCGTATCAATACATTGGTCACGATCAGCAAATCGTACCGCAAATTGGCCGTCGCTGTGGTGCAACAGCTGCTCAATTTCTCTGAGTCCGAGCTGAGCGAGTATCTTACACAAACAAGCCTGGACCAGTATGTGGACCAGGGAATGCTGGACTGCGTCCAGTGCCGACCAACGGTAGAGCAGCTCAAGAGCCAAAATAGAAAAATAGACATCAAGGGACAGGTCTAGCCGAGGTCTGGGCCAAGCGCGATCATTGCAAAGTTCATACTATTGTCCTCATCTGCAAGAGACATGTACCGCTGCACACGTTGCAGAACTAGCTGCGAGCTGATGGCATCCGACTCTGGCTCGGCGTGTCCCAAATCGACGGGGCCGTTTCTGCGGCCGTCCAACTCGTAGAAGTGACCGTCAGCGCCTTTTGTAAAGCATATAAAATGTAAGTTGACTTCCTCCTCTGAGCTTGGAGCTTCTGTCTGGCCCTGTTTGCTAAATTGCTCGTAAAGTGAGAGCGAGAGCTCTTTGACAAGCTTGCTCTTCTCGTCGTGGTTATTTGAGTTGTTCACATTCGGCAGCTGTCTCACGTTGTCCACAAATGACTCGATCGGCGAGTCTTTCACCAAAAGTCCCTCGGGCAAATTGCACAGGGCATGGAGCAACCCGTACAAACCGCAGCCGTTTCTGAGCAGCTGTTTGAACCAGATGATGTGCTCGAACTTATCGTCTTTCTCTTGGTCTCTGCCTTTTTCCTCGGTCTCTTTGAGACTTTCATACTGTTCTGTCACTGGAAACAGGAGAATCAACGAATAGACGGGTCTCGGAAGAAAAGACACCAGATCGGGATCTGTGAGGGAGTACACATCGAAAAACGAAAGTAGCGGCGAAAGACCGAGCTTGCGACCGAACTGAGTGAAGATTTCGGGATTTGACTCCAAGGGAATTACAGAATCCTGCGACATGGTAAATGTGAATAAATTTAATATGTTCAAAGAAATGACATATTGGGGTGTGAGGAGTAATTAACTTCCCCAGCTTTCGACACGGAATTAATGAGTGGTGATAGAGCCGTGCGAAACTGGGAGTGACTGCAACTACACATATCCAGTAAGTAGATCCACTTTCCAGTGCATCAGAAACAGCCTTTGGCCTGCTAATTCTATCACCTGCGTGGAGCTACAAGAGATAAATAGCTAGCAAGCAGAATAGAGTGCCAAATGTTTGGTTTTTCTTACAAGGATGTATTTTTCGGCACAATTTTAATTTTTCATGGATATAGTAATACCAGAAGGTGAGTATGAAGGGGAGTTGTTTGAAAACCACCGTGGACACGCCGTCTTCGAGGCTGTGAGCGAGCTGAGACGGCTGGGATACGGGTTTGACGACATTCTCAAACAGTCTGGGTGCGATCGAGCGTTTCTGGAGGGCCTCTTCCAAACAATGAAGATACCGCTACAGGAGCGACGCCAGACAAAACCGTTTCACACAAGCGAGTGGATAGACCAGCTGGTGTTAGAGGTGAGCGAGGACGAGGAGCCAGAAGAGACAGAACCAGCGAACTTGAGGGAGAAGCAAGACGAGATCCACCGGATGAGAGAGTACATCAGAGAGCTGGAGAGCCGACGAGCGCCGTGGCCTGTGCCCAGAGACCCCAGAGTGGTCGAAATGGAAGCGCTTCGGAAAAAACTGAACTCTGCCAACAGGACCGCGCTCGCCCTGAACGAAACCATCCGGAAGCTGGACTTCCAACTGAAGCTGAAGAAAACCGACCTGGACAAGACCTTGAAAGAGATCGAGGCCCTTGAGGATCGGATCGAAGCACTTCGGGCTTCGCCTCAGCCGGAAGAGCCTAGCGAAGTACTGGAGCTTTAATATCTTGATAATGCATAGACTCTTATCCCATTCACCCCCGCACCGATCTGAACAACTCGGCTTCAGGTCTCCGAAAAAAAATGCCCAGGCAGTGTAGTAAAAAATGAGGAGGAAGTCGAAAATTTCGATACGTAGGACCGAATATTGTTTACCATGGCCTCGGCGTTCAGAAGATTTCTCAATAGCGAAACGGGACCTAGAACGGTCCATTTTTGGGTAGGTATTACCAACACAGCGTTACTAACACTTTGCAGGCTCCTGTCATGAAAGTAAGTGGATATACGAAAGCGGGACTTTAGTAGTTCTCGCTTTTTTCGTCGCGTTACTAACAACACAGTGGAGTTTGGTTTTCGCAGGCGCCAACGACATGGTTAGACCTGTCGAGAAAGTGTCGGGAAGTCAGCAGCTTGCGCTGTTGGCAACGGGTGCAATCTGGACGAGATGGTCGTTTGTGATTCGCCCGCAAAATATGCTGCTGGCCTCCGTTAATTTCCTGCTCGGTACGGTCGCCGGATACCAGGTGATCCGGCTCTACAACTGGAGAAGAACACTGGGCGACTCTCCGTTGGACTCCTTCAAGTACATCCTCAACGGAACGCCCGAACCAGCGAAATCAGAAGCTTAACATTATAGATTCACCGAGCCAGGAGCATACTCATCCTCTACCGGCGTCCATAAACGATTCCTGCTTGAGCAAGCCTGTCAGTTCATCCAGAACGTGGCTATTCTGGGAGTTGAACACCCTGAGTCGTGTGATCAGATCGTCCTTGGCAATGTTGGTGTCGAGAGCTTCTGGTTGCTCGTTCTCCTCCTCATTGTCTTCGTCCTCACGCGGCACCAGGCCTTTGTAATCGTTGAATGGAAAGCTGGTCCTGGCCATTATCGCTTGCACTTTGTCAACGTCAAAGCTTTTCCCCTTATCAATACATTCCAGCTTGTATTTTATAACTCCGCGGATTCGACACACCGTTACCCAATCGAGCCAACCCGTGGCTTCCAGACACTGGTCCTGGATCTGGGCTTCTTTCAGGATCTTCCTGACGTCCTCGTCCGCCATGTCGCCAATCTGGAACGAAACGGCACACGTAGGGTTCACTCCGTCGTAGAATAGCTGCTTGGGCACTTTTCCTATACCGAGCTGGCTGATTTCGGAGCTGGGGTCGTCAAACTCGGCCTCGTGGCTTGCTAACGTCGGCGGCACCACAAGCGGTTCCTCGCCCGCCTCCACCATTCGCTCCATCTCTGTCATCGTGAACGACTTGCTGCTCATTCTGAACGCTTCCACCTGATAATCTACAGCTTCTTTATGCTGCGTCGGATCGTAACCCAGCTTGATGTACGACTGTCGCCAAGGGCCTTTCTTGGTGGTGAAGGCAACGTATGGCAGGGCAAACCTCAATTGAGGTCGCAGACGCGCCGGAAGCATCCAGCTGATATGTCTTCGTAGCCAGATTGGTTTCATGTCGAATAATTTTTTCAGGATCTCGATGCAACGCAGCAGACTGAAGGCTGGAGAATCCGGCACCAGCCGCTCCAAACCGCGCTCCTTCAGACTCTCTACCTCCTGAACACACCTGTCCAGCTCTTTTTGGAGTGCTGGATTGTACGAGGTGGGCACTTTTTCTCCCCAGTCCACAAATATAGTGTGCAGCTTGACACTGTCACGGGTCAGCTCTCCGTTCTCGTCTATTAGGAGGTTTCCGACGTATCTGTAGTTATACGGAATGTCCACGCGCGCGTACCTGACCAGCGGCGGCAAATCGAGGTCTTTGTTTTCGAACTTGGACTGCACCTCATGGTCTTTTTCAATGTAGTCTGCAAACTGCTTAATTTTCTTGAGATCGGCTTTTCCAACAGAGTCCAGGAACTGGTTTGTGAACGGCGAGTTCTTGTGCACAGTCTGAAAGTCGGCAAGCTGGCGGAATTTGTACGTCTTGTTGAGAATCCCTTCCACGCTGGAGCCGTACGTAATGTTATTTTCCTCGCATTCTTTCAGAGCTGCCTGCACGTTGTAGTCGTGTTTTTGGAGCACTTTCTTGGGCAGGCGCAGTCTCATCAGCATGTTCTCGGTGGTGTCGCACTTCTCAGAGGATACAGGATGCGAATACACGTCGCCCGGCCGTAATTTAAGCTCGAGTCTCATTTCTGGCTCGATAAAACACTGTGCAATTTTCTCTGGCCCGCCCACCATGGCAATCGCCCTTGGCACGTTCTTCACATTTAGCGGGTACTCAATGGAGAGGTAGCTGGTAACGTTAAGCTCGTATCCGGGCGCGAGCTCATTGAATGGCATAGCACGACAAACGGTTTATTTATCTACGGTATTTACTTATTTTCTTCACCGCCTCCTGCGCCACACAAAACACAAAAATTTCGAAGGCAAGCGTAAAAATAATCAACAGAAGCATGTCTACCGAGATAAGGCGCTCTTCGCGAAAGACCAAGGGAGTGAATTCCAGACTTGAAGATATCGACAAGATAAGCGAGCCTACGCCACGTCCAAAGAAACGGACAGCGAGCTCGAAAGCCAATGGGCAGAAAAAGAAGCAGCGTAAGAAGGCAGTGAAGGTGCCCGAAAAAGAAGAGGTGCGCTGTCTGCCGTGCGGGTCCCACGATCTGAACTACGACGAAGACGAGGACGAGCGCGGCGTGATGATTCAATGCGACAAGTGCGAGACGTGGCAGCACGCAAAATGCATGCTTGGAATAGACAGAGAGGAAGATTTACCGGATAATTACGTTTGCAACCTGTGCGACCCAGAAAACCCCAAGTACCAGGACTTGCAGCTTGCATTGAGCCCTGACGACTACTATAAAGAGCGGTTCCCGGACAGAGTTGACGAAATTGACGACCAGGAGGAGGAAGACTTCGAAGACGCGGGTGCTGTGTACGAAGAGAGCGACGAGGAGTACGACGGGAACGGCGAAAAAGAGGAGGAGGACGATGCGGACGAAAAAGAAGACAGCGACGATGCAGACGAGCCAGACGAGCCAGGAGACCTCGATGAGCCGGAAGAGAAGGTCAGGAAGCCCGTGCGGAAGCCGCAGAAGGTGGTTCGCAAAAAGGTGGACAGAAACAAAACGAGACAGTCTGTGGTGAGCCAATTTGCAAAAAAGCTACAAGGCCACATTCCGGACGACCACAAATTACTCGAAGAGATGGACGTGAGCAGTGCGGCGGAGGAGATTGCCAGCGGGCTGGAGAACGCGCTGTTTGAAGCGTTTCCGCCTCCAAACAAGCGGTCCGAGTCCATGTCGCCAGGGTACCTTAACAAATCCAGAACATTGCTTTTCAATCTCGACAAATCCAACTTGGGTGACAAAGTGCTGTCTGGCCAGTATACTTACGAGCAGATTGTGCATCTGACGCCTGAGGAGATGATGCGGGACGATTACAAGGAGTTTGCCGATGCAGTGAGAAAGCAGAGCATCAATCAATCGGTGATTACAAACACTCTGGAGAAAGTCAAGATCAAGCGGACCCATAAGGGAGAAGAGATTGTGGAGGAAGACTACCAGTTTGACGACATTGACTCGAGAACGGCTGATGAGTCTCGTCTGAACGAAATTGAAAAATTACAAGAGGAGAAAAGACTACAAGATCAAGAGAATGAGTCGAGTGCTTCGCCTCCTCCTACGGCCAATCTGAACGCCAACATTATGACCACAATTGGTAACGACTTTGACGACGAAGATCATGGACAAGACCAGACTGGAGACGGGCCTGAGGAGACTTTTGACAACGACGATGATTTCGACAAGATTCTAAACGGAACAAAGGACGTGGTTCCTACGCCGCCCGAGTCTCAGGCCGTCGTCAACGACGACGAGGAAGACTACGATCCAGCACGCAACTTTGACGTCGACGAAACGCTCTGGAACGGTATATTGAGCTTTGCTCCCGTCGCAGATGTGCAGACGACCATCAGGTTCCACTCTGCCTCGACATTAGAAAGCACCGAGGACAAAGTTGCCAAGGCGCGCAAGATCGTGACCGACTTTGTTGCACGCCATAACCGACTTGACATCGAGGGACGACTGGACGCTCAGAAAGCAGTTGGCTACCTTTGGGAAATTATAAATACTAGAGACTTGTATTTAGTGGAACTAGTTCCATTTGAATCTCCACACCTCTCGGAATTCGAAAACCAGCAGACACAGACACAATTCAGAAAACTATGGGAGTACTTCAACTCGCGCAACAAATACGGGGTCATTGCTTACAAGCCCGCGTACGTCAAGGACAGCTATCTGGTTGCATTAGACACTACAAGAACAGAGCAGGAGGGATTACCAAAATACTTCAGCCACTTCAACATGACCAGTCTCCACGGTGCCCGCGAGCGTCTGTTTGCCGTGTTTGTGGCGAAAAAGGATCTCTCGGCAGCACCGTCCGGCGCAGCAGCGACAGCCAACTTGGACCAGATCCTGAGCGGACTGGCGGCCTGATCACGTGACGTCGACTGGAGGCCTGCGGCGCCGCCTTTCTTACAACTGCTGTACAGCCAAAGTGCGTGTCTGGATACGCACGCATTTTGTCCATACTGTAAACTACCCTGTATACTCAATACCAATTGCTTCAGTTATTTAATTAGTGAAACCGTTGTACGTGAAAGCCTGTCCAAAGTTTCAAGGCTATAGCTTGTTTCTATTTCGACATATATGCTGGCTTAGGCCTTGGCAATAGCCTTCTTGACAGCGTAGTTTCTCTGCTTCTTCAACACCAAGACTTGGAATCTTTCAAAGTCTGTGAGTTGCGATCTTCTTTCTCTTTGGGCGATCTTCTTGGCCCACGAGGTCTTGGCCCATTTGGCGTCGATGTCTGCAGCAGTCCATTTCTTAGAGACGGTGGCGGTTCTTGCGCCTCTTGGAAGGCCTTCGAGGACCAATGGGGTCAAAACGGTCTTTCCGAGGGAGATGGATTGTCTTTGGATAGCTGGACCATCAATGAGGACTCTCTTTTGGTCGATGATCTCAACGATGGTGGCGAGCTTGTTGTTCACGAGAACGACTCTGCCGACTTGGACGAGTCTCCAGTTGGAAGCCTTGACGCTGGTTTCAGTAGACATCGTAAGGTATACTATCTGAATATTAAAATTGTTTTCAAATTTTTCAAAAACTTTGCAGAGTGAGGTGTGCGGAGGGAGCGCCTGGGACGCTGCACAGAAACTGGCGGGCACTTTTTAAAAATTACTGGGAGGTGTGAGGAGTCCCCTGGTAGAACCCTTTGAGACATCACGTGACACACACACACATAAATAATCCTGTCTATAGCTTTCAAGTACCTCAGCTTGTATTTTCTCAATCGTATTCTCCAGCCGGTGTTTCCATCAGTCGAAGCTACTCCGACTCACCAAACGGTAAGTGCAACTGTGATGACCGATAATTTGCGTTTGAGAAATAGACGTCCCGGAACACGCCTAGTTCCATCAAGGGAGTCTATATACCATGCGACAACTTTCTTAACTGAGATTGTGCTAACGCTTAGGCATCTGAGTGGCAGTTCACGTGCTGAGCACTATAGCGTAATGGATCGATCGAGATCCATCTGACTATTCTATATAATTGTAGGTATCTTACTTAAGCAGAATGATTTTTTAAGCAAAAACATGTCCCGTGCTGCTGGTATCGAGCAGGAAAACGACTCCCAGTTCAACCTCCTGGCCAGCAAAATCTCTACGTTCAAGAATGTAGCCAATGACATTAACAACTACGCGCAAGAGGACTCCACCACGCTGTCTAACGTGTCCAACGCCATGAACGCGCTGTTTGAAAACGTGAAAACAACATCGTCCAAGCTGGGCCGCGTGGTCGCCAGCAAACCGCAGACGTTCCGCATGGTGGTGGTCGGAGTGCTGGGCTTCTTCATCATTTACACGTTATTGAAATTAATATGACTAATAAGCTATTTCAGTGTCTTCCCCCAACAACGTCCTGGCCAAGTTTATAGTTTCCAATGGCATCTCCCCATCTGACTTTCGAGCGGTTGATCGGCAGCTGTCTTCTCAGGTTTTTGAAGAGGTCCTCGTTGAGGTTGGCGAACTTGCTGAAAACGGCGGTCTCGAAAACGGTCTCGGCCTTGGCTATTGCGTCCACCACAGAGGACCCGACCTGCTCGCTGATCTTGGTTCCCGAGTTCAAGATCACGTTTCCGTCCTCATAGTAGTGGATTTTGACGCGGATTTCCCCGGTCAGTTGTTTGGTGCCCGAGTCGTATTTGTAGAACGATTGCCATCTTCCGTTGTAGAAGTTTGCGTCGTTCATATTTTCGTCCACAATCACAAAATAGAAAACTGCCGGGACGCTCTCGTCGGCCACAACGAGCGACTTGTAGAACGTCGGATAGTGTTTGGCGCAGTACGCGGCCAATTCCTTGTTGTAGCTCTCGACCTCGGCAGAAGCTGGGGTCTGGCCGGCTTCGACGTCTATCACCTTGAGCGCGTCGAAATCGTAGTCATAAGTGATGTTGAGCACCGGGTCGTAGAATTTGACGCCCTTCTTGTTGTATTTCGAAACCAGCGCAAAATCGTCGTCGTTTATCTTGACGAGCTTGAAGTCCTTATTGAGATGGAACTGTTCCAGGTTCTCAGCAATGATCCTGCGCGAGTCTTCCTTGTTTAGCAGTATTTTGATGTCATTGATAAGGTTCAGGTTGTTGCCCGGAGGCGCGTCGTCGATCATCGACGCAACGATAGATTGCAGAGACATGCTGACTACTTTTTTGATGTGCTATCATATCTATATGGGACATCCGTGCACCAAGAGAGAGCACCGAAGGGGCCCGCCAGGACGGTGACTGCCAGAGCCCCTGCTACGCTCGAGAGGCCAGCCGCACAGGCTCAGACTGACCGTTTCATGTCCGCGCAGAGACCCGTCTGTAGCACAGCCCGTCGACCAATATTCAGTCAGCCTCAGACCAGATATTTGTGCGCGCCAGATTCTTTCTTTTATGTCGCAGCTACTTTTTCAGCTCCCGTTCGAGCTGCAGCAGGCTGTTTTGGAGTACGTGGGCTCCAGGATCCTTGTCCAGCTGCTCAGCCACGGGGTGTTGCACGAGCCCGCGTTCCAGGCGCTCAGAAAGGGGATCGTGCTGATTCCCCAGGAGATCAAGCGATCCGACATGTGCAAAGTGGACATGTCGATTTTGAGCGGGTCCTTGGACTATGCGCGGCTGAAGCGGTACATCCGGGCAAACGGGGTGTGTCTGATGTATGTGGAAATATACTGGAAGCTGGACCTGTCCAAAATCGAGTTCGTTTTGGAAAATGCTGCAGGAATCAAAATCGGGTGCTCGTATCTCGAGGAGCTGTATGTTTTCCGCAACGGCAGGTATTTGGACAAGGTGCGGTCGCTGAAGGGGCTCATACTGTGTTTCGGGCTGTCGAAACTCAACACAAGCAAGGACGTCCTGTCGCGACTAACGCATCTATCAGAAATCGATATCTGCACGAGCTCCACCATGTACCACTCCAGAGAATACGAGAGAATCCTGGAAAACATCATCCGCATCAACCCAAACATCGACACCGTCAAGCTGCGCATTGACACGCTGATCTCCACGCCGCTGCCGGCGTATCTGCAAACGGTCAGCAAAATGAAAATTAAAAAGCACATTAGTATAAATATGAAGGACCGGTCACTGCTCGGAGCGACCAACGAGCGCTCGGGCGTGACGATCTTCGACAGCATTTTCTCCGCCATCAAGACTATCGGACTGGAAAGCATATACGAGCTGGACCTGTCGTTGAAAGAGGAGCTCGATGCGTCGCATCCAGACTTGTCCTGGCTAGATAAAATGCACAGCCTGAAAAGTTTATCGATCAAGGTGGTAGGCGACAAAACGCAGAGCTGCGACTATGTGATTGGGCTGGAGAGCAGGTACCTGACGTCGCTCACGGTCAGCGGGACGCTGCTCACGCAGAGCGGCATCGGGTTCTGCAAGCTGGAAAACCTGAAAGTTCTGACATTTTCGAATTGCACGTTTTCCACTACAGCCTCAGCTCTGCTCAACACGGGCTTACCTAAACATCTGGAGAATTTGTGCCTGACTAACTGCAAGCTGGACTGGCACGAGGTGACGTTTCCCGACCAGCTTGGCAAGATCTGTGTACTGAACTCCAAGCTGATCGAGTTTTCGCTGGCGGTCCGCTCCCGGTTCAACATCGTGCCATTGCTCTCGGAATTTATCAAAATCTACCATCTGGACCGGCAGTGGGCGGGACGAGCATAGTGTGGGTAGTCAATACATAGAGAATAGCAGCTTATCTGGCTTTGGGCAACAGTGGCACACCTGTTCAAGGAGATATACATTTCCGTTTTAGGATAACACGGGTCGTGGAAAAAAATTCTCTGCCGTAGCCACAGCAGATAAGCACAGGGAGCATGGGAGGACTATTGCAAGGGTAATTAGCAGGGGGGCACGACTTGGGAGGAAAAGTAGGCAGGAACAATAGGGCGTGACAATAGCGGACATTGTACTTTCGTCCAATGAATTTCATGTAACGCTCCATCGATTGTTTGACAATCGGTTATATTAATCTGCCTTTGTGGTGACAGTATATCAGCATTCCGATAAGCCTTCCTTCCAAAAAGTTTTCCAGGAACTTTATGGACCAACCTTCGTCTTCCGCAATGGCCAATATCTACAGCTATCGTTCTGAACTGGACAATCGCCAGGGCAGCTCGGAATACCGCCATTTCGAACCCTTCCTATCCTCATCCCACGAGCTCATAGACCCTATCCAGTATGAGCTCATGCCAGAGCTGGTCTCTGATGTCAGGGTGCTCCAGCCGGACTTCTCTGCTGAGCTGCAGGACACACAGCTCTCGATGGAGTCGCCGGTCTCGTCGTCGTCGTCGTCGGTGTTTGACGTTCCACACTTCCCCAATTTCACCTTCACCGAAATGGACGACTACAAGTTTGGCGGGTACCAGGAGCCCGCCAAACCACAGGACATTGAGCACGTGTTCCACACGCACAGGGAATACGACAACGTCGAGACTATAAATACGGTGGAGCTGACCAAGCCCTTCGCCACACAGAAATACGCCAGCAGCTCGCCTGTCCTCAAATCGCAGAAGGACGAGGACCTGGTCGACACCATCGAGACCCGCGAGGCTGGCGAGCCCCAGGACCAGTCGCCAAAAAGCCTTTCGCTGGACTACGACGACCGCAAGAAGGATAATAAATACAAGAAAATCAGCGACTCGAGGCTGTCGCTGTCGCAGCTGTCGCACGTTCTGCAGCTCCCAAACGACATCCAGGAGACTGCGAAGCGGGAGAAGCAGATCCTCAACATTTTCAAAAAGGACCTTAATTTCCCGCTGGGAGAAAAAACATGGATTAGAGACACCCCTGCAGAAGAGAGACAGGCTCTGATCGAGAGGCTGTGGAAGCTGGTGGAGATGAAGTACCAGTACGGCTACTCGAAGGAGACGCTGGCCATCGTGATTCGAAGAGCAAGCTACTATCTGATGCAGGGGAGACTGAGAAGAGAACGGAGGCTGGAGAAAAAGAAGCACGGCGAGCTGCCTTGGAAACGCAAGTCCAAGAGCTACTGAGGGTCCCAGTTTACATTGTTTGTTCGGTGGTATTTGTATTTTCCTGAGCTAGTTTGGTGAATTCCAATTCCAGAAATTTGTAGCAGGATATTTCCTATAATAGCCGATTTTTCTCTTTTGGAGAACGGCATTGTTGGCCGAACAATCCCACGTCGTAAATCGAAGCTGGAGAAAAAAAAAAACAGACACAATATGGTGACACAAATGTCATCTGCTTGTAGAGCCCCGCAGCCGCAAGGGTCTAGGCCTGGCCCAGAATAGCCGAGTGTGAAACGAAACTTTCTAGACCGACCCATTATTTCCTCCCGCGTCGAGCCGCTCGCTCTAATGCGCAAGCTTGTCCCTTTTAATATTTGGCCCGTATACACTCGACATGAAAGAAACTTTTCCCTAGAGAGCAAAGAAGTCGACTGATCTATAAAAACACAACGTTCCCGGTTGCCGAGCAATTTATGCCATTTCACATATAACACCCTCATTAGCACCGTTCCTTTCCATGAGCACCCAAGGGGAGAACCACAAACCACTGAGTTTCCGGCGATACACGTCGAGCCCCGCCAACAAGCGAATAAAGCTCCCGAAACTCGAGATCGACCCGGTCCACATCCACGATCTCGAAGACCAGTTCCGCCACTCGAGTCTCGAGCCCAGCCGGGACCCGTTTCTTGCGTCTCCGTCCGACACATCGACCTCCGCCAACTCTCCCTTGAGAACCCCGCCGGACGAGCAGTTCACGTACGCCGCCAACAACATTTACGATTGCCTTCTACGCCGCGACTCCACACAGTCCATCAGCCTCGGCAGCCTGTGGTCGCCGGAACTCGGCCCGCACAGATCCTTCACCACGCTCTCCTCGCCCGCAAGCAATTTCTATAGACATTCCGAGCCGAACCCGAACAACAAGCAGCCGAGGATTTCTGGCGAGGTGCTCACGCCAACGTGCGACGCAGCGCCCAACGAGTACAAGTTCTCGCACGACCAGGTCAAACGGCTCATCCGAGAGATCCACGGCGTCAAGTACGTGCACGAGGACCTGCCCATCCCGACGTCCATCAGAGAGGAGGACGAGGCCATCAACGTTCTGGGCCAGCTCTCTGCGGCCAAGCTCAAGGGCCTCAACCAGATGAAGATCATACAGTGGTACTGCTGCCAGTGCGGCAAGAGCTACGGCGACCTGGACCACTTTGTCGTGGAGCGCAGCCAGCTGAAAAACGCGGGCCCCAACGTTTCTGACGACGAGTACTGGAACTGCATAGCCGACCAGCTGCTCGCGAAAACCATCAATCGGTTTGATTGCAACCGGTGCAATCACATGATGTGTCCCTACTGCATAAAGGCTCGCCTCAGCGACTTGCTGAACAAATGATGACACCTCGGTTTTGCTAGCAATTTTAATTTCCGCCCAGGGCCCGGCTTCTGGGTGTGTACGACACACTGGTTTTTTAGCATACTTTTAATATTTATTTAATATTCCCTATAGAGAATATGGGGGGTTTCGATGACGACGACTTGCACGACTACGAGAACGAGGACTTGGGGTTTGACGAAGACGCGTTGAACGACGACGAGTACGACCAGCTGTACGACGCTCTTCCCAAACTCAAGGCCCTTGCGAAGAACCACCAGGTCGACGAAAAGACGTTGAAAGAAATCCTCTGGAATAATTATTTTAGCATAGACGACTCCTTCGAGGAGGTGAAGCAGAACTACAAGCGTGAGTATGGCGAGTACGTGCGGGCGGTCCCTGACGGTGGTCCCAGTTGGATTCTAACAATTAGAACGGCCAATGTCGAAACTGGAGCTGCTGGCACAGCAACGCAGAGAGCGCACGGGCCTGCGCGGGCTCAGGAGCGAGGGCAGAGACGGCTTGTCTGGTCTTCTCGGGAGGGTCAAGGAGACGCCGAAACGGGAGAGGGCGAGAAGGTCCCGGCCGGCTCAGGTCGACCAGGGGCAGAGTTCTGCTCCAGAGAGCGACGAACAGAAAGGCCCAGAGATTCAGAACCCGGAGGAAATCGAGCCCGTTCGTCTGCTTCCTGCGCTTCCCGCCACCACGGAATTCAACATCCTGACCGCCTCTCCCTCCAGCCTGATTTCTCTGCTGTTTGTGCGCCCCACAGGGCCTGCGTTGCCGATGCCCCATATCAGTCTTTATACTAACTCCGATCTAGCGAAGAAAGCTGCTGCGAATTTTGAGAAGCCGGGCCCCGACGACCGCAAAGTGGAGAGTCTCACAGAAAAGGTGGCCAAGATCAAGATAAAAGAGCCCAAGCCGGCGGCATCGAAGCCAAAACAGAAAATCGATATCGACGCCGAGCTGGCCAAGAAAAACAGCAAGCCGAACCTGTCTTTTGTCGTGATCGGCCACGTCGACTCCGGCAAGTCCACGCTCATTGGCCGGCTGCTGTACGACCTGGGCATTGTCGACTCCAAGACGCTGCACAAGCTCACCAAGGAGAGCGGCGCGATGGGCAAGTCGTCGTTCTCGCTCGCGTGGATTATGGACCAGACGCAGGAGGAACGTTCTAGAGGCGTCACCGTCGATATCTGCCAGACGCAGATCGAGACACCAAGGCAGAAGTTCACCATTATCGACTCTCCGGGCCACAAAGACTACGTTCCGCAGATGATCAACGGGGTGAGCCAGGCCGACCTGGCGGTGATGAACATCGACGCAAACTCGTTCGAGAGCGGGTTCAGCAACCAGGGCCAGACCAAAGAGCATCTGACCATAGCGAAGAGTCTTGGTGTCGAGCGGTGTGTGGTGACGGTCAACAAGCTGGACGTTGCGCAGTGGTCGCAGACGGTGTACGACGCGATCTGCAGCCAGATCAGACAGTTTCTGGTCGACGAGCTGGCGTACGACGCCGCGAACCTCGTTTTCGTGCCGACGTCGGGGTTCCTCGGCGACAACGTTGTCAGGCCAAGCAAAAATCTGGCCTGGTACACAGGTCCCACGCTGATGCAGGTTCTGGAGCAGGAAAATAGAGCAATCAGTCACGTTGTGGACAAAAAGTCGCCCTTTGTCATGGTGATCAGCGATATCCAGGAGCCCAGCAAGAACGACGAGCTGGTGGTCAGCGGACGCATCAACTCGGGCATCATCCAGCCCGGCGAGAGCGTGAGCATTTCTCCGAGCCAGGAGGTGGGCGAGGTGGCCTCGATCTCGATCACGGCGTCGAGCGTCGGGTCGCCGGTGATCAAGCACGATCTGCAGAAGCTTGCGCAGGAGGGCGAGTTTGTGGAGCTGAAACTGAAAAAGCTGGCGTCGCGCGAAAATGTGAAAGTCGGCGACGTGGTGACGCTCTCGTCGAACGTGCTGCAACCGGTGAAAAAATTCAAGTGCGAGCTGAACCTGTTCAACATCGAGCGGCCGCTTCTTGTGGGCACGCCGTTCGTGCTGTTCAAGAACGGGATCTCTGTGCCGTCGCGGCTGAGCGAGATCGAGTCGATAGTGACGAAGGACGGCCGGAGCAAGAAACGGCGCCATCTCAGCTCGAACAACACTGCCGTGGTGGTGGTGGAGTTGCTCGAACGAGAGCTGCCGCTGGTGACGATCGCCCAGGACCGCAAGCTGGGCCGCGTCGTGGTCCGCAAGGACGGGCTGAGCATCGGCGCAGGGAAAATCCTCGAGCTGGTGGCATAATATTTCGTCACAGTATATAGTCTATAACCAGCAGCAGAAAGCTGAGAACTAGGATCAGGTAGCTGAGGTTCTGGCCCGACCGCTTCGCTCGCTCGTTCGCCCTCACCAGCTGCGTGTTGCCCATCTTGAGGTTGGCCACGGTGTCGTCCTGGTGCGAGCTCAGGACGGAAATGGCGTCGTTCTGCAGATGCAGCTGGAGGTTGATCTCGTTGATGACCGAGGATATCTCGAGCATGGACTGCTCGATCTGGCTGACGCTCTCGATCTGCGCGCTCTTCATCTCGAGCAAAATCGACTCGTTCTCCTGCGACAGCTGCTGCAGCTGCTGCTGGTCCAGCCCTGCGGCCAGCTCGCTGTACTCGCTGGAAACGGCCTTTTCCGCCACCTCGTGGTCCATTGGCTCGTACGACTCCCGCTGCAGGTACGTGCTGGCGTTGAGCGTTGAGCGCGTGAGCTCTTTTTTCCGCTCCATGCGCCGGCTGCTGATGGAGACAAAATGCGCAGAGATCCTGGTCAGCCGCAAACCGAGCGACTTGAGGATGTTGGCGCGGATCTCGATGACTGTGTTGTTGGCGATCGTGACGCTCTGGCCGTACTCGCCCATCGTGAGCAGGTTCCGGCCGAGCTCCTCGACGGGGTTGCTGGCTTCGAGCTGTCTGTTGAGCAGCTCGGCGTACGTTCGCAGGTTCTCGAGTTTCTTGTTCAGAATGCCCAGCTGCACCTTGAAATTCGTGTCGATCTCGTCCTTGTCGGCCTCGGACAGCTTTTTTGAGTGGCTCAGCAGGTAGTCTGTCTGGATCTCGCTGATAAACGAGCCCAGCTGGAGGATCATGGCGTTGAGCCTGATCGAGTCCTGGAAAAACGTGTTCCCCGCCGTGAGCTTGCTGTGGCGCGGCGGCTGTTTGCGCGGCGGCCGCGGGTCGGGCAAGCGCAGCTCCTGCTCGTAGATGGCGACACACTTGTGGAAAAAAGGTGTGTGGTCAAACATGCAAAATAAATGCAATTACACCTTGCGCCAAAAGTGGCAAACCGATATTTTTATTTATTTATCCATGAACCATTTCGAAGAGGAAAACGTCTGGAACGACGACGCCGCGCCGGGCGCGGGCCAGGGCGTGAGCGTGCTGTTTAACCCGGACGACAACCCGTACGCGAGCGAGTTTGGCGGCGCCGACATGGACGAGGTCGACTTCCGCACAGAGTCGAACATCTACAGCGAGCTCACCGACACGATGCGGTCGGTTTATATCGGGAACGAGCAGCCGGGAGAGACCGCGGAGCGGGCCGACGATGGCGACGAGCCAGAGCCGGCGCAGGAGCGTGCCGAGGACGCAATTGACGAGACGCAGCAGGCGCAGCAGATCGAGCAGGCCAAGCAGAAGAACAAGCAGCTGCTGTCGTCATTGGTGGCCGGCGAGGAGGAGAACAGCTCGTGGGCGCAGTCGATTCTGTCTGACACGCCGAACGCCGACGAGCGGCTGTTCACGGCCGGCAACGGGGGCCCGTTGGACGCCGTTCTCGACTTCAGTGCTCCCAAGTCGCCGCCGAAGATCAGCGACGACCAGCCGAGGCCCGAGCCCGTGACCTCGCCCAACAAGAAAACCAGAGTGTTCCGGCCGCGCAGGGCGCGTCGAAAGAGCGCAGACACCGCCAATGCGGCCGATCCGCTGTCCACCAGGACGGAAGAGTCCCAGGCAGAGTCTGTGGAGTCGAGGAAGAAGAATCTGATTGCGGCGGCGGACAAGCCGCTCTTCGATATCAAGAAGGACGCGAGCCCCGTGAACCCGTCGCTCAAGACGCCTGCGACGCCGGAACCAGCAGAACATTTCGAGATCATCGTTGGCGACCCGGTCAAGGTTGGCGAGCTCACCAACGCGCACATCGTGTACTCGATCACGACGAAAACCAAGTCGAGTCTTCTCAAGAGCGAGACGACGACGGTGACCCGGCGGTACAGGGATTTTCTGTGGCTGTACAACCAGCTGATGAACAACCATCCGGGCTACATTATTCCTCCTCCGCCGGAAAAACAGGCGTACGGCCGTTTTGACGAGAAGTTCATCGAGAACAGACGGCTTGCGCTGGAGAAAATGCTCAACAAGATCGCCCGTGTGCCTGTTTTCCAGAAAGACTACGACTTCATAGTGTTTCTGCAGAGCGAGCGGTTTGCGGCCGAGTCGAAAGAGCGGGAGTTCATATACTACCACGGCGGCAGCGGCGGCGACGAGCAGTCGATCGGCGGGGGCGACGACGGCGCAAACGACTATTCGGCCTCGTCGATCATCAACACGGCCACGGGCGGCTCGAACGGCGGGTTTTTGAGCTCGCTGATCAGCATCAGCACGCCGAAATACGTGGAGAACGACCAGTTCATCATCGAGAAGCAGAACTACGTCGAGAGCCTGGACCAGCAGCTGCGGTCGCTGTCGAGAACGCTGGACCTGATTGTCGAGAAGCGCGAGGACGTGATCACGTCGATGGACGAGCTGGTCCTGATAATCCAGGAGCTGGCCGATCTGGAGATCAACGCAGAGCTGAGCGAGCTGTTTGCCAACTACGAGGAGCTGCAGTCGAAGGTGAAGGAGCTGCTGGAGCGGACAAACCTGCAGCAGATCCTGACGCTCGGAACGACGATCGACGAGTACATCCGGACGATCGGGTCGATCCGCAACTGTTTCGAGATGCGGTTCAAGCTGTGCACCAGCATTGTGAATCTGCAGAGCCAGCACTCGAAAAAGCAAAAGAACCTGATCAAGTTCAAGTCCCGGAACCACAACCAGCTCGACAAGATCAGGAAGTACGAGGACGAGCTGACCAACATGGAGAACACGATCGCGCGGCAGGAAGAGTTCAAGACAGAGTTCAACAGGAATTTCAAGCGCGAGCTCGACAAGTTCGAGTTCGAGAAGGTCGACGAGTTCCGCAGCACCATCGAGATCTACTGGGAGGGCTTGATCGAGAGTCAGAAAGAGCTGATCGAGCTGTGGGAGTCGTTCTACGATAAGTGCAACTTCCAGGATGAATAAAGTTAAATATAATAAACATGCATCAGGCCAGCAGGACCTCCCAGTCCCACTCTTTCATGACGGTGCTCCAGTGCGACCAGCTGCCGACGCGCTCGTCGTCGTCATCGGGCGGGCCGTCGCCCCCGTGGACCGCCTCGCTGATTTTCCGGCTCAGGCTCGCAAACGAGTCGTCGTCGTCGTCGTCGTCCGCGCCGTCGCTGCGCGACTGCTGCGCCTGCGCTCTCTTGCGCCGCACAATGTCTTTGCGCGTCCACACCTCCTTCACCACCTCCAGCGCCCGGTCGATGCTGCCCAGCCACATCTTGGAGCTCAGCAGCTCCCAGCGGGCCTTGACCCACTCGCGCTCCTCGCCGGGCTCTGCCTCGCACGACGCCACGAGCAGCGGGAAAATGTGCGTCACACACGTGCGCGACGAGGTCGGAATCGACGCCAGCAGCATCAGCACTTTCTTGGCCAGGTTGTGCGACGACTTGGACGGCACCTCTGGCACAGCCTGGTGCAGGTACAGCAGCGTCGAGTACCGGTACGCCTCGGCCGTCGCGACGGTCGACGCCAGGTCGAACAGCGGGTCCTCCACCTGGTAGTTGCGCAGCGCCGGCGGCCGCCAGCGCTCCAGCTCCTGCTTCAGCTGCACAGCCTGTGTGATTATGCTCAATGAGCTGCGCGACTCCTTGCGGACTCTCTGCACCAACGACGCCACGTTGCCGATCACCGGGAACAGCTTCTGCATCACGCCGAGCAGCGGGTCGATATCCTGCGCCGAGTGCGCGTGCGACGCTTCGAACCGCGCCACGAGCGCGTTGAAATCGGTGGCTCTTTGCTTGCCCGGCGTCTCGCCGCCGTCGTCGTCGTCGTCGCCGTCGCCCGACGCCGTCATGCGCGCCAGCACGTCGAAGTACATCCACGTGTTGAACAGAAACCTGAGGTCGCTCTGCTCCGGCGCCTGCTGCGCGCCCAGCAGCCGCGTGATCATCGTCCGTGCTCCGCGCAGGTGCCCGATCCCCGTGGTCACGTGACGGTCCCACGCCTCGCTCATGGCGAGCGCGAGGCACGCGGCGAGCGCCACGTCGGGCGGGATGGTTTTGTCGCTGAGGCCGTGGACGAGCTCGACGATGGCGTTTTTCATGTGCGTCATGCCCTGCGACCGCAGCTGCTGGTCGCCGCGCGCGAGATGGAAGCACGCCATGGCGCTCACCGCGTTGCACACCACGGGGTACTCTTGGGTCATGGGCAGGAACAATGTGCGCCACGGGTTCTCGGACGGCCCGTTTTTGATCGACATGATGGCGCTGGTGTACGTTTCGTATGCGCCGAGGATCTTGAACGTTTTGTCTTTGATTTCGATGGCTCGCGGGATGGAGCTGGGCGAACTTGTGGTGAGGATGTGGTGCGGCGCCAGCGCCGGGCGGGTTTCGGGGCTCGATGGGTCCGAGCGGTCGAGACACGTGAACGCGCTCACGATGTTGCAGAAGACGGGCGACGCCGGCGTGCGCTCGTCGTCCAACGAGGCCAGCGGCGACATGGGTGCCAGCGGCGAGTTTCCCGTGCGGAACACCGAGCTATATGTCGGGCTGGCTGCCAGCTGCTGGTACTCCTCCATGGCTGCCGGGTTCTTCTCCAGCTGTGCCAGCAGCTTGGGCGAGTCGAGCCGGCCCTCTGGCGTGGTGACGCTGTTGAGCAGGTCGTAGAGCACGTTGCCCGGCACGAAACGCGATTCTCTGGGTAGGCAGTCGTTGTAGAGACTCAGCGAGAGTCCTGTGTCGCTGAACGCGGGACTTTCGGCCAGCAGCGGCGAATTACCACCGAGCGGAGCGTGAGGCAGCACGCTTTCGTCCTCTTGTTTGATGGCCGGCTCGTCCTCGCGTTTCTCCGGCGTGGCTGCAGAGTGTACGGACGGCGTTCTGGCCGCAAGGTCGGTCAAAGTGGACGCGATCGACGACGCCAGGTCCGGGTTGCGGCCGCTCGCCATGAGAGCGTTGGCTATGGCGATTTCCTGGGCGGATTTTCCCGTCACCGACAGCGTGGCGGCCTCGAGCGCCTTCTGGATCACCTCGGAGGGCAGCTGGCGCGCGGCGGCGGCGTCCTGCTCGGGCCCTGGGGCCGGCTCGTCGGCAGACTTTGTGTCGGGCAGCTCCTCGGAGGATTCAGAGCTCTTGCGCGAAGCGCGCGTCGACGTCTCGAACGGCGCTGTCTGAGTGAACCCCTTCCACTTGAAGCGGGTCTGGTACCCGCCACAGACGATCTTGCGGCGAATACAGTTGGCACACGCTGGCTTCTCCTCGCCGCACTTGAGCCGCTTCTTCTTGCACGTGATGCAGCCGTTTCTGGACTTGTGTCGTTTCGCCTTTTCGTTGGTGGACGACATTGCTTGCAAACACAAGACAAGACCCAAATAGTTTGCCAATATTCAACAATCGACAGCCTGTAGAAATGTCATAGATTACTGATAAGAGCCGCCTGCTGAAACGGGAAATTTATTCCACCGCGCGAGCTCGGGGAAAATAAATGTTCGGGCTGTGCAAAGAAAAAAAAATATACGTGAAAAATTGTATTCAATGAAGTCTGTGTGCCAGGTCGGGCCCGTGTGTGCCCTGACCGTTTTTGTGGACAGGTTCTTGTTTGCCGGCGAGGGACCGAACTTGGTGGTGTACGAGATAGCCAGTGGCAGGCAGATCGCGTGCCGGCCGGTCTTTCCCCGCAACAAGATCCATGGAATCAGTGTTTTTGGCCCAGATCTGCACTCGGCTCAGCTCTGTGTGTGGGGCGGCCGGTCGCTGGCTATATTTGCGTGGCGGCAGCTGCTGGAAGGAGACTTTGATCAACTGACGATTGGCGACTGGATCAAGAACGCACAGTTCTCGCTGGACGGCGCCGTGGTGTACTGTCTGCACTCTCACAACGTCGTGGCAGCCGTCGACGTGGCCAGACTACGGCTTCTGGAAACGCGCGATTGCGGCGAGAAAAGCATACTGTACACGGGGTGTCTCCGAGTGCTGCCCGACAGGGTGCTGGTGTGTGCAGGGACCGTCATGGACGGCATTCTTGTGTGGAGCTACGACGACTGCCAGGTGGTGCACAGACTGCGGGGCCACATGGGCTCGATTTTCGGGTTGTGCACGAGCGCCGACGGACGCTGGCTCGTCAGCTGCTCGGACGACCGGTCGATCAGGGTGTGGGATGTGTGCTCGGGCGAGCAGGTGGCTACCGGCTGGGGCCATGGCTCCCGGATTTGGTGGCTGCGCATCTACGCGGAGGCAGAGGGCGAATTCGGTGTTCTCAGCGGCTCTGAGGACCTGACGTGCCGCACGTGGCGGTTCGAGCAGGGCAGCGCGGCGCTGGAGCCGGTCGGTGTGTTTGAGACGCACACTGGTCGCAACGTCTGGAGTGGCGCAGTGTGCGATGCTCTGGGGCTGGGGTTCAGTGGCGGTGCAGACGGTGCAATCACGGTCAGCGATCTGGCCGAGCCGCGGCGCGAGGGGGCCGTCAGCACGGCGTGGACGCTGGCGCAGATCGCCGAGCAGACGGGCGCGGCGTTCGCACGTGACGAGATCGTCAAGGAGTACTACGACACGGGTACGGAGCTGGTAGCTGCTACCAGCGGCGGGAAGGTGCTGCGGCTGCGGAGCGGTTTGTGGGAGCTGGTTGTGGCGGATACGCGGTTTGAGAAGTTCTCGCTGGTGCGTGGGTTTGACACTGGCGTTGTGCTGATTGCGAACAAGACGGGCGATCTGCTGATTTTGCAGAATGGTAGCATGGCGGAGCAGAAAATCAGGTTTGAGCGCGGCGTGCTGAGCAACGTGCTGACAGTGACGAGAGACGGCCGGCAGTTTGTTCTGGCCGAGAGCGTGCTGGAGGAGCCGCTGGTGTTGCTGGAAATTGCGGAAACGGGCGTTGTTTCCGAGCGCAGACTGAGCAAGCCGGCGGGGAAGTTTGCGATGAGCGCGTTTGACGTGGACGTGGCGTCCGGCGCGGTGGTTGTGGGGTCGCGGTTTGCAACCCTGGCTGCTTTTCCGGGCGACGAGCAGCCCGCCGAGCCCCGTGTGTGGCGCAACTTCCTCAAAGGTGACACCGTCTCCAGCGTTGAGATTCTGGACTCTGCGTCGCTCGAGACGCTCGTGGTGATGAAGGACCGCGAGTACGGGGTTGTGCGGTGTGCGGGGCAGCTGCAACTGCTGCAGACAAACCGGCTCCAGCGCGGGTTTCTCGAAGGTGGCTATTTCGAGAACGGCGACCTGGTGCTGTACGGATTCCGCTCCGACACGTTTTTCGTGTGGAACGAGACGCGGCAGGTCGAGCTGCTGCGCGAGACGTGCGGAGGGCCTCATCGCCAGTGGAGCTTCCGGCGCGGCGGCCGCCACGGCCACCGGCTGTTCTACACGCGCAGCTCGAGCGTGCATTTCCGGCAAACCGGCGCGCGCACCGCGCCGGAAACCCTGCGCACCGGGTTGCACGGGCGCGAAATCCGGTCTGTGGCCGCGTGCAAGACCAGCACGGGGCACCTGCTTGTGACCGGGTCCGAGGACACCACGGTGCGCGTGTCGCGGCTCGCCGCCGACGGCAGCGTCGTCCCGCTCTGGTGCGAGCGCCAGCACGGCTCCGGCCTCCAGGCCGTCCATTTCGTCAACAGCGAGTATTTTGTCAGCTCCTCCGCCCGCGAAGAGGTGTATCTGTGGAAACTGTGCGACGAGAAGTACGTGCGGCTGCAGCGCACGATCCGGCCGCGCAGCAGCAACCCGGACACCAGGGTCATGGACTTCGACGCCGTCGAGGTGCGCCAGCACGGCCGCGTCGCCGGCTTTCTGCTGGCTTCCGTGTACTCGGACTCGAGCGTGCGGCTGTGGTACTACAGCTACGAGGAGAACACGTTCCGGCTGGTTGTGGAGGACGTGTACGCGAGCTGCTGCGTGCTGCGCGTGCGGCTCGTGGTGCTCGACGCGGTCTACGTGGTGCTGGCGGCCACCAACGGGTGCCTTGCCGTGTACAGGGCGGGCGACGGCGACGGCGTGTTCGGCGTCTGTGGCGGTGCCGTCGAGCTTGTGGCGGTGCCGCCGCGTGCACAGAAAGTGCCCCGGCTGGAGCGGCTGCTGATCAACCAGCAGGTCCACCAGTCGTCGATCAAGGCGTTCGACGTTGCCGTCGACGGCCACACCGCGCTCGTCGTGACCGGCGGCGACGACAACGGCATGGCGGTGTCGACGCTCGACTTTGCGGCCGTCGAGCTGGCCACCACGTACGTCGCCAGCACCGCCTCGTCGACGATCACCGCCGTGGTGCTGTGTGGGGCGGGCCGCGTGCTCACCACGTCCGTGGACCAGATGGTGCGCGTGTGGCGGGTGCCGCGGCTCGAGCTCGAGACCGAGCAGTACACCACGGTCGCCGACACCGGGTGTGCGTGCGTGGCTGGGGAGCTGGTGGTGGTCGGCGGAGCCGGGCTGGAGGTGTTCCAGGTAGACATAGAGTAAGCGTGTATTAAGCGTGTATTAGTATGTACAGAATAGACAGCCCGCAGTCACGCCTGTCTCTGCTTGTGTTTTGGGTTGGCCTTGCACAGGACATACAGTCTGCCCTTGCGTCTGGCCATGTAGCATTCCGAGCAGAATTTCTTGACCGACGTGCGCACCTTGTACGTTCTGACGAGGCCGGCGACGCCTGCAAACAGCGGCCGTGCGTTTCTGAGACCGATGGCCAGTTTCGAGAGCATAGTAATTCGCAATATTTTTTTTTTTTTTTTTCCTGATAAAACTAATTATTCCCGGCTCGAGGTGTTTACTTAATTATGGACGGCTGGCGTGAGGTAAGTATCTGTCCCCCCCTGCTAACCGCAGCTCATTAGCGTCCCGGGCGTCCGTGTGCCCAAGAGCCTGCCGCACGCGCCGCAGGACCACTCCAACAAGGTCGTCACCGCGCTGCTCTTCGACGACGCGCACGAGCTGCTCTGGCTCGGCGACTCGCACGGGTACGTGTACTCGTACGAGGGCCTCAAGCTGGCGCTGTACTGCTCGTTCCGCGCGCACAGACTGCCTGTGCTGCAGCTCCTCAACCACAAGAAGGGCCTTGTGTCGCTCGCGGCCGACGGCGTCCGGTTCGGCACAAAACAGGGCCTGACAAAGTACACCGTGGCGGCGCCGCCCGACGTGCAGTTCTCGTCCATGGCGTACACGTCCAACACGCAGACGGAGCTGCTCGTGGGCACGAGCGCCAACCTGCTGCGCATCGACCTCACCAGGGGCGCGGTGTCCGGCCGGCTCGAGTACGCCCATCCCGTGCAGTACATGCAGTCGAACCTGCGGTGCGTGGTGCTGGGGCGCGCGGACGGCGCGGTCGACGTGATGGACCCGAAGACGTGCGAGGTGCTCAAGTCGTGGAAGGCGCACTCGGCAGCGCTCTCGTCGATCGCCGTCAGAGACAACGTGCTGGTCACGTGCGGCTACTCGGTGCGCAAGGACCAGTACGTGCTGGACCCGCTGGTGAACGTGTTCGACCTGCGCAAAATGAGCCTCGCGCTGCCGGTGGCGTTCCCTGCGGGCGCTCTGCAGGTGCACCTGCACCCGAAGCTGCCGAACGTGGCGGTGATCCTGTCGAGCATGGGCCAGATCAACTTCATCGACGTTTTCGACCCCTCGCGCATCCACCTGTACCAGGCGGACGTGAGCGCGTTTGTGACGCTGTCGGACGTGTCGTCGACGGGCGAGTGTCTGGCCTTTGTCGACGCGCTGCAGACGGTGCACCTGTGGACGGACCAGCTGCTGCGGCCGCCCAGCTTCGCGGTGCTCTCGCAGGAGCCCGTGCGCGCGGCGCTGGACGCAGAGCCCGTGCCGCGCGAGAACGCGCTCTCGTTCGAGTCCGACGCGCCGTTCAACCTGCTCAAGCTGCCGCGCTACGAGTCGATGCTGCTGTCGGCGTGGCCGGCCGACATGAAGTTCGAGGTCGGCAAGCTGCCGCGCCCGATCGAGCCCGAGATCCTGCGCGACAAAAACACCATCAACGGCTTCGCCATCGCGCGCTACGACGCGCGCAAGTACGGCCCGCGCAACCGCGCCGCGCGCCACGAGCTGCTCACCGCGCGCAGAGACAACGACGCGCTGTTCCCCAAGTTTCTGAGCGAGCGCGAGGACGACTACGACGAAAACGAGGACAGGATCCGCGCGACGCGCGAGATGATGGCCAACGCGTTCGTGTGCACGCCCACGGGCAGCGACGTGCCCAACGCGTTCAAAAAGACAGACATCCTGTACAGCAAGTTCGGCGTCGACGACTTCGACTTCACGTTCTACAACGCGACGCAGTTCTCCGGCCTCGAGTCCCACGTCGACAACTCGTACACCAACGCGGTGCTGCAGCTGTACCGCTTCACGCCCGCGCTGTTCAACTTTGTCGTGCGCACGCTCGCCGAGGACGTCCAGTACGACGACTGCATCCTGGCCGAGCTCGGGTACCTCATGGACATGCTGGTCAAGGCGAACGGACGCAACGTGGTGGCCGCCAACTTCCAGAAACTGTTCAGCTCGCTGCCGCAGCCGCGCCAGCTGGGGCTGCTCAGCGCGGACGGCCGCGCACGTGACGACCACGGCCAGCGCAGGCTCGTGCACCTCTTCAACAAGTTCCTGCTCGAGCAGCTCGCGCGCGACGAGACACAGCTCTACCGCCGGCCCGTGCCCCAGCACATGCACCAGCTGTGCGGCATCGCCGCCCACACAACGCTGCGCTCGCGCTTCTGCTCGCTCGAGCACGTGACCACCGCGCACGTGTACTCCCTCGACCTGAACGTGCTGCCGCCGCCGCCGCTGGTCCCGGCCGAGTTCACGATCCTCAACTACCTGGAGGCCGCGACGCACAAGACGCTGCAGCACAGCGTCGTCTGCGACTCGTGCGGGGGCTACCACGCGATCGAGGCCGCGCTGCGCGTCGGCCGGCTCCCGCGCGTGCTGGTGCTGCACGTCGACCTCGACAACGAGCAGCTGAACGAGGTGCGCCGGTTCCAGAACTGGCTCGTGCCCGCGTTCTACGCCGCCGCGGGCCCGGGCAGGCCGCTTTTCCGCACGACCCCCGTGGCCGGCGCCGCCACGCGGTACGAGCTCGTCGGCTACGTGGCGCAGATCACGTCCAGAGACAACACCAGCCACCTCGTGACGCTCACACGCACGCCGCAGGGCGAGTGGTATCTGTTCAACGACTTTCTGGTGACCAGAATCTCCCAGGACGAGGCGCTGAACCTGACGTACTGGTGGAAGCGGCCGGTGGTGGCGGTGTACCAGGACCTTTCCGAGCGCGAGTTTGACTACGACGGGTGGAAAGCTGTGATCGACGACTCGATCCTGTACCGCGACCACTTCGCGCAGGGAACGCGCGAGGGCAAGGTGATCGAGTACGAGCTGTTGACGCGGGCCGAGGCGCCAAAGCCGGGCACGCTGGTAGCGATCGACGCGGAGTTTGTGCTGCTCGCGCCCGAGGAGTATCTGTTCCGCTCGAGCGGGGCCAAGGTGCTGGTGCGGCCGAAAAAAGTGTCGCTGGCCAGAGTCTCTGTGATCCGCGGCGAGGGCCCCAAGGAGGGCGTGTGTTTCATCGACGACTACATTCTGACGGACGAGTCGACGATCAACGACTACATCACGTCGTTCTCCGGGATCGAGCCGGGCGACCTGACGCCGGAAAAGAGCAGCAAGACCGTCGTGACGCTGCAGACGGCGTACCGCAAGATCTGGCTGCTGCTGAACCTGGGGTGCGTGTTTGTGGGCCACTCGCTCAGCGGCGACTTCCGCGCCATCAACATCCAGGTCCCGCCGCAGCAGGTGCGCGACACGGCCGAGCTGTTCTACCTGAAGCGCGAGAAACGCAAGCTCGGCCTCAAGTTCCTGATGTACCAGCTCTTCAACGACAGAGTGCAGACGGGCAACCACGACTCGATCGAGGACGCGCACTCGGCGCTGCGGCTGTACCGCAAGTACCTGGAGCTCAAGCAGGCGGGCGAGCTCGAGGAAACGCTACAGCGGATATATCTGGAAGGACAGTACTCGCGGTTCAGAGTGCCGTCGAGCCAATAAATATACACAGGTCTAGTTCTGTAGGTTGACCACGTTCTGCGAGGACCGCTTGGCCTGCTGCTGCGCGCGCGTGGTGGGCGGCGGGTGGCCGTACTGGCGCACGGGCTGGGGCTGGGGCTGGGCCGGCTTCTTGCGCTCGGGCGCGTCGTAGTGCAGTTTGTGCTGCTGCTCGAAGTCGGCGCAGTTCTTCTTCCACATGCGGTCCACCGCGTCGCCGAAGTCCGCCACGGCGCCCGCAAACTGGTCGGGCTGCTCCGGGTCCCGCGTTTTCTTCACCCTGAGCGAGCTCGTGTTCAGCCGCGCCAGAGACTTGATCGTCGGGTTGCTGTGTCTGCGGATCGAGAGGAACTCGCGCGAGAGCTGCTCGAACGCGAGCCGCGTCACGTTCGACGCGAAAACGCTGTTGGAGTCGGCCATGTCGGCCAGCGAGTGCAGGTTTTCCCGCTGCAGCCAGAGCTTCTGCTGCGTTCGGGTCTGGACAGACGTCTTGGTGGGCGTCGAGCTCGGCGGCGTCTCGGGCACGCTCGGCTCGTGGTACGACTGCGACGGCTCCGACGACGACGGCCTCGAGCTCTCGCTAGCCTGCAGCGGCGCGTCGTACATCGGCCGCTCCTGGCCGGACGACTGCGACAGCACGTAGCTCTTATCGTAGAACTGCTGGCGCGGCGGCGACGAGCTATCTCGCCCGGTGTCGTCGAACGTGTCGACCTCCTCCTCGTCGTCGGAAGAAACAGAGCCGTCTGGCTTGGCGTCGAGCGCGAGCTTGTACTTGGAGGGCTTTGTGTTGAGCATCTTGAGGTTGGTCATGCTCTTTGTTCGCTCGTTTGCGGTGATCAGATTGGTCAGCTTGTTGTACGACAGGGTCCGGAGCATGTCTGCGGACGACTTGGAGCGCTGGAAGTTGGGTCGTTCGGGCTCGTTCGAGGACGAGCCCCCGGAGTCGTTGCTCTTGATCCGCGTGAGCTTGTTGAGGTGCGCTCCGTACGAGGAGTTGCGGCTCACCTTGCCCGCGGTGAACTTCTTCAACGCCTTTTTTTTCGGCTCGTCTTTGAGGGAGTTTGACGACTTGCCTCGGGGGAGATGGGTGGACATGGGAAATAAATTATTTTATTTCATCAATTTTATTTATTTATTTTAATTCCCCATGGACCTCTACACAGTTGCCCAGCACTATTTGGACCGCATACTCGAAACGGACGCCGTCGAGAAGATCCGCGTTCTGCTGCTAGACAAAACCACGTCCGCGGTGATCTCAATGGTCACCACACAGTCGGAATTGCTCAAGAAAGACGTGTTTCTCGTGGACAAGCTCGACAACTTCCAGAGAGACAGTCTGCGCAACTTGTCGTGTATCTGTTTTCTCGAGCCCAGCCTGGAGACGATAGCCAACCTGTCGCGCGAAGTCGCCAACCCAAACTACCAGAAATACGACATTTTCTTCAACAACTCGGTGTCGAACTCCAAGCTGGAACGCCTTGCCGAGTCGGACGACATGGAAATGATCTCCAAAGTGGTGGAGATTTTTATGGACTACCTCGTGGTCAACAAGGCGCTGTTTGTCGTGCCAAACGTCGTCTCGCCGTACGGCCCGCTCGTCCGCGACTCCTGGGACCCGGCGGCGTTCGACCAGTCTCTGCAGAGCCTCATGTCGCTGCTGCTCTCGCTCAAATACAAGCCTGTCATTCGCTTCGAAACAAACTCGAAAATGTGCGCCAAGCTCGCCAACGCGGTGAACTTCGAAATCAACTCCAACCAGATGCTCTTTGGCCAGCTGCCGGCAAGAGACTCGCCTCCGTCGCTGCTCATTCTGGACCGCAAAAACGACCCCATTACCCCGTTGCTCTTCCCCTGGACGTACCAAGCAATGATCCACGAGCTGCTGGGGATCCACAACAACACCGTCAACATGTCGCGCGTTCACAACATCTCGGAAGAGCTCAAGGAGGTGGTGGTCAACGAGCAGACAGACCAGTTCTACAAAGAGTCCATGTACCTTAATTTCGGCGACCTCTCGGAGAGCCTCAAGAGGTTTATTGAGACATACAAGACCAAAACGAAAACCAGCTCCAACATCAGCTCCATCACAGATATGAAGTTCTTCCTGGAGAACTACCCCGAGTTCAAGAAAACGTCCATCAATTTGTCGAAACACATGCTGCTGTCCACGGAGATCGACAAGAAGATCAACGAGCTGCGGCTGTGGGAGGTAGGCGAGCTGCAACAGTCGCTCGCCACAAACGACAACAGCAGCGGCGACCTCGCAGAGCTCGAGGACTTGCTATTTGACAGAAAATTGCAGAACGGCGCCCCTGTGGCACCTCTGTCCGAAGACACCAAACTGAAGCTCCTGGCAGTGTACGCGCTGCGGTACGAGTCGCACCCCTCCAACCAGCTCTCCAGACTGACTCGACAGCTGCACCAGCTCGGGTTCCCGAGCCACAAGCTGGACCTGGTCAAACGCCTGCTGCAGACCAGCGGTGCGGCACAGCGTCTGCACGACGACGGCGAGTCCATCTTCGAGAAAGTGTCCAACTCGACGATGGGAGGCACCGTCAACGGCATCAGCTTCAAGAACAACACCGACGGCAACGTGTACATGCAGCACAGCCCGCGGCTCAAACAGGTGCTGATGAAACTGTTCAAAAACAAGCTCAACTCGAAAAACTATGCGCTGCTCAAACCAAACGGTTTGGAGTCGTACACGGGCAACGACAAGATCCCGGACCAGGAGCTCGTTATTTTCATTGTGGGCGGCGTGACGTATGAGGAGGCCCGGCTGGTTGCCGAGCTCAACCAGCTCAACCCTGGCGTGAAAATCGTGATTGGCGGAACACACATTCTGGACTCAGACACGTTTATCGGGCTGAAATGAACTAGCCGTACGACTTTTCCCATGTATTCAGTTTTTCCGTTAGAGAGTCCAGTTTCGTGACAGACTCGTTGTAGCACTCGATCAGTAGCCTCTGGAGCCGCAGTATCTCGTCTGTGGAGTCCTCGCTCGTGTAGTTGAGCAGACTACGCTTGAAATCCTCCTCGTTCGACAGTTCGGCCTGGATGTTGGAGACAAACTCCATGATGGAAAACACCCGTCTGCGCATCTCGTTCATGCTGATCTTCTGGCTCGGCAGGTTCGGCTTGAACGGTTTTTCGTCCGAGATCTCGATCTTGGCCTTCTTCTTGTCCTCTGGCTCGTCTCTTTTTTTCTTGCTCTTTTTCGAGCTGCTCGACGCCGACGACGACGCCGACGACGGCGGCGTTGCTTTCTGCGGCAGGCTCAGGTTGCTGTGCTGTGTGATGTCCTCCTCCTGCGAGTTGTCGTCCTTGACCTTCTTGCGCGACCGGGTCTCCCGCGACGCAGACTCGTTCGACGACGACAGGTTCACGTCGTCCGGCTGCACGCCGCTCTCCTTGGCCGACTCCTCCAGCACCCGCTTGAGCATCTGCTCGTACTCCGCGTCTCTCGAATTGAGCGTGCCGCGCGCGCGTTTTCGCTTCTCGCCCTCCTCCTCGCTCTTGTCTCGCTCTCGTTTGATTTCCGGCTTCGACGCCGTCTCTGCGGCCGCCGCAGGCGGCGACCCGGACCCCGAGCCAGCGCTTGCAGCGGGCCCGGCCGCGTCCTGGGCCTGCTGGCGGCGCCGGTGGCGCTTCATCTCCTGGTACGGGTTGTACCTGCTTCTGCGGAACCCATACTTGTCTGTAAACAGGTCGTGGTGTTGCGGCTGGCATTGCTCGCACCAGTACTTTTCCGGGGCCGTGTCCTCGTCGGTGATGCCCACACAGAACCCGTGCTGCCACACCGAGCACGACTCGCACTGGATGAAGAACCCGGTGTCGACGTCGTCAAACTCGGGGCCTGCGTCGTCCGGGATGACCAGCTCGTCGTTGCCGCAGATGCAGCGAGTGACCTCCTCCAGCGACTCCTCGTCGTACGAGCGGTTTTCCTCTGAGTCGCCGTAATCTTTCTGTGGCTCTGGCTGTCGTCTAGTTCTGCGAGAGGACATAACAGAAACAAAGAAATAAATCGGGAAAAATATTTTATTTTTATTTCATGTCCCACGGTGCGCAAGGGAAAGACGAGCCCATTGACGTGGGGCCGCGCCGCAGTTTGGCAAGCGACGGCAGGGCCGTGGATACAGGCCCTCTGGAGCCGGTGCAGAAGAAAAGACGGGTCAAGAAGTTCAGAGGGACCCACAAGCGAGACGAGTCTGCTCCTTCCGACGTGCGCACGGCGTCGCCGTCGCCAGCGGGCCAGAGCCTCGTTGGCCTGAACCAGGAACAGAAGGACGAGATCATCCGACAGAAATACAACCAGCAGACGCACCACGCGCGCAAGACCCGCCGCACAGAGTCGAAGATCTACAAGCTGCGCTCGTTCAACAACTGCATCAAATACATCCTGATCCACAAGTACGCGCGGCCGGGGGGCAACGTGCTGGACCTGGGGTGCGGCAAGGGCGGCGACATGGCGAAATGGGAGGCTGTGCAGACCAAGTCGTACGTGGGGATCGATCTGTCGGACCTCTCGATCAAGGAGGCCGTCACGCGATACAAACGCTCGCGATTCCACTTCGAGGCCGTCTTCGCCACGGGAGACGCGTTCAACGTGCCGGTGCCGCAGATCCTGAAGGACTTCCGCGACCAGGTCGACCTCCAGTTCGACACCGTGTCGATGCAGTTCTGCATGCACTACGCGTTCGACTCCGAGCTGACGGTGCGCAACATGCTGCAGAACGTGGCCCGCTCGCTCAAGGTGGGCGGCATGTTCATCGGGACGATCCCGTCGTCCGACTTCATCCGCTGGAAAGTCAACAAACTGGGGCCTGGCGAGCGCAAATGGGGCAACTCGATCTACTCGGTCGAGTTCCCGTCGGAGCCGCCCAGGGACGCCAGGTTTGCGAATCCGTTCGGCAACGTGTACAACTACTATCTCGTGGACGCCGTCGACAACGTGCCGGAGTACGTTGTGCCGTTCGAGACGTTCCGCGCTCTGTGCGAGTCGTACAATCTGGAGCTGCGGTACAAGAAGAACTTCTTTGAGCTCTTCAACAAGGAGATCCCCAACTACTTCAAAAAGCTGCCGACGCCCGTGGTGGAGTCGCTGCGGCGCGAGGACGGCTCGTACGGCGTCAGCGGCGAGGACAGAGACGCGTGCTCGTTCTACCTCGCCTTTGCGTTCGAGAAAGTTGGCGCATAGCCACAGCTCTATTAGCAGCACATATAGACTACACAATGGTGAACTTGCGCTTGCGCTCGTCCAGAGAACCCTTCAGACCTTCGACAAGACTCCGCTTGAACATCTCGACCGCCTGGCGCACGCTCATCTCGTTGTCGCCCTCGATCAGCAGGTACAGCTTCGGGTCGTCCTTGGCTCCGGGCTCCTTGCCCGGCCCGTAGTAGCGGCCCTTGGTCGTGATCGACGTGCCGGTCGCCTCCACGACCTTGTTGATGTTGTCCTTGTTGGACATGTGCCAACGCGTGCTCTGCGGCAGGTCGTTGATGTTCATTTTCGCGTGGTGGACGGCAGAGTCCTGCGCGCGCTTCGTGCTGCCGAAGACGACCTGGAAATTGTTCAGTTTTTCTGCCGGCACCTCTGACGTCTCGTCGTCGTCGTCGTTCGTCTCGGAAAGGTCTTCGCCCTCGTAGAGCGTTCTGTCGAGCTTCTTTTTCTGCTCCCTGATTTCGGCCAGCTTCTCCAGCCCGCGGCCCCCAAACCCCGACCCGTACTTTACCTCGCCGCGCTTGAGCTTCTCGCGGAACCGGCTCGCAATCTGCACCAGCTCTGCAGGCGGCTGCGCGCCCGATAGTTCCAGCAGCCTCACGATGTCGCTGGCAGCGCGCTCCTGGTGCCGCGTGACAAACGTGACGGCCGTTCCCGAGCGGCCTGCGCGCCCCGTGCGCCCCACGCGGTGCACGTAGTCCTCCATGTGGTTGGGCGAGTCGTAGTTGACCACCAGGTTCAGGTCTTGCACGTCCAGTCCCCTCGACGCAACCGACGTAGCAACCAATATATCGATCACGCTACTTTTGAAGTCGGAAATAATGCCGTCCCGGTCGAGCTGCTCTTTCCCGCCGTGCAGCGACAGCGTCGGATACCCTTTGATGATGAGCTGATTTGCCAGACTGTCGCAGCTGTCCTGCCGGTCGACGAAAATCAGCACCTTGCCCGAGTCTGTGCTCTGGAAACGGGCCAGGACCTGCAGCAAGCGGCCGAACTTCTGGTCCTCGTCCAGAACCTCGAATTGCTGCGCGATCTTGTCGTTCACCAGGTTCTTGGCACCAACAAGCACCTCGACCGGGTCTGCCAAACACCGCCTTGCGAGAGCCTCCATCCGCGGAGGAAATGTTGCCGAAAATAGAACGGTCTGCCGGTCCGGTCTCGTCACTTTCAGGATCTTCATCACCTGGGGCTCGAACCCCATGTCAAACATGCGGTCGGCCTCGTCCAGAACCAGGTACGTCACATGACTGAGCCGCAGAACACGGCCATTGTTCGCGCACAGCAGGTCGATGATCCGACCCGGCGTGCCGACAACCAGGTCGCACCCTTTCTTGATCTCCGCGATCTGCTGACTAATCGACTGCCCGCCGTAGCAGCAGCACCCACGCAGCCCGAGCGCCTGGAGAAAAACGCTGCTCTCGCTGAATATCTGCATCGCCAGCTCCCTGGTCGGCGTCATCACTAGAGCACGCACAGACGGCGCCGCTGGATTCGCAAGTAGCTGGCGGAACAAGGGCAGCAGGAACGCAAGCGTCTTTCCGGAACCTGTTTTGGCGATCCCGATCAGATCGTGGCCGCTCATCACGTTCGGAAGAGCCTCGCACTGGATAGGCGTCGGAGCGTCGAAACCTAGAGAGTCCAGAGCGCTCCGCAGTGAAACGGGCAGTCCCAGATGGTCCCAGGTGATGATGGGCCGCGCAACAGACTTGCCGCGCACGGTGATCGCGTCGCGGAGCCGCAACGAGTCCACCTCGTCCGCCGACAGCGCGCTGATGAACGCACTCTCGGAGTAGAGGTGTCTGGTGTACGGATGTGTGCTGGGAGGGTGTTCGGGCACCGACTTTTTGTTCTTGTCGTTGATGGCCTGGAGCAGTTTGGCCGGGTCCAGGTGGTCTGCGTCGGTGTCGGACTCTAAGGGCGCGTCGTCGTCGCTCTCAAAGAGTGCGGCGGCGCTGTCTTTGTGCTGGCCGTGCTCCATGTTTTCGAGCAGCGTGTCGAGGTCCAGCGGAGTGTCGTCAGTTGTCTGCTCCGCGCTTTCTGCCGGCCCGTCAAGCAGGTTCTTGCGCATCAGGCGGGCGGGTTTCTTGGGCGTTGTTTTTGCCTTTGCCGTGAACTTAACGGGCTTTTTCTCGGCCTCGGCCTCCTTCTTCTTCTTCCACGCCGCTAGCTTCGCCAGCCGCGCGCGTCGCTTCTCCTCTGCACTGGTTAATTGCTGGCCCGCGACTCCAGGGCTACTTACAGCATTGGGAAACAGGCTCATAATAAATATTTTTTAGTCTATTTTATTTATTTTATTTTATTTTTTTTATTTTATTTTATTTATTTAACCTCTAGTCGCTATACTTGCTCGCATGCTTTGGTCCCTCTATGTCTAATTTCCGCAGCCGCCATCCCGACTACGGGTCGATCGCGGACCCCAGCACGGACGAAAAGCCCCACAAGCTCAACACGATGAACGGCGTCACGCTGCCCACGATCCTGAACGTGCTGTCTATCTTGATGTTTTTGCGGTTCGGCTTTGTTCTCGGCCAGATGGGCATTCTGGGCACGCTGCTGCTGCTGGTTATGAGCTACGGCATCGACCTGCTCACGACGCTCTCCGTGAGCGCCATCGCCACTAACGGGACCGTCAAGGGCGGCGGGGCGTACTATATGATCAGTCGCAGTCTGGGAGTGGAGTTCGGCGGCGCAATAGGCATCATTTTCTACATTGGCCAGGTCCTGAACTCTGCGCTGAACGTGGCCGGCCTGATCGAGCCGCTGCTGTACAATTTCAACAGCCAGACCGGCGTCGTGTGGAAATTGCTGCCCACAGACTACTGGTTCCAGTTTATCTACAGCACTGTGTTTCTGGCTCTCTGCACGGTGATTTCGCTAATTGGCTCGCAGACAGTTTCCAAAGCGGGCTCGCTGCTGTGTTTTCTGCTGATTCTGTCGACGCTGTCGGTGCCTCTGTCGTCGCTCGTGGTGGCTCCGTTTTACTCCAAAGAAAACGACGTTTTTTACACGGGCATTTCGTGGTCCACGTTCACAGAAAACCTGCTCCCGCACTTCACCCAAGGCGCCGCAGGCTCGCAACTGCCGCGCAGAGAGAACTTCAGAGACGTGTTTGGCATTTTCTTCCCTGCTACAGCAGGCATCTTTGCTGGAGCGTCCATGAGCGGCGACCTGAAAAGCCCGTCCAAATCCATCCCGCTGGGAACGCTGAGCGGCCTGCTGATCACGTTTGTGTGCTATCTGCTGGTCATCATCTCCATGGGATGCTCCATCCCGCGCGAACTGCTGTACAAAGACGTGCAAGTGCTGCAGACGGTCAATCTGTCGCCGCTGCTGATTATCGTCGGCGAGGTGTCGACGTCCGTGTTTTCGGTGATTGTCGGCCTCGTGGGCGCCGCGAAACTGCTCCAGGCCATCGCCATCGACGAGATCTTGCCCGGCCTGCGCGTTTTCGGCACACGCCCCGTCTACGGCATCCTGTTCACATGGCTGCTGTGCCAGCTGTTTCTGTTTGCCGACGTCAACCAGATCGCGACGCTCATCACCATGGCTTTCCTCATGACATTCATCGTCACCAACGTGGCCTGCTTCCTTTTGAAGCTCGGCTCGGCCCCCAACTTCAGGCCCAGCTTCCGCTATTTCGGAACAACCACCGCCCTACTGGGCACGCTGGCGTCCGGAGCGGCAATGTTTGTTGTCGACGGCATATCCGCGTCCTTCATCTTCATCATGCTCATGGCGCTCGTCCTGTTCATCCACTACATCTCGCCGCCAAAACAGTGGGGAGACGTGTCGCAGTCGCTCATTTACCACCAGGTGCGCAAATACCTCCTGAAACTGCGCCAGGATAACGTCAAGTACTGGCGTCCGCAGATCCTGCTGCTGGTGGACAACCCGCGCACGAGCTGGAAACTAATCAATTTCTGCAACCACCTGAAAAAAGGCGGTCTTTACATCCTGGGCCACGTCGTGGTGGCAGACAGTTTCCAGGACCGTGTGGCCGATCTGAACCGCCAACGGTCCGCCTGGATCAAGCTCCGCGACGTGTCGGGGGTGAAGGCGTTTGTGCAGATCGCCATCGCGCCCACGTTCTGCTGGGGAGTGCGCAACGTGTTTCTGGGATCGGGACTGGGCGGAATGAAACCAAACATCACCATAGTCGGGTTCTACGACCTGTCCAAGTATAAAACGCAGAAACTGCCCAGAAGCATGAACTTCGAGTCCAAAACGCCGGAATTCTCCAAACAGGTCAACGTCAACCTCTCCGGACTGCCCACAGATACCTGCATCCAGGAGGACCACATAGGCCTGTGCAACTGGGTGCAAGTGCTGGAAGACCTGTCGCTGCTGGACAGCAACATCGCCGTCGCCAAGGGGTTCCCGCGCCTGCACATCCCTAGCAACCACGAAAACGAGCTCCACGACTCGCAACAGCGCTGCATCGACCTCTACCCGATCCAGATGTCGAGTCACGTGACCAACAAGTCGGGCAAGAGTATCAGGACCAACAACTTCGACACGTACACCCTGATTTTGCAGCTGGGCGCCATTCTGCACACGGTGCCGTGCTGGAAGAAGACGCACCGGCTGCGCGTGGTGGTGTTTGTGGAGTACACGCGGGACGTTGCCGAGGAGAAGCAGCGGCTGCGGTCGTTGCTCGAGATACTGCGAATCAACGCCGAGGCGGTGGTGCTTTGCTTGGAGTCGGGCAACTTTGGCACGTACAACTACATTGCCAAGGGCGAGAAGGACGGGTTTGACACGGGCAAGGTGGACGCCCGACTCGAGAACGACGAGTGGTGGCAGGCGGTGGTGGAGATGCGCGGTTCTGCCGCGCCGGCGCCCAAGCCTGTGGCCAACATACAGATCAATTCCAAGGTTGTGAGGAAGTTCCATGCGGGCAACAGAAAACGGTACTCGGGCAGCTACATGCGCAAGAACGGCGTGGCGTTCTCAATGGTCTCGAACGGCATAGCAAACGTGGACCTCCACAAGACGCTGGCAGACGCCTCGTCGTCAGAAGACGACTACTCGTTTTCCGACAGCGAGTCGGTTGTGTCGTCGGCGTCGTCGATCTCGCGCCACGAGCCCCATCCGCCGACGGCGCCCGTGTACCAGCCGTCTGTGCAGCATCTGCGGCGGCCAATGCTGCGGAACCTCAAGTCGTCGACGTCGCTGTTGCGGCAGAAAGTGTCCACATTTTCTGCAGACACAATGCCCAACTCGCAGGTTTTGGAGAACGCACAGGGTAACGAGCCGTCCATCATGTTTGTTCAGGACGGGGCCGAGCAGGGCGCGCTGTCGGGCAGCGTGTCGCCCGCTCTTGCGGCCACTGCGTACGACGACTCGGTGTTTTCGTTCAACGAGCTGAGCAGCACGGCGCAGTATCTGATTTTGAACGAGCTCATGCGCAGCACGTCTGCCAACACGGCTCTAATATTCTCGACGTTGCCCGTTCCGGAGATCGGACTGCACAAGGACGAGAGAAGCTGCCTGGACTACGTCACCAATCTCGACACCTGGTGCAATGGACTGCCTCCCACGCTGCTGATAAATGCCAAGACTGTGACTGTGACTACGAATTTGTAACTTGCTCGGTGGAAAATTCCGAAGTGCATCGTAATATAGAGAGCATCGAGGACTGCATTGTAGTTTGGACATGCTAAGTAGGAGGCGGGTAGGAGGAGAAGGGAAAGTATGGAGTGTTCATGATGGCGGCCAAATTCCAGATTGGGTGTGGTTTTTTTTCAGGTGAGGTTATTTTTCGCCGATGATTGGCTGCTGGCGGCTGGCGGCGGGGTGCGTTTCACCAGAATACCTGTCAAACGGTGTTCGGGGGAATGCATCATGCATATGCACATTAGGTAATCTGCAATCGGGTGGTCGGCTGAAAACCGAAAAGGACATTCCTATTTGCACCGCGTCGGGAGGTCCGAAGGCTGCGGCGGTTTTAAGGCGTTGTCATTTATGCACCGTTTGCTAAAAGGCTTATTGTTTGCTGTTGACAGCTGTAGACCCGAAGGCTCAATACAACCGCATGCCGCATGCCGTCGGCTGAGCCGAGCCGTCGGGAACTCCGGCGTGACTCCACGTCACAACACAAGTCAAGTTTGTCACAACGCGGCCTGGCGAAGATCTTCTGTGCCACCGTAGGGCCAGCCCACTGTGCACAATAGGCCGCGGAAAAGCCGATCAGCGCGCGAGAACGGGCAAGCGCCACCGCGCAGAATGGGAACGGGCCAGTCGAGCCACTCAGGAACCAAGGCGCCGAAATGGCAGGCGCGCGATGGCGTGGGCACATGACACGCGACGGCGGCAAGGTTGCTGTTTACGGCGTGTGCGGTGGGCAGCGTGATTTGAAACGCAACCGCAACCAGGCGGTGTTTTTACATTTTCGAGGAACTTCCGTCGGCAGAACCACGAAATTTTAGCTATGCGTCTGGCAGGTTATTAAACCGAACAGTAAACGGCACATTAGATTGTCCCAATTCAGCCATTTCGCTCGGTCGCATAGAATTTCCTGGCCGCAGCCTATTGTCTCGTGCGTCGTAGTCGCATTTTTTTTTGCTGAAAACGATAGACCTGTCTCCTGAATGGCCGTTCTGGTGCTATTATTCACGCAGCTGCCGAACCCATTGTTCAGGAAGACGTGCTCCATATATTAAGCAACTGTCCTGGCACTTTTCCACTCTCTGAAAAACCATGGAAGTGTCCAGTCTCATCAATACACAGTACGCGGGCCCCCAGCGGCTCACCCCGCCATCCTCGCCATACGACTCGCCCCCGGGCCCTCGTGTACAGTTGCCCTCCATCAAGCGGATCCTGGACTCCTCGGTCCTCGACTCCATCAACAAATTCCCGCCCCAGACCTTCGACCCTTCCGCCATGCCTATTCTGCCCAGCCCCGTGCAGCAGTTCCCCTACTCGCCGCTTTCCTCGAGATCCAGCTCGTTCTCCTCCGTGCTCGAGTACCAGCTGCCGCCGCCCCTGGTTTCGCACCGCTCGCTGCCACACCTCTCGTTCCCGAGACTCTCGCTCACAGAGCCCGCCAGCCCGGGCCAGCCGTCCGCCGCGGCCCGCCCCGACCCAGAGTACAACGCGCCGGCCTCGCCGTCGTCCGACTCCGACTGCGGCGCCAAGTACTGCAAGAAAAAGCGCTCCAACCTGCCCAAAAAGACAACGGTTATCCTGCTCAACTGGTTGAACGATAACCTCGAACACCCGTACCCCAACTCGAAGGAGAAAATGGAGCTCGTCGCAAAGACAGGCCTCACCAACCAGCAGCTCTCCAACTGGTTCATCAACGCCAGGAGACGCAAGATCCAGCTGCTCAGAGAGCTCAAGTCCAACAGCACCACCGTGTGATGCCCCGTCTACAGTAATACATCTCGTTTTTCCGCTCACGTTCGGTTCAGGTACCTGTCGATGTAGTACTGCCGCAGGCAGTCGTAGATGAACGCAAACTGCTCGAACTGCTGCACCATCAGCACCCGCTGGCTGCGCAGCTCCAGCACGATCTCCAGCACGGGGTCCCGCACCTCGTGGTTGTTGACCGGCGTGATCAGGTCCTCGCGCGCGTCGTCCGCGTCGGGCGCCGTCAGGCTCGCCGTGCAGTGCTGCAGAAAGTAGTCCACCGCGATGAACGTGCCCGACCGCCCCACGCCCGCCGAGCAGTGCACCACCACGGGGTCTGCGGTCTTGTGCGAGTGCACGCGCCCGCTCAGCTCCACCAGCGACGCCGCCTGCTCGGGCGCGCTGAAGTCCGCCCACTCGTGGAACTGGTACTGCGTCACCGGCCGCACCGCCCCGCTCGCCTCGTCCCGCAGCGTCCAGTGCCGCGCCGTGAAATGCCCGCCCTCGCTCTCGCGCGCGCCCCCAAATTCCGCCACCAGCCCGTCCCCGGCGCGGAAATCCTTTTCCGACCAGTACTTGTAGCATTTTTCGCGCCCGCCTTCGACCAGCGGCGTCAGCATCACAATCACCACCTCCTGCGCACACTGCTCGAAACACATCTGCCAGAAGTGCCGCCACGTCGCCGCCGTCGGGCCCTGGGCCGCTATGTACCGCCCCACGCCGTCGCCACACGTCAGCTCGATCCACGACGCGTTGATGTAGTCGTTGTCGCCGCTGCGCAGCCGCACGCGGTTCTTGTCGAACGGCAACACGTCGCTGTACCGGTTGCGGTCCCTGTTGCGCGCGCCGGCCTCGTGCGCCCACGCCGACTGGCCCCGGTGCCGCATCGTGTCCACCAGCCGGCTCTTCTCGCGCCGGTTGATCTCCACGTACTTCTCGCGCAGCGCCTCGCGCGATTGAGTCAGAAACTTGGGCATCCGTCTTGTCTTCACTGTGCCAGGTGGAGAAGAAAATTTTGTACGCGGTCTCTTTCTTGTTGTGTAGGGGCGAGCTGCACCGCGAACCGCGCGACCTTTGCCCGCACGCCGTCGGCGCCGCGGACGTCGTACTTGTGCAGCCGCTGCGCCACCTTCAGAAGACACGCCAGCACGTCGTACCGCACGCTCGCCAGCCCGCGGGGCCCTGCTGCCAGCTGCCCCAGCACGTCGACCGCCGCGTCGATCGTCGGCGGCGAGAACGCGGTGTACGGGTTTCGCAGCAGCTCGAGCACGCCGTAGCACGTCTGCTTGGCCACCACGGCGGCGAACGGCCCCAGTTTGGGCAGCAGGTCCGTCGCCACCACGCCCAGCAGCGCGCCGCACACGTCCGGGTACTCGCCCGCGCGCGCCACGCCCGGCAGCGCGTAGTCCACGAGCAGCCACGCGATCTGTTTCTCGAGCTCGTCTGGGGCGTCCGTCGAGGCCGTCAGCACGGCTATCGCCGCCGCGTATGCCGTCGGCAGCACCGTCCGCGACTCTGCTGCCGGCGTCAGCGTCGGCAGCGCCAGCAAACACGGCGCAATCGCGTCCAGCAGCAGGCCTGCCACGCTGCTTCGCGCAATGATGTTTTTCGCACTTGGCGGCGTATTCACCTTTGCCACCACCGTCCGGAGCACCTCGCACGCGGCGCTCTTGACCAGCACGTCGTGGTCGTCAAGAAAGTGCAGCAGGAGCAGAAAAACCACGTTCCAGCGGGCCTCTATGTCGCTACCTTGGAGAAAATCCACCAAAAAAGCCAGACTGCCTATTCTCGCCATATACTTTGCTCTGATCCGGTCGTCCTCGCCCACGGGGCCGCGGCCCACGAGCGGCGTGTCTCTGAACACGTCGGCCGCGTTTTGCGACTTTCTATACCCACGAGCAGACACTTTTGTGTGCTGCTGGCTGGCCTTGCCAAACTCGCGTAACATGGGCACGTAGCCGTCCATGAGCGAGTATATCTCGTCTTTGGAGGGGTCCACCCGACGCAGGATGTCGCGCACGGCCTCGGCAGACTCCTGGGACGACCACGGATGGCGCTCGTCGTAGTAGAGCGAGACTTTGTCTAGCAGCTTGAGACGGTCGTACCCTGAGGTGGACTGTAGCGCCAGCCGCAAAGCCTGCAGTTGCACCTGTTTGTGCAGGCGTGAGGTTTTCTGCTCGCACGGTTCTGTCGGGCGGAACCACGTCCATCGCGTCTCTGGCACGGCCAGCATCTCCAGAAGCTCGTCAGTAACGACTTGCCAGTCCTCGGGACCTATTGGCTCTTCTGGACCAGCAAGCACGCTTCCCGCTGGCCCCAGCCGACGCTCCAGCTCCGCCAATCCTGCCTGCGGATCTGCCCTCAGCGTTTCCACTATTCTATTTGCGTTCTTCATACCGTTCGAGCCTGAAAAACCGTTTTACCCGGCCCGCTATTTTTTTTATTTAGCAAAACTATCTTGTCTAACGGCCCAACACTTCCAGACAAGCCCGCCGCCGCTGCACAGAACCAGCCTTCCTTCCTGCGCCAGCGACCTGCACCGCGATACATTGAAGCACCAACCGGAAAAAAACAGGCAGTTGCACGGGATACTAGTCTTTTTAGCGACCTGAAACAAAACATGGAGTCTTCGCTGAAAAGGGTCTTTTCAGGGACACCCGACCCGTCGGCGCGGCCGTCCAAGCTCAAGAAACTCACGAGCAGCATCCTCAACATTTTCCAGCGGCCCAAAGACGCCCATCTCGACGTGTCCGGATCACAGCCGTCGAGACCAAACACCAGCATCGCCCCTAATCTCAGTCTCAACCACGACTCGTTCCGCTCCCAGTCGTCGCCGATCACCGCCCGCCAGCTGGAACAGTACTACGAGTCCATCAAGCGTGAAAACAACATGCTGTCCTCGAGACTCCGCGACGCAGACGACAGCCTGAAGGCAGAGTCCACGAGTCTGGGCGACGAGACCGTGCTCAACGGCACCGCGCGCTCGCCAGCGCCCCCGGCGGCCGCCAAGCGCAAGGCGTCCGCGTCGGCGAGCCATCCTCCGCCAAAACAGCCCAAAAAGCCAACACCCTCGTTCTCAATCGACCCTATAGAACGCGCTCAGCTGGTAGTGCTCAAACGGAGAATGCAGCAGGACAAGTACCGCAAATCGCGAATGGCGTACCTGCGCGACCACACCAGAAACCTTGTGCACACGTCGTCCAGCGTGTCTGCCAGCTCCAAGTACGTCGACACCTCTGTCGAGACCGTTGAGCATGCCCCGGAACTTGCAACCAAGACCACGTCGGTGCAGAAAATCCCAAAAGAGCGGCTCAACCAGCACGGCATCTTCAAGGCCGTGCTCGACTACGACGACACCGACGAAGAGCCAGAGGCCAAGAAGGTGGAGGTGAAGCCTCTGACCGAGAAAATAAAGTTTGCACCAAAGAAAGACGAGCAGTTTGCCCCCGAGAAGCTGGCGACCTCGTTCGACACGGCAACAAAGCCGAAGTTTGTGCCCGAGAAGAAGCCAGAACAGCCCCTGGAGTCTGCTCCACTGAAACCAACCCCAGCATTCACATTCACGGACAAAAAACAGACAGACTCGCCGACGTTCTCGCTCAAGGCGGCGGACACGGTGCCGAAGTCTGCGGACTCGAAGCCAGACGTTCCGTCGTTTTCGCTTTCGAACGGCTCGTCTGCTCCCTCGGTGTCGCTTCCAAGCACAGCAGGAAAAAGCGAAGACGAAGAGCCAAAGAGAAAGAGGTTTACGTTTGGATCCAAGCCCGACGAGTCGTCCAAGCCGGCTCCTGCATTTTCATTCAACACAGACTCCGCAAAACCGCTGTTTTCGTTCTCCAAGCCCGAGCAGAAACCTGAGCAGCCTGAGCAAAAAGGAGCGGCAGAGTCAAAACCAAGCTCGGCGTTCTCGTTTGGTGCCAAACCTGCCGACTCCGCTGACAAAGCTGCTCTGCCGTCTTTCTCCTTTGGAAGCCAGACGAAGCCAGCCGTGGAGAAAAACGAAGAAAAGAGCCAGGAGGAGAGCAAGCCTGCGCCTTCTGCCGCATTCTCGTTTGGCTCGAAACCACAGACCCCTGCTGTTTCTTTCTCCAAGCCGGCAGAGGAATCTGCCAAACCTGCGGCTCCAACGTTTTCGTTCGGCTCCAAAACAGAGCCGGCCAAGCCAGAGCCGGCCAAGAAGCCAGAAACGCCGGCGTTCTCGTTTGGTGCTAAGCCGGCTGAAACGACACAGCAAAAGGACGAGCCTAACAAACCTGCCACACCTTCCTTCTCGTTTGGCCCGAAACCAGCAGAACAGGCAACCCAGCCGTCGGAAACTGCCAAGCCAGCATTCAGCTTCTCGAGCAACTCATTCGGCGCCAAACCGGCTGAAAAGGACGAACAGAAACCCGCAGAGTCCAAGCCGTTCAGCTTCGGCGCAGCCAAACCAGCGTTCTCGTTCGGCTCCCAGCCGTCGCAGGCCGCCGCTGTTCCTGCCTCTTCGAGCTTTGGAGCCCCTGCGGGCACGGCTTCCAACCCTGCTTCCGGCTCTGTGTTTGGCTCTGCCGCGCAAGCCTCGACCCCGTCGTCGTCCACGTCTGGCTTCTCGTTCGGTGCCGCACCAAAACCAGCGGCTCCCGCTGCTCCCGCTGCTCAGCCGGCGCCCGCGTTCTCGTTCGGCACGTCGCAGGGCTTCGCGTTCGGCAAGCCGGCCAACAGCGCGAACGGCTCGGCCAACTCTGCCGGATCTGGCTCGTCTGCGTTCGGGCAGCCTGCACAGCCTGCACAGCCCGGATTTGGGCTCTCGGGCTCGCTCACCAACCCAGGCGCAGGACAGTCTGTGTTTGGCGGGTCGACGCCGCAGCAGCAGAACAAGATCTTCAACCTGGACGGCACGCATTTCGGCCAAGCTCAGCCCCAGGCCCAGACGCCGTCCACGTTTGGCGGGTTCAACCCGTCCAGGTCTGCCACGCCAAACTTCGACTTCACGGGGGCCTCCAGCTCGGCCAACGTGGACCCTTCCTCGGTGTTCTCTGCCGCGCCATCCACCACGCCTCCCCCAAACACCCAGACGCGCCGCAAGATCTATCCGCGGAGCATGCTGAGAGGAAGAAGATAGAGTGTATGTAATGTAACCAAAGTCTGAAACCGTCCCCGTGATCCGGGCTGTGCACAAAGTATCCCCAGACGGACGTGAGCACGAAATTTTCTAGAAAAATATTCACCTGTGTATTAAAACCTTCCACTTTTGACAAGCAAACTACGATCTGTCATGTCGACAATTCCACCTGAAGGTAAGTAAACGCCGCTCTGTAAGGCTAACATCAGTTCTTTGGGCGCAAAGATCCAACGACTCGGTTCCAGAGAAAAACCTGCTGTATCTGACGATCAATGTGGCCGATGTGGAGAAGCCAGAGATCACGCTCACGGCCACCGAGCTGAAGTTCGAGGGCACGTCGGGCGGACAGCACTACAAGCTGGACATTGAGTTCTACGACGAGGTCGACGAGAAGAAGTCCAAGTACCAGATCACGGGATCGCACGTCTTCTTTGTGCTGTACAAGAAGAAGCTCAATGCCGAGTTCTGGCCGAGACTGACCAAGCAGAAGGTGAAGCAGCACTACATAAAGACAGACTTTGACAAGTGGGTCGACGAGGACGAGCAGGACGAGAAAGACGACGACCTGCAGAACCCTATGGGCGACCTGGGCAACGCCTTCGGCGACGAGTCGATCGACTTCGCCAAGCTGGCCGCCGAGAGCGGCGGCGAGTTCCCCTCGCTGAACACTCCGAGCGAGCTGGACCAGCTCAGCAGCTCCGACGAGGAGGAGGCGGCCTCCGACGACAAGGCGCAGGAGCAGCCGGGCGAGGAAAAATAGTTTAATACATAGATGATGATATTTTAGTATTCCCTGCAATTGCGCCTAAATAATCGTGATCGTGTGCTGGCACTGCCACCGGCCGCCTCTGGCGACCGTCGTGCCCTCAATTGCGCCAAACTCGACGCAGCACATGTTCCGGTAGCTGGATTTCGGCTCAAAGTCTTTCATCTTGGCAGCACCCTCTTTCCACGGGTTCCAGACCACCAGGTCGCTCAGGTTCTCCGACGCGGTCAGCCTTACGTTGTAGTTGCCCGACAAAATGTCGACTTCCCGGTTGTTCTCGCCTAGCTTGTACAATTTGTCTGTCTGCTCCTCCACCTTGAGCATCGGACTGGGATCTAGCCGGTACCGGGTCTGCAGTCTGTCCAAATATTTGGCCCCTCTGAGTCCCGTGATGTACATGTCGCGAACACAGGGCACCCGGAAATAGGTGTGGTACAAAAATTGGAACTCCAGCTCAGACACGTTCTCGTTGACAAGGCTCGTGTTCACGGTGATGCGGTCCGAAAACAGGCTGAAATCCATCGTCAGAGCAAACTTTATAGGCTGGCCATAGAACTGGCACCAGTTGTGGTACTGCTGCTCGTCCTCGCACTGCCGATGGCTCAGCCGAAACCGTGCTACCGTGCACTCTGTCAGAACCTCGGCAATGACAAAGTCCCACGCCAGGTTGCGCACAAACCCGTGCTGCTGAACCGTCTTCAGGCTCTCCAGGTACGACTTGCCGAACGCTGGAAAAATCAGCGGCATTCCGCCTCTCACGGGCGTCGTGCTCTTGCTCGACAAATCGGCAGCTTCCGAGAGATACATATATTCATCGCCATTCACCACAAACGAGACCAGGGTGCAGCCTTTTTTCGCAACACAGGCATGGGCGTCGCCGTACGAGAACCTGATCAGATCGCCTTGCACCTCAACAGACATTACAGAACCAACTATTACCGGCCACGCTTTGAAGCCTGGCATGCGCTCGTAGCCTATCGCGATTTCATTTTTTATGTACACACCCGTGCACCGCCTACTCGAGCTCGCGGAACCGTTTATCGAGCTCCTCGAGCTCCTCGATCATCTGGCGCATCTCCTCTCTTTTCTTGACCGTCGAGGTCGACGAGCTCAGCATTTCCCGCTGCTCTTCGTTTAGCTTCAGCATCAGTTTCCGGATCATTCTGCGCTCGTCTGCTGCCACGTTCTCGGACTTGTTCAAGTCTCCCATACCGTACGAATAAATACACTTCAGGCCGTAGAGCGCGACGACCGTGCACGCGGCCAGCGCCACATAGCCCTTGAACGTGAACCCGTCCGGCAAAGGCGGTGGCTGCACGTTTTCTCCGGTCAGGTCCAGCCAGTGCTTGGTGTTGGCAGCAGCATTGCCTTTATAAGGAGTCTCGGAAGCTTTGCAAGCATGCAAAAAGTATTCAGGCAGCTCTTTCGACGCAAACTGCTCCTGGAGCTCTAAAGGAGCTTCGATGAGCGTCAAGGCAAGGCCCTGCTCAAGATGGAAGTCCAGATGGCAGTGGAAGAACCAGATACCTGGGTTTTTGGCCTCGAAGCGCAGCACCATGTGTCCATTGCCTTCCACAATCATTGTATCTCTGCGAACGGGGATTTCAGGCAAGTCTGTCTCTGCGTCGGGGTCGTAGTGGTGGGGATCGTCGTATTGGTCGGATCTGACTATGGTCTGGAACTGGTGGCCGTGCAGGTGGAAAGGATGCTTGTTGTCATCCTCGTTGTTCACCACGAGCTCCACAACGTCTCCGTAGTTGAGCACAAACGAGTTTGTGTTGGATCCGTATATTCTGGCGTTCGAGACGTACTCCTTAGGAGCAGTGAGTGCCGTAAGCAGAGTCGGCACTTTGGGAGCAACATAGGTGTAGTTGTTGAAAAATGCATAGTTGACACCGTCTCCCAAGTTCTCCATGTGCAAAACAACTTCTATGCGGTGGTCTGGGTCTGGAAGCAGAGGCTCGTCGTCCAGGGGACGCAGCTCGAAGTCGTCAAATGGAGAATACGAGTCAATGTCCAGCCATTCTTTTTTCAGCGTTGCGTCCGGCAAGCTCTTGTCGTAAACAAGCTGGTTGACAGACACATACTGCAGATCAGCCGGCAGGGCGTCCAGCATGGAGATGTCCAGCGCATGGACGATACCAAAGTTTCTGGATGCAGAGGACTTGGTCTTCAGCAAAACACTCATTCTTTGGCCCACGGCCAGGTATATCATGGAGGCCCTGGCAGGATGAAGGTAGACGCCGTCCACCTCGATGATGTCGATATCGTGATCTTCGAAAAATAGGTACTGCGACGACATGATTCCAATATTGGCAATTCGGATCAGATACGTGGTGTCGGGCTCCACCTCGAAGGTGATGTTCTTGGTGTCGTTTATAAGCGTGTTCTGGGGGATTGGCTCGGCTCCCGTGGGATTATATAGAGAAAGCTGTTTTTGAACCAAGACCTCACTTGAGTCATGATACCAGTCACTCAGAGAGAAAACGAGCTCTTTGTCGAACTTGTAGTTGGATTCCACCTCTTTATCATGAACAATAAATAACCCACGTAATCCATCGCTGTACTGCGACCCGCTGTGGCTGTGGTACCAATACGTTCCCACCTGATCCACCGTGAACTCGTAGAGAAAAGACTCGCCAGGAGGTATCGGACATTGAGTGACGGCAACGGGCCCGTCCATGTGGTTAGAGCCATTCTGAAGCAGACCATGGAAGTGTAAAGAGGTCGAGACGTCGAGCCCGTTGATCAGATGCAGTTGCACAGAATCGCCCTTGTTGACCTCGATGGTGGGCAAAGGCCAGCTTCCGTTAAACGAGATGACTCGACGCTCCTTCACACCGTCTGGATTTGCTGTGATCCACTTTGTCTCGTAGAAGAATGTATGTGTCTTAGCAGCGGCCTGGCATACTGCCATGGCAATAATGCCCAGGGTTACCAATAACACCATGACAAAGTATTTTGGTTAAGATCAAAGAAAATGAAAAAATTAAGAAAAAAAAATACGAAGGGACTACAGACGCGTCGATTAGGCAGGGTGTAAGACGATCCGGTGTAAGACGATAAAGGTTACACAAATCGAGTCCACGTTCGTGATGTGCAAACTCAGTTTGGCTCTCCGGAAAACAGAAGAGGATGGATTTTACCCTTGGCTGAGAGTCATAATTATTAATCTTTTGAGATTATTAATTAAGCTGGGGTTATGACGTTCCAAGAGGTTTCAGCCTCGTCTGGAGGTCTCGCACAATGCAACGTTCTTTCTAGCGGCGGCTAAAATCTGTCAACACAAATTAATATCTGTCTAGAAACTAACCCTTGATTAGCAATACTTGTCAGAAATTTCATGATGACAATTTACCGGCCTCTGATTTGCTGGATTTTGACAAGCGGGGCCTGCAGTAGCGCGCTTCACTAGTATTACAAGTGGGCGGCACACGACCCGCACAGTTTTTTTTAAGAGGTGCTTCAAAAATTTAAAAGTTTTATATATTGACGATCTCTCTGCCCACACTACTACTGCGTGAATTCTTCAGTAATACAGCGTGTTTTGAACTTTTTCATTAGTGAGCACAGCTAATCTCTATCCATTTGCTACTGCCATCCTATTTGCTAATATAATAGCAAGTTTTCGGCGTGTATTTCAGACGACCTCGCCAAAGGATTTAACGTTCAGGCAAATTTTAATTGCTAACCGCGCAACTCACACAGTATTGTCACAGATCAGACAGTGCCGCAGCTTGTTCCCGCACAGCACTAGTATTGAAACAGACGACTTGTTCGATACTCACGAGCCCTACACAAGAAATCAGCAATCATACATTAATTACAGCCAGATATGAGCATAGTCGCCCTCAAAAGAGCCCTTGTGTCTCTTTTCAGCTCTTCTTCTAACCAAAGTGGTCCACTCATGAGAGACACTAATAATAATAACTACGGTTCCCTTTCAGACGGTGACATCGAGTCCCAACCACAGACACCAGGCTCTCCAAAGCTGCAACAAAAAGGCGATGATTTCGATAGTTCTCAGGAGACAGGCATGTTTGGCAAAGTGGACCCAAGAGCTATGAGCGATCTGATTATCGGTCTCAGTGACGGTCTTACAGTTCCGTTTGCCCTGACCGCCGGTCTGTCTTCCCTAGGAGACTCCAAACTTGTCATCACCGGAGGTATGGCAGAGCTAGTTTCCGGTGCCATCTCGATGGGTCTCGGAGGCTATCTTGCTGCCCGCTCAGAATTGGAATACTACAAATCCCAAGTGAAAAAGGAAAAACAGTTATTTTTCGAGAACCCAGACTCGATTGCTGGGGAAGTTGGAGACGTCATGATCGAGATGGGTGCTTCTGAGGAAACTATCCAATCGTTTGTCCGGGACTTGGAGGCCGACCCCAAGACGATGATTGACTTTGTGATCAGATACGGTCGCGGGTTGGAGGAACCTGCCGACGGACGTCAATTGATGAGCGCATTAACAATTGGGTCTGGATATTTCTTTGGAGGTTTCGTCCCATTAATCCCATACTTCTTCACGAGCACAGTCGGCACAGGATTGATAATATCGGTGGTGGTGATGATTTTCACGTTGTTCTGGTTTGGATACTTTAAGACCATCGTTTCCATGGGTGATGACACGCCTCATTACATAAGGGTATCGGAAGGTCTCCAGATGGTTGCCATTGGCTCGTTTGCTGCTGGCTGCGCCTGGGGACTTGTTTATCTGATAGACTCATAGCTGAGAACCATATATAAAGGCATATTCTTGAAGGTATTTTGCTTTTTAGAAGTATACACTGAATGTATTTATTTAGCATTTAAAGGTTTTCTCACAACGTACAGCATCATAGGAGTGAACAGCTTCCTTTTTCCTCCTTCAACGAGGTACACAGCAGCGTCCTCAAGAGCCTCGGTGACCTTCACGGAGCCCTTAGGAGCAATGCCCAATTTTTCCATGAGGCCAACAGAGCCAGTGGTGATTTTTCTGCCCACGGTGGACGTTCTGAAGAAAGTCCAGAGATCGCCGATAGTCTGCACGTATTTAAAGTCTCCGCTCAATGGGTAGTACCATGGGATCTCGTCACCGGCGTCGGCAAGGTCTCTGGTGTACTCGATCTCGAAACCGACATTTTGCAGAGCTTTCTCGGCAACCTCTCTTTTGTACATTTTAGGAATACCGTCACCGAGCTCAATTCCGTACGCAATCTTGCGGTGCTCCTCGTTGGTCTCGTCGTACTCGTCGGTCATCACCCACTCGTAAACTCCGAAAACTCCACCGGGCTTCAACACCTTGTAAATCTGGCCATACACTCCTTCCAGCACAGGAGCATGGACGGTGGCCTCGATGGAGTAGACAGCATCAAAGGTTTCTGGCTCAAAGTCCATCTGCATGAAGTCTCCCTTCACGAAAGACAGCTTGTGGTCCAACTTCATTTTCTTGGCGTAGTTGTTGGCTCTCTCGATTTGGTAGTCGTTATTATTCAGTCCGACAATCTCACAATCAGTAAACCTGGTGATCTCTCTGGCAGGGCCACCAACTCCGCATCCGACGTCCAGCACCTTCATGTTCTCGTTGATACCCATTTTCAATGCCAAATAGTGCTCATGTCTAGCACAAGCCTGTCTGAATGGCTCTCCCTTGTAGTATCTGGAAAAGTGGAACGAGGCTCCCCATCCGTACTCGTAGAAATCGGTCACCAGGTTGTAGTAGTGCTTGGTCAGCGTCGAGTAGTCCTCGAGCCTCGATTTCTCGGTCTCTTTGTCGGTCTTCCCGTCCCAGTGCTTGAAATATCCCTCCATCGCGACTTTCTGAGCTTCCTTGTCCTTCTTCACCCAAGCACTCATTCCTGTAGCGCTCGTGGCGTCCTTGCCATGCAGAGCCTTGGCGAAGTCCTTGTCCTTCTCGTAATCCTTTGGTGCAAGCTTAATTTCGGTGCTCATGTTTATCAAAATACAGTGGTTGTATAACGCTTTATATAGTATTTTTTCTTTCACGAAAAGAACGAGAGGTAAACGACGCTAAACGAGATCTTGCGGCTCGTAGTAAACGCGTTACGAGAGAGAGTTTGAGGCGGTGCAAAAAAAAATAATCTCAGAAATGTAGACCATAGCTCTTTAAATCTAGCCAATAACTAGTACAGAAACCACGAATGCGCACAAAACGGCACCGAAACTGAAACTCACCGCCTTCGAGGCTTTGCTGGAGCCCGAGCTGGAGCCGGAAGACGACGACGTTGACCCAGACCCGGCCGAAGTGTCTGTTGCCACACCCGACTCTGCTTTCATAGACGAGGTCACTTTTCCGGTGGTCACTGCAGTCACCGATCCCAGAGAGGTAGATTTGCCGGTATCCAGAGCGGTGGCAGAGGCGCCCCAGGTGCTGGAGTAATCGGAAACCGACGAAGCGGACGGAATAGAGTCGCCTGAAATGGCCTCAATTTGCTCGTCTCCAGGACTCAGGTTTACGTCGGCTATAGCCATTTGGTATCCCTCGAGGTCAGCCACAAAGTAGACGTTTTGCAGGAAAGAGTCTCCGAGCGTAAAGGATTCGTCTCCGGAGGAGAAAATACCCAATGCGCAGTAGGAGGAAATCTGTCCGGAGGTGGTTTGCAGAGCAACAAGGAAGGAACTCAAAGGAGCCTCTATTACTTTACCTTGGAAGTCGAAGTTGATAGAGTAGCTCTCGACAGAGCTGCATTTCGCCACGTAGGCCCCGACAGAGCTGCTGTAGTCGAAATCGAGGCTCTCGGCGATCTGCTCGATGATGTCGCTTGGAGCATAAGTCAGAGTCGTTCCGGTATCGAAAAGAGCAGCGGCAGCACCTGAGCCAATGCTGGCTTGCTGTCCGTTGGAGTTGCTGACTGTGATGGCAGACAGGGTGATTTCGAGCTTGATTGGTTTCTGGTAGCCGAGAGAAACAGCCGAGTTGATGATAGGAACCAGAACAAGGTCTCCACTGTATTTGCTGTGGTCGACCGCCCCAAAGAGGATCGAAGCGGTGCTGGCATCAGAGGAATTCAGATAGACAGAGTAAGCGGCTCTTCCGACGAGTCCCTGATCAACCATTTTGAAGGGCAGGTTGTCGTAAACGTAATGCTGCGAGCCGCCTCCTGAGTATGTGGTTTCCAATTCTCTAAATCCAATCCCCAGAACACCCATTTCGGAATTCGTTTCGTCGGCCACGGCCAGCGAGAGATCGTTGACGGTGACCCCGTTGAAAGTGACGTCGTCGTAGCCCCAGGTTCCATAAGCAAACGAGTTGTCCTGATACGAGATCTCAAACGTGGTTCCGTTGTTGTGGAACGACGTGGACTCAGAAGGATCGAACGTTCCGTACTGCGAGCAGTCAAGGGTGGCCTGCGCAGCGGAAGCCGTCTGAGTCTCGTCCTGGGTTGCGATCTCTGTGGTGGTCATGTCTCCCCAGCCACCAAGCAGTGCTTTTGCGTTGTTATCGTCCTTTCGAGAGTTGAAATTGTACAAGCTGGAAAGATCACGTCCTCTTTTTGGCACATCTGCCGAGCCGGCCCGTTTCACCTTTTTACTGCTGGAGGAGGAACAGTAAGAGTTATTCGAGTTCATCACCCACATGTCCGAGGAACCGGTGTCGACCAGAACCCCCAACGTCTGGTTATTGGACCCTATCTGGACCTCGACCTCGTAGAAAGACTGCGCGTTCTGCAACTCCATCGTGACTGAGCCATCATCAGCCCTTTTTTCCAACATGTACGGCTTCGCCCCCTTCTGAGAGTCCCTGTATGACGCTCCTCGAAGAACAGAGGCCTCCAGCCTGACGAACCGCGGATCCGCCCTCACACAGACACTGGAAACCAGTATAAATAGTGTAGCAATTTTCATTGTGTCAAACCAGTTTTAGTCTGAAAAAATAGTGGAAGGTTGATTCTACACTCTGAGTCCTTGGAAAGATGAAAACCCAATCTTTTTTCGTGATCTAATGGTAGCAAAAGGTAAAAGGTTCCAGTAGGAGTGCCCGGAATCAAACAATGTTCTGCTGCTATGTTTAAGTAGAGCTTTTATTTTCTAACAATAGAATTTAAAACCTACGGGGCAATTCTAATGACTCTTGCACAGCCTGTCTACGCCACTTAAAACCGTCCCAGATTTATGCACACTAAATGAGATTTAGATTAGAAGTTATCATACACACTACTCAACTAGCGACTTGAGAGTTTCGTCGTCAAAGATGTTTCCGCTCTCTTTGAGAAGACGGGCGAGAGTTTTGAGTGAGTTCTCCTTGAAATCGGTTTTTTGGCGCAGTGCATCCAGGTCCTCCGAGTACGTCACGAGCATCTTCTTCAAATACTCGTTCTGTAGCTGCTCGCGCGCATTTTTTATCTGGTTTTGTGCTGCGTCCAAGTCGAGTTTCACGTTGCTGACCAGGCTGTGTTCCAAACTGGCCAGTCGGTCCTTGTTTAGCTGCTGTAGTCTCAGCTGCGTGCTATCAGACACCTCCTGTGTGTCCAGGCCATCTATTGTGTATGCTTCAGGCACGTCCGGCTGCTCTTCGTGTACGCTGGCCACGCTCATGGAGTCGCTATCGTTCTCAGACTCCGAAGAGCTCGAAAAGTCTTCTGTCCGCCGCTTCTTGCGGGCTCTTCTGCTAGGCATGTTGGAATAATTTTTTTATTTTTCACAAATTCACAAATCTAGCCTGCACTGCCTGGGCAATGGTGCTGGTTCGCGGACAGTAAGGACATTTGAAGTTGGCCACGCTGTTGCGACTCAGCTTAATGAGACTGTCTTTGGAAATGATATGGCGGCATGGAAGCACCATAGGCGGGTTTTCGGAAGTCGTTTCTTCCTTGGACACGGGGCAGATGAAGATGGAATGGAACTGCAACGATGGAGGCAGGTTGATTTCAAACGGAAGCTCGTTAGTGGTGGTCCAGTTAAGGTTGCCCGAGCTCTTGGAGATCCTGTGGTACTTGATGAAGCTGGGCAAGGCGATGTAGCTGGTGAGCAGGGTATTATAGAGAGGCGAATTCGAAGAAAGTCCGATCAAAGAGCAGTAATCCTGACATATTTGGTTGTAAAAGGTCTCGTTTGACAAGTCGCCGTCCGTCAGATAGTTCTCAAACTTGCAGTCTGGCGTGGATGAGGAGTACATGATTGTGAAGAGTAGTTTCGAGATGGTGTCCAGATGCGTGGTTCCGAAGTTTGGGAAATTGTCCCTTGCGTATTTGTAGGCTTCGAAAGGCTCGTTGTTCTTGCTCTGGTTGTACAGCTTGATGAATTGCAGTTTGTGCAGGTTGAACTCCAGGTCTGAGCCTATTGATTTCAGTTCATTAGAGTGCTGCGCGGCCCACATGATAGCTGGCTGAAGATCATCGTGTTCTCTGAAACTGATTAGGATTTCGTTCAGTTGCTTGAACCTGTCCACCAGCTCCTGTGGCACTTTGATGCCGCGTTGCTTCTCAATGTGCTCGAGAACATCAAAATGACCATTGCGCAGCAAATCCATCACAATTGCCCGGTCCACTAATTTGCGGGCCCGCGGATTTGAGTTGACATCCACAGTCTGGTAGGTATAAATATTAGATAGATTGAAATTGAGCACCTTGTCGATTTTGGAGCCGTAGTTCTTGATCGACTTGTTGATGGATTTTTCGTTCTTCAGCGTATTCTCACTCCAGCTCTTGAACTGGGTCTTTATCATAGTCATATCATCCTGATCGTTCTCCACGTCGTTTCTGAGCCTGCGCAGGCTGTCTAATAGCGACTTCGAATCGGTCAGTATGTGTTCCAGCGAGTCATTGCTCGCCAGCTTGTCGACCTCTTCCGACACTGTTTTGAAAGCAGACGACATGATAAGAAATTAAAATATCAGTGGGTATAAAATTATCTGATAAATTTCCCTCCCCAGCTTTAATTGCAATATTATTTCTTTCATCGAGGGCCACAAATCTTTCACGCAATGCCCAAATTTATTTCTATTCCCTTGAAGAAGACCAAGCCTGTTGACTGGACAAATCCTTTGAGTACTTACCTCGGCCGTATTTACGGGAAAGCCAGTGATTTCGAACACGAGATTGCCGCTTTCAACAAGCTAAGGACAGATCTTATCCATTGCGACGAGGACCCAATTGGCAGAGATCTATACTACAGATATTATGGCCAGCTTGAAATGCTGGAGCTGAGAGTTGCCGTGGACATACTGGGAATTGAGTTCTGCTGGTACGACGCCTTTGTCCCTTCCGTCTCCCACAAGCAGCATTCGCTGGCATTCGAAAAGGCCAGTGTTTTATTTAACTTGGCAGGAATAATGTCACACTTGGCAGCCACAGCAGAGGACTTGAAAGTCAGCTACGAATGGTTCCAGAAAGCTAGCGGAGTTTACCAGTACATCCAGGAGAGCTTTTTGCACGCTCCGTCCGACGACCTTAGTGTCCAAAGCATGCAGGCCCTTGCAAAGTTAATGCTTGCACAGGCACAAGAGTCCTTTTTATTGCGATACATCGAAATCACAGAAGAGCCAAAGCAGTCGCTCTTGGCCCGTTTGGCCAAATCTACTGCAAAACTGTACGCTTCAGCATCCGAGCTGATTCAAAACGTCAAAACCATGCAGTACAACTGGCACCAATACACTAAATTGAAAGAGCTGTATTATCTGTCTTACGCAAACTTTCAGCAATCTCAGCTTCTGAAAAGTTCAAATAAGTATGGCCAAGCCATTGCCTACATGAAGCTGGCCGAAGAGACGATAAAAAAGCATAGCGGATACAGCTCTTTATTCGATCCTGCCTTCAAGGACAAGCTTAAAGAACATGCCAAACTGATCAAGTCGGAGTACGAATTGCTTGAGAAAGACAACGATCTAATCTACCACGATATGGTTCCAAACGCATCCACCTTACCGGACATCAAGCCTATGGATAGTGCTAAGGCAATTGGTCTTGGGGATCAGAGAATTTCGGACATCGTTGGCAAGGATTTGTTCGACAGGATTGTTCCCTTGAAAGTTCACGAGCAGTCGAGTATGTACTCTGAGGAGGTTGCCAAGCTACTCAGGGCCGAAAGCGAGAAATGCGAGCTGGCTGATCTTGAGCTCAGTTCCACGCTCGAATTCCTCCAGCTCCCAAAATCGCTTGTCGATCTTCGTCTTCTGCTAGAAGAGCCAAACAGCAACGGAAGCAGCGAGGTCGATTCAGACTCCATTGATGCGCGAGTGGTCCAAGGAGCAGCGGCCATCATGAACGAACCTGTGGACACTTCAAGGTCTGCAAGTCTTAGAGCACAGGTACAAAGCAATGTTGATACTTGTGACAGGCTTGTTGCTCAGGAAGCTCACAAATACGACTCGAACAAAACCAAGTATGGCACAGCCTGGGTACAGGAACAGTATCCCGCTGCCCTGATGAATCTGAAGCAAGATCTCGCCCGCGCTAAAAAATCTCTGTTGGATGCTGGTGAGACTGATCGAAAGATTGGTGCAATCTACAATAAGATCAAACTGGACATAGATATTCTGAGCAAAGGTATATCTAGTCCGGAGGTGGCTCGTGAGTACAACAAAAGCACCAAGGAGCCCGAATCTCTGCTGGACATGGACGACGAGCCGGTGAATGTGGCCGGTTCGAGAGACAAGCTGGGCAAAGTCGATAACAAGCTGCAAGAGCTGAGGTATCTTCAGAAAGAAAGATCCAACACCTATGAGGATTTGAAGGAGAAAGCTCACAATGACGATATCTCGAAGTCGCTGATCATGAATCGGAACACGGCCCAGATAGAGGACATTTTCGAGGCCGAGCTGGCAAAGTTCCGACCATATCAGGAAAGAATAGCTCTGACAGTCGAAAAACAGATTCCATTGATCAACGATCTTAAAAAAGCAATGAACGAAGTGTTGGATGACTCTACGGTGAAATATAGGCTCAAGAAGCGCGAGTCTTCAAAGAGCACTACACAGGTGGTTAACGCGCGGTTTCTCAACTCAATTGAGCAGTGGAATACATACAAAAGCGGTGTTGCTGAAGGCGAAGCTTTCTATGAACGGTTGCTCACTTTCACCTCGAACTTGCGGTTTGCCCTAGAAAAGCTGGTAAGTGAGCGTAGCAACGAGGCAGATAAGCTTGTTCACCAGATAGAGGTAAACGGACCACAACGAGACCAGGACCTGCTGCGGCAGCAATTTGAAAGGTTCAGCTTGCAGAACCAGGCCCCTGCCGCACAGTACAGCCAGCCAGGCAGTTTTGCTTCTTCGTTCTCTTCTCCGGCAGGATCATTCTCGAGTCCGTCGGCGGCACCACCACTGCCTTCGAAGCCCACCACCGGCACGGATTTCTACAGCACTCCGTCTGCCTATGATCCGTCTCTCTATTCGCAGTTCAACAGGAGAGTGTAACTAGACATCCAGGAAATCAGCAGCCACAAGCAGCTCGAGCGCCATTTCGGTGGGGATGTCGAACTCCGGCACGTCGACCGATTCTTTGTATTTGAGGTTGTAATACAGATACTCGATCACTTTCTCGAGTAAGACTGCGTCCAGTTCGTGTAGTTTGATTGTGTTTGTCGAGGATTCCTGAAACGACGTGTTCAGCATACCCTTGAGCGTCCCGCTGACCATGGCAGCGTCTCTAGTAATCTGGAATTGGAACCCGTCGTTGGAAATCAGCGTGACGTATGGCGATACCTCTTCTGTCATGGAAAGCTAGAAAAATGTATAATTTGATTAATTTATTATTTTTAATGTCTTCTCCGAGTTTGGGCTGGGAGCGATTGCAGACAGTTTTTTACCGCAGTCGCCCGCTTTTTTCCCTGCAATGGGAGGACGTGAATCTGAAAGATTGCATGGTGGCAATTGGGCCCTATGCTGCCGCAATAGCCGTGTTTCCACATATCATGGGAACAGCGATAGAGATCTACTCAGGATCTGGATCTCCATTGACCTCCATCCCCTGGAACACAAAAGTTGGAAACATTGCCGGTCTTGGCTGGACAGGACGGTGCGAGCTGGTGGTGGTTCTTCGCCACGGGAAATACCGTGTGTATACAGATTATGACGGAGAGTTTGAAGAATTCGATATAGGATCCGAGGTTATCGATGTCCGGTTCTGGAATAACGGGCTTGTGGTGCGCACCATTGACGGGTTCAGAAGCTTCACTTATGGCGATGATGCTGCCAGCGAGTTTCCGACCGTGGAGGGGTCCATTGTTGGATGGGCTATCATCCCTCCTGTCTACCACACTCCGTTGAAGATTGTTATATCCACCCAAGACGGGGTCCTGCTGATGGATCGGCGCATACAGGACACAAAAAAAAATGAGCAGGGGCCGTACAGTCTGATTTCTGCCTCGCCGAACGGAGACTTTGTGGCACTGTACGGCGACCACAGTGTGCTAATCGTGACCAGCGACTTTACAACCACTTTGAACGTGTTCAAATGCGAGTCGGGCGTGCCCTTGCAGCTTGAATGGTGCGGAAACGATGCCGTGGTACTGAGCTATGAGGACGAATTGCTGTTGATAGGGCCGTCCGACGAGTCCATCACCTTCTATCTGGACTCGCCCGCAATCTTGCGGCCAGAGGTGGACGGATTGCTCTACCTGGACAACTCTAACCTGCAATTTGTCTCCAGAGTCAGCAACTACACGGTCGAGACGTTCAGAATTGGCTCCACTTCGGCAAGTGCGATTTTGCTGGATGCCATTGAGCAGATCGACCAGCGGTCACCCAAGGCCAACGAAAACCTGGAAATCATAGCAGACGATCTTGCCGACGCCGTCGACCATTGCATCCGCGCCGCGTCCGAGGAGTTCGACCCTTACTGGCAAAAGAAACTTCTGCGAGCAGCTACGTTTGGTAAGACCACTTTGGACATGTACAACTCCGACGAGTTTGTTGAGACGTGCAACAACCTGCGTATTCTCAACATTATCAGACAACCAGAAATCGGAATATTCCTCACATACAACCAATTTATAGAGCTGGGGCTGGATAGACTGATCGATCTGCTTCTTCTGCGCAAGTTGCACTATCTGTGTCTGAAAATAGCAGATTTCATGAACTTACCCAAAGACAACGTTTACATCAACTGGGCGTGTGCCAAGATTCGCAAATCAGACCTCGATAATGACGAGCTTCTCCAAGAACTGCTCAAGAGACTCCAGGATAAAACTGTTCCTTTCGCACCGATCGCACAGGCTGCTTACGTCGAAGGCCGTGCAGACCTGGCTACCAAACTGCTGAGTTTGGAGAAAAATGTAAGCCTGGCAGTGCCGATGCTGCTTGAGATGGACCAGGACAGTTACGCGCTCAACAAGGCAGAAGAAAGCATGGACACAGACTCCATTCTATACATCCTCGTGACGCTGCTGAACAAGGTTTCCGTGCCGGATTTGCTAAAAATGCTCAACGGGAAAAAAAACGCTTCGGGACTTTTCATTACACAGGTGGCATCGCGGGATCTGCAGCTTCTGAACGATTACTTTTACAAGGAGGATTCGATATTTGGACTGGCAATGGTTAATTTGCAGAAACTCGCACAAGAAAGCGACCTTGACAAGCAAAAACAGCTGTTGAACAAAGCTTCTCAAACACTGCAGAGATCCAAGTACATGAAAACGGAGTCCAAGTGGCTCAAAGACGAGGCTAAGAACCTTGACATAATTGCTCCCATAGAGTCCGACCTAAAGATCAAAACGTCTTCGCATTTGGAGCTCTTGGAAGTGCTACTCAAAGCCGATTTCAAAAGAGCTGTGAAATTGCAGAAAGATCTCAAAATATCAGACAAACAGTTCTACTACAAACTGCTCAAGACATACATCCAACTTCCAGAAAAAAGACGCGAGCTATACGACTTTGCAACACAGAAACAGTCGCCTATAGGCTACGAGCCGTTCTACACAGAGTCTTTGAAAGTTGGCGACAAACGACACGCGTCGCTGTATCTAGGACATTGTACAAACATGCCGTACAAAACGAAAATTAAATGCTACCTCAGCTGTGATGACCACAAAGGCGCGATCGAAGAGGCTTTCAAGCGGAAGGACGTTGATATGATCAAGCTTATTAAAGACTTGGCAGACAACACAGTGCACATCCATCTGGCAGATGATTATATCGAACGTCTAACTGGAAGACGCTGAGGGCTGGAACACACCGTCCTTTACACGGCCGACCGTCGATTTTTCAGAGCCTGTGAGCCAGCTTGGCACGTTCTCTGCTTCGATTATGCCGTCAACAGCCAACTGGTGCAGGCCTGCAAAGATATCGTTGCCAAGGAGTCGGAGCTTGATTTTAGGAGCTTCCAGCGCCCCTGGAAGTGTGTCCTCAAGAATATACTCTCCGTACTGAACGGGGACCAAAGAGGCGTATTTCGACTGTGCTGGTTGCTCGTCGTTGAGCTTGCGAGTTTTCGGTGGTGGCTTGTTGGTCTCGTACAGGGTTTCTGATTGGACGAGTGCTGTTGATCCTTTGAACTTGAGAGATGCAACAAGACTCTTCTTGTCTTCCCCCATGGCCAGTTTCGATGGGTTGACGCTGAGATGGTCTTCTGTTGCTCCCAAAGGGTTGATATCCACTGTTCCATCGGCATAAGGCGTCCAGCTAGCAAGCGACTGGCCAAATCGTGAAACACCTTTGAGGATGTGGACGGCCTCTAGCGTTCGCACAGGTGGGTCTGGGTTTGGAAACAGCTGGATTTGGCGAAGCGTGGACGAGAGAGTCATTTCCACGGACTGAAGGATGATTTTGGAAACAAGATCCTCCTCGTTGGCGGCCGAGTGGATCAGATTAGGCGAGCTCATTGGAATAGCCAGGTAGTACGGCGTTCGAGAGAGAATATCAGGCTGGTTCTTGTTTGCGACGGCAGGGTTGGCGGTCCGCGTCTTTTTGAAATGGACATACTCGTACATCTGGATTCTGATCAGAATAAGAGGGAAATTCGGGTGTCTGGAGATATAGATATGCGTTAGATAAAGGTTTGACAAATTGGTGATAAGACGGTCGAGAAACGCCTGCGAGTCTAGCGAGAAGATGAAGTCCTCGAGAACGCTGTTTGTGTCGTCGTCATCTTTTCTTTTCACGATTTTGGCTGTGGACGAGACCCAGCTGTAATTGTTTGGTTTGTCAACCATCATTTGTATGTCTATCTGTGCCAATTGCAGAGCATTTAGGCCTGACGGGTAGTAATCCACCAGAAGACGGTCAATCAGTTTTCTTTTGGGCGCCTTCTGGTCTTTCAGCGCCTTGAGGGTATCGTTGCAGTACTCGAGGAGCTGTTTTTGGGTGAGTCCCTGAGCTCTTTGATCTTTGGACAATTTCGGCTGAGTCGCGCTCATTTTGAGCCACAGTTCCACCAGATTGAACAGCGAGTCCGTGTTGAGTTTAGCGAGCTCCTTGGCCACCATTCTCGGCGGCAAAGGCGGAATATAATTATTCGAAAGAATCCCCGTTTGCTTCATGATAAACAAACGCGATTTAGATTTTTTAGTTGAACGAATACTTTCGGGTGCATAAAAAAATTTCAAAAAAATTTTAAGGATTCAGATAGATTAAGGGTCGCTGATCGTGTACTGTTTTGATGACGGAGAAGCAACCTGCCGCCGAGGGCGAAGACCATTTGGATCGGAGAACGCTGTTTGTGCAGTCGATCCCTGTTGAGGCCACAAAGGAGGAACTGAACGAGTTTTTCTCCCAATATGCCCCAGTGCGACACTCCGTTGTTGTCACCGACACAGAGGGCAAGAGCAGAGGGTTTGGGTTTGTTTCGTTTGTGACGGATGAGGACGCCCTTAGCGCACTGAAGGAGACCAAGAAGGCCAAGTTCAAGAACAAGCTGTTGAGAGTGTCTATTGCCAAAAGGAGACAGAGAAAGGACAAACAAGACAAACGGGGCAAGCCGGTGGAGGACGCGAAACACAAGTCACAAGAGATTGCGCTGAAAAAGAGTGCCAAGCTGATTGTGCGTAATTTGCCGTGGTCTGTGAAGGACCCGAACGAGCTGGTGAAGGTGTTTTTGAAATTTGGTAAAGTCAAGGAGGCGCATATTCCCAAGAAGAAGGACGGCAAGATGTCTGGGTTTGGGTTTGTGACAATGATGAAGCACGCTGCAGCCGAGAAGGCTGTGAAGGAGACTGTGGGGCTGAAGTTGCAGGGCCGTGAGGTGGCTGTTGATTTCGCTATAGACAAGAGCAAGTGGGAGGAGTTCAGAAAGGAGAAAAGCGAGGAGGGGGAGGAGGAGAGTGAGGAGGGGGGGGAGGAGAGTGAGGAGGAGAGTGAGGAAGAAGAAAAAGAGGAAGAAGAAAGTGATGAAGGAGAGGATGAGGAAGAAGAGGACGACATTAAAGAGGATGAGGATAAAGAAGTCGAGGGTGAAGAGGATAAAGACGCAGACGAGGCCGACTCCGACAGCGAGGACCTCAATTTCAACAGACCGCGCCCAAACAAACAAGAGAACTTCTCCGTTTTTGTGCGTAACGTTCCCTACGACGCCACGAGAGAATCTCTTGAGGAGCACTTCTCCAAGTTCGGCCCAATCAAGTACGCTCTTCCCGTCATGGACAAGGACACCCAGCTGGCCAAAGGGTCTGCGTTCGTGGCGTTCCGGCGCGAAGAGGACTACGAGGAGTGTCTTTTGAACGCTCCAGAGGTGAACCCTAACTCGATGCTCATTCCAGACGACGTTTCTCCATTGTATGTCTACGAGGGCCGTGTTCTGCAAATCACTGCCACCGTGGACCGCGAGTCCGCTGCCAGAATGGCAGAGCGCAACGCTCTTGCGCGGAAAGAGCTTCTGGGCCGTGTTCCAACGGAGAAAGACAAGCGTAATCTTTTCCTGCTGAACGAAGGACGCATCACGTCTGGCTCGAGACTGGCCTCGCTGATCAGTAAGACAGATCTGGACGTTCGTGAGAAGTCGTACAACCTGCGTGTGCAGCAGCTGAACAAGAATCCGTCGCTGCACTTGTCGCTGACGAGACTGGCCATCAGAAATCTGCCTCGTGCCATGAACGAGAAAGCTCTGAAGGCCCTGGGACGCAAGGCGATTGTCCAGTTTGCGGCCGAGGTCAAGGAGGGAAAGAGACAGCCGTTGAACAAGGAGGAGCTCGCGAGATCACAGAGACACAAGGAGTTTATTGAGGAGAAGCTTGGAATCAAGCCGGAGGACAAGAAGCGCAAGAAACAGACTGGTGTCGTGAAACAGGCCAAGATCATCAACGAGGTGAAGGGCTCAGGCGTGCTGGGCAGATCCAGAGGATACGGGTTCTTGGAGTTCCGAGACCACAAGCACGCTCTGATGGCCCTGCGGTGGCTGAACGCTCACGAGGTGAGTCGCGAGGACATTTTGGTGGGGCTGACAGAGGAGCAGAAGAAGGTGGCTGAGAGCGAGGGCACGATAGCCAAGCGTCGGCTGATTGTGGAGTTTGCTATAGAGAACGCCAAGGTGGTGAAGCGTCGACACGAGCAGATCGCGTTCAGCAAGGCCAAGAGCCACAAGAGGGATGGCGAGAGCCAGGGGAGTGGCAGAGACAGAAAACGGCCGAGAGAGAGCGGTCGCGACGAGAGAGCAGACGGGGACAGAAGAGGCGCGAACGGCAGACCAAACGACTCGAAGCGCAGAAGACCAGACACCCACAATGCGCCCGAGACCAGCAAGAGCGGGCTTCCGAACGACGTCAAACGTTTGATTGGGTTCAAGAGAAAGCGCAGACACGCGAGAAAATAGACGTATAGACAGTGCATATTTAATGATTTCTAGGAGGCCGTTTCATCAGCGAGAGCGTATTCTCGACCCATCGGTCTGCACCGCCTTCCATGGCGATGATCTCGTAGATCGACTTGGGGAGGAAGTTGTTGGGCCGGTAGCCGATCAGCGCCGCGTTTCTCGTGGAGGGGATTCGGAGCATCTCGCGCTCCACCTGCCACCCAAAAATGGTAGCAATGTACTCCACGTGATCTACAAGCGTAGCGTATCTGGAGGTGGAGGTGTACGAGGTGACGGAGTTGGCCTGTGAGATGCTCTTGATGGCGGGATACCGCACTTTTTCGCCGTTCAGGTTATGCGAGCAGCACGGAATCACCATGAACGGGTATCCGAGCAGGGGAATCCAAGTGGTGAGCTCGTCGGAGTGGTTGCCGATGATAAATGTGTTTTTAGGGAACTCGGCCGCGTTGACCTGTGGAGAGCTAAGCAGATCGCCTGCCGTGAACATCTCTACCAGCTGGTGTTTCTCTGTGAGTCCCAGGTCGTCGGGTAATTTCTTGTCCACAGGCACCCTGAACACTCTACCGTTGTCGGAAAAATAATGTGCTCTGGCAACAGGATGCGGTCTCAAAAGCACGCTGGGGATGATAACCTGCTCCTTCAGCTTGCTCTGCACCTCGGGAGGGTACATTTTCCACGACTTGCGCGCTCTCGCGTCGATTCCTACGCCTGTATAGCCTTCCATGGTGAGCAGATACACCAAAAGGCCGTTTCCACAGCCAAGATCTCTAAACTCAAACAGCTCCTTGTCGGGGTATATTTTGCTCCAGAACTCAATCAGGAACGCGGCAATGGCGATGTCCTCAAACACGTGCTTGCGCGGGTCCGTGTTTTCTCGCCAGTCGTCCACCAAGGCCTTGGCATATTTCTGCTTCAGACTAATATATCTGTCTTGAAATGCCACCTTGGACACTATCAGATCGTGGTTGACCCGCTTCTCGTACCCCTTGACCACGCCGTCAGAGTGCCGCTGCGCAGTGCTCATCAGTCTGTATGCGATTCGGATCGGTCTTTCTATCGGTTTCATGGTTCTAAGCTCCTCAAGCGTGCCAAACGGAAGATAGTGGATCGAGAGGTTTCCGTGAGAATATAGCAGCCCGATGGACCGCACAGGCGGCAGATAGAATGGAGTCTCCTCGGGCTTGCTGATGTGCGGAGTGTATACGATCAGAATAGAGTCCTCGCTATCCTCCATCATCAGACACGTCTGGTTGATCACGTAATCTTTGGACGGGTTGCGAGGTATGATTCTTCTCACCATCTCGACTTTCGGCCGAAATGCCTTGCTGATAGGCACGCTTTTGATCTCTATGTCGTCGAGGTAGCGCGACCGTATGGGCTCCTCGGGGTTGTCGCTGCCGATGGAAATGGCTTCTGGGTCTTCGGCTATGTATTTGTCCAAAAACGGCTCGTCGGACCCTTCCGTGTACGTGTATCGGTAGTTCTTCAGCACGTCTGCTCTGAGAATGACTGTGGAGTTGATATTGGGATTTTTCAACAGATTACTCATGGCCTGCTCGAAGTGCGCGGCCCCGAAGGTCACCGGCATCTCGAAAATACCGCACCATTCCGGACCCAGCACAGACGGTTTGTCGCGGATATTGGGGATCTCGCGCGCAGATAGAGTCGCCTCGGTGTTGCGCCGGGGAGAAGCCTGTGTATCAGTCATTGCAGATCAGTATGTGTCAGAGTGAAAAATTTCGTCGATCGACCTGGTCGATCGACGGCTGGATTTAAACGATATGGTGTCATATCCAGAAAATTATAGTACGCACTTACTTTAGACATGTCTGCTTCGGCCTCCCAATTTCAACAGCTGGAGAAACTAGGAGAGGGCACATACGCCACGGTTTTCAAGGGACGCAACCGTGCGCTTGGCACGTTTGTGGCGCTGAAAGAAATCAACCTGGACAGCGAAGAAGGCACGCCATCTACAGCCATAAGAGAGATTTCCATCATGAAAGAATTGAGACACGAAAATATTATCACCCTATACGACGTCATACACACGGAAAACAAGCTGACCCTGGTGTTCGAGTACCTCGATAAGGATCTGAAAAAATACATGGACACCAACGGCTACAACAAGAGTGGGGCGTTGGAGCCCCATGTGGTCAAGTCGTTCATGTTCCAGTTGCTTCGTGGAATCATGTTTTGTCACGACAACAGGGTGCTCCACCGCGACCTCAAGCCCCAAAACCTATTGATCAGCAGCAAGGGCGAGCTGAAGTTGGGTGATTTTGGTCTTGCCAGAGCTTATGGCATTCCAGTCAACACCTTCTCCAACGAGGTCGTCACTCTGTGGTACCGCGCCCCAGATGTGTTGCTCGGGTCTCGCAGTTACTCCACGTCGATCGACATGTGGTCCGCAGGCTGCATCATGGCGGAAATGTTTACCGGTAAACCTCTTTTCCCTGGCTCCTCCAACGAAGACCAACTGCTCAAGATCTTCAGGATCATGGGCACGCCAAACGAGAGAACATGGCCAGGTGTCACCAGCTATCCGAACTATAGATCCAATTTCAACGTTTTCATACCTCAAGACTTGCACACACTTATTCCAAACATGGACAGTCTCGCATTGAACCTGTTGCAAGGACTGCTTCAAATGAGACCCGAGCTTCGTCTAAGCGCTCGCCAAGCTCTCCAGCACGCGTGGTTCAACGAGTTCACTGGGAACGCTGCCAATGCCACCCCAGTGTTTGAACAAACCGCACCGCAGCAGCCGCAGCAACAATATAATTATTAGTTGAAAATCTTAATAACTCCTGACGTCGGTTGGAGCCCTAGTCTTTCAAGCTGGTGAAAATAGCTATAGTTTTTCGACTCCAGGATAAAGCTCCACACCTCGAGATCAGAAGCCAACTTGGCAAGGTCATACTCCTTGATTATCAGCTTCAAGAGACTGTGTTCATTAAACTTAAGACAGTTGACGATAACGCTGGGATCTGTGAGCTTTGATTTGGTTTCAGTTCCGTTTTTGGTCGGCCTATTGTGATCAATGAGTCTTTGATACACCTTAGTGTCTATAATCTCGTCTTCAAAGCCGGCTCGTCTATAGGCATTATTCAGATATATTATTAGGTTGACCATTTGATAAATTGGTGTACTAAATAGGGTCTCGCGCTCAACCAAATGTCGTATCACGATGAGTTTATCTTTGTAATCGCTGTGAATGTAATCTGTATTGTGATCATTGTCTCCATCCAAGTATGGGAAGGCAATCGCGGTGGTTTTGTGCACCTCGATGAGTTTAGACTTGAGAGGATGTTCTCCACCTCTCTTGAGCTTGTCCAATTCCTCAGGTATCTGTGAAATTTTGTCGCACGATAGATATAAATCGGGAGAAAGCATCCTCAGAGTCTTGAAGTTAAAAATGGGGCTCTGAAAACATTTCTCATCTAGGATGTTGATCTGGTAGTCAGATATATAGGAGATTGGCTCTTCTTCGGGCAGTTCGGCCCTTAACCTTTCGAGTTTGGTGCGCAAGGCGTGTCTGTCATGGTCATGGTCTATATCATTACTCACGCGTCGTTTGATGAATGATAGCTTTCGCTGTGTGGTTCGTATCGATGTGAAATATTTGCGCTTTATAGTCTTGTATGCTAAATTGTCGTAATTGTGCTCAATAAGTGTATGAAAGAGCTTGTTCACCTTCCCCAAACAAGGTAGGTTTTCTGACTCCACAAATATCTCTAGCAGTATTTCGGTCGGCAAGTGTGTTATATGTTCGATTCGGCGCGGTTGCTGTGTCTTTCGCAGGCGATCATTGCCTTTTGAAGGTATCATGGGAGCCATGGTACGTTTGCGCTTATAGTCAGTATCAAATTCTTTTTGCCTGGCTCCGTCCACAAATATGCGTTTCACTCCACGGTTATGCCGTCGGGACGACGACTTCACGTCTAGTTTTAGTATCACACCGGGTACTATAAAGCCCATAAACAAAACATGGATTTTTTTTTTCTTAAAACTGTTGCTTAAATAATCGCGTCCCGGTAATCTTATCAGGGAAAAAAAATCCCCTAATCTTTATCTATTTATTGGGATTCCGTGGCAATGGGACATTTTGCTACTGCATTGAGCGTCTTTCTGTCTATAACAGTTGCAGTCTTAACGGTCGATTGCTTTAGCCTTCAACTTGAGCAGTATGTTGAATCTTACCAGAAAACCTGGCTGCGTACTTCCGTGAGATTTCTATACAATGTCTGCCAGCGTGTGACAGGTGCGTTGCTCTGGTATTGTAAAGTCTTACTAGGAATGAAATTTCGTGGTAGATACGGTGGAACAGTGGATTATCTCTTGATATATCCAATTAAAGCGGTTTCAAGTGGACTGAAAGTGGACGAGTGGGAGGTGAATCATTTTGGGCTCAAACACGACCGACAGTATGTCATATGTAAATACGACACGAAGAAGGCGTGCTACATACCAATCCTGCTCAAAGAGGTCCCTAAACTTTCGTCGGTCCATGTATCGCTTGACAATGGGAGCTTCAAGTTCGAATACGATAGCACGACTACAGGCAGCAGGGCTGTGTTTTATCTCCCCATGAACGTGACAGACGACTATGTCGAACATCACAGCTCTTTTGGAACTCAATTGAAGCTCATCAGTTTGTGGCTGGCCACTTTAGAGGGCTTTGTCTTGGATAAAGTTCTTAATCCCGATTTTATTGCCAGTATGGGATTACCCAAAGAGGCAGTGCTAGTTTATTCTCCCAACGGCAAAGCCTGTAAGGTGGGAGCGCCAAAGGACGTTGACAGAAACACGCTATTCCATGATTACTACCCCATGCTGATGACTTCTCAGGAAAGTTACGAGGAGGTGAGACGAAATGCTGGGGAAAATGGAAAGTACGTTCGAATGGAAGCTTTTCGTCCAAATTTGATCATCAAAGACGTCGATAAGCCTTTCGCGGAGGACTTTTACCACAAATTTGATATCGTGGGAAATTCGCGAATCGGCTTCACTGGCGCACTAAAGTGCATTAGATGTACCATTCCGAACATTGATGTGTCTAAGGGAACCATGGACAAAAAGGGCACCATTAGCAAGACGATGTCTAAGTATAGACGCGTGGATGAAGCGAATCCTTATAAGAGCTGTTTTGGGATGTATGTGATCCAGCATGAAAAGAACTTTGTCATCAGAAAAGGAGACAGGCTGGACGTTTTACAAAAAAGAGCTATGAAAATGGATGAAAACCCGTTCTATTAAATATCTCCTGATAATTCTCTATAATTTACTATCATCGCTTTTGTAGTTTATAGCCTTCCCACCCGTGTGCAATACTCTATCCAGTGCTTGTTGATCCATGTCCTTTATAATAACGTGAATATGAGGAACAGACTTCACGCTTTGTAATTTTGCCCAATTTTTGAACCATGCAATATGATCTCTAGGTATGTTGAGCCAGTTGCAAAATGTCTCCCTGATGTACTCCTCTATCAGGATTCTGTCCCCTTTTGATATATCACCCTTTGCAGAGTTCGGATCTGGGGGCAAGGGAAATTTGACCCATACACAAAGGTGTTCGATGCCAGGCTCTAAATGATAAGGATACGAATTCTGGATTATAGTCATGTCCTGCGCATTGGCAAATGGGCGTTTATCCACCGGCTTCACAACAGTCCCCAGTAGCTCGTGCGAAGGTGTGTCTAGAGGCGTATCTTCTGGGACCCAATGCAATTCGTGCGAAAGAATATATGTCACCATATCTATTCCCTTATCTCTGAAGTATTGTTTATGGGCATTGTACTTTTCCATAACCTCTGGCGATCTAGTTAGTTTATCCAGCTCGCCATTGTTGACAAGCTTGTTGACGAGCTCAAATGACATTGGCTCATCTGAGACAGACATGTTAGCCGATAGATGGGAACGAAATCTATTAAGTGTATAAAAAATGATTTATCTAGCACTTTCTGGAAAAAATGGGTAATGTAAGGAATAGAATATAAGGTTCAGAATTATCTCCTTAATATTGCTATCAACAATTTATGAGCATGGACCAGATCATTCAGCAATATCTACGGGATATCATCAACGAACAGGGCTATAGACCACAGCCTGCAAGGTCAGCCTACTACATTCAGCCTCAGTATCCATTTGGCTCTGGGTTCAGAAGAGGATATCCGCAGGTGCCGGTGTATTACCCATACGACGAATATGAAGAGGACCAGGATGCCGCTGAAGACGAAAGCTCCAATGATGATGAAAGTGTTCAATATAGGCTAGAAGATCTGTTCGGGCCTTATTTCACCAGAAAGCTCACCAGACCTAGTAGGAAAGATATCCCGCTCGTGGTCAAACAGAACTCGCAAGCGGCCAAGGAAAAGATCGCCAAGGATACAGCTGCACCAGCGGCCAAAATAGCCCCACCATCGGCAGCCGAACAGCAGCAAAAGGTTTCAGAACCTTCTCCAAAGGAGCCAAGACTAAAAAGAAGAAACTCGACCACGCTCAATTTGCACGCTAAACATAACGAACCAAAGATTGATCCTCTTCAGATTTCTGCCCCGCAGCTGAAGACCAATTTACCGTTTTCTCCTGCTGTTAATGTTTACGACTTCCCTGATAACTACATTATTGCCTTGGCTTTACCAGGTGTGTCCAAAGAATTTGTGGATATTGAGTTCCACCCTACGTCCTCTGAGCTGGTCATAAAAGGTGAGGTGAAGAACAAGTATTTATCTGACGACTCCACGGTGGACAATTCCAAGATACTGCGGGTTTCTGAGCAGCGCTTTGGCTCATTCGAACGAGTGATTAAGTTACCTCTAGTTCCTGACGTGAAGGAAGAAGCCATCAGTGCAAAATTCCAGTTAGGTATGCTGGAGATTAAGGTTCCCAAATTGAAAGATTCCGAGAAGTTCAGGAAACCAAGAAAGATTACTCTTGAGGAAATTCCAGATGAGGAGCTGGAAAGAGAAAGTCAAGCCTCTTAAATAGATAATCATCAATGCATTTTGGATTACATCTATCTAATACTAAACAGCATACTTTTCGACGATCGAGTCGAAGACCTGGTTTTTCTCTTCCAAGTCCTCAAGGTAGCCGCAAGTAGGATCGGTTTTCTTCAACTCGGCCAGCAACTCCGTGTACTCGTTACCTTGAAGGATCTCAAAAGTGATTCTATTGATCAACAAATCTGTTTTCCATTCCTTGACCCCTTCGTCTCCCAGTTCCGCGATCTTGTTCAAAACATCCTGTGCCTCCGGGAAATGTAACAGTTTCATGTTGGAGATGAACAAGCAAAGCAGGTTCTTCGTGCTGACGGTGTTCTCGTTGGAGGAGAACTCGTCGTAAAAGTAGTAGGCAGACTTCAACGACTCGTCAAAGTTGACAAGGTCGTACCACGATTGCGAAAGTGTAAACACAACGTTGTCCTGGGAAATTTGGCTGAAGTTGGACAGGATCTTTGCGGCTTCTTTGTTCTTGTTGAGCAACAGATGAACATAGACAAGCAATGAGATATTCTCAAAACCTTGGGAGGAGGACAATAAGGAGATTGCGGAATCGAAATCCTGTAATGTCACGTAGTAAAGTCCTCCGAGCAGGTTTATCGTTTCGTTGTCGCTATTGGAAGAGACAAGGCCTTCCAATTCTTCCGATTTGGTCTTTCCATTTTTCAAGAAATCTGTGTAAGCTTGCAAGGCTTTAAACTCGGATGCCAGTGGTTCATCGACTGAAACCTTAGCTATCTCGGATTTAGCTTTGTCGTATTTGCCCAAAGCCAATAGCGATCTTATCTGAAGCTGGTATGCTCTGTATTTATTCTCTTCATTGGAGAAAATCAAGTCTTCCAGGTTGGCATTTGCCAGATCATTGTACTTGGCAGCATAGAACTGCTGTCTAAGCTGATACAGTTCGCCACTGTCGCTGAAAGGATCCATTTATAATACTAAAATATATGTTGTGTTTTTCAAATTTACATTACCTGGCATTTGGTGTAAGGAGTAAAAATACAGAATCCAATACAATAAATAACGTTCAACCCGAAGATATCATTAAAAGTATAAACCCAATCGATATGTTACACATAAACCTCGCACATTATAACCCAGACTAAAAAAGCTTACGATCTCTCGCCTCTGAGTCTTCTGGCAAGCTGGATATCTTTCTTTTGGATGGTGACTCTCTTGGCGTGAATGGCGCACAAGTTGGTGTCCTCGAACAAAGAGACCAGATAAGCCTCAACAGACTCTTGAAGAGCACCGATAGCAGAAGACTGGAATCTCAAGTCGGTCTTAAAATCCTGTGCAATTTCTCTGACCAATCTTTGGAATGGCAGTTTTCTGATAAGTAGTTCAGTAGATTTTTGGAATCTTCTGATTTCTCTCAGGGCAACAGTACCTGGCTTATATCTGTGTGGCTTCTTGACACCACCAGTAGCTGGGGCGGACTTTCTTGCGGCCTTGGAAGCAAGTTGCTTTCTTGGGGCCTTTCCACCGGTGGACTTTCTTGCTGTTTGTTTAGTTCTGGCCATTTTAAATTAAATGCGTTTAAAAAAGTGACTGAGTGTGGTGGGTGCGGATGCACTTGTATTTATAAGAAATTGTTGTCTACGCCCGCGGACATGTTTTTACACTGGTGTACAGGCTCGCGTTTACGCACCCAAGTGAGTAAAAACTGGTCCTAAATTTTTTTGGCTTCGCGAGCGAGCTGGCGTATAGTTTTTGTTCCAAAACTGAGATGATCAGCCTCCGAATAGCAATATGCAGCAAAATATGAGTTTATTTTTTACACAGCGCGTGAGGAAATTTGAGACCAGCTAAGATATACAATATGATTGGCTAGCTTTTCGGTCTTTTGTGTTTTCCTCATTTCCTGCTCAGTGTATATAAATATACCTATATCCTTCTGTGGCAAACTACTCAAAACTATTATCACAAAATGTCCGGCAGAGGAAAAGGAGGAAAAGGTCTAGGAAAAGGTGGCGCTAAGAGACACAGAAAGATTCTTAGAGATAACATCCAAGGTATCACCAAGCCAGCCATTAGAAGACTTGCCAGAAGAGGTGGTGTCAAGAGAATCTCCGCTTTGATTTATGAAGAAGTGAGAGCTGTGCTCAAATCTTTCCTTGAAAACGTGATCAGAGATGCTGTTACCTACACTGAGCATGCCAAGAGAAAGACTGTCACATCTTTGGATGTCGTTTACGCTTTGAAGAGACAGGGTAGAACTTTGTACGGTTTCGGTGGTTAATGTGTTTTATAGGGATAACTTAATGAGATATCTGGTGTAAGGATTAATTGGTGAAAATTCTGTAATTTAGCAGCTAGATGGGCAGACTGAACACGGCGGACCGACCATCTTCTACGCCCCCCATCTACATCCCGCGGCAAGAAGCTGACACATCATTATCTAAGTTGCTAGGAGGGGGCTATTGCTTTCCCAGAAAAAAAATTTTGCGCCTAGTCGGTTTTCTGCTAATACCGCATGCATACGGTTTGCAGGAAAAGATTTTTAACTTATAAAAGGAAAAGAGTCAGCCAGTAAAAATTTTTGTGGGCAAAAGGTTTACTTGTTTTCATCAAAGCAAACCCAAACCTTTAAGTGATCATTTTACCAGTTGGAGACCGCAAGGGAGTCTAATTTTGAACATCAGTTCGCCGCTCCTTTTGTTTTACCAGCGTCAACAACGAACAGATCACAAAAAAATAAGGATTTCTCAAACAAGAAAACCTCAAATTCAGAATAAATACTTGAGATATTAAGTTACTCTCAAGTTCAATTTATCCTTGACTCTTTTGAATCTTACTTGTTTGGACTATCCGCTTGTCAGGACGACCTTTTAATTAAGTCATCGTCTTGTCCCTTTTCAATCATGTTTGCATCGGGAAAAAATTACCTTCAACAATCCTACACGGGAGTGTTACCACAATATCACCAGCGCCATGCGTCATTTCAACCGCAAGGTCAACAATATTTAGTTAACACTTCTGTGCCGCAGCAGCAGTATCGCCACCAACATTCTTTGTCCTATTCCGGAGGTTACAGCATGGCTGGTTATTACGCCCCGCCCACTGATTTCTTCCAACAACAACAATATCAGATGCCTCCTCCAGTCCAAGATCAGTCGGCCTCAAACCCAACGGGTGGAGTTTCGTCTGTTTTAGACTACGAACTTGATCAGATGGTCAAATTTGTTTGTTGGCTCAGTTATGGTTTGATGAAAAGAACTGATAATCCTACTCCGTTGTTCCACAACAATGTCAAATCTGTTTTGTCTGCTACTAGGTTGCCGAAGTCCACAATTGTTCTTGCTTTGCTCTATCTGTCTGAAAGGATGGAGGGCAGAGAAGACCCGATCGCCATGGATTCCGAAGTGTTTGAAAATCTTACAATTTCTTTGGTTTTGGCCAATAAATTCAATGACGACAATACTTTCCGGAATAAGTCATGGTCAGACGCTACTGGTCTCTCTTTGGAATGTATCAACAAACTGGAGAGAGATTGGCTTAGCTCAATCAAATGGAGATTGCATTACGAGGATGGATACTCCTGTATCGAGGAGTGCTGGAAGACTTGGTGCAACAAGTTCCAGGCTACACCAGTTCAGAGCCCATACAGTGATCCATTCATGTCACCATCAGTAATGGACACACCATCGTCGTACCATGCCGGTACCCCTTACGAGTACAAATCTCCATCAAGTTCTTTGTTCTCTTCAAATTCGCAGTTCTCTCCAATGAGCACGCCTTTGAACTCTTCTCCTTATTATAACGATTATCAACCGCCAGTGCAACAGCAAGTGTTTGAGAATCCTTATCAATCACAATACAACAACTCGTTGTTCAGCGCGCCTGTTCCTGCGGCAGGTGACTATTTCTCGTTCCAGCCGCAACCCACTTCTAGAGCTGCTTACAAGCAGCCTGGTATGTCGATGGCCGCTACTCAACGCTATTATCCTTTGAGTTATCATCAACAGCCGATGGTGCCTCCACTGATGAGTACTGGTGTTTGCTATGGCGGTTCAGCTGCTGCCAGTGGATTCTATCCGTCGCAACATATGCCTCCACGCCAACAACAAACTCAGCATCAGGATATTTACAATTACTGTGCTGCAACAGCTTGCTAAAATACGAGACATAGTCTCACAAAATTCTTTTTGCTTTTCTTACCGTTTCCTGAGAGCTCAGGAACGGACAGAAGTGCTCTGTTCGAACCTGTATTGTCCAGTGTTCATTTTCTAAATAAGCTAAATAAAGACATAAGCTTCATTGATTAGGATATTTTTGGTGTAGAGGTGTCTACTGATTTCTTGTATTGCTAGAAGATCAAGCTTTGATTTTGTGTCGTTTTAATTCATCTCAACCTCGATCTCATACATCTGACAGCTTTTAGCACTTACAAATTCAAGATGTCGCTGCAAATGATGATTGTGTTTGGCCTTTTGGTCACCGAAATGACACTGATGACAATTCTGGTTATGCCTTTGCCCCACAAGGTTCAGGACGGTTTTGTCAATCTGGCTTATAAGTTACTGCAAAACCCCAATGTCAAGGTAGGATTGGTATTCGGGGCCTCGGTGCTTAGCATGATGTTCATGGATGCTCTCAGAACCGCCGTTCCAAAAATACCCAAAGAGTATCATCCAGGCATGCCATCCTCTGGAAATCTTCCACCGGTGCCTACAATGATGGCGGGTGCTACGTGGAGCGAGGTGCGGGTCCGCAAGTTTTATTCTCAGCGGAACATGTACTTGACGGCTGGTGCGCTTTTCCTTGGCATTGCAATTTACTTCAACATCATTCTTCTGAAAAGCATGGTCAAAAATAAGGAGAAGCTGATTAAAGCCACGGTTGTCAGCAAAGACAAAAAGAAGGGTGTTTCTACTGTGGAGTACGAGGAACTGAAGCAGGTGCTGAAGAAGAAAGAACTCGATGTGGAGAACCTGAAAAAACAGATTAAGGGGCTTCACGAGGCATACCAGAGCAAGGCCGACGAGAGCGGAAGCGCAAGTCCTGCGACTTCAGCGAAAAAGGAGGATTAGATCGATCCATCTCAGCAGCTCTAGTCAGAAACGAAATATATGTATTATCTCCATGATTTGTTTAACGAGGTCAGAGAGATTCCCATTTCAAAATATTCATCATGTAGAGTTGCTTTGGACAGTCGATCTGTATCCTTATAGATGAAGCGTCCAAAGATAGAGTAGTACAAAATACGAGTGAAAAATTATCATGTACAATATTTTTTTATATGGAGGGAGGGCTCCATAACCTATTCACCGTTTTTCTGTCTTATATTATCAGCTTCGCAATAATGCAAGGATACGGCAAAAAGTACGATCTTCCGCGCCCTTACTCGATGACGCCGAAGCGTCACGGCGTTGATATGCTCGCACGCAACTATTTCACCACACCACAGAGAAAGCTACTTGGCTACATAATATTTTTCATCCTGTTTTCTCTCGTGATATTGCAGTGTATTCCGGAACAGGAACGGGACAAGGACTACGAATTGGATCTTGCTGAGGTTCCGGAAATGAAACTCGTGAAGGATAATGATGTCGTCAAGAAAGGCAGCGCCAAAAGACCGTTGGACGACGACTACAGCGCGGACTACGACGAGCTGCTGAACGAGCTCGAGGCGAAAAAAGCAAGTTCCAAAAACCCGAAAAACAGAGCCGCAAACGACAGAGAGGTGCTGGACGAACTGACGGAGGATGACCTCATCGACAACAGCGTGACAGTGTAAAATACGTTTCTATACTCGGTAAATCATTCATTCCTACGTTAATTCGAGATTCCGCGGCCCACAGCGTCAACGCGTTCCTGCCAGATCGTTTTGCCCGTACAGGAGCACACATATTTGTCGTTTTCCCAAGCACCTGCGCTGCGCGCGATGACTCCACACAGGCTCTCCCAGAAAACGTTCTTCGGCTCGTGCGAAACGACAAGCGAGCGGCCGATCAGGCCCGAGATTCCCAGAGGCACCTTGACAAATTCCTGACACTTGTACAGCTCGCCGTCCTTGGTTTTCGCCTCGATAGGCGGGAAGTCGTATATCGACTTGCCCGTTGTCAATGCTCCCTTAAAGATGTTTCCACTCTCGCGGATACTTGGATAGTACGTCCCCTTCTTCACACCGCTGAGGGTAAGGTCGACGTACATTTCCTCTGGGCTAGTGGCCACCATACGGGCAAGGCCCTTGACAGGCGCCTGCTTATCAGCCTCATCAAACGACTCTAGGATGGCGACGGCAGCGGAGTTCGGCTTGCCGGTTCCGCGGATAATGGCGTCCTTTCCGGTCTTTTGGATTGCCTCAATGATTTTGGAAGGCGCAGCATGGCCCTTGACGGTAATCTTTTGTGCTTCCAGGTCCACATCCAACTTAGAGATGCCGTGAACGGGCTTCAGGGCCTCAGTCACGGACTCCACACAGGACTCGCAGTGCAGAGGAACGGCATATACAGCCTTTCGTTAGCATTGGCACTTTGCTAGGGTGTGAACATACCTCGAATTCGTTTTCCACGGCAGTTGGCATATTAGTAATGATCTTTATTAGGGATTTTTCCAGCGAAAAATAATATTTATCTTATTCTTGTGGTGCCGGGAGTGTCACCATCGGTTCTACAATGTCGGCATTCAAACAGCACATGCCCGTTGCGAGGTACTCGCTGCGGATGTGTCTGGCTTTTCTCTCGTGGGTCCCCGTGGTTTACGTCGTCACGGAGCACGTCGCTTACATAGGGAAGATTGAGGGAATGTCGATGAAGCCCACCTTCAACCCGCCAGAGTCGCCCAATACTCGAAACCACGTGCTCTTGTGGAAGTGGGGGGTCACCAACATCAATAATCTGGAGGTTGACGACGTTGTATTTCTACGATCGCCAATAGACCCTGAAAAAATATACACCAAGCGAATAAAGGCCAAGCAGGGAGATCTCGTGGTACCGCGGTACCCCGATACACGGTCGCGCGTGCTGGTGCCGGTGAACCATATTTGGGTCGAGGGGGACAATGTGCACTCGATCGACTCGAACACGTACGGGCCTGTGAGCACAGGGCTCGTGATAGGCAAGGCGACGTATCTAATCTGGCCTTTAAACAGGTTGGGCCCCATTCCGCTGGGAGGAAGGGAGTGCAGGGAGGCCAGGCTCCGTCATAGCTACAAGGAATAAATCGGATACATTTCGTTATGCAATGTCTATTTCTTGATGATCGGCGTGTCGACGTGCTTTTCAAACCGGCGCGTCAGGTCTGAGAAATGAGGGAAATGGGGAGGCGTGGAAGTGAGCGAGCCCACTGTTTTGGACCGGAAATGCAGGGTCTTGCGATGCGGCAGATTGGGAAGTTTGAACAGTTTTTGCGGGCTCTGTGGTTTCTTGAATTCCTCGAATTTGGGCTTGGAGACTGGCGACGTTTTCAGCATGGTGCTTTTTTTCGCGATTGGCGACTCGTCGCACAGGTCGTCGAGACTGATGCTGCTGCCGAAACCGCCGAGCTCCCCGTCGCCGCTCAGTTCGCTGATTTCCGTCTTGGACTCGGCAAAACTGAAGATGCTGGTGGTGCTCTTGGTTGATTCGGCAAAGCTCAGCACAGACGTCGACGTGTAGCTCTTGCGCAGCGAGAGCGAGCCCGGTCTCTCCTGGAACGAGGACTTGCGGTTGAGGCTCAGCTTGGAGTCCTTGCGCAGCTTGTACAGTCCGGTTTCGCATTCGTCTTTGAACTGAGGATCGTGCATCTCGATATAATTTAGCGGATAGCAGTGCACTCCATTGAATCTCTCGTAGAACTTCTTGTACCCGCCTTCCAGGATAACAATGTCCGGATAGTAGAGATGGGGATAGTACTCCTTGTTGAGGTATCTGTCCCACGTTCTCAGCAGGTTGGCCATGAGCGGGCCTCTGTGCGAAGAGAACTCGCAGTGGAAAATTAGCAGCTTGCGACACTCGGCCGTGTGCTCCATTGGGGTCTTTTTGATCACCGACTGGCCCAGCAGAAGCTCCTCCAGCTCTTTTTTCGACGACACGTTCAGTGCGCAGTCGATGTGGCCTCCCTTGAATTCGTACTCAAATCGACAGTCCACAACCATGAGCTCGTCAAAGTACTCGCGATATTTGTTTTTCCCCGTCTGCTTGTCTTCCTCTTTGAAACTCACCAGGATCTCGTGGAACTGGTCAACGTTGATGCGCGGAAGTGTGCAGTCATCCACGAAAAACGTCGAGACCGGACTTTTGGCCAGGACAGAATTTCCGGGACCAAAGTCGACCGGAGACTCGTCCAAGTGCAATTTGTCGATACGCCTGCTTTCGAGCGGGAACCCGTCTCTGCCGAAGTTCAGCTCGTTGATAGTGTTGGCCAGCTGGGTGGTACCGGCAGAAAGAGCGCCCGTGTCTCCATCGAAGCTGGAAGTAGACAGTTTGAAGAGTTTGGGCTTAGGGGCCGGTCCAGGAGGCTGGATCATCGACGTGGCGCGCTGGAGCTTGTTTTTGATGTCAGAATTGAGCTCCATGCGCGACCTGCTGTGCGACCTGTTCTTCTGCTGCAACGGCGACCCGACCTCGTTGCGGCCGCACTCGTCGTCGTGGTCGGAGTCCTCGTTTTCGCTCGACGAGGACGATTCCGTCGGGTTGAAGCTGTTGTACTGCGGGTTGATGAGCGAAAAGCTCTTCTTGAGCCTGCTGTTCCCAATGATGGACTGTGTTTCTGGAGACACCTGCGTGGGCGGAGGTATGGCGATCGGTGTAGAGGTGTCCAGCTGCGACTTCGAACGGTTGTGGAAGATGGACGACTGGGAGCCAGCGACGAGCGACGAGGACGAGTTTGAGCGGTGGTGGTAGAACGAGGACGCTAGCGAGTCGGACTTGAACGCAGGCAGTCTTTTCCCCTTGCGGTAGAGCATTTTTTTGGCGTTTTCCTTGTTCTCCTCACCCATCATGCTTGGTAAAAGAATCTTCTTGGGGTTGGCTAGATGGCCAGAGTTGACATGGAAGTTGGAAGAGAAGTCGGCCGCCAGCACGGAGCAAGTGGGGGAGTCCACCTTGGGCGACATTGTGAGTGGTCTCTTGAGCGAGTTTGTTCGCTGGTGGCTTGCAGGCCGCAGAGGCCGCGATTTGACAGATGCGTTGAGCAACGGAGAGTCCTGGAGCTGGGCCTCTGCGCTGGTATCCGACTGGTTGTAATTGGGAGAGTCGATCTCCATGTCCATGCTCATGACAGTGGTTTCGCAAGATAGATTAGTATAGACGGTATGGAAGGCTGGAGAGCATGTAAAAATCGATGTATCGTATTAGAAATATAAAAGCGCCTTGAAGACTAATTTGGCCTAGTTTTCCGGTTTCCTTCCCTGACAATAGGTACCAATTTTTTCCATGCTTTGGCTACAGCTACTTTGCTCCCTGATCCTTGAAATGTGATTGTTGCAAGCTTCTTGATCTGCACCTCAATGTTTCATTTATTGTTCCGTCTCGGTCTGTTTCCATATTCATTCTTGCCGGTTTCTGCATCCGGTAAGCTGATTTCAATGGAGAAAATATTTACTTTTGCCCAATACAGAAGTGTATAAACATCAGCGCGTTCTGCTCGCACTAATTGGGCTGTTTCCGCACAACTTTGCTATAAAGCAACGCTTGGCCTAACCTGAAACGACGCTTGCTGTTTTCGATGCCAAATTGGCACTCGTGCCCCAAACCTTAACGTTAGCCCATATTACTTACACTCTTCAATGTGTGCGCACCCCTATTATTCATGTTTCTTTTCTTCACTTACATTCCAGCTGGTACAACTATTTACCTCTCAGGTTCTCCAGCACCTCCTCGTACTTCCCGTGCGTGGCATTGTTAGCCCGCACAAGCTTGTTTTCCGCACGCGCGTACCACTCCTCCTGCTCGCTTCCGCCAACGTCAAAGAGATTGCCCATCGAGATCTCTGCCTCGGCAAGATCCACCCACGTCTGCGGGTCCTCCTCGTCCCAGGCCCCTTCAAGATACTCTATAGCCGTGCCGACCAGCTTCTGGGCTGCCTGCTTGGCGGCGGCTGCAGAAACTCCGTCGATTTCCTGCTCCTCGGCGTCGGAGTCGTATTCCAGCGTCGTAAATATGGAGATCGGCTCCTCGGCCTCCATTAAGTACGATTGTCCCAGCTTTTTCACGAGATTGCGTCTGATTGCCGCGTCTGGCTTCTCGTTCTTGTCCAGTAGACTCAGGCTTTTCTGCATGGCCTCTCGCCAGAAAACGTTGTATTTGTCCGTGTTTCTGATTTCGTACAACGGATGCGTCGAGGATAACTCTGTCTCCGGCATAATATCCTCCTCGTCGGAATCCTCCGCATCGCTGTCCAGACCTTCGTCGTAGCTGCGGCCAAAATTATCCACAATATCCAGCAAGTCGTCAAGCGAGTCCAGTATATCCAGCACCGTGCTACCATTGAAAATGGCGTGATTTTCTTTCGACTCGGCCGTCTTCGTTCCCAACTCAATCAGTCTCGTGGCCTCGTCCAGCAACTCGACTATATCTGGGAACTGCTTCTTGGACGATTCCAAGTCCATCCGCGATATATACTCCAAAGGTATTCTATCCATAATAATCTGCGCTTTGGCAAACAAAAGCACCTCCTCGCCGGAAAACTTGTCCATACCGTTCTCGATCCGCTCAAGGGCATTCTCAAAGTACTCGGCAACGCTCGTATCGCTGTCTTCTGTGTTGAACTGGGCCAGAGCAGCTAGAGACCTTCCGTAAATAGCGTAGAACGACGGAGTGAGTTCAATGTCTTCGTCACCGCCGTTCTGCTTACAGTTTCTTAACAGACGGTCACACTCGTGGACTATACCATTCAGGATCAGCTCGTTGTCTCTATCCGACTTTAACCACGTGAGCCATAATCCTTCGAGCTGGTTCAGAGGATCATTGGCATCCACCTCCTGTGGAAGCTCTACAGTCAGCTCGTTTGTCACTGGAGCCTCCTCGGGCGCTGGCTCTGTCTTGCTTTTCTTCGCCTTGGAGCCCTTTCCAAAGCCCAACGGTCTTTTAGGAGCCATAGTTTGAAAAATAAAAATTTGACATAAATAAAAATAAGTGTAGAGATGTGTCTGGCGGTAGTCAATATGGACATTGTAGTCACAGCCCCACAGGTCTGCCACTACAGCTTCACCATCCTCGCAGCCCCTACACGCACACAGTTTATCCTCCGCCAGCACCCATCAACGCACATTTCATTCCCCGTCTCATTATTCTCCGCTGATAGGGTCACGTGACCCGTGCAAATTGTATAAAAAAAAATCAAACCCCTAAAACGTTCTCCGTGCAAGAGATGAAGTTTCTGTGTGCTCACGAGTGTTCTGGCGAGCACCACCTGATCATTGACGACTCGGAGAACCTGTCGCGAGTGGTTATCAGCCGCATCACCAACATCATCGAGTCTGGGGCCAAGCCGATCCTTGTCAACGAGAACCTGGCAGTGCAGGCTATGAACAGTGCGCTTTTCAACCAGCAGGAGCTTGAAGTTGTGCAAAAGAGGGTTTCGCTTCGGGACCTGGAGACGTTTGGCCGGTGCGAGGTCGATAACGTCGTCGACCGGGTTTTTGTCACGATGAAGAACGACGACCCAATCAGGCGTCAGCTATTTGAGCGGTGCAAGAAATTGAGAATACCTATCAACACCATCAACTCGTCTGAGCTGTCGTCGTTCACAATGCTATCCACATACAAGAAGGGCGATTTCCAGCTGGGAGTGACCACCACGCACCAGAGCTGCAAGCTAGCGAATCGGCTCAAAAGAGAGATTGTTCAGAAGCTGCCTGAAAACTTGGACCAGATCGTTACCAACATTGGCAATTTGAAGCGCAGGATTCAGTTTATTGACAGCGAGGACGAGGATATTCTGGATGACGTCAAGGACGTCAAGAGGCCCAGATGGCTCTCGCAGATCATCGAGTACTATCCTCTCAGCAAACTTGCAGACATTTCCGTTTCTGATCTGACCGAAGCCTATGCCAATATGCCTGTGGTGGAACGGCAGGACGCTACAAGACAGGGCCGCATTTCGTTGGTTGGGTCAGGCCCGGGATCGCTCTCGATGCTCACGGTAGGCGCCTTGCACGAGATATACAACGCAGATCTTATCTTGGCCGACAAACTGGTGCCACAGCAGATCATCGACATTATTCCTAAGAAAACCGAGGTGTTCATTGCCCGAAAATTCCCCGGCAACGCCGAAAACGCGCAGCAGGAGCTGCTCAACATCGGACTCGAGAATCTCCAGCAGGGAAAGCACATTGTCCGTCTTAAACAGGGAGACCCATACATCTTTGGCCGCGGCGGCGAGGAGTACGGTTTCTTTGCCTCGCACGGATACAAGCCTGTTGTGATGCCGGGCCTGACGTCGGCGCTGGTGGCACCGGTTGTTGCAACCGTGCCCACTACACACAGAGACGTCTCCGACCAGGTTTTGGTGTGTACCGGCACGGGGAAAAAGGGGAAACTGCCCAATTTGCCGGCTTTCCATTCGAACAGAACAGTGGTGTTTCTGATGTCGCTTGGCAAGATGGTGGATATTCTGCCGTTGTTGTATGACAGAGGATGGCCTACAGATTTGCCAGTGTGCGTGGTGGAACGAGCTTCATGTCCGGACCAGCGTCTGATCCGCACCAGATTGGGAGATTTGATTGACGTTTTGAAGGCTGTGGAAAGCCGGCCGCCAGGATTGCTCGTGACCGGATACTCCTGCGAAGTTTTATGTAAGCTCGAAGGGGGCCAGAAATACCACATCGAAGAGGGATACTACGAGACTCATGTGCGATCGTCCTTGCATGACATAATCGGTGCATTGAGCGAGGACAAACTGGTCACATAGACGCATAGTGAGTGAAAACCATAATTTTATGACATCCCTATTTCCGCCCAATAGGGACGATTTTTTTCCGTCTTGAGAAATATTCTGGATTGTTGAAATGTTGCGGTATTCTTTAGAGGTTTTTAAATTTAGTCCTCTCTTTAATTGCGAATAGAACTATATCGATTTAATTTCCTATAGAAAATGGACTCTTCGAAGATCGTTGCCATCATTTTGGGTAAGTGCCATCCACCAATTGCGTCTAACCTAAGCTATTCTGCTTCCTCCGCTCGCTGTGTTCTTGGAGAGGGGCGTCGGCATGCAGTTGCTCATTAACATTATCCTGTGTATCTTTGCTTGGTTCCCAGGTATTCTGCACGCTTTGTTTGTTGTCTTCTCCTCCAGATAAAGCCCGTTGCTGGTGCACAACGAAGAGTACCCTGTACAGATTCTATGTACTATAACACGCTGGAAAGGTGGTATTGACGACCGACTCTTTGTAAACTCTGTGCTCTCTCTATTTCCCGCATTTTGCGGGCTAATCCCTGGTGAAGCTTCCCGACTACAGACTCGTGAGAAGATAAATTATCCTTTTAAAGTTACACATACACGCCATTCATACCATCTACTTATCACATTGTGCATGACTATTCACAGATAAATCGCTCCGGGCGCTCCGCTAGAACTGAGGGACCAACATGTCCATGACGGGCGATTGAATAAGTGCGACGCCGGCCTGCGAGTTAGCGAAATTCGGAGCCGAATATACTTACGATGAAGATTCCTGCATTCAGTAGGATCTTGAACGTCGGCGTGGACGTGAACGACTCTTGCTTTTCCTCGGTTCTTTGGAATCCTGACATGTCGCAATTGCTATTAAAATTTTCCAAAATTGGTTCCTACGAGGAGCCAGAAAAAGAGGAAGCGCACCCGTACACCGACGACATACGGGAGGACCAGAAAATCTCACTCCTTATCGCATCCTCTGAGTCAGATCCCCGGCAGCAGATGCGCCACTGTTAGTGGCTATGTTTTTAAAAAAGAAAGGGTGGCAAAATAATTAGAACCTATGTTCATACAAGAATTTCTTTCCCATCAGAGTGTTAGCAAATGAAGGTTACTGTCAAATCGTCCAACGACCAAGCGTTCCAGGTCACTGTTCCGGATAATTCCACCGTGGGGGACCTCAAGGTGGCAGCCGTGGTGGCCCTCCCTCCAGACTCGGGAGTTAACAAATCAAAAGTCAAGGTCTGGTATTCCGGAAAGAAGATGGAGCTTTCCAAATCGTTGGAGTCCTACGGAATCACGCAGAACTCGAACTCCACTGTGTATCTGACTTGCATCGACGAGTCGTCGTCCGCTCTGTCCGACGATGAGTCAGCTGTTGTCGAGCAGCCCAAGACCAAGGTGAGAAGAAAGTCGAGCAAGAAGAGCAACAAGTGCAGTTTCGAATCGTGCAACTCTGCGCCGCTGCGGATGGTGGGCGACTGCTCTTTTTGCAACGGCAAGTTCTGCTCCAAACACAGATTGCTAGAGAGTCACAAATGCAAGGGTCTCCAAAGCTGCAAGGAGAAGAGCTACGAGAGAAACGCTTTAAAGCTCCAGAGCGAACAGACTGTCGCATCCAAGGTCTAGATCATAGAGGCCGAGTCCGCTTAATTAGATGAGTTAATGTATTTGATATCATGCGTATTTCTCTAGAGCAGCAAACACACCGTCCCGCACGTTGTCGAACGTGCCGAAGGTTGGTTCTGCCAGTTTTGAGTCCTGCTCAAAGTCTCCGTCTTTGTAAACACCCGTTCTCACCAGAATCGTGTCCCAGTGGTACGAGTTACCTCCCAGGATGTCTGACTCCGGGTTGTCGCCAACCATGAAAACCCTGTCGAACGGCGAATTTGCTGGTGCAACGTTGAGCTGCGGCATGCACGGAGGTTTTTCAAAATCCCCGCTCTGGAGACTCTCGTAGTAATCTATCAACACGTGGTGAGCATAGTCGTACGTCACCTTGTACGGTTTTCCCAGAGTGAGCTGTTGCAACTGCTTCCCGTTGTTTGTGTGCTGGTACAATGCTTGGACCATGATCTTGAAAGCACCCTGGCCGAACCGGGGCAGCTTGAAATCGGTCGCCCACAGCAGGTCGTTGTTGGAGAAGATGATAGGCACCGACGGCGTGGACGACGAGTATGTCCGCCGTGTCCCCAGCAGCCCGTTCTCCGAGTTCAGCAGGTCCATAATAATCTGGAAGTCGGAGCCCATGTCTCGCGGGTCGTTGAAGACCATAATGGAGTCGATCGGCTCGTTCTGTCCGTCGACGTCCACCTTGCTGATTTCCGGGTCCAACGACCAGTCGGCGATCTCCTGCTCGGTGTATTTGTGAAACGGCCAGATTTTCGAGTTGGCTCTGATCAGGTCGATGGGTCTGAGCACCTCGCGGAACCCGTATTCCTGGGCCACTCCTCGGGCCGAGTCGGCAGGACCACCCACGACCAGGACCCGGCGGTGTTTGCTGGCTAGGGTGCGCAGCGGCGTGTGCGACTGCACTATCTGCCGCGATAGCAGAGGCGAGCGCAGTTTCAGCTTCTGTGAGATGAACTCGCATCGGGCCGACTCCAACACACCGCCTCCATTGGTGAGCAGGATGAACGGCACCTTTTTGGCCTGCAGCGTATTGAGGGCCTCGGTTGCTGCTGGAATGGCATTCTGGCCCTTGAGCAGCACGCCGTCGATGTCAAACACGAAGCCAAGAGTCGAATGACAGCGACGAAATACTCTAAACATGGCAAGCTGTATAAATTTCAGATAATAAATAAATTTATTTCAAGATATTATATAATATGCGATGCAAATTAGGCGGTCTTAGCGAGCCATCTCTCGTTGCACCATCCCTTGACGGTGAACTGGGTCAGATTGGCAGTGTGGCCGTTTGGACGCACACATTTTTTGTTGTTCGAGTCGAAGTCTTGCAAGTTGAGCCACGGCACAAACTTGCCAGACGTGCGCACTAAGGCGTTTGCTCGTTTGTCGCACGAGACGTACTTTTCACGCACATGGCAGATCGGGTCGTTGCGTGGAGGCAGGATGACGCTGTTCCACAGCTTTTCTCTGGCGAGCACGCCCAGCTTGAGCTGCTGGCGCAGCACAGGGCTCATCTCGTATCCTGCCTCGTCGAGGTATTCGTCGAAGGATTCCATGCCAGACTCGTAGTACTCTTGGTAGTAGAGATCGATTTCGTAGTCGGAAAGCTGCAGATGTCCAGCATTCTTGCAGCAGTAGTCCAAGGCGTAGACTCTGAGGAAATTAGAGTTGATCCGGGGCTCGCGCGCACGAGTTGGCGCGGCAGGGGTATAGGACTTTTGTGTTTTCATCAAGCGCGATTCGATACTGAAAGTCTGCAGCGGGATCGCCACTGGCTCTGGGGTTTTGGCTCTAGGTATTATGTCGTCGGTCATTCGCTCGTTAAAGTGGAGCAGCCCCGAATTGCTAGGCAAACTCCTGAAACTTTTTATTGCTCTGAGCAGTCTGGTGGCTTTGGAAGGCTGTGGAGGCAGAACGGGCTGTCTAGCAGTGTTTTTGAAATTCTCCATATCAACGTCTCCCTCCAGTGGATGCTCGTGACACTCGCTGCGCACACAGCAAGACTTGAGCGAGATGAAGCTGTTCATGTCGTACTCCGTGTCTGAGTCCACTTGCCACTCGTCAGCAGAAGAAAACTCTTCCAGCGAGTCGTTGGTGCTGGAGGTGGTGCTGGTGGTGTTAGAGGAAAGTGAGTCCAGAGAACCGGGGGACCGGTGGGACCGGAAACTGGTGGCCTGTTTGCTGAGTAGAAGACATTGCAAAGATGGCGTCGAGCACAGGACAGGACTGGTGTATGAGTCCAGCCTATATGGTGATGACAGCGCAACCATCTTGAGCTAACGGTAGGGCAAAAATTGTCTTTCCCCTTATTTATATTTAGTGTATTTAGGGGAGTATGGGATGACCGTTTTAATGTCCAAAAACGGCATTTGCGAGCGGGACTGCACTCGTAGTGCCGTTCTGGAAGAATATTTCGCGGGAAATTTAGCTGTGTCGTGCGAGGAACGTCGGCAATTCTGCAAAAAAGAAAGTTTTTATTATGCTCAGTTACGTAAACGTTGCTGGGCTTCGCCAATCGCGACGCTCATTCTGTCTATTGATTCTTGCAGGCTTGAGGATCTGTAGTCGATTGCGCGCTCCTCAAGCCCCTTGATCTGCTCGTAAACCACACACTCCCTGTCCAGATCACTGAGCACCCCGTACTTGTTGGCTATGTCATTGCACAGGGCCGCCTGGTTGCGGAGATAGCCATTCGTAAAGGCCGCAAACTTTTTTTCGAGCCCACCAGACTGTTCCGACACTTGTCTGATGTATTTTAGCAGCTGCTCAGCATTGTCCCCAGCAGAACAATTTTCCACCGCTGCAACGTACTTATTGTAGTCCAGCGCAGATAGTTCCGCTTCTATAGCCGCTTCAACAGTTTCGGGATTCTCCACTCCAGACACCTCGCCCGCAACAAGACGAGCCATCTCCTCTAGAACCAGTTTTTCCACCCCAGACGACTGTTTGGCTATTGTTAACAAACTTTTGTGATCAGGAACAGGGAGCTTCAGATCGGCGACTTTAGGGGTGGTTTCCGCTTTAGGAACATCCCGTGCCGGCACAATTTCTGTTTTGGGTTCCGGCTGTGGCATCGGCTCCTGCTCGCTGTCGCTGTCCATGATCTCAAAATCGTTCAGTGGCGCAGGGAGCTTGGCCAGCTTGCTCTTCAGCGATTCCTTCGGCTCCAATGGATCGCTTTCCTCCTGTTCGTCCTCGTCAACTTTGGTGAATAAAATGGACTTTTCATGCGTAGCACGATTCAGCTCCTTGGCTGCATCTTTGATCTTCGCGTCAACATCCACAACCTCCTGGTACTCGTCTGGCGCACTCAACTCCAGTTTCCGTCTTTTAAATTCTAGATCGTCGTCGTAGCTCTGAGCAGCTCCTTCAAACGTCGTCTTGGCCTCTTTGGCCTGTCTCCGTCGCTTCTTATCCTGTTTGTCATGCTCTAAATTTGGAGCTTGGTTGCGCTCTGCCTTTTCGTCAAATTCGTATCGTTCTCTGTGGTTTTGCAATTTCTCCTCGCTGGTATCAAACCTGCCCTCTTCCGGCTCCCTAGCAAATGCAACGTCGTTATTATAATCCATTTGCGTAGCAAACTTCTTCTTCGTGCGGAACTTCGAGTTGATGCCTGCTTGCTTGAGCTCCCGACGTTTCTGGACAATGGCAACACGCCGACTTTCGGCCAGCATCCTCTCTCGTGCCTTCCTCTTTGCCTTTTTGCCTTGCGTGTTGGCCAATCTCGCACGTGCCTCGCTGAGCATTTCGCGTTCGTCGTCGTCCATATCCTCAAAATCAGGACGTGCAGGCTTCGACTCAGGGTTGAGATTCAAAGACTCTGCGCCAGAAGCTGTTTGTTGCATGTTTCCTGTAAGACGTAGATCAGAGTCATCCAGATTATCATCCAAAAGCTGCTGATACCTTTCGATACATTGGTTTGCGGTTCTGTTCATCAGCATGCTCACACTGCTCCACTGGTTTGGGCGCAGTCGGACAAGCTCGAGCAATCTTTGGTCTTCCTCTTTGGTCCATTCGATCTTTTTGATTCTTGGATCTAGCCATTCTTGCCATCTCATCTTGCATTGTTTCGCCGTTTTCTTCTCCAGCAAGGAGCTCACACGAGCCCATTGATTTAGCCCATACTTCGAGATCGCTGCTTTGAGAATGGCATCCTCAACATTGGTCCAAACTCCTCCCTTCACGTATATGGGAGCCATTTTTAAAAAGAATTAATCTACAATTTTTTTAATTATTTCGCTGCCAGCAGGGCGCGGTTCAGCAAAAAAGGATTTCCTGGCTTTTTCAATTAAACTTTTAATTTATGGAGCATGCCGTTATTGCCAAATTTCCGTCCCAAGCATCAGAAGCTCATTCTCCAATGCTATCCTTCCAAGAAGCTGCCGCTCAATGAGACAAAGCCGAACAACGCGGAGCTCAGCTATCTTTTGTACTATGCCTCGACAAGAAGAACCAAGCTGGAAAAAGTGGCCATCTTTCTCAACAAGAAGACCAAATTGGACGTGTCTCATAATCGCATCGGTCACATCAAGGTGACTCTGTTTATTCTGCAGGAACTCATCACTAAATGCTCCGACGACTTGGGGATTATGGCAAGCCATATAATTGACATATTATCCCAAGTTGTTCGGATTAAAGATTTGTCCACATGCGAGCTAGGACTATCTATCTTCAGCAATTTCTGTAACAAAATCCAGCAGAACCAAAAGCAGATCTTGTCGAGCAGCGTGGATTTGCTGAGGAGCTTTTTGCGTCTCGTTTCCAACTTCATTAGCCTCGGAGCCAATTCGCGCGATTACGAATGGTCTAAAATATCATTGGACTCGACTACGGTCGTATCAAAGTACATCGATCCCAACGTGAGCAACTTTGAGAATGCAAAACTTATTGAGAAGTCTATCAATGTGATTTTAGACAAAACAGACAAGGGAGATAACTCTCTACGGTTGATGAAAACTTTGACGGGGCCCGACAGCCGGGACGAAAACAGACCTATAGAAGAGCTTGCAGTCAACGCGTTGAAGTCATTTTTTGACACCAATGCAAAGAAGCAAGTGGATTTGACCACAAAGGCGCTGGTTAAATACATAATCGAACACCCTAGAGAAATCAGCTGGTTCAACAGACTCATTGAAGCGTGCGCCAAAAAAACACATATCGAGCTCAGATACAGAGTCGTGTCCATGTTCATTTTGGATCTGAACACAAGTAAGGATCCAGCGCAAAGGGAAACCATTGCTTATTTGATATCCAATCTCCTTTCATCGGAGGACGTCAACATGGTCGGGTTACCTGTGAAAGAAATCCTGAGCGATGTTTTAAGGTTTCAAAGAGAGGCTGTCATCTCCAAACACCCCTCCTCGCTCAACAACGGTTACATTGAGATTGTCCGCAGCCTAGGAACTCACATCTATTACAATGACCAGATAAATGATATGTTGGAGGAAGTTCAGAAAATTTACTACCAGATTATGAATATGAGCGAGAGCTTCACTCAAGCGTCCGAATTTGTGGAAATCTCGGATATATTCATCTCTAATATTGAAGGCATTTTCCAAAGCGTGCATGGAGACAGTCTTATTGACTATAAAAGATCTCCGTATCGTATCAGCATATTCAATTTCCTGTTCTACACGATAGATTTCAAAAATGTTCCGACTTTTGTTGATCCGGAAGCAAAGGCGGGGGTCCAGGTGAAGTGGTTCCAGTTGATTGACAAATTTTACTCGTCTGAGGCCGACTCAAAGTTGTTCTCTAAACCAAACTATGAAAGCTGCATTAGCAACAAAACGGACAATGCTCTGCTGCTACTCTTAAACTCAATTGGAACCATTGCAACCAATTCGACTGTTAATCTAAACGTTCAGATCTACAAGACACTTATACAGCTGGTACACACAATGAAAACAAACTTTGTGGTCAACTACATCAACTTCGTTTCGGAGTGGTTCGCGTCCCCTGAGGACTTCAAATTCTCGCTCAACTGGCTAGTTATCTCTGAAATTGCTAGGGTCTATAATTTGCAGGAACTGTCACAGATTGCTGCCTCCAAAACACATGCCTTGGTTGCAGCGGGATTGTGGTACAAAGAGTTTCCAGCCATCACCCCAGACGACGACTCTGTCAAAGAGACAGAATTTGGCCTCTCATCGCGAGAACTGATCACCCAGCTTATTGCAAACCCAGAACTAAAAACGTGGCTCTATGCAGCCGGATACGAGGAAGCCAGTCCCGAGAAATCGCCCGTCGTCATCAGAACGCCTCCCAAAATGCTTCTCAGCCAGTCCACCACCGCTACAGATTCGATCCTCAATCATTCTTCGTCGTCCATAGTACTTCCATACGATTCTCTGCCTCGTTCAGCTGCGGGATCTATTGGCAACGGCTCGCTCTTCCACTACTCCACTGCTCGCTCCAACACGTCGTCCAAAATGAACTCGAACTCAACCCATCTAAGAGATCTGCGCTCAATAATTTCTGGCAACAGTGCTAGCCCGTCAAGTAGAGAGAGCATGTACAAATACAGCATGACCAAGACATCGGCTCCCAATCTAGGACAAAAGAAAAGTGGTCTCGCATATTGCATCAGCGACTTAGACCTAAGCGACGACTCGGAAAACGAGTTTGCAGACGCTCAAACGGTCCAAAACGGAAACGGCCCGCTCACTGCATAAAATTACGATTCATTCTAATCGGTTCATAAAGTACATTAATCCTATATCATCACTCCTCGTCGCTCTCAATAGCCTCGTCCTCATCGTTCAAGGCATCGAAGGCATTGAACTTAGACACCTGAGTAATGGCAATAGTGTCCCGAGTATCCACACTGGCTTTGCCAGAAGAGATCTTGGAACTGCTGGTCTTGACTTTCATTGTGTGTTGTTTAATTTCCTGCTTGTCGTCTTGAGGGACATTTTTCTTTGGCTTTGGCGTGACGAATGACGTCCAGCCTTCCTCGTCGGTTTGCTTCAGCTCCTTTGGCTGTCTCTTCTTAAAACCCGTGAACGACTTTCTTCTCAGCCCTTGGTCGTCGAAGTCTCTCAGGGCTTCCCGAACGTCGTCGATCAGCTGGACAAATGAGGTGAGGTCAATGCCAGCAGGAAGCACACCGTGGGACTGTAGGGCTAGCAATTCTTCTTCGGTGTACCGTTGGACCATTTCGCTTCGTTAAAACAAATTTCCAATCTTCGCAAAATTTTAATTCGTGTCCAGTTTTACCCGGTCGCAAACGGTACTCAAGGCTGTGCCAGAACTTTTTTTTATCAATAAACTTTTTTTTTATCGATTTGAGAATGCCTAAGAGTCTTTCCAGCGTCAACAAAAAGCTCAAGAACGCGAAGCTTCTGCATCCCAAGGGCCGCAGAGCCAAGCTGATATCGCGCGCAACTCTCAGAGAGGAGAACCTTGCAAAAAGAAAGCTTGCTCAGCAGGAGAAAAAGTCCAACGAGCTGCAGATTGTCACATATTTTCAGCAAGTCATCACAGAAAACGAGCAATATAGTTCGAAGCCGCAATTCAGTCTGGAGGAGCTTCAGAAGTTCATTGAGGAGTTCATTACGCGCGACGATGAGGAATTGGAAGAGCTCCGAGCAGAAAGAAGACCAGGTAGACCTGCATCAAAACGACAAGATCTGCTCGAAATCCGCAGGAAACAAGAGGTTCACGTTTACGAGACCGGCTGGAATGTCCCAGACTTGCGCGATCCCAAGACGGTGAAGCTTCTGAGAAACTGGAACGGGGACAGAGGCAGTTTGACCGCGTTGAAGTTCGGTGTGGTGAAAAAATCCGATATGTAGATCGATATAAACGGGCATTTGGGATATCATGTAACCGTTAGGTCTTTGTTTCTTTTGGCGTCCTTGTAGTCTGCGAGCTGTGCGATTTCGTCAGAATCCACAAAATAGCTTAGGCCAAGAATAACGAGAAACCCCAAACCAACGACCGCCAAACCGTTTCTAGCCCACAAATAGAACTTGGTGGATTTCTTCCTGAAGAATACCAATTTGTCCAAATCCCCATCAAGGAGGTGCCAGTTCTGAGCTATCAGCTTGTTGATATTTTTGATGTACGCCTCAGGTGACCGTAGCTGGGCTAACAGTTTCGAGACGTTGCGCTTTTCAGGTTGCACATCGTGAGGATCATACTCTCGCACTTTCTCCGTTTCTCCATTTTCATGCAAAACCATAAACTCATATCCCTTTGGCATCTCTTTTTTTGACGCCAGGGAAGGAAACAAGTCTATAGTTGAGTGATTCTGGCCTGCAAAGAGACTGCTAGGGACAAAAGTGTTCGGAACAAGTACAGGGGTAAAGAAATTGCCAGCCTCAAAAGAGCGTGGATCCTTAGAAGTCTGCTGTCTAGCCCACTCGTAGTTTTGTACGCTCTTGAATAGCTGCTCCTGCGTCACGTCATTTTGGTGCTTTGCTTCTTGTAAAAAGGACTCCAACTCAGCAGCAGACTTAGAAGATGCCTGATCTATGCTCATGATGAAAGGGCGGTAGGATGGCATTGGGGTGAAATTCGTCATTCTGGGAAGCTCATGGTGATGATAGGATTTTTTTTTCTGGATCTTATTGATGGAACTGAGGAGATCCTTGAACGAGGCATCGCCTTTCTTCTTCTTTACAGTAGCAGGACCCTGCTCCGGCTCCGCCTGGGGGGTCTCCTCAGCCTTTGTGAGAAGAGAGCCAATGGTCTTTGGCTGACTCAATTCCGTTGGAGATGGTACAGGGTCGTTTGATGTTCTGGATGGATTTAGTTGTTCCATCAAGTAGTCGTAAAACTGCTTATTGCGTTTCAATGTGGTGACAAACAGTGAGAGGCGCTCTTTGTTTGAAATATTCTTATTGTATCTGTGCAAGTTCCTGAACAAGTCCAGATTGCCATTGGAATCAGATGCGCAATACTTCTTGAACAAATCAATCTCAGAGCGGAACTTCTTGCAAAAATAAGGATAGCCCAAGGGCTCTGGGACAGTTGGCGACTTCGACTGTAACGAGGAGAAGCGGTAAAAAGATCTCGGGCCCCGGAAGATTCGAAAACTTGATAGTCGACCACTTGACATAAAACCTATTTAACTACTCCAAATCTATAAGTTTCGACTAATTTACGAGATGCACTGCCAAGTGTAAATAATAAAACCTAAGAATTACATAATGTATCACTTCTTCCTGCCGAAGAAACCTCTCTTCTTCTTCTTTTTCTCGGGAACTTTTGATTCCGACGTAGTCGGAGGAATATATGCTGGTGTGTTTGGAGCAGGCGTCGCTTCTGGGACCGGACGTAGGTTGTTTGCCTGAGATGGAGCAGGCAGACTAGAATCAGAGCCGGAACCAGAGATAGAGGCGGAACCAGAGCCAGAACCGGTCTGGACAGCAGGCTTTGTAGGAACTGCAGTAGATGGGTATGCTGCTGTGCCTTGTGCGAGCTGCTGAGGAGCTGATGGCTGAGGCTGTTTTTGAGGAGGAGCAGTCTGTTGCTGCTGTGGTTTTGGTTGCTTGTATGCCCCATTGATGCCTAATCCATTAGATGTCTGGCTTCTCCTCGTCATCTGGTTCAAAGTGCCCGAGGAACTTTGTCTCATAGGGTATGGCTGCTGCATGTTGTTCATGCCGGAGCTTTGAGGAGGCCCGAGCATCATAGACTGTCTTGATGGCATACCTCTGGTGTCGTTTCCGAGTGCAACACCATTGAGTAAATTTGTGGACTTGCGGTTCTTTCTGGATGTAGGCTTGAATTGTCTGCTATGCTGTCTGGCCATTTGCCCGTAGTAATCCTGTCCCTCGTACGCAGATTGGTGGCCGTTCATTCCAGATATCATCGATAAATTGTCCTGTGTGTAAGACAATGGTACAGATTGTCTTCTGACGGGCGCAGGAGGTGCCTTTTGCGCAAGAATTTGCTGCTGGTTAGGCAATCCTTGAGGAGGGAGCCCATGAGGTAGTCCCTGTTGGGGGGCGTAAGATGGAGAAGACGACCCATTGTAGTACTCGGCACCTGTGGGTGGAGCAGAGTATTGTTGTTGCACTTGAGAAGCGGGAATTTGCTGAACGGGCTGGGCTGGATTTTGCTGCTGTGGATACTGCTGTGGATGGTGCTGTTGATACTGCTGCTGTGGCGGGAAATACTGTTGGTATTGCTGCGCAGGCTGAGCCTGTGGCTGCGGTTGAGCCTGGACTTGCTGAGCTTCCCGCTGTTGAGCAAAAATGTTCGGAATAGGTTTTGGCTGATAGTTGCCAGTTGGTGCTTGGGCGTTTTGCGTCTGGTCGGAAATCACATACGCACGGGCCATTTCGGAGAGTTCCTCAAGGTCAGTTTCCATGTTCTGGTCCGGAACAACGGCTCCGTTCACATATTGGCCGTTTGCTGCCACAACAGGTTGTGGATTAGTAGGGTATGATCTCTGGTTATTAGGCTGGTTGTACTCCTTGTTTTCAAAGTTGAATGCAGTGTTCTCTGACTGAGAGGCTGGGGGAGATGGATGGAGAGTAGGAGGCAGGATTGCGGGTTGGGCTAGTCTATTTTTCGATTCCGCAATCTCTTTCTCCTTCAAGGCGTTTTTCACTGAGAGCTCATCCTGTTGCAGTTTCAGGTGTCTGATATTTTCAGTGTTTTTGCGCAACCAGAATATCGATGTTGGATTCTCCAAGGTCGAAACATTGCTGTTGCATGCTTGGGTCATCATGGCGTACAAGAATTCCAAGTATGGGGTCTTGATATGGAAGTCATCCGCAATCAGAATAGGCTGTAACAGAAGAAGGTCGAGGTAGACCTCATTCTGGTTGTAGAAATCGTAAAACAGTTTTGGGGCTTCTGAATAATCGGGGCTTAGGTCAACGACCGGGTATAATTGGCTCAATCTCTGGAGCATGGAGGATTCGCTGTCATAGCTTTTGAACAGCTTGCATCCCATGGTTTTGATGACACTGATGATCTCCTTGATCAGCCCCGAGATCAACGGCTTTGCCAAAATTTGTTCTTGAAGCTGATCAGGAAAAGGTTTTTCAAATAATATGGACAACGGCTCAATAGTTATTTTAGGAAGTGCGAATTTCCATTGGTACGACAGGAACTCCACCGGGGTGCTGAGCTTGTAGACATCAATTCCGGCGCTCTCGAAAAGGTCCGATATCTCGTTGATAAGTTTGATGTCGGTTTTCGTGTATTCATTCTCGGTACCACTACGGCCGACGTACAGCAAGTCACTCTCCTTTTTGCTTTTGTAGACGTGGTAGTTATTGTTTCCCACGAGACGGATATCGTAGTCGGACATGATGGACAGCACTGGGACGTCGGCGTCGAGCTGCATTGACAGCTTGACAAATGGCTCCAAATTGACAAAGTTGGTGGACTCGACAATAATTGCAGGAACCGAGCCGATGGAGAGCTGTGCCACAACCACTTTGGCCAGCTTGCCAAACACCAAGGCCAGATCCTGCAACGACGTGGCGGACACGAATATGTAGTCGATCTTGGTTCTGGATAAGTCTGTGCTGGATAAGTACAGATCGAGAGACTCGTATACCGTTGACAGCGAGTACCTGGAATTGCCAAATTGCAAGGAACTCCATTGGAACGTGCTATTGGATTTCGCGGACGGACTGACCACCGTGAGATCACAAGTTTTGGAGCTGAACAACCGCCAGTTATAAAAGGCAAGGTTGGGATGAGCCCCTATTGACAGCACGTTGTAACGGGAGGTCATGATAAACTCTGTTTGGTCAAGGAACGGCCGTTAGCAATGAAGAAGAGTCAGAATTACTGGAACAGGCCTTTGTTGAAGATCCAGCGAGTGCAAAATTTGGTCAGACGAAACTATGTTTGACTTTTAAGAAAATTCGGCGAAGGAGGGATCTAGTTTACAAACAGAATATGTTTGGCAGGGCAGGGGTGTGCACGGAGCAGGGTGGGACTATCGACCTTAAAATTTTTTCTACAGCTTCAAATTTCTTTACGTCTACTTTGCATTGGGCAGGACAAAGTGGCCTGCAACGATGCATAGTTCTGCCGGGAACCGGTCTGGACTCCACTGCTGGCTTGCCTCACCCGCTTTCTGGCTTTTGGGGTCAAGCATACGGACCGACAGAATTCAGTGGACGAAGAATAATCGAAAGCGTATCTCCGGTGGATGACTCCTGATTCCTTCGGTCATTGACTTTTGAACATTCCCTTTTGAGCTGTAAAGGCAGATTGGTGTTGAGATAAACATATCTGCGTCGTAGCACGAGAGGGTGGCTGATCAGAGGGAAGAAGCCTAGACAGATTTGAGGTAATCGGACTTCGAGTCGCTTCACATTAGTGGGTCTCTGCGCTGGTCCTAGCGTCCACAGACCGCCCCCAGCGGGCCGGTCTAATATATCACACTCATGCCTCCCTTCGTGAAATTAGTAATTGAGAAATTATTGCGCAAAAATATAAAAGGCCGAGAATTGCCATAATTATTTGGTTAATTTGCGCAATGTCTTCCAAACACTACAAGTTCGATGTCACGATGGCCTGCTCCGGCTGCTCCAATGCTGTCAACCGCGTGCTCACGCGGCTCCCAGGAGTGAGGAATGTCGACATTTCGCTCGAGAAACAGACGGTCGACGTCATCAGCGACCTGGACTACGATACAGTGCTCCAGGCCATCTCGAAGACGGGAAAAAAGGTCAACAGCGGCACAATTGTGAGCGCATAGGGGAGCTGATTGGATGCCCGCCAGTGTCCTTCTGCACACCACGAATGGGTCGCGCTGCCCGTTGTGGCTATGGCGCCTTTGACTCGAGTCACCGGACGGCGGTCACATGACACGGCATGTTGGCTTCACCAGTGTTGTTACGATATGACTTGAATGATAAGTTCTCGAATGCTCAATGTGAACCTCAGGTAAAAGGTCGTTATGTAGGACCAGCAGAGTAAACAGTAATTGCCCCGCCTGGCTCGAGGGTGAAATAATTTCCGATACGGTAATGTCGAATCTCAAAAATCTTGACAATTCTCCAAATGGAAAACAAACGTTCTGCGTTGTCGCTGCCGGAACCCGCGCTCTCGCTCATCTCCGGGGGCATTGCGGGAGCGCTCTCGCGGACCGCTGTGTCGCCTGTGGAGCGTGTCAAGGTTCTGCAGCAGGTCCAAGGATCAACAAACTCTTACCAAGGTGTTTTCCGCTCGGTGCTCCAGATATGGCGAGAGGAAGGGTACAGGGGGCTGTACCGAGGAAACGGCATCAATTGCATTCGCGTGTTTCCGTACTCTGCTGTGCAGTATGCGTCGTACCAGCGTTTGAAGAGGTTTCTGGCCCGTCCAGACGGCAGCCTCAGCACAGAAAGCAGACTGGTGGCCGGGACCGTTGCCGGATTTTTGTCCGTTTTGGTGTCTTATCCGATGGATCTGGTGAAAACGCGGCTTTCTGTGCAGACGGCGCAGCTCAGGAACCTCAAGAGCCGGGCACCGATCGAGAGGCCGCCGGGGATGTGGCAGAGTCTCGTGAATATCTATCGCAACGAGGGAGGCATACCTGCGCTCTACCGGGGAATTATGCCGACCTCGTGGGGCGTGGCGCCCTACACGGCTCTCAACTTCACGATGTACGAGAGCATGAAGGAGCTGGTGCCCGAGAAACACCGCAAAAACCCAGCAGTCGCGCTCACCCTTGGGGCCATCAGCGGCGGCGTGGGGCAGACGATAATTTATCCGATGGACGTTTTGCGTCGGCGGTTTCAGGTGGCGACGCTGGCGGGCGGAGAAATGGGGTTCCAGTACAAGTCGACGCCGGACGCGCTGGTGCAAATCGTGCGCAAGGAAGGGTACAAGGGGCTGTACAAGGGACTGCCGGCGAACATCTGGAAGATATGTCCGTCGATGGCTGTGCAGTGGATGAGTTACGATCTGATAAGAAATTTGCTTCAGTAGTTGGGGAAAAAGAAATACAGGCCAACGGGCCAGCCAGCAGCGTGTGATAAGTGTGTATTCTTTTTTACCGAGAACAATCACAGGGGTGAGTGCACCGCCCTGCTATCGCGGTGCTAGAGAAGCTTTGTATACAATAGGCCGGTAGTGAGAACAGCCAAGTTGGCGCACGATAGGCCAATCAGACCGTACGGTTTCAAGATTTGTACAGTCATAGTTTCCTGATTGCCTTATCTCTTGTTCAGCACAACAATGCTCCGAGTGCCAGAATAATATGTGGTCCGCAAGCTGTGCATATTTCTTTTACCCCGACAATCTAAACAGAAAATCTGCAGACAGAAAATCTGCAGCTCCTGTGCAGTAGGTTTTGACTACGGTAATGCAACATCCCATGGCGGAGGCTTCTTATAAAAAGCCTCAAATCCAAATCTGATAGTGCTTTTAGAATCCTATACGACAGCTCACGTCCCGTCACGTATAACTACACACACCGCTCCAAAGTACCGGTGGACGAATCCGAGTTCACACATTGACCCACTTTCGCAAGTTTCGCCCACAACAAATGCTACAAGCAAATGTTCCGGCCCAGAAATCAGATTCCCATGTCAAGCTTCTGAAAAAGGAGATTGAACGGGAGTTCAGCGAGCAATGCAACACGTCTCTTCAGATATGGCGGATGTTCAACAACAAAAACACCCTCCTGCCCAACAACAAGCGCATTCTGAACCTGTCTTGGAGACTCAACAGTATCGAGAACGTTAAGCGGCGGAGGAATTCCGACACGACCAGCAAAATCACCAAGACGCCCATTGCCCGCAACACTCACAAGTATTCCGACTCGCAGTCGAGTAATAATCTATCGCTGGTAAAGCCGCATTTGCCCGAATCGCTGTTGAGTGCCGAGACCCCTGAAAACCCGGAATTCGACTACATCGAGCACATCCGCAGAATTTCAAAAGAGGAGTACGGAGTCAACCCGGACGTCCGCTCCGCCAACGAGCCGTTCCGTTCATCGATATCATCGACGGAGCACGAACCAGCATTCTCCATAACCGACCCAATTACAATAGATTCCAAAGAGCGCATGGACATTAACGACTACTTCTCACCGGAGACCAGCCATTCACTGTCTTCTAATACTAATTCAATATTTTCGACCGCTGCAGCCCAACCATTCCAGTTCTCACAGACGCACCACAACCAGCCCGGGGTGTCTCATCCGCAGACGTCCTCCCAAGGAAGGCAAAATGACGACTTCAACGTGGACCATTTCCTGAAATTCGACGACAACATGTCGGAGATGATGGACATGGCCAACTTCGCGCAGTCTGACAAGGAGAAGCCTCTGAGCTCAATCAAGGAGGAGAAGTCCTCGTCCGACTACAGTTTGGCCAACTACATCAACACTCTGGAAGTTTCACTGGATCGTCGCGACAGACCGGTCTACGACAAACTGTCGCCAACGTTGACGACGGCAAGCGCCCGGTCGGTGCCTACGGTGACGCCGGCCTCGGCAAAGGGCTCTCAGCAGCCGATATGCGAAAACTGTTTCACCTCAACGACTCCTTTGTGGCGCAAAACGTCGGACAACAGGCTCTTGTGCAACGCCTGCGGTCTGTTTTTCAAGCTGCACGGTGTTATTCGCCCTCTCAACAACACTGCGTCTGGACCGAAAGCCACCGAGCGCAACAAGCGCAAACGCGCCGCCGTGGAGCTTGGAGAACACAACTCCATGGTGAAAGTTGCTCCCCAGCCAATTAGAACAGACAGTTTCAAGTCGGACAATATGCAAATGGGCGAGACGTTTGCCGGGGATTGGGACTGGCTCAAGTTCAATGTCTAGATGGAGAGGTTGACGTTGAAGTTGCCGACACCGGACCGTGACTGTTTGCGCGCGGAACCAACGTTGGGAGACTTCCAAAACGAAAAGAGTGAGAGCCACAGAGAACTCCAGGACCACATATTACTAATGAGCTCGCCGCTGTTATCCTCGTTGGTGAGTTCCTGGATGACCCTGTTGGAGACTCTGTTGGACAGCTTCATTCGCGAAGTTGGCTTCTTGGTCCATCTGGACTTGCGGATCTTTGTTTTGTGGTTAGGCTTGGAGGTGTTGTGTCGCAGATTGAGAAAAGCTGAGGAGTCCGAGACGTAGCCTGTGGATAGCAAATTGATGATGGATCGCCAGATTCTTTTAGCGGTTCTGTACCTCGAATATCGAGGCGGGGGCATCGACCGCATCTGACGATAGCTAGATCAAATAGTTTAATGTTGTGCGCTTATTACAGAGCACAGCCTGGAGAAACGAATATCGAGAAAAAAAATATTTATAATGGATTGACGTGTTATAGAAATATAGAAAATGCGCTTATGGGGAATTCTCTCGCTACTTCTTCTGGCCATTGTTGTGGTGGCCAAGAGAGACTACTACGAGGTAAGTGCTAAAGACTGACTGGACTAATGCTCAGGTTCTCGGAGTTTCCAAAGACGCTGGAGACAAGGAAATCAAACAAGCGTATAGAGACCTCTCGAAGAAATACCATCCAGACAAAAATCCAGGCGACGAGTCGGCGCAGACCAAGTTCATGGAGATTGGCGAGGCGTACGAGGTGCTCATGGACAAGGAGAAACGTGCTGCGTACGACAATTTTGGCCACGAGGGTCTCCAGGGCGGCGGCCATCAGCAGCAGCACCACGATCCGTTCGACATGTTTGCGAACTTCTTCGGTGGCCAGCAGCAGCGCCGTGGCAGACCGCGAGGCGCAGACAGCTCGACAGAGCTGCAGTTCACACTGAAGGAGTTCTATAACGGGCTCAACACGGATTTTTCATTGCAGATGCAAAACATTTGCGACAAGTGTTCGGGGTCGGGATCCCAGGACGGTAAGACCCACACGTGCTCGCAATGTAATGGTCGCGGCCGCGTGGTGGTCAAGAGACAGCTGGGACCCGGAATGTTCCAGCGCTTTGAGAGTCCATGTCCGCAGTGCCAGGGATCAGGAAATCAAATTACCCACCACTGCAAAAAATGCCACGGCCAAGGAGTTGTCCGCGGGGACCGCAAATATAACTTCCATCTGCAGCCGGGAACGCCTCGCAACCACGTTGAGGTGTACCAGGGCGAGTCTGACAAGTCGCCCGAGTGGGACGCGGGCGATTTACGGGTCAAGATTGTCGAAAGCAAGACGGGCAATTTGGGCTATCGACGCGTCGGAAATAATCTCTACAGGACGGAAATTCTGACGTTGAAAGAGGCATTAAAGGGCGGATGGGAGCGCACAATTCCGTTTCTTGATAACTACGATAATACGGTGCTGCTCAAGCGTGCGCCGGGCGAGATGGTGCGGAACGGCGAGGTGGAGAGGATCCGCGGTCGCGGAATGCCCGTGGCGGGCGGCGTGGACGAGTACGGCGACCTGTTCATCGAGTACACGGTTCTGTTTCCAGCAAAAGCAAACATCAAGGATGAGTTATAGAGATAGAGGGTGAAAGACCTTGCCGGAATTAGTATTGCGAGTCGTTGTATCGTAAACAAATTTCCGTGCTATCAGCTGAAATAATTTCCGAAAAAAGAACTGCATTTTTTCTTATCTTTGGTTCCTGATACGGGTGCAAATTCCGCACGTCTATAAAACAGCCCCCGCTTGCTCTCTGCTGTCGTCAATGTCTGCCGCAGTTGCCAAACCAGCCCCACCTCCACAAGACACCACTGACGAGAAGCTTCTTCCAGGAGAGCACACTCTGCCTGCCTCCTGGTGGACCTCGCAGAAAGTTTTCGACTACGAAAAAAAGGCTATTTTTGCCAGGTCCTGGCTTTTTGTCACGCACCAGCAGCGTTTCAAAAAAGCCGGTGACTACTTTTCCTACAGCTTTATGGGCTGGAACTTCTTCCTGATCAAGACCAAGGCCGGCGAGATCAAGGCTTTCCACAACGTCTGCAGACACAGAGCGTATCCCGTGGTCAGAAAGCAGCAGGGATCGTCGATTGTTCTTGGTTGCAAGTACCACGGCTGGTCTTACAACACCGACGGCCTGCTGACCAAGGCACCGCACTTTAACGAGGTTGAGGGCTTTGACCCGAAGGCCAACTCGCTGTTTGAGATCAGAAGCCACACCACGAAGGAGGGCCTGGTTTTCATCAACTTTGACAACACTGACGAGTACACTCCATTCGAGGAGTTTTTCGCGGGACTCGACCAGGAGATGGCCGAGTACGACTTTGACGACTACGAGTATCACATGTCCTACGAGCTGGACGGCGAGTTCAACTGGAAGACCCTGATGGACGGCTACCAGGAGTGCTACCACTGTCCGACGGCCCACCCCGGCCTCAACTCTGCCTTCAAAATGGAAACCTACAAAGTTGTTCCTAAGGGCAACTACTGCCGCCACTATGCGAAGATTGTTGAGGACGAGATCGAGGAGGTCGAGGAGGAGGACCCGGACACCGAGTCGTCGTGGTTTGGCTTTGGAAAAAAGAAGCACGAAAAAAAGAAGACCGTCAAGACCAGACAGAACCCGGGCGGAAACTTCAACGGTCTGTGGTGCTATCTGTTCCCTACGAACGGCGTGAACTGCTACTCGCCAGCGTTCTACTCCATCAGAGTGCTGCCTATTGCTCCGTCGAGAACTATTTTGCAGTACGACATCTACACCAAGAAGGGCCTTGCAGAGGATAAGAAAAAGGAGTTTGTCGATTTTCTGCAGCAGGTCGAGATCGAGGACTTCAACCTGTGCGTCCAGACCCAGAAAAACCTTAACCAGGGTATTTATTCTACGGGCTACCTCCACCCTCTCAAGGAGCGCGGCGTCTTGCATTACCAGGGCCTGGTGAAGGACATGGTCAAAAAACACTTTGAGCTCGAGCAGAAGGAGGGAAGAGAAATCAACCCGGCCAGAATCGGCGGCAAGCAGAACTCCAGCGAGGCTCAGGAGCTCGAGGAGTTGTGCTCCAAAATCGAGTGCCAGGGCTCAAACCCAGAGTCGCTCGGCGAGCTCGACTGGTGAGCATATATATTTATATTCAATTACTTCTCATTTCTAAAATCTCGTCAATTACGCTCTGGCGCAGCGAGGAGTCCACAAACAGGCTCCTGACCAGTCCGATCAACTCGCTTGTGGCCAGCTCAAAGAATTTCGCGTCGTAGAAGCTGTCCAGGATCTCGCGCAGACCAGAGTCCAACACCAGCTTCACCTGCTCCAGTTTTTGGTAGCTCTGTATTTTCCGAAGCTCGGGCAGCTCGGACGGCACCAAGAGACGCAGAAAGCCAGCCAGGGTGTCGGACAGGATTTGGGACTCCTCGGAATCGATGCTGGAGCGCGAAACAAGCATCTGGCTTAGATATCCGCTGACCTGGGTCACCATCGAGCTAGCCACCTCGTGCACCAGAACGTTGTTCACGCCTGTTCCGTTCACGTATGCTTTATTGATTTCACCAAACACCTCGTCTAGCTCTCGGAGCAGTGCCTTGGAGTGGCGCGCACGCACACTGTTCTCGTAGCCGTTGTCGTGGAACAAAACGTCCTCGTGCGGCCGGATGGTTTTGAATATGGTCTCTAAATATTGCTGGACATGTCGTATGCGGAACCTCTGTTTTAGGGCGTGGCAGGACTCCAGGTTCACAGAGTACTTGACAGCCAGATCGTCGACGATTTTGGAGTAGTCAGTGTAGAACGAAACCCAACCACTATACGACTCGCTTACCACCATGAAATAGCACACCACAAGCTTTTTGATATTGATTTTGAACAGGTGTTCTGCATTTTCCACAGACTGAGCCTTGGACTTTAGCTGCTCGTAGTTGTTGTAGTAATCTGCCACCAGATTTTTCATCCAACTGCAAACACTGGAGTATTTTACTGTGGCGGAAACATTCGACGACTTGCTGTTTGTCGATAATGACTTGACGCCCAGATCGTTCTTATCATCCTTCCAGTCTTCATTCCATGCGTCCCAGCCGTCATCCTCTGCAACCTTAGTTGGGCTCTCCGGTGTGTCTGGATTGTCGTCCCAATCCTTGTCCCATTCGTCGTTCCAGTCATCTTCGTCTGCCGGTGCGGCTTCTTTTTCGCACAGCTCTTCTTTTTCAAGCTTTTCGAACTCTCCACTGATGGCCATTTCCTTTATTTCGTCAATCTTCTTGTCCACCAGCGTTTCCACCCAGTAACTGACCAGGTCGTCAATCCAGAACTCCAGGTCACATGTGCCGTCTCGCGACCACCCGTCTTGAGCCAAAAGCTCGGATATCACCTGCAACTGGCCAATGGTCTTGCTGTCGCCAGCCCCGTATTTGCTCAAGATCAACGAATATATGTTCGCGGAGTCAAAAATGCGCTCCTTAAGTGCTGCCATGAGAAGCCGTGACACATTCACTTTGACGGCCCCAAGGTGATACTTTTCGCCGTTTCTGTTGTGGTCCATAAACAGGTTGAAGAAATTGATAGTGTTCTCGATGCTCTGGAGAAAACCAGAAAACGTCGTCTGGCTGCCGAATTCAAGAACGATCTGCTCTCCATCGTACGAAAGCTTGTTGGCCCGTCCCAGATTCGCAGACAGCTCACGGCCAAAAAGCCTATTGAAGCCAAAATGGTGCAAGAACTCGTCCTCCACTAGGGCACAAAATTCGTAGCTCCAGCTAAGATACTCTAGGAAGGTCACGTCATTGTGCTTGTTGTTGTAACGGAGAGAGCCATCTTGGAAATCGAGATATTTCGAAAGAAGCGAAACCATTTCCTGCTTTATTCTTACCCCAAACTCCTGTGTTTGCTTGTTGATCTCCGTCACTATTATCGCTTCGCCAGCGATCATCTCCTTCAGCTCTTTGACCTTGCCCAGTAATTTCTTGTAGTTGCTCACGGCACTGTCAAATACCACCTCATCGCTCAAGGACTCTGAAAGCTCGGTAATCAAGCCCCTAATCACCCACAAGAGATTGCAGCACTCGAGTTGTTGGAGATAGTCTGACGCCTTGAACTGAACCGCGCCCATGTCTACGGGCCCCTCCGCTCGCTCAAGTTCCCTCGAAAGCCTATCTCTGTCGTAGCCTCGAATGTACGAGTGCAATGCGGCGCTGATGGACTCCATTAAAATGTTGAGCCTAAAAAATAATACAAAATATTATACACAGAGATATTTATCCATCAATTCTTCGGCCAGCTTGAAATTTCCGTTGTAGCAATAAATCAGGTAGCTGTTATAGGCGGCCTCGTATTTCAAATTATACGCATCATCGGGCTCATCAAGCAATAGTACCTGTTCGTAGAACTGAAGAGCAAGAGTGTTAAGCCCAAGAAGGTTGAACGTGCGGCCGAGATTGTAATTAATTTCCATCTCGTAGCCGCCTCCAGCCCTGCGCAATTGTGCGTACTCCAGCATAAAACTCAGACCCTGGATAATCTGGAAGTTCTTGTTGATCGTCTGTCGCTGCATTGAGCGGTGGAGGTTGGCAAGTCCCATCAAAAATACCAGCGACGGGTCGTTGTAGTAGTCTCTGTATATTTTCAGACTGTACGTCAACGCAGCCGTGTACGATTTGTTCATGTATAGGAACGTGGAATAGATGTAGTTCAGCAGCGGGTGAAATTTGTCCGTGTCAACGTTGGTGTTGGTGATGGCTGCCATTCCAGAGATGTCGCGTTTCTCTTTGAGCGAGTCATGTGTCTTGATCTGACGCAGAATATATTTCTGATTTGGGGCATCCACGTACGGATGGTAAAACAGCTCTGTGGGCTTGCAGGCGGCCAAGAAGGTCTTCAGCGCAGGCACAGAAAACTGGTAGTCGTTCATCAGCATACGCAGATGGTTCATTATGACGGAAACCTCGTTGGTGATGAAACCAACAGAAAGACCAAGCAGCGTAATGGTGAGCTCTTTTTTCTTGAAAACGTTGATGTGGCGCGCAATTTCGTGGATTGAGAGCGCGTCCTCCACGTTTCTCTCGTACTCGGAAATCATCAACGAGTACCTCATGAATAAGTCAAACCATTTTTCAAACGAAATGCCCTTGAATTCATCCTGCGGAATAGGAATTCTTCCCGAGTCCATCTCCTTGGACAGGATCATCTCGTCCTGCAGGTACGGAAGTCGCGACAGTTTCTGGTCAATGCTCAATTTTTCAGTCCGACGACGCAGACCCGTGTTGAATTTCTTCGCCTTATCAGAGGAGAAAAAGCAGCGGTATGTAGAGAAAACCTCGATAAGCTCAGAGACGAGATCGATCCACATCGACGCAATTGCGTGTCTGTCGTGGCCCAGAGACTCCGCATCGTCCTCCAGTCGTTCGAGTAGCCTGTTCGCGCGCATGTACTGCTCATTAATTCGAGTCGTAGATTTGAGCTCTTTTTTATGCAGAAGCTCAGGGTCCAAAGGAATAACCTTCTTCTTTTTCGACCTCCGTGAGGACGGGTACTCGGCAATCAATGCAAGCTGCTCGGAATCTCTTGCACTCTGCTCATCGCTCATCTCTTCGTCCTGTTCGTCCTGTTCGTCCTCAGAGTCCTTCAAAAGGTTGTTGCGCGCACTGGCCCGTTCTTTGCTGCGCTGCTCTCTGGCCTCCTTGTACAGCTTGCTCATACTCTGTATGTCGTCAAGATAGAAGTACACCTCTGCCAAGGCCACCTTTATCTCGACATTATCTGGATCGTGTTCCAAGAGACGGGTGTAGGCTTCCTTCGCGTTTTCAAAGTCTTCTGTCTCTCGAAGACATTTCGCAATACTCAGCACCAGCTCAGCAGGGTTATTCTCATACACCCCCGAAACTGGATAGAAATATCGCAATGCCTCGTGGTACAAGCCAAAAGTCTCCAGCTCTGAGCCAATGCGCAGGAACAGATCCGCAGTCTCTTGAATATTCTCTCTCAGAACATACTCAAAATGTCTCAGGGCCTCGTCGGTGTTTTTTGAGTTCAGTCGGAATAATCCTAGCTGAACTCGAATATCAATAGGAAGAGAATACTCTCTAGCTTTTTCTTCTGCTTTTAGAGCCTGGAACTTCTGGTTATCGAACCGGCGATCATCAAATTCCACGTCCACAGCTGGCACATCGTCCCAGAACGTTTGCGACTCTCGGTGCTGGATCCATCTCGAGGTTTGCTTGAGTGTTTTGATCGCCACGTTCCAGGCCGCCTTCTTACCATACAGCTCCAGCAGAATGTTCAGCTCAGACCAGTCAAACGCAATGGTTTTCAGCTCGGTTTTTTCTCCGCGCCGGAATTTCATGTTCTCCTCAAGAATCTTAGTGTACATGCTGATTGCGTCGTTAACACGGTTTTCCTCAACATATATTTTGGCCAGCTCGCGGTATATCTTGGGCTCCTGGGGCATGATAGCTCGCAGCCTGTGCAAACTATCGCTCGCTCGCTTGAACTGGCCACGCTCGCGGTACAGACAAGCTCTCGCAAAAATTGAGTCATAGTCCTTGCCGTTGCTGGCAGATATAGCTTTTGAGTAGCAGTAAACGGCCTGTCGCGTATGTTCCAGCTCCACAGACAATTCTGCCAAAGTGCGCCAAAACTCAAAGTCCCATGAGTGAAGATGAGCGGCCAACAGCCAGAAATTGGAGCATTTGTTGTAATTTCCCTGCAGTCTGTATATCTCTCCTAATGTCTTGTACGCACTGAAATTGTTTTTGTCGAGCTTCACCACCTCCAAATACAAATTCTGTGCGGTCTGGAGATCGTTGCGAACAAACGCTTCGTTGGCTTCCGAAAGAAGCTGTTTCACCTCTGGCGAGAGCTCTTCTCTGCGCATCCTCCGTCTCATGGCAGCCAGTCCGCGAGTTTTCTTGCCCTTTGCCGGCTTGGGCTTGAAATTTCTGGCTTCCCGTAGAGCATTGCGGAATTCAAAGTCCTCGTCGATGTCCTCCTCGGCAAGGTCCTCGTCGCTGAACCCGAAATCATCTTGCTCTACCTCGAAATCATCGTCGTTGGGATCGTCGTCTTCAGGAATAATTCCATCGTCAGAAAATACAATGGCCTCGTCCTCCTCGCTCTCATCGTCTATCAAGTCGCGCAACGCGTCTGTGTCATCGAGCAGAAAATCCTCGTCCTCCATTTACCAGGAATAAATAGAGTAAATAAAACACAAAAAATATTTATTAAATATATTTATCAGTCTTCCAATGGTAAGTACATTAAGTGCTACTCTAACGCAGTTTTCTGGGTTTGGATTTGGCTTTGGCGAGCCAACACTGCCAATGCTGCAGGGTTTCGATGATTACTTCCGCTGCTATCCGATCGCAATGATGCCTGATGTGAGCAGAAAAGACGATGCCAACTACGGGGGCAAAATCTTCCTGCCCCAATCGGCGCTTCACAAGCTGACAATGCTTCATATTAGATATCCTATGCTTTTCACCATTACGTCAGAGAACTCTGGAAAATCTACTCACAGCGGAGTGCTGGAATTCACAGCAGAAGAAGGCCGCTGTTATTTGCCACAATGGATGCTCGACACAATTGCTGCCGAGCCGGGATCCCTCGTCAACATCAAAACTGCAGACCTCCCGCAAGGAAGCTTTGTGATGCTTGAGCCCCAAAGTGTGGACTTTCTGGACATTAGTGACCCCAAGGCTGTTCTGGAAAATGCACTGAGGAAATTCACCACTCTGACCGTTGGAGACATAATCGAGCTGGACTACAATGACCAGATATACAAGATCAAAATATTGGAGGTCAAGCCGGAAAGCCAATCGCACGGAATCTGTGTTATCGAAACTGATCTGGAGACGGATTTTGCTCCGCCCGTTGGGTACGTGGAGCCTGATTACAAGGCGCTGAAAGAGGAGCAGGAGAAAAAGAATAAAACTAAAGCTCTGTCGCAGCCTTCTTTGAAAGGCACAGGCTCCATGGCGCAGCAAATCAAATACGGCGAGATTATTCGAGAAGCTAATAAAAGTACACAGAAGTTTCAAGGTGACGGTGTCAAATTGTCTGGCAAGAAGGTGGCAAAGGAAGCAGAACCCTCTATAAATACAGCGGATATCGACCTGAATGGCCCTGTCAAACCACTACACTTGCCAGACGGGTACCTCTTTTTCGGGTTCCCGGTGAAGGTGTATAAGGACGGATTTGAGGAGAAAGACGAAACTCCAAACAAACCTCATTTCGCAGGCCAGGGACAGTCTCTGCGGAGTGCGAAAAAGCGAAAAGACAAGAATAAGAATTTCCCTGCGGTGAAAGACAAGGCACGGTCTCCGGAGACTATCGTGATTGACAGCGATTAGTGAACAAGCTTGCTCAGCTTGTATATGCTGAGACCTGCATATTCGTCAAAATTCAGTTTTCCGTCTCCGGCGTCATCGAACTCCATCAGTTTGGCCGAACGCAGCAGACTCGCCATCCGTTTGAGACCAGACTCGTCCCAGAGGTCAGAGACTTGCGAATAATCGTGCGTGGCAGCCAGCACTGCCGAAAGCCATGTTTTATACGTGACAACTGCATCCGTGCTTGAGTTCATTTGCACAGAGACGACTTCTCCAAACACCTCCATCAGCTGCTGGACCACCTCGGCGCTCACGAGGTCTGTTATTTGGGGTTTACTCTTCCACCGCACACGGACTTTGCACGGGAACCGTGACTTGTCTGTTTCGACGATCGTGGCGCTGCTGGCTGTTTCTCTTAATTTAGCTCGGCGCAGCTGCTCTGTCTCGAGCCTCAGCTGCTCGATTTTCACCTGTCGATATTGAGCAGTGGATTGATCTTGCCTGTATCTAGACTCTTCAAATAATAGCTGCTCTTTTAGTGACTTTTGATGTGCAGATTGCTGTGCCCTTGCTTTTTGTCGCTCCAATTCTGTTTCCAGGTGCTCGTCGTACCGCTTGCGCCACTCTGGCTCGTCAAGTACTCGGTAACTGACCAAGATCTCTCTAAACTGCTCCTCTGCGTCTGAGGACTGGTTTTTGTCGGGGTGCAACACCAGCGCTTTTTTCCGGTACGCGCGCCGCAGACCATGTGACTGTACACTGGTGTCGACATCCAGAAGCTGATATGCGGATTTGGATCGGCTCAGGAGCCAGCTGAAATCCTCCTGCGTAACCTGCGCCATTACCCGGAGTGATTATTTTTTCTTCTAAAAAAAAATAATGCTCGAGAAAATTAGTTAGCACTTTTTTTTTCATATGTAAGTACAACTGTTATGATGATACCTTTTCTCAGCTCACTCTGAAGCGCATGAAGAGACCATCTGTTCCAACATTCATCACTTATCTGAGCAGTGGTACTAACTATTAGTGACTATAAACAGAATTACTATATTTTATAAAACTCGGCGGCCTTGTCGACGCTGAACTCGATCAAGTGGACGATCTGCTGATGCGACGAGTCCAGCTTCGACAGGTGGTTCTTGATAGTGCCGACCCGCTTCTCAACGTCGTCCCTGTTGAACTTCTTGACCGACAGGATCAGATTTATGTACGCTAGCAACGTGTCGCAAATGACAGGGTCGACGGTTTCTTCAGCAAACGTTTCCTGTATTGCCGTGTCGAGCAGTTGCAGAATCTTGTCTGCGCGCTCTTCGGTGAATGTGATGTATTTCAGCTCGCGAGGCGGCAACGAAGGAGCAGACAGCTGTAGATTCTCCATCTGCTTCTCCATCGGAGCCGGTTTGGTGCGCAAGATCAGGTCCTTGAGAATACCTATCATCGACGTTCTCACAGACTCCGCAGAACAGTTCTCCAGTGTGTCGATCACAAACTCGTAGGCGTCTTGCTCTTTTAGGTTAATCAGCACTTTCATCGTTAACGAGTAGAACAGTTTGCGGACGCTGAAGTCTGGGAACTCCAGACACAGAGAAGACAGACTCTGGAGATAGCCAAGGATAAGAACTTTGTCCTCCTTGGTGTACTCGAACCCTTCTGTCTCGAGCACCTTCATGCTCAAGATCACCAGACTCACAATAGCTCCTCCGTGGACGTTGGTGGTGCTCATCAGGCACGGGATCAGTGTGCACAGTTGTAGCTTGACCAGTTGCAAGAACGATGGCAATGGTGTCCTGTAGTTTATTCTCTCCACAAACCGACTGACCGTGTAGAGCACGATAGAAGCGACGGCAGAGAATGGAATCGTTTCCGGGTCTTTCTGTCTGAACTCTGTGGAATTGTAGTTATCAATCACGAGCTTGAAAACATCCTCGTTCTCGCTAATTGAGGCATTTTCAAACACCTTCTCTGCCTTGTCGATTTCCTCGCCAAACGACTTGTCCAGCTCCACGTCCATAGACATCGACAGATTAACAAAGCGTCCCAGAAACTCAAGTGAATAAACATGGTCGGTGTCTGCCATTTGTCTCACATTCGGATAAACTGCCGAGAGCAGTTCCGGAGCCAGTATGGCAGAGGCAGTTTCGGCTGCCACGGACAGAAGCAGCAGCAGCAGTTTCCGTTGGAGGTAGTTTTCCTGATCGACCAGCTTTGTCAGGTCCTGTATCGAGTCTCTATTCGTGTCTGGGATGTCTGGCGGGACGTAGTCTCTAATAAACGTGTAGACGCGACGCGCAACGGCGAGATCGTTCATTGGCTGGTCTGGATTTTTCATGAAGTTCACCAAGGCGGAAACAACCATTCCCAGGAACTTGGACGGATATATTGTCTGGTTGCGGCGTAGACTGGTACTGACCAACTCCAGCATCATGTGGAACTTGATCGCACGCGTTCCTTCCTGCAGTCTCAGACCGAGGGGCGGATTGGCAGCCTGGCCTGGATCGGCCTCGGCGGCATCGAGGTCAATCTTGAGGTCTCGTATGATTTCGCACCCAGCCAATAGCAGCTCTTTCGGATTGCCATACTGTGCCAATGCGTCGAAAATCTTCATAATGCTCATGAGCGACTTGATTTCGACCAGCGGACGCGGCTCATGGTCCACGTCGCAGTATTTGAGAAGAAGCGCGGGCAGGTCCCAGCCAATTTCATACAGAATCTCGCGGTGGCCGGTCAGAATGCCAAGCAGCTTCTCTAGTATCTGCTCGCGCTCCTCTTCTTTGTATAGATTGGGCTCCCCTATGTAGACGTCTAAAATTGTCAAAAACGAGATGTAATCTTTGGACTGCAGACAGTCCCTGGCGCCCTCTTCTATAATCAGCAGCGCTTTCGCCAAATCGGCCGGCTCGCGCGGCTCATAAACACTAGTGTCGGACATTTCACAATCGTAAAGCACAAAAAGTCAATAGTGCCAAAATATAAAGTGCGGAAAAACCATCAATTCGTAGTTTACGTAATCCTGTAAGTGAGAAAACAGAAAAAGGGCCACCCGTGCACCGTCTACGAAGCGTACTTCTCCCAGCCGTCTGGCTTCTTGAGCCCCATGAGATTGTAGAACTTGGACGTGCAGCTGTACGGCCTGAATGTGAAGTCGTCGTTCGGAGCACACATGCACTTCTTCTCTTTGCGGATCGTCTCGTCGATCGGACAGTTGTGGAACGGAACGTGGTAGTAGCCGATATCGTTGAAGAAATGCACCTGGTCCTTTGGCATGAACAGAGCCACGGCGATTGAGTGCACCGGCGCGTCTCCCCATCTTTCGTAGAAAAATCCGCCAGCCTTGTCGAGATACTCAAAATATTTCAGGTACGCGTCGCTTCTCCAGAAGTCCAGAGCACCGACCTCAAAGTTGGACCAGAAGTGGCAGCCGTTGTAGCTGCTTCCGCCGTCCTCGGAGATCCAGTCCATCAGGTTGTCCTGGGCAAGGTACTGCGGGTTCTCCTTGATGAACTCCTTGGTGGTCTTCCACAGCGTAGGGATGGTCTCCTTGTATTCTGGCAGCGAGATGGTCCAGCCGTACGATTTCTTGTTTTCTCTCATGAACTTGAACACGTCGTAGTCGACGTCGCAGTAGATCTTGATACCCGGCTCGACTCTCCAGTAGTAGTCGTACTCTTCGAGCAGAGGGTGTCTGAAGAAAAAGCCAGACTCGTACCGACACATATGTCTGTACGAGATGGAGTCGCCGTAAATAATTTTCTTTTCACGCATTTCCTCACGCACCTGTGCGGCCTTGTCGGTGTCGATCCAAGGAGGGAAGCTCCATTGGTCCTTGGAGATCTGTCCGTACTTGGTCTTTCCGGAGCAGAACGAAGAAGTGACCTTTTTGAACTCCTCGCTGAACTCGCCGTCGTTCAGGAAAACCCAGTCGTAGTGGAATTTCGAATTAAATCTGTCCTCGATTTCTCTGATCGAGCCCACCAGCTCCCAGAGATCTTGGTTTCTGGCCAGAGAAACAAACGTGGCTCTTTCCTTGCCACCAAGAGCGGGAGCAGCAGCGTCGGAGGTCTCCATGGGCTTGGAAACGGCGCTGTCGACAGCCTTTCCGGCCGTTGGCTGGGCCGGCTCGGCCACGCTAAGCAAGGCGTCGTTAGCGGTCGAACCGGTCGCTGGAGCAACGCTGGGCGAGATCGTGTACGACGAGGACGATCCCTTGGTCAGGATGTATCCGCAGAACACCAGCACGAGGGCGAAGATTCCAAACCTAATCAGTCTAGCGTTTGCGCGTGCCATTTTGTTAACAGATTGTAGTTGAGAGTTTTTTTTGACACCTAAGGAGGGTAAGCGTGCGCTGTAACGCGAAAAAAAAAAAAATTGTGCAGAAAAGCACGCGAAATAAGCCTTGCTGGCAGCACTGTTTTAGGCGCTGTTGAAGACCCTACTTGGGCGCAGCAGACACCGTGTACTCACTCTATTCAGGCAAAAACCGGTATGCCAGTATATACAATACGTCGAGCCAGAGGCCGGCTTAGTTGGCCGCAGGCGTCTTGGCCGCGCGCAGCCGCTCCTCTCGCTCCTTCTGCTTGCGCTGTCTCCTCTCCTCGGCCCGCTGGCGTCTCTCCTCGGCCCGCTGCTTGGCGGCCTCTCTTCGGCGCTCCATCTCCTCCTTCTTGCGCTGCTGCTCCTGCTCCTGCCGCTCAGCCACAAGGTTTCTGTATTTTTCGTAGTCTGCCATGTGTGGCTGGTGCGCAACCTCCATATAGTGCAGGTTGCAGCTCGAGCCAGAGGTGATCGACCAGTCGAGCCCCGGGTCGCACGTGCACCGCGCCTGGCGTCTGAACGCGTCGTCCAGCGGACACGAGCCCGCCACCGTGTGTTTGTACGAAATGTCCGTGAACAGGTGGATCTCGCTCGCACGCATCATCTTGGCCACCGCTATCGTGTGCACGGGCGCGTCCCCCCACCGCTCGTAGAAGAAGCCGCCCGCGCGGTCCAGGTGCTGCACGTAGCCCTCGTACACGGGGCTGCGGTAGAAGTCGAGGTTGGCGATCTCGAAGTTCGACCAGAAGTGGCACAGGTTGTATGTGCGGCCGTTGTCGCCGGAGACGAAGGAGAGCAGGTTTTCCTCGTCGGACGGGATCTGCGCCGCCACCTCGGGCCGCAGAAAGTACTCCAGGCTCGTCTTCCACAGCGTCGGAATGGTCTTGGGGAACTCTGTGAGGGTCAGCGTGAACCCGTAGTTGATTTTATTTTCCACCATGTACGCGAACGGATCGGTCAGGATGTCGCATCCGTACTCGATCGACGGCTCCACGCGCCAGTAGTACTGGTAGTCGTCCAGAATCGGGTGTTTGTAGAAGAACAGCGAGTTGAAACGGCACATGTGGCGGTAACTCTCGCTCGAACCGTACGCCACGTTCGCATACTGTCGTGACTCTCTGATCTCCTTGGCCTTCTGCGGATCGATGTACTCGGGATACGACCAGTGCTCGTACGGGATGATGCCGTACCGCGCAGTCCCCGACACCATTGCCGAGGTCTGCTTGATGAACTCGTCGGTGAACGGCTTGTCGTTGAGGAAGACCCAGTCGTACTGGTAGTTTCTGTTGAACCGGCTCTCCAACTGCTGGATCGACTGCAGCATGTCGTAGAGCTCCTCGTTGCGCACGAGCGTCAGCATCGTGGCGTTCTGCTTGGCCGGGTTGCCGAACTTGTCCTTCACCACGCGCGCCTGCTCGTACGGCTTGTACTCGTTGGTCATGGACCCGCGGTACCCGGGCGGCAGCGGCGCCTTGTCGGGGTTGCGTTTCTGGGGATTGTCGAGATTCGTGCCCTCCAGCGGGTTCTTGGGGATCTCCTGGACGGGCTCGGACGGCGGCTCGGTGTGCTGTTCGCCCGTGACCTCGAGGTTTGTCACCAGCTGGGTCTCGTCGTCGTTCTCTTGCTGGCTCTGCTGCTCCTGCGTAGGCTCCTGGACGGGCTCCTGGACGGGCTCCTTAGCTGTCTGCGGCACCGGCGATCCCCGCGTCCCGTCCAGCGACACAAACGTGCCGTTATAAGCCTCCATGTGTTTGGTGAGCTCCTTGATGGACGTGTGGAACCGCTGGGTCTGGTCTGCCGTGCCGAACATGATCAGCAGCACCGCCAGCACGGAGCCGAGCGTGAGAAACCGCAATCGTGGGGAACGCAGCATTCGAAGTCTCATAAAAACAAGTGCCTGGTGTCTCGAGATATATATAGTTTAAAGTGGCTTGTGAACGCAGTAAATTTCGTGCACGGGCGAAATTTCTTGCCGAACTTAAACAATCCTGCAAGGCTTGGCCCGCTGCGCGAGATGGCCTCGCACGGGTGCGTGCGCCAGGGCAGCGGGCTTGGATGGTTCTGTTCCTGGCGCACGTGCGGCCTGGAGACAGGTGCGAAAAAAAACGGACATTCTGCTACGGCGGAGAATCGGTGTGCGGCTTCGTGGTCGGTTCTTGGCGATTGCTAAAAAAACTACAGATCTGCATACTCTTTCCAGTTGGGAGGCAGCGCGCGGTTCGTGACCTTGTAGTACCGCTGGCCGCACGAGTACCCACGGAACGTGAAGTCCGAGTTCTTGTTGCAGCTGCATCTTTTGTCGAGCCACACGTTGTCGTCCAGCGGACACATCGAGTACACTCCGTGGTTGTATCCTATGTCGTCGAAGAAGTGTATTTTGTCGCGGTCCAGAAACAGCGACACGGCGATCGAGTGCACGGGCGCGTCTCCCCAGCGCTCGTAGAAAAATCCTCCCGAGGCGTCCAGGTAGTTGAAGAAGTCCTCGTACACCTTCGATCGCCAGAAATCCATGTCGGCGATCTCAAAGTTCGACCAGAAGTGACACAGGTTGTACGAGTGGCCATTGTCGTCCGAGATGAAGTCCACGAGCGCGTTGGCGTGCTGTGCCTGCGGGTTCGCGCTCAAAAACGCCCGCACCGTGTCCCACAGCGAGGCTATCGTGGCCCTGAACTCGTAGATCGAGATGGTGAAGCCGTACACTTTCTGCTGCTCGCGCATCAGCCGGAACGGGTCGTAGTCGAGGTCGCAGTAGAAGTCCACCTCCGGCTCCACGCGCCAGTAGTACTTGTACTGCTGCAATAGCGGGTGCTTGTAGAAAAACCCCGAGTTGAACCGGCACATGTGTCTATAACTCTCGGAATCAGCGTAGATGATCCCCATGTTGGCCAGGCGCTCGCGCTCCTGTTTGGCCTTCTCCTGATCTATAAACGAGGGGTACGACCAGTGCTCCTCGGGAATCAGCCCAAATTTCGCCTCGCCAGACACCATGGTGGAGACCTTTTTTTTGAACTCCTCCGAAAAAGGAACATTGTTAAGGAACACCCAGTCGTACTTGAAGTCGCGGTTGAAACGGTCCTCCAGGTTCTGGATCGACGTGATGATCCCGTTCAGGTCCTCGTTCCGACACAGACTCAGGATCGTGGCGTTTTCGCGCCGTATGTTCCCCGTGTCGACCGCCCTGTGAACCTCTCGCGGCTTTGCACTGGGCGAGCTCCTGATCCAGTACATATTTGCTACCCCAACCAGGAAAAGCAGAGTGACGGCCATCCGCAGAAAATACACAGAGTTCAGCCGCACCCGCTGTCGGACGGTCGATAATAACATTTTTAGAGCAAATGATATCAGCAAGTTGGAAAATTTATATAATTTGTTTCGCTTAGGCCGCCTGGGACAGGATTTTTTTTTTCTTCGTTACGTTGCGGACGTGCGGCTGGGAAGAAAACGTGGACAATCTGCGCAGCGATTGTTTTACGCTTCTTTGGGTTTCGCACTCCCACGCTCCTCATTTACCAGCCGCACGAGGCCCAGCAGCATTATCGTGGCAAAGGGGCCAAGTAGCGGCGTGTACACAGCCATCTTGTGCTCCTCAGGGAAATACATCTGCTGCACCATGTCCTTCTGGAAAAAAGCCTTGTCCGAGAGCACATAAGCCTTGGCTGCCAGAGAGTTGGCCAAAGCCCAATTGCCGTTTCTGGCAGCGGCTGCAGCTTCTATTATTCTCTCTATGGCGTGTTCCACTTGTTCACGCGTGCTGTCAGGAACACTGATATTAGGTAATTGCTGACACAGCTTGCACAGAGAGATGAGGTTGTCGATCGACTTGTGCATGTTTTGCAGCGACTGGACTCTGGTGAGGATGTCGGTTCTGATTGCTGGCGACTTGGGCTTTGACGGCGCGCCCACCAGCTGGAACAGCTGCGAGGCAAAGATCTCCATCACGGGCAACAGGTCGCCGTACTCGAGCACCTGCTTGTCGGTGTTGAGTATTGCTGCGCCTCCCCATTGCGGCACAATAAACGAGTTTGACACGGAGTTTTCGATGATAATAGGCCGCACCGCCGACGCAGGAACGTACGCCACAAAATTGATCACCGGCACCGACTGCGTGTTCTGGTCGAGGCCCCATTCGGAGTAGTCGATGAATGTGGATGTGTCGGCCTCTTTGAGCAGAAACGCCTTCTGCTCGTCGTCGTACCGCAGGGCTATGTTGTCTGACAGTTTGTTGTAGTGCTGGACCTGCGAGTCGAGCGTGAAGTTCGCGTACGGCGACAAACTGTGCAGGTAGTTCTCGAACAGCGGGGCGGCCTGCTCGATGTCCCAGGCGATGGGGTCGCTACCGCCCTGCAACAGCGACAGGGTGACGTGGTATCTGGGCGAGTACGGCATTTTAATTGCCGACGCAGGCTGGTCGTAGCGCGCAAACATCTGGATCTCGTCTGCAAACACGTCCTGCACCAACATGCGCGCTATGAGGTCGGCGACTTTGTTGCTGTTTATCACCGTCGGCGACGCGTACAGCTTAATTTTGCGGTCTTCGAACGGAGAAACGTAGATCTTGTCCGACTCCCCGTCCATCACGAGCTCCACCTTGTAGTCGCGGTCTCCTCCGGTGCCGGTTCTGAGGACGATGTGCCACGAAATTGGCAGGTTGTAGGACTTCAGCAGAGAGTCCAGATGCTGCTGCGCCTCGGCAACCACGCCAGACGCCGTCGTGGGAACCTCCACGTACACGGGGATCTCGTAACTGACAAACGAGGACAGCTGCGACGACAAGCTGTAGATCTGGGCGGCCGGCAGCTCGACGCGGTGCACGGACGTGGTGACGTACCACAGCGGCAGCCCGACAAAGGCACAGAGGAGCAGGATCGAATTGAAGATCCGCCGTCTGATTGCGACGTCGTCCCCGGAAACAAAAGACATGGCAAAATAAATACAGGTATTTTTTTCTCTCATAATTTGTGCGACGCGCCGATCGACGCAGCCAGATATATACATGCTAAAAGTCTATCACGATGCCCGGGCCGTGGGTGGTGGAGAGCACCGTCTGGCCCAGAATCGTGGGCGACTTGCTCTGCGCGGCGGCAACTGCCGCCTTGACGGCCTCCGACACCGCAATCACGTTTTTCAGGAGGTCCTCGTCGGAAAAGTCGCATCTGCCGACCGTCAGCGCAATGTGGTCGTTTCTCTGTCTGAACGGCTGCAGAGAGATGTTGTCCTCGATATATTTTGCCACGTCGTCCACCACGGTGCCACGCTTGGCAGCCGGCATGAGTCCCTTGGGCCCCAGGTTTCTGGCCACGGGCCGCAGCGCAGAAACCATGTCTGGGGTAGCGATGGCTCTGTCGAAGATGGACAAGTCGATTTCGCCGGCCGCAATCTTGTCGACGAGCTGCTTACCGCCCGCGAGTCTCGCGCCGGCCGCCAGAGCGGTCTGCTGCATTGTCTCGTCGGCCGTGAAGACAAGGATCTGTGTATCTGTGAGCGGCCGTGCGAACCTGATGCTGCCCTGCAAGGGCGCCACGCCCTTTTTGGAGACGACCCGCGCCTGGAGGGTTATTACGGCCTCGTTCGTGGGCCGGCCGACTTCTGCTGCCCGCAGGTACCGCAGGGCCGTGGGAACAGGCATGTACAGAGGGTTTTCGACGGCGGGCCGTCTGGCGTTTCTGGCCACGGCGGCCTCTCTTTTCTCGGCCCGTTTCTGCAGCGCACGCAGCTGTTCGGGCGTTCTCTTGACCTTGGGCGCTGCCAAAACACGCGACGTCGCGAAAAAACGGAACAATCCGGTGCCCTGTGCCGTACTTTTCAACATGTCGAAATAATAAAAAATTTTGTCGCACCGATTACATAAAAAAAAAAAAAATAATTCAAATAAAAAATACATGCTCCGGATGAGCTGCAAAGTCATATCAATCATTGGCACCACCGGCGTGGGCAAGTCGCAGTTTGCCGTCGAGCTGGCGCGCGCAGTCGACGGCGAGATAGTGAACGCCGACTCCATGCAAATGTACCGCGGCCTCGACCAGATCACCAACAAACACCCCGTGGCCGAGCGAAAAGGTGTGCCGCACCACGTGATGGACCACACGCCCTGGGACACGGAGTACTACATCCACAGGTTCAAGCAGGAGGCCATGGCCGCCATTGCGGATATCCATAGCCGCGGAAAAACCGCCATTCTCGTTGGTGGCACGCACTATTATCTGCAGAGCCTGCTCTTTTTGAACAAGACCCTGGATACCGCCACGGCCGAGCAGCTGACCGACGCCGAGCGCGCGGTTCTGGACGGCCAGCCCGACGAAGTGTTCCGCACGCTGCAGCAGAAAGACCCTGTTGTGGCGCAGAAGTTCCATCCGAACGACCATCGCCGCGTGCGGCGGGCGCTCGAGATCTACTTCGCCACCAAGCAGCGCACGTCCGATCTATACCGATCGCAGCAGCAGCAGGCGGCGTCCGCGCTGCGCTATCAGATGCTGTTTTTCTGGCTATATGCGCGGCAGGACGTGCTGGACGAGCGGCTTGATTCTCGCGTGGACAAAATGTTGCAGCAGGGCGCGCTGGCCGAGATCCGCGAGATGCACGCGTTCCGCAGCCGGACGGAGCCCACTATGGAGCTCCACCGCGGCGTCTGGCAGGTCATTGGGTACAAGGAGTTTTTGCCGTACCTGGAAGAGGGCCCTGAACGGCTGGCCGGTTGCATAGAGGACATGAAGCGCAACACGCGGCGGTACGCGCGGCGGCAGGTGAAGTGGATCGCGAGGACGCTGACGCGCGAGCTGGCGCGCGAGGGCCAGTTTGGCTGGCCGAACGGCGGCCAGGTGGTGGTGCTGGACGCGACGGATCTGGGAAAATGGGAGCAGGACGTGGCACAGCGCGGAACGGACATCTGCCGGCGGTTTCTTGCCGGCGTGCCGCCTGCAGAGGCACTCACGGTGCCAGAGACGCTGGCAGACGTGCTGGCGCCCCGCGAGGACGCCGGAAACGACGAGACAAAGTGGCAGCACCACTACTGCGAGACGTGTGTGGACGAAACGGGACGACCGACTCTTTTTGTCGGCGAGCAGTACGCAGTGCATCTGAAAAGCAGACGGCACCGGAGCAACGTGAGAAAAAGCCACCGCAAGCTGGTGCACACATAGTAACGAGAGTATTAGGTCTATTTAATCGCCTTCTTCTCCTGGGACGAGCCTTCCTCGACGCGGCCGTAGTCGTTCTCGATCACGTGCTCCTCGATGAGCTCGGACGCGGCGTCGAGGTTGTCTGGCTCCTGCGGCAGGAACAGGTTGAGGACGACGCCGATGAAGCCGGTGACGGCGAAGCCGGTCTCCATGACGAGAACTATGGCGTCGAAGAAGCCGGAAAGCCCGGTGTTGTCGCCGTCGTACGTGAAGACGTTGCTGAACCAGTCGGCGAGCAGCGTGGCGCCGAAGCCGAACATGAGCGAGCACGTGAGCACGAAGCGATCTCTTCTGGTGAAGGGCGTGGTGGCGATGATCTTGAGCCCGGACACGGCCACGGACGTGAACAGGAACGTGGTCATGCCGCCGAGCACGGCTTTAGGAATGGCGACGAGCGCAGCGGCGAATTTCGAGAACACGCCCATCACAACGAGGAAAAAGCAGCACCAGTACCCAACAGTCCGGGAGGCGCACTTGGTGATGGAGATGACGCCGTTGTTCTGCGCAAAAGTCGACATTGGCGTCATGGTCATGAGCGCGGCGATGATGCCGTTGACTCCGTCCGCGAGCACACCGCCCTGGATGCGCGACTCGTAGTAGGGGCCCTCGATGTCGGTGCGGGACACGTCGCAGGTGGCGGTGATGTCGCCGATGGCCTCCATCATGAGCACGATGTAGCACGCGAGGAAGGGCAGCACGGCAGGGCCGTACACGGACAGCTTGAACGTGTGCACCCACATGAAGGTTGCTGCCGGGGCGGCGTCGATCGAGTCGTGCGAAAAGTAGCCGCACGCGGCGGCGACTATGCACCCGACCAGGAGCCCGACAATCACGGCGCAGGACTTCATGATGGGCGACCCCCACTTCTCGCACAGGATGATGGTGAGGTACACCAGGAACCCAAGCCCGAGGAACTGCGCAGACCCCCAGTTGTAGCCCTTGGCACAGCTGTTGGTGGCGTCCATGCACCCGGAGCCCCCCACAAAGTCCTCAAATCCGGACTGGATCAGCGACACGCCAATGAGCAGCACCACAGGGCCCGTCACGATGGCCGGAAAAATGCGCTGCAGCAGCGCCGGCGGCAGAAACGAGAGCAGCACCTCCAGCAGACCGCACACGGCCGCCGTTCCGAGAATGGCGCCGTATCCGTCGGGACATGGCAGCTGCGTCCCGTCGCTGTCCACGGGGCAAACGCCTGCGTTATACATGATTGGAAAAGCCTTGCTGACAATGCTGATGGTGGCGAATGACGTGCCCACGACAGACACCAGACCGGTGCCGATGTAGTAGGGCGTGTACGGGATCTTGAAACGGGTGATCTGGACCGCCGACAGCAGGCCAGAGATGATGAGCGAGCACGACACCAGGTACTGCTGCTGGTCGGCATCCAGGTTGGCGAGGGCGCCAATGATGATTGGCGGCGAGGCGACACCGGCCAGCATCGACAGGGCGTGCTGAAGACCGAGCAAGAAGCCCAGCACGACGGGGATCTCGTCGTCGAGACCAAAGAAAGGCTGAACTTTTTCGGAGCCCTTCATAAATGGCAAGCGTGGGGTGAACAGATAGGCATAATCGTAATCTCCAAGTAGTCCTTCCCTGGTGGTGAACTTGTGCACAATGCGACGGGCAACTCGAGACACAGACATGCTTGGGATCAGAACGAGAGCCGATTCGAGTTAATATATACAAAAAGTTCTAAGGGTGCACTCGGTGCTGATAACAGCCTGCACGGATGCGCATTATCGCAAAAGTGGGTGAAAAAATTGCAAATAGACAGGATCCAATTTTTGGCTTGTGGCCCGGCCTATTGTGCGCAAAGAGCCGTGATTGGCGTGTGCTGCAGCTAATCTATGCTGGCGCTGCGGCCCGCTATTGTGTTTTTCGTTAACCTGCCTTTTCGGGATTCCCCGAGCTGCCTGTTGCCGTGCGCCGGTGCGAGGCGGAACTCTGCTATCTTGTGACCGCTTATGTCAGCCTACGGCAGATGCCGCGCGCAGGCTTTTTCCGCGCACCGCCAATTACTGCTTCAGGACGTCTGGCAGCTTGCCGAAGGGCAGCACCTGGTCGATGCGCTCGCACGCGGTGAAGAACATCACCGCGCGCTCGATGCCCATCCCCCACCCCGTTGTGGGCGGCAGCCCCCACTCCATGGCCTCCACGTACGCCGTGTCGGGCAGAATGGCGTCTGTGTCGTTGTGCTGGGTGCGTGCGCTGAGCTGCTGTGCAAACTTGGCCGCCTGCTTGAACGGATTGTTTTCCTCTTCGTACGCGTTGATAATTTCTGTGCCGTCGATGTATAGCTCGAATCTGTTTGAGACATTAAAATTATTTTTGGTTGCAGATTTTGCCAGCGGAGCCAGCACCTCGGGCAGGTTGTAGAGGAACGTTGGTTCGTTTTGGCACAGCGGCTCCAAATACGTGGAGACGAGCACGTCCAACAGTTTCTGGGGAGACCTCACCTTCGGCAGCGGCAGCCCCAGCTCCTTGAAATACTGCACCAGTGCCTCGCTGGAGAAGTCTGGCAACGGTCTGCCGGTTTCGAGAGGCAGCTGCTGCAGGCAGTCAATTTTTTTGAACTCGCCGCCGTTCCGTGACAGGCTCTGCTGCAGCCAGCTGCACCGTTCTCGGCAGATTGCGAGCGTGCTGAGCTCGGCTATCAGTTTTTCGAACAGCTTTTCGGTAAACTCCATCGTCTGTGCCAGACTTGTGAACGTTGCGTAGAACTCGCACGAGGTGAATTCCGGGTTATGTGTCGCGTCGACGCCCTCGTTGCGGAACACCGGGCCGATCTCGTACACTTTGTCGAAGCCCGAAATGACCAGTTTCTTCAGCCAGAGCTCGGGGGCCACGCGCATGCTGAGCTGCATCGGCTCGTCTCTGTTGTTTTTGACGTGAGCGCTGGTGGTGGTGAACGGCGTGGCGTTGGCGCCGGAGTTGCCCGAGCCCAAGATCGGCGTCGCAAACTCCATAAACCCGTGGTCTTCGAGGAATCGCCGCAGCGTCGATATCAGCCGTGCGCGCGCCACCATCACGTCGCGCGACCGCATGTTCGCGAGGTAGTCGACCACGCGGTTGCTGTACACCTTGCCCGGGTCCCTGAAAGCGGGCGGGACCGGGTGCAGCGCCGGCGCCGCGAGCCGCAGCCGCTCGCTCGCTTTCAGCGACAGCTCGCCCGTGTTGGTGGTTCCTGGGTGTCCCGTGCACGAGACGTAGTCGCCCGGCTTGAATTGGCCGTGCCAGGCGGCAAACTCGCCGTTGGTGAGCCCCATCATCTTGTGGTTCGCCACGATCTGCACCTTTTGCCCGTCCTGGACCAGATCAAGGAACATGCTGCCCTTTCCGGCGCGGCGAATGCTGGCGATCTTGCCATTCAGGATGAACTTGGCGTCCCCAATGACACGCAGCTCGGGCTGTGCGGCAAACACGGGCCGGAACCGGCTCACAAACCCAGGCACGCGCTCCACGGCCCCGTCGCCAGCGACCAGGTCTCCGTAGACGGGGTAGAACCGAGCGTCCTGCTCGGCGGTGGGGAGACTCGCAATGTGCGACTTGCGGAACGCAAAGTCGGACTCGGCGGTGATCTCCGGCTTGGTGGCGAGGCCGCGCGCGAGCGCCCGCGCTCCTCTCGTGTAGCGTACCAGCATGCTAGATTATTTTATTTTATTTATTTTTTTCGGTGTATGGGTGCTTTTTCTTCAAAATTTTCACAATCATGAGTGTGCACTTCCGGCGTCTTCTGACCACGACAGTGGCAAGACGCAACACGGCCGTCAAGAGCGCGGCCGCCGCCGCAGAGGCCGGCGAGAGTGCTGCCGGCCAGCTCGGCCAGCTCGGCCCCAACGTCATCCAGGACCTCAAGCACATGTCGCGGGCAGAGTTCGAGGAGCTGCTCAACTCGACGCCGCTGCCGACGCTCAACAGAGACGACCTGGCGGTGCGCAAGTTCCGCGAGCTGTTCAAGGCGTTTCTGGGGCGCACCCAGAACGACGAGTTTGCGTCGTCGCGGTCGATGATCGCGGAGTACCCGAACCTCGTCCCCACCGCCCAGCGCGACCCCTACTCGGAGCCAGAGCTCGTGGTGCGCAAGAAGTACCACGACAAGGTGCTGGGCGAGCTCGGCGCGGAGATCAAGGGCGTGTACAGGCCGCACGAGCTGATCACAAACCCGCCGTCGGGCAACCAGGTCACCGTCCAGAAACTGCTGGCCGCGGGCGCGCACCTGGGCCACTTCACCAAGCTGTGGAAGCACACGGCACAGCCGTACATCTACGGCGTGTACAACGACCTGCACATCATCGATCTGGAGCAGACGGTGGTGCACCTGAGGCGGGCGGCGAAGGTGGTGGAAGGTGTGGTTGAGAACGGAGGCACGGTGCTGTTTCTCGGGCTGCGGGAGGGCCAGCTGCGGTCTGTGCGGGCGGCGGCGGAGCGGTGCAACGGGGTGTACGTTGCGAGCAAGTGGGTGCCGGGCACGATCACCAACAGTCTGCAGAACGCAAAGCCGCGCGTGGAGGTGGACATGGGGGACGTGCGGTCGCGCAGAGGCCTGACGGACTTCGAGGCGCGCAGCGTGCTGAAGCCGGACCTGGTGGTGACGCTGAGCGCGCGGGACAGCCGGACGGCGCTGGGCGAGGCCGCGCAGTCGCGGATCCCGAGCATCGGGATCGTCGACACCGACTGCGACCCGGCGCTGGTGACGTACGCGATTCCGGCCAACGACGACTCTATTAGGGCTACAAACTTGATATGTGGGGTGCTGGCGAAGGCGGCGGAGCGCGGGTACCGCACGAGGCTCGACCGCGTGCGCAGGTACAAGGAAAAGCACGGGGCCCGCGTTTCGCAGCCCATGTCGCTGATTAGCTTCGAGGCCTGAGTGCCATGTGTATAGCAAGGTCTTTGAGAATATGGCGTAGCTAGTTGGTCTTCTTGTCGTCGGCCTCGGACTCGGACTCGGACTCGGACCGCTCGTCCTCGGCCACGTTCAGAAACACGTACCGGTACATGATTCTCAGGATGAGAAACAGCCAGTACAGGTTGACGAGCTGCAGCGCGAAGATCAGCACAAACACGATCGGCTGCGAGATCCAGCACTTGTACTGCTGCGTGGCGAAGCTGAGCGTGTACGGCCCGACGGTGCGGAACTCGGTGAGCACGGACCACAGGATCCGGAAGTTGAGCCAGTGTCTGAGGTAGACCCACACGCCCACAAACAGAAAGAAAAACGGGCCCACGAGCACCGAGTCCAGGTAGTTGAGCGTCTTGGACGTGGCCAAGAAGAAGTCGGAAATGTCCATCGTGATGTACACGGCTATGCCCATCCAGGTGAAGTTGAACCTGTACGACAGGCCGATCAGCAGCATCGTGACGATGTGGTGGAACACGAGCTCCTTGAAGTCCTTGCGGGGCTTCTCGAGCTGCAGAATCAGCACCACGCTCTGCTGCGCCCAGAACGCCGCCTGTGCCAGGTAGTAAAACTTGAACAGGTAGAAGTTGGCCAGGTGCGGGTAGTCCTGGTAGAACGCGGTCGTGTTGAAGTACCACATCGGCGTCTGTTTCATCACGTACAGGCCCAGCGGCCCGCTCACGCCGTAGTAGCACATCGAGTACGTCTGCTCCGTGAACCGTCTGACCTTGGACTCCTTGCGGATGCCAAAGTGCAACGCGAGCGGCCGCAGCACCACCTGCATGAGGAATTCTCTGTAGAACGTGAAGAAAACCATCATGTACGCGACAAACGCAAAGTCCTTCCAGCCCTTCGCGTACAGCGGCGGGTTTGTGCCCGGAACCTCGTACGACATGTTCATGAACATGTGCAGGGGGTTCGACGGAGTGTAGTTGTTGGAGAACCAGTAGGCCAGCTGCGTGGCGGCTAAAATCACCAGCGGCGGCAGCCACGGGTGTCTGTAGCTGAGGATCTTGACCGAGACCCAGATTTTGTCCAGGACGGCGAGATCGTCGCTGGAGTCGGTCGTCCTGTTGAGCTGTTGTTTGTGCAGCTTCGCCGTCGTCTTGACGTCCTTGTCGGAGTGCATAGTGCGCAGGGATGGCACGGCGTTGTCTCCCAGATTGATCTTGCCCACAGAAGAGTGCCGACGTCTGCGTGTAGTGTCTTCCATTAGCAAAGAATGAGAGTAGGCTTAAATTCCGCCAACGTATTTTCTGCCGGCAGGCGGGTGCACGGGTGTGCAAATAATCCAAACAATAAATAAAAAAACTCACTATGGGCTCCTTTGTTCGTCGTCTGCGACGGCGCGGGTTTTTCAGGGTGTTGGCGGCAGTGGTTCTGACGGTCGTTGCGTGGTCGCTGCTGCCCCGCCGAAGCCGCCGAGGACTCAGCTATTACGAACAGCAGCTCCAGTCTTCGAGCCTGAGCCGGCCGTTTTCCGGGCTGCGGGCCGGTGAGGCGGGCCTGGACGGACTTCTGGAGTACGAGCACAACCTGAACGAGCTGCGCAACTCGCAGGGACCGCAGCCGGTGCGCTACGTGGGGGTTGCCAAGACAGACAGGGAAATAACGCGCAACACGCAGTTCCAGAAGTACTTTAAAGACATCTGGGCCACTATCCTCGCCAACCAGCCCCGCGTGGGGTTCGAGCTCGCGCCGGGCATGGCTGCCGGCCCGGGCATGCCGCTCGACGTGCTGGTCAAGCGCGAGTACGGCGCGTACAAGGCGGTCAATATCGCCATGCACGACACCGCGGGCGCGCCGCTGCTCAGCGAAGAGTACCTGCTGAACTGTCTCAAGGTGCCGCCCGAAATGGTGGCGGATCTGGCCGTGTCGCACAGAAACGTGGTCAGAGGCCTGCCCGCCACGTATCCAGAAGGCCTCTACGAGGGCAGAGGCGTTGTGTTCATTGGCGGGGGCAAGTTCTCGTGGCTGTCGCTGCTGGGGATCCAGAACTTGCGCGCGTCGGGCTCGAAGTTGCCCGTGGAACTCATCTTCCCCACGGAAGCCGAGTACGAAGAAATGCTGTGCGAAAAAGTGCTGCCCGACCTCGACGCCAAGTGCGTGCTGCTCACAGAGCGCGTGCCCGAGTTTCGCAAACACAAATACACCATCAGAGGCTACCAGTACAAAAGCCTGGCGCTGCTGGTGTCCTCCTTCGAGCAGGTGCTCTTTCTGGACTCAGACAACGTGCCGGTAGCCAACCCGGACGCGATCTTCGTATCGGAGCCGTTCACGTCGCACGGGATGGTCACGTGGCCCGACTTCTGGCGCCGCGTCACACACCCAACCTACTACAAACTCGTCGACCGCGAGCTCGGCGACGAGCAGGTGCGCAACAACATCGACGCCGTGACGCCAAACAGATACTACGCACGTGACTCGAGTCAGGCGTTCTCGAGCATGCCGCTGCACGACCGCGCCGGCGCGCTGCCGGACCCGTCGAGCGAGTCTGGCCAGATCGCCGTGAACAAGCGTACGCACCTGCGTGCGCTGCTGCTGGCGCTGTACTACAACTACTACGGCCCGCAGCAGTACTATCCGCTGTTCTCGCAGGGCGGGGCTGGCGAGGGCGACAAGGAGACCTTTGTGGCCGCCGCGCAGCATTTTGGGCTGCCCTTCTACCATGTGCGCAAGGCAGTCGACGTGATTGGCTACTGGCAGCTCCAGCCCGAGGAGCACTACACGGGAGTCGGCATGATTCAGTACGATCCGGTGGTGGACTACAAACTGGTGGCAGCGTACAAAGATTGGTTTTCAGCGCGCGAAAAGGAACACGAGCGACGCCAGACGTCGTTTGTGGGCCGATTGCGCGACTGGTGGGCCGGAGACGTGGTGTACGACCCTGCGCGAACGTTCACCGGCTGGTTCAACAAGACGAACAGCCGGCCGATGTTTGTGCACTCGAACTTCCCGAAACTGGACCCGGTCAGTCTGCGCAAGGACGACTTCCTGTTTGTGACGAGCGGCGGAACACGCAAACGGGTCCGCATGTACAGCGACCAGTCCGGGCTGGACTTTGACTTCGAGCTGCGCCAATGGCAGTTCATCAAGAAATACTTCTGCGACGAGGCCATCGACCTTAATTACCTGCGCGTTGCCGGCGTGACGTCGCTAGACTACTGCGACTTCATTGAGGACGAACTGAGGTTTCTCGAAGATACCCAGCACCTGGTGAATATCCGCAACGCTACCACCTAGCGAAAAATAATTAATTAAATAATTTAATTTTTCTTTAACATGCTAATTTACAGTATTCCAGACGAATGAGCGGAGACCAAAGCACACAGATTTCGCTCCAGGAGGACGGGCTTATCGACTCGCTTTTCCGCTCGCTGACGGAACGCGCCACGGAGGAGCCTGCTCCGCTCGAACACATGACCTCCCGGCTACAACAGTACTACGATAGCCTGCTTAACAATGCCGACTGGAACGTGGAAAACCTGGAAGTGCGGCCAGGACACCCGACGTTTGTGGTCTGGTTTGTGTTTTCGTCGTACTTCCCGCTGATCTGCGGCTGTCTCGGCCCGCTGTCGAACCTGCTTTCGGTGGCAGCCGTGATTTGCAACTGGAAACAGGACAAGGTCACCGGCAAACCCGCGGGCGCAGACGAGAGCTGGTGCTACGCGGTGAACACGATCTCCATGGTGTGCGGAGTGGCGGCGAATATCTGTCTGCTGCTGAACTACCGCAGAAAAATGAAGTACCACTACGCGCAGGTGGTTTCCATCACGGGCTGGTTTGTCGCCAGCATAATGCTGATGCTGCTGGTGGCCATCTACCATGTGGAATTTCTTCGCCACGAGCATTACCGAAGGTACTCTTATTCTTACGGGTTCTGGTTTGCGGTGTTCACGGTACTGCTACATTTTGCCAACTTTGTGCTGCTCAGTCTCAACACGCTCGGCGTGCTGCTGAAAAAGTACCCGCCGGTGTTCAACATTGACGGCGTGCAGAACACGCTCATTTTGCAGAGCATGTTCTTTGTGACCTGGATGATGTGGGGGGCCGGCATGTTCACCGCGCTGCTGCACGTGTCGTACGGCGAGGCCCTGTACTTTTCGATAACCACGATTCTCACGATCGGGCTCGGCGACTTTGTGCCGCAGTCCAGCGGCGCCCAGACACTCACTCTGCTCTGGTGTATTGTCGGGCTGGTGGCGTTCGGGCTGATTATTTCGACCATCAGGGAACTGGTCATGTTCTCGTCTGCCTCCACGTTCTACTGGCACCGTGTGCAGAGGTTCCGCGAGCTCGAGCTGAAAAACGCGCCGCCAAACCTGTCGAACCAGGAGAGTTTCAGCCGCATGAAAAATGCCAGCAGGAAAGCTAGACGGTACGAGCGCATCTTCAGCACGCTGACGATCCTCACCACGTGGGTGGTGTTCTGGCTCCTAGGGTCTTTGCTGTTCTCCGTGTACGAAGGCTGGGCGTACCATCTCAGCTGCTACTTTGCGTTCCTGTGTTTTGTGACGATCGGGTACGGTGTTCCGGCCCCCACAACGAGCGGCGGGCGGTCATTATTCTGTGTGTGGGCAATTGCGGCGATCCCAGTTATGACCATTCTAGTTATGAACATTAGTGACTTCATTTTCAGCTCGTTAGAGACAATCCAGAACCTCAATGTTCTGCGCAAAAAAAACCCGTCGCACTTCGACGACTCAGACCCCGCCGAGGCCATCCTCCACCACCTGCTGGACGTGAAGAAGGTGTCGGACTTCAACGTCTTCACCACAAGGGAGTACCTTTCTGCCTCCTCGTTCGCTACCGAGCTGGCAAGTTATAATAACCCCAGTTATCATCAGCCCGAACGCAGCCAACTGGCTGCTCTGCGCAAAGTACCAAACGTCGCCTCGCATGAATCACTCAAACCTCGTCTCCGCAAGCAAAACGACCCGCTGCTGTCCAAAATGAGCCAATTGCAGCAAATACTCATCGAACTGCGCAAATCCACCCTCCTGTCCAACATAAAGCCCGACTTCAAGTACTCGTTCCACGACTGGAGCAAGTTTCTCTCTCTGACCGACCTCGACACGAGCTCCGAGTTCTGGCTTGGCGAAAAGTCGCCTTTCGGGTTCCCCAACGACGAGCCACTCTACTTCACATACCATTTTCTCCATGCCCTGGACCGCAATCTGCACGAGCTGGCGTTGCAATACGACCAAATGAACTAATACCTCGCTTTGGCTGAAATGTATACTTACCAAATACTGAAATTAATAGAATGATTAGGTGATAGTACTGGTTTAATGGAAAAGAGCTAGTTGTTAGTGAGTTGAGATCAATACATGTACCTAGGGACAGATTGCGATGTGAACAATACAATGGGCCCAATGGATAACTACCATGTGAGAATCAAGGGAGAATCAAAGGATAAACCAATGGAACAAGGCGATCTGCGAGTTAGTAGAGGCATGTCCAGCGTAGGCTAAAGTATTAGATTATAAAGTATATGTTGCCCGCATGAAATTAAAAATGCAATCGCGCGTTCTAGCAAAGATGACGTGAGGCAGGCGGTCGGAGCCTGCAATGGCGAGTTGGTACAGCAATGGGGTTGGATATGCAAAGATGCGGGTGTGACGGCGAACAGGAATATGCAAAGGGTCGACTATCTCTTGCGGCGGGTCTTGCTCGTGCTACGTTTTCTCGCGTCGCCGTTCTTATTCTGGTGCATTCTGCCAACATGGATCTTCATGTGGTCGGACCTGGTGAACTTGCGGTGGCAGAACTCGCAAACGTACCGCTCGAGATGGAGATGGACACAGTTGATGTGACGCGACAAAAGAGCACGGTTTTTGAACTGCTTGCCGCAGTTTTCCACCTCGCACACAAGCTTGCCGCCCGGCGGCTTTACTGGGATCTTCAGCGTGATTCTGGACTTTGTGCGGCATGCCGACACCGAGTCGTCGTCGCTGGCGTCCGGGTATTCTGTTTTCGCCTCCACAGGCGAAGTGTCCATGGCAGGCGAGCCGCGGTAGGAGATGGGTGTCTCCGGCGTGGACTCAGTGAGGAAGTCGTCCGGGAAAGCAGAGTAAGACGTGTCGAACCGGCCAAGACCAACTGGTGAAGAAGGCAATAGGTTGGGATAGACAGGCTGATAGATGGACGCGAGCGAGAAGTTGTTTGCGCGGCTGGAGCCGCTGAGATCGACTTTCGACGGATCGATGGTGAGCTCCGGCATGTCTTCGTCGTCCGGAGCGCATTTCTGCTGCGATGTTTCAGGGGTGTTTGACAACCTTGAACACTCGAAATCGATATCGACGTCGTAGTCGACGTCGGAGTAGTTGAGATCGTCGTACTGGATTTCGTGCAAGAAGTCGCCCGCGTTGAAATCGATCTCCTTGAGGTCCGACACGAGCGACTCTTTTCTTTGTTCACCGATTTCTAGGTCTGAGTACCCAAAAGCGGATACTAGCTCCATCAAAGGAGTGGGAGTGTCTCTGGAATCCATGCCCTATGCTCTTCTTACCGCGTGGAATGCCTGAATTTCCAGTCGGGTGTGTCCATGAAAACAACAAGAAGCTGCGTTTTGTGACCGGATCGGGCATTTGCCATGCTTTATATAATTTTCTTATCAGATTTGTCAGGCTACACGCATCGACATATGTGCTTGCGGCGTGGTGGCGCAGTAGGTGACACATTATCACCTTGCGCGGCCCGTTACCCGGCCAGACCGCGTGTCTACACTTTGTTTGGCCTTCCCAAAGCATGCAGTCCACTTTTCCTAAACGGGCAACTCCAGTGGTGACTGCGCCACAGGCCCAGTGCAACCCTAGTGCAGGCCCCCCCCCATCCACACCACAACAGCACCCACGGTCCACATCGGTCTCTGCCCAACCCAGCAGCACACTAACGTACGCACTTCTTGCCCGTGCATCCGCCCTTGTAGCAAATCTCTTGTCCTGCCCGGCTCCTCTCCCCACAAGCCGCAGCCTTGCACCGCCACAGCCCCTCTAAAAGAGCAACCACGCAAATTTCATCTCTCCCCGATAACCTTTGTTCAATGCTGTCGTACCAGGACAGTGCCCCCTCCATCACGAGTAAATCCACTCGCCAGAGCGTCTACCAGACCAACGGCCAGCCGCTCAGCGAGGAGGCCATCTACAGGGCCAAATTGAAGTACGGAATCTACAACAACCCGGCCAAGGTCAACCTTGGTGTTGACCCTTCCGCTTCAGACACCGCTGCGCTGCTAGCCTCGTCTTCTGACCTGTCTGTGCACCCCTACAAGAGAGAATTGTCCGCAGAGGCCGCCACTGCGGCCCTCATTGCCAAGACGGACTCTGCGCCCAGGGCCTGGAAGCGCAACAACTTTGCACCGGAAGCGGAATACGCCGCCATCAGCGCCAAGTCGCAAAAGTACCCGTTCTACGAGGAGGACGTGGACGGCGGGTACGCCGAGCTGTCGCAGGACGCGGCGTCGTCTGTGCTACGCAAGCCGGCCTCTGCCACCGCCAAGACGGCCCTCCAGGACGTGTACGACTTTGACGACGTGCGCTCCGGCCGCACCACCATGAGCAACCTGCACGCCTCCTCGACCCCGGGCACCACCGTGCGCGGCGCGTACGAGGCCGGCAAGGTGATCGACATCGGCCGCATCCTCAACAGGGCCACCGACTCGGCCACCAGGACCATGAACTCCAGAGTCAACCCGGACCAGGACTTCCGCTCCGGCCTCACCACGGCCAACGCGTACACCAGCGCAAATGGCGCGGTCGACATCTCCAAGATCACGTACTCGGCCAAGGAGAGCGCGCTCAAAAGCATGTCCTCCCGACTCAACCCGAGCCGAGACGGGCTGTACGGGATTCCAACCGCGAGCGACAACCTCAACAACGAGAAGTTTGCGTCGGTCGGCGCTCTCGCGTCGCTCAATTTCGACCCGAGACAGGACTACGCGGCGGCCGAGCGCGCCACGCTCGCGCGCAACTCGCTCATCGACAACCGCGTGCTCATCAAGGCCATCAGCAACGCCAATGCCACGCTCGACAAGATCGACAACAAGGCTGTGCAGGACAATCTGTTTGGCAACCGGGAGTGGAACCTCAAGGCGCTGCAGGTTGCGCAGGCGAACTTTGAGAAGCGCAAGAGCGACACGGGCGGCAAGATCGATGTTGGCGGCGGGCTTCTGCTGAGCATTGAGGAGATCAACCGCATGGCCTCGTCGGTGGTGAATCCGATACTGTCCGATCTGGACGACAAGGTGGAGCAGCAGCGGCTGGCGAACTTGGCTGCGCAGCAGCGCAAGGCCGAGCTGAAGCGGGCGCAGACGGAGTTCTTTGCTGCGCAGAAACAGGCCAAGCTCGAGGCCAAGCAGAAGCGCGAGGCCGAGAAGGCCTCGCGTCGTCAGCAGCTCCAGGAAGAAAAAGACAAGCTGAAGGAGCAGCAGGCGCAGATGAAGGCCGAGCAGCAGGCCGCTCTGGACGCCAAGGAGCAGCAGTTCCGGGAGCAGATCGAGCAGGAGGAGAAGAGCAAGCAGGAGGTGGACGCCGAGCGGGACGAGAAGCTGGCGGAGCTCAAGAAGGTGAAGGACGCCAAGGACGCCGAGAGACAGGCCGAGCTGGACGCGATTCAAGCCGAGAAGGACCAGGAGGTGGCTCCGCTCGCAGAGGAGAGCGAGAAGGAGACTGCAGTGTGGAACGAGCTGAAGGCGAAGCGCGAGGAGGCGGAGGCGTTTTTAGCAGAGCACAAGGGCCGCTACGAGACTGCTAGTGCGAAGTTGGAGTCGACGTTGAAGAAGTTGGAGAAAATCACCGCCAAGATCGCCGAGGCGGAGGCCGCGCTTGCGGCCGCGTCGGGCGAGTCCGAGAAAGTGGCCTCCGAGAGCGAGCAGGTGCACGAGCAGGCCGAGAAGGAGTACGCGCAGAAAAAGCAGGAGTACGATGAGTATTTGGCGACAAGATCGACACTTGCCAACCAGAAAGACGAGCTCGAGGCGCAGAGAAAGGGTCTTGTTTCTGAGTTGAAGGACCTCAAGACGGCTCACAAGGAGGAGGAGAAAAAGATCAACTCGAGCCTGCCGGAGCATCTGCAGAGAGAAATCAGCAGCGACGTTTCCGACGAAGAGACGATCGACCACTCGAAATTCGAGCTCGACGACGCGTCGATCCCTGAGCCGCCGGCCGTGGAGGTGGAGGAGCCAAAGAAGGAACCTGTCGACTACGGGTTCACCGAGGACGACGAGCCAAAGGTGGTGAAGCCGGTCGAAGAGCAGCCAGAGGAGCCATTGGCGGACGCAGCTACTAGCGAGCCAGCTGCGGTCGACAAGCTCGCGGCTGTGGACGAAAAGCCAGCTAAGAAGGGCAAGGAGGGTCTGGGCAAACGATTCCTCAAGTTTATGACCCAGGAGCCACCAAAGCCAAAGAAGAAGGCGAAGGCTTCTCCTAAGGCAGCCTCCAAGGCTGCTCCTAAGGTCAAGGAGACCAAGAAAGAGACGACCGAGGAGGCTGCAGATGCATTTTCCAACTTCTCCCAGGGCTCAGAGGTTGCTGAGAAATAAGACTGTTCATTTCCTGTGCATTTGTATTACGTAGGTGAAACACAACTAAGGATATTTTATTAATTTTTTTTAATTTTTAATTTTTTTGATTCTTTTGAGACCAGCCACTGCACTTAATTATTTCTAAAGGGGTAACCAAAAAATTGTCCTGATAAAGTTTAGGGCATTGTTTCAATGGCCAGATTAAACAAGCACAAGCCGGTGTCGACAACGCCAAAGACACCCAAAATGGGCTCCAGCACGAGCTTCAAGAACTCGCCAGCCAGTATCAAGAAAACGCCGTCAAAAAGCTCCGACACGCCAAAGGTCAAGGCGGGCTCGACTCTGAGCTCGGGGCTCGCGAGAAACCAGCCGGGCGACCCAACAGAAATCAAAACGCAGAAAAAAAGATTCAAGCCCGGAACCGTGGCCTTGCGCGAGATCAGAAGGTTCCAGAAGTCCACAGAGCTGCTTATCAGGAAACTCCCGTTTGCCAGACTCGTCAGAGAAATCGTCCAGGACGAGTTCGGAACAAGCACCTACAGATGGCAATCGGTCGCAGTGCTGGCGTTGCAAGAGGCCGTCGAGGCGTATCTTGTGCATCTGTTCGAGGATACCAACCTGTGCGCGCTCCACGCGAAGCGAGTCACCATTATGCAGAAAGACATCCATCTCGCCAGGAGATTGCGGGGGGATTGAGTCCTATTAGTGTATGTATACTACAACCTGTTGTGCCAAATACCAAGCGGGCCCTTTTCCATGTAGTCCTCGCGCAGGAAGGAGCCTCCGACGGCGTGCGAGTTGAACACCTGCTTCGCGAGTATCTGCGCGCCCAAAAACGAGCAGTCCTCGAACCCGGTCTTCTTCCACTCGGCAAAGTAGTCCGGCCGGCTCAGCAGCTTGACGTGTTTCGGCACCTGGATCAGGTTCAGGTCCTGAATCATGTTATTTGTGTCGCGGAACGCTCCGCCTTGGGCAGACGTCGCGCCTTGTCCGACCACAAAGTTGCGGTACAGATGCACCACAAGCGCCTCCTTGAACCCGCTGATTTTGCTCGTCTGGCCCACCAGGATCAAATTGTCGTAGCACTCCTGCGCCCGTTTTAGATCTGTGATTTTCGACAGTGTGCAGTGGATGGCCGCTCCAATGCTCTCGATCAGGTCCGTGCAGCCCTGGAACCGCTCCTTGCCCACGCTCACAACGTTGCCCTCGTTGTCCACAAACGTGTTGGTCTCCAGCTCGCTGTTTGGCTTCGACTCTGCCGCCGCCTTGCCGCTCTTGCGCTTCTCCTTCTCCTTCTCGGCCAAGATTTCCCTCGTCGGCTTGTCGCTCGTCACAATCGCCGCCACGTCCAGCACGCCGTCGTCCTCTTCTTTTTTCTCCACCAGCTGCTCGGCGCCGAAAAACGAGTTCTTGGCGTCCTCCTCACTCAAAACCTCGAAAATAGCTGACCGCTTCAGCATTTCCACCTGATCGCTCGTCAGGTCCGGCAGAATTTTGCCCAGTCTATCGTTTATGCTGTTTCCGCCCTTGTCGATGACCTTGATGCCCGGAATGTACACCTGGTAGTCCAGGATCGGCGTGATCTCTGTCTTTTCGTAGCCAATGTCAACAACACAGGCATTGGCCAGAGACCCGTACGAGAACATCGAGCACAGCGACGCAGGCACTATGGAAAACGCCCCAAACTGCAGCGTCTCAAAAACGTACTTGGTGATCATTTCGATCGCGTCGTTCGACCATCTGTTGGAGGTCTGCACCAGCGTAAAGGCGATGCTGTTGAGCAGCAAAACGGGGTGATCCTTGAGAATCGAGCGAACAATACACTTCAGCAGAAAATTCAGCCCGTGAACATCGACGATCTCGCCCTTCACAATGGGATACACAGCGAGCGACTCGTCCTGGGGTTTGATGGTGTAGTACGCTGTGTCCTGTGCATTTTTGTACACTTTCGTGGGAATGCTGTATGCGGGCGGACTCAGCACGTCCTCAATTCCAAATCGCACGAGCGTGTTCTGCGAGCCCGGCTGGACTATCAGGAAATTATCCTCTCTAAACGAAGGCATAAAACAATATTTATTTTATTTTCATTCTTGGAAAATATGTACTCGGTGTTTTTCTCCCCAAGGATTACCCGGCGACACAGCACTATATAAACCGCCCGTCCCCGAAAAATATTTTCTCATACTTACCTTGGGAGATCACAGGAGATCATGAAGTCCTTGTGATCGGGCCTGTTCAGTGTGCTTTGCACGTACCTGCTGCTGGCAGGCTCGCCAGCTCTTCCCTTTGGAGGAGTGTGGGTCTCATAATTTTTGATTTACACCTACAAAGTTTCAGCTTGCTGAATTTTGTATCTAAGTCGGCTTCACCACAGCGCTGTTGACGTGTTCCATGAACGTTTGTAAGCTCACGTCGTCGGTGAGGATCACGGCGCCGCTGTCGGTGTGGCCGTTCGCCAGAATGTGCAGGTCGTCGCCGTTTTTGTACGACGTTGTTGGGTTCAGCTTCGACATTAAAAACCGCGCCTGCGACCCGCCTTCCTGAGTGTCGATAAATCGCGGCAGTGGGAACCGATCAACAAGGATGTCGGCGGCTTCCACACGCGGCTGGTTCAGAAATTCCTTGAAGTATTCGTAGTCCGGCAGGTCCTGGTACCCCTGTCTTCTCCACTCTGCTATTTGGGAGCCGTGGAAAATTAATAGATGGAAAAACGTGTCCAGGAGCAGGATTCTGTCTGGTCGGATCGAAAGCGAGTCCAGCAGCACCGGCACCGGCTCCTTCTCGATCTCAAACGACGTCAACGTCGGCTGAATCATGATCAGCGAGTTCATGCACTCCTCGGTCAGGAAACAGTGTCTGTAGAACGCCGTTTCGTCCGGCGACGAGTTGAAGATCTGGATGAAATTCGACCGTCTCAGATGGTACATGAACTGCGGAAAGAGGTTCAAGTTCTGAGACAGCACCAGCGACCGCGCATCGCCCACTTTGTAGCTTCCAAACTTGGAACACAGATCCACCAAGATCTTGTCGCACCACCGAATAGCGTCCGTCGAGTTGTCTCTCAACACCTTGTGGAGCGCCTGACGGGCAACCAGCACAGCGGCGGCCTCCTGGTCAAAGAACTCAATCAGATTCTGTCCCGGCTGCAGACTTGGCCGGTGACTGGTGGTCACATGCAGTCTGCGCGTGCCGTCCGAATGCTGGTAGCTGGTGATGAATTGTATAATCCCAAACGGCTGGGTCGCCTCAACGACAGGCTCAAAATACACGCCGTACGTCGAGTGCACAGAAACCCCGCCCAGCTTCCACGTGTCGGTGCCGCCCACGCCAACCTCCTTGTCCGCAACAGACGGCGTCCTGTGCTTGAGCGCGGTCACGTGACCAACGATGCCGCTGAGCTTGAGGTTATTTGTGGTTTTGATCTCGAGCGTGGCGTTGAGGCCGAACTCGAGCGTGCCTGCGGGCGTGCGGTTGAAGAATCTCTGCAGGGACTGCTTGAAAATCGCCGTCGAGAACCCGTCGCTCTGGATCGCCGTGCCGCCTGTTCTGTGCATGAGACACTCCATCTCGGCAAGGCCGACCTGGTCGTAGGAGCCGACAAAGATGTCCACCGTGTGGCCTGCCTTGGACGCAATGGCCGCGAGCTCCTCGTAGAATTTTGCCGCTTTTTTGTATTGCTTGAGCATGGCCGGGTCCTTTTGCAGATCGCTGTGCGATCTGATTGGGTGTTTCAGAGCGGTGTCCACGATTTTGCCCGGCCCGTAAGTGCAGGGGCCTCCGGTAAACAACATCAGACGGGCGCCGGACTTGGCGAACGTGGACGAGAGCAGGTTGGTGGCCACGTTCAGCGCAGCTCCCGTAGCACGCTGGTTCCGGTGGTATTTCTCGACCGGGAACGAGTCTGGGGCCAGCGACTCGATTAGAGTGGTGAGCTGGAACTCGCACATCGCCAGCTGCTGGATGAATCTGCTCGCAGGGTTGAGCGGCATTTCAGGCTGGTTCTGGACCGGTCTTCTGTGTGCCTTGAGGTCTCCAGAAAGCACGCCCAGAGTTTTCTCTATTTGGTCTGCGTTGTAGCTTTTCAGTCCGTTGAAGCAGTAGCTCGAGCTGGAGTCCTGGTGGCCGATCTCGTGGACGTTGACATTTTTTCCAAACGTGATGAAGCCAACCAGCGCATCTGGAGGAATCAGGTTCATTGCCACCAGCAGGCTTTCCTTCAGGGCAGCGAGGTTTTCTGGTTCCAGGCACAGATCCACGACAAAGAGAAACACGTAGGGCTGCTGGGTGGCCAGGGGCGGCAGAATGTACTCATAATTGACTGCCTCGGGACGAGCTTCGAACGGCAGATCGGCGAGCTCGTGCGCAAACTGGTTGCGCAGCCGGCACAGCGAGCATGTCCACGTTCTGCTCTGGAGGTCTGGCTGGCAGTACGGGTTCAGCAGCGCCCGGCACGCGCGACACGAGATGGGGGGCCCATTCAAAAGGAGCGGACTCTCCATGGGCCTGAGCGGCTGGTACAGACAGGAGAACGGCACGACGTAGTTTTTGGCGTCGTTCTTCGACTGCGGCAGCGCGTTCCACGCAAACCGCAGCCCCGTCACGTCTTCGTACGCTTCAAAAGACATGCAACTCGGGAACAACAAATGCCAGCTGTATTGGCGTATGTTTGAAAAAAATAAGATCGGTCTGGGGAGTAAATAATATTGGAAATAATTAAATATATGAGCTTTATTTATGATCGAGCAGCTGGAGCACGAGTCGCTCGCAGAGCTGGTGGCGGACGTTCTGGAGCGTAAATGGCCGTCGGGGCAGATCTGTGTGGTCGACCTGGCTCCAGATCTGGCTGAACCGGTCCGTCTGCCACGGCTGAGTGTCGCGCAGCTAAAAATATACTCGCGGGTCAGTTACGTGTGTGTGCAGCAGTTTAGACTGCACACAGTGGCTGCTATTTTGGCCCGGTTGCAGTTCGAGCCGTGCGCGAGCGTTGTGCTGCACGGGTTTTGGGAACAGCTCTCTGTGGTGTACTCAGAGATCCTCACGACGCCGGAGCCGTCGCACGTCTCTGAATTTAACGAGTACAAAGTGTCGATCGTTGCTCTTATGCTATACAAACTGCAGGTGTTGAGTGAGAATAAACGGGTGGTTCTAAGCGATAGTGCCGCGGTTGTGCAACGGCTGGGCGCCATTTTCGTCTCGAAAAACGACACCCTCGACGACCTCAAGAGGTTCCGGGTGCAAAACCTCGTGTCGGTTGAGCAATTGGCTGGTCAATATGGAATGAGTTTCTCTAGAAAGGCGGAGACTGGATCTGGTACTGGCTCTGCTGAGGGTTGAACCCGAACGTGGTCGGATTCGGCGACGGCAGCGGCTGGCTATTTTTCGCCTCTCTCAGCAGCTGGTGGTACAGCTCGACGCTCGTGTCCACGTTTTTCTGCATACTTTGCAGCTCCAGCACCTTCAGCTTGTACAGATCCAATATCTGGCGCAGCGTTTCCCTTGTCTGGGTGAGCTGGTCGAGCTTGCCCGGGATCTGGTCTCTGATCAGTATGCTCTCGAACTCCTGGCTGGAGATCGGCTGCGAAGCCACCCGGGTTTTGAGATCGATCAGTTTCGACAGCAGCACCTCCACGTTGAAAGAGTTGTCCAGCAGCGTGATCAGCTCGGCCAGCTCGCGCTCGGTGGTCTGCGGCACCTTCTCGACATAGTTCACAGGCACAATGCCCAGGTTTCCGTTCAGACAGCCTCGGATCCAGTCGTCGTTCACCTTCTCGACAACCACGATGATGTCGTCTTTCTTGAACGACAGCGTGTCGTCGTCGTTCGATTGCAGATCATACAGAGCACGCACTTTTTCTGGGGCAGGAACAGCGGCCGGGGCTGGGGCTGGGGCCGGAGTTTGGGCGTACTCTGGCGCAGCAGCAGGCACGTTCAGCGGCTGCTCAGCCACAGACGTGCCTGGGCGCTCGCCGAACGGCGGGCCCGTCTCTCGCAGCGACATCTCGATCGCCTTTCTGAGCTCCTCGTCCTCATCGCCACCAGCAGGTTTCGGAGTGCCGTCGACCTCAGAGACAGCCTGCTGGCACAAGTACAAATACTTCTTCTGCAGCTCCTTGAAACTGTCCTCCATCGCACGCAGCGACTCGTCGCCCTTGAAACTCTTGCTCAGCTTGTAGATCTCCTTGATGACAGCGTATTTGATAGAATTGTGCATTTTCGGGTCGTTCACCAGCTTGACAAGGTAATTGTTGACAAACGACCGCTTGGCGATCTGGCCGCGCATCATGGCGCCGCAATTCTCGGCCAAAAAGTCCAACAGCGACACACTGCGCAGAATGACGTTGGCGTTGTTGGACTCCAGCTTGGTCCTGATGATGTTGACCGCCTCCTCGATGTTGGTGTCGGCGTCGCTCTTGACGATGTCGACGACGTCCAGCAGCAGCGCGAAATCGTCCTCGGTCAGCTCGGCCGACGTGGCCTTGTCGATGCTCTCTTTCAAGGACATGCAATAAACTGAATATAAAACGGTATCCACATCTCTGCACCGTAAAACGCCCTGTTTCGTCTTTTCGCTACCCGCTTGCCGAGGCACGCATCCCTATCCGCACCCGTGCACCGGCGCGGGAAGTGCCGTCCGAGGCGTGCCGCGGACCCTTGTTCTTCACCGGGCTTGCAGCCTTTCAGATAACGCTGCGGCTGCAGCCTTTTGTTAGCCAGATATCAGATAAAACGAGTCCGTATGGCTTTCCGCATTGTTCGGCGCGCAGCGTGCATTGTTAGCTGGCCGCATGTCATCCAGAGTAAAAAATTTTCTATATAAACGAACGTTATCTGCCCGTTCAATCAGCACAAAATGGCCCCAGACCCTGAGAAGAAGATCGACGAGTCGCTGAGCGACGAGCCTTTCGTCCAAGAGACCTCCGAGGTGGAGAAGACCAGACTCTCTGGCTTCTACGCCAACATCATGAGCATGTTCCATGGTGAAACGAGAGGTATAGAGATGATTCCCGTGCTGGAGAAAACCCAGACCTCTCTTTGGACCTGCGCCTCCATGTGGCTCTCTGCCAACATGGTGATTGCCACGTTCAACATTGGATGTTTGTCCTACGGTGTTTTTGGCCTTGACTTCGGCACCTCTGTGTTGGCCATTATTTTCTTCAATCTCTTGGGTGCCATTCCAGTGGCCTTCTTCTCCATCCACGGAGCAAAGTTCGGTCTCAGACAGATGGTGCTTTCGAGATACCTTGTGGGAGATATTGCGATGCGGATCTTTGCCTTCATCAACGTCGTTGCCTGTGTCGGTTGGGGTGCCGTGAACATCATGGCCTCTGCCCAGCTGCTCAACATGGTCAACAACCATGCTCTGCCAGCGTGGGCCGGATGTTTGATCATTGTCATCCTGACCATCATCGTCACCTTTTTCGGCTACAACGTGATCCACGCGTACGAGAAATGGTCCTGGATTCCTAACGTCGTCGCTTTCATCGCCATCATCGCCAGATTGTCCATGGACGACGTCTTCGTGGCGGGCGTGCCCAACGACGACGGAACTTACACTCTGTGGGGGTCCGGCGAGACTTTTGCCGGCAGCGTTCTCTCTTTCGGAGGAACCATCTTCGGTTTCGCTGCCGGATGGACCACCTACGCCGCAGACTACACCACCTACATGAAGCCAAACTCCAACCCATACAGAATCTTCTTTTCTGTGCTGGGCGGACTGTGTCTTCCGCTGATCTTCACCATGATTCTGGGTGCTGCTGCCGTCACCGGTATCAAAACCAACCAGACCTACGCCGACATGTACAGCGAGTACTCGGTGGGTGGACTGGTGTACGCCATTCTTGTCGAGAACTCGCTCCACAGGTTTGGAGAATTCTTGTGTGTGCTACTTGCTCTCTCGACCGTTTGCAACAACCTGCCAAACATGTACTCCATCGCTCTGGGAGCCCAGGCGTTCTGGTCGCCCTTGGCCAAGGTGCCAAGAGTCGTCTGGACTGTTGTTGGAAACTGTCTGACGCTTGCCATCTGTATCCCGGCATACTACCACTTCGAGTCTGTTGTTGAGAACTTCATGAACATCATCGGCTACTACCTGGCCATTTACGACGCCATCTCGCTTTCGGAGCACTTTTTCTACCTGAAGGGCTTCAGCGGCTACAACCTGGAGATCTACAACAACAAGAGGCTTCTGAACCCAGGATACGCGGGCGCGTTCGCTTTCTGCTGCGGTGCTGCAGGTGTGGTTATTGGTATGGACCAGACCTGGTACGCCGGTGTCATTGGAAGAAAGATTGGAGAGTTTGGTGCAGAGATTGGATTCGAGCTTGCCTTTGCCTTTGCCTTCATTGCCTACAACGTCACCAGGCCTCTGGAGAGAAAATACTTCGGTCGCTAGTTTCGCTCTGAAATAATTTAATTAGCCCGAATATATTTAATTTTTATTTTTTAATGCCTCCTGAAGATCTCGCCGCCGACGGCAAAGCTGGGCAGCCCTCGTATAGCCAGGAAATAAACGTGATCAACACAGAGAATTATGGAGCCCTGTACAGTCTGGTGGACGATCTGGCGGAAGTGCTTAGCGAGAACGCGAAGCTAAAACAGGAGATATGGACACAGACAGATCAGATCTCTACGTCACTTATTGCCAATTACCAGGGCCTAATTCCCGCGGAGGACGAAAGCAGGTTCAAATATGGCAATTTACAGCCCATTGACAAAACACAACTGGAGTCGTCGTCACCGAAAACCAGGCGAATCCAGGAACTCAGGCTGGAAAACCAGCAACTGGCAGAACTTCTGATAAGCAGGAAAAAATACAACCAAGCACTGCGCGACACTGTTGACGACTCAGAGGATAATTTCCTGCAGATTCTGGAGGCTTTGTCTCAAAAATGTATCGAATTGAACAAGCAGCAGCTTGAGGACCAAAAACGCTACAGCGAGCAAATCCTCATCAAGAAACAACAGATGCACGCCAAATTCCTCCAACTGGCAGAGATGGACGAAAAAGTCAAACAGCTATACTCTCTTTTCCACCAATTGCGCACATACCTAGACGAGAATGTCGACCTACAAATTGCTCACAGATCATAATTCATTCGCCTGTCACATCGCTTACAAAATACGACTTTCCTACCGCGGGCTTGCTCATCATACTGGCGACGTTTGCGAAGTCGTCGCTTGCCTGCAGTTCGTCCTCCCAGACCATCGGAACGGCGCCGCTTTTGGCCAGAGCGTCGCGCGAAGTTTGCCATGAGAAGCGCACCATGGAGTTCCAGCCAAAGACGGGGTGCACGTTCGAGTTGAGCCATTGCGACGTGCGCGGGTCGGAGGGGTAGCCAGACCCCCAGTCTGCTCCGTCGGCCAGATAGTACAAACTGCAGTCTCTGGTCACCTTGGCCACAATTGACGCCGTCGACACGATAGGGAACAGACTATCGGCCTTCTTGGTGACTGTCACTTTTATACCGGGGAATCGGCTGCTCAGCTTGCGCTGGTACGAGTCTGGCGGCCCAACAGTGTCAACGTACACCTCTTTCAGATTGACCTGTTGGTCTATAACTCCCTGAATCAGCTTGATCGTCGCGTCGTGCGCTTGCTCGTTGAGGTTGATATTTCCAATTGACCTTGGTTTGAGCATCTCGCTCGAAATGTCCCGCGCGGTCATTGTGGTGGTGGCCCATCCGACGTTCTGACACAGATCTCCGTCCGGCTCGATGATGGATTTCATCAGCTGGTCTCTTCTTTCCACAGTGAGGGTCTTGGAGTCTGCAAATCCATACACAGACTTGAGATCGTTGGAATAATCTTTCAAACAGTACGCGATTCCATAAACCATGGGTCCCAAAACAGGGCCTCTTCCAGCCTCGTCAACTCCCAAGATGACCGGCTCACTGGGCGATTCGAGCACTTTCACTGGCACAGGCGAGCAATACGTGTGGGTTGTGTTGCTTATAGGAAGCGGAACCGACGGAAGCCGGAGATTTTCAAAAAGACTGGTCTCCATACGCGTTGGAGAAAAAAAAAAAAATCAACCAAAATATTTATCAGTGCTCCAGATCAATCCTTCTATAATGCCATCTTCTTACTATACTATTCATGCCGCTATATTGGTCATAGGTTCCTCCTCGTACTCGATCTCGATCCGTGGCCTCTTTCTCTTTTTCTGAGGCTCGTCCCGGTCCTCATCCTCGTCCTCAGAGTCGCTCGACGACGCGTCCGAGCCATCTTGTAACCATTTCTGCAGATCCTCCATGTCGACCATCTCGTCCTCATCGTCCTCGGCCTCAACGTATTCCACCTCCCCAACATCCGATTCGTCCTCCTCGTCGGTCTCCAGCTCAATCTCGTCGTTCGAATCGAAATCAGACTCTTCCTCCTCGTGCTCTTCGACCTTGCCGAGCACCTTCTTCCATATCTTGGAATCAACATTCAGAGGCTGGTCACCATATGCACCAGACTTTAGACGCTCAAGCAATTCCTTCTCAATAGCCTTCTCGATACGTGCAGCAGCCAAAGCCTTGCGCTCTCTCGTTTGTTCTCTCCTTTTCACTTTTGGCTTCACTCCAACATAGTGTCTCTCGTCCTCTCGAAGAGCCAATCTTCTCTCTGTGATCGCAACTTGCGTCAGCCGGGTGAGTCTCTGCTTACATTTATGTATAAGGAACTTGTTCCAGTAGAGCAGATGGTCATCCACTTGCTTTAATGCCTTTTTGTAGTCTTTGCTCAGCTTGATTCTTTCCCATAGGTACTTTGGTGTGTGCGCTCTCTCTGCAGTCTTGATATATAAATACAGCTTTCCATCCACGTTCTTCACGGTTGCATATCGCGCATTCGCAAGCGGACATGATTGACGGTTGCACAAGCCGCTAACATTATATTCGTTTCTGCAAAAGTTCTGATCTTTGGTTGTTTTGATCTTAAATGCACAGAACTGCTGGTTGATGACCTGCCAGATGACCTATCGGGTTAGTCTCACGACTTGAACGAGACATCTCGCTATACTTACTTCGTCAGACATATTTTCCTATAACGTTCTTATCCTAGATAAAAAATTTTATATCTTCCTAAAAATTTTTTTTTTTTTTAGCCGTCATCCGTACACCACAAATCAAACGAAAAAAGCCAATAGCACCTGCCTAAATTATAACCAACTGATCATTGCAATTTCTCCCGTAAATCCATGAACGTGTCGTAATCCAAGGACTCCTTGATTCCTTGGTACCGCGTAAGCTCTATATCGGCCTCTTCCCAGCTGGTCTGATAATGGCCAGCTTTCTGAACAAGGTGCTGCAACGTCTCCTCTTTTGTCCATCCTTGCTCCGTAGCAACCTCAGGCAGGAATGTAGCAGATTTTTTGCCATTGATCAAGATTCTGATCCCGTGTTTGCCCAATTCCCAATCAAGAGCATCTTTTCCCTTCTCAAAGTTCTTGAGCAACGTCACAGAACACGAGAGCTTAGGTAATTCCCGTAAAGTTATAGGCTCAAATCTTGGATCCTCCAAAGCAGCAATCAGCGCATATTCACGAACACCGGCAGGTAGCGTGAGATCGCTAAAGTTACCGATGCATCCACGCAAGACCTTATCATGTCCCTGCTTGATGTTCCATGTAACGAATAAGGGACACTTTTCGGTGACCACATTTGAGTCGTTTTCTAGAGCAAGCTTCAGCTTGGAAAACGGAATTGGGTCCGTTTTGTGCAATTTCGAGTATAAAGTCTCAAATGCGTAGGCAGTATATGTTTTCACCGAGCTCATAATAAAAATTCGAGCCACAATTAATTTATCAACTATTTTTTTCCACAATGTCCGCCATCTCCAAGACTCTGAAGACTACGCCTTCCAGCCAGGTTTTGAGCGTTGCTGCCGGCTGTTTCTGGGGCGTCGAGTACCTGTACAAGAAGCATTTTAAAGACCAGATCATTGACACCAAAGTTGGTTACGCCAACGGATCTGCATCAAACCCCGACTACAAGCTGGTTTGCACTGGATCCACTAACCATGCAGAAACCTTGCAAGTTTCCTTTGAGCCTTCCAAAGTTTCGTACAGAACACTGGTGGACTTCTTCTTTGTGATGCACGATCCAACCACGGTCAATGCCCAGGGCCCAGATATTGGCACCCAATACCGTTCTGCCATCTTCACGCATAGCGAAGAGCAAGAAAAAATAGCCAAAGAAGCTCTGGACTACGCACAGAAAAAATGGTACCCTAACGACAAGATTGTGACTACAGTCGAGCCAATCAAATCCTTCTGGGACGCCGAAGAGTACCACCAGCAGTACTTGATCAAGAACCCTGAGCGCCACCTGTGCCCTACACATTTCATCAGAACGACTCCAAAATAAAGCTAAAATAAAATTCAGGTACATCCGTACACCATGTAGTAGAGATATTGTAAAATGCGCTTAAAAGCGATAGGACGTAGTCAAAATAATTTAAGTGCGATCCGTAATGGTTGCGAAAAATGTGGCTGTGAGCCTTCAGGAGCAGCAGAAAGCGCTTGAGGATGCCACGGCAGTGATCCGACAGCAGATTACGCTCATGAAAAAATGTCTGGCTACCAAGAACAAGTTCATGGACGCCCTCAAGCACGCCTCGACTTTTCTCAACGAATTGCGGACTGGCGTGCTTTCTCCAAAGCAGTACTATGAACTGTACATTATGGTATTTGATGGGCTGGAGATTCTGGCCGAGCATCTGAAAATCAACCATCCAAATAATCACCTGGCAGATTTGTACGAATTGGTACAATATGCTGGCAATATTATACCCAGATTATATCTGATGATCACCGTAGGAACGGTGTACATGTCGATTCCGGACGCTCCACTCAAGGAGATCATGAAGGATATGATGGAGATGTGTCGTGGTGTGCAGCATCCAATTCGTGGTTTGTTTCTACGGTACTATCTTTCTCAGAGGACTAAGGATCTACTGCCTACAAAGTTTGTCTCGGACAAGGAAGAGTCTGCCGGCGATCTGAATGACTCAATTCAGTTCATCATCACGAATTTTGTGGAAATGAACAAGCTCTGGGTGAGACTGCAACATCAAGGACATTCCTCTGAGCGCAATAAGAGAACTATGGAGCGCAAAGAGCTTCAAATTCTGGTGGGCTCAAACTTGGTGCGTCTGTCTCAATTGGAAAACATTGACAAGACTTACTACAAAGAGCACATTCTGCCAGTATTGCTGGAGCAAATTATCCAGTGTCGAGACGTCATTGCCCAGGAGTATCTACTGGACGTCATCATTCAAGTTTTCCCCGACGAGTTCCACCTGGCCACCCTGGAAAATTTCTTCAATGCCACACTGAACTTGAATGATCAGGTGAGCCTCAAAACTATTCTGATCACTCTGATTGATAGACTGATAGATTTCAAGCAGCGGGAATCTGACGGCGACTTCTCTGAGCAGATCAAAGCTCTAAACCTCACAGACATTTTTGACAAGTTTATTGATTTCATCAATAAACTGAACGAGCTCAAACCTGACCTGTCAAGTGAGGATTTCTGCGTGATACTGGAAGGAATTTGCCGTCTTTCCATTACATACTACCCTGAGAATTTTGACAACGTCAACTGCGTTTACAAATATGCTGCCGAAAAATTCAGGGAAGCGGGAACAAGCGACACCTCCGCACAAAGCCACTGGAAGTCTCTGCTTCTGGTACCAATGTCAGGATATTCCAGCATCAAGTCTATACTTAAATTAGATTCCAGCTACCTGGATTTTTTCGCATTGCAGAAACCAGTGGTGAGAAGATCTGCCAGTCTCGATATCATTGACTGTTTACTGGTGAATGATGTCAAATTGACGACCGAAGAAGAGGTCACCAAGATCCTGGAAATTCTGAAGAACCTGATCACCGCTGACGACGACCCAACTGCTAAAGATCTGGGTCTGACTCAAAAATCAGCACAAAATCAGGCCATCTTTGGTCTGGACTCGTCGCCGGACGAAGAACAAGACTCACTCGAAGTCACTCTTGAGCAAGAGAGACTTGCCAAGTTTTTGCATTTGATCTACAACACTGATCCATACAAGCATTTCGAGCTGCTTGGAGAGTCGAGGAAACACCTAAGTTTAGGCAAATCAAAGGTGAAGTACACTTATCCTACACTTGTATTCATCGTTCTCAAACTTGTGAGAAAGCTTCATTTGCTGAAAAAGATTGAAACCAGAGAAGACAGAGTCAAAATTTCGCACTTCTTCCAGTTCATCACGGGTGTTATCAGCGAAATGAATGAGCTAAATATTAATCCGAGCCTGAGACTAAACCTCAATTTGGTGACCGCACAACTTGCGGACGAAGTGTCGCTTGTGGATATTTCATACGACTTCTTCATTGAATCGTTTGTGCTTTACGAACAAAGCCTGGTGGACTCGCGTGCTCAGTACCAGAGTTTGATCACCATTATCAACAAACTGATGGAGTCCACCAAGATGATCGAGCTGAACATGGACAACTTTGACAAATTGATAACCAAGTGCGCTCTTTACGGATCAAAGCTCCTGAAGAAAACAGACCAGTGTCGAGCCGTGTATCTTGCTTCTCATCTGTGGTGGGTGACGCAGGAAGTGGACGAGTCTACCATAACGCACATTTCCTTGAAAAAAGACGAAAAAAGAGTTCTCGAGTGTCTGCAAAAAGCGCTTCGGGTGGCCGACAATATTCTGGACCCTAGGGCCTCGTTAGAGCTATTCATTGAGATTCTAAACCAGTCACTATACTACTTTATTCACGGCAACGACATGGTTACCGTGAAGTACCTCAATGGACTGATCGAACTGATCGAAAGCAACTTCAAGACCGCAAGTAAAGAGTCTGCTACCGACAAGTCGAGCCTTGAAGCGACATACAAGCACTTTGATCGCACATTGAAATATATGAACGAACAGCGGGCGATTGACGAAAGATTCAAGGAGATCAGGCTTTCCTTTGATTAACTTACCCGGTGCCGCACCAGGGCTACATAACGAAGGATCTAGAAAAAAAAACCTAGCTATAAAAGAAAAAAAATTTTGTGAAATATTTTCCTTGCAAAGTGTTTCTTCAGTAGAAGAGTTGCATCAAATGGTATGAGACTATCATGACTGCTTCGTGATGAAAACTGAGTCCTTCTTTCCCAATCTTATTGCGACGATGACGACAGGGTTTAGAAACGCTCTAGGGTCTGAATATGGGTCACTTTTGCAAGTGATTCATTTTTCTTTCCCGTTACTCTTACTCGTTTTTGCGAGTAATTGTGGAGCTTTTTACTAGCCAGTAATTTACATTTCTGACCAGCAGTTTATGATCAAGTCTTATATACTTGGACAGTCTGCCATTTGATGCAACGCACCATTCTATTGCAGGTGTCATTGGGACAAAATGATGAAAAGTTACCATAAACATTCGCAGTTTCCTCGGTAGATGCACAACCACAGGAGGGGCGAACCCAAAAATCTCTCCTGGTGCATTCGTGACCGCCCTAACTTCCTTGGATGTCTGATTTGTCCTAATGACACTTGCAATAGTCTTGGGGTGTTTCTAAAGGTTTAGAAACTTTTCAAGACTATGTTTGTTTGCATGTATCTTCCAGTTCCTTGTTGATATCCTCCGGGATATCATTGTCGTCCAACTCCAGTTCGGAGTTTCCTGCGAAGTTCAGAAACTTTAGGTCGTCATTGAGTAATTCCTTTGGGGGCATTCCCAATTCTTGTAACTCCTCCAGTTTGGTGTTGATGATATCTCTGTTTTTTTTATCCTCGTGGTCGGGGAGGTCGAATGTGCTAATTATTTGCTTGATCACGGCGTACTGTTGCTGATACTTCGCGTAGTTCTCATCTTGCTGATTCTCAGGGTTGTCCAGCCAGGTAGGGAACTTCTGGCACAGGTCATTTAACGGCTCGTACAGCACATTTTTGGACGACAATTTGTCCAGCATCTCGACCAGTAAATTACCAACGTCCTCGACTCCCCCCTTCTGTCCGTCTAATCCTTTCAGGTCTAAATTGAGATCAAGCGACTTGAGCAGACTCGTGATCAGCTCGTCGTTCCCATCCTCTTCCTTGATGGATTGGTCCACTTGCTCTCCGCTCTCCTTGAGTCTGTTTATTGTTTCCGATATCACATCCTGAAAGTTATTCTTTGTAGCCGGCTGAGGAGAGGATGACCCGCTGTTCTGTTTGCCAATATCGTCCAGAAAACTACCGAGATTCTTCGAGAGGTCGGGGTCCTGGGCACCAATTTCTTTCAGCAGTTTGCCAAACAGCTCTTTATCGTCCAATTTGGGCTCTTCGTCCTGTGTGGTGGTGTGTTCCTGATCTTGCTTCAGCGTTGCCCCGGGCGGCTTGCTCAAGATTTCATCGTCGAAATCATCGAGCAGGTCATCCAGATCGTCCAGATCATCGTCTGAGTAATGTGTTTCGGGTTTTTCGACGCTCATATATGCTTAGTGAGAGTGTTACAGGGTAGTCTTAATCTTGCCCAAATAGATAGACGAGCAGTATTTTAAATGACAGAGCACTTTTACACTGCCAAATAGAAAATAAATAAAGAAAAATAAGCATGGCTGAAAGAAACCTTCGAACTGAGCGCATACAACAAGAAAGGTAAGTACATTTGTTGCCAGCAGCTAACAGCAGAAAAAACTGGAGGAAAGATCATCCGTTTGGGTTTTACGCCAAGCCCATGAAGGCTCCAGACGGATCACTAGATCTGCTCAACTGGACGGCTGGAATCCCAGGAAAATCAAATACATTGTGGGACAACGCCACTTACCCGCTTACCATCATATTCCCTGAAGAGTATCCTGCCAAGCCTCCCAAAGTGAAATTTCCAGCGGGCTTTTATCATCCGAATGTGTATCCATCAGGAACAGTGTGTCTGTCGATATTGAACGAAGAACAGGATTGGCGGCCGGCCATTTCTTTGAAACAAATACTGCTCGGTGTCCAGGAACTGCTCAATACGCCAAATCCAGACTCTCCCGCCCAGGAACCTGCGTGGAGACTTTACACCAAGGACCGTGTCGCTTACGAGAAGAAGATCAGGGAACAGACCAAACGGTATGCCAATCCAGATAAATGATGGAGATATAATCATCTAGATAGAGGCGCTAATACAAACAATACAATATCATTGATGTCTATTCAGCCTCGCCCTCTTTATACTGAATAAATCTCTCGAGATTTTGAAATGCTTCTTCAGATAAGGCTTTTAGTTGGGGCTCGCTATTTTTGTCTATAGCCTTGTATATCTTTTTGTAGTGAGGCAAGTTCTCTTTTAAGACCTGGTGAAGTCCGCCTGCGTGGTAAATAGGCTTGTTATATGGATAGTCGTCGTCGAAAAGATCGAATATGGAGTTTATCGAATCCACAAGAACCGTCTCGATCAAGTACTGGTGTTTTTTGCGCAGGTCTCCTAATCTAGTCAAGTTGTAGTATTTTATAGGCTCCACGAGGTTCTTGTCCACAATGAACTTTGTGATATTAGTCGTCATCTCCAAATCGTTGCAATGCTTGCCGACTTTGGTCAAAATGTGCAAAAGGTGGCCTATAATCTGGGCAGACACGGGAGTAATTTCTCCTAGTTGCATGGCAAAATTGAGCAGCGCCTCTGCAAGCGGTCTGAGCTCGTCTGCAGACGTGATGTCGGAGGAAACCTCCAAATACCCAAGATACAGGTTGATGGTTTCCAAGTCTGGCTCCTCGAGCTTTTGCGAGAGTTGCTGCAACATAGCTGGTCTAACGAAATTGACTAGCTCGACAACACTCTCTGGCGTCTCATTTTTGTAGAAACACAAGATGTTGGTCAGACACAGCAACACTTTGACGCTGCTGAACTCGAAGACAGCTCTTAGGAAAGGGAGCACGTGTGACTCGATCATTCCCGAAATCTTCGTACTGATAGGTTCTTCCTGGCCCTTGATTTCGACAATGGTGGCAAAAATATCAAGAACCAGCTCGTAGACCTTGAGACTACTTTCGTCCCGGGAGTGAGACTCTGCCGCCTTGTTGGCCACGGCAAGCAGACTATCGGTAATCTGTATGGTCTGGTTGTCGTCAAGTCCATTTGAAAACTCCAAAGTTTGGAAATGCAAGCCAATGAGATACACCTTGGACAGATCGTTGGACAAATTGAGCCCTGCAAGAATCTGTTTGATATTCTCGTCCTGAGAAAACGCTTCGATGAATGGGGCAGAGATCGTAGACAAATCGTACAGGAATTCCAGGGCTGACAAAGTCAGTTTCGTTGTGTAATTGCGCTCGATAAGGACAATGATGAATTTGAGTATGTCGTTGGAAACAAGTTTCGGGAGAATGTCAGAATGAAACATTTCCGTGGAGATCTCGAGGCAAAGAGAGCCCAGACAAGCAACAATATTCTCAATGTAGTCGAAAAGCATGCCGCGCTGTTCTGCAGAAACGTTGTCATCCTTGACGTGCTCGATGGAAACGCTTGCCTTTTTGAAAGCGTTCTCGAGAACCGTCCAGATGTCTGACCTCCAAAGAAATACGCTCAAATCATACCCTTCCTCAATGATCAGGTTCCGAAGAAGGCCAAACGATTCTACCACCACCTCATCGCTGGAGTCGTGCACGAGCTTGGTCAGTATCGTGCGAACGAGGTCATTTTTCAGGAACAATTTGCGAATCTCTGGGTCAGTATCGCATAAGGTATTGATGGCCCCGACAGCCATCGAGCGGTCGTTAACGGCATCCGACTTTAGTTTATCTAGCAATGGCGCAATTTTCTGAAACTCCTTGTCGTCCTTGGAAGCTCCGGGCTTGCGCTGAGCAGCCAGTTTGGCGCTTCTTGATCTCTTCTTGAGCTTACCCATAGTTTTAAAAATTTTTTGCTTATGTCAGAAGACTGATGAACTAAAGCACCATCAGCGACTGCACAAAGCAGGCAGGAAACTCAGTTAATTCACCGGCTTGGAGGCAGAACTTTCCGCAATCTGCCGTTCTTCCTGCCCCTCCCTGCGGATCGCGTCCCAGGTCACCTGCTCGCCGCGATCCAGAAGCTTGTTGCCCTCTTCGTCGTACTGCGGGACTTCTATATCCGTGCGCAGGTTCCCGTCCTTGCGAAGCTGTTCAATGACTATTGGCTCAAAAAATTTCATCCCCATGTAAACCCCGGCGGCAGCAAACACGCCCATGGTCACGGCCTTGTTGACGTTCATCGACATGGATTAACAGAGTGCTTATTTTTTTCTTTACACAGCCCTATATTTCTCTCCAAACTCTCTGTAGTACTCGAGCATCTCTGGAGTGATGTTTTTGCTAATGTCGTTGAGAGCGGTCATGAAATGACGTTCTTCCACCTGCTGGCAATCGTTGTTTTCCATTACAGCAGCCAGACCGGCCTCTTGACACAGCAGCACGGTCTCAGAGCCAGAGAATCCCTCGGTCAGGTCGCTCAGCTTCTCGATTAATAGCACCCGATTCGGAAGGTTGAAATGGACCGTATTTTTCTCCAAAATCTGCTTCCGAGCGTGTCTGTCGGGCGGCGCAACATACACATGTCTGTCGAGCCGTCCAGGACGCAAAAGAGCAGGATCTATTGAGTCTGGCCTATTGGTAGCACCAATAATTATCACGCCTTTGAGCTCTTCCACGCCGTCGATCTCATTCAGCATCGAGTTCAAAACCTGTCGCGAAACGTTTCCAGCGTCTTCGCTATCCCTGTTTGTAGCCAGAGCATCGATCTCGTCAATAAAGATAATCGACGGAGCAGAAGTCCTGGCCTTGTGGAATATCTCTCTAATTTTTCTTTCCGACTCACCAACATACTTGTTGAACACCTCCGGCCCTTTGATGGCCAAGAAGTTCAGTCCAGACTCCGAAGCGAGAGCCTTGGCGGTCAGAGTCTTGGAACATCCAGGAGGACCATAAAGAAGCAGTCCCTTGGGAGCAGAAATCCCCAGTCGTCTGAACGTGTCTGCTGCCGTCAGCGGAAGCTGGACCATTTCCTTGAGCTTCCGCTTCAGCACTTCCTGACCGCCAATATCGTCCCAGCTCACTTTTGGCATCTCCAAAACAATCTCCCGCATAGCGCTCGGCTGGATCTCGCTCCTTGACTCCTCGACGTCTGCAAACGAAACTTTTTGGTCTTCCTGGTGGGTGGAAATTCCACGAGAAATGCACTTGAGAATTGACTCTCGACACAGCGAAACCAGGTCGGCTCCAACGTACCCGTGTGTAGTGTTAGCAATAGCTCTTATTTGACTATCTGCGAGCTCATGTTGGTCCTTCATCGCTGAAAACTGTGTCGAAAGAATGTCGTACCGGCTGTCTGCATCGGGAATAGGAATCTCAATCTCCTGGTCGAACCGGCCCGGTCGCCTCAAACTGGCATCAATGGAGTTGATCCTGTTGGTTGCTCCAATCACAACAACTGCCCCGTCAATGCTGTCCATGGCCATCAAAAGAGTGGCAGTCACACGAGTGTCGACCTCAGAAACGTCCTCATTATTGCGACTCGGTGTAAGCGAGTCGATCTCATCGATCAGAATAATGGCCGGCTGGTACTTTATGGCCTCTTTGAAGTACTCGCGCAGCTTCTCCTCTGTTCCACCAAGATATTTCGACACTATCGACGGGCCGCTAATATTGATCACATGACATCCCTGCGACTCAAACGCGACGCTCTTGAGCAGCAAGGACTTGCCGGTGCCTGAGCTGCCATGGAGAAGCACTCCGCGCGGAGGGTCTATTCCAAACCGCTGGAATATGTCGGGCCGGAACAGGGGAATGTCTATTGTCCGTTTGAGAGTCTCGATTTGTTTGCGTAGTCCACCAATTTTGGAATAGCTGTATGGGGCAGATGGTGGCTGCAGCTGCTCGACGAAGTGAAACTCAATTTTGGTGGTCTTGTGGTGGAACAAAAATGGTTGCAATGCCGTCTTTTTGCTCTGGCCCTGCAAAGACAGTTGGTCGAGCGAGTCTGTCACAGCATCCACATTGGCTATCTGAGCGACTTGAAAATCAGATGTGGTCAAGTTTTCGTAAACCAGGCCAATGTCTATAAGTCTTGACCGTATTTTAGTCTCATCGGTGCTCTCTTGAATATTCACAACGATTTCCGAGGCGTAGGCTGGCTGCGAGGTGGCTTTTTTCAGCTCTACTCTTTCTCCAAGCAGGAAATGGTTTAGTCGCAAATACTCCTGCGACATCAAAATCACATTCAGATCATACGCGTCCTCCTCTTCCTGCTTCCAAGGTTGCAATAGCAGAATGACTTCCGACAGTCCTCGCGTGATTTTGACAAAGCTTCCCGCAGACCATCCTGTGATGGTGAGTATCTGGGGAGAGACATAGACGGCTGCAGTATTTTTCGGTCCCGCATTCGACGGCCGTAGAACGAATTCGGTCGGAAGCTTAGGCAGCTTGGCTTTGGCATGCTCGCTCTCGCTAGAGCTTTTCTTTGCAGACGAAGCTTTAGGAGGCATTGGAATAAAATAAAATATTTTTGCACAGCCGGATCTAGAGAAATAATTTTCATGCTTCGACGGTTCTACCAAACGCTGGTGCCGTCGTTTGCGCTGCGAGTCCATCAGCCTGTGCCGTCGCTGAAGACTAAGTTCCACCATAATATGCAGTTTAGGCGGAAGGCAGAGTCAAGAATTAAAATACTGCGACAGATAATACCCACCGAATACATGCTAGACGACAATCTATTATACTATTGCATCTACTTCAGAGACCACGCTCGCCTCAAGACCCGGCTCCAGGGGGTAGGAGGCAGCGACGTACGCATAGACCTCGAAAACATACAAATGTTGGGTAGGCAAATATTAAGAAAAAGGACATACATGTATCTATTTAACGAGGCGCTCAAAGCGGAACAAGCCGGCCCTACAGACGACCTGTTTGACTTCCCAAGAAATCTGCGACGCATGGCCAACGTGCACAATCGCAAGGAATTCATAGACCAGTTTTTGCGAGCGCTTGAGACAGATTTCAAGCTGGATAGAATATCTGAAGATCAAGAGGTGGTCAAGCTTGAACAGGAAACGCGACCAACCGTTCTGCTCTATGTGGTTGGGTTCATTCATTGCCAGCATGGCGAGCAAAAATGCGCAGAATTTGTCGACGAATTTGTTATCAAGGGTCGTCTCTCACAAGCGTACACTCATCGCGGGCTGCTAGAAATAGCCAAAGACGATAGACCTCAATTCACATACTGACTATCAAGGTTGTCCAAAAGGCTTAGGCTCCCAGAGTTCATGTTGTTCGAAAAGGAACAGCGACTCGCACTTTTGTTTCTTCAGCGCTGGTTGAGGCAAAAGGTCCGATACATAGAATTTGCTCATGAATTTAATTTGATCGCTCACTTTGGCTGTAAGCTTTGTTTGCTCCAAGAGCTGTTTGTGCTGGCTGAGTGTTTGAAGAAGTGATGCTGTTGATTCCAATGGATGCTTTGTTAGCAAAGCGAGAACCACCCCTACCGAATGCGTGTTGAGGAACTTGCTGTAGATGGAGTTCTGGCTAAATGTAAGGCCGTTTGAGAGAAAGTACTGCAACCACTGCGTACGCTGCACTGTAAAGAGCTCGTCTTTGGTGTCAGCAGCTAGAAATGTCTGGAACAGGCCCAGCACCACGTCATAGCCAAGCTCCTCCAGAATTGGCCTGTACAGCAGTCTGATGCCATTCACTTTTTTCTCATTGAGCGGCGTTTTGAGCACCAAACAGTTGTGGTGCACCATGTAGTTTAATAGGACGTCTTCCTTGACGCTCTTCAGCACTTTCATCGCTTTCCAGTATTTTGTTCCCGTCTCCGTTGAGTCTCCAAATTTGTACACCTTGTGGATGTCTTCTCTGCGGATTTTTCGCAGAGTTTTGAAGCTCTCCGTCAGCGCTTCCACTTCCTGGTCGGACTTCTCGTCAGGCGGCTCAGAAGACGTGCTTTCACAGATTTCGTTCCAGTAATTGGTCTCTAGCCATTCTAGAGCACTCTGGGCGCTAAATCGGAGCATTTCCAGCGACGGAAGCATTTCATGAGTCCCGGCGTGTCGGATCTCCACGAAATAAGTTGGAAGCTGCAGTATTTCTGCGAGTTTGTTAAGACTCATAGCATAGGTAGACTTCTGGATTGGGTCCAAAAGACCGTTGCAGAACTTAATCAGAGACATCGCGTAGCTCAGCCTGATAGGCATCGGGTCGGCACCACTACTGCTCAATTGCTCATCCAGCAGAGCCGAACTGGTAAGCAGCGAGGTGGACTCCAGAGAATGAGGAAGACTACCTTTGGTAGCGTAAGCGGCTACTTTTTGAACTGCTCTGGCTCTCAACTTCCGATCCGCGCTGTAGAACCACTTCTTCAGCTGCTCGAACTCGTAAAAGCTTTTATACGGCGTGATCTGGGGATGTCGATACATAGGTATCACTTATTGATATTTAGATATTAATTTTCGATTATATTTAAATGTAGAATTTTCAAGGTCGCTCGAACGAATCAGAGTCTGCATTAGTCATTAGCTATTTCGATTATAAACCATTGTCCTTGACAATCTTGATCATTTCACTGCTCTCAACAACAATCACCTCATTGTCACCCTCAATGGGTTTCTGGCTTAAGTAAAAGGCCACCTTTGCGACTTCCTCGCCCTTGATAGGATGTGCTAGAAGCCCTGCAAACATCGTGCCTCTAAGAAATCCCCCCACCTTTCTGGTGGCGCTCTCGAGCAAGCTATGAGCATGCTCTCTTTCACCAAGCAGAGTACCCGGTCTCAAAATAATTGTCCGTTTGAACTTCAGTTCCCTAATTTTCTCCTCTATACGCCCCTTGGTGGCCAAATACAGGAAGCGCGAGGCCGGACTGGCACCAGCGCTGGACACCAGCACGGCAGTGTCGAATTTGCCAGATTCTTTGGCAGCAGTGGCAGCAGCAACATTGATACCTTCGTCGATCTTGATGAAGTTTTCAGCACTGCCTGCAGCCTTTCTGGTGGTTCCGAACGATGAATAGTAGGTAGAGTGCTCCGGGATATCGAGATTTTTGATCAAATCAGGCCATTTCTCGCTGTCAGGCTCGACAGTGGCAACCAGCTTGGAGCTGTCCGTGGTGACTTTTGGCTCACGACGACTAACAGTGTAAATACGAGCCACATTCTGCGAGCTGGCCGCAATGTTGACAAAGAAATTCCCGCATAAACCGGTGGAACCCAGTGCAAAGTAAGAAGACATGCTTAATTAGAGGTCAAGGCAATAAGATTAAAAAAAAGTACATCTTTACACCTTTTTGGCATACTATGCTCTTAACACTTTAACATTAACTATACACTGCTGGAGCAGTAGTGACTTAACGCAATTTGTTGAAACCAATGTCACGAGCCTTCTCTCTGAAACATTGTCTGCAGATGTTCAGTCCGTACTTTCTGATCAGACCGTTGTGGGAAGCGCAGACTCTGCACTGTCTAGATCCTTTACCGTAGTTTCTTGGGTGGGAGTACCAAACGTTCTCGTGGGCCATGTTGACTGGATGTTAGGAATGCTGTGACTTTCAGCAACAGTGGAAGGTTGAGGTGATATTAGCTGAACTTGACAGTTGGAAGAATGCTCTTTAAGGGTGTCGAGACACGATAAAATGTGACGCTAAATGGCGATCTTTAATACTTGCTTTGTGTATGATGATTATGATGGATTTGCCGCCTTTTCTCAACTAAAGCCTTCCGCTATCGCTGTATTCGTGTTCGTTCGACTTACCTATTCACTAACGATATATAGAAAATAAAATGTATCCAAAAATTTTTCACAGTCAGAGTACGAGACCTGTGTTTGCGCACGTGACGTCTCAAAAATCGTGCCCGCGAAAAAATGGAAACCTTCTAGCTTGATAAATCGTAATCCCTCAGGACTACATCATCTCTACACCACGCGCTTACCTCAGCACAAAATATTTTTATCAAATTTTTAGGATCTGAAATAAATTTATTTAGTATGGCAGGACACAGGCCCACGTTAAAGAAACCAAACAAGGGGTTTAAGAGCGGCCATGCATCCAAGCGGGCACTTAAGGCTGCCAGCAAAGGTAAGGTCGAGAAAGTCAAGACCAACAGCAGACGTGTTCATGTGCCTAGCAAACTGGAAAGAAAGAACCTAGCTAATCAGTTGAAGCATAATAAAATTGCCAAAACTCTTGAGGAGCGCTCTTTGTTTGATCATGGGAATGTTGAGAGAATTGTGACAATTATTCCATTGACCAGCAATATTTCTGGAGTGGATATCGCAAACAAGATTCTGACCTCTGTTGGCGAGGAAGGGTTGCAGATCAAAGAGACTTCAGGTGTCACCTCTGTGAGGGTCCAGAGATTCAAAGCAGGCCTGAAACTGATTATTCCAGATATGAATAGCATCATTGATGTTCTAGATTGTGCAAAGGTAGCCGACTTTGTCGTATTTGGTTTGAGTGCTACCGAGGAGGTGAATCCTGAAATTGGTGAGCAGATTATTCGTGCGGCAGAAAGCCAAGGCATTTCGAGCGTTTATGGTGTTGTGCCGGATTTGGTGAGCGCTTATCCAAAGAGAAATCTTCAACAGGACGTTCTTAAATCGTTGACGTCTTTCTTCAAGCATTTCTTCCCACAGACAGAAAAAATATTCGCATTGGAGACGCAGATGGAATCATTGAATTTGTTGAGATCTCTCTGCCAGAAAAAACCAAAGCAGATCACGTGGAGAGATAGCAGAGGATACATGGTTGCCGACAGCGTTGCATGGGAAGCCGAAGGGCTGATGGAAGGACATCTGGTTATTGAAGGCACAGTCAGAGGCATTGGCTTCCATCCTGATAGATTAGTGTATTTGCCAGATCTAGGCGACTTTCCAGTGAGCAAGATCGAAACTCTTGGAAAGGAGCCGGCTGTGTTTGTCCCAGGACCTGAGCGCGAGTCTCTGGATCCTCTCCAGGAAGCCGAAGACCTGGATGAGGAAGACATGATCAGTGACGAGGACGATTGGGCCATGGATGCCGAGGACGGCGAGGAAGAGGAGAAAGCAGAAAAAAGATTGCCAAAGGGCATATCCGAGTACCAGGCCAGATGGATGCACGATGAAGATCTGGAAGAGCTGATTGAGGAGAGAGGTCTGGAAAGCAACTCCGAAGATCAGGAGTCCGACATGGAGAGCGACGCCATGAACGAGGATGCCGACTCGCACATGGATTTGGAGCAGGAGGAAGAGGCCAGACAGCTGGAGGCTTACAAAAGAAGAGAACGCGAGGAGCTCGAATTTCCAGACGAGTTCGAGCTGCATCCCGAGGAGTCTGCCGTTAAAAGGCTGGCCCGCTACCGTGGCGAGAAGTCGCTGGCGTCGGCCGACTGGGACTACGACGAGCTGGACGACAGAACGCCCGAGAACTGGAAACGGTACCTGAGAGCTAAAAACTACAAGAATACCAAGAACCGAATTTTAAAACAGGCCAGAGCGGAGGTGGTCGTGAAAGCAGGACAGAAATGCAAGATATACGTTTTGGTGCCATCGCACATCCTGGAGCGCGTCGCAGACCCTGCCAAGAAACCGTTCGCCGTGTACTCGCTGTTGCCAAACGAGCACAAACTGTCTGTGTGTCATTTCTCGGCACAAACATGGGAAGATTACGAGGAGCCGATCAAGTCCAAGGACACCATGATCGTTCAGTACGGACCCAGACGGGTGCAAATCAACCCGCTTTTCAGCCAGGCCACCAACAACGCCAACAACGTGGCGAAATTCCTCCGTTTCTTGCACAAGGGATCTATCTCGGTAGCTACTGCTGTGCTACCAGTAAGCTTCACCAACTGTCCCGCCATTTTCTTCAAAAACACAGAATCGGGAGCCAAGTTCATTGCACAAGGAACGTTCCTCAACACAGACTACACCCGGATCCTTGCCAAGAGAATTGTTCTCACTGGAGAAATCTTCAAAATCCACAAGTCCGTCGTCACCGTCAGATACATGTTCTTCAACTCTCACGACGTTCAGCACTACCAGCATATTCCGCTCTTCACGAAAATGGGCCGTTCTGGTTTGATCAAGGAGTCCCTTGGTACACACGGCTACTTCAAGGCCACATTCGACGGCAAGCTGAACGCCCAGGACGTGGTGGCCATGGCTCTTTACAAACGTGTCTGGCCTAAAGAAGCGATTATATAATCATGATTGTAAAAAAAAGTTCGATCCATCAATTATGAGTCTTGCTTTCAACCAGCCGGGCAACTTCACGTGCAACTCGTGCCAGATTCGTCTGCCCACGGCAGACGTCCAGAGAGTCCACATGAAGACCGAATGGCACAGATACAACCTCAAGAGACGCGTGGCCGGGCTGGCTCCGGTCGATTCTGTTATCTTCCAGTCCAAGGTTGCTCTCCAGCAGCGCCAGGAGGCCATCAACAGTGAGCAGGACGAATTCGGGTTCCATGTCCATCGGAAACACCGCACGGGCCGTCGCCAGCCTACGAAGAAAGACCTGAAAAGACGAACGCGAAGAGACATACTGGCAGATAGCAGCGTCGATCGACGCGCGCAGTCGCCGGCCGGATCAGTGGTCTCAAGAGTGAGTGAGTTCTCTCTTGGATCGATCCACAGCGAGGCGCCATCCGAGTACACGATTGACGATCTCATTTCCGAGCCGACGGTCAGCGACTATGATTATGTCAGCCCGGCTTCGACCTCTGAGACGAGCGATTCTGAGGACTACTACACGGAAGAAGAGCAAATGGAAGAGCCTGTTATTTTGACCAACTGTTTCTACTGCAGCGCCCAGAGCATTGATGAGGAGGCAAATGTGGCTCACATGTTTGCTGCTCACGGTTTGTTCATTCCTGAACAGGATTATCTTGCTGATCTGAGCGGTCTACTGCAATATCTGGGAAATAAGGCAATAATTGACAAAGAGTGTCTAAAGTGCAGATTTGTGGGGAAAAGTCTGGTGAGCATACGGCAGCATATCCAGAGCAAAGGCCATTGCGTAATTCCGTACGAAACACGCGCAGAGAGACAGGAGATAGAAAGGTTTTATGATTTTGACGAAAGCGACTACACGACAGTGAAAGTGCTGCCAAGTGGAATAGAGCTCCCAGATGGACGCATTTTGGGGAGCCGCTCGTTTACACGCTACTATAGGCAGAACTTTCCTCGGCGTGACCGTGAAGTCAGCGACGGAGAACGAACCATGTCTTTGGTGGTTAAGGATCGCGAGTTCCATGCTCCTAGCTACCATCGGCCTGTGATTGAGGCGAGACGGGAAAGGCTCAGTCTACGGCAGCTGCGCAAAGGAAACAATCTGGCGCATTTCAGGGACCCTATGAACTGAGGTGTATACATCTATTTATTATTCTTCAGTCTTCCAGAAAACTTGGTAATATAGTCCATTTTCTTTGGCGCATGAACGGTGGTGAGGTCGTCGTTGATCAAATTTGAAAGATCCATGCCCGAATCTTTGATTCTGAGCTGGTTGCTGAAGCTGGAGTTGATGTCGAACGGCTGGCTGGATTTCAGGTTGTTGAGTCTTTTTTGAGACCCGTCAAAGTAGCCCAGCAGCTCTGCGTCGTCGCGCGAGGGCTTCTCGTCGTGGTCGTCCTCGAACTGGAGATGGACGATCGGAGTGATGGAATTGAGTCTATTTTGCAAAGTCCGAAACGAGTTCGACTGAGGTAGCAGCATCAGTAGGCCGTACAGACACTTGAACAGGTATTTATTTTTCTGGGGGTTGAGCAGGTCCAGTCGGAGACGTGCAAACACTGGCGACTCGAGAAGTTGGATCAGCAGATCAAGCTGGATGAGCAGGTTCAGAGAGACCTCGTAGTTGGCCAGATCAAGCACGATCTTGTAGCTGAGCTTGTAATTGGAGGTCAGAAGCGTCAGACACAGCACGGAGGCAGAATTCAGAGACCAGCACTTGAACAGCGTTTTGAACAAGTCGAAGTCGTCTCCGCGAATCAGCTTCTGGCGCAGACCTGTAAGTTCAGGAGCTATGATGAGGTTGTTGTTGAGAATCTGGATCATTATGGATAAGAAGCCGAGGTTGGACTCCTCTTCGCTCAAAACCTTGGACAACGACTTGTAAATCCGCTCGGCATCGAGGGATTTGCACACAGTCCGGATGATAAAGTCTGCGCGTGTGTCCAGCAGTTTGCGGTCGCGTTTGAAGAGGTTCAGAAGATCCACCATAAACGACTGGAAGTATCTGTCGTCGGTCTGGTTGGAGATCTTGGACAGCAATTCCAGGTCCTTGTTGATCACCTTGTCCGATTGGTCGTTCATGGCTTTCAGGAGCGTGACAAAAGTATTATCTGAATGTTCAAGGAACTTGATTGGATCCTTCTCGTGCAACATGATCAGCCAGTCAAGAGAGGCAAGGCGCGTGCTCTCTTTCTCGTTCAGAAACTGCAACGTGAGCTGGTTCACAATGAGCGTGTAGTTTATGTCATAATGGTTGTTGGCGGCCAGCTCCATCAGCTTTGAGTTGAGAAGAACGGAAATCTCTCGGAGCTGTTTGTTAGAATGCGAAATGGTGGAGAGCAGTACAGCGAGCAGTTTGGCCATGAACACAATGAACGACTCTGGGGAAATATCCAACAGAGCCACAAGCCACTGTAGAGCAACGAGCTGGATCAGTTCTTCAGTCGAGTCGAGCGAGGTGATAAGCAAATCGATGATCTTAGGATAGTCTATGACAATGTCCTGACCAGGAATATACAGGTCCTTCTCCTTGCTGTCGTCTGTCTTTTCTTCGGACACTATTTTCTTAATTTCTGACACTTTTTGGATCTCGTGGAGCAGCAATTTGAGGAAGTTTTCCGTCACCACGCGAACATCTTCCAAAGTAGCACTGAGGTAGGACAGAAGAGCGTCGAGGAACGAAGGCAGATAAGAAATCAGGTTCAAGCCTGGAATCGAGTCTAATAGTCGGAGCCACGAAACGAGAAACATTCTTGTGTAGGGATTTGTTGCGTACATGCGTTCTTTCAGCAACGGGATAAATTTCTCCAGCGAGAACGCTTTTGGCAGCTGTGGCTCATAGACCTGCAAAGCTTTCCCTTTCTGATCTACCACCTTAGCGGACGGCGGCTCGACAGGCTTTGCCAGCACAGAAACGTACGTAGCAGCCTTTTCACTGGTGATATCCTTAATAAGTCTGTCCAGTATGTCTGCAGCGTTCTTCACGCTCATCTCCACATCTGCCACCAATTTGCACAGGACGTCAAAGATCTCGTTGAAGTACACCAGAATCTCTCCCTTGGCCACCTTGGCAATATTGTAGAGTGCCTCGCACGCAAAGTAGCGCACCATAGAGTCCTGATCTCCAAAGCAGGCAAGGACAGGATGCATGATGCTTTCCAGGTACTTTGGGACCTCGTTCTGGCCCAAGGCAATTGCAACTGCTGCCAGGCCAATCAGGCCTCCGTATCGGGCATTTGGCTGGTGCACGGCATACGCATACTCGTTTCTCAGTTGTTTAATGATGTTGACGATCTTTTCTGTATCGCCTGTGCTCAGTGAGTCGCGCACCACGCGTTCGAGCTCCAGAGCAGCAGCCTTCCGCTTGTCATATATCCTGTCGTTAAGACCGCGTCTAATTGATTTGTCTAACGTTAGAGCTGGCAAAGGAGTACGTACCCATAAATAAAATAAGGTAATGGTAATTTTTTTAACAGTAAATAATAGATAATGTGACACGAGCTAGTAGAGAACGCAGAGACGTAATCAGTTTTTCTGCGATAAGCAGGGATCGTATATTAGCAGCCAAGCTTACGCAAGCAGAGGGCCCAACTTCATGTCTAGGGCAAACACCAAGAGACAAATTCGCTGTCTGTCTGTGATCACTCCCTCCCGTCAGCGAATCCGCTCTATTCCTCCAGCTCCAGACATATAATACAACAGTCTGTTTATTACTTTATACAGGGAAATAATCATTTCTGCAGCTTTTGGAGTCTTATCGTTAGTATAGCATGTTCCGATACTCACATCTCAACAATCTTAATGTTGGTGTCCAGGAAACGGTTCAAACAGTCGTTCATGCAGTTGGCCTCGAAGTTGCTCAAATTCCCGTTGTCGATCGTGGACACGCACTTTTTGAAACACTTGTCGGTGAAACTGGTCACAGAGCTCTGGATCTTCATTTTGGAGGACTCCTGCTGAATGAAGGCAGCCACCTCCTGCCTGGAAGGCTCGTCTAGCTGTTGAAGGAGCTTTGAATCTATTTCACTCATTGAAAAAAAATAAATCTTTTTTCGAGTGCTCACCGTTTTTTCAGCTGCTCCAGCTCAAAATTATTCTCCCTGGCCTTTTCGTATAAAAGACGCTCGGTACGGTCTCCGTGCTTCTCCTTGGAGTCCTTCTTGTAGGCGTAGTCCATTTTGATTGGCCGATTCATGATTATCTTGCCGTTCATCTCTTTGATCGCCTCGTCGCTGGACTCGAAGTCTGTGTAGTATAAGAAGGCGTGGTTGCTTTTCTCTCCAGAAACAACCTGCGGCGGCTTGCGGAACGTTCCGAAGTTCGCAAAAGTAGCACTGATACTTCCAGAGTCGACTAGCTTGTCCAGATTCCCGACGTACACCACCGGCCCTATATCTTCGTCTATCTCGGGAGCATCAGTCTGGCCTCCAAGCAGCTTCTTCACACGCAGCACCTTGTCGTAGAGACTAAGTCCTGAGCATATATTGAGCACGTATTCGCAGTCCTTGACATTGAAGAACTCAACAAACCCGTAGCCTTGGTGTCTGCGCAGCACCTTGTCTTTCGGCAACCGGATGCTCTTGACGGGCGCGAATTGAACAAAGAGCTCGTATAGAAGCGTCTCGTCGACTTTGGGATCCAAATTTCCTAAGTAGAGCGAGACCTCTTTATCGTTCTGTTTAGCGTCCATAGATAAATATTTTCGACGCGACGGATTTTCCACTGGTGGACTGAAGACATATACTTAAAGAGCTCAAATCTGGGGGTTGGAGTGTTTAATGTCCAGTGTGCATCCATTAGTACAACAGGCGCTCTCTGCAAATTGTCGGACTGCTGATACACTACGTGGACCCGAATAGCTTCTCTAGCCGTTGGCACCATTGGCACCATTGGCCCGCATCTGAACCGCAAGCCTGGTTGCCCTGACCACCCATCCAGGCCCCGTTGCTTCAATACAGTCGATCTGTGTTTACAATGAATTTCCAGTTTTCACCAAAATAATTATTTCTCATGTCTGACATCGAGCTGACACCCGAGTACGACACAGCGTACAAAAAAAACCTGGAGAGTCAAATAGTTCTCAAGAAACGGCTACTCAAGGCCGCCCAGAAGCAGCTGGAACTGTTTAGGCAGCAGAACACGGGCGACTCGCCGAAAGCGTCTCAGATCGCGTTGACTGACACGCTAGCGAAAGTCCCGTTCCACCCGCCGCGAAACGACCTGATCGGGCTCTCGCTGGCGCAAAACACACTAAGCACACAACTAGAAGCCGTCAACAAGTCGCTCGCGGAAATCGCCAGCTCCAACAAAGAGCTTCAGAGCCGCGCAGACGACATGGCAAACACCAATGCAGTGTTTGATATTCTGAAAAGTGAGCTGGAGGAGCGCATACAGCAGGAAATGGACAAGAAACAGCAACTGCTGAGCCACACAGTTGCAGACGACATCAGAGACGCGTATTTACAGAAACAGGCAAAACTGGCCGACAGATCTACAAAACTAATCGAAATATCGAAAAAGCTTATTGTGGATTATATCCTGCGCAAAGAATTCGAGGCACTGTTCACGGAAGAGGAGCTGGACGAAAGAAAACAGAAATTTCTCAAACTGCTGGAAATTCTGCTTAACAACTCCATCACGAACACCGGGAACTCGAAGCTGCTGGAGGTGGACAATAAAGACGACCCGCTCATTCGATACCTGATTCTCAACAATATCATTGTCGCCGACCCAAAGAACCCGAACAAGATCAAGCTCCGCGATCTCGCCACAAACCTCTAAAAGAAAAACATGTATATTATCTTATGTCGACTAGTTCATAAAGTAGAGCCTGCGGAGAATCGAAGCACAGCCGTAAATGTAACCAATTTCTCTATCATTTAAATCTTTGTTCGCGGTGCTGAAGCACGTGATCAAACAGCCCCCGGACTTGTGGTACAGCTGCAACGTCTCATCGCGGTTCCTTGCCGAGGAGCGCTGGCTCTTGCTCATTTTGCGTCTCCGGACCAGTTTGGGAGTCTTGCGGAAAAACGGCATACAAACTCCCGAGTGGTACTTGGCCTTGCTGTCGCGGGAGTCGTAGATAATTCCAAAGTCCGACTTGAACGCCTTGTAATGGAAGTTGGGCTGGAAAGTGGCCACATTAAAATTCTCTGGATACCCTTCTCCGCCAAGAAGCTTCATGTTGATGTTCTCGTCACTCACTGATTGCAGCATATCTTTGAATTTGTATGTCTCGCTCTCAATCTCGTTCTCCTTGGGGAACAAGTCGGAGTTGATTCTGCATAGCTCGGTGACTCTGATGTTCATCACGTAAACACAGTTGAAGCCCAGTCTCTCCATAAGTATGTGCGAAAGCATTTTGGAGGCAGAGACTGCATTCATGCAGCCCAGAAGACTTCTCCAAACGTTCAGGTCAATCAAGTCTCCCAGCGGTGTGCTGTATTTGCTGAATCTCAGATGACTGTGCTGCTGATAGCGACTTCCCGACCCGTCTCTCTCGTAGATGGACCCCAACATGTCACTGCTAGTAGCTCTGCCATACTTCTTTAGCATGATTTTTGTGTTTTCTGCAGACGTTGGCGAGGTTACGGAGCTGCACTGGACCGTGGTGCTCGTGTCGGCCACCGAGACATGCACCTCGTCTAGATACTCCATAATCTCTGCAGCGATCTGTTGCATAATAGAAATGGTGTTCTCCTCGATTTTGGTCCGTGGAAAGGCGTCAAAAATGGCAAACGTGCCAATGACATCCTTTGAAGCAGTAGCGAGCGGAACAGCAACGTAGTACCTGATACCTGGCGGACCCTTGACCAGCGGGTTGCTGGCGGTTCTCCAGTCCTGGGAAGCATCGGTCAGAGCAAAGAATCCAGCAGAAAGGATAGCATGGGCGTCGATGGAAACCGTTCTGGCACACTCTTTAAAACCCAGGTTGTGTTGGAACTTGACCATTTGGTACCTTGTGTCAATCAAGCTGATGGAGGCTCCATTGCATTCAAACATGTTCATAGTTTTTGTGAGCAGTGAATTAAATCTCTGTGTATTATCCCAATGGGGCAGGCCCGAATATGAGTCGACGGCCTTTAGTCTTTTCGCCTCGTTGTACGCCTCTGGAGGTCTCAGGAGCGTGGTGTTGGCATAGCACGACGGACATGGAACAGTGGAGAGATTCCATTTGCCTTTGCTGTATGCCTCCAGAAACGTTTCCTTGGTCAAAGGGACTGCAAATAAGCACTTGTTCTGCATAGAAATAAGATAGGAATATTCTTGCTGTAGCGCTTGTTGGTAGCCAATATACTGGCTCTTCGAAGACGAGCTCTTGGGGTTCTCCTTTGTTGGAGAGAGTGCCGATCTGACATTGTCGTGTCTTGCTTTGTTAGCATGTGGATACCGCTGCCAAAACTTACCGAGGACTAGCCTGGTCGAACTTGTTACTGGAAGAGTTTCGTTTATAACCAGCATCCAGCATCTTATAGGCTGAAGACGAAAGCAAAGTGAAGTACGAGATCCAAATGACCAAGAAAAAAGCGGATCCGGTTCTATTTTATCCTCAATCTACGCGCTGGAGCAACATGATGCGGCTTAATTTTTTTTCTCATTAGTTGGATTCATCCATCTTATCGTCACCCTTCGATTCTTCTTTGACGGCTTCTAGGTTGCTCTCTGCCGGCGCCTGTTCTCTTTCCTGTCTGGCACGCTCCTCTTCCAGCGACAATCTGATCGCCAATGCCAGCTCGGGGTCCATGTTTGGGTCGTCGAAGCCAAACTCGTCTCCCATGCCCATGCCTCCGGACGCGCCTCCCTCTTCCTGGAACAGGGCAGACCGGTCCACCTGCTCGTACAAGAGATTTGGGCCAGGAGGCACAGTGACCAGGTGCGACGAGTCATTGCTATTGGCCAGCGAAATGAACCTCTCGAGCTTCTCAGTGTTGATCTGCTGCTCTCCGAAGTTGATGAAATCAATGGATATGCCGTTCTTCTTCAGCCTCTTGGCCAGTTTATCCAGATCAGCCTCGTTCTCTGTAATTGGCGACCCCACAAACACAATCACACGCTGCTTCTGTGCCTTGTTCTGTCGATTTTTCAATGCCAAGCACGCCACCTGAATACCGTCCACAAGCCTGCTCTGTCCCTCTATACGGCTCTGATGCAGTCCGCTGAGCACTTTTCCGTACTCCGTGGTGAGGTTGCTGATCACCCGCGGCGACTCCCCGGCCATGGTCATCAGTCCCACAGTGCTCTCTGGGTTGGCGTTGGTTTTGCGTCTGAAAATCAGTTCCACCGTGTCCAATTGGGCCTGATACCGCGATGTGAGATAGTCGCCATTTCTCATATACTCTGAGTTGTCAATGACTATCATACATGCCTCCAAAACCATTTTGATTACTAGTGTTGGATTCGAGTTGGATTTTTTTCGCCACTATGTTTGGTAGTGCAAGGGAAAGAAAGAATAAATAATATAAACATTAATATAAACATTTATATAATATCAATGCCTTCTTCAGGGCCGCCCCGATTATCGAAAGCGCACAAGCAGCGGCTGATTCAGCGGTTCAGACGAGAGACCGCGCGCAGAGAACAGCTTCTGCGACAGGCGGGCGACAAACAGGCCGAGGAAATCAGCCTCAAGGTGAAAAACAGACTGAACAAGATCCTGCGCAAGTTCTGGGATATCAAGATTCGAGACATCCTGGAGCTCGAACGCGAGATGCCGTTGGACCAACTGACCCTGCTCAAAGTGCTGCGACAGCTCGAAACTCCGACATCCACACCCGCTGTATAATATCTACCGCATCAATTTTCTTTATATAATAATTTATCCTAGAGATCCTCTGGCAGATCGTCCCAGAAAGTCTTGCCCTCGATGGTTGGCTTGATGTACCCGGCACGGATCACAAAGTCTCCGAAATGCTCTCCTTCGTATCTCTCCAGCGACCATCTTCTGAACATTGGCACCAGGATGTCGAGCACCTGCTGCTCGTCCACGTTGGTCTTGTACAGCTTGTTCAGACGCTCTCCCTTGTACCCTCCACCAAGCATCATGTTGTAGGTGCCTGGGGCTTTTCCAACGAGCGCGACCTCCGCAAGCCACGGTCTGGCACATCCGTTAGGACATCCCGTCATTCTCATCACAATGGAGTCGTTTCTCAGACCTAGGTTCTCGAGTTCTGCCTCCAGCTTCGAAATCAGCACAGGCAGGTATCTCTCGGCCTCGGCCATGGCCAGGCCACACGTTGGCAGGGCCACACAGGACGACGACGACAGTCTCAGCGCAGAGAAGTTGGTCTTGTCCAGCTTGTGCTCCTTCATCATCTCCTTGAGCGCGCTCAGGTGCTCGTCAGGGACGTTCGACAGCAGAATGTGCTGGTTTCCGGTCAGCCGGAACTCACCGAAACCGTGCTCCCTCATGTAGTGCGCTATCTTGTTCAAACCTGTCTTCTGAGGCGCCTCCACGGTGTCCTCGATTCTGCCGTTCTCGATGAAACAGGTATAGTGGTTGAGTCCGACCTCATCCTTGCACCAGCCAAAATAGTCGATGTTCGAGTCGATCTTGAACGGTTTCGGAGCATCGAACTTCTTTCCCCACAGCTCCTCGACTTTGCTCTTGTACACGTCCACGCCCATGTCGTCGATCGTGTACTTCAATCTCGCGTGTTTTCTGTTTTTTCTGTCACCGTTGTCTCTCTGGACAATCATCACTTTTTCGCACACGATGTGGATGTCTTCCACCGGACAGAAACCAAACATCGAGCCCGTTCTTGGGTACGTCTTGGTGTTGTTGTGTGTGGTTCCCATTCCGCCGCCCACCAGCATGTTGTAGCCGATGATGTTGTTGTTCTCGACAATGGCAATGAGTCCTATGTCGTGCGCATAAACGTCCACGTCGTTGTACGGAGGAAGAGTCAGCACAACTTTGAACTTTCTTGGCAGGTACGTAGGGCCGTAGAGCGGCTCAGTGTCCTGGATAGAGTCGCCACCCACCTTGATTTTTCTCGGTCCGCCCTCAATGCCTCTCTCGAGATCCAGGTCGTCGAGCCACAGCTCGTGGTATGCGGTGGTCGATGGTAGCAGGTGTTTGGAGATGATTTTGGACGTTTCGACCAGCTGCGAGTGCAGGTGCTGGTTCGAAGGCAGAGCAGAGCACATGACGTTTCTGTTCACGTCACCACACGCAGCAAGCGTGTCCATCAGAGCGGTGTTGATGCCCTTGATGGTGGGCTTCAATTTCGACTTGATCACGCCGTGCAGCTGGAACGTGGCTCTGGTGGTGATTTTGAAGGTGCCGTTGCCGTTGGTGCTCGACAGCTCGTCGATCTTGAGCCACTGGTCCGGCGTCGCAACGCCTCCAGGAAGACGCACACGCGCCATGAACGCGTACGCTGGCTCCAGGCCTTCCTTCTTGCGCTGCTCTCTCACGTCTCGGTCGTCCTGCATATAAATACCGTGGAACTTGGTCAGTTGCTGGTCGGAAGCAGAAATGGCACCCGTGCTGGCGTCCTGCAACCCTTCCGCAATGGTTCCTCTGAGGAAGTTGGAGTTGATCTTGATATCCTCGTTCGTGATTGGCGGAGGCTCGTCTGCGTTTTCCACAGACACTCCCAGGGCCTCCCAGACCTTAGGCTCCCAGGCGTTGTAGCCGGTGTTGTAGCCGTCGGCGTCCTGGTCGTCTCCGAGCCCCAAGTCGGCGAGAACGTTGCCGCCCAGCAGAGTCAGCTTCTTGAACAGGTCCTGACCCGGCTTGTTGTAGTAATGAGCGTCCTCCTTTCTTGGCCAGTACTTCGAGTCTCCCAGACCAAACACGGAAAACTTGAGGTTGGCAAGGTCGATCGTGCTGGATTTCAGAGCCTCCCAGAACAATTTACCGTTCGTTGGGAACTCTCCCTGGCCGGAGGTGGACGTGATGAAAACAACATTCGTCTCCATGGCCAGGTCGTCCAGAGAAAAATCGTCCATGGCCAGAAGCTTGATCTTGAGGCCCTTGGCGGCTCCCCTTCTGCCCATCTTCTTGGCCAGGTTCTCGGCGTTGCCTCCGTCGGACGCAAATGCGATCGTCAATGGCTCGCCGCTCAGATTCTCCAGCATCTTGCTGAACGCGTCTCTGGACTTCTCGTTCATCTTCTTCTCGACCATATTGTTGTACGACTTGAGGTTGAAGTCGAGTTTCGGGCTCTTGGCAGCCAGCATCGTGAGCCTGTTTTCTCGGTCGAGGAACTCCTTGAGCTCGTTTCTGATGAACGACGAGTCCAGCTGGAATTGGTCCTCTTCGTTTTCCAGGAACGGATTGTATCTGTAGAGCGGCCAGTAGCCGGTGTCGACAGAGCTCTTGGTGTCCTTGAGGATCTCCAGATGGTCGTCGTAGTGCGGCAGGTACGCCAGCACAATGGCCGGGCCGTTGGCGAACTTGTTGGCCTCCAAAAGCGCAGTCAGCGTTTGCGAGTACGACGAGTACAGAGCCACCGACGCGACGTACGAGTTGCCGTAATTCATCGCATACAACCCGGCGTTCTTCTTGCCCTGTTTTCTGTTGAGCGACGAATCCGAGTCAATGATCAGCAGCTTCACTCTCTTGTTGGTCTTGAGCACCTGGTGCAGCGTCGATAGTCCTTGGTCAAAACACCACTTGTCGGAACCTATCAGCCAGCTCGTCTTGATGGTCAGATATTCCTTCAAGGCCAGAATGTCTTTGACCACCGGGGCCTTGGACCGGGCCAGCTCAGCAGCCAGCTCTGTGCCGTCGGCCTCGTCGCCCTCTTTGGCCTTTATCAGCCACGCGGCAAGCCTGTCGCTGAGGTCAGATCCAGCAAACTCGCCAAGATTGTTCTCAACAAGAGTGATCAGCTTATTTCTCTGCTCATCCTCGTACAAGAATTTACCGAAAGCAAACTCTGGCGACGGATTGAGTACAATATTGTTCAGCACAGAGAGGTTAGGAACGGCCTGGCGCAGTAGTCTGACGTAGATGTCCTCCGAGAGTGAGGACGAGCGCGAGACGGTGGCAGAGACAGATTTGAAAGGTTTTCCCAAAGTCATGTTCTGCACCGGCTCTTCCAGCTCGGAATTGGCAAACAGGTCACTGAGCACGTCGTCGACGTTCGACGAGTCGATCTTCAGCAACTGGCTGGATATGACCGACGAAAACTGCGGCAACAGGTCCAAAATGTCCAGCAGAAGCGGCTGGAAGTCTAGCTGCACAGAACTCTGCTCTAAAATTTGCAGCACGCCGGAGTACGACGAGACCAGCTTGCCCAGTTTTGCAACGTTGAACGGTCTGTAGACTTTGACGGAAATAAGACCAACGCCAGACGGAAGAGCAGAGCCCAGAACGTTCTGGTTGCCCAGTAAGAGCAGGATCTGGTCATAATTTGAGAACCACGAAGAGTTCAAGAATTCAAACTCCGAGTAGGAGTGGCCAGTGAGGTTTTTGAGAGCACCAAACGCAGAATCGAGGTCCTGGCCCTCAAAACTGGTGTACACCTTGGCGATATCAGAGTCAGGATACGACTTGAAGCCCTGAGATTGGTCCAGGTAAAAATGGAGCACGGTGCTTTCTGTGAACTTCGAAACCAGGTATGACAGGATGAAAAAGTCAAGCGATTCTTGTGGGTTGGAAGAAATCAAAATAGGAATTCCAAGATCCTTAAATGCCAAAACAACAGAGTAGTCGTCATTAGTGATAGCAGAATTGATGATGAATTTCTGCGTGGAGTGGGATATGACAGGCAATTGCTTGAGCAAGTCATCGGAATGGAGTCCCAGCACAGTGGCCTGAGAGTCCTCGATAAAGTCGAGACAGTCATTAGCCGACAAGGACTCGACTTGCGGAGTTTTCTGCACTGGATCAACAGAATAGGCCTTGAACCCAGACTCGGATTGCAAGGCGACTGCAACCTGTGCGAACGCCTGTTGAAGAGTGACAGAAGCCATGAATAGCACTAGAAAGCTGCGGTTTGCAAATATAAAACTTTTTAGCTCTCTAGATCTGCTTCTCCGCGAAAGAAGCCACACTGAGGCTAGTGCCCGAAAGTTTGTATGTGTCGCTTATTATATGAACGGGTTTTATTGGCGGGCTTTGGGCGGTTTGGGTGGCGGTGCACAGGGCTGGTGACGAAAGGTCACGTGAAATGCAGTCGGGAGCCGGGGATTGAAAAAAAATAAAAAATCGTGACATAAAAAAAAAAAACTTATCAGATAGCTGATTTGAGACGGGGACCGTGTAAGGATGTATAGATTGTGTAACAGGTACATAAATATGGCAACTACTCAACCACGGTAGGGTCTCTGCGTCTGAATTGCATGATCAGGTCGTCTTTAGGGAAAATAGTGGCAAACACCTTGATCTGCTCGCTCAACTCGGTGACTTTGTGATCAAAGTCCAGGAACATAGCAGCCTTTCCAATGAAAGCAGTAAACGTCATGAGCACATAGGTTTGTCCCAGACATCTGTGCACACCGCTACCAAACACAAGCCAGTTCTTCGTGGCGGCCCACGCAGGCGAGCCCTCTTCCCATCTCTCCGGCACAAACTCGTCAGGATTCTCGTAAACTTCTGGGTCGTGCAGAGCCGGGTACAAAGTTGGCACCACCATGGCTCCCTTAGGAATGGTGTAGTTTTCGCTGACAGGGTAGGCCTTTTTCACAACGTGAGGAACCATGAGGACAGGTGGTCTGTATCTCAACGTCTCTCTGACAACCATGTTGGTGTACTTCATCTCGTCGATCAGCTTACCGGTCAGAGGCTCGTATGGGTTTCCATTTCTGATTCTCAGCTGTTCCTCTCTGATTTTTTTCATAACGTCTGGTCTGTCAGCGACGATCTGGAAGAGCCAGCAGCAAAGAGAGGAAGAAGCGTCCTGGGAAGCAAACAGGAAGGTGAACACGGCCTCGGAGATCTCTCTGTTGGAAAACTCTCTAATCAAGATCTTGGCGTCCAAAGACTGTTTATCCTTACTGTCTCTGGCCTCCTTCATGACCTTCACCCAGGCATCCATCACACACTTTGGCTCTCCACCGGCATCGATGTGGTCCTTAGCCATCTGTGCGCATCCTTCAAAAATTTTCATGGTCATATCAGCGATTTTCTTTCCATACCAGGTCTTTGTGTATGGAATGATGATAGGGAAGTTGACAAGCTCTAAGGCTGCGGTGATTAAATAGTAGTTGTCAGCAATCTCCTTGATCTGAGCATCGGTGATGTAATCGCCGCAGAACGTCTTCAAAGAAATGGCACACATCACCTCTCTAAACACCGGGAAAAACACAGTTGGCTCGTCTTTGGTCATGTCTGCAAACAAGTTGATGTATTTGTCCATGATTTTCTCTTGGTCTGGAATGTATAACTCCAAAGAGCTTTTCGTGAAAAGCCCGTTCAGTCCCTTTCTGTATTCCGAGTGTTCCTTACCGTCCAAGAAGACCCAATTCGATGGTCTCAAAATCTTGACGGCAACATCAACAACACACGGCTTGACGTACTTTGGCGACTGGAAGATCTTTCTAGCAAGGTCTCTGGTGGAAGCAATAACAACAAACTTGTGGAAAATCGAAACACAAGACAATGGTCCAGAAGCCCATTTGCTCTGGTACTCCTCAAACTTAGGATCCAAAGACTCCAGAAATGGGCCGATAACGGGCCAAACCTTGAAACGCGGACCAGCAATAGATCCCTTGTATATCTGGTAGGCTATCTGGTCGTAGGCCACAATGAAAGCGATGGTAATGGCAACTATCTGCCACCAGGGAGTCTGTTGCCAGGCAGAAAAAACAGCTGACTTCAGGCTAACATAGTCGAGCGTCTTGATGGCATCGATCACTGAAGTCGAGTTCACAGTCGAAAAATTGTTGGTCAGAGACTCCATCTTTTCAGAAAAGGCCAAAAGAATGTATGCCAAATGATCCGATTGTGATTGACTGTTTATATAAAAAATTGCAGCTAATTTTTTTCGGTATACGAGAGGAACGAGATCTGATGACGACATCCGTACACCAGTAGCACGGACAACAATCGGGAGGTGGCATGGGCGTTGAGAGATCTCAAACGTGGTGATTCACCGAGTAATGTGATTGTGGTTCTGCAGAAGTAGAAGGAGTGTCCATGGTGGCTGCTATTCCATGGCATACACAGAGTTTTGCAGTACGACTGGGCCACAGCAAACGACATTGCAACAGTCGCCTAACATGCTGCAATTACTGCGTGATTTCGAAGCCCGCAAAGATCAGGCTACTTCACACGGAATGGAACTATTCGGGAAAGTATTTAGTACCGTGATTGGATAACTGCTACGCCACGCTCGTCGGAATGTTTATCAATTACTGTACGTTCAATGTCTATTTCGCCAGAAGCTCGCCGTTTTGCAGGTTGGTGTCTTTCCATATCAGCACAAGGGCAATGGTGATGAGGTAATTAAGAGCGTAGGCCGTGGTGGTGACATTGGCCATTTCGAGGAAGAGCTCGTTCACGTAATCATAGAGCACTCGTCCTCTCAAAATTAATTCGACCAGACTCATGATTGTGAGCAGAGCAAAAGTGAGCACCAGTTTTTTACGCAAACTCCGGTTGGTAAGCTGTCTGTGAGTTTGCCATGCGTGGTAGCAGCAGAGAAAGTACACAACAACCAGTTGCATGAAAATAAAGTCACTGAGGAAAGAGGCCCTGCCTCCAAGAATAGAATACACCGACGACTCTTCGACAACAAACAGAAGAAGCTGCAGGAATAGGAAAGCGCATAGGGCTTTAAAGATTCTCAGCTTTTTCGGGCTCTTCATGTTGCTGAAGAACAGGAAACCAGAGGAGATGATTAGGCAGTTGTACACGATCCATACCGTGAATGTCGCGCTGAAAGTGAGCATACAGGCGTTCATAAGGATCATACTCAAACTGCCGTAATATCCGTAGCCGTACTTGTTGAGCTGCGAGTAGATGATGACAGAGCTGAAGAAACCAAACGCGGTGCCGGCAATGTAAAACAAAAGCTTAACCTGGATTGTGAACTGCTTGAACCAGATAGAGTTCGACAAAATGGCATTGGTTTTGTCCAGGCGCACTTTGCGGTACAAGTATGCGGCGAAAAGGCCAAAAAGCATCACATAGGACAGGAAAAGCGTAAAGTCCCAGTACAGATAGTGGTAGTCAGAGACCAAGAGATTACCAAAACTCTGTTTCCAGTCAACCACAACGCGCAGATTTCCAGCATCAGCAGGAATATCGTGAGCGGTGAAGATCACGCAGTAAATGGCCGTCTTTTTGATCTCGAATCTGTGCTTATTGTCCGGTAAATCAGATGGAAGAAACTTGTAATGTTCGATCGGAAATTCGAACTCTTCACTGTCGATCAGTTCGTCGAGCGTCATGCGCAAGTTCAGCTGGTCAGGAGACGGATACGTGCACAGCTTCTTCTTGATGGCGCTCTCGTCGCAAACCTTGATCATCGGCGACGGATCAAGCTTCACACGCTCCAGATCGCCGCCGGAAATCAAAAGCGTGTCAACCGAGGCACCAGGCACGTTTTGGAATTTGACTGTAATCTCAGGAGTGAAATGCTGCGAGATGAAAAACAACTTGGAATTCTCGTAGTTGGCGACATAAGCGCAAGTCTGAAACGATCTGTCGTTTTCCAGCACGTGTTCATCCTCCAAACCAAGTATCCCGACCAACAACGCCAGGAAAGTCAGAAGTGAGGGAAGCATCGGTAGGCACTAGTGATGAAGATTATATGAATAGTAAAAAAATAAAATTACACAGCCAAAAATACTAGGTAGCTTGGTCCGATTTAACGTTGAGCGAAGTATTTGGCCAGAATTGAGTATCGCCAAATAATGCGTGATGCGAAAACAAGGGAATTTCAGAATATACCTGATGCGAAAACAATGCCTGCTTATTTCTTTGGGAATGCATCGTCTGCATTGAACAAGATTGTTTGGGGCCCAAAAACGGTCGATCGACGGGTCTGTCTAAGCCATGGTCAGACGTTGCGGGAAAATTCGCAAACAGCAGTTACTGCATGCCCATGATCTGAAGACATATACGAAGGTGGTTGCTCTGAATAGGGCCCATACCTCGTGCTTTGAGTTTGGCCGATAGTCGTCTCAAAATGGTTTAGCCAACGAGCTTCCGCTGACATGTCCGGGTAACCACCAGATCTCGACGAATAAAATCCCAGGGATTTGTAAGTACAAGCGGAAAGACTAAGATCCGGCTCGCGAGAGTGTCTCTGAGCAACCCCAAGGGCCCACCTCGGCCAGATTCCTTAAAAGATGCTCTGATCAGGAAGATCAGCTAATATAGAAATTAATTTATTAGACCTATAATCTGCTCAACAAACTATAGGCGTCTTATGACGTCGCCTCCAACATACACTCAACCACAGGATCACGTTCTAAGGAACAAAAAGGCCCCCACGGCAAGAATAAGGCCGGCTAGGGCAACAAGAGGCAAGGAAGAACTGTCGGACGACGACGAAGATGCAGCAGACACAACAGGCTTGGCAGGGACGCCGCCTTTCAACTCGCCAACTTCGAGGTTAGCCAGAATCTCGTGAGCGTCCTCCGAGTGTCCAATATCCTCAAACGGCTCTGTAGCATCTGTACCGGCACAGTCCATGATCACCTCTTCTCCTCCCGGGTGTTCATCCAAGTATTCGCTGCAGTTGTAGACTTTGCCCTTGTATATGATATACAGGTCATCTCTAGTGTTGTGTTGGGCGACCTCCTCAGCTGTGAAGACTTTTGACATGATACAAGTTTTTGTAAAAGATTTTGGTCCGTGTTTTTTTTCTTATCTGGTACTCGTATAAGTTACTTAATCAGGTTAAAAAAATCGTGTCTGATGATTTTGTAACAAGCGACAAATTCCGCTGTTTGGCGCCGGAAACTGTCTTCTGTTACCGAGAGCAAGGTACTGGGTGAAAGGTGCCCTCTTCGATAGCTTCCTTGGGCTTGGCCACTTCACAGACCAGGCTCGCTCGCCCAACAAAAACCTCTCCCTCCATCTGTACACCACTAATCTCAGATCAAAAAAATTTTTAGAAGATATTTTTCTAGGAATTATAGTATGGCTCGTAAAGCTGTGTCCACCCCGCCTTCGAAGAAGGTTCCCTCGCGCTCGCCAATCCTGACCAGAACCCGTACCAAGAAGGTCAGCCAAGAGCTGAAAGATGAGTCGAGGCCGGAGCAAAAGAAAGAGGAAGCTAAATCTGAACTTGAAAAGGACGAAATTGAGCTTCCTAGTGACAGCGACAGCTCAGACGACGCTGAGGAGCTCGAGGGCTTTGAGTCTGCTGACGACGAGGAAACCAAAGAACAAGACACCGTCACAAAGTCAAAGCACACGGTGCACACAGTGATCAAGCCTGTTGATACCAGTAACAAGAGCACCTCGAAATCCAGCAGCAAATCCAAGCACGGTGTGATATATGTGGGTAGGCTGCCTCATGGATTTGAGGAAAAGGAACTGAAGAAGTATTTCAGCCAGTTTGGCGAGATTACCAGACTCAGGCTCTCGAGAAACAAAAAGACGGGAAAGTCGAAACACTACGCTTTTATCGAGTTCGAGCACGCAGAAGTGGCCAAGATCGCTGCAGAAACCATGAACAACTATCTGCTGTTTGAACATCTACTCCAATGCGCCGTTGTGCCTGCTGAAAAGGTGCACGAGAACCTTTTCCAGGGAGCCAACTCCAAGTACAAGCCGGTGCCGTGGAGCAAGATTGCGCAACTCAAGAACGACAAGCCTAAATCCAAGGTCAGGTGGGAAAAGCTGCAGAAGAAGTACCAGGAGCAGAACGAGAAGAGACTCCAAAAACTCAAACAGCATAATATCGATTACGATCTCAGTGCTCTGTAGCGAGGGTGTAAGGTTGTATAATTTTAAGCAAATAGAGAAATAAAGCTTATCACAATGGCAACTAGATTTGAGCATCCCGTGTACGATAAGCTCTCAAATTACTCCTTTTATCTCTGTTCCACGTCTCCGCGCCGCCAGGAGATTTTGAACATGCTCGGGTTCTGTCCTGTTATCAGGCCGTCTCATTTTGAGGAAAATCTATCAAAGCTAGATTACACGGTAGAAGAGTACGTTGCAGAGACCGCCAGAGGCAAATGCTTGGCTGTTTGGGATCAATTGAAAAAGGAAGGGAAAACAGATAACGTGCTACTCCTTTCGGCCGATACAGTTGTCGAGAACGAAGGAGTGATCTACGAGAAGCCAAAGACACAGGAGGAAAACTATCGGGCAATTTGCAAGATGCGCGACTCGAACGAGCCTGTTCGCGTTATTTCAGGAGTCGTTATGCTGTTGAGTGACGCCAGCACACGAGGAAAGCCAGACAGGTGCAAGATCAAGACATTCACGGAAATCACAGAGATTATTATGGAAAAGTCTGTGAGCGACGAGTTTGTAAGAAAATACAGCGAGTGCGGCGAGGGCCACCAGGTGGCAGGCGGATTCAAGATCCAGGGCTCGGGCGCCTTGATGATGAGAGGCATAAATGGAGACTACTACAACGTGGTGGGGCTTCCGTACACGAAAACGTTCCAAACGATCTGTGACATGTTAGATACATATCTATAGACAGGCAGCGTAGTTGCATAAACAATTTATTCACTCAGGCAGTTGGCAGCGGAGAAAGCAAGTTAATGAGGTTTGGTCTGTTGGAGGTGGATTGCCATCCCAGGTAAATGATGAATGGGATCCATCCGTAGTGGGCGATGGTCTTAGTGGTGTCGAGGATCTTGGAGATTCTCTCTTTGGACTCTTCAGACAGGTTCAGGCCGGCGTTCATGATGAGGAGTGTTCGAAGAGTTGAAAAAATGGGTGAAAAAAAATTACAATCGACCCCACCCAGTCGATCGACGCCAGCAAAAGGCAAAGGAAAAGACCGATCCGCGAAAAACGATTTTTTACGGCGAGGAAAAAATAACAGCAGCTGATTGAATTTGAATAGTCCTAATTCGAGGCAATTGCTCATAACGTCACCTACCAGCTATAAAATGTCTGCCATTGCCACGCTTAGATTGGCTTCGCGTCCTGCAGTCAGGCTCTCCAGAGCCCCAATGCTGAGATTCGCAGCCCTAGCAAGATACTATTCCTCCAAATTCCCAGAGCACACCGTCATCACCATGCCAGCGTTGTCGCCAACCATGACCCAAGGAAACATCGTGAAGTGGCACAAGAAGGTTGGAGATGCTCTACAGCCGGGCGAGTCCATTGCCGAGGTCGAGACCGATAAGGCATCCATGGACTTTGAGTTCCAGGAAGAGGGGTTCCTGGCTAAAATCCTTGTTCCAGACGGAACCCAAGACATTCCTGTTGGAAAGCCGGTGGCCGTGTACGTCGAGGAGAGTGGCGACGTTGCTGCGTTTGAGGGTTTCACCGCCGCAGACGCCGGCGATGCAGGTGCTCCAGCCGCAAGCGAGCCAGCAAAGGAAGAGGCCCCTGCTCCAAAGAAGGAACCAAAGGAAGCGCCAAAGGAATCCCAGCAGGCCAAAAAGTCATCTCCTGCTCCATCTGGCAGAATCTTCGCTTCTCCACTGGCCAAAAACATTGCTTTGGAGAAAGGCATTTCTCTCAAGCAGATTAAGGGTACTGGTCCAAACGGAAGAATCGTGGCCAAGGATGTCGAAAACTACAAGCCAGCAGCTCCAGAGGCCCCTGCCGCCCCATCAGCCCCAGCAGCAGCCACTTACCAGGATATTCCATTGACCACCATGAGAAAGGTCATCTCCAAGAGACTGACCGAGTCGAAGCAAACGTCTCCAGACTACATCGTTTCCTCGACTATGTCTGTCTCGAAACTGCTCAAACTCAGAGCCTCTCTGAACGCTGCTGCCAACGACAGATACAAGCTCTCAGTCAACGACCTGCTGATCAAGGCCATTGCCAAGGCCTGTGAAAGAGTTCCTGAGGCCAACGCCTACTACATGGAAAAGGAGGGAATCATCAGACAGTTCTCGAACGTTGACGTTTCGGTTGCTGTGGCCACTCCTACGGGTCTGATCACCCCAATTGTCAAAAACGCACACGCCAAGGGTCTTGAGACCATCTCCAAGGAAGTCAAAGACCTCGGCAAGAGAGCCAAGGAGAACAAGCTGTCTCCAGAAGAGTTCCAGGGCGGCACCATCACGATCTCCAACCTGGGAATGAACCCTGCTGTCACGCTGTTCACCTCCATCCTGAACCCTCCACAATCGGCTATTCTGGCCGTCGGCACCGTCGAGAAGAAGGCCGTGCCTGACAAGGCCAGTCCACACGGCTTTGTGTTCGACGACGTGATCAAAATCACGGGAACTTTCGACCACAGAACTGTGGACGGCGCCAAGGGAGGCGAGTTCATCAGGGCCCTCAAAACCATAGTGGAAAACCCGCTGGAGATGCTTTTGTAAGGGATCTAGATCAGTGTAAGAATGTATTAGACAAGATTCACAAAAAGGTAGGGTAAGGTTTTTTTATTCTTCCCCATAATTTAAAGTCCGGAATAACTGTTGATAAATAATGAGCGGGTCATCTGGGCTGGGTCAGGCCGAGCTGACCTACCTGATCGTGTTTTGCACGCTTGTTTCGCTGATGCTCGTCTGTGCACTTGTCACCCTCATATATTACTTATTCTTCAGAGACTCGCTGCTTGGAGCTCACGACGACGAGAACAACGTGATCTGCGATGTGCTGAAGTACAATCCGGCCAACTACCGCAACCAGGCTCTATTCCAGTCGCTTAACAAGGTGGACAGACTGCGCTTTGTTCTGGCCAGACGATTTTTCGAGGAAAAGCCTCCTATTCTGCGCTTTAATAACACCCCGGGCGAAATCGACACTACTTATTTATTAATTAGAGACCGTGGCATCAGCAGTTTCTATTTCGAAACATACTACGACCAACTTTCCGAGCTGAGCCAGTCCTTGTGCGATTCAGAGGCTGAAGAGGCGTCCGAGACCACCGCGTTGTTGCAGCCCAAGAGGCCTGATTATACGCAGGCACAGTTCAAGAAAGTGCCCTATTACGTCGAGGACCTCACAGACATCTCTTTCTCCGGCTCTGAGCAGAGTAGCGCCATTCTGAACCTGCCAGTGCCGATTAGAAACCGCAAGAACGACACGGTCTATTTCGAGGCCAAGCTTTACGACTTCGACCACCGCCGCTGCATGGTCTCTGTTGGTCTTTGCACAAAACCGTATCCGAACTTTCTGCTGCCTGGACTGCATCCCTATTCGGTTGCGGTGCAGACAGACGGATGTCTTCGCTTGAGTAACAGGCCTTTCCCCAACGACCCTGACTTGCCTGTTATTCTGCCCCAGCTGCTGGAAGGCGACGTGATAGGAATCGGCTATAAGGCCTCGAACGGCAATGTTTACGTGACGCACAACGGAAAGAAAATAATCGAGGCCGTCCAGAACCTGAAAACAGAGCTCTATCCGTGTATTGGAGCCGTTGGCGGGCCGTGCACTGTCTCAGTGAACCTGGGCCAGATCGGGTTTGTTTTCATAGAAGCCAACGTGAAGAAACTGGGTTTTTGCGAGAGCCAGAACGAGGGAACGATCGGCGCACCACCGCTCTATTCTCCAAAGTTAATCAAGAATGATATTCTTCTAGAACAGGGCGAGCAGCTGCCTCCGGAGTATCCTTCTGACGAAGAGACATTTTTTGGACCCAAGCCGTATCTAGAAAAGTCCAAGAAACGCGTGGGGACTCCAGAATCGGATCCGCCTCCGTACCTAGGAGACAACAGCGAGAAGAAGTCGCTCGACGACGACCAGCCAAGCGTCATGGACCCCACCGAGTACGAGCGACGAATCGATAATATAGGGACTTCGCCCGCATTAGGAACCAGCAAGACCGCGGGACCGTTTATAGGATAGTGGAATACGCTGCTATTTGAATAGTCAGTTCGCTACATATTGGTGACCGTAGCTGCCAAATATCATGGCAGTGTAGAATGTCAAAATCGAGTTTTCAACTTTTTCACATATTCGTCCATGACACTAATTAAACAGAGCGACCAATTTATCCAGAAATCGCTCGAGCTGCTCCAGGCAAGCCCGGAGGACACAACCGTGTCGATCACATACACACACTCGCGCGTGAAGTCCGCCAAGACCGGCAAGCCGGCCAAAGCGTTGATCAAACTCAAGACCTACAATCCTCAAACCGGGATCTGTCTGAACTTCAAGACGCACAAGGCTAAGGAATTCAGCAGAATGATCAACGTTCTTGGGCCAAGAGGCAGCTCCACGACAAAGGTCGAAAATTCCGAAAAGAAAACCATACATCTTGATGGATTCTCCAGTATTATGAGTAATGTCGAGTTCAAGGAAGAGACTGCACCTGCTCCAGCAGCGGCTCCTGTGTCGGAACAGGCAGAGACAGGAGGCAAGAAGAAAAACAAAAAGAAGGGCAAAAAGAAGTAGTGTATTATACATAGACCGACCTTAATGATCCACCACGAGTTAGGAGTGTTTGCGTCCTGCGTTGAGCAGATTGCTCTTGTGCGTCTTTTTGTAGATCATGGTGTCGTCCAGCGGCACGCTGTCATCACTGAACTCGTCTGAATCAAAATTCACTTTTCTAGCTGGCGAGCAGACGGGACACGAGGCCGGGGGTTTTGGCGGCGTGCCGTTTTCTTTTAGATGTTTGATCTGGACCTGTGGTGCTCTATGCTCGCCTGAGTCTGGCTTTTGGGTCTCGGGTCTTTTCTGTTCCACCTTGATGACTCCATCGCCAACAGTAATCACAGTGAGAACGTCGGCATTGTGTTTCAGAACTTCCTTCTGCTTGAGCAGCTTCAAGTTCTCGGCCTCAAGCTTTTCCAGCTCCTCCTGCGTCGTGAGAGCAAGCTGTTTCATTCTCTCCTCGTTGGATGCAAGTTGATCGTCTATGGTGTCGGCAGAAACCACTTTTGCGGAGGTAGCTGGCCGTTCTGGCTTGGCTGGAGAAGCGGTTTCGGGCGCTGGCACAGGTGCCGTAGCTGCAGAGCTGGCTGAGTTTTTCAGCTCCGCCAAAACCTCTCTCAGCTTCATCGTCTCCATATAGTACTTGTCGAACTTCTTCTTCACGAGCTCGCTCGTCGCAGTTATGCGGTGGTTGTCGTCCTGCAACTGTCTAATTTTTGTGCGGAGGTCGGTGTTCTCGCGCCGCAACGTCCTGTTCTCGTCCTTGACCTCATCAAACTCTGTGCTAATCTTCCTCACAAGTGAGTTTAGTTTTTCGCCCTGCGCGCTGCGATCGTAGCTCAAAACCTTGTAAGTTTGCTGGAAAAGCGACCTGCTGGGATCGTCGTCGTCGCCTCGCGAAACGTACATCTTTCTGTCGGCGTCGAACACGTCGTCCGCCAGTTTTTCTGAGTCCTTCAAGCCGTAAGAAGGCTCGCGCTTTTTTACAGGACTCAGGTTATAGGAACGGCCGATCTCGACTGAGTCGTCAAAAGAACGGTGCCCGTGCGGTTTCGTGGGCGTGGAGAAGTATTTGTGGTATTTTTCCGGGACGTGTTGGCGCAGGACAGGCTCGTAGTCGCCGTAATCTCTCCAGAACTTCTCGCTGTCGAGCACCTTCCCGCGGAGATTGCCATAAGGCAGCGGATTGCCGTCCAGAATGGCCTGGTAGTTCTCCTGGTACTGCTTCAGAGGAAGAATATCGAGCATCAATACAGAGCGCTTCGCAAAAATAAACAAACAATTTTTAATGGTGTAGCATATCTGGTTCGAGGTGTAGTAGTATTTTATTTATGTGGTCTAGAATATATGGGTATCTAAAGAAGACCGATCAAGACACCGAGGCCGAGGCCGGCAGCGTTGGCAACCAGAGCTGGGGCACCCGCAGAGACCTGCACGTCGATGGACGACGAAAGAGCTGCGGAGGACGAGGAGGAAACAGAGGAAGTGGCCAAGGTGGTGGAGGAGCTGGACTCCTCGGCAACGGAGACCGAGCTGGATGCGGAAGAAGATGGAGCAGCCGACGAGGTGGTGGTGACAGAGGAAGAGGCCTCAGATGAAGAAGACGATGGAGCGGCACTGCTCGATGAGGCAGCGGTGCTGGAGACGGTGCTGGATGCCCTGCTCGAGGAGCTTGCGGCACTCGAGGAAGAGGCCGAGCGGGAGGAGCTGGAGCTGACGCTGGCGCCCACGTCTTTGCAAACACTGGAGAAAGAGTCGGCCGCGGTGTCTGCGTCGTCCCCGCACTTGGACTTCAAACAAGAGGACATCTCAGAAGACTCATTGCTGCAAACACAGGCAATCTGATTCAACGACGAACATTGGGAAGAGCTCTTCACGACCTCGGCAGCACACGCCAGTAGACATGCCGGAGGAGTAGCCAGAGCCGGTGCGATGTTAGCTAGAACGAAAACGAGTGGCACAATGAACGACTTCATGATGGAAAAATGGGGATGAAGAGTTGTGTATATATTTATATTTGGTATTTCTCTGTTATTGTCTCGGGTGAGACAATGTTCTAAATACGGAAGTTATTTTTAGAAGGGAGGGTAACAGGGCCTAGAAATGCGAAAAATCAGGCAAAGGCCAGACCGGATTTTTGGGGTGTATGTGAGACCGAGAATATCGCGCCGACGTGCAGATGGCATGGTCTGGTATACTGTATAGTCGAACAATCCTTCGGCTATTCCGACTAATACTAAGACCCGCTATCCTCGAACCAAACTCCTCCCGCCAGTGGAGCTTGCCACCTGCAAATTCGAGTAGCTTGCACCTGCAGGACCTGCGACAGCGCCTTCGAGGCCCTTCTTTGCACGGGCCCTCGGGCAAAGAAATGTGTACACGTGACTGCTAGTCACGTGACCAAAAAATAAAAACTTTTAGAGCTATTGCTGACGTGAGCGGTTTCGGGGATCAATAATTGTGCCGTTTTTCTACGCAATGCCCAATCCCTCCTCGCGGATCCTGAAAGAGCTCAAATTGTTCCAGTCGAGCCCAACGTTGCAGCTCCTCCCGTCCGACGACATCAGCGTGCAATATGTGGACATGAAAGTCCCAGACAACCCGCTCTACCCAGACACCTTTCGTCTGCGATTTATAATCGATAAAGATTACCCCTTCGCTCCCCCGCAGGTGCAGTTTGTGCGATCGCATCCGATCCCGATCCACCCCCACATTTACTCCAATGGCCACATCTGTCTCAATATTTTGTACGACGGCTGGTCGCCCGCGCACTCCCTGCAGACTGTAGCTCTTTCCATCCAGAGCATGCTCGCGGGTAACACCAACGCTTCGAGGCCAGAGGGAGACGAGAGATATTGCGCGACGGCGCCCTCGAACCCGCTACTTTCGCGATTCATGTTTGACGACGACACTGTCTAAACAGCCCCATTATAGCTTTCCCTGTAAATGCGACCCGCTTATTTTGCCCGAACCTATTCCCTAAAAAATTCTGTTTCTTTTTATGCTCTCAAGATTTACACTTTGTTCAAGACGTCTTGCTGGCACTCGAATAAATCGTTCTCTGCGCATGATGTCTCAATATAAAGTGTTGTGCCAAGATCTTGAGAAGCCAGACATCGACGACCGCCAGTACCGGCTGATCGAGCTGCCGAACGGACTGGTGTCGCTCGTGATCTCTGACCCTACCACAGACAAGTCGGCTGCTGCGCTGGACGTGAACGTGGGTGCGTTCCAGGACCCGAAGGGGTTGCCTGGACTCGCTCATTTTTGCGAGCACTTGTTGTTCATGGGCACTTCCAAATACCCTTCTGAAAATGAGTACAGCTCCTATTTATCCAAAAACTCTGGCTTCAGCAATGCGTTCACGTCGTCCGAGCACACGAATTATTATTTTGAGGTGGCCAACGAGGCGATGCACGGGGCGCTAGACAGGTTCTCACAGTTCTTCATTTCGCCGCTTTTCGACCCAAATTGCAAGGACAGAGAGATCAACGCTGTGGACTCGGAAAACAAGAAAAACCTGCAGGCAGACGTTTGGAGACTGCACCAGCTCAACAAGTCGCTCACCAACAAGGAGCATCCGTACAGTGGCTTTTCGACGGGTAACAAGGTGACCCTGGGCGAAGAGCCCGTCAAACAGGGCTTGGATGTCAGAGCAGAGCTGCTCAAGTTCCACGAAAAATACTATTCCTCAAATATCATGAGACTAGTCATTATCTCGAACAGGTCTCTCGACACCATGACAGAATGGGCCGTCGAGATGTTCTCAGACATTGCTAACAAGAACGCGACTTCTCCAATTTATAGAAACTCTCCATTTGACTCTGATACGTACAACGGCTACTTGATCCGTGCCAAACCGATCATGGAGCTGCGGTCTTTACAACTCTCGTTCCCCATTCCCGACACGAGACCCCACTGGGACTCGAAACCAGCCAAGTATCTCTCTCATCTCATAGGCCACGAGTCGGAGGGATCTCTGCTGTTCCATTTCAAAGCTAAAGGATGGGCCAATAATCTCAGTTGCGGCCACGAAGCGGTTTCTGCAGGATATTCGGCGTTCATTGTCAATATCGACCTTACTCCTGAAGGCCTGAAAAACTACGCCGAAGTGTTGCAGCATGTGTTCAAATACATCCGCCTGCTGAACGTGGAAGGACCTCAGAAATGGATATTCCAGGAACTGCATGAACAGAGCACCACCAGCTTCAAGTTCATGCAAAAAACGGGAGCAAGCCAATCGGCAAGCAGACTCGCCGGCTCTCTGCATGGACTGCAGTACTACGACACCCGGGGCCAGAACCCGTTGCGCAAAATTGAGGAGATTCCGCCGCGCTCAACAATTCCCTCAGAAAAGCTCTTGAGCACCATGATCGTCAGAAAATACGACCCCGAGGCAATTACCAATATTCTCTCTTACTTGAGACCGGACAACTTCCGCGCAATGCTGATTGCCAGGGAATGTTTAGAAGACGAGCCTGTGCTGACAGAGAAATGGTATGGCACAGAGTACCTGCCTTCCAAGATCGAGCCTCTGTTGTTGCAGAGTCTGGCAGAGATCTACACCGGTCCAGCTCCGGCAGAATACAGTTTACCGGAACGCAACATCTTTCTTCCAACAAACTTCTCACTGGTCGAGCCTCCAAGAGATGAGTCCGAAGGTATCGTCTACCCAAAACTGATCTGCGACTCATCAGACTCGCGCGTCTGGTACAAGGTTAACACAAAACTTGGTGGACCAAGATCCAGCGTCACGCTCAAATTCAACCTTCCGGGATCCACCTCTACTCCACTGAATTCCGTCTTGCTCTCTCTTTTTGTTGAGATGCTGGATGACGAGCTGAACAGTGTGTCGTACCTTGCAAGCATTGCAGGTCTGCACCACGAAATTGGTCTTGCAAGGTCTGGATTGAGTTTATCCATCAGTGGATACTCGCACAAGCTCGACACTCTTCTGGACAGGGTCACCAATACATTGCTGAAATTCACAAATGACGAATCCGTGTGGGATGAGACTAGAGAGGAACGGTTCAACATAGTCAAGGAGAAAATGCTGCGGAACCTAAAAAACTTTGGCTATTCCGTGCCTTTCCGTCAGATTGGACCAATGCTCTCTGCCTTGATCAACGAGGACTCGTGGATGATAGACGACCAGATAGACTGTTTTGACGCCGCGACATTCCACTCGTTGAAGAGCTTTGTGTCCAACCTGTTTGGAATCTGTTTTGTTGAGATGTTTGTGATTGGAAATTACAGCAGGCAGGAAGCTCTGCACATCAACCGGCTGGTGGCCTCGAAACTCACCAAGGCCCTTTCATACACAGAATCCCAATTTACGAGAGGCCGTTCGTTGGATCTTCCCGCTGGCGAGGAATACCATTTTGTCAAGAAAAACGTTGATGAAGAAAACGTCAACTCGTGCGTGGAAACATTTATCCAGCTCGGCTACATCACGGACCAACGTGACAGAGTGCTTGCCGAGCTGGTTTCGCAGATAATCCACGAGCCTTTCTTTGACCGTCTCAGGACCAAGGAGCAGCTTGGTTACGTTGTTTTTTCTGGAATCAGACAGACCAGAACCACTTTTGGTCTGCGTTTGTTGATTCAAAGCGAGAGAAGTACTGGCTACTTACTCGATAGAATGTCAAGGTTCCTGGTGAAAATCGGACACAACTTGTCTTCCATGAGCGACAAGGAGTTTGAAAAGCACGTGAACGCGGTGATTACCAAGAAACTACAGAAGGTGAAGAATCTTTCTGAGGAAAGGAGCAGGTTTTGGGACTCCATTGCATCTGGCTTCTACGATTTTGACAAAAGGGAGCTGGACGTTGAGACATTGAGGACAATCAAACGCCAGGAGCTCATTGATTACTACCACAACAAGATCCTGGACTCGTCTCAGCACGGAAAGCTGGTTGTGCATTTGCAGAGCCAGGTGGCTCCAAAACAGTCTTTAGTGAGCAGACTCACGAGCATTATTTCGAATCTGGTCTTTGATATACCTGAGTACGACTCTGTTGACCTGAGCTCCAACCAGCTAAGCGAGCTGATAGAGGGAAAAATCACCGAGGACACTGAGATTACCAGAGACGTTCTGGAGTCCATTTTTGACGGCTTCACCCTGATTCCCAACTTCAATCACAAAGAGCAATTTATCACTGCTATTTTGGACGAGCTCAAGAAAGAGTACAAGCTGACCAACACCATCGACAATGTTGGCGAATGGAAATCACAGGTGCCGCTCACAGGGGCTCCTAACGCTCACATCCCGGAGAAGTTCATGGACGAGGCCTTGCTCGAGCCCAAACTATAAACTGATTTATAGATTACGTAAATCTAGAGATAAAAGAAATGTGTGGAGGTGATAAAAAAAGTATGATTGACGAGGAAACCCCCTTAATTCAGCAGGCGCCAGAACCGTATGATGCACCACTTCCGGAAATCAGCAGTACTAGGCCAGAAAGAAGGCGGCTGCGGCATCCCCGTATAATTGGCTTGGTGTGTGTCCTGTTGCTTCTTACTGCAATTGGTGGGTATAAGCTGATAAAGAGCACGGGACAGGCATTTCTCGACGCCGCCAAATTTGATCTTGGCAATGTGCGGGTGGGAAATGTGACCGATGGTGGGTTTGAGGTTGTTGTTCGGGGAAATTTGGAGTTCGATTATGATCAAGTTAGTTCGTACTATCGAAATTGGGCCCGGCTATTAAGCGGGCTAAATACCGTCCAAGTGTCACCTGACGGTCCCTATGATATGAATGTGTGCATGCAAAAGGAAAGTCTCTCTATTGCTAGCGTGGGTTTGGTGGAGCCATTGACAGTGAAGCTGAAACAACCGCAGACTATTGAAGTAATAGCATATATTAAACCTACAAAGGAGATGGCGCGGCTGGTCAATCGAATCAGTCGCACGCCCCAGGAAGTGGTCTTCAGCTGCTCCATTGCGTGCGGTATGAGGGTATATGGCCATTCAGTGGGACAGCACACGGTTTCTGGAGCTTTGCCGCTAGAGCTGAACGGGAGCCGTATAGTTCAACGCGTGATGAAAGATGCGGTTCTGGAAAATCTGGAGATAAATGCCGACGGCAGAACCGTTGTTGGCTCTGCAGCTGTGAGACTATCAAGCGCGGGTTTGGTGGACTACACAGCGGATGCCATGAGCTGGGAGGTGCTCATGTCAGGTTGCAGCAAAGTTTGTTCAGTTGCTACCGTTAGCACAGGCAAGTTTGGTTTTCACGATCCAACTTTGATACCCACAAAATTTACCATTCCTCCCCTGGATGAGGACCTGCTGCTGGATTGCGGAGACGGCTCTACAATCAGCAAATTGCTAACGAACTTATCATGCAACCATGAGGTCCCGATAATTGTCAGGGCAAACCCGCTGAGCACGCAACCTCGATGGATGCGGGACATTTTCAGCGGTCTTGAAGTTCACGCTGCGCTGGCTATTGGACAAATCGAAGATTTTGGCGGCGGGATCGAAGCTGTGGACATTGAGTATCTCGGGGTGCGCGCACACGGAGATGCGTTGTTGGTGTCGTCGGACGTTTCGATCAAGTACAACGTTTCGGAGGGCATTGATGTGTCGGATATTGACATACCGTTTGTGAAGGGAAAGGTACACTGCGGCCCAAACATAACGACTCTGGAGATGAAAACTTGGCAATCCTCGAAATTGCGCTGCAAAAAACAAACCATCGGTGTATCGCTTGACGATGCACTGCTCAAGCCTGAAAATTCGAGCCTCATCAAAGACTTGGTTCAAAATCTCGCCACAGGCACCGCCGTCAAAGTGTCAATTAGCCCGTTGCTGGATATCCAGGTTGTTTCGGAGTTTATGACGACGACAATCACAGGTCTAAGTACAGAACTGGAGTATTCTGTGCCTGCTGTTCCGAACGACCGGCTCTTCAAGAGTCTCGACGTCCGTCTTAACGAGCTTGTGCTGCTTGAAGCCTCTGCTAATCACTGCGCCATGGTGATCAACGCGGCTGTTTCCAGCAGCCTGAACCTTGATAGCACCCTCGAAGGACTCAAGTTCGACCTTCAGTACAACGGATCAACAGTTGGCCGGATAGAACCGGGCCCGGTGCACTTAACTCCCGAAAACTACAGCAATACCAGTGCCAAGCTCATCATGCAACTCGGCACGGATATCGATAAGTCTCGGCTCGAGCGCATGCTGGGCACTTATCTGTCGGGGCTGTATCCGGTGATTGAGGTTATCGGCCGTCACGATTCGCAACTGGCCGCCTTTGTGGCCGGCATCCAGGTCCCCATGCGGCTACCCCAGATTTCGCGACAAGAAAATATTTTGCACCCCGTGGCGCACGAGAGTATTTTTCTTGTCGACTCGACAATGCATATTATGTCATCGGAAATCGAGCTGACGGTGTTCAACCCAGTCGCGAACAGCGAGGTGGTGGTGGACCTCATCGAAGCGCAGGCGAGCCACGATAAGACCATCCTGGGTTACATAAGCAAGGAGCAAAGAATAGTGGTGCCACCGGGACTGTACAGGACACCCCGGATCCCGGTGACGTATGCGACGAGCGGGATAGGGGCCGACATTCTACGCAAGGCGCTGAACGGCCAGCTGGAGATCGACACGTCGGCCGTGATGCGCGTCCATCTTGGCGCGTTTGCCGTCGAGCTGCTGTACTCGGGGTCCGGCACTTCGACCAAGATCCGTCTGTAGCGCGGGGGTAGGACGATAATGTGGCTGGGAAGATAAGTGGCTAGTAATTTCTCTACAATAAAAATTATGGGGAAAAATATGTAGGTCGAAAGGAATATACTTATCCTTTAGCCGGCTGCGTTCTTGTTATTAAATGTCCGAAGACCTGGCCGAAATTGAAGAGCCCAAGATCCCGGGCAACTACTCTGCACGCAGGCAGAACAGATGGCTCCCGCCCTCGTCGAGAGGCGACGAAAACGGCGCAAACGACGAGAACGAGCGACATGTTCCACCCCACGTCCATGAGGACGTAGACGAGATTCACAGGACCGTGTCGCGCTTCCATGTGTCTCCCGCGCAACTGTACTCGACCGACTCTGGGAAGCTGTACCATGCGGGGTGTATTTGCATCGTCTTGGTGGGACCGCCTGCGCGCGGTAAAACCAACCTGTCGATCAGTCTGTGCAGGTATTTGCGATGGCTGGGAGTTCGGGCCAATTTGTTCCATTTGGGCGACATTAGAAGAGAGAAGACGAAACACGTGCCGTTTGAGTTTTTCGACCCAAAGCCGGAAAGCGAGGAGGCGAAACGGGTGCGCCAGGAACTAACCGACCTGGCCGTGCGAGACGTGCTCAATTTTTTCCAGAACGACATGGGCCAGATTGCTATCTACGACGCGGTGAACGGCGTGAGCTCGCAGAGACGCGAGCTGGCGCACGTGCTGCAGCAGCACGACGTCAAGGTGATTTTCATCGAGAGCCTGATCGACGACCCGAAACTGCTGGAGAGCAACATAGCCGACGCCGCCAAGTCGCCAGACTACATCAACTGGGACGCCGAGGAGGCGATTGCCGACTACAAGAAGCGGGTCAGCGTGGTGGCGCACTCGTACGAGGAGATGGACGAGGAGGAGCTCACGTACATCAAGTTTATCAATTTTGGCGAGAAGCTGCTGGTGAACAGGTCGAAGCACGACTTCCTCACGACGAAAATAATATTCTATCTCATGAACTCGAAAATCAAGAAGGGCTCTATTTATTTCGCAAGATGCTCCAACAACAAGCTCAACTTCAAGAGCGACCCGCCGCTGGACGCCAAGGGCCAGGAGTACGCGCGTAAGATTTTCGACACGATGGTCAAACATTACCAGGAGCAGGGCCACGAAGGTCTGCCTGCGGATCTGCAGGTGTGGACGTCTGTCAGACTGCGCACGACACAACTGGCGCAGGTGTTCAAGGACGTGGGGCTGACAGTGACACACCGCCCGGAAATGACGCAGCTGAACCCTGGCGACGCCCACGGGCTCACAGACGAAGAGCTGAAGGAGAAATTCCCAGAGGACTACCACAGACACCAGCTCGATCCGTACCACCACCGGTACCCGAGAGCCGACTGCTACCACGACCTGGCACTGAAGTTGGAGCCGCTGATCATGGAGATCGAGCGTCTGACAAACGATGTGCTGGTCATCGCCGACGAGACCGTCATCCAGGTGTTCTACGGCTACCTGATGGCGTCGTCGTGCAGCGACATCCCGTTCCTCAAGTTCCCGCAGTCAGAGGTCACCAAAATCACCTACAACGCTTACATGAACAAGGCGACCAGAATCAAGATCGAGGGTCTGCAGGAGTAAGGCGGTGCTTAATCCAAATATCATATTCATGTGTACACACAAACTGGGAAGGTAAAGCTTTAGGTCGTGTCTGGCGCTGTAGCTGCGGGAATTGCCAGTGCAGTTCCGCTGATCGCGGTTGCCAGTTGGTCTGCCATCTCGTTGCCGTAAATACCACTGTGTCCGTAAACGTGCTTGAAGCATAGTGGCCCCCATCCGATGTTTGCGTACTGGGAGTTGATTGCTTGTACGTTGACCAAGATCGCCCGAATCTCGTCCTGGTTGGCAACATATTTGCCCTTTCTGTTCCGCCACCCGTTGGACTGCCATCGGTGGCACCATTCTGTCAGACACCCGATCACGTACCTGGAGTCTGTCATGATCTGGAATTTTGTATGGGTGTGTTCTGTAAGGTCGCTGAGAATGATTCGCGTGGCCTCGTGCACGGAAAGCAGCTCTGCTCTGTTGTTGGTGGGATTTTCAGCGAGCACAAACCCATAGTTGCGTGGATCATTAACGCCAAAGAACACAGCAGCACCGGCCTGGGCGAGTTCCGAGTTCTGGTTGTTGCGACACGAGCCGTCAGTGAAGACGTTTACCACGGGGTCGCCATGAAGATCGATATCATGATGGTATATGGGAGACCCGACTGGGATGGATAGCGCGCGTGTTCCCAGGGTGCGGATCCCGGATCGTCGTAGGAACATGAGGATATTACTGTAATTTTTTTAAAACTGCACGGCTGTGCGGGATATACTTTTAGATGAAGGATTGGTTTCGTTCAGGGTGCAGATTGTTCGAACTTCAGCCGAATGCTGAGGTGCTTTGTAGTTTTAGCTTGTACGATAGATTTGTAAGGCTTGCCAGGCGCCTGTGTGGCCTAGCTCCATGTAATTAATCTCAATAGTAAGACTTAGTGCAAGGCCATTGACCTGTGACCGAGCAGTCATGGAGATTCGAAGTTTTAGCTCTATGAAGTGCATTGAATTATGATCGCGAGCTCAAGACTTTTTCAATGTCCGTGAACGAGACAGCCGTTACCCATGGTTCCTGTTTTGGACCCAGCAACAGAAGGCAAGAACCGATCGACCGGCCTATAACCATCTAGCCTATTCTTGCAACCATATATCCGTATGGGATATGAAAACCCGAGCATTTTTGGCAAAAATCAATCTACCATAGCTCGCAATCAGTCGCAGACTAGCAGGAGCCATTCCATGCCTGAATTCCAAAGCCAATAGCATTATCTACTCTCCTATTTGTCGTGGCTCAGAATCATAGCAGAAGTGTAGTCATTGAAAGATTCATCAGCGGCCCTCGCCCTAAAACCAATGATGAAATACTCTGGAAATTACTTCATCGCCCAATGCTACTTCCTTTCCATCGTGGCCCCCTCACGGGCCAGCGCGTCTGCCATCTCGTTGCCGTGATTATTTGCGTGCCCACGCACCCAGTCCACGGTCAGTGTGCCAAAACCATGGCGAGCGTACTCCTCGTTAATTCGGTCTATCAGGCCAAGGATCGACTCGATCAGGTCGCGGTTGGCCACGGGCTGTTTTTTCGAGTTTTTCCAGCCGTTCTTCTGCCACGTCTTCGACCACACAAATATGCATTTCACACAGTACTCCGAGTCCGTGAGGATCTGGTACTGCTCGCCGTTGCCAAACTCAAACTCCTCGAGTATGGTTTCCAGAGCCTGCTTGATAGCACTCAGCTCTGCGCGGTTGTTCGTCTGGACAGGGCCCGCCAACGGCGCGGCAGTGTTACGCGGGTCGCCGTCCCCAAAAAACACGCCATACCCAGCCTTCGCACGCGACGGGTCGTGGTTGAAACTGCACGCGCCGTCCGTGTAGATCGTGTACACCTGGCGTGTGGGGGGTGTCGGTTTCTGCAAGACCATAAAAAATATTGAAAAATTATTTTTCGATAAGCTGGTTCCGTAGCCACGATTGGGATTAATTCCAACACATCATTGGAAGATTTCGAGGTTTGAAGAGTGGTTAGCCAAAGCGTACCGCCAAATTCTGGGCTCAACTTTGTTCTCGCTTGGCGTATTCAGTGCTGCCGTATCAAGGCAGTGTCTAGTCCTTATATAGGAGATTAACAAGGCCATTCACTCGCTATAGAGCTGAAATATATACAAGCTTTAGATACCGCCCGAGTAGCACGTGCTGAGCTGTCGATTTGAGAAGCGCCAGACCGGCCGATCAAGTTTAGTACCAAACGCCAGTAAAGTCCATATAGGGGTTTTGTACTGGCTCTGTTAGATGCAGCTCGCTCATCAGCTCCGGCTGTCTTTGTTATTTTCCGTCCAATTGAGCCATCCGTGGTCGTATTTTCAAACCCACGCAACGTGTTGCCGAGCAGCTGGCAGAATCGCAGCTAGGTACACATTCGCGCTTCTATGCTGGTGTCGGGCCCCGTTTTGTTCTACGCGTGTCTGCGGCCACTGCTCTGAGAGTTCGCTGGGCATTTCGAATATGGACCCAGTACCACCAATTGCATAGACGGCTTTGCCACAATTGATAATATTGCCTTACTGATGCAAAAGCAGTCATGTATTTCAACCATTGGTAAACGTCCTTGCCACAAATTCCTGATATATAATCATTGTTGTAGGCCACAACCGCAGCCATAGCCGAGATCATTCCTAAATTGCACCATAGCTGGCTTTGAAGATTTTTGCAACGAGCCGAGCAGATAGCTGTGATATCTGCTAGACCGCTAAAAGCGTTTGTGTAAAAGTGAAGTGTCTGGCTGAATGAGTCTCGTCATATGTGGACCCGTAAACAAAAGCACCTGGCCAGAACTAGCTAAAAATACCGTCGTCCAGCAGATACACGTTTCTGCCAGGTATCTCAATCATTGCAAATTGTCTGAACTTTTAGTACTGCTTTTCCATTTTGTGCCTGAATTTTCTCGAGATTTGGCTTAAAAGTCCGACCCTTATCTAAATTCCACTCAAAAAATTTACCCCCTTATCATGAAGCTGACCGTGAAGAAATGGCGTCTGCCGAAACAGAAATCTTCGTGCGCGCCTGACGGCGTCAACACAAACGTCGACAACGACGTCACCCCGCCAGAAAGACGCACGTGGAACGTGTACATGATTATCGGCTTCTGGGCCTCGGATTACTTATCTATGCAGACCGTTGAGAATCCGTCCAACTCGCTGCTCATGGGAATGACCTGGAAAACAGGTCTGAGCACGTCCATGGTAGGCATGGTGCTTATCGGGCTGCCGTTGATTTTCAACGGCGCCATTGGAGCCGCTCTTCACGTCCCTTTCCCCGTCGCCGTGCGCTCGTCTTTTGGCTATCATTTTTCGAAATTCGCAGTTATCACCCGGTGCATCACGGCAATTTTCTGGCACTCGATCCAGACATTCTCGGGCTCGCTGGCAATGACGGCCTGTATCACGGCCATCTGGCCCTCTTTTGGCCGTATCCCAAACAAAATTCCATCCTCCATGGGCATCACCTCGCCGCAAATGATTGGCCATTTTGTGTTTTGGTCAGTGCAGTTTCCCTTTCTTCTTATCCCCCCACACAAGCTCAGATGGTTCTTTATTCTAAAGACTGTCATAGCGGCTGCTTGTCTGGTCGGAACAGCGGCAGGAATGGCCAAGATGGCAGGAAACTCCGGCGACATCTGGAATCAGGAATACACAGTTCATGGAGCAGAACGCTCGTGGCTGTACGTGAAACTGCTAAACTCGAATGTCGCCGGCTGGGCCACCATGGCCACTAACATAGCCGACTTCACTAGGTACATGAACGACCGTTCTAAGGCACAATATGCGCAGGTCGTGGTGCTGCCTGCCTGGGCCACATTTGTGACCATGATGTCTTTGGTGGCCTCCTCCGCCGGCAAAATGGTGTACGGGTCTTACATCTGGTCACCAACGGAGTTTGCAGAGCACTGGACCGCTACTGGCTCCAAAGGCCGTGCCGCATCTTTTTTCGTGTGTGCCGCGTGGTGTATTTCGCAAATCGGCACGAATCTTTCCGCCAACGTCATAACTGGGGCCAACGACCTCGTCTCGCTGTTTCCAGAGTACATCAACATCCGTCGAGGAGCAGTGATCATCACTATCATTTCCGGCTGGGTGCTGCAGGCATGGAAAATTGAAAACTCGGCAGCTCAGCTGGTTACTTTTATTTCCGGTCTTTCGAGCTTTTTGGCTCCCATTACTGGCATAATTATTGCTGATTACTGGGTGATAAAAAAACAGCACCTGGACGTCCCAGCCTTGTACGATCCTAACGGTAGGTACAGCTACTACAAAGGATTCAACTGGCGTGCTGCACTCGCATTTCTGGCTGGCAATGTGCCATGTCTCCCGGGCCTGGCATCAGAAGTCGGCAGCGTTTCTGTGAATGCTGGTATTTTGGAGCTATGGTACATGTCTTACTTTTATGGGTTCCTCTCATCGTTCGCAGTGTACATTGTCACTAACTACTTCTGGCCAGATAGACGGTCGCAGGTTAACGAGACAGTCTACTACATTTATGAGGACGAGGAGGTCGAAGAAGTGGACGTTGTCTTTGAGCCAAAATTAAAAAAATAGGTTTTTAAATTAATAGCTTTATGTAGGTTATAGAAGTCCAATTGTACGTCCTGCTGAGCTTAATTCAAAAGAGGTGGGAATTCATGGAGTAGAGTCAAAGAAATCATGAAATAACTGGCCAGCGGAAAGTTAGAAGCTGGTTTGTACAAAGAATTCAGCTAGTGAAGGTACAAGCAGGGGTTCTCATAATATATATTTGCAAATCGATCGGAAATATACCCCATCATCTAGGTCGACTCCACCCCCTTGATGATCATCAGAACATCACCTGGGTTCACAATATCACCCTCCTCGACAATAACTCCCAAAACCTTGTACTTTGCGAAACTCGACTTGTCCTTGATATGCACAGGAATTTCCATCTTCATAGCCTCCAGAATTACGAGTGGGTCTTCCTTAGCAACAACTTCTCCCTCCTTGCACTTAATTTTGAACACGTTCGATGGCATGTGCGACGTGATTTTGATTGCTCCAGGAACATTGCTGATGTCGTCCGATTTTGTTTTGGAGGCAGCAGCAGCAGCTTTTTCCTGTTGCCACAGCTCAAAGTCCGCCTGCTCCTCGCGATTGCACTCTTCAAATGCCAAAAGCTTGCGTTTCTTCAGATCCCTCAGCTCGTCGTCAATTGAGTCAAGGAAACTCCTGTACTCCACGAAATCGAAGACACCCTCTGTTGGCTCGATCTTCATTTTTTTCGTCAGCAATAAATTGTTCATTCTCTGCAGCTCTTCCTCGTCAACCTCATAGAAAATCACCTGGTCAAACACCTTGAAAGGCCAGGGATTCTCGTGGATTCGGCAGAACGTGTCCCAGTACCAGTTGGGCAGCGTCATGCCCCACATCATATATCCTCCAGGGGACTCCTGGGGATAAATAGATTGCAACACAGAGCCGGTCGAAATTGTTCCGCTAGGAGTCGACGTACGTGTCGGGTTGTACTTCGAGGCAGAAAGCCTGCACCGCGGGTCCACGGTGGCCATCAGAACGTTAGCACATAGGAACGTGATTGCAACCACCATTTCGGGCTTGCCGATAATGCAGCTCTTAAAGTGCTCCATGTCCTTGATGAGGTTCGCCTTCATGAGATAGTCAGTATTCTTCGGCAAATAGGTGGCATGAGAGCGCTGTGAGTGCATGTATCGCTCCAAACAGTGGTCAAGGGCCGAATGTTCAAAGGCCACCGGCAATCTAAATGTTCTTGACGGGATTTTCAGCTTGTCGATCTGCGGAATAGAGGCTTCCAATTTGATCAGTTTCTCCAGCAGATCAGATCTGTCCACTTCCATTGGGTCAAACAGAACTCCCATGGCACCCGTACAGCACTCAATGCTCTCAAACATTCCGCGCAATTGTTTTCTGATTTCTGTCTCCATCACATGCTGGCGGCCGTTTTTGAGCAGATCGAATTCCAGGTTGCCAAAATCGATCACAATCATTCTCTCTCCAGCCTGTCTAAAGCAAACCTCCGGCAAGGTTGCAGATGGTTCCCGTCTGTATAAGAAATTGCCGACCTTGCTTTGCAGCGGCTCATACTCAGGAAGCTCGTCGTTGAACTTGATGGACGAGCTGCTAGGACGTTTAGAAATCTCCTCCAAATACTCGTTTCGCTGCTTCATGAGTCTGATAGCATCGTTGTAGGTGATCGGAGTAAAGTGTATTTTGCTGTTGATAGCAGCCTGGCCGAACTTCCAGAAGTCTGCCTCAGCAGGAGCAAAAATGCACACAAATCCAGAGGCAGTGGCTCCGTCTGGCCCATACAGAGTCATCACAGACCCAACGGCAGACAACCCACACGTTGGATACGGATACTCCAGCACGTTACTTGGGTGGCCACCGCCGTCACCGCCCGAAAGCCGGCTGAACTTCATTTCTGGTCCGTCCAGACGCGTGGCTCCTCTGTTGGAGTTGAAATTGACGGAGTAGGGAATAGAGTAGAGCTGCTCCATTCCTTCTTCAGAGACAATGTCTGGCGTGTCGTGCGGACCTCCAATAACACGGACCAAGTTGGTGAGTCTTTCGTAGTCAGGAATGAGCGACTCTGGGAAGTGGTAGCCGGTTCTGAAGACCTCGATTGGCTCCCGTTCTGAAATATCAAGACAATCCCCCGGGAGTATTATCCTTCCCTGGTGGCCACCGAGCTGCAGACTTGGCAGACATCCCTTGGAGCCCAGGTAGTTGGCCACTCCAGGGAATCCTCCTTTAATTGCCAGATAGCACTTTGCAGCAGATCCCAAGGGCTCCTCTATTTCAAGGAGGCTTCCGGCAGGAACGAACAGTTCTGTATACATAGGGACGTCCCTGTCATCAAGCGTGACTCTGAAATTGCCACCGGCAAGGGCAACCACTGCAGGGGCATGGAAGCGTATGGCTGGTCCCTTGAGGTTGATCTCGAGAGCTTCACAGTGCAAATGGTTGCCAACAATGACGTTTGCTATTTGTAGAGCTAGCGGATCAACTGGACCACCAATAGGCACTCCGAACCTGACTTTGCGTCTTCCAGGAAGGTCTTGGATGGTGGTGTATGCTCCTCCGCTTTCGAATTCAATCAAATGCGGCTTGAACACAAAACCTGATAAGAAGCTGGTGAGCGTGTTTCCTGAGCGGAACTCGGGGCTGTCCAGGATATTTATACAGTACTCCACGTTGTTGACTGGGCCCTGAATCTTGATATCTTTCAAAACTCCAATCATGTTGTCACTGGTCCGGACTGGAGACCAGACCATTACCTTAGCAAGAAGCGGATCAAAGTAAGGCGACACCTTGCTACCGGTCTCAATCCAGTGGTCAATTCGCACCCGGTAGTCCCCGTAAATGCCGTCTTCTGGTAACGAGACATTGTGTAAAACTCCGGGACACGGAGCAAAGTTGCGTACTGGATTTTCCGCGTACACACGGACTTCGATCGAATGGCCATTGGGGACTTCGACGCCGTTTGCGTCGTATTTCACATTTGCTCTCAAAATTTCAGCAGGAACTCCAGACAAGTTGCTTTCGTACTCTGCTTGCAACAACATGAAATAAACCAAATCGACGCCATACACCATTTCTGTAATTCCGTGTTCCACCTGCAACCGGGTGTTGACTTCCAAAAAATAGAAGTCGCCAGTCGTGTCGTCCACCAGGAACTCGACCGTGCCGGCGGACTTGTATTTGATGGTGGAGGCCAGACGTTTTGCAGCGGAGGTGAGACGTTCGCGCAAATTGTGCTTGCTACCAAGATCAGACACAAATGGCGAGGGACATTCCTCAATCACTTTCTGGTGTCTTCTCTGGATAGAGCATTCTCTTTCCCCGTACGTGACCACATCACCGAGACCGTTGCCGAACATCTGGACTTCGATGTGACGACCTTTCTCAATATATTTTTCCACAAACACGCCGGCATTGGAGAAAAGGGACGTACCTCGGGAAGTGACCTCGGCAAAGTTTGCCACAAGCTCGCTTTCGTTATAGCACACCTTAAGTCCCATTCCTCCTCCTCCTGCCGTGGCTTTCAATATCACAGGGTAGCCGATTCTGTTGCATTCGGAAATAAGCTCCTCGCTGTCGCTGATCAGGCTGGTTCCAGGAACCACAGGCACGTTTGCCTTGACTGCAATATCACGAGCCAGGTGTTTCAGGCCAAACTGTTCAACAGATTCTGACGAAGGACCGGCAAAAAGAATACCGTTCTTGGCCAACTCTGCTGCAAAGTCTGAGTTCTCAGAAAGAAAGCCGTAGCCAGGAACGACAACGTCAATGTTGTGTTTCGTGGCCAGCTCGATGATCTCTGGGATGTTGGTGTATGCGTTAGCTCCAACGCCGCTCAGAAGATACGCTTCATCCGACAAACTCACATGGAGCGACTCGAGATCCTCTTTCGAGTAGATGGCAACGGCTGTAAGCCGGTACTTGTTGCATGTTTTGATGATCCGCACAGCAATTTCGCCTCTGTTGGCAATGAGCACCCGCTTGATGTTCTTGAAACTGGACATATGTTTGCAATACGTGATAGCTGGCTTTGGAGGCAAATAAAGTTTCACGCTATCTTATCAAAAACCACCATCTCTTAGCGGCTATGTATCTGGATGCAAAGCGGAAAATGGGAACCGCCGGCTTGCCAGCGGTGGCGGGGCGATCGACAGATGGTGGGCAGCCGCATGGCCCTGAACGCAACGGCAGCATTGTCTCCAGTAACTGGAACAAAGAAATGCAATATGCACAATTATCGTCTTATCTAGGAACTAATCGCTCGCGCATGAATATATGCATAATCTTTTTTTTTGGAGCATCTGGATAATTTCACTTATCGCCACAAACATATATTTAGCATCATGTAGTTGTTCTTGTAACCACCAAAATGACTATCGACACTTCCAACGGACAATTCATCATCTTCTCTCAGGGAGTCGGTTACGGGATCGTGATTGGTGTGGGTGCGGTCTTTGCCGTCACCATGGCGTTGATCTCGTGGCTGCTCTCGCGCTACATGAATGAGATCCAGGACTCGGAAATGCTGTCCACCGCAAAGCGGTCCATCAAGTCAGGACTTATAGCCAGTGCAGTGGTCTCCAGTTGGACCATCGCCTCCACTCTGCTTCTTTCCACCACCACGACCTACAGTCTTGGAATATCTGCCGCTTGGTGGTACGGAGGAGGTGCGTGTGTCCAGATTATCATCTTTGCCACTATGGCCATCGAGCTGAAAAGAAAGGCGCCAAACGCCCACACTTTCCAGGAGATCATCAAGGTGAGATTCGGAGCCGTTGGCCATCTGACTATGTGCTTCTACTCTCTTGCTCAGCAGGTGGTCTACACTGCAAACCTGCTCATCAACGGTGCCTCCGTGTTTTCCAACATGACAGGCATGAGCAAAGAAGCCACCTGCGTGCTCTTGCCCGTTTTCGTCATAGTTTACACTCTGATTGGTGGTATCAAAGCCACCTTCTTGACCGACTGGACTCACGTGGTTATCATTTTCGTGATCATGATGACCTTAATGTTTGAGGTCTATGCCACATCAGATGTGCTGGGATCCCCAGAAAAAGTCTGGGAGCTTCTGACGGAGGCTGCCAAGACTTACCCTGTGGCAGAGAATCTGGACGGCTCGTATCTGACGTTTACGTCCGTGAACAGCGGTCTGTTTGGACTTATTCTGCTCGGAGCCGGATGGGCAGCTGCCGTCGACTCCCAGCTGTTCCAGAAAGCCATAGCGGCCAATCCTGCTGGAGCGCTTACGGGATACACCCTCGGAGGCCTGTGCTGGTTCACTTTGCCGTATGCATTGGCAACCACCATGGGCTTGGCGTGCCGTGCTCTGGAACAAACCAGCAGTTTTCCGGTCCCAGGTGGACTCACAGAGCAACAGCTCTCCAACGGGCTGGTGCTACCAATTGCTGCGTACGCGATTATGGGTAAAGGTGGTGCCATAGGCATCTTGCTGATGGTCTTTATGGCAATCACCGCGGCTTATTCTTCAGAAACAGTGGCTGTGTCTTCGTTGCTGACCTACGACATCTACAAGTCTTACATCAACCCCAAAGCAGACGGCAAGAAACTGGTTTTCGTCACGCACGTGAGTGTTATTTTGTTCAGTGCGGTGGCTATTGGACTGGCTATCGGGCTTGGCCAGGCCAACTTCGACGTGTCGTTCATCACCACTGCCTCCGGTATTATTGTCAACGTCTGCGTTATTCCAATGATCTGCACGCTTTTCTGGAGGAAGCTCTCTACATTTGCGTTCGTCGCCAGCAGTACGCTCTCGACGTGTATTTCGCTGGCTATTTGGATCGGGTACAGCTACTCGGCATCTAAATCTGTGACGATTGCCACATTGTCTACATACCGTGCTCTGGCAGCTGGTAACACGGCGGCCATATTTGTGCCAGTTGTGTTTGTGCCACTGTTCACCTACTTGAAGCCAGCAGACTTCGACTGGAATAAATGGAAGACCGAGATTAAACAGGTCGACGACTCTGAGTACGACAAAGAGCAAGGCTTGACAAACGTTCTGAGCGGAGAAGACCTGACCGAAATTGTTCTCACCAAAGAACAGGAGGAAGATGCCATGATGAAGCGCAAGAGGAATTACGGTATTGGTTTGGCTGTTTTCTTTGTCCTGTTCTTCTTGGTGCTCTTCCCAATGCCTCTGTACGGGAGCCACTACATTTTCACAAAAACGTTTTTCCGGGGCTACATTATTGTCACCTTTTTGTGGGTGTTTTTCTCCGTCAGCGTCGTCACTGCTTACCCTGTGGTGGAAAGTTTGGACGGTATCAAGACGCTCTTTAAGAACATCTTTACAAGAAAACGGAGTCACGTGTTGTACTCCGACCAAGTTCTAAGCCAGGTGACAAGCCGCAGAGCGGAGGCTGACAATAAAGAGGAGGCGGTCGTGAACATTAGTATGGTTAACTAGCTTAGTACAATTTTATACTTAATCGAATATATGGTGGCGTGAGGCTGAAGCAGTGCAGCACATGCGGCGCAAATTTCATGCACGCAGACTTTATGCGCCTCTCGACCGCTCTGGCTTATCTTGCACCGAAGCGAGCCGACATCCCTTTTAGGACAAAAGCACATCTGATAACTTTTTGGGTAGCCGCCATGTGCCTTACAAAGTTGCGATGATCATTGAAATTCTTATCTTCGAACCACTCTCTGCAATACTGTAACGATGGCCAAATTACCAGAAGCTCTCAAGGGCTCGCCCGAGGTGAACAATAAGTACATGGATAAGTATGAAATTGTTTGCGACATGGGAGAAGGTTTTGGAAAATGGAAGATGGGCCCCGATGAGGAGCTCATGCCACTGATTGACGTGGCCAATATCGCGTGCGGGTTCCACGCAGGAGACTTCAATATCATGGCCAAGATGGTAAAGCTGGCCAAGAAATACAACGTCAAGGTGGGCTCGCATCCAGGTCTGCCTGACCTACTTGGCTTTGGAAGACGGAGATTTGCCATTCCACCAGATGAGATCTTTAACCTGGTCATGTACCAGACAGGCGCTCTGAAAGCATTTTTGGACGCCGAGGGCATGCCACTGAACCACATCAAGCCGCATGGAGAACTCTACTTCTATGTGGAGCGTGACGAGGAGGTGATGAGAGCGGTTTTGCGGGCCGCACAGATCTTCAAAGTTCCTGTTATCGGAGCCAAGAACGCACATTACGAGAAAGTGGCCAAGGAGATGGGCGTCGATCTCATCCAGGAGCTGTATCTGGACGTTGATTGGTCTGCAGATGGAAAGCTTGTTCCTCCCGCGCTTTCCAGACCCAAAAACCCATCTATCATATACAGCGACCTAGTCGAAGTGGCCGAGACGGATGAACTGTCCTGTGTTTCTGGAGAGAAAATCAAGTTCAATTTTGGTGAAACCCCCTTCATGCTGTGCTTGCACTCAGACATGCCCACAGCTCTGGGGAACGTGACGGAGGCTAGAAAAGCTATTGACGAAATTAATAAGAAAAAAGGATTCCCTGTGAAGCAAGCTTACTAGTTTATATATTAAATCTACTCTGCCTGTTTAAAGCTTCCAAACTTCTTCAGGTATTGCGATGCTGCGTCAACGATCGATCTCTCTAATGGGATGAATTCGTAACCGCCGACAGACTCGAGAACATTCTCAATACCGTAGCCGACCAGTCCTGTGGCGTTGTCCTTGTCTGGAGCACCCACAGCAAGCTTTTCCTCTGGGAAATGCTTGTTGAGGACGTTGAGGATGGTCTGTCCAGTGAAGTTGCCAGAAACGATGAACAGCCGAGTTCCAACAGCTGCCTCCTTCTCAAATGCAAGCTGGTGGAACTTGGCCACATCTCTGACGTCAACCCCCAGACCAAATGGCTGACTGACCAGCTCGTCGGTTGGAGGTGTTTTAACGACCTGGTTGATCAGCTCATTGGATGTGTTCAGAGTCTTGGAGACTGCGGAGTCGAAAACCTGCGGACCAAAGACATATGGTGGACAGACGGTTGTGAGCTTGAAATTTGGCTTTTCGTTTTTGACAAAATCCCAAGCAGCCTTCTCGGCATGGGTCTTGGAGGCACAGTAGGCCTCCATCTCGTTTTTGCATTCCTCGAGCTTCATTGGGTTCCAGTCCTGGTTGGTGTACTTGACGTAGTTGGGAGTGAATCTCATGATTGCTGCAAAGGAGGACGTGACAACAACGTTGGTGACTTGCGGAGCGTATTTTTTGATCGACTTAAGAACGTTCTTGGTGCCCTCCACAGCTGGCTTGAAGTAGGTTTCCTCGAACGACTTGTCGTGGCCGAAAGAGAAAGGCGAAGCAGTGTGAAGCACGTATTTAATCTCAGGGTGCTTCTTCAACAAATCATCAAAAGCACCCTCAGCTGTGATGTCAGGAACAACCTCGTACGAAAGGTTGGCTTTCGGGTACTTTTTCTTGAATTCCCCAAGAAGTGGCTCGAACTTGGACTCAGATCTGGCCGTACCAATGACAGTGTAGCCGGAGTCTAGCAGGACGTCGACAATGTGGGAAGCAATAAATCCATTGGCACCGGTGATAAGCACAGACATTTTCAATTCAATAGTAATATGAGATTGGCAATGCGAGGTCCTTGAGCTTTATAGTGAAAACTGGAATCACCGCAATGAAAAAATTAGCAATCGATGCAAATCGTAACAATAGAGAGAAATTATGTGCCTCCCTGTCAAGAGATTTTAAACGGTTTTTCGGCGAAAAATGCCCGGGAGACTGTTTGTCGATTGTTTTCGAAAATTCGAGAAAGAGCAACCCAAGGCAATCAAAGGGGGTTCGAACTCAGCGTAGAAGATATGGAACGTAACGTCCTGACCAGTGACTAGCTCCCTTCTCAGAATCCATGGTTTGCCCGAGAATGCACTTCGTCATCCTCCTTTTTGAATGAGATATCCAGGAACTGAGAGCATACGTCATGGGACCGCCCGACACAAGCAAGACTCATAAACTTGCCTAGCTCTCGTCCTTCGTGTCCAACAGTTTCACTCGATTCTCATTTAGATAAAGTATTTGACGTACTAGCGTTCTTGGCAATTTTTATATCGCTTAATCTAATTCATAAGTTCTGAAAGTGGCCATTTTGCAGTCCCAAACTCCTCCACAACTCCTCCACAACAAAGGCTGCGATCACAGATAGAGAGCAGGGCTTAGCTTAAGTGTGGGGTCATCCTGTGGCTTGTGATTGAGGTTATTTCTTTCAGAGTCGAATATCTGATCGGGATTCAATCAAATGCCGCCAATACCAATATATAATAGAACTCGCACACCAAATAAAGGCACAATAATTACTAATGGAAACTAAAAACCACACATAAACAATGGCACCATAAACGAAATTGTTCGATTCAAGAATCTCCTTACTTATAGAGAATTGTGTTCCTGAGCCACAATAGCTCTTGATTGGGCCATGAGTCGGTTCCATACTATATCGCTTTACACAGTTACTCTAAGCGCACTATAACCGCGATTGGGTGGCTCTGCGGCTATAGTTTTGGAGCCACACATCTGGAGTTCTGTTGCTTTTGATCAGGTGAACGGTAGTCACCTAAATCTTGCAACCACTTTCCAGCACGCTATAAAAGGCCGCATTTCTGGTTGTCTTCCATATTGCCAACTATGACTTCAACCGCCACCCTAAAACTCCAAGCTATTCCAATCGACAAGGAGATCGAGAACTTGATTAGAGCTTCCGAAAACATCTCCGTGGGCACTGTTCCAGGAGATAACCAGCATTTCGGCCCAGACCCAGATGGGTTGACCATTTTGCCTGACTCCACGAGGAAGCGTTTGGTCGATGCAGGCATTGACATTTCCAAAGGTTATCCTTCCAGGCCAGACAAGTCGCTTATTCCTGTCTACCTTGACGAAGCTACCGCCATCCGTGATGACGACTACGAGTACATTGAGCGTGCCAAGAACGCCGACCCCGAAAAGAAAGCACTTTTGGGTGCTGCGAAGGAGGTCATCCATTTAACCAATCATATCGGTACTGAGATTGTTGGTTTACAGCTTGAAGACCTAACTGACCAACAGAAAGACGAGCTCGCCTTGCTGGTTGCCGAGAGAGTTGTTGTTTTCTTTAGAGACCAGAAGCTTTCTCCTCAAAAGCAACTGGAGCTGGGAGAGTACTGGGGACGTGTTGAGAAACACCCGCAAGCTTCTCAAGTCAATGGCTTGCCTGGGATCACTGTCATCTGGCAGGATTACTTCCAAAAGTCGCTTGGATCCAACTTCACCTACAAGAATATCAATCTGGGCAACTGGGATGCCACCAAGAACAGAACGAGAGGTGCTCAAGTTTGGCACACAGACCTGGTCCACGAAAAGCGTCCAGCTGGTATCACTCACCTGCATTTGGACGCAATCCCAGATGTTGGCGGTGACACTCTCTGGTCATCGGGTTACGCGGCCTACGACAAGCTTTCTGAAAACTTCAAGAAATTTCTGGATGGAAAGCAGGCCGTCTACATTTCTGCGCATGGATATCTGGACAGAAAGAATCCATTTTCTGGGCCAAAAAAGATTGAGCGTGTTCATCCTCTGGTTAGAACTCACCCTGCAACAGGTTGGAAGGCACTGTATGTTAACCGTACGATGACAAAGAGAATTGTTGGTCTTTCGTCTGTCGAATCAGACCTGATTCTGAACTATCTTTTCGATGTTTATGAGAAGAATGCCGACATCCAGGTTAGGTTCAGGTGGACTCCATCCAAGGAGGGCTACGGCACGTCTGCAATTTGGGACAACAGAGTCTCGCAGCACAGATCGACTTGGGACCACGAGGGAAGACAGCCACGTCACGGAACCAGAGTCACTTCTCTTGCTGACTTGCCATACTTTGACCCAGAGTCGAAGTCCCAGAGAGAGGCTCTTGGACTGCCATTGGACGAAAAGGACTTTTTCTAGTGACCGGTAGGCGAGTTTATATTAACTTATTAGCCTGATAACATAGTTGCGTAGACGCAGTGTTCTGGGTAATGTTGGCACTGCAAGTTTTGCTGAACGACAACTTTCCTGGCAAGTATCATATCTGCTAGCTGATTTCAAATTTCATCAGCAAAACCCCAGACATGATTTACATGCTAGAAAGCATGCACAAACTCTTCCTCTCTGCCGGATCCGGGACTGAAAGCGGCTTCTCTATAGCTCCATCCTCAACAAATGCATTTTGCTGATTCTCCTTCGTCATCAGATTGTAGTAGAGTTAATGGCTTTGTTTCTGCGCGATAGATTAACTTTTCAAATTAAGAGCACACAAAACTAAGGCACCAGGTACCACCAACCGAACCATCCAAACCGCGTAGTATCTAGGCCCGAGAGTCCGCGTCTGTGGACCAACTATGTCGGCCACGCCAAAATCAATCCTGAGCGTTGTTGTTTTAGGCATCTTTTGGTACACCCTGCTGAGGAGGACCAGCAGAGTCGAGGATTGGGCGAATTTATCTGTGTGCAAGTATACGGCTCGCATACATGTCAATTTCTTCGACCAAGTGCAAACACCATGATGCCTCAATCATAGCGGGGATAATTTCTATAACAGACAGATAACAAAGCGAGCTGATGAGCTCTTAAATGGAATGGATCCAACAAAAAATGCGACTGTACCGTAGCCCGCTTGAGCAAGTAGTCAGGATAGGCTCTACATTCGACAAGCCCACTTATGCTGAGAGAACTTGCTGCTGGAATTTTATTCGCAAGCATGCTTTAGTAGACCAATGTGAGGAGAAAACGGTCCACCATTACTTTGCAAAGAGCTGGCTGAAATGCGAGACTACTTTCAATATCCCTATAAGATAACATGGGCTTTGGTGATCCGGCATTTTGGTTCTGATAGCCCAAAAAGATTTGCAATATTTGTTAGGTTGCAAGGATCTCAGTGGATACTTTTTGACCGAAGTGGAGCTGCTCACCCTTGCATAACAATTGCCAATAATGTTACCACGGTCAACAATGCAGCCGCTCTCAGGAGAATTTTTCGCCCATCGGGAACTCTCCAAATTCAAAGGGGTTCCGTCAGTGCTCTTGTTGGCAACAGTGCCCTCAGAAACAGGGGAATAGGTAATCCCTCAAGCAAATAAGCTTTCTGACAAAACCAGATACTTTGGAATATTTTGATAGATGATTAGACGAGGTATTAGCCAAGGAATCTACCTCACACAGAGACTTGGCCAAGCGGTCAAAAGCTAGCGAACAGATCAGCATTCCTGAAATGCAATACCTCCTTCTGGAATCTGATTGAAGACGACGACGACATTGAGAAACAGAGGACAAATCATGATTCCTCAGTGACGAATTAGTTGTTGACGAGTTCGAATTCAGAAAGGATAAAGGTCCGAAGCACATGAGCACATCAACCTTGAAGGATCTCCTTACTCTCGCAGCCCAATACTTTTCATTTCGCTGCCAGGCCACTAGCTTGAACTGGAGAAATGTAGCTTTGTGGAGCAAGCTATCGACGTGAGGCAGCTCTTCCAGGAGAATACCATATCTGCAAAAGCAGTCAATGGAGTTTTCTCACGAACATTCTTTTCAAAGAGAAGATGTCGTCTTCACCAACGATTTCACTTGCTACCATGGAAGATCATACGGAATGCAAAGCTGCGATATTATGGCTAGATTTTGAAACGATGCACCTGAAATTAAGGTTACCCTAGTAAGTCAAAGTATGGGTCGGATCATGCGTAGCCACGTGATTGTGCTTTTAACATTAAATAAGTTTATCACAATGCGGAAGTATTTTTTTCAGTCCCGCTTTTGAGCCACAGGTTTATAATTATATCTATGTAGAAAAGTATCACCAACGGATGACATTCTCGGCGAAGAAAGTCGCTATTATTGGCGCTGGAGCAGGCGGATTAGTCACATTGAACGAGCTCTTACATACTGCTAGTGACGGATCTTCGACTATTGATAAGGAAAAAGAACGCCATGCACTGCCGGCTAATGGAGCATTTTCAGAGATAACAGTTTTCGAACAGAATAGCTCGATCGGAGGTGTTTGGAATTATAGCAACGAGAAAGACGAGGGATTCCCTTCTGGAGTAGTTGAGTACTACAAGCCCTCAGAGGTGAGGCCAACAAAAACTCCACCTGAAAGTTTGGACTCGACATCGAGAGAGGTCCCTATTGAGTCGAAGTCATTGCCGGGGCTAAGATGGAATAAAAGTGGGATTTATGATGGTCTCTTTACTAATATTCCTGGTGAACTGATGAGATTCACCTCAGGCCCGCCGTCTGTTGCCACAAATGATGGGGTGTACGCACCATTTGTCACACACGATCATGTGCTTCGTTACTTGAAGAATTTTACGAGTGTCAACGGTCTGGAGAAATATATACGATTCAACTCTTCCGTTGAAAAAGTGTACAAAGATCCGGAGACCGGAAAGTGGGTTCTGCAAGTAGTGGAAAGAAAGGATAATGCTGATAATTGGTACCAAGAGACTTTCGATGCGGTCGTTGTGGCCATAGGAAAATTCAATATTCCTCACTTCCCAAAAGTGAAAGGTTTGCGCGAGTTCGCAGCAAAGCACAAGAACGTCAGCCATGCCAAGTCTTACAGGAATCCGTCCGACTTCAGGAATAAGAAAGTGCTAATTGTGGGGAGTAGCATCAGTGCCGTTGACATTTTGCAGTATCTTATACCTGTCTGCAAAGAGGTGCATGTATCAGCCAACACACTGCCTGGGCAAGAACTAAAGAACAACAAAGAAGCCGGAAAAAAATGGATATCTGATGTGTTGATGGATCCTGCGTTGCTAATACGTCTTCACCCAAAAATCAGACAGTTTCTGGAAGACTCAGTTGAGTTCATCGATGACCAAGTCGAAAGCTTTGACAAAATCATTCTAGCAACAGGATACCACACACACTACCCGTTCCTCAGCATACCAGAAAATGAAGGAAAAGGCTATGTTAACGTGAGTACCGATGGTGAAGATGCCACACAACACAACATTGTCAGGAACCTATATTTATACACTTTTTCCATTGGTGACTCTTCACTGTGTCACATTGGAATTCCAAGTACGCCACTGTTTTTCCTTATTTGCGAGGTGAGTGCAATAGCAGTTGCAGGCGTGTGGTCTAATGCTAAAGCTCTCCCCTCCAAAGAAGAACAGAGGCAATGGGTCGAGGACGCCTTTGCACTTCAATCTGCAGGAACTAAGAGAGTAACGTCTGATGCGGCTACAGAGCTTTATAACAAGATTCATAGCCTGGGGCCGCGTGGAAGATACAACTTCTTTAAGTCCAATGTCATTGACGATCCAGAGAAGGCCAAGATTATACTTAAAGACCTGTTCTACAAAATAGTTAAGGGTAAAATTGAAGTCTGACTACATAGCGACATCAACTATCTCAAATTAGTCGTTGTCTGCCTATCTACTCAAATAGCAGATCGTGATTGTACTGATGTTAACGGCTCCGAGGATCGTACACAGATTAGTATGCAACAGCTCCCGCAGTCATACACACCTAATCTATATAACCATCTAGGTCATGCAGAGTGATTGAGTCAATTCGAGGCCAGGGTATTCATTTGTAGCCGAGGAACATTTTATGAATAAGACCCTGTACATTCCGACTGGGTTGATCGAACTACAGCTATACTAAACAGGCTCTGCGGAATATTTCTTAATGCACTTTTAGAAATGGTTGCGATCAGGATGAGCACTCTAATCTCAGCTATGCTGCACTTAAACTTATCTGTCCCACGACCTGGTCCCGAAATGTTTCAAAAATGCCCATGAGCCTGTCATGTTGTTCAGATTTTGTCCTATAGCACAAGTATACCAATTGTCCATACGAGCAGCACAACAAAACTTAAGATTGAAGACAGACTTTCAGCTTGACATGTTATCCTGCCTTGCCTTTGTGTACGCACTGCGCACATTCCCTGAAAGAGGTTCTTCAGGTAGCCATGATTCAACCATCTATGATCTAAGCAGATGGCCAAATTTATATGTAAGTGGAAATAATGTGGAGACCATTTTGAGCAGCAGCGGATAAGCCAAGAATTTATCACAAAGAAGGTTTCGTTCACAATAAAGTTCAAGAGCAGATTTTTGTTGATTTAATGATGCACACAGTTGCAAAAGATGATCGTGAGAATTACGAGATGGGCGTGCACTAAGCTACCCTATACCACGATTTTCAACCTGAGCGGCGAATTTTCTCCATTTGCATGTTCTACAGATGAGTTCTCACGGTCATCCAGCTACTACAATGCAGTAATCTGATAAACTATAGCTCGATAACAAACAACTTGAGCAATATCATGGCTATAGCAAGCCTTGGTAATCTTGACACCACAGAAAACCATTTAAACCCAATTCCTAGAGCAGCAGCAGCACCATAAGCTGGAACAACCACCCACGCACTTATGCCCCCGCTATAAATTAATCTTCCCGGTTCATATTTCGGTTACATCCACTCGTGTGGCTAACGTTAATCAAATTTTTTTCAACTTTTCTTTTTTACCAGTCCCTGTCAGTTGCTTTTGTGGCGTAAGCCACAGCAAGTTAAACAAATTTTCCAGTGTGCCAAGAATGTTTCGATCCAGATGTCTTTTAAGGAACCGAACACAAAGGTGGAAGCCAGCCTAGATAATGAGGCGGTTTCCACGAGCAGCGCGGCCAGTCTCGAGGAGTTTTTGAAGTTGGAGCTTGCGGATCAGGAGGGGGCACGGATCCGGTACAGAACATGCTCATGGGAGAAGACAGCGGCCCTGCTGTTCTCGGAGTACGTTTGTCTTGCGGTGATGAGCTTTCCCTGGTCGTTTTCTGTGCTCGGAGTGGTGCCAGGAATCCTGTGCACGGTGTTTGTGTCGTTGTGCGTGCTGTACACTTCGCTTACGCTTTGGCGGTTCTGCTTGAAGCACCCTCAGGTCCAGGACATCTGTGACATAGGACAGCACCTACTGTGGGGCCACCGGTGGGCCTGGTGGTTCACGGCGGTGTGCTTTATTTTGAACAACACCTTCATTCAGGGGCTGCACGTCTTGACGGGAGCCAAGTACTTGAACACGATGACCAACCACGCAGTGTGCACAGTGGACTTTTGCGTGGTGGCAGCAGTGATCTGTTTTGTGTTCTCGCTTCCGCGGACGTTTTCTGGGCTGTCGTTCATGGGCTGGTTCTCGGCAGCAACCATGTTCGTGGCTATTGTGCTGAGCATGGTGTTTGCCGGTGTCCAGGATCACCCTGGCGGCTGGGACGGGACTACAGGCGTGACATGGAGATTGTGGCCGGCTCCAGGAACGACGTACGTCCAGGGAATGAACGCTGTGCTGAATATTGTCTACACGTTCGTAGGGCAAATCACGTACCCTTCGTTCATTGCAGAAATGAAGAATCCACGGGATTTCAACAAAGCGGTTTACGCAGTCACGATCGCAGAGATTGTGTTGTACGTGCTAACAGGCACAATCGTGTACGTTTACGTGGGTGACGCGTACATCACGGCGCCGGCCTTTGGATCGCTGGCCCCAGTGTACAAGAAAATTGCTTTTTCGTTTGCTGTGCCGACCCTCATTTTTCTGGGTCTGCTGTATGCCAGCGTGTCTGCGCGGTTTGTGTTTTTCCGTGTGTATGACAAGCACAGCCGGCACAGGCGTGACCACACAGTGGTTGGATGGGCCGTGTGGGCTGGGCTGCTGGCGGCAACGTGGGTGGCTGCGTTTGTGATTGCGGAGGTGATTCCGTTCTTTAGCGATTTACTGTCCTTGATGAGCTCGCTGTTTGACTGCTGGTTTGGTTTTGTCTACTGGGGACTAGCGTACTTCCACGTGCGGGACACGCGCGGGGGCTTGTGGGACAAGGTGCAAGTTGTGCTGAATGTGGGGCTGATCGTGCTCGGGCTGTACATTTTGGGTCCCGGCGTGTACGCCGTGGTCCAGAGCATCATTGACTCGTACCACGCAGGCGAAGTTGGGGGCGTGTTTGGTTGTGCAGACAATGGTCTGTAGGAAGGGGCGACTAATTATTATGTAATCTACACACAACTAGAGGCAGTCTATGACGTGGCGTGACTTTATGTCACGTGCTCTTCTGCTAATGTCGTTTCTCTATTGCTGGTATCTTATCATCGGAAAACAGGCTCCACTTCTGCATATCTGACAAGAAACTGGACACTCAATCCGATTCTCAATGT